AAAGGAGAAGGGGATGGTTAAAGGGGGTCGGTGGACCTTTTTTTTCGCATTTCAATGGACAAAAAAAGGTTGCACGACCATTGAAAGCATGCAAAGGGCATTATTCATGCACGGCAGGCGAGTTGTTGTTGCCCCCCTCCCCATCCTATTCCCCTGGTTTATTTTGAGCACAGAAGCTCACACGCATTTGTTTGTCGGTGACCGTGACATAGTGGTACTGCGATAAATGAGAAACTGGTTGGCTCCGGCGACAAAAGAAACAAGGAAGACACAGAGAGAAGGAATGGAAAAAAATTATACATTGCGATTAGCAGCACAAAAAGGGAATTAATGCTGACATCTACTCTAACGCGTTCACAACCTCAAACAAGCGGTAAGCAAACTGTTATGTAGTGGAGTGTTTCTTGTGGTTCTTGTGTTTCTTTCTCTTTTCTTTCCTTTGGTTGAGCGCGTTTGTCTTCAAGATCGGAGAAAAGGATATGTTTACAAGGTTCAGCTCCGCCCCATTCGCTCATTTCCAAAACGATCTTTGCTTGTTGTGGTCTGAGCTCTGCAACTTCATCGATGCTCAGTCGACTAGCTTCCCATTTCGTCAATGTAAAAATTGGCCATAATTCAGAATACGACTCGCCTTACCTTCTCCAGTTTTCTCCCCTCTTTGTTACTTAACTTCATCGCCCGCTTGCTAGCTCTATCTTGACGCGTGTATAGACAAAATCACAGATCAAGAAAAAGGCCATTACTCGACTAGGCGAAGGGAGGGGGTTATCTACTTTTTCGAGTAGGAGCGTGTGAAGAGTTTCGAACGTTACCCTCTAGCCTCCTTATTCGCCCCTTTTGTGTGCGTTTTCGTGCGCTGATGTGTTTTCTTTATTAGCTCACTCTATACCAGGACTTAACACGCTATCTTTGTGTTGGGTTGTGTGAGGCGGAGTGCTGTACCAAGAAACCCCATTCATTAGATTATGCCGTCCAGCTAAATACCGGATCTCCTTGGGCGGGCTCGGCAAGCTATCACACCGCGGTTCTGTTTCAACTCCCATCATCTGTGCCGTTTCTTTCCATTTTGATATCCTAATATCGCGCAACAACACCTTCATGTCGTTCACCATTAGCAAATGCCATAATAAAAGAGTGTGAGGTTTTTTTGTCAACGATGGGAGCAGTAACAACGCCAGATCAAGGTCCATTTGAACGTCTTGTCGTCCACTTTGGATGTCGTCAGCAATGAAAGGGGATGGAAGACAGTACTTTCTCACACGCGTCCCTCTTGGTGTATACAAACACACAGAGAAAGGATGGAGAGTGTGAGAGAGGTGTGAGGGAGATGTGAGGGGGTGTACCCTCCAGTGGTCATGCACACTAACCGTCGCTTGTTTTCCATTCATCACTCATCCATCGGATTCCAATGCTGTATGAAGTGATTTGTACCTTTGTTTGTCTGTTTATTTGTTTTTGTTTAGGTGTGCTTGCTTGCAACGGGCTACAAGCGAAGATATATTGTTATCGATGTGTTTTTTCAGTTGTTTGTTTATTCCTAGTCTTGACCTAGGCCTTCCCAAAGGTCGGGAAGAAAAGTAGGGTCCTTTTTGGGACTAAATAATTAGTCACGTGAGGTTGGATTAGATGGTCCATGCTCGGCTTGGACGAGGTTTTTTTGCCAGATCCTTGATCTTAGAGTGGCGGATCGGACATAACGCAAGAAGTGTAAATGTAAGAGGGCTGTCAAAGGTGTGATGAAATCACATAGAAAATATGTATTCTTCAGCTTGTGGGCGTTTCCCTTGTTCATTCTTGATTTAGCTGGCGAAACGGAAGGATGAGAATATCAGATAAGGAGAGCGAGAGACAACTAGAACATGTGTGAGGTGAGAGAGAGATGAAGGGGAAAGGTTTATTGTAATGCGGAGGAAGATGATGATCATCCTGATGCAGCACACGGTAGAGAGAACCACCTCTTGAGACACCCTTACTTTCCTTCCAGACTTCCAGACCTTCCATGAAATTTCCATTTTTTCTCATTTCAGGTTTCTAGGTAAAAAAAAAAAAAAAAAAAAAAAAAAAAAAAAAAAAAAAAAAAAAAACTACAACAACGACGCAAATGATATGGTGGCGGGTAACGACATTGTGACATTGTTATCTGTGGATATCTGCATTGCGAACAGGCGTGAGGACGACTGGTTGGTTTCACTACGGGAGGGGCGAGGCTCTACGACTAGGATAATCCTCCCAAAACAGAAAAAACAGCTTGCAGCCCATGTGGATGAGCAGCGGGAGTACCATGCGAACCTTTTTGGACCGACCTTCCCTTCCACAATAATATTGTTCCATGCCACCATTCATGGGGTAGGCCTCTTTTGTTCGATTAAACTGTCATTTGATAATAAACACTCGTGTGTCCTGTGTATTATACCCCCGTCTCGTTCATGTTGGTCGTGTGGGCGTTCTACTGCTGCTGACGGACCTTGACTCTAGCATCCCTTTGGTTCCATAGCCCATTCAAATAAGCGGCAGAAGCGCAATCGATCGAGTTGGGTTTGCCTCCAATGATTTCAGTGGCTAACTTATATTCGGCCACGCGTGCTGCAGATGACTAGATGTGTTGTATCATGAAATGGTGCCCTCGCCCCTCTCTCATAAACCTTAGCCCCCTAATTAGATTTTGGGGTCCACCAACTAACTGACATTTAAAGAAAAAGAAAAAGAAAAAGGGATGGTTCCCAGATTCCGCACCAACAACCCCTCCTTCTATTTTGTCTGCAAGGAAGGGGCGAACTCCTTGAGCCTCCTCCTTCACCCTTTATTGTATTTCAGGTCCCACCCCTCAACTGCCCCCTATCGATAACCTATTATTATTTTACGCAAGGTGTGAAGAGGTTGGCGTGGGAATCGTCTTTTTTTTTTTTTTTTGGAGGTCATTTAACTTTTGTGAAGGCCTGTTCCAACTGATGGATGGAGAGTATGGGAGGGCGCGGTAGACGCGTTCGCATAGTTGTTTTCCTATTGGTTATCTTTCATACGCGCCTATCGCGAAAAGCTGTCAGGGACTATTCGTCTGTAGATACGTGAGGTGACCATGTGAGATGACAACAAAGAGCAAAAAATAGGGTTGATGGTCATCATAAACGTTTTTAAAAGGACCCCTTGACAGAAAATAAAATAGAGGTCCGATCCGAAGAACCAACAGAAAAGAACATAAGTGGCATGGTGTCTTTATTACTCTTTTTTGACACAAGGTATTTGTCGATAGTTCGTCCTCATTTTCATATATGGATAGCCCCGATTCTTTGAGAAGGAGATTAAGGTATAGCAATGGACACTTGAGATCAGGATACAGGCGCATCGCCGAGTTTTCATCCCAAACAAATCAATACAGCGATGTACTCTCGTCTCCTGAGCTAGCCTTTCTCTTGTTTCAAAACGGCGTACTGAAGCTGAGAGACGTCAAGAATTGGAGCTTTGTACCCTAAACAAATAACGAGTCGTCGCTCGAGTCGCCTCTTGCTTACTCGAGCAGTCGCTTGTCTCACACTTTTTTTTTTCTTCAAACTTGTTATTCTCGCGGATTCAAAACGTCTGTGGATGCATCATCGTGCTCTTTTCGTCACGTTTATTAAAACTCGAGTATTCACTGCTCAGTTGTAATCACCATTTTGTTTTTTTGGGCAGAGCATGATTCCTACTCAGAAGCATAAAGAGGGTCGTACACTGTTGTCACACGGCGCTTAGTTCCAGGATTGCAAGGTCCCTTCTCTTCTCGTGTCATTTTTATTCAAGCTGGCGGGTATCCTTCCTTCGGAATCGTCCTTTTGAATAACAGCAACCAGGCCTTTTTTTTTTTTTTTTTTTTTTTTTTTTTTTGGGCAGAGCATGTTTCAGCAAGCGGAAGTCTTCAACTCCTGCGAATGCTGCCCTGCTCAGAAGCATAAGGAGTATAGTCCACATTGGCTCCGTCCTCTACCTCGCACTCGTACACTGCTGCCATGCGTTTTGTAGAAGGATTGCAAGGTCCTTCCTCTTCTCATGTCATTTTTCATCAAGCTGGCGGGTATCCTTCCTTCGGAACCTTCCTTTGAATAAGAGCAACCAGGCCTTCTGTTCTAACACTTAGTCTTTGTTTTGTGAAGTCCGATATCATAATAACCGGTTCAAGGATGACGGTACAAGAAGTGGCCACAGATGATTTTTTTTTGGCTTTTGTGTGAGTCTTTTTTTCAGGTCTTTTTCATTACTTGACATCTCGGATGGCTCATGGCAACGTTTGCCCTTTCAACAATGGAACTCACACCGATAATCTCTTCGTCAGCCACGCTTTTGGTATTACGACGAGTTTGTAAGCATGTATGACTTTATTCTTTTCAAATTACTGAAAGACCTTGGATATGGAAACCCTGGTGCATTGTACATTTTTTTGTGAGATGGGCGATGGCAGAGCCGTGATATCCATTCAAGCGCACGAGCTGTCTCAGTAACTGCAGCTCGTGGATAGGAGGTAATAGACGCAGCGCGGAAAAGGGATAATAGACGCAGCGCGGAAAAGGGATAATAGACGCAGCGCGGAAAAGGGATAATAGACGCAGCGCGGAAAAGGGATAATAGACGCAGCGCGGAAAAGGGATAATAGACGCAGCGTGGATAAGGGATAATAGACGCAGGATTAGTGTGCTTTATTATATGCAGACGATTTCAAGCCATGGACATCAGTGGCGAGGGGAAGGAATGGAAAGGGGTGAAGAAGAAAAAATAACAAGAAAACCCATATTCGTCCTTCTTTTTGCACTAATCGTCCAAGAAAAAAATGTGACCTCTTCAAGTGATGCCAAGGAATGTATCACGCTCACCATACGTACCCGATGGTCCACCTCGCAAAGCGAGCTTAAAATATAAGTTCAACTATGCCCACAGTGCATACCACCATTGGCTCTCATGATTGTTCGCAGTAGTTGAGCTGATGGGGGGTTTTTTTTATATGATTAGGAATAAAAATGACCACCTGTCTACTACCGTAAGGTACTCTTGGGTCGCTCACGCTCGCGAACCAAGATATCTTGTTTGCATGCAGAGAGCATATCTTTGCGGAGGGTGTTCATTCCTGCGCCGGTGTACGAGCTGACCATAAGAATCCTGTCCGTCATTGCATTCTTGAACGACTTTTTCAGTTCTTCCTGAACAACCATGTATGTACGGGCGAGGTCAGGTGGGGAGACGAGGTCGCATTTGGTGAGAACGACCTGGAACTTTTTCGAGCAAGTAGCACCCATCATGGTGAGGAACTCCTTATCGGCGACCTTGAGTCCATGACGAGCGTCGATCATCACGTAGATTCTCCTTAATGACTTGCGCGTTCCCAGGTAGTCTTCGATCTGTACCAGGCGGTGAGCGAAAAAAATAATGATAAGTAAACTCTTCTTGTTGACGCGATCCCAAAATCCAAACTGACTGATCGATGAACAAAAAGCTGAACATACCAATTCCTTCCAGGCAACCTTGTCTTCCTCTTTGGCAAAGGCGAATCCGTATCCAGGCATGTCGACAACGGCAAATTTATCTCCGCATCGGTAAAAGTTGAGTTGACGAGTCAATCCTGGCTTGGAGCTGACGCGAGCAGTGTTGGGCGACTCCGTGAGGGTGTTGAGCATTGTCGACTTGCCAACATTGGATCGTCCGACAATTGCGATCTCCGGTAATGTCGAGTCCTTAATCTCATGCTCCTTGGCGCGTTTCCGGTCCCGCAAATTTTGGATCTCAACCGCGCTCATGCTTAGCCGAGGCGTTCCGTCCGCCGATCCTGCTCCGGCCTTTCCCTCCTCAGCTTCAGTCAGCAATTGCTCAATCTCGGCTAGATCCTGAAAGTAATCTGGTCTGACGAGTTTCAACAGCTGCTCCTCCTTGGGGACACTCTTCATCGACGCTGCTCCTGCGACAAACCGCATGCCAGGGAATTTGACTTGCTCCTTCTCGACCACCTTAGACGTCCGTTGCTCAAACCAGACCTGCTTGGCGGGTAAGCGCCGCTCCTTTTGTAGTTGCTTCCATTCCTCTTCAGGGAGTTTCTTGTCCCACGGCCGGATAGTCTTGTTGCCGCGGCTGGACTTGTCAAAGGACCAGCTCTCTGCTTTGGATCCAAGGCCCTGGACTCGGATGTCGTGCATCAATTGCGCAGATGGTGTGATGGATTTGAAGGTTTGGCGTTTTGAGAGGATTGTATCCGAGGTAGCTGATGTTTTTGGTGTTGTTGAAGGTCGGGGTGGTGGTGGAGGGGTCAATAATGGGGTGAGTGAGTTTGGTGTTGTGCCGGCTTCGGGGAGTTTGTCCTTTTTAGTCAATTGCCTGTGGAAGTATGGGAGGCGGGCTGTCGAGGGCTGGGATGTAGACAAGTGGCGGAGGAACGTGAACTGTTGTGACGAAGCGACGGTTCTGCAGCATGAAGCGGAGGCATGGACACGGGTTGACATGAGTCCTGTTGGCAGCATTATATTTTTCTTTTATGTTGCCCCTTGTATGATCTTTGTAGTGATGTCGGTGAAGTAAGTCCTGAAGGTGTCTTGGTGCTCCTGTCCTTTGACGATGTCGGTTGTGGATGTAAAGTGTTGTTTGAATAGTCGCCTTTTCTTCTTTCATTTTTGTTCATTTTTGTTCATTTTTGAGACTGTTGATCAGTCAGTGGCTTGGCTCTACATTGCTCACCCTTTTCTTGAGCCTTTCTTTCGCACTGTGCCTGGAGGCGTGTTGCTCTTCTTCATCACCAACTGGCCGCCACTCTTCTACTCACGGACGAATTCAAGCAGACGGACAGACAGACAACCATGCCCTCAGACAACGAACACAACGACGACACTTCTGTCCTCGGAAAGCGTGCCCTCGAAGCGGAAGATGCACCCGCCCCCAAGGAGGACGAATCAGGCACGGAACCACGTTCTCAATTCCATTGGGCAATCTTCGCTTTCCTTCCTTCATGACTTGATGCCGGGCAACAGTCAATACACGACCCTAGGTCACGACGGCCAATATAGGAGCATTCAACTAACCAATGGATTTATCTACGCCCTATATTATTCCAAAACGCTATGCAGACTCAGACGACGATATCGGACCTATGCCAGCACCGGCAGCCGCCGAAGAGGATCCTGTCGTCAAAAAGCGCAAGAGAGGTAAAGATCGTGCAGCTGAGGATGCGGTCATCACCATTATTAAGATGCTTCACTGAAAGATAAACCAAGGCTCATGTAGCAGGACGCTAACCGGTGTATCTTTTCTCATATGGCATATAGCTCTGCCTCACGAACAGCTCTATATCTCACGGATGCCTTCGGCAGAGATGTATGAGAAGAGTTACATGCACAGGGACGCCATCAATTTTGTGGCCGTGACAAGGTACAGGAAGAACAATACAGATTAACTCTTCAGTCGATTTGGACACGCATCTTGGAAGCACGACTACAAGAACGCGACGCTGACTCGGTACCAAAACCCCATTTTTCACGTCTACGATCAACTCTAGGACGGACTTTATTATCACAACGTCTGTGGATGGATTCCTCAAGTTCTGGAAGAAGACGGACCAGGGCATTGAGTTCGTCAAGCAATACCGCTCCCATCTCGGTATGTTTTTTACTCTCAGGCATGACCTTACCTTGAAGAATACGAAGCGCCTTCCGAGATACCGTACTTACTCTTGTTGCGTTCATTGATATTAGGTCTGATCGCTGGAATCAGTGTGTCTGATGACGGACTGTTGCTCGCTACCATCGCTATGGACAAGTCCCTCAAGGTTTACGATGTCATCAACTTTGGTACGTCCAGGATATGCACTTTTGCTTCAGGATACTGAATCTGCGGGATGTGATTGTTGATCAATGACTGACCTTTTCTCTCTCGTTCACCAAATAGATATGATCAACATGGTCAAGCTGGATTTTGTTCCTAGTACAGTCTGCTGGATTCACAAGCGAGGAGAGGCGCAGGCAAAGGTCGCAGTTTCGGACGCCGATTCTTCTGCGATCCATGTCTTTGACGGCCGCGGCGAGGGAAAGGCCTTGTTTTCAGTCACCAAACTTCACAATGGACCAGTTACTACCATGGCGTTCAACGACAAGTACAACTGCGTCATCTCGGCTGATAGTACAGGAGCTCTGGAATACTGGGTCCCCGACGAGAACCACGAGCTGCCGAAGACGGTTTCTTTCGAGTACAAAAGCGAGACAGATCTATATGAGTTCAAAAAGTGCAAGTCAACAGCAACTTCCCTCACATTCTCGCACGACTTTGAAAAGTTTGTGACCATGAGCGCCAAGGATCGCCAGGTTCGCGTCTGGAAGACAAGGACAGGAAAGATGATCCGGAAATATGACGAGAGCCTCGATGTCGTCAACGAGATGCAGCAGGTAATCGAAGTTCTCTTCTGTTGTGCGATATCACTTGTGCTTTTTGACACGTTTCGCATCACGCAGGCTCACATTTCAATTTTTTGCATGGCCTTGTAGACAGGACAGAAGCTGTACAAGCTGGATGACATGGAGTTTGGACGCAGATTGGCAGGAGAGCGCATGCTGTCAAAATCGACACAGCAGAGCACTATGAATGCCGTCTTTGACGAGAGCGGGCACTTTTTGATCTACCCCACCATTTTCGGCATCAAAGTCGTCAACACATACACCAACAAGGTCGTCCGTCTCATTGGAAAGTCAGAGCCCCAGCGCTTTATGAACATTGCCCTCTACCAAGGAGCACCCAAGAAGAAAAGCAACATGACTATGGTATGGACCTCATGAATACGACACTTTGATATGTATTGACGCGGTCTACTTTTGAGTTGGGATACTAACACAATCTACGTTCAATTGATTACAGGCTATGGTGGCATCGGACAATGCGGTTATTAGGGAGTCAGAGATGCGGGACCCAACATTGTTCTGCACAGCACACACTCGCAACCGATTTTACATGTTCACGGAGCGGGAACCTGATCAAGGACCCTCTCACAAGACGGATCGCGATGTCTTCAACGAGAAGCCCTCCCGCGAAGAACAGACCATTGCCACAGCACAGCACACAAAGACCAAGCTCGGAACAACAGCCATTCTGCGCACAACCTTGGGCGATATCCAGATCAAGCTTTTCCCAGAATTGGTTCCCAAGACGGTGGAGAACTTTGTGACACATTCCCGGAACGGATATTACGACAACGTCATTTTTCACCGTATCATCAAGGCCTTTATGCTGCAGACTGGAGACCCACTTGGCGATGGTACCGGAGGAACCTCGATCTGGGGCAAGGAGTTTGAAGACGAGTTTCATCCTGACCTGAGGCACGACCGCCCCTACACTGTCTCGATGGCCAATGCTGGGCCAGGAACCAACGGATCGCAGTTCTTTATCACGACAGTGCCGACGGCCTGGTTGGACAACAAACATACTATCTTTGGACGTGCTGTCACGGGCATGGATGTGATCCACAATATCGAGAACCTGAAGACTGATAAAACCGACAAGCCTTTTGAGGAGGTCAAGATCCTGAACATTGAGATCCGCTGAGGTTCCTGATGGATCCTTGGCGTTATTTTTAACCATGTGTAATAAAACCACTATCGAAAACAACATGGTTCGCTTTTTTTTGTATGTTCCTTGGATAAGTCGTCGTGTATACTCAGCCTCTGTTACACGTTCAACTCACCCCCGCTTAAAAGCCGTAAGTTTGGCCTCCATCATCCCACTCTGACGATTTTCATTTCCAAAAACAAGCAAGGAAACAACAACCATAGTCTAGTATGTCATCGCTCAACCAACACTCAGGACTCACAAAAAAGCTCTCCGATACAGTCCCCATACCCGTGCTCCTTTGATTAGCAAACAATCTTCTTCATGCATGGCATCATACTCCGCATGTCTGTTCTTGTGACACCTGTGAAACCATGGAACAACTAACACGAACCTTTGGCTTGTTGTTGCTGTCTGTGTTGTGGTGTCCTATAGAACTAACAAGGACAACGAAGACGAGCCACACCTTGGTTCCCCTGGAAACCAACCGGTTCTGGTCCTGGTACCCCTGCTGTTCCAACAGGGCGACACGCAAAACAGCAACAGAGGAGGAAGGTAGCTCACACGGGGTTTTCGGAGACAAAAGAATTAACAAAAGATGTTACCGCATTCAAAGCGCGCCTTGACCTAACCTTGTGTCTGGGACTATTTCTTTTTTATCTGGCTGGATAGGCGAAAGGTTGATAAAGAGGCTGCCATCCCCATTCATGACCCCGACCCCAGCTCCGCTGCTGCTGCATTCTTTGCTGCCGCCATCGATAGGACGGTGAGATCGCACACAGCCACCCAACACCAGGAAACCGACGAACATAACGTCAACACCACTGCTCCCGTTCCTCTCATCCAAACAGCCACGTCCATGTAAAGAGCTGTGTCGACTGGACCTGCGCCTTCACTCTCGAACACCAAGGATGAATTTCCTACGAACAGGTGATCCACACATTCAGAACGTGTCCGTGGATGGGCCCACAGCTCTTTCAAGCAATTCGATTCATCATCCATGGTGTCTTTCATGACCACAAAACAAGGTGAACTCTAATAATTGGTGGCGACAAGCATTTTTTGAATCTCCTCTTCCCTCACTTTCCTTCTTCGAACGTAGAGCCGCGGAGCGAGCGAATGCACAGCGGAGCGGTGCATCGACCGACACCCTATCTCGACCATCACGCAAAAGCTACAGATCATGCTGAGAAGCAGAGCAGGCTCTACTTGTTCGATGCTCGCGATATCGCAATACAATGTTCGTTGGCGTTGCTATTTTTTGTTGATTGTAGGACTGATGCGACAGACATACACGACTGGCAGTGTCTCGGCCAGATAAAGTTGCAAGTAGGTGGAGTGAAAATACCATCATTGACAAAGCACGAGGGAATATCAGCCAGGCTGTTTCTTGAGAGGGCGAAAACACAGCGAGAAAGGAGGTCCAACCAGGGGAGGAAGAAGCACAAAACGAGCATAGACACCCCCATATTGGAGTTGGCTTCTAGCTTCTTTTTTCATTGACGTCAGATTCCCCACAAATCGTGTGGCTGACAGCTTCGAAGTAATTGAGCTGTCAGACGAGGAAGACGCACCTCTCGCCACTTTCTTTCTTTCTTTTTCCCTTTAGTGCTGTAGCGAGCAGTGTATGCTGTCCACTAGTTAAATCCCTCACTCCCTGTACAATAAAGCAACATCTTTCCTTAGCTTTCTCCCTTCTTCCTTGTCCTTCTTGCTCCCTTCTTGCTCCCCTCCTTGCTGCCATACTTGATCCTCTTTCTCCACTCCCCTTCTTTCCTTCATTTACACTCGCTTGCTCTACTGCTTAACATTATTGTACCCTCTTGTGACCGCATCAACACTGCCCTCACCACCCTCGTCATCCTCGTCATCCCCGTCAATCCCGTCGCCCTCTTCATTTTTTTGACAACAATGTTCCGGACACATCCCCTCGATATACCCGAGATTCGCTCCATAATCGCCAACAATCTTGGCCTCAAAGACCTCACGTCCTGTGCACGAGTGAGTCAGGATTGGAGGCACTCATTTACACCACCACTCTACAAGTCTGTCGTGGTATCGGAACGTGGCCCCAGCCTGGAATGTGTCGAGGAAAACAAGCACCTTATTAAAAGCATGAAGGTTCAGAGCTTTAAATCTGCAGACCAATCCTCAATATCTGCACAAGACAAAATGCTTTCTAGCATCCTGACCAACTCGAGACTGGCCACATTGGACTTGAGCGGCAACTCGATCGGAGAAAACGGAGTTCAGGCGCTGGTTGAGGCTCTCAAGACCAACTCAACTCTGGCTACTTTGAAATTGCGCTGCACCTTGATCAGATTAAACGGAGTTCAGGCACTGGCTGAGGCACTCAAGGCCAACTCGAGTCTGACCACTTTGAACTTGAGCCTCAACTGGATCAGAGACTACGCAGCTCAGGCACTGGCTGAAGCACTCAAGATCAACTCCACTCTCACGACTTTGAACTTGGAGGACAACACGATCGGAGAAAACGGATCTCTGGCGCTGGTTGAGGCACTCAAGACCAACTCCACTCTGATCGCTGTGAACTTGAGCGGGTGCTCGATTGGAGGAAATGGAGCTCAGGAGCTGGCTAAGACACTCAAGACAAACTCGAATCTGACCACTTTGAACTTGAGCAGCAACTCGATCGGACCCAACGGAACTCAGGCGCTATCTGAGGCGCTCAAGACCAACTCGACCCTGACGACTTTGGACTTGAGCTTCAACTCAATCGGACCCAACGGAACTCAGGCGCTGGCTGGCGCACTCAAAACTAATTCGACTCTGACCATTTTGATCTTGGGCGCCAACTCGGTCGAGGACAACGGAGCTCAGGCACTGGCTGAGGCACTCAAGAACAACTCGACTTTGACCAATTTGGACTTGACCCTCAACTCGATCAGAGAAAACGGAGTTCAGGCAATGTCTGAGGCACTCAAGGCCAACTCGGCTCTGACAACTTTGAACTTGACCCTCAACCCAATCGGAGATAACGGAGCTCAAGCGTTGGCTGATGCACTCAAGACAAACTCAACTCTGACGACTTTGAACTTGAACAAAAACTCGATCGGAGACAATGGAGTTCAGGAACTGGCTGAGGCACTCAAGAGCAACTCGACTCTGACCACGTTAGACTTGTACTGCAACTCGATCGGACACAACGGAGCTCAGGCTTTGGCTGAAACACTCAAGATCAACTCAACTGTGCTGATTTTGGGCTTTCTAAACTGATGTCGCCTCAATACCCGAATCCCTAAAGCCATGGCACTGATATACTCTACAATGAGCCACAATACTGTACGAATATTTTGAACCGCTGTGACCTATGACTTTTAAGTTTTTAACTCAAGAATGGCATTAACATCCAGAGCTTTCGAGATCTCAATAAACTTGTCTGTAATTGCTATATCTACTGGTGCAATTGAAATAAATGTTATGTCATTCATAGCCATGATTTTTATTTACATATCAAAATCGTGTGACGCCTCCTTTTGCCTTGATGACAGCTTGCATTTGTTCAGGCATACTCCAAATCAGATTGTTACAGACCTCCATTGGCGTCTCTTCCTCCCATATCTCGCTCACTCATTTCCACAGGTCAAGCATGCCTTCAGGAATGGACCCACGCTCGCGAAGCTTTCATTTGAGTGTTGCCACAGATGCTCTATAGGACAGAGGTATGGAGAATTGGAAGGCCATGTGAGTATTCCTTCTTTCGCTGTTGCGTCCTAGCCTCAGGTCCACCCAGTCCCCAAGCCTCATATTTGACAATCTCAAAATTGAACTCCAATCCAAACTGCCGAGCGCCTCCTGCACTCATGTACACATTGCTGCCTGCGAAAAATCATGTCTGTAGTTGCCGTATCGCAGGTTGTTGTCTATGTAGAGCATGTACCTCTAGGATTCCTGCCCACTAAAACTGACGCCTGGCTTTTTGAGAAAGTGGATGTAGTGCTGGTTTGAGTCCCGATGATGAGTTTGTGAGTCTTGATGATGCTCCGCTACCAATTGTTGGGCTGGTGCGCATGGTTCGACCACCTGGCATTGATGGCGCTGTATGTGGTGCGCTCACTGTATTCCTGTGCTTGATGACTTCTTCGCAAGAATGGCCTCGAAACAAGGCGAGAGTTCGAAAAGAGCAAACGAGCCGCCATCCCATCTTGATTTGAACACCTCCCAGGTCTCGGTCACATAGGCGTCTAGGATCATCCCTCGCCTTTTGAGCCTTCCTTGGTGTGACTTTGGTTGAGCTCGTCTCGGTGTAGTTCATTTGAGCGTTTAGTGCTGCCTCTGCGCAGGGTTCATCCACGATGGTGTTGAGAATGTTTCTTACAGAAAGTTGTACGTTAGGAGTACGACCCGCCAGTTTATCGAATGAAAACCCAGCGACCGCTCGACTCCCATAGCAAGCTGTAGCTCTCGAAAGTGCCGCCTAAGGAACTAACAGGATCACTTCTACGTTGTCTATGGATTGGAAACATAGAAAGAAAAAAGCCATTGGTGTGCTATGTTCTTGTTCTTATTTATCCAACGAGTCAATGATTTCCTTCACAACACAGCCCACATCAGAGCGAATGGCAGACATGGGTTAGCAAAAGAGAAATCATGCAAACCCAAGAACCTTAGTGGATTGGTGTCACCTACCTCTGACGCAAGGTTGATGCTTCATGTTTTCCCTATGCTTTCTCGACATTGGTACCCTTCAACTTGCAACACCCATTCCATGTGCAAACCCCCATTTCGTTATTCCTTGGAAATCATGCCATGGTACCATTCATTATCTTCAAAAATAAACAAATCCCAAACATTGGTTGATTGATTCGAGTGTGGCTGGATGCATACATTTCGCGCCCGTCTGTCTGTTTATGTGCCTTTGCGCGCTGCGGCTCTGTCACCCTAAAAAAAATCAAACTCAAAGTGCGCACAGGCATGGATCATAACATCATTTTCGGACTTGGATTAACCCTTTGGCAGACAATCAAAGGAGCACTTGACCCGCGTCGTCCATGCCAATATAGTCAGTGAGTAAAGCTGCACATCATCTTATATTCAGAAAAAGAAGAAGAGTGTAAGGACGTGAAAATGAAGCGGGCGCAAAGAAGACAAAGAATGAACAAGATAAAGACAAATGCGAAAAGCGGCTTTCTAAAAGTAAGAAGAAAAATAAACAAGATGCGAAAAGCCAGCACCATAGAAGGAAGACCAGCGAACAAAGAGGACAAAAACCACAAGAGAAGACAATTGGAGGACGGGACTCGTGAGAAACCAAGGAGGCATCTCGTTTAGGCTTGCGCATACAGGTCCCGGAGTTGTTCTGGATCTCCTCTTCCCTCAACAACATATTCGCGCACGAACCTCACGTTCGAACCAGCGAACACGCCCCGGTCAAAGAATAACGTCCGCAGTGTATCTCTTCGGTCTTTCGCATCACCGACGAGGGGACGTCTCTCTTCTCCTCCTCCATGCGCCGACCTTGCCGCCTCCAATCCAACATCACCGCCATGAATATGGCGAGCCACTTCCAAAATAGTCTGCTCAAGGAAAAGTCGAGCTTGCGGACGATCTGGCGTCAACGAAATCTGAGGCAACAGGGAGGCCGTACTCGACAAGGGCCTCAGGTTCTCGTTGGTAAGGCAGTATTCCTTTCGCGCCTCGCTTGTTGTGACCCTCGGAATGACATGACGGCCATCCTCCAGATTTCGCTCACTAACATCTATAGGGATAGGTTCGGGGAAGTTTATGAAGTGAAGCTGGCGGCATTCGAGGCAGCGAAGAACCTCTACCGGATATGAGTCGTGGGTCAAGACAGGGAGCAGACGACCAGATCCCACTTGGGCCGTGATGGTATCTAGACATCCAGAGCAGATGTTCTCCATGTTGACGTGTGAGTGTATGCGAATATGTCGAGTGTGTGTTATTTTGTGAAATGGAAGGAGCGTTGTAGAGGGGCAAGGAAAAGAGAACAAGGATAACGAGGTCAATATATACTGCTCCACCTTTTTTATTATGATGGTTGTGTAGGACCATCAGTTATAGATAGATGATGGTTGTGTAGGACGATAAGTTGCAGATAGAGTGGTAATAGAGAACAAGGATAACGAGGTCAATGTCTTGCTCCACCTTTGGCGGCGATGGTTTTTATTATGATCGTTGTATCGCTTTGTAGGACCATTAGTCGCTGATAGAGTGATAATAAGGTGGTGAGCCTTCGTCGTCGCAGGCCATCTATTCGACTACAAGCGATGCCCCACTCTACCACGTTTCCCTAGGTTGTTCTCTCTAGCACTGTCTCTGTCCCCTGGTCCAGTCTTTTTTCCTACAAGACTAGCTGGAATATAACATTGCTCTTGCTGCATACAAACTTGTACGAGCTGAGTGGGGGAAGAGGAGTACCAAGGTACACCAACGATATCGACACAGGGAGCCAAGCAAGAACGTCCACAATGGTTGTAACAGAAAACACTTGTTTTATTTGCATTTTTAACAAAGACAACCACGCACATACACACACGTCCATGCAACTCTACATACATCATAAAAAGAGTTTGTTAGTAACCCACATCCGCTGTTATAAACCATGCCCTCTCACGAATCGGACACCCGTCGTCCCCGCTTGTCCACTTTTCCTGCCTGTTCATCTCTCCAATCAACCCCTGCTCAGCATCGATCTAGCAGTACTGTTGCCAAGTTCCTATCTCCCTTGCTTGCAGAGGTCATGATTATTCTTCCTATCTCTACGATGGCGTTGTTGACCTAAGGCTAATAGAAGACAGAAAACGAAAAACGGTTAGTCTTTAATAAAGACTAAGCAAGCACCCACAATAGATTATTGTCGCGCCCAGAACCATAGACTACTGCTATCCCAAGAACAGTTGATGCTGTGCCCAGCAGAAACGGAGACCCGGCTGCAGTAAAGCGCCCTGCTAAAACACACCTATGACCCCACGGTCTCCACCCCCCAGGCCCAGTAGCGCATTACGCTCCTACCTTCCCAAGGGTTGCAGAGCCATATGCTTGCATCACCTGCTCCAGTTGCCACACAGCCTGTGATTATAAGCACCAGCACCATACACTTTGAACAAAACCAACCCCTAAGGCCACACACAGAAGAGAAGGTACAGAACATTGAACCTCAAGAGCAGTTTGACGCTGCGCCATCTCAGTAGTAAATGGCCACGCTCGCCGTCACGTGACCGCTACTACCTGCCAAAAACACACCTGTTGCTACCACACTCAATTATGCCGGTCCCCCTGGGCCCAGCTGTGATGCTCTCAAAACAGACCAGCCTTCCCAGGGCCATAAAAGAACGCAATAACCCCAGGCTGCGACTTCACTTCCCTCTTGGCCCAAAGTCCTGAACACCCTCCTGCTCCATGTGAACCCGAGAGGTTGATGATCAGTCGAGGATACTTGCCTTTTTGCGGCTGCTTCAAGTTTGTGTCTTGATTCCTGCTCTCATTTGAAAGAGCTCTGTCTTGCATTCCCTTGTCAGCTAGCGCATCGGTTGTCTATTTGACGAGTGGGAGGAGAGACGCGTATTCCAAGCAGATAAAAATAATAAACAAACTGCATTAGCTCCACAGCAATCACAAAAACAACAAAGAGATGTAAGAGAAGGTGAGGAAGGGGAGCAAGAATGTAATCACGAAGAGGTGCAAATGTTGGTGGCAACGAAGAAAGTGACTGTGTTGTGGAACGAAGAAATCAACTGAGGGAGGGAATGAGCGAGTGAGGGTGGTGGTGATGGTGAGTTGAGTGCAGAGGGATGAGAAGGAAGAAGAGGAAAGAAAGATGTAGAGCTTTGCCTTGTGGGCCTTGCTTGCTGTCGATGGTGGTCCTTGGCCTTGCTTGGTCGTCGTCGAGAAGGAGAGTGCCTTGCAGTGGGAGGAGTAGAGTGGGTGCAAAGGAAAGGAAAAGAAGAAGAAAGAAAGCATGAGGGAGGGCAGCGTTATTTATGTGGCAATAGGTGCGTCTTTCTCGTCTGAACCCCTCCTTCTCTGTACGCAGTGGCTTGGATTAGTCAGGCCTGGTAAACCTGCACCGTGCACGATTTGTGGGGATCTGACGTCAACAAAAAGGAACTAGAAGCCATCCAGAGTTCTTCCTCCCCAGGCCGGGTCTCCTCTCTTTCTGTATTTTCGCCCTCTCAAGAAACAGCCTGGCTGATATTCTCTCGCGCTTTGTCAATGATGGTATTTTCACTCCACCTACTTGCAACTTTATCTGACCGAGACACCGCCAGTCGTGTATGTCTGTCACATCAGTCCTACAACGGACAAAATAACAACATGTCAGCAGTGCCAACGAACATAGAATGCGATACCCTGAGCATCGAACAAGTAGAACCCATTGTACTTCTCAGCATTATCTCTAGCTATTTTATTGCGTGATGGTCGAGGTAGAGTATCAGTCGAGGCTACACTTTCCATCAACTGGGCTCTGAAAGAAGACACAAGGGATATGGCCGCCTTGGAGAGCACAGAACAAAAAAAAGAACAAATGAAGGCGCCGGTTAGCACAACCCTCTTTTTTCTTTATTCCCCTCGCAACATTTATTTTCAACTTTAACCACATTCACACACATGGCGTCTACCATTCCAATAAAGAAAAAGTGACTCAGTGTCTCCATGGACAATGATATCCTAATGCACTACCGAATCAAACCGTCAATGGTTGACCACTGGTATCATAAAGCAACAAAAGGTCACTTCTATCTTCTATCTTCACAATCTATCGTCCTGTCAATCATCTTTTCAAGCTTAGCATCCTTGACCCTCTTGTGCTTTAATGTATACACACCCTATCCATTTAAAGGTCAAGTCAAAAAGGTCGGCGACTGGTGAACGACATTACAACAGCTAAACTGCAAATAGCAATCGCCTACTATATATTGTATCAACTGCAAAGCGAGCCATTCTGCACGCAAATCTACATCGATATTGCTTGAGAGTGCTTAGTGCGGGAGGTACCCGAGTCGTAGAAGAAACCGAAGACCGAGTTCGAGTTCGTTTGAATACAGGTTCAATAACATTTGCGGCAGGTGGACTCTCGCGTATGGGACCACAAGAGGTGTTGTTCGTATTTTTCTTACACCGTTTGACTCTGTTCTCCGTTTTTTTTAGCTTCATCCTCGCTTGATCGAATTGTAACAGATGTCTTCTGCGGCTTTCTCTTCAAATGCAGCTCGGGTCATCATCCGAAAAGGCCTCTTGTTTCACCTCATCTTTTGTCTTCCTTCTCTTTCTCTTTATTCGACTCGTCACTCGACCAATTCCTCCTGAGAATCGCCTAAGGTCCTCTCCGAACCAATGCTACTCTTGCTCCTTCTCCTCTTCTTTTTCCTTTCCATTTCTGCCTCCTGTTTGGCCTCTACTTTTCTCCCTTTTTCCTTCTCCTTCTTCTCGGTTCCCAGTTTCTCTTCCATCTCCTCTTGCTCAGTCTCCGGTCTGCCCTTCCCCTGACACTGACTACGCCCATCATCGCCAGCCACAGGACTATCTCGTCCCTGAGAAACAATAGTAGTAGTAGAAGTAGGAGGAGGATGAGGCACAGTCGAGCTTAGCCCACCAAGCTTCGAGTGCAAGTCAGATAAGTTTCAAACTTGGCTGCACTCCATCTACATTCTTCCAGATGCTCCTGAACCAACCGGTCCCCAGTCGACGATCGGTAATTGAACCCTTGTAACTGGTCGAGAGTTTGGACATACTTTGTTGCTAGGCTGAAGTAGTTGGTCGGCGCTTGGTCGTTGTAGGTTTGAGTGTAGTCGTTGGATTGGGCGGGGTTGGTGTAGTTTTGAGGCTGGTTGTGATCGTGGGCGTGATTGTGGTTGTGGTTGTGATTGTGAATGTGGGAGGTCCGAGTTTGGTTGTAGCACTGGCCTTGGTTGAAACCTTGGCTCTGGGAATGGCTTTGAACCTGGCCCGGATGGTTGTAACTTTGACTGTGTTGGTTGTTGTAGCCCTGGCTGTAGTTGCTGGTCAGTACATGGTTGCTGTATCTTCGACTCTGGTGGTAGTTGTTGTTCTGGCGGCGGTAGATGGATCTCTGACCGTAGTGCGTGAAGGAGTGGACGAGAACAGGACCACGGTTCAAAGGCTGCTGTTGTTGCTGAGGAGATTGAGATTGGGACTGAGACTGATGCTGCTGTTGTTGTTGTTGTTGTTGTTGTTGTTGTTGTTGTTGTTGTTGTTGTTGTTGTTGTGAGGATTCATCTCCATGCATGTACACTGCCAGTGGCACCTGTTGCTGCTGCTCCTTCGGCTCCTTCAGCTTCTCCTGTCGCTGTTGTCTTTGTTTCTGTAAGTGCGCATTGAGTCCACCCGAATAGGCGACTAACTTCCAGAGATAGCTGTAGGGGTCGCGGCGGTTGCGTTCGGTGGCGCGTTTCGAGAGTCGGAGACTGGGCGAGGTGGGATTGTACTTTCTGGTATGAGGGGAGACAGGGGAAGAGGTGCGTGAAGAAGTGCTGTTAACACAAATGGGTGGAGGGGGAGGGGTGGAATGGTTATTGTATGAGTCTTGAGTGCGATCGAGGTATGGGTTGGGGGTGTCATCGTTCTTGGGAGTGATGACGCTGTAGTCGAAGTAGAGGACTTGGTTGTGGTGATAGCAGATGAATTCTCCTAGTGGGGGATCCCTGAAGAATGATACAATACAAAAAAAAACAGAAAAATAAGAACATGGTATCATTGGCGAAGAAACGATGCACCAACAACCTTTTCCTTATTCAATAGGGAAAAAAAGGTAAAACGGGGATGAACGCAAGAGACTTGACTTACCAGTAAACGTCGACTCGATGACCTGTGCGAGGTCGACGGAAAAAATCCATGGGTTGATTCTCAGTATCGTCTAACCACAGATGAAAGAGTTCAAGTTCGACGATGAGGCCATGAAAGGGATGAATGGTAGCGGGCACTTGGAAGTGGCGCGGGGTTCGAGTTCTGGGTGGATAGATTTCGACGAAGCACTGGTAGTGTGAAGTGTTGTCGTCGTTGATGCTGGTGCCGGTAGCGGTGGTGTTGTTGTTGTTGTTGTTGTTGTTGTTGCTGGGGTTATTATTATTGGTGGCCATTGGTTTTTCTTGCTTGGATGTGTTTCTGAAGTTGTTATTGGTGCCGTTTGTTGAAGCGTGAGGGTGTGCTCGAGTGTGTTTCTATGTGAGAATGCTTATGAGAAGGGATGAGATCGATGTTTTGTAAGTGATATGTGGATAAAAAGATGTTGAAAATAGGCGGCAAGCCGAGGGAGGGGGTTATGAACGCGTTTTATGGATCTGTCAAAGAAATCCCTCATAAAGAGGAGAGGATAAAAGACATGATGACAGAAGCGGTCAGGTTGTGGTATGTGGATTGTCATGACGATATATGTATGGTGCGACTGATTTCGTAGAACCGTGGTTCTTTCGCTTCGCGTCATGGGAGGATGACACACAGGGAAAGAAGAATGAGACACTACGCGTGTGTGCAGACCAACAAAGAAAAAAAGAAATACATAATGTTTTCTTAGACAATGGAATCGAGAACGATTTGATATGAAAGCTTTTGGTCTTTGGTGAATTACAGTGGCGAATGTCCTTTCATGACAATGGTATGAGAATTGAAAGAACGGGGGTTGGTGAAAAGAGAGGTGGAAACCCCCTTGGCGCGAAAATGAAAAGAGATGAAGCCTTTGATGGTAAGAGGATGACGGATGTCATGAGAGCACGAAAGGGGTTAGATTTTTATTATTTTTCGTATGGTCCAAGGTGGTGAAGGGAAAAGCTGTGGACAGATGAGAGGGAGTTGTGTTGTCGGGCTGCTCCACTGCGTATTCGCTTGCTCCACTGCGGCTCCATGCCTTTTGCCGCCAAATCTTTTTAGTGCACCTTGCATTGTGGCCATGAAAGACACCATCCGTGCGGTGTCATTTGGAAGAAGAAACGCCACGCGGAGAACCCCAGATATTACTTTTCTTTGTGGACCACGATAATAGGCGTCCAATTTTCACGAGGGTCTTCATTGTCTATCGGATTAGGAAACTAGTCCCCAAGAGAACTCGATCTTTTGACCCCACAATTCTCAGTTGGACCCTAAACAAAGTCTAACGGCTTACTTCGCCTTCCTTTGAATTCATAGTTGCATGATAAAGTCTATCTCATATCCAGCTTGCTCGATCTCAAGATGTCCATGCGCCACGAAATCAGGTGACACACTTCATTTGGTGGCACATTGTCGTTCAAAACAAACAGAAAGACGCGTCCAAACAAAGACGCGATCAAGTCGAGAAGAAAAAAAGTTGCATCACGGAAGTCTTTGGGGAGGTTGGGTTTATTACATGGGGTACGGGAAAAAAAGTGATGTACAAAGTATGAGTTGATGTTGTTTCATGGAAGGTCATGGATTAGATTGGAAAAGGAGAAAAGTAGGTCCGGACAGTTCCATCGAACAGAAATGAAAAGTAATTGAGCAAACAAAAAGTAAACAAAAAGACTAAAAACAAGTACGCGACGACGCGTCTTGGATGGCTGAAAGATGGAAAAAGTGTTTTCGATTCCGATTCAAAAACGAAAACAAAAACAAAAAAAACGCGTCGACAAAAAGACTCCTAAAGAATTTTCGTTGTATTTGGGTCTTGGGAAGCAAAAGAAAAAAACTGCGCTAAGTGTCGTTTGAGGTCGAAGGGGGCAAGGTGGGTCGACCCTGTGTGTGTATATGTCCTTTGTCCCGTGGTTTTCCGTCACGTCTCAGTTCCCATTATCGTCCGTCGCAAGTGCTGATGTGTTGTTATTTTTAGGCTGTGTTTTTTGTCGCTTTGTTGTTGGTCGAGTCGCTGTCGAGTTCAATTTCAAGTCGGAGAAGCGTCCGTCCCATTAAAAAGGCGTTCAAAGACACACCTTACTTGGAGGAGGTGTACTTGGTGACAGCCTTGGTGCCCTCAGAGACGGCGTGCTTGGCGAGCTCACCGGGGAGGATCAAGCGGACAGCGGTCTGGATCTCGCGGGAGGAGATAGTCGAGCGCTTGTTGTAGGCAGCGAGCTTGGAGGCCTCACCGGCGATGCGCTCAAAGATATCGTTGACGAACGAGTTGAGGATAGACATGGCCTTGTTAGAGATTCCGGTGTCGGGGTGGACCTGCTTGAGGACCTTGTAGATGTAAGAAGAGTAGGTCTCGGAGCGGGACTTCTTGCGACCCTTGGCGCCATCAGCCTTGGGCTTGCGCTCCTTCTTCTCGGCGGTCGACTTTGCGGGGGCCTTGCCGGCAGTGGCGGGGGCCTTCTCTGCGGTCTTGGGGGGGGCCATTTCGATTGGAGTTGTGTGTGGAAAGGGGAAGAGGGTTGATTGGGGTGAAGAAGAAGGAAGAGATGAAAGGAAAACAGAACGAAGGGCGATGGAGAGAAGTAAGGTGAGAGGCGAAAAGAGGCGAAATGCTTTCGTCACCGACAACGTGATCAATCGTATGTCTTAAACATTTCTTTCTCTCCTTCCCGCATCCACAATTCACTGCCTACCAGAGGACCTGTGTTTTGGTGTTGATCTGATTCCCGAAGCCTCCTTCAAAGCCCACGGTCCAATCGTCCCTTTTCGTTTTTTTGCTCCGTCTGTCTCTCTTCACATTTCCACTTTTCATACCATGGCCGCCTACATCCGCACATTGGCTCGCATTGCCACCCGCGTCTCAACGCCATCGACCGTGACCTTCGCTCGCCAGGGTACATAACTCTCTACTATGTAGTACGAATCAGGATTCAACAAGGAGGAGAAAAGAGTTGCCACCAAATAAACATATGGTGCAATAAGCCGCTTCACAGGAGCAAGGACACACCCAACCAACAACTGCCCCGTCAAACTAGGATTGTGCAGGGAGCATCAGAAGACAGCGGGACCGAAAAGTAAGCAGAGAACCTAACATCTTACGTTGTTGCTGTTTCAACCTCAAATAGCCCCTGCCGCCATGGTCGCCCGTCACTACTACGCCTTCCGTCCCACACAGATCGGTAAGGAACCACTGTCAAATCCAGGACTGTACTTGTTTTCAATCGGGACAACCAAGGAAGATAATACAAGGCGCACCAGAGACTAACGATCTGATCAATTGTCGGAAATAGCCTCAAAGAAGAAGCACGCGGCTATCATGGATGAGGACGACGAGGAGCTCGAGGCCGAGTTGCGGGAACTGGAAAGAGAGAAGCGCGAGCAGGAGGCTTTGGAACGTGGCGAGACTCTCGACGGCTCTGTTGCCGATGGCGCCGAGGATGACAACAACAACCGATTCCAGGAACAATACGATATCCTCCTCGAGAAGACCGCCCCCTCATCCCCCCAGCACGAATTGCCCCGTCACTCTGCTCTCTTGCACTTGACCAACACCGTCTCGACCCAAGAGCAGGCACAGTCGATCCCTCAGTTGGTCCAGCAGTGGCGTCGTCGGGAACTTCCTATCTCTGTCTTGCTCTCGGACAAGCTGATCAAGGCTGTCTGCAAGGCTGGATCCCCCGAGACTGCTTTGGTGTTGTTGGGTGATCGCGAGACTTATGCCTTGGCCCCTGGTCAAGGTACCATGCGTCGTGTTGTTCGTTCGTTCGTCAAGGAGGTTGCTGCTGCTCCCGAGAGCTCAGTGTCTGAGGAGGGTCTGGAGAAGCTGGATGGTGCCTTCAAGGTTATGGCCTTGATTCCATACTACAACTTGGCTGCTGATGACTCGTCCGTCTATGCCAACTTGGTCCGTGGATCATTAATCTACGGAAGTGAGGAGGGTCTTAGGAGGGCTAGCGTGACCATGGATGAGTACCTGTTGATTGATGGAGAGAGGGAGACCCCCTTGACTCGCAGGAGGGCTGCTGAGGTCGTTGCTGCTGCTGAGCAGTTGGTCAAGGCCTATGAGGCCAAGGGTGATGCTGACAAGGCTAGCGAGTTGAACAAGCATGTCGCCCAGTGGAAGAAGAGCATTTAAGTTATGCTATGCTTGTCTGTCATCGCCTACCTACCTACCCGCACCTCATCTTCACCCTTACCATATGTTAGAACCCGTCATTTTTTCCATCCGTATCATAGATTATTCAGTATTAAAACACATTGCACAGTCAAAACAATGCATCCAGCATGATCGTAGAAGCAAGGTTCATCCGAGTAGTCTTTTAGGCCTTTCCGTGAGTCGGGTCCGACTAGACCCATTTATGACACTTTAGTAGCTTACGTGTAACCGTGCGTTGACACCTTTTTGAGCCTTGACCCCTGTCTGTTCACTCCTACCTTTTGTTGACGATAGAGAGAAAAATGATCACTGGTCATCGTGCCACTTTTATGTCTCGTGGGGTTGTTCATTGTAGCAAAAGGTGGGGGGAAGGCAAAAGAGAGAAAAGGGAAAACGAAATGGCCGTTCGTCCCAGAACTTACACGAGTGGAAGAGAAAAAAAGATGGATGAGAGCAGAAAGATGTCTTTATTTACAGGTTTTTGTTTGTCGCGGTGTGAATGAAAAAACAGCAACGAGTCGGGAATACAAAAGAAGGATATTATGGTTGAGTTGTCTGGGGTCTTTGTTGTGGTAAAGTATGGGGTAAGAAGAAGAAAAAGCAGGAGGGGAGGACGAAGAAGTACTTCCTCCCTCCCTCTACCCCTTTTTTCCCTTTAACAAACGGAACTTAGCGCCGGATAGTCGCCAGGTGGACGGCACCAATGACATCAGAGGGCGCACTGACAACAATGTCCTCCAGGTCAACATCCTGAGCAGCTTCATCCCTCTTCTTAGTCTCCTCTGCAACTTCCTGTGCATGCTCATCCGCCTCATCGCGCTCCATAAAGACCTCCTTGACCATATCCAGATAGTTCTTGGTCGGAGGCTGCGACCACTTCTTCTCCAACGCCGTCGCCATATCGCCCAAGTTCACCCCATTCTTCGCATACATCCTGTAAAGCGGCTCCAACTCTGCGTCATATTTCGACTGCTCAGGTCGAATCTCCAACCTGTAGACTTCCAGTGTAGGATCAGACCGGTAAAAGGATTGGTAGTACTGAACCCAGGTGAGGTCAGGGTTTGGGTATGGGGTGAGGTCGAAAACGAGGTCGACTTTTGGGGACAAGGGGTCGGATGCGGGGCGGTCGTAGAAGAGGACGGCTTGGACGGTTTTGGAAGGACCGACGGTCTTGAACCATTCGAGGATTTCTGCCTTGGTTCCAATGAAGACGAAGGTGGAGGTGTGGCCGAGGGAGAGGGAGATCTTGTTGCCGAGCATTGGAGGGGTGATGATCCTCTTGTCGCCTGGGACATCGCCTATTAGTGCAAAAGGAGGTTGGTGAGTGCGAAAAAAGAAAAAGAAAAAAGAAAGAGAGAGAAAGGTGTTCTGTAGGAGGAAGGTTGTTCACCCAGGGAATGAGGTGTAATAATACTTACTCATTGCGTAGCCGTACTTGAAGTGTGACATGCTGAATGTGTATGTGTTTGTTGTGTGGAAGAGGGAGTTGAATGAGAGTTGTTGTAAGTTGTAAGGAATGAAGGAAGAAAGTGAGTTCGAAGAAAAGAAAAAGAGAAAGGGAAAAGAAGAGAAGGCCTGTTTTGTATCAGCACAAAACGTGTTTTTGAGTTTAGAGAGAGGGAGATGAGTGGAGAAGGAAAAGTGAAGGAAATGCCTCTTTTTTAAAAGTGTGAACAGGAGAGACAAACCTCGGGATACTGCAAGCAGAAGAACAACGACGATAGTCATCATCCTCATGATTCAGAGAGCAGACAAAGACATACATGACTTGATCTTCTCTTCAATTGGCCGTAGCAGAGTCCATCCTCTCCCTCTTACTTTCTTTCTTCTTCTTTTTCTTCATCTTTCATGCAGTAACAAGCGCATCCTACAGATGCGCTTAGTTACCTTCGATCCCAACTATTCAAGACCCGCCGACAAGTACACTCACACACATGCCTCAAGACGCAACTTCTGGATTGTCAATGGATCGCCTCGCTGGTGAAAAATGAGGCAGGGAAAGGGTCAAGGAACCGATCCATCTTCGAATATATTTTGCGTTCACTCGTCTTGCTGTGAAAGTTCCAGCAGACCTCTGACTGAGCCCACTACTGAGAACCGACAACAAAAACGTGGTTGTACGGTACTTTCAGGGTCCATTGTTTGTAGAGCATAAGGAGCGAGTTGGCGCGTTGTGCATACTGGCAGGTCTAAGGCTGTTTTCTCTGGAACTACTACTTATTCTTGCGATTTGCTATGAGTCTCGCTGTTTATCCTCTTTTGCTTAGCGAGCACAGGGAGGCAAGCTTCAATGCAATTGCGTTGACCATCCACTTTATTTCGTGCTACTTTTTCTTTGAGCGTGAATGAATGCATAAACAATTGAATATTTTTCAGATACACGCCAGCAGGGATGAGAAGTAAGGATAAGTGAAGACCTTGCACTTTTAACAAAGAGAGTTCTTCCACCGATCCCAAAGTGCATGATCTCACTCATTTCTTTTTGCTGACTCCCTTAGTGTGGTGGTCTGAGGTGTATGTAGCACAATAGATGTAAAAAGGAAAACGACCGTGAACTCTGACACTTTCGACGCTGCTTGGATATCAAGAAAGAAAGGTGCTTTTATGTTAATACTACGCTATGTCAAATGCTCCCATCAATACTGCTAAGAATAAGAACAGCATTGTGCATACCTGCTCGGATATCAAGAGAGAAAGGTGCTGTGCTTGCTGACCTCGAGCAGGCTTCTTCTATACTTCTATACTACTGGCTTAAGGGGGTTTCAAGCCACCAACAATTTCTATTTCAGCACACTCCCGGATTCGAAGATGGAAATTCTTTATGGGTTGGATGCAGTTTTGGTGGTGAATCTCTTGTTTCAGCACACTCCCATAGGAATAGGATGTGGATTCGAGGGTAGGGATTTCTTATGGGTTGGATGCAGTTCTGGTGGTGAATGGGTAGCGAAGAGCAGTGCGGGGGGGGGAGTAATGGATAACCTGGATGTGATCGCGTTGTGTATCTCTTTCGTTCAATTTGACGGTTTCGGTGCACAAACAACGCGCGCCGATGACGAAAGGAAAAATTGCGCCCATGAGGAAATACAGCGGCACGCACAATAGCTGAGTCTATAATGTTCACTTCTTTGGGATTTCCTTTGAAGGCAGGTTGGTCGCTCGCTTCTTTTTGTGGACATTTCATGTGTAAGATGTGGGTATAGCATGGTGTGCCTCCTCTCTTTTAATGTACGTTCAGCAACAGTGCGGCTTGATGTGCAGAACGCTTTCATTGAAATGCTAAAAAAAAATGGATGCGCATGTTTGGATCAAACATTAGGCAGGCGATGGGACTTTCTGTAGAAGTACCTTACCTTCTCTCATCTTTACGCTTGCTCTGAACCTTGACTCGTTCTTTACAGAGAGCAGAGGGGGATCGATGAACGACATCTTTTCTTTTTCCCATGTTTCTGGTTCGAGCGATAACTAAATGTCACGAAGCTCAGGTGGATCAGCTTGCTGGAAGTCGAGCTTTCACTCATTTCATTGTGTGATGTTTCGGCTAACCGACATTGACAGTTTAACGCTATTTTTTTTCTGAGGACCCTGAGTCGTATTGCTAGTAGAGAGCAATAGTCCTCCTCACCTGCCCTTGTTTGCTCAAGTGATACATGTAAAGACGCATATGTCTTTTGGACATCCATTTTCTCTGGTATGTTATTCTTGTTATTAGATGGCAACGTACGATCGGTGAGGCAGCTCATCCTTAATAATACGCCGTCATTTCTCTTTTCTTAACTATTTTCTTTATGAGCCTTTATCCGATTGTTAACATCTGGGATATGAATGCTCCATCTTGATTATATTTTTTGGAATATGAATCAGGTCTCTCTTGTGTAGTCTGTTTATTGTGTGTGTTTCTTTCTTGTTTAGCATGGGTTCAGTGAGAGAGAGGGTGTATTGTTTTTGTGGTTGTGAAGGATATAGGTGCTGGGAGAGAGAAAGAGGTTCTGAATTGATCGACAAAACTTGTGGAGATTTATGTAGTCTTGCTGGGAAGTAATATAGCAAGCTCTCCTGCTCACCATTGGGGCTTGGCACCAATGATCTTTCCGTGGACAGGCAGTTTAGTGGCGTTGGTTATTCTTTTGTTTTGATCAGACTGACATGTAAGAGTGGCGGGGGTCGCGTTGTGTTATGGAGAGGACCATTTCTCGCAAGAACGAACTGCTGTGCATTGAATGGTGTAAGAGTGGCGGGGGTCGCGTTGTGTTATGGAGAGGACCATTTCTCGCAAGAACGAACTGCTGTGCATTGAATGGTGTATGCGTCCTTGGGGGCTTGGGGGAAAGGGGTCCATGGATAGTTGTATTCCGAATTGGTGTAGACAAGGGGAAAGCTTTGGATAGCGCTGAATGATAACCATTTCCGAAGGCAATTGTTCCGATCGTTTGAACGAGAGGGAAGGAACGCTCGATAGGCGGGTGGTCACTGTTGGACTTGTCTGTGAGTAGTGTTTGGGCAAGAGGGGGGATTGAGCTAAGGATGTGCGCTCTTTCGTACAAGGTGTGTCTGTGGGTAACATCAAGGCGATCCCTCCTTCCTCCTTCCTCCTTTTCTTTTCGAGGTGAATATTTTTCCCTCGGTCAATTTCTGATTCCAATTCCAACACGGCCCTGGTCGTCAGTTCTTGGATGTTGTTGCCGTGCCCCTACAATAATGCCTGCCCTCTGTCCCTTTGTCACAATCCTCCCCTTTGACTGTCGATCGATATCCCATGATATGAATGGAGTGGGATACTCCTCTCATTCGCTCACCTCATTTTATCACCGGAGGGCGCCAACTTTTCCTCATCACCCAAAGTGGTTCGATATGATCGCATGCATTGTGTGCAACCACTACATACAACATACACATCCTCGGGGCACTTGGTCATTTCTCTCCCTCCCTTCACGCCTTTGCCCACTGCCAATGCCGTCGACTCTTACGCCTTCTCTCTTTCTTCCTTCTTTCTTTACCTACCCCTCATACGACACTCCTTTTGTTTTGCTTTTTGTTTAGTTTCCTCTGCTCTTCTTTGCCCATTGTTCATTCGTCCACACTCTCATGCATCGGTGACATGGCCCCCCTCCACTCGTCCTCTCTCTGATTCACATTCACACCCCTGTCTTTTCCTTCTTCTTGTCACACATCCACCTTCCATTGTCTCTCTCATTCCACTTCATTCCACACACTCTACCTGACACGACAACAGCATCAGCCTAGGGGTGCCACTATTTTTCTGTTGGCTCTCTGTTCCTAGCAAACGCGCCTTTTTTCGTCTTACAGCCAGGAACCTTATTGGCGACAACGCTCTCTCTCTTTACTACACCTAATATTGACAGTCAGAAACAGAACACACATAGCATCCACTACGACAGACTACCCTCCTCCTGACCCTCACTCCTCCTTCCCCCAACCAACCTCCTTCCTCACTCCCACCGCCGTCATCCTCTATCCCATATATACGACCGCCCAATCATGACGGTAACGGGGAGATCATGGCTCGACTTTGTGATCGGATTCGTGGTCTCACTGATCGCATCCATCATGAACGCCGCAGGACTCAACTTACTCAAACTCGACCATGTCCGCAATAGTGCGCGAACACAGGAACGACAACGACATGAGTGCGGGAGACCCATGTGGCATGTGGGACTTTATCTCTATGTTGGCAGTCAACTCGCTGGAAGTACTATCGCCCTCAGTAAGTGAACTCTCTCGCTCTTTGTTGATGATGATACATGAGTGATTGGTAGCTGAAAACCATACAGCATGGATCTTGCCGGCTTTGCTTTTGTGTATATGCGTGTGTCCCTGTGTCCCTGTGTCTATCGTGCAAGGCGAAAGGGGAGGGAGGAGAGCTATTAGCATCCTTAGCAGCATGGCCGATATGCGGAATTAAAGAAATGTATGAGCGAGAGAGGGAAGACGAGAGAGGGAGGGCAAGGGGTTTGTTCTAGGAAGGCGTGAATGAATAGATGCGTGTGAACAGTATTCTTTCTTTCCCTTTTGGAGCACACACCAGCAGACCAAAAGGAAAACAAGAAAACAAGTGAGGAGACAGGGTTCGTTGAGAGCGCTTTCTCTTAATTGCAGCGGGGAGATCAAGAGGGCGCATGTACATGCTGGATAGCATTGAGAGAAGGGGATGATCCCCCGGAATGCATGGTTGCTTGTTCTTCATGGCGTTCCCTTCCTCCTGTAGTTGTTTGTCTATTAAGGACGACATTACGCGCATTCTTTTGGCAGGCTTGTCTGTTTTTCATTCTCCATTTCAATGAAAAAAAAACCTATTCTCGACCTTGTCATCGATAGGGTTGTGGAGACACGGACCACCCACGCACATGCCTCTGCCCATCATCCTCACTCATGAGACAAGTTGGTTTGTCTCGACTCACCCAGGAATAGACAACCCACATTCGTTCCGTTGTTTGTTCCACACTTCTCTCTCTCTCTTCATCATGTTCAATTGTTGGAATAACGAGGGATCATCGTTCGTGGTCCCGACGTGAGGACGAATCGTAACACATCCAATCCACACCCCCATCCGCCACTCATAACGAAATCAGACCACCACCATCACCAAAGCGGAATGTGCACGTGGAGAAATGATCATTTACCTGAGAATGACATGACGCATTGGATTTTACTACTACGAAAGAGGGAGTACGAATACCGAATGCTAAAAGGCAACAAGGTGCAAACGAGGAAAGAACGAGCGGGAAGGGGGAGAGTGGCCAGGAGGGATTAGGGGAGCGCATGCGAAAAGGAAATTTATGCAAAAAAAAAATTATGTCAACTGCCTTTCTAAGATACGCCCAACGACTGCATGAAAGGGAGAGACAGAGAAAGGAGGCATCAAGGGCGGGGGGACGGATTAACAGACGAACAGCACCCAATGAGTACATAGACCACACCGAAACATACATACTAACGCGTCGAGTACAAGGTGTACTGGACTCAACGCATTTACACGACTAACACCTCCCTTCCTCTTTCCTTGTCCCACCCTCCAAAGATTTTCTAAAGACGCAATGGGTGGCACCGCTAGGGTCCATTGCGCTAATCTTTAACTTTGTGTTTGCCAAGATCCTAGTTGGAACACAGATTACCAAGATGGATGTCTATGGGACCATCGTCGTCATGTTCTCTGTCGTCTGGATCGTCGTCTTTGGCGGCATGAACTCTGCAGGCGCTGACATTGAGGACTCCTTGACCATCTCCGAGCTCAAGGACCTCTTCTCCAGACTGATTTTTATCTTTTACTTTTCCATCTTCAACATCGTCATCGCAGCCTTGTTGTCGTTGGGTCTGTATGCTTACTGGGCGATCACACTCGATGACGAGTCGGGCCAGATGCGGAAACGGATGAAGACAAAGTTGACGCAGTTGTTGGGTACTAACCGGTTTGCGAGAGCGTCGGGGCTCACACTTGTGGGCGACCCTGGGCAGGATGCCGATGTGAAGGATGTGAGGCTGAAGAAGGTTGTGGCCATGATCATGTCGACCTGTGGTGGTCTCATTGCCAGTCAGACCTTGCTCCTCGCCAAGAGTGGCGTCAAGTTGGTGACCTCTTCGTTCTCTGGCCAGAACCAGTTCAAGGATTCTCTCAGCTATTTTATCCTCTTTGTCCTCGTCCTCACCGCCGTCCTCCAGGTTAGTTTTTCGTTCTGCGCAGGTTGCAACCCTAGTCTCTATTGTAAAAACGCCAGTGCCTGACGTCTCACATCATTTCTATACATCTTGACTTTGATAGGTGTACTGCTTGAACACGGCGCTGAAGCTGTACGACTCGGTGCTCGTAGTTCCCATGTTCTACGGGTTCTACACGGCGTTCGGACTCATCAACTCGATCATCTACCTGAACCAGCTCCAAAACTACAAACCCTGGGTCTTGTTCCTCATCCTCGTTGGCATCGGTGCCCTCATCTACGGAGTCCGTATGCTCAGCACCCCAAAGCCTGAATCTGCCAATGACAGCGAGCAGTCAGATGATCAGGATGAAGAGGGTCGTGCTGTAGGACGACGTGGGTCACAGGAGAACGATGCTGATGTTCATGGACATGAAATGGGACATCGTCGCAAATCGGGAGGTTCAGGATCTGTCGCTGGAGCTGGAGCTGGAGCTAGAGAGCATGGCGGTGATACTGGAGGGAATGGCGGATCGAATGAAAAGTTTCCGGACAACCCTAATCGACGTGGCTCTTTGATGAGGAAGCAGAGGGACTCGGAGGGCAAGAGTTACACGGATGCTCAGGATGGGGAAGAGTATGAAGGAGTGGATGAGTTGCCGTCGATATTGACTGGCAACAACCGTCGTAGGAGAGGTGGGCCTGATGTGCTGGCTGATAACATTGGGACAACTACGACCCGACGCGGTACAGGAATCGACAGCGTGTCGAGCTATTCCAGCGATCCTTTCAGGACCCCTCATGATGGACGGTCGATGGCAGATTTGGATGTTGCAGCTGCAGCGGCCGCGGCCGCGCTCACAGCAGGAGTCATGGCAGGAGCACGAGCAGCAGCAATGGCTAATGCAGCAGTGGCAGCTGGAAATGGCGACCCCGAGAATCAACTACCACCAATGGCCCCAGCATATGCGCATCTCGACAAGCGGCTCGGTAATATTGATCGCGGACGTACAGGTCGGAGTTCCATTGATGAAAGGCGACGACCCTCATTACCAATGATCAATACTGGATCTGCACTTGTCGCACGAGGACGGTCTGAGACTCGACGTGGTCCTGCTTCTGCGCGACTTACTACTCAGCCAAGACCCATGTCCCCGAGCGAGTTCCGAGCACAGTATACCAATTCACCCTTCCCTGCCAAGCCCAAGCATCTCCAAGACGGTGCTCCTGGATTGGGCGGATCGATGCCATCGTCTCCTTCAGCTGCTGTTCCAGTGGGTGGTGATGGTGGTCGGCCTTCGTCTCCGCGTTGGGCGACTGTCATTGAGGATTTGAAGAACCCGTTCAAGGCATTCAGGCGTAGTTCTGTCGACAGTAGTATGCCGCGACCCGAGTCGGCACATCGACGAGTGCCATCGTTAGGAGGAGCAGGGCCAGGATCAGAGGCGTGGAGGCAACACCGTGGGCGACAGGGGTCCTGGACTGGGCTACCGTCAGAGTGGGAAGAGCCCAAGCGGAAGGTGATGCATTCGATGTTGTTTGGTGAGAATGGGCGGCCGAGTTCTGTGGGCTCCCGGGCATCCTCAAGGGACTCTTCGCCGGCACCGCGGGATCGTCTGTACTACTCACCGGTGCATTCGCGGAGGCAGTCGACGGCTGAGATGGGTAGTGGGATATGGGCTGCTGGTAGCGGTGGTGGTCATCACAGGGCTGGAGGACCACTCGACGCGATGCCTTCAAGTGGAGATGGCAGTCCTGGTGAGCCGCAGAGTTATCAGAACCATTATTTCACAGGAACACCACCACCGCTCTCCGCAACTGTTGGAGGAGGGCCAGGAGGTTGTTCACAGGCCAGTATCCCCAACACATCAACAACATCATCACATGGACATGGACACCATGGGCGGCAACTTTCGTTTACGACCAAGAGCGAGCATGGCATTCCGTTGACACTTACTGGCTCTGGACTTGATCTAGGGTCGATGAATGGGTTGTTACTCTCCAAAAGTGCCCTTGGTTCGTCGTCGACGGACACCTTTGGTGGAAATCATTCTAGTGGTGACGGCGGAGGACATTCGGCATCGAGTGGTAGCGGAGGTGGATCTACTTCTGGGTCAGGGTCGAGACTGAGTGCCAGTGCGCAGCAACAACTCCAACACCTCCAACAACACCAACACCACCCAACTTCACAACTCCAACACTCCATGACGAACAGCAGTATCAGCACCATCGGGTCTGGAATGATCCCATCTTCCTTCTCGACGTCCACATCCTTGGTCCAACTGTCCGCTGCGGATGCTGATGCGACACAGACAAGGGACGGGGTTGAACCCATGGGAGTTGGGATGCCAGATTCGTATGCGAGCTCGAACTCTGTGGCGGGTTTGCTTTGGAAGGGGATGACGCCTTCTCAGTCGATGCAAGCGGTGGAGTTGGATATGGAGACGCTCGATCGCGAAGCGGAGGAGTGGATTAAGGATACGTCTTGTCCGATGTCGACGACTACGAGTATCGCTATCTCTCCTGTCTCTAGGCAGGAGTAGGGCTCTTTTTTCTCTTCCATCAATTCTTCATCTTCACTCCTTCCATTCATCTTTCTCTACCTCCTCCCCCCTGAGATCCTTCGAACATACATACACCACTCCCTTAGAAATACCCCTCTCAAAAATACCGCTGCTTAACACAGCACGAATAATAAAAAACACAAACACGATTGTACATAATGCACCTTTATTTTTTTTAAAAAAAAAAAGAATGATACAGATCCTGCCTTTTCTTTTTGATGAGACGTGTTTTGTTTATTCTACGGAAAAATATATATATTTGTGGCTAGTTATGTGTTATGGACTGCAAGATATTGATGGAGCAACCTAGGATGCCGTTAAAGATGTTGAGATATTACGCGTCGAGTGCGCCGTGGATGAGGAGGAGGGGAACGGTGGTGCTTGACAACACATCTTCGTCCTCGTTGTGGCCGCTCTTGTCGTCGTCGTCGTTGTCGTCGTATATGTTTTGAGCGGTGAACGTGATGCTTTGGTCGTCGTTCAGGTCATGGATATGTTCGTGGTCGTGATTGTCGAGATCGCAGTCAGGGGAGAGCGATAAAGGCGACAAAGAAGGAGGAGAGGAAGACGAAGAAAAGTACATCCGCTTCTGCTCGAGGTAATGCTCCCTCAGATGCTTCCTCAGGAGCTCAAAATCAGCATAGCGGTCGTCCCAGGATACGCGGTTGTCGCCGATGATGATGGTGCTCTTCCAGACGTCTTGTTGGCTTGCAGCGGGGGCGGTAAAGTCCGTAGCGGTCGGTACGGTGGAGGAGGGTTGCGTCTCCATGTCCTTGACGATTGTATAGGGGACGAGACTTGCGCCAATGGTAGTAGCAGTGACAATGCCACCTCCAACGTAGATTTCGTCAGGAGTCTTATGCAGCGCAGCATCCATATCTGGATCCGCATGCTTATGACTCGACGACGCCTGTCTCTGTCTCTCTCTCTGTCTCTGTCTACATTTCTGTGTCCGATTATGTCCATGCAAACGCCTGTCCACCGCTCCTGTTAGGGCGATGGGGCACAGCAAACAACTCGTGAGGGCGTAATGATTCCAACCATTATAAAATGCCCTATTCCTCGTTGTCAAGAACTCCATGTCTCGGGCCTTCCATTTGGACTCGATGTTACGAATGACCTGGTCAGGGGTTAGGAAGGACTCTGTGGTGTAGGAGTTGTAGACGGAGATTGTGTAGGTGTTGTCCGAATCCATGTCTGTTGAGATGACGTGCATGTGCACCTGTGTCATGCTGGGGAGGGCGTGGAAGCCCATCTTGAATCGGAGGTAAGGCGATCTCTTGGACTCTCTATAGTATCAAAGTAGCAAATGAGTTAGGGTTCGATCATATCGCGTCGTCAAATACTAATCGCTTTTTTTGTGTGTTCGACAATGAGTTTCAAAATTACCTGGCGATGATGATCTCGGCGCGTTCGACGAGCTGCTTGACGATCATGACCCCTTCGTCACAGATCAAATCATCGAAGGTAGGGCAAACTCGAGTGGGCATGACAAGCACATGGAAATGGGCCTTGGGGAACTTGTCCTTCAAGACCATGGTCTTGGCATCAATCCAATGGTTCTCGTTCGAGTCATCGAATCCGTCCTTGATCAAGTCTTCAATCGATGAACCAGATCCGTTGTCAAGGTCATGAATGCTGCCGCCATCGTATCGGTCTGAGAGAGGCACGGGGACAGGATCGACTTCACGGACATAGTTAAGAAAGATGTTAACGTCGCGAACATATTCTTTGTTCTTGCTGTATTTGGTATTGTTGTGGTAGTGTTTTTTGTTGTTGTTGTTGTTGTTGTTGTTATCGGTGGAGTACTGTCCCTGACTACGTCGTCTACTGCCAAAAGACCGTGGGCGCGAGAAGCTGCTGCTGCTGTTGGAGTTGTCACTACCACAACTACCCCAGCTGCTTGCGCTGGTGGTGCTCATCACCTCGTCGTCGTCGTTCTTGTCCTCGTTATTCTCGTTGGAGAGGTGTGAGGCCACAGGCAGTAAGGGTGCTGAGTTGTTGGTGTTGGTGTTGGTGACAGGTTGTTGGGGGGTGGAATAGTCGTCGCTGAGGGGTACACGGCTCCGGAGTCTTGAGTTTGGGTACAAGGTATGACCGGTTGCGGTAGAGGTAGGGCTGTGGATGGGGACGGGAGGTACTGCTCTGGGTGTCCAGGAGGATGAGTCCTTGTTGTTATTGTTGTCACTGAAACGATTGTTATTGTTACTGTTGAAATACCGCTGCTTGGGTCTGACGCCTGTAGTGTAACCGTTGCCTTCGTCCTGGCTGAAGTTCATAGGAGAAGGATCGTTGTTGGGTGGAGCCATGGTTGTTAATGAGTCGGAATGAGAGGATGTACTTGTGTTAATTCCGAATGAGAGTGAGTGTTTGTTGGTGGTGGTGCTTGAATGAGAGAGATGTTTATGTTGTTAATTCTTGAGAGGAATGAGTGTCGTTGGTTGTCTTTGTTGGTTGGTGTTGGTCTGAAAGGAATGAAAAATAAAGGAAAGGGCGAGGAGCGATGATTTTTATAGTTTTTGGATGGTGGCAACAACTTGAGAAGTTGGCGAAGGTCAATTGGGCGTATACACGAGAGTGGGTCACGGGAAGAGATGGGAATGAGGCGGTGCTCCTTTTTGGAGGGATAAGTATTAGTATAAGCATAAGCATAAGTATAAGCAAAAGCATAAGTATAAGCATAAGCATAAGCACAATGTAAACAAATGCTGGTGGGCGCATGACCATGTACAGCAAATTGAGGCGCACAAAATGGGTCTAATTTGCATCACTACTCACTATGGAACACTTCCAGGGGAACCGTCAACAACAAAGAAGGCAAGGAAGGGAAGTAGGGAGTAACTTCGCCATTGTTATTCCACCCAAGGCGGAAGCGGATGACTTTGATGAAGAGGTCTATTTATGCCCCTACACCTGCCCCATGGTCCATGGTGTTGTGGTATGGTATATGGTATGGGAAGAGAAGGGAAGGGAAGGGAGGTAAGCCTTCGCCCTGAATTGTTTGCATGACGGCTTCCTTTTCGATGTTAGTTCGTGTTTCCGATTGTCGACTTTCTATGGTTGTGTTCTATGACCTTCTTTTTCTGCTTATTGCGTTATTTCCTATGCATAGTTTTTTTTTGTTTCCTGTTGACTATGGGTGAGCTATGCGTAGCTGTTCATAAGACGCGCCTCTCTGTCTCCGTCCCTTTTCTTGCCAGCCAATTATTCTCCAGAGCAAAAGCAGGGTCGAGTTCACAGTCACAGACGAAATTCCCTTCTCCGAGCGCGTGACCTTCGCGCCTGGGTGAGTGAGCGATAAAAAAAATGGATTCTTGAAATCCCTCAGCACTGACAGCAGAGACATAGTAGGGACATGCTCTCGGAAGGTATATAAAGCATCGACCTATTCTTCTTTTTTGCTCTTTTCTCTCTTCAAACAACAACTCCCTTCCACCCAACCCAACCCAACCCAACAACAACCTATCAACCATGAACCCCTGCGGAAACAACGTTTGCACCTGTGGAGCCTCTTGCGGTAAGTAACTCTCCTCATTCTCTCATTTCACTCGAAAACGATCTTCCTTCTCTCATTCCCACGCAAAGAAGGAAAGACCTGATCTACTCAACTTTTTGTCATTTTACTCATCGTTGAACTGTCTTCATCCTTACTACCATTGTCATTGATAGGCTGCGGCTCCGGATGCCAGTGCGGTAAGAAGGCTGCCGAGGCCCAGTCGGCTGCTGCCTGCAACTGCAAGAGCGGCTCCGGCGAGAAGTGCACCTGCGCTGGCTCGTGCGGATGCGCTGCCAAGACTACCGGCTGCGGCTGCAACTCTGGGTAAGCACTTCTCCCTTTTTACTTTTTTCCATTCGCAACAGCTTCTTTCGATTGACATTGTTACCCAGACGGAGAGGATATTGGGCTGTGTTCACCTTGGTGACGAACGACAACCCTAAAGAAGACAGCGTTTGTGGTGACTCAGTGAAACAGAGTCAGGAGGAGAGAGGACGAGCATACCCAAGGACAGTAACAGGACGGGTCTGTCTCGCTACTTCGTCGGCGTTCTTTTTTGTCTCTTCCCTCACAGGACAGCCTTGGGCGCTCTTTATCAGAGGACAGCGGATTGACTACCAATAGATTGGAAACATGCCTGACCCCATAGCCATTTACCACAAAGGAAAAAAAAAGTGGATTTGGGACTGACTAGACCAGCATGACGCACAACCTCTGTGTGGGACAGCAACATTGCAAGGGAGTAGAGGGAGCAGGGAACAGAGAGAGACAGAGAGAGAGAGGGAGACTGAAAGAGACAATCGGAGATCGATTCTTTTCGTTCTCCATCTTACCATTCCCATCAGAAAACACACTCCCATGACCAGACCAATAACCTTTTCTATTCTATGCATCACATCCTTATCCAACAAACAACGACGCATTGCCTTTTTCTAACCTTTTACGCCGTTTTCCCTCTATTCTTCAAACTGTAGTTCCCAGTGCACCTGCGCCGCCGGTACTTGCGCCTGCAAGTAAACTGATGTAGATGTCTGGATCAAGAAAAGGCGGACATAACAAGCAAAGCAAGTGGTCCCCCTTCTCAACATCTTCCATCTCTATCGACCCGCGATGTACATAACAAAAACAACACCAATCGTCGGACATGGCCTTTTTATGCTTTGATCCTTCTTTCAAGAGCTGAATCCCCCTTTTTATTTTACTTTTCGTCGAGAACAAAATAAAAACAAACATCACCAACACACAACAGCGGAACGAAGAGAACAGTGCATGAACAAGAGAGAGATCGAGTTTGGTCCGTTGTAAAGATGCTTTGTATCTCGCTTTTCCGACGTGTGATCATCTGTAAGTGCTACATAAGCATAGCTACATACACCAAAGTGAGATGGAGATGGGGAAGTGGAGTTGTTTGTCACTTTCTTCTGTGTCTGTTTTTCGTCAGTTGACACCATCTGTACTCATTTTTGTTTTCTGTTGTTGTTTGTTCGCGTCATTGTTGTGGAAGTACTGTAGTAAGATTATTTTTTTCTCCCTCTTTCTCTCTTCTATCTTCCCTCTCAGTCGTCCCCTTCCGCTTGTGGGAAGGATGGACACCATCCTTGGGTGTTTATTCACATTCATTCTGCAGGTTCAATGTCACCAAGAAGGGTTTCCAACACTTGCTCTTTCTTCACATGCTTTGCTTAGACTTTCCAGAGGCGACCCTTGCGCGTCTATACTTCTATCGTTGATAATAAGTACAAGTGTATGCGTGTGTGGTTTTTGATGTGTTGTTATCGTTGCTTCAGCCTGTGCCAGGACCCTTCCTCCATTCACAGACACGCTGCATGTTTGTTGGTTTTGTGCGTGAGGGCGACTCTCAAGAGTGGGCAAGGGTCTGGTTCCACAGCATGAGACGAGAAGAAAAGTGCATGTTTTGGACACGCACACCCTTCTTGTGAGTGGAAAAACGTAGTGGAAGAGCGAGGGGAGGCATCCATTACAAGATGATATTGTCGTCAGAGTGTATTCTTGGTTATTTATCACTGAGAAGTGATAATTCACACATTCACACACCCATTGCACACACACACGTTGTTATCAGATTCTGGAAGAGAAAAGGGGCTACCTTGGTACGATTCTCCGTCGGTCAATTATGGATTGAGTGGCTTAGTAAATGGTCAATTATGAAAAGGGGCAATGTCCAATTTCTGTTTGAGATCAACTTTGCTTTCGCCATCAACAACCGACAACTCTGGCATTACCTACCTCTCTTTTCTCTCCTTCTTCACTCTCCAGCACACATCACACTGTAGTCGGTTCAAGTCTCGCACTAATACACCATGCCAAAGTACTACTGCGGTAAGTACACTCCCTTTCGTCTCTTGTGCTCATCGTCATTGCTATGTTTTTGTTTGCCTTCATCGTTCGATCGCTGTTGTTTGTTTGTTTCTTCGTCGTCTTAGCATTGAACAAGGGAATGCCGAACAGGACAAGGGCAACCATGAAAGCGAGCACAGACTGACCGGTTACTTTCTTTTTTTCGTTGACTTGTACTAGACTACTGCGATATCTTCCTGACACACGACAGTTCATCAGTCAGGAAAGCTCACAATGCAGGACGAAACCATCTGATCAACGTCCGGACATACTACAATGGTATGCTTAGCACACACGGACATCGACTACAGTCCTTTAAAGACAGGATACGCACACGAGCCATTTTATTGCAGTTGCGGCAGGCATGCTTACGATTGTTACGTCTATGTCAACAAGGTTTCTAACCAAAACAATCATTGTCTCTTTATACTATTCTCATAGAACTGAGCCAGCAAACGACGCAGGAGGTCGTCAATACTATTACAAAGGCGTACGCGGATTCAGGAGCAGGTGCGTACAGGAGGATGCTACGAACTGGATCGACCGATACTAGATATATATCATGGCGAATCTATGTTCGACCCGCCGTTTTTGTTCATGCTTCGTGATATCATTTTTGGGCCGAATTCAGGAACTTACTCTTCGACAAACCTCTACTTCGATTCTCATGATAGCCATGCCACCAAAATACTCGGGTTACCCTCAGCCGTTCCCTGCACCAGGTAAGTCCTTTTCTCAAGAACATGTCTTTGATCTTTCTATTTCGCGTTACTCTGTTGTCAACAAAAACGCGTCGACTAATATTAGAAACGACAGTGATTAACCATCATACCTCACTTTTGACCACCCCAAATGACAACACCAGGCGGAGCATTCAACCCATATGGACGTCCCAACGGATTTCCAGGAATGCCCCCAGGAATGCCAGGAATGCCCCCACTGAGACTAGGACTCGATGGACCTAATGGACTGCCACCTCGCCCACCACCACCCATGTTCTTGAGACCCGGAGCGGGAGGACCTCTACCTCCTGGTGTACCTGGCTTTCCCGGTGCACCACCTATGGGACTCCCACCAGGCATGGGCGGTCCCCCACCTCCAGGAACAGCAGGAGCACCCTTTCCTCCACCTGGCTTTCCAACAGGAGCGCCCTTCCCACCACCGGGTATGCCACCATTCTTGCCCCCTCCAGGAGCAGCAGGCGCACCTCCCGGTACTGCTGCACCCTTCCCTCCAGGACAGTTCCCTCCGCCACATTTCGCCCCCGGAAGTATACCACCCCCTTCGTCTGCCCCAGGACCAGGACCTGTCATGAATAACGATCGTAAGAGGCGGCTCGAGGAAGGGCGGGATTGATTCTGAACAAGGCAAGATTGGAGAATTTCGGGATTCAATGGACGATTACGGCACAGGCAGGAGGTACATATGCCAAATTACCTCTCATTCTGGCTAGTTTCGATTGTGGTTTTTGGGTAGCATGGATGGCGACATCATACATACACAACAGATTATGAGCATTAAAGAAAGAACAAAACTGCACTTGGGTGATATACGTGAGAATTGCGAATCTTTATATCGTTGTTTGGATATCACTGGATGCATGAAATCGCGTTCGATAAGGATGGTTGACACTTTTTTTTCTTCTCCTCGATTGCCGACGAGTTTAGCATGTACTCAGCGGCCATTTTTGTTTATTTTATTTGAGAGAACGAGCAGGCTCTCTGAAAATAGTACAGAAGGTACAAGGTGGGCCATTCATTGAGAAAAATGAGAGACAAGTGCAAGGGGATACGTACCCCATCTGTTGCCAGTGTTTGGCTGTTGAGGTTGTCATAATTTCAGACCTACAGGGATGTGGCATATTGTTGTTCTTGAACATGCTTTTCCTTTAAGAATATGAGTGATGGTTCTTTGGTGTGGCAAGTTGGTCAAGCGCGATTTGGGGCTGTCATGATAAACAAATGCACTTTTTCTTCATGTATTATATGGTTTTGTTGGAGGTGATATTTCGTGAGAATTCTTGGTCTCTGTTTCCCCCCCTTATATCAGTACGGGAACGTGAGCGTCTGTGTGTCTGCTGAAAGGAATTGGAATGTGTGCGAAGGACAATTAGCGCAGGATGATAGGAGGTTGAGTAATTTGTCTTTGCGCACTCATTATATATTGTGCAGCCGGCGTTCAAGTGGATTTTGTTTGCCCGAGTCGTTCTTTGAGTTGGGGACGATTTTGAGACTGGGCTTGTGGACGGAAGGGACGCGGCCGCCAATACGATAGCTTGATGTTTGATGTTCGCCATGGATGATTTTCAAGCATCCCGATCTGATAAAGGACAGAGGGGAGATTACGTTTTGTCATCTTTTTTTTCCGGCCACGATGGTGCAGCCGGGTTTGTTGGTGACTTTTTGTTCAGCGTAATGCTTTCCGCTGGCAGAGGATGCCTAATCTCAATCGGACCAGGCATTTGATTATTTTTTTTTGTCTTTTTTCGCTAGAGCAATATGAGTTCTCGAGAGGTGCTTGGCACGTTTTCTTTCGCCACAATGATAACGTGTTTAGAGTGTTTGCTTTTTTGGCACCGTTTTTTGTGTCCTTCCGTTTGGTTGTCATTCGATGTCCGGGATATCGAGGCTAGCGAATGGTGCCTCACCGTCCTTTTTTTTTTTTTCTTTTTTTCTTCAAGTAAGCGAGGAGTTCGCACCAGCGACTATCGTTATCGAGAATCTAGACTAAAACAGGGCAGGGTTGACCTTTTCTCAAGGCAGGATCAGTGAGAAAAGTAGAGGGAAGAACACGATGGTAGCAGAGTTGTTATTGAAGTTACAAGGTAAGGATAGCTATTTGGGTGCTATGGGCTATATATGCATGTTTGTGGGCGAAGCTGAATTAATTTCTTTTTCGGCGAGGTCGACTGCGCCAAAAAGTCCAAGAGTCGTATGTCAGACATAAGGTATAACACTCATCTAATGGTCCATTGTGCATTGATAAAATTTGCGATTCACTTTTAATTCTCTACTTTACAACTCTTAGTTTATGCGTTTTGAAACTTCAACTCTAATCTCATACAAGTCGTTGAACCGCTGCCTGTTGGCTTCTCCTCCAAACATCCAAGAACGTCCAGCAACTTGATCATCCTCAACCCAAGTAGGATGACCGCGTGGGCAAGGTACATCACCGAGTAAAGTCACCTTTCTCCACCTCCCAGAAGTAAGCGACTCCCCTACTACGCTACCAAACAACCAAGCATCACCAAAGAATTCGTCGGTTCCCACTCGGTTCGAATAGAAATTTCCGCCAAAAATAATCATACCCGACATAGATCCTACGTCAGTCACCGGCAAGGACAGTGCGCCATGTCGATTACGGCTATGGGGAACAAATTCGTCCCCCAACGGTGACAGTTTGACCCATTTGTGGTCGTTCAAAGAAAAGCCAAAGGTATCATCAAAATAATGTTCTTTGCCGTCCCACCAATATCCACCGTACGCAACCAAGTACTGGCCGCACTGTACAATGGAGGTGTAACTGCGGGGATGAGGTGCCACTACTGTTGGGTTCTGGTCATCCTTGTTCGTTGGTCGTGGGGTTGATGTATCCGACCGAGAACTGGTCCACGCCGTATTCTGTTTTCAGATGAAATATAATAGAAAATTAGGTATGCGGCGTCTCAAAACACATTAAGTGCAAAAAAATATGAGAGGAGACAGAAAAAACAAAGAGGGAGAGAGACTTACTGATGGCGATGACATCACATAGAGCAAACTCCACGTATTGTTGTCAAAATCATACACCAGGATCTCGTTCGAGTAGACTGCTGGTTTCAAACCCGTTCGTCCACCAAAAATCATCATCGACCTTTCATGCTTTAAAGCAGAGTGAGAGTGTCTCGGTTGGGATGTCGCCAGCTCGCTCCACTGTCTAGTATCGAGATCGAACCGCCAAAAGTCACCCAGATACGCGTCTGAATCCGTTTGACCTCCAAAAACATAGATTGCGTTCATTTCCACAACACACGAGTGGTTGTGCCGCTTGCACGGCATGTGTGATGGATCCGAGGCAATTAATTCTTCCCATGTGTTTTGGGTGGGGTCGTATTTCCACAGATCATTGACGTAGATTCGGCCGGAACCTTGGACTCGGCCGCCGAATATATAGAGGTACCCTCTGTGAAATACCGACGCATGGCCTTGTCTAGGAAGCGGCTGAGTAGATGTATCTTGGATTTCGATTCGACGGAAGGTGAGAGTGGCCATTTGTCGTTTGATTATAAAGAGTAAATGAAATGTGTGCAGTAGGAGCAGAGATAGGACAAGGAATAAGGAAGAGGAACAAGAGGATCAGGAAGAAAGGTGCAAGAGTTGACGATCCTTTATGTATAAGAAAGGAGGCGATTATATTGCTAATTTACAGATGGCGCAGTAAGGCGCAGCTGATGTTGATATTGCCAAAAGTCGACCGATCGTGCAAGAGTGGACTGATCACAGGTGTACACATTCAAATGTACCCCTTGAACTTTTAATACCCTTGAACTTTCAGTCGTGTCAAAATGACATGAAGGCATCATCGCGTACATCTGCACATCTTGAGTGGCTGGATCCCAAAAAAATAAACGGGTCGAAAACACGGCGTATTCATTTCTTTCAATGAGTTGATATTATCGCCCTGTAGGTGCCCTATATCCTCCCTCACTCTAGTATCCGTATCCAGAATGAACCGACCCTTTGTTGGGAACGCGAAATAATTTTCATCGGGAAGGATGCGATCTTGGAGACGGGAGTCGACTTCTCGTTCTGTAGACCTATATCAAGGAATGTCACGCGGTACACCATGTTTGCGTCTCGTTCCAATTTCAGATGCCACATCCTCTGTGCTATTCATCCCAGCGTTGGTGCTGCACTGGTGCGTGATACCGGTGGTGGCGAACTGAGATCTATTATCATGCACCTTGAAGTCTCAATTAATCACACATGTATAAAAGGATGCGTCCGCTCTTCCTTTTTCCTTTTCTTTCTTAAGTACAATCCAATAAACACCTGCTCGCGTCGTTCTTACATCTAATCAACCTTCAACTGAAAATCGCACTCAACTTCCAACGACTTTATAACAACAATAACAAACAGCACCACTTCCAAATGACTCGCAACGTGTCCAACCTGCTTCTGCTGATCTCTGCAGTCTTCGCCGTCACCGCCCAGCAAAGCAAGTCCTTTATTCCCTCTAATTCTTCATTTGAGTCCAAAGGAAAGTATCATACTGAGGATGGAAGCCGTGCGGGTACTATAGATATAACGCCAGCACTTTAGACATTGTGGTGTCACAGTAGCTTTTTGAGTTTTCGAGATCCGCGTTGCTTGAGCTGATACAGTCTTGATCGGGAAAAATACTTGTGATTGGCACCCAGGAATCGGGGCTTGGGCACATTTTCTTGAAGAGTTCTCGGGGATTGACAATTTCAGGAGTGGAGGAACAGAACTTTTAACCATCGCCGAGCATTCTCTCTTATCAGGAGAGGTGCGGCTGTGACTTTTTTTTTTTGGACAGGCGTTGCATTGACTGACTCTTCCAATTCACTTGACAAGTCTTAAACGGTTTCTTTGGGGTGGCCCTTGAAGGTGGCTGGCGGCAGACACTTGAGGCAGATGACGATGTCCTGATGAGTCAGTTAAAGGGTGATATAAGGAGGATCTCTGGCAGCAGAAGCAGGCTGTCCATTTGTGAGGCGGGGATGAATCGTCTTTTTTTTTTTTTTTCTTCTTGTTGTTGTTTGAATTGCAATGGGTCCTTTGTGGGCGGAGGGCTGAACAAGGAGGGTGAGGTGATGAGTGTGGATGTGGTTTGTGAGGGTTGGACTGTCGGGAGGAAAGCGGCAAAAGGAGCAGATTGGGAGGAAAGAAAGAGAAAGAAAGGGAAAGAAAGGGAAAGAAAGGAACGACAAATACAACAGAGTATTATTCTCGTCATTGTTTATTCAGTGCAGTTGCCTCCGCCAGGGTTGTGCGTTCGAACTGAAGGAGGGTGCTCCTTTAGTCACCTTAAGGGTGAAAAGAAGGCGCCATGATGTGACTCGACTACCATGAACTGCCTTCTTAATACCCCCGTTTTCTTTACGTCCCTCGTGCGCCAGTAACGCCAGTGCAGAAAGTAGAGCACAAATAGTTTACGCGCATGGTCAGATTGTGGCTTGTGTCTACTTTTTTTTAAATTTGGTTAACTAATTAGCCCATGAGAACCATGTAAATAGCTGTGTCGACTGGAACTGCACCTTCGCTCTCGAACACCAAGGATGCATTTCTTAAGAACAGGTGATCCACACGTTCAGAACGTGTCTGTGGGTAGACCTACAGCTCTTTCGAGCAGTTCGATCCATCATCCATGGTGTCTTTCATGACCACAATGCAAAGTGCACTCTAAAAATTGGTGGCAACAAGCATATTTGCATCTTCTATTTCCTCCCTTTCCGTCTCCGAAATTATAGTCACAGTGGAGCGAGCGAATGCACAAGTAGATTAGCAATGACATACAAGTTCACTGAGATTTAGAAAGATCAGAATTTATTTGCAGTTCATGAGTTAAAGGTTGTAGGAGACAGCGGTTCAAAATACTTGTACAGTCTGTGTGGCCCACTATTACAGGACATCAGTGCCATGGCTTAAGGGATTCGAGTATTGAGGCGACATCAGTTTACAAAGCCCAAAATCAGCACAGTTGAGTTGGTTTTGAGTGTTTCAGCCAACGCCTGAGCTCCGTTGTGTCCGATCGAGTTGCAGTACAAGTCTAACGTGGTCAGAGTCGAGTTGCTCTTGAGTGCCTCAGCCAGCTTCTGAACTCCGTTGTCTCCGATCGAGTTTTCGTTCAAGTTCAAAGTCGTCAGAGTCGAGTTGATCTTGAGTGCATCAGCCAACGCCTGAGCTCCGTCATCTCCGATTGGATTGAGGATCAAGTTCAAAGTTGTCAGAGTAGAGTTGGCCTTGAGTGCCTCAGACATTGCCTGAACTCCGTTTTCTCTGATCGAGTTGAGGCCCAAGTCCAAATTGGTCAAAGTCGAGTTGTTCTTGAGTGCCTCAGCCAGTGCCTGAGCTCCGTTGTCCCCGACCGAGTTGGCGCCCAAGATCAAAGTCGTCAGGGTCGAGTTGGTCTTGAGTGCGTCAGCCAGCGCCCGAGTTCCGTTGTCTCTAATCCTGTTGCCGCCCAAGTTCAACGTGGTCAGATTCGAGTTTGTCTTGAGTGTCTTAGCCAGCTCCTGAGCCCCATTTCCTCCAATCGAGCACCCCCTCAAGTTCACAGCGATCAGAGTGGAGTTGGTCTTGAGTGCCTCAACCAGCGCCAGAGATCCGTTTTCTCCGATCGTGTTGTCCTCCAGGTTCAAAGTCGTAAGAGTGGAGTTGATCTTGAGTGCTTCAGCCAGTGCCTGAGCTGCGTAGTCTCTGATCCAGTTGAGGCTCAAGTTCAAAGTGGTCAGACTCGAGTTGGCCTTGAGTGCCTCAGCCAGTGCCTGAACTCCGTTTAATCTGATCAAGGTGCAGCGCAAGTTCAAAGTAGCCAGAGTTGAGTTGGTCTTGAGAGCCTCAACCAGCGCCTGAACTCCGTTTTCTCCGATCGAGTTGCCGCTCAAGTCCAATGTGGCCAGTCTCGAGTTGGTCAGGATGCTAGAAAGCATTTTGTCTTGTGCAGATATTGAGGATTGGTCTGCAGATTTAAAGCTCTGAACCTTCATGCTTTTAATAAGGTGCTTGTTTTCCTCGACACATTCCAGGCTGGGGCCACGTTCCGATACCACGACAGACTTGTAGAGTGGTGGTGTAAATGAGTGCCTCCAATCCTGACTCACTCGTGCACAGGACGTGAGGTCTTTGAGGCCAAGATTGTTGGCGATTATGGAGCGAATCTCAGGTATATCGAGGGGATGTGTCCGGAACATTGTTGTCAAAAAAATGAAGAGGGCGACGGGATTGACGGGGATGACGAGGATGCCGAGGGTGGTGAGGGCAGTGCGATAATGTTAAGCAGTAGAGCAAGTGAGTATAAGTGAAGGAACAAGAAGGGGAAGGGAGGAAGAGGAGCAAGAAGGGGAGCGAGAAGGGGAGCGAGAAGGCGAGCAAGAAGGGGAGCGAGAAGGACAAGGAAGAAGGGAGAAAGCTAAGGAAAGATGCTGTTTTATTGTACAGGGAGTGAAGGGTATTTAACTAGTAGAGGCGCAGAAAGGAGTGGCAAAAACTGAGGCCATCTGGCTGGTTGACAATGGACAAGGGCAGATGAAGAGAGAGTGTGGATCATCTGTCTGTGCGGAGGCGTGTGAATATTATTTCTTTCAGGGGTGGCGGTAGGCTCTGACCCATCCAGTTGACGACGGCACTCACTTCACCAAGGTCGCAGTAATTGCTGTCTTCGACTTAGAGCCTAGGGAGGCGGGTATTTTGCATTTGTTCACATCCACGTATCGCATGCACTCAGCATGCATTTTTATATATATTGTTCTTATCGTTATCTAGAGGCTAACTCTAATTCTACCAGTACCCGTTCCTCCGTCCAGCACGAAGCATCAACGTCTGATTCCTCTGGCTCGTCCGTACAACATCCGCAGACCACCTCATCAACGCCCTCCATCCAGCCTCGCCCTCCTTCGCACCCTGCCCTACATATGCCAAGATCGCAAATGCAATTGGAGACTTGCGCTTATACAACACCGCAAACACAATCAACAACAATACCGCATTGATCAACCCCTGGCGAAGGACCAACTTCAAGATCCCTCTTGCCGAACGACGCTCCTGAGCCCGAGTTTGGGATTTGATCTTGAGCGATTCCTGGAGGAGGTCGAGGCGTTCGTGGAGAACAGAGATTTCTGTTTGCATGCGGACCACTTCGGTCTCGAGGACTTGTGTGGTTTCGAGATGTGGGCAAACGATTGTGACGGACTGGTTGGTGATAGGATCCTTGACCACCACCGCATTCTTGTTCTTGAGGGTCAAAGACGAAGAAGAGGAGCCACTAGAGAGTGCAGAGGATGCAGCACGAGCAGAGGCGGCTGCTAGACTGCTCCTGAGTGCCGTGAACCGAGACACGATCCCTTGTCCGATCCTCTTGCCCTGATTGGTAGCAGCAGTGACCGCAGAGGAGGTTGACGAAGAAGATGGGGCTGGTGCTGCCGAGGGGGCAGGCTCTGTTGTGGCGCGATGGTGTTGGGTGGTGTTGTCCAATGGCTCAGCCTGTTCAGCAGTAACAGTGGGGACTGGTTCTGGGCTAGAGTGGGTCGATTGTTGAGGTTCCAATGCCCCCTCGTCAGTCTTGGCGCTAGTTCCTGCAGCGGCGGCTCTTGCCTGGGCAAACATGGCCGCAGGACACACTCCTCCTGATGAAGCAGTCTTCTTCGAGACCGGGCAGACAGCTTCCTCACCTGCGCCAGCATGCGCGTGGGGTGACGCTATCGTTGGTGGTACTGATTGTGGAGTCGAGGGGGTTTCAAGGGCAACATTGACCCGGTACGGTTCCACCACAGGCGATCCCAATGGCTTATTCTGTCCCGCGCCAACAAGTTGAAAACCGCTCGACAATGGCGGCAATGGTGCTGCATGCTTCTCATCAAACTCTGCAACCGGTGTGGGTGCTTCCAGCTTGAACCGCGGCGAGTCGTCAACAACCGCGACCAGTTCATCCTTCTCCTCCTCATCAAATACACCCTCATCGATGAAGTCGTCACCCTTAACTTGATGCTCCTGTTGCTGTTGTCGAGTCGTGGTCACCGTTGTTGGCTGGATCTCGGTCGAAGAACGCGCAGACCCAAGGGAGCTGCCCCGATCATCGTCATCGTCATACTCTACTGAAGACTGGTAGACATCATCATCTTCCTCCTCATTGTCAGCGTCCGTATCGTCCTTGCCATGCTGTTGCTGCTGCCCGAACGGACTGGATGGCGACTGTGAAAAAGTGGGCGAGGCCATGGTGACCTTTTGGATCTCGTTGGCATACTCGTCGTCGTCCAAGATCTCCTCCTCGACCAATGTCTCTGTGATCTCATGATACGACGGTTGATTTGTGGAGTCGGTGGTGGTGGTCGTCGTCTTTGTATTAACGGCGGGAGTCGTATCAGCCTCAGTGTCAAAGGGCTGTTCATTCGCGAGCTCATAAACAGAGGCAGCTGCAGAGTGGATCCCTCCGGTCGCGACCGATCGGATCGAATGGCTAACAGATCCTTTCCGTTGGTGTTGGTATGGGTGTTGGGTATCTTTTGTTGAGGATTGTTTAGAAGTGGAAGAGGTGGGCTCGAATTGAATGGGAGGAAGGTCCTTGTCAAGGTTTGAAGTTGTAGTTGTTGTTGTTGTTGGGGAGGCAGCACGGGAGAGGGAAGGGGGTGGTGAAGGGGGTCGTTGGATGATTTCGTCTGCGAGCATGTAGTGATCCGGATGGTTGTCGGGTTTCGTCAACGACTGCTCGTGTGTTTCGTATAATAGGCGGGGAAATAAAGTACGCGTTAGTTTCGGTCTCTCTTGATCGACAGACAGTCAACGGGGGTGCAGGAAGACAGAAAGAACACACGGACTAAAAAATAATTGTTACGAGGGCAAGTGCAAACAATGGGGCGATAGGGTTGTTGCGGAAATGAATAAGAAAGAAGGTATTACCTTGACGACGAGCTTGACGTAGACGGCCTTGGCTTCATCCTGGGTCTTGCCCCGCATGTTTGCCCATGCCTGCCACTTGCTCCTGGCAGCGATATCGAAGAACGTTGGCTTTAGCACTTTCACATCGCCCTTTGTCGCCTGCTTGTATGCGCCATAGAGCTAGTCAGAGCAAAGAGACGAGGAAGTAAATCGTTGTTAATAATTGCAATTGGTCGCCAACGGAAAGAGAAAAGGGGGGTGACTCTTCGTTGTAAAGTGGTCTCGTCTTTCTTTCACATGGAGGGACAAAAAAGAAGAAATTTCATCCGGTAATGATCGATCGCTCTCGTCTCTCTTGACGACCGCCGACGGACAAACGGGGTTGCATCGATCTCTTCCTTCCTTCCCTTCCTTGTTTCCCGCTCGTCTCAGTATGAACAACAGAAGGGAGGAAAGGGAACCCCCACACACTAAGCAAACACCAACACGAAAAAAGAAATCAGTTCGTATGCTTACAAGGAGTTGTTCCTCAGCAGAAAAGACGACCCGGTCCGAAGACCCAGTGGACGACACCGAGACATCATTAATTCCTTGACTTGTAGTGTTGCTGATATTGACTACATGCACTGCCCGGTCAAAAGCTGTCAGTCCTGGAAGGGTAGTAGAGAGGGAGGGAAGGGGACTCAAGGGCGGTGACCGTGAACGCAAGGCTGCTTGTGAAGTCGGTGAACTGGGTGGACTCCTGTGTGCGTTTTTGTTGCTGTGAGAACTCATTGTTGTGTTGGTAATGTAAAGGTGAAAGAAGGCGACTGTTAGTGAAGGAAAGGGAGAGGTTAAGTTGAGTTGGGTGAAGTGCCGATGCAACGAGGGGGAGAGAGAGAGAGAAGGAGAAAGAGAAAGAAATGAGTATAGTCGTTGATGAAAGAATGAGAGGAGGAGAGGGTGAAGAAAGGTGAAGGGCGACGGAATTGTCAAGGAGAGAAAAAGAAGGTTATTTCTTGCTCGCTTCGGGACAAAGTGAATGTAGTTCTGCGAATGAATTGCGAGTGTGAGTGAGCTTGGCTGACACATCGATCTCCCTTCTTCCCCTCTCTCTCCTCCGGGTCTCTGACGGAGCGGTTCATTTCACCCCTCCACCTTCTTGCTCACAACTATATAATACACGCACACGCACACAACACGGCACACGACTACCGAATCAACCGTAAAACGGTTCATTTTACGACTAACCACCAACCGATACAAACATAGCGCAGTTGCCAAGACTCTTCTTCCATCTCGTTCTTTTGTCTTTGCCGTCATTATTCTTTGTCTCTTTTTAACTGAAGTGTCATTCATTATCTGGAAAACGAGATAACCTTTATTTTTGAATCTTGTTGTTGTCTTTTTAGCGAATGGTGGGGAAAGTGGGTAGGGTTAGGTAGGTGGTAAGTACTGTTTGTTTTTGTGTTTGAATCTCATGTCGGTTGGGGGTTAAAGCTTCTGTGCTTCTTACAGAGCGATCCCTGCTGACGACAGGTAGTTGGCCAAATGGGCCTGTGTATCCGGCTGCAGCTGGACTTGCCCGTGCTGGAACTGTAACGGGAACAAAAGCAAATAGATCAACAAAAGTAATATGTTAGGGCATCGCTTCAACCACAATAAATAAACAAATCAGGAAAACATAGAACGATCAAATAAAAAAAAACGTACTCGTCCAGGGTATGCTTGATTGAAACGGACAATGCCCTCGAGAAGGAACTGCTTGGGGTCCTGGATCTGAGCAGTAGGATCAATCTTGCTGCTCGATGTCGTGGCCAATTGAGAGAACTGAGACTGGTATCCAGTCTCCTCAATGTCAATCGCATACAGATCTGCATCCATAGCGGCATCCTGTGTAGCTCCCTTCACATCCTGAGGCGCCTCAAACAACTTGACCAACGCATTCATCACCGAAGGCCTAATTGATCATGAAGCAAAATATTCGTTATATCTCCGTTAGATACTCATTCCACCGTATCCGAAAACGATATGCCATATCATACAAAAAAAACTTACCAGGCTGCATCAAAATTGGTTCCCTCGGTAATGGTTCTGCAGCTGGTCAAGAGACGGACCATCGCCACAGCACAAGTCTTGCGCTCAATGCGACCAGACACCTTTTGTGCCTCAGCCAACCATGCCGTCTTCAAGAACTGGACAAACAATCCCGACTGTACAGTGTCAAAAAGTGCCCAATAACCATCGGGTCCAGTTCCCTCTAGATCCAGCGCCATGTAAAAGAACGAAAAGTTGATAAATCCCTTCCTGAACTTGTCTGTCTTGTGCGTTTGAAGGCGAGTCAGCAACATCACCAACACATGCTTCATATAGTTTCCGAGCGTAGACCTACAATAAAACATCGTATGAGCGTAAGTCAACAAGTGGCTTTGGTAAATCAGAAAGCAACAGCATAGTTATTCTTAACTAGATACTTACATGGGGACATTGAGAATCATGGTCTGAAGGAGTTCGAACGAGTGGTGGTCGTTAATCTTCGACGAGACCAACTTTTGGCAGACTCCCAGCAAAGGCTCCAACTGATTGTTGGCAACGATCCATGGCCATCCCTTCTGCAAGTATGCCTGCAACAGCTTAACCAAAGCAGGGATGTTTCCTACGAAAAATGATTACAATGTACAAAGTATGTCAGCAACGCAGATACTTATTCAATATCAGTCAAAAAACATGCCCATGCGAAAGAGTTACCTTGCTGTTGCCAAAGAGTAGGTTGCACGAGTGGGAGGAACAGAGCCTGGTAGGATGGTGCAAGTTCGGTACCAGCGTTGAAGGACAACAGCTGTGAGAGCAACTGGAAGACATAAGGAGTGAACTCGACAATATCCTGCTGGAGAATGACCTGGAAGGGCTGGAACAGGAGGTTCTCGAACTGTCCAGCAGCCTCGGGCGAGGCAGTACAGATGAAACGGATTAAGGCACCAATACTCTCAAAGACGTAGTGGTTGAACTTGGGGTTACTGGGGTTGGTGCTCACAGCCTGGACAATAGCGGTCAAGCGAGCCAAACAGAGACTGACCAAGGGCATCATCTTCTCGCGAACCGTCAAAATCAAACGCATTAGGCCTGTTAAGACAAAGAAGAAAACTATCAGTGGCTGCGAAGACTGCACAGTATATGTATACATGCTAGACCTGAGAACTGCACTTACACTTCATGAGGTAGTCGTTTTCAGCCAACTTTTCGGGGGTCTGTCCAAGCTCAATGAGGCGGAACAAGTTGGAGGTTAAGGCTTCAGCCAGAGGTGCAATGTCATCGGAGGAGAACCTATCGCAGAAAATTAGCGAAAGTATGTAGACGTTTAGACTTGACGCTGACATCCTCCTTCATATTTAACATACTGCTGTAATAGTAATCTTTGGGTGACATACAACATAGGTCCGGTAGCACCAGAGACGCGCATGAACAAGATGCGCTCAATGCAGATGGCGGCATAGGTGTAGACGGCGTAATTGGTGCTCTCCAGGTGGCGTGCTAGAAGAGGCAGCGCTCCGAGGAGCTGATCCTTTGAGAACTGTCCTCTGAAGGTGTAGAGGTACTTGATGGCATCGACCTTCAATATGGGGTGAATGGCCCCAGAGACTGCCGCGTTGAGATCGGGGATAACATTCTTCTCGAAAAAGTCCAGAATGTTGACCTCTGCGTTTGTCTCGGTGACTCCGAACTTGAAACATGCGTAAAATATGAAAGGAATTGGAATTAGTACGTGTATTCCGACATTGTATTGCATATTGAGATCTGACAACCCAATCCCTTGAATGAAGACATACCTGGGATCCAGAGCTCTTGGCGGCGATACTTGTCAGCAAAAACATGGCAGCGTCCTTGTCCTTCCAGTTCGCAGCCACGTTACTGTTGTATCGCTGGAGGTAGTGTTGGATGTAGTTGGTGATGATGGCAGTGACATCGGTGGGGTATTGATCCAACAGTCCACGAACCAACTCTGTTGCGGCCCTGCGGCGTGTTTCGCTGTCCGAGCCCTCGAGATCGCGGCGAATGTACTCAATTGGTTCATCCTCGAACAGCTCCTCGTCCGATTCTACATGTGTCGTGGACGCGTGAAAGGCGAAAAATGTCAGCATTTACTCAAACTTCAATATGAGGAACTTTCAATCGATTCCCGACAGTCAAAGATAAAGAAATTGACTATTACCTCTCAGTCCCATGTTGGGAAGTACAATCTTCTCGCAGAGCTGCGAGAGAACCTCCTTTGAGCTGAACATCTCCTTGTGACGACCGTTCTTGACAACCGACGTCAAGAAAGACATTGCCTTACTTACCAGCTATGATGTCCACCAAAAAGGAATATTTTTCTCGTTAGTATCCGGAAACGAATTTCGTTCTAGCATCTTGCGCGCGCTCGGATGTGAAATCTGCTGATGGCATACCGTATCATTCTTGGGCTCCAATCCGAGGGTAGTCAACAGAGCCCATGAGGTCTGAATGAAATCTGGCAGTGAAGTAAAGTCCTCCTCGTAGCGCTTGCTATAAAGCTCGACGACCTCGCAAATTGACGCCTTGACTTGCAAGATAGGTCCAGGTGTGTCATCGTCCTATTTCGTTTTCGACGCATGTGCGAGATTAGCATTACTCAGTTTTTGGAGGACACTTGCAACCGCTGATCCCTAACGCGCATTCATAGAGCAACTTACGTCTCCAGCGAGCAGAGGGTTATCGTAGCTCAAATACTTGTGGAAGAGACCCAGGAACTCTTGAAGATGCGTGACAAAGTACTCAGGGATGTCGTGGCAGTTCAAATCGTGGTAGATCTCCGTCAACAGGTGAAGAGTCTCAAAAAGAACCTTGAGCTGGGGGGCATTTTGCCCGCTAGCCTCAATCATTCTGTCCGTAGCCTACAGTCGCAATAAGACGAAACGGGCAACACTGCTGTTAGTGACCATGTCCCAAGTTATGTATTTCTGCCATTGTCTCAATCAGTCCTGCACATTCAAGTTCGACTGCCTACCAAGAAAACTTGACGGTAGGGCTCGCAGAAGCTTTCCAATGCAATCTTGATCTCGGTGTAAAGGTTGTCCGAAGGATACAGAGGACGCCATCTACATGCCCGTGATAAGCCAGCCAATCGTTAGTATGTTACATATCACATGGCCCACACGCCCAGTAGCTCGGACCAAATACCACATACACTCTTCATCACGTTACCTTTGGAAGATAGAGTGTGCGGTTTGTAAGAGTCCGTTGTTGGTAACAAAATCCTGAGCGTTCAGTTTGCTGACAAGTTCCTATTGTTATCGTTTCGTGTAAATGGATGGCATAGTGTGAGAAGTCAACATCTGCGGTCACCATGGCCCATCTCCAAGTTTGCCAGCATATGGATTTGCGTGGTAATATATGATTCCCTAGCGCTTACAGGAATAAGTCCTTGCCACTTTTGAGGAAAGTCAGTGTCGGCGATTTGGGTGACTGCGTCAGAGAGTTGAAGTTGGATCCTGGCCTCGGAGATGGTCATCAAATCAACGATCCTGCCCTTGATCGCATCCCTGTCCCCTGCTGTGATCCTGTTGTCCCGCTCATCATCAATCTAGTGCACAGAACAGGAAAATAAGAAGTGTTGTGTTAATACCGCAGTGGTCATTGAGATAGTCAATAGGGAGGCATTTCTCTTTGCTCCAGAACCTGCTTTTGTTACAACATACCATCCAATTGCGGCGGATAAAGTTCTTGAACAAAAGTGACGCGGCAAAGCGAATATGCAAGTCGTAGGACTTTGTCGCAATCAGCTGCAAAACCAGCTGTCCGAAGTTCTGGTTCTGCTCCAGCTTGTTCAAAAACACCTCAGCTATTGTTGCAGTGAGCAAATAGAGGGTTAGAGGGTCATTGGTGAGTCATTCTGATGCCTTGTTGGATCCAACACGTTTTTGGTGGCAAATGGGGCGAGCATCGCGTGGCTGGTTGTTTTGGTTCCCATGTCGCCAAGAAGTGTGAAAAAAAACACCATACCTTCGTGACGAGTGGAGGGCTCGAGGGTCTTTTGGAGGTAAGCAGCCAACGCCTGCATGCTGCTATCGTTCACTTGAAGGGTGTCTCCCATGGTGACTTTTTTAGTTGTTGCTGTTGGCTGTTGAGTATGAGAAGTGAGGTTTTGTTGAATGAATTCGTTGTGAAAAGAACGCGCGTTGATCAATAATGAAAAGAAAGGAACGCGCAGGGTCGAGAAAAGGGGGCAGGGGGTTTGTCAGCTGTTGTCTTGAAGGGTGTCGAGTGAACAAAAGGGTGCTGTCGTTATTCCTGGAGGCTGAGCGACGGCGTTGGTGTTGGCGTAAACGTAAAAGAGAAGAAGAAAGAACGAAGCAGGGAACAAAAGAAATTTCAATGTGTTGCGCGGCAAAGCTGACGGAACAGGTTATCTGGGGCCATGCAATTATCCCTGTGCTGTTTGTGTGTGGGAGTATGAGGATGAAGGGAAAAGGCACCCTGTCTCCATTAAGGGGAAAAAAATATCATCCTTAAGGGTGACGCCCAATCATCAACCTGGCAACCAAGTTGACTGATGTCATGGGTTCTTTTTCCCCTTCGGAGCAACCCCGAAGCGGAGTCTAGACAACAGACAAGGATGCCGGGTCGAAGCGCGGTCTAGTCTTTACGTATGTGTGTAAGGTATCCACCACTATTATGTGCCTGTGCCTGCCTGGCCTAATTCTCCTGATATGACATCGCATGTGTGTGTGTTGGAGGTGTAGATGTGGCACTCAACCCTATGAAAAGGGCGAGAGTGACCGTCTTTGGAAAGAAAAAGAACGTTTTGTTCACTGCCTGCGATCCGTCATCGAGCGCCATTGGAGCCAATTTTGCTCTAGACATATCATGCGCGCACTACTTTTCCTCTCTCTATCTCTCTTCTTTCTTCTCCTTCAACCTCTCACACTCATACACACAACTCCACTCTTCGCCCCTTCCCTCTTCCTTCGCAAGTAAAGTATCCTCCTTCGTCACCCTCTGTTACTCTGTCTCTGGACTGGAAAACCATACACTTGGACACGACGACTCTGCTGGACAAAACACTCTTCTTTCTGGACCACCCTGGGAATACAAACAGCCGACACTCACGGGAAGAGAAAAGAAGGCAACAGAAGGCAGCATCGCTAACCACCAGGCTCTTTTCTTTCCTGCACCTTGTTCTCATCTCTTGAACAGATCACAACCCGACTCTTTCCACTCATCAAAGGGTTCACCTGATCAGCCTTGCCTTCTTCCCTTACTTTATTTCGCGTTTTTACACAAAACTATTTTCCCTTTAAAAACTTGACAAAAAAAGCCGGACAAATTCACATAACCTCAACCGTCTACAACAACACCTACAAACAACAACAACATCAACAAACAACCAACAATAACAACAACCAGCACAAAAAAACTCAGCATGGTCAGCTCAACAGTCCCCTCGGAAACCATTGACAACCATGTGGAGGATCACACCGCCGTCTCGCAGTCAGTGACGACACCCGCCACCACCACTTCTACTGAACAAACCTCTGCGCCTGCCCCAGAAAAGAAGATTCCTTCTGCGCCTGCAGTCAATCCCTGGAAGCTCCCTCGCAAGGATGCGGCAGTGAAGCCTGCCAGCAACCCCGAGGCCGAGGCCGAGAAGCGTGTCGAATCCATCATCGAGAACATCAAGGAGGTCACCCTTGGTAAGTTGCCTTTTTGTCATCTTTTTTTTTTCCTTTTCATCTTTGATGTATGGTCTACCACCCCTTCATAATATCGGATCAATTGGACTCCATGAAAGATAAAAAAGATGCATGACTCAACAAAACAAAGTGTATGGGTGTGAAAGTAAGAGGATGAGTAGATGAAGATAGTAAGTGACAGAAAGAGGATATAGAGGGAGCCTCAAGAAATATAGAGAGAGACGGGGAAGAGTAGAAAGAGAGGGGCAAGGGACGGAGAAACCTGATCGAGCAATCTCAACTTGCTCTACATTGTCTCTTATACCCCTCGTTCCATTGTCACCACCATTCCTCCTTTGTCTCATAATCACCAAAGAGAAATATGAACCCCCCCAACGAACTGAGCACACACCCAAAAGAAGGGCCGTGAGAAAGTGGTTTTTTGTCGATTATTCTTCCTTGGCAGGGATTCTATCCGTAACCTGGTGACGGGTTGAGTCAAGAGTCGCTTTCCAGCTCGTACTCCCGCCACTATCTCTCCCGGACACATGAATGATCTTTTCTCTCAATAATTATTGAGACATTTGCGGGGATCCATTGTCGACGTCGTCACACGGCTTGTCTATTTCTGGACACCTTCATTGTCATAATCTCACTACTCAAAGCTACTCGATTCAAGGAAGGAGAAGAAAAAGAGACAAAGTTTCTCACCAATGGATGTACGCTAATCATTGTTATCGTCACTACTACCTTCACCGATCCATGTAGATGCCAAGGACGACAGTCAAAAGTCGAAAAAGAACAAAAAGATTCAGCAGCATCTCCCCTCGCTTGACGACACCAACGTCTGGCCTGATCCTAGCGCATCCGCCGAGAAAGACAACAAGCCAGAACCCGTCGCCGCCGCGGCACCGATCCACAAGAAGAACAAATGGGCCAACATTACTCATTCAACGCAAGCACATGGATCCAAGAACCACCAGGACGGACAACAGCCACGTCGCTCCAAGCACGTGTCCTCTGATGCTAAGGTCACCTCCCAGGCCGCTGAATCTGCCACTTCCTCAACTGCCCCACAACAGCCTACCCATGGCCGTCGCGCCTCTGTGCCCTCCGTGTTTGACGGCGAGCCCCAGCAGCAGAACGGATCGCACCATCACCGCAGCCAGACTCGCCCTCAGCATGGTCGTGGACGTAAGTCAATTGATCACAAAGAAAAAGCAATCCAAAATGAGTCACCAAGAAAGATTTGCTTTGCTAACCCACTTGTAATTGATAACATTCACATCAATTAGGTGGAGGCAAGACACATGGCACTCGCCCCAACTATAGGGCATCTGTCGGAAACGTCGCTTACATGTACCAGCAGGCCGCCCCTAACGGCATTAACACCGACGAAGTGAAAGCTTTCCTTCTTCAGCAGATGTAGGTTTTGAGTTCTTCGCTTGATTCCGATCTGAAGGCTTGGTTTGTGTATTCGAGTCGGAAACTAACAACGTTTATCGTCCATATTATTGCTCCATGTCATTAGGGAATATTACTTTTCGGTTGAGAATTTGTGCAAGGATGTCTACATGCGCACGCAGATGGACGCACAAGGATTCGTTCCTCTGTCGTTGGTTGCCAACTTTAACCGTGTTAAGAGCCTCACCACTGACCACGCGCTTATCAAGGAGACCATCAAGGACAGCAATGTGATTGAGCTCAATGGCGATAACATCCGCAAGAAGGGAGACTGGGCTACCTGGATCTTCCCAAAGGAGGACGGATCCGTTCCCTTCCAGCCCACTCGTTCCTCGTTTGTGCCCCATGTCAGGGGTCCTCATCCCGCCACTTTGACGACCCCTGTTATCGAGGATGATTGGCGCATCAAGCATTCCAAGACGAAGAAGCGCGGATCCATTGCTCACCCATCCCCTCCCGCCCCTCAGTCCAAGAACACCACCTCGAGCGGCCAAGGAGACGACGACGACCTTTTCCAGTTTGATGATGACAACCTTCTCGGCAGCGCTCGCACTGGCACCGTTCAAAAGTACTATGTCAGTGATGACGATGATGAAGACGACGACGAGTTTGACGATGACACTGTCGCCAAGATTTTGATCGTCACCCAGAAGAAGCGCGACAGGACTCACGGATCGTACGAGCGCAAGGCAATGAACGACGATATCAACGACATGATCAACGAGGGACTCTACCACTACGAGCACGATCTTCAGCGCAAGCGCAACAACAACCGCCGCGGAAGTCTCGCCCACTCGAACAAGAAGGTCGAGATGATCTCGGAGGAGCAGTTTGCAGCTTTGACTGGCTCCCACCCCCGCACTAGCAGTTTGAGCAACCATCTCCAGGTCACCCCTGCCGAGGGCAGCAGCGCCGCCGCCAGCACAAACAACAACAAGTCCAAGAAGGGCAAGAAGAGCCAGGCTGCTCGTTTCTATCCCTTGAAGGGTGCCCAGGGCGGCAAGGGTGGCAACGCTGATTCCCGCCAGCACTATGCTCAGGCCCCCGTCGGATGGGTCTTGGGCGACCAGCCTTTCCTCCAGTCGGACTTGCCTCCTCAGTCGATCGGCAACTCGCCAGCCGGTATGTCGATGGGCTCCTACACCGAGACTTCGCTCTTGTCGACGTCCTTGGAGGCCCCTCACTCGTTCCCTGCCTTCCAGCACCCCTCGCACGAGCTCTTGCACGAGAACGGATTCATCCAGCACAAGTACTACAAGTACCACGCCAAGGCCCTCAAGGAGCGCAAGCGCCAGGGAGCAGGACACTCTCAGGAGATGAACACGCTCTTCCGTTTCTGGTCTCACTTCTTGCGTGACAACTTCAACAAGAAGATGTATGCTGAGTTCAAGCGGTTGGCGGTCGAGGATGCCAACGCCAACTACCGGTACGGTCTCGAGTGTCTCTTCCGGTTCTACTCTTATGGGCTCGAGAAGAGGTTCCGTCAGGATCTGTTTTTGGACTTTGAGGCCTTGACCTACTCTGACTTCCAGAACGGACACATGTACGGTCTGGAGAAATTCTGGGCCTACCTCTTCTACCGCAAAGACAAGTCCCGTCACAAGTTGGATGTTATGGCCGAGCTCAAGCCTCTCCTCGAGCACTACAAGTCCATTGACGACTTCAAGAACGCCCAAGGCAACAACTCCAACCCTCCCAGCAACCACTATACCGTGCCCAACCACGGGCAGTAAGTGTCGTCACTACCTTGCTCTTTTTTATATCTTTTTTTCTTTTTCTTATCCATATCGACTTCAATTCTTTCGGTCGTTACCCCACTCTTTTCTTTACATACAAAAAAATTGTTAAAACATAGTACCCTACAAAAAAACTGTCCATAGAAGCCCTCTCTTTTTCTTTATCTTTATTTCTTGCGTTGTACAGTTCCTCGCGTTCTTTTATTTTCTTTCTTTTTTGCTTTTTTTTCGCACCCTTGTAAACATAACATAATAACAACCCCAAAAAAATCGTGCTCCAATTTTCTCTGCCAGTGTTCGCTTGTTCTTTGTTCTGTTCCTTTTCCAGCAGATGTTTACCGCATTGTGATATCTTATGCGGGCAACTATACGCCACGAAGTGTCTGGAAAATGAGGCCAGTGCAGCCCCGCCCCATCCACCTCAGCTCAGGCTCTCCTACACGATGGTCCATCCGACTCAGATCCAATATTGACAGCAGCTCTTTGAGTGTTCCCAGCAGGTCCAATCCACTTTTGAGAGTCATTTCCAGGCAGTCTCGCTGGAATCCTGAGGACCTTCTCTCGGACCTGTTTCCTATTGTGTGTTGGATTTCTTGGTATGGCTGGTGGGCTTCGTAGGCTTCGATGTCCTGGCGCTCGCATGCGCGACCGAGTCGGAGCTCTTGAAGGCGGGTGAGCGTGCTTAGTCGGTGGTATACTTGGCGCTGGACCCTGTGGCTCTCCTGCTCATCAAAGGTGCTGTCATCGGCGGTGGAACTTTCGTTGGAACGTGGAATCCCACCGATTTCGAGATGGAGGTTTGTTAGCAGTAGGCATCCCCAGGAGGAGGAAGGGGGCGTGAATATATCTGTCACCAATAAGCGGGTTCTGAGTGGGTCGAGTCCATACGAGGCGGATGGATTGTCGCTCGCTGTGGCGAATCTCGAGGCAACGGAAGTATTTGGAGTGAACCAAGATCTGTTGTATGTGCCGACTGGAAACGCCTCGAGGGTCAATCAAATCCAAAGCGACCAGCATTCCATCCTGATGAGAGGAAGTGTGCACGATAGCCTGTGCGACCAAGGGTCCAGCCCCATGGACCACAATCGTGTGCCAGACCTCTTTCCTGACAACAAGGGCTGGCGCCCCTGGATCAGTGGATAGTGTTGCCGAGTGCTCTGCTGCTCGGTTGATTACCTGGATTGCCCATATCGAGTTTGCGAGTCGTTCATCGCGCACTGATGGGTCGACTTCTTCCTGAGTCTGTTGTTGGATGGGTTGTGGGAGAGGTAGTTGCGACTGTTGATGTTCCTGTGTTGGTTGTGGCAATCTCGTATCCGCCATGCTTGCACAGAACCGTCGCAAAATCCAACCATGCAATGGCGCCGGCACTCCTGTTCCAGTCACACCATCCCCGCTCAGAACGGCACGAATGTTGTTTGTTATCCGTGATCCAGTAATTCCTCAACAACGCATCGTTAGGACTCTCAATCACTTCCAAGCCAGTACAACCCTGCAAGAATCTACCCTCCCCAGCAGCCAACGCCTGCTACTCATACTCATTCATCGCCCCCTAGCAACGACAAGATCCTCAATTCCGGATGTCTCAAGGTCCTCCTCCTGATAGCCCCTTGTTCCTGGTCAGACGGCAAGGTCATGGAGCACAGTTCCGGTGGCTGATCGCCCTTCACCTTGATTCCAAATACAAGCTCCTCCAAACCCGCGGGGCAATTGTCCAGAAACTTGTGTGCCATTTCGGGTCCCAAACACGGCATCCGTCGATAAGGCACTCCACCCCCTCGCGAAAAGACGCAGCACCCGAAGTACCGGCAAATGAGTTGCAATAGTTTCCAGAAGGCGGATCGGGTTGGGCGGAATACGGTAGATGTGCAGGGTGTAAAGGATATGTGCAGGAATTTGTTGAGGATGATGTAATAATAGGTCTTGTTGGTGAGAATAATCGATCGCCCACTTGGATCCGGCTCCTGAGGGACAAGTAACTCAAACCGCTCCAATTGAATCCTCCTACTCCTATCTTTCTCAACCACCATGCTCTCATCCTCAGCCTTCTCCTGCCGTATATCAACGTCCAACATCGGCCAAATAGTCTCCGGGAACCTTGTCTTAAAAGCCCTCATATATAGCCACCCATAACACCTTAACCCCCCAAGAACCAAGCCATCTGGTTCTCTGTTAGGAGCTGGATCCCTTTTTAGAGGTGAGGGATATACGCCTGGCGCCAGTCTTTGGAGACACTAGAGAGGAGTGTAAGGTCGGTGGGGAGGGGGGGGTGTCGAGGTTGGTGACTATTTGGACACGCAGTTCTGCGAGTAGGTGGGAGACAACTTAGACAGGGTCATCGTTTGGGTTGCAGGGAGGTAAGTCATTGTTGTTGGTCGCTGACGTTGTTGATGGTTGCTGACATTGCTTTTTTTTTTGACATTGCTGATGGTGTTCTTGGGGGGAGGCACCACTCGAAAAAAAGAATTTACTTGAGGGGTAGTCGACAAGACACCCACACTAGTCACATCACATGCATGGTTGAAAGACTGTGACTGTGAAATCACGTGGAATTCTTGTCACGTGACACAGAAATCACGTGACAGTGACGTAGACGACCTATGGAGGAGAGATCTGGCGTTCTTTCTTGTAGTTGACTTGCGAGATGTGAAGCAGATGCAAACAAATTGCGGCGCATTGCAATTGACATGCATGCATGTGCCTTGAATCTAGCGATGAGGTAACCCAAAGTCAACCGCAAGAGGAGAAGATCAGTCCTCTCCTTGGGTGGCGATGAGAGAAGGATGAGGGGTTGTATGGTGAGAAAGGGAAGAAGCTAAAAACCCTTAAGCAAGGCGGATGCCTAGATCCAGTGAGCTATCCGCAATCCGAAAGTCTGTGCAAGGGTGACCACGTAGATTTGTTGAGCGCATGCATTAGCATTGTGTCTGCTAATTTTTTAAAAAACTATCAGTTACAGTTACAGTCTGACCGCCATACCTCGAACTTTGTATGCTAGATCGTTTGCCAGCCTCTAGGAGAGTATACTGCAAGCTGTCATCAGCTTGTTTTTTTGTGTTTGCTGTGATGCTAGGAGTTGAGCACTGCTCTCTCTGCGTGGCAGTCTTCCAGGAGAGCAGTACTTCCATGGAACTATGGTGGGTTTTCAGAGAAGCAACACATGATTGTTTACTGCACTTCTCCTAGATATGGCATTGCTGCTGCTATGAATGGGGTCCATTGATATGACAGCCGGCTAGTTAATTAGTCAAACGCGTCGAATACGCATAAACCCAATGCAAAACATAGTGGATTCGAATGGGTTCAAATAGATGCGCTAGTACAGGGGGGAAGAGAGTATAAAATAAATAAAAAAAAACCATGCACAACACTCCCTCCATTCACACAGGCACAAAGCCTTCTCTTCCTCGTTGTTCATTCCCCCTCTCTAGTAACTCTAGAAAAGAAAAAAAAGAGCGTAGAATTAACAGACACTTTTTCCCTTTTGGATTCTCCATGTGTGGTTACTGTGCTTGCCACCATTGTGGTGGACGATTTTTATTTTTTATTTATTTTTTATCTACTTGCTACTCTAGTTGACCCGCCGCTAGTCAGTGTCACTCCTCTCAGTCGAAGAGCAAGGCACCGTCCAGGGCACACCACGAGGAGGTCGCGGGTCATTAGTGCCCCAAAACAAAAAGAACCCTCTGCACTAGTGTCAGAAGTGAAGAAAAACAAAAATGAAGACCTTAAAGTAGGATTCAGGAAGGCACTTCTCTTTCCCATCCCTACAAGTCAACTTTTTGACGAGGGGGACAATACACACCCCTACTTTCTGATGTGGGGGACAATTACGTACCCCAATGTGGAGGATAATACACACCCCACATGTGGGGGACAATACACACCCCACCATCATTTCTTCCGTGCAAACAAAAAGACGGCTTCCACTCTCTCCCTCAGTAAAAACACCGTCACCGGGAAAGGGGCGCGTAGAAAAACAAATGGAAGAAGTAGGCCTTACAACTCACGTTTGATGCATAATTTTTTCTGAAGAAACAAAACGAGAACCACATGCTCCCTCGGTTCAAGGCCAAGTCGGTCCAGGAACGTCGTTAGGGCACACCCTTCAGTCCACGAAGAACGTCATCAGAATGCCCGTCTCTTCTAGTCGGGTACGGAGCAGAAAAACAAACGGAAAGCATGACGATGGCTGTGTGAAGTGCCAATGCTTCTATTCAACGTTTGTGGCGTAATGTCTATCGCCGTTTTTTTCTTGTGGCCTTACACGTCACCTTGTCGCGAACGGTGTGTGCAAGGCGAGGGGGTTAGTACTCCTGTTGCCTCTCCTGATCCTGATGAATGCCCATCCATGTTTGCTGATTATGATGTCGAAGGTTGATGTTGTCGATTGAGCTCATTGTCGAGTTGTCGAGGTTGTTGAGAGGATGAAAAGGAAGAAAAGGAAAAGGAAAGAAAAAAAGAGAGCGTGTCTTTTATATGAAAAAAAGAGAGCGTGTCTTTTATATGAAAAAAAGACAAGGTACAAAAAACGTCATTAATGGCTGAGACTGATTGGCTGTTTTCGCGTCTCGTTGTTTTCATATTGCCAAGGCACGGGACAAGAGGCAAATAGAGGCCACTTGCCCCCTCTCCCCATCCCCATACACACACACACACACACACACAACAACGCACTCCAACCGCCAGCCCAAACAACAAGCAGCAACAGCATGCCCACCGACAACAACGACCACTACGTCGACACTTGAGAGGCACTTGTGCCCACCCCCCTCGACACTTGAGCGGCAGTCATGCCTACTCCCCTCGACCGGCTCATTGCCACCACAGGCAGTCTAAGGTACATTACCTTTTCTTTTAGCTATGAGCAAACAAGAATGAGCGAAAAACCCCCCCCACAGACGACAGCATATTAATACTCTCTTACCCAAACAGAGGAGGGAGGCCTATTTGTAGGGCATGGAGGCTGCAGCATCAGGTTACTGAATCTGGGAGGGATGCCAATGCGCTGTTGTGTACGTGCACAACATGTGTAGCATCTGCTAGTCGCAGTAGGTGCATGTTTACTCACGTGCTAAGAGGGCTACTTAAGATAGACATATACCAAAATAAAGAGGATACGTTTCTGTCCTGCTCATCTCCTTGACACATCCTTTTCTACACCTTTCTCTTATTACTTTATTATCATAACTCCCCTTTGCTACAACAGAGGGGTGTATGGTGAGGGAAGGAAGAGGCTAAAAAAAATAAGCAAACCCGAGAATAATAGAAAAGTATACTTTGGGCAAAACGACCAGGCGAGGACGAGGACAACAGAAACGAGAGTGACAGTGACGTAGACGACCTATGGAGGAGAGATCTGGCGTTCTTTCTTGTAGTTGACTTGCGAGATGTGAAGCAGATGCAAACAAATTGCGGCGCATTGCAATTGACATGCATGCATGTGCCTTGAATCTAGCGATGAGGTAACCCAAAGTCAACCGCAAGAAGAGAAGACCAGTCCTCCTTAAGCGTCAATTAGCAAGGGGGATGGGCGGAAGTGAATGAGTTAATGGAAGTTTAGAAGAGAATGCAACGAAGTAGGCTTTTGAAAAAAATTGTCCGTTGCCTGTGATTGTGTAGCCAGAACCTCTTCACCAACCTGAGCTGCTTTCGAGATTCTGGGGTTGACAGCCGCTTCCTCTTCTGTCGCGGGGATTCTTGGTCTTGGGTTGTTGGTGTCTTCAGAGCTTAATCTCAAGTATGGTTTGGGGGTCTTGGGACGTGTAGCAGTCGTATGGAACAGTCAAGGCCGTCGGAAGGTGGTCGGTTTCTTTGGGCGAAGGTGAAGAAAGTGTGTGCCTGCATTTGTAACTTGAATACACGAGATTCCAGAACCTGTCTGTCCAACGTCGGCATTCGAACGCTTTATTATGGTATGATATTTCTTTTTTCGCTGATACGTTTGGAGTATGCTATTATGAAAGCACCTTCTTGACCTTCTTCCAGAATGACTTGCGCTTCTCACTCTTCTCCGTAATCTGACCGCCCTTCTCTGTTGACGCTGACACCGTCGTCGTCAAAGACGCAGGCTCGGCACCGGGCACCAGATGATCGGGAAGTGTGGACTTGATTTCCACAATTGGCGTTGGTGTCAAGACGGCGGTGGCAACAGAAAGGTCCGCAGTGGGCTTAGCATCGCCTGCTTGGGGGAGCAGCACGACGGCGCTCTCAGCATCCTGCGAGTCCTTGTTGTTGTTGTTGCTTGCGAGGATAGGGGTTAATGGCTCAACAGTCGAGGGAGTTGCAGCGGTATCCGTAGTGTTGACGGTGGTCGATGACAGCGATGGAAGGGACAAAGGCTCAATAGACTCATCGACCGAGGGCTTGGCGTCTCCCGATGATGGCGTAGAAGCAGCGACAACAAACTCGGGCGATTGCTCAACAACAACACTCTCGCCCTCAGTCACAGGCTTGACCCCAGTGGTGAGAGAATGCAAGCTGTCGGCATCAACCTCAGGACCTTCCGAAAAGGTCATAGTGTCCTCGACAATGGTGGTCTCGACTCCATCCTCGCCCTGGACAGATGTGGTCATCTCGGTCTCGGTCATGGTCACCTCTGGGGGAGTCAATGTGCCAGCATTGGGAATAATATTGGTATCATCGTCGTCAGTTTGCTCCAGAATGGTCTCGACAAACTCGATAGCGCCCTCATCCTCAACAACGACCTGTGTACCCTGGACCTCAACAGCAGCATTGAAAGAAGGAGCCTCCTCCTCTTCGATGGTCTCAATGATCTCGGTGACCTCTTCATCAATGACTCCCGAGATGGTATCCTCGACGCTGGTGGTGATGCTCTCCTCCAAGAAGGTACCATCTGCGGCCTCAATGATTGTGTCCTCTGTTGTCTCAACAACCGTCTCGATCAACTTGCCTCCCTCAACCGTGGTTGTGATCTCGTCCTTGACAATATGGATGTTGTCTCCATCCCTATCAGTAACCTCCTCGGTCTCAACAGCAGGAGATGGCGACGAAGCAGAGATGGAGGCCGCGGCTGCATTGGCTCCAAGGGCTTCCTGGAAATGCTCGGGGAAGGCAGTAGGGTCGTTGACCTTGAAGAAGGGTGTGCCCCACATACCGCCACCAAGAGCCTTGATGATCTTGTCGTCCTCATCCTCAACTTCATCCTCCTTGGGCTGTTCAGGAGCGGGAGATGACTCGACGGTGATCTGGGCAACTTGCACAACAGGCTCGACAGCAGCAGGCGCGGGAGCATCGATCTTTTCGGCAACAGTCTCCTCCGCCTCCTTTTCCTTCTCAATTATCGTCGTCGTCAAGGGGGTGGCAGCGGCGGGAGCAGCAGGAGTGGCAGGAGCAAGAGTAACCTCCACCTCCTTAGTCTCAGAGCCTTCGGCAGCAGCAAGATAATGCTCAGGAAGGTCAGCGGGGTCGTTGACGGCAAAGTAAGGTGCACCCCACATACCACCACCCAATTGACGGATGGTCAGGTCGTCCTCTGCCTCCTGCTTCAGCCTGGCTGCCTTCTCCTCCTCTGTCTCAGTCGTCTCAGTCTTGTTCTCTGCAGCGGCCACTGCAGGTACTGGTGGTTTTGGTGCATCGTCCTTTGTATCAACGGTAGTAGAGATGGCAGTAGCGACGGGGTTGGTGATGAAGAGGACATTATTGAGGTTACCGGCATAGTCACGCTCAGCTTCCTGATCTGGATCAGTGACCCAGCTCTGACCATCAAGGACAAACTTGAACAGGATCTTTTTACGGTTTGGATCTTCCTGCTTCTTGTTGTCTGTCTCGTGGGACAAGCTGGCAAGGTCGATGGGAATATCGGCCTCGAAGAAAGTCTTGTCCTGGTTGCAAGTCAAGGGCTGGCTGCGTTGCCAGGCGTTGAAGGTGCCAGTGACTTGAACCAGTTCGGGGGTGGCGGTAGAAGAGTTGGTTGAAGGGACTGGGTAGGCAAACTTAACCGTGACAGTTCCTCCTACTGCTGCTGCTGCTGTTACTGTGGTAGAGGTCTGTTGAGGGTATTCGAGGGAGGCCATGGTCGTAGCGTTGTTGTTACTGTTACTGTGTCGATAAGAGTCCGAGCGGTGACTGCGGCTGTGGTCGTGTGAGTGCGAGTGTGAGTGAGAGTGAGAGTGGGAGTGGGAGTGGGAATGAGAGTGCGGGTGCGAGTGTGGATGAGAGTGAGAAGAAGGATGTTGCTGCTGTTGTTGCTGTTGTTGCTGTTGTTGAACGTGTCTCCGGTTACGGTTCTTTTGGTGCTGATGAGGACACTTTGGCTTGACAAACTTGAATGAAGGAGTGGGCTGGAGAGAGATCTTGATGCAGGTTGTTGCGGGTATGGATGAGTCTGGGCTGATCCTGTTTGAGTTTGACGACGAGGAGGATCTCTTCTGGTTGTTGTTGGTGGAGTTGATCCTGTGAGGGTGAGAGGGGGAGGTGATGTCCTGTCTGGTGGAGAGAACGAGTGCAGTGGAATGAGAAGAAGAGGAAGAGGAAGAAGTTGCACGGGCAGTTGAAGTAGTTGAAAGTGAGTCAGGACCAGGAGGGGCAGGGAGGGCGGGCTGAGGAAGGAGTGGATCCGGACCAGAATGGAGAAGAACGTCTTCAGGCTCCGCTACTGAGGTCAATGATAACGGTAGATAGGGGAGGATGGCCTCGAGGGTCTGGTGCGACTTGACGACGATCGACGGCACCGGCACAAACACCGAACAGCTGATCACCTATTAGACGAGGGATACACGTAGTAAAAGGGTCAAGAGTCCATCAGTAAAGACAAGTAATGAGGCGCAAGGGGCGATGCATGACAGTACAAAAGGAAGATTGACAGTACAAAAGGAAGATTGACAGTACAAAAGGAAGATTGACAGTACAAAAGGAAGATTGACAGTACAAAAGGAAGATTGATAGGGTTTCCGAATTGAAGGACACGCTGTTATTTGTTCAGGGGAATTGAAGGGTCAGCCCATCCATTGACGGACTGGAGCAAAGGAAACAGAGAAAGCGGACAGGGGGATAAATTGAGGAACCGGATCGGAGTCAAGAGCGGGATGGGAAGGGTCCAAATAGAAGGGAAGGGATGAATGCGAACCGCGTGTCTTCTGGGGAATCAACCATTCATTGCCCACAAGAAAAATGGCGGAGGAGGAAAGGAGACACCTCGCGCGGGACTATTGTGTAAGGTTTTCATTCAGACAAATGGAACATGGAAGAACATGAACGCGTACATGTCCTCTGATACAACGAAGACTGGCAAGAAAGAACAACCAAGGGAACAAACAAACACAACAAGTGAGCGAGCGAGCCATAATAAAAAGTAAAGGGAAACAAACACTGTTCTCCAAAGGAAATTCGTGTTGTTTTGTGTTTGTGTATCATAAGAAGGGATTGCAACGGATAAAGGGCATGAAACTTGAATGCACGTCTGTAACACACTATAATACATGGAGACTGTACCTGAATATTGCCAATATAGAGCAACACTTGGATTTGAGTCGTCAGCATCTTAGAATGTGAAGAGGATATGTACAATTGGTAGATGGGAGTATGAAGGAAGGAAGGGAAGAAGGAAAGAACAAAGAAAAGGCAAGAAAGAGAAGGAATGGTCGAACTAGCTATTTGGCAACAACAAAAAAAAAGAAAGGGAAAACAAAAAACATATATACAAGAAAAAGGGTGTGAAAATGATGTGGTCAAAGCATAAACAACTATGCTACTACTGGCTATGAGGTTGGATGATGACAATGATAAAACGACTTAATTGATGGCTACAGAAGAACGAGAGAACGAGATTCGATTCAGCTCGGGTTTGACGTACATGCCTTTGCAAAAGAAAAGATGGATGTTGGGGTGATGAAGGCCCTTGTGAAAAGGAGGCGTGAAGGAACAAGTCAAAACGGTGTGGTGGTCGATAGGGGCAGAAAAGAAAGAAAAAAAAGTGTCTAATTGGCCTACCAATCCAACTGATACTGCTGGCGACGAGCACACGACAACCAATGGAGAAAAAGGGAAAGCGTGCAGATGGAGAGACAGGTTCTTTGTGGCGGCGATGATAATAACTAATAGAAACAGCTAGCAAGTCGCTAAACTCTTGATCCGAGGATGGATTAAGGTCTATGAATGGTGCGAGAGAGTGTGTGTGTGTTGTCTGTTTGTCTCGTGGCAAAGGATGAGAAGAAAAAAGAGAAGTGAGGAAGAAGAAAGAAAAGAGTAAGAAGTAAAGAGAATATCCGAGTCGCCAAAATAGACCGAGAGATGTGTGCTGTAGCTCCCTTGTCAAACAGTGCACTGTACACAGAGCATCAACAATAAGAGCAAGAAGAGTATCGAGTGAGACTGAACAACAGCACGGTGACCAAGAAAAGATGGGCGTAAAGGCAAGAACAAGTCGCTGTGTGAAGTAAGTAGGGTAAAAGGAATGGGGTTGCAAGGGGGACACAGGGGAGGGGGTGAAGAAGGAGGGCAGGACACGACTTATCAGGGCAGGGGGCGGATGCCTAAAAGAGAAAGAGAAAAAAAAATGATAGCGCTGGTCCCCCTGTCTTTATTTGTCAAGTGGAAGGAAGGCCAGGGGAGAGAAAAAAAGGACGAAAAAGAGGCCAACAGGGAGACAATGTAAAACAGAAAAGAAGAGGGAGAGAGCGAAGAGAGGTATATGACAGCACTCTGCTTCTTCTTTCTTTTCTTGAAGCCGATGAAGAGATCAATGCTGGGCTTAACAGTGTGCCAAAATGAACAACAAAGTGATGGACGAAGCAGGCAATTGAGGCGAGTGGAGAAGAAGAAAGTAGAGGAATGAACCCAGGGTCTTCTCTATCCAGAAACTCTGATAAGTGAGCAAGCTGTTTGGATGTGGCGCTGGCGCATGGATGTGATAGGGTGTGAATGGTCGTGAATGGGAAGGGGTGCGAATGGTGTGCTCTTGTGAGTGAGTATGAGATACCGTGCTCACGCCATAACAACGGTATCCATGGCGACATGTGTGTGTTTGGTTTGATATGAACTACGAGCGTACCTTTTGCCTGAGAGACCAGACACAACAACTCTACCCCATCATGTCTACGGCCAGGGGGCATAAACATTCATGTACAATGTACAGTACAGTACACATGTGCATTGACGAATGGATGTGGACACATGGGTACGAGGATAGGGAAATGACACTTTCCTCCGATAAACCGACCATGTTGCATATGGATGAAATCGATCGTCTAGTGCACTCGATGCCAATTGTTCAGGGTATGGCTCTATTTCGTATGCATCCATAGCATGGTTGGTCGACTGTTCCACTCCACTCAACTAGACCAGACACATAGACCAAGGACCAATGCAAACAAAAGTGACAGTGATATGCACGCATTGGCCTCTCATCCTCTCGTCCACTCTCTGTCCCATTCTCACACAGTTAGAGAAAAGAACCTGTTCTTCTCCCGCTCTCTCTCTCTCTCTCTCTCTCTCTCTTCCTCTATCTCTCTCATCCTCCACCATCTATCGATGACAAAATAATCGACCCGAACTCGACTTTCCTTATGCCCAACTTAACCGACCAACGATTGCAAACTCCATCTACGAGGATAAGGAAAGGACGAACCACATTTTTCAGGAACACAAAAATACACAAATAGACCGCCGCCCACAGACAGCAATAAAAAAAATCAACAAACCTAACAGAGATTCCATGGCACAAACAAACCGCACAATAGCTTAGGGCTAGAAGGAAAAGGGGCAAACAGCTTTTGATTGTTTTCAAGGCAAGCCCTTGACCATTTTTCCTGTTCCTTTTCGTCACAGAATAACAGTGAAGAAAAGATCCCACTTTCTTGAACCTTTGCGTGAGGTGCTTCATATTTCCTTTTCTTTTCATTCAGATCCGACGTTCTTCCTTGCGGCGCTGATATTGTAAATTAGGCCACAGGGGCGACCAAAAGAATGTCAAGAACATCAAAGATAAAAGTAACACGCTGCAGGGTGGATGGTTTCATTCTTTCTTATAATGCTCAACCCCCACTTTCACCCACATGGTTAGGTCTGCTTGAGATCGCGGCTGACGTGAGGGTTGCAATGGCGAGCAGTGGAGAAGGAAGAAACAGGAAGGTACACCGAGCGTTCTCAAGTGATAGGCAACTCTTCTCCTAATTGGATTCTCCTTTGATTTGATTGAGAAATGGGAGTCAGGAAAGGTTGTTGGTCTCGAATTTTTCGTCTGTCTATCACACTCGACCGTCATTTCTATGGCGCCATTGTTTTCATTTCTTTATGCTGCTGTTGTCGTTGTAAGTGTCAACTCATGCATGGATAGGCCCAAACTACCCTAGGTCAGTTATCGAATCTATTCGAGTGTGGTTAAAAAGGGTCAGCAAAAAAAAACAGATGGAAAGGGCACAGAGTCCATGTCGATGCTGCATGGACATTTTTTCCTTCTCCCCAAGCTTGTCAGGCCATCGACTCAAGACAAAAAAAAAAAAAAAAAAGGCACATGCAAAATAGAAAAAAGACAAGGAAAGCCCAACGTATCTAATTTCTCCTTTTTCCTCCCCATTCTCCCCCTCCTTCGCTCCGGCGAGAATGTTGCTTTCCGTGCGTGTGGTTATCATGTTCATGTCAACTCAACGCAATGACCTTCCTTTCTCTAGCCCTCTTGTTTGTGTCCGTCCCTCTGCTCACCCTTTTCATGTGCTTTTCATTCGAGATCGACTTATTCTTGTGCAGTACTGTAGATGGAGACACGTAGCGTATGGCTTGCTGCTTTGTTGTTGTTTGTGTTCGCTTTGTCCTCCCTTCCCTTCTGCGGTTAGGTGGTCCCGTCCCCCCTTCCCAACAAAGCACTCCACACATCATCAGGCTGTTCTATCTACTTCCTATCCTAGGCTAGATATGCTGACCTACCTAGACAAGCAATGGATATGGACTTGCTAAACCTATTGGACCAATTGGACAATCCTCTTTCTCGCTCCGCTGTCTCTTCTCCTTATTTCTTCTTGCTCATTAAAAGGAGCCAACCCCGCTAGTTTTTTGCTTTCCCGCTAAACGCACCTAACGATCGACGAAAATAAAGAAGGGGCCTCTTTTCGATCTTCTATCACCTGTGCGGGGCCTTATCTCTGTAGTTTTTTCCCTTCCTGGCCTCGTCTGATTGACTAGGAGAATATTAAGCATTATCATCATCAAGCAAAGCACAGTAACCGTTATCTTTGATACTCCTACGCCTTTAGATCGATCGACACGAAGGACACTGCTCACTTCTTCCTGTTCTATTCTCCACAAACGACGTACAGAAACACGAGGCGACAGAAGAAAGATAAGGTAAGGTCCAGCACAAGGAGTGTGTGCACGAACAATAATGTGCCAGTGCCGATGCCATTGTTCTTTCAAGTGAAGTGAACTCTCGACTCAACCGACCAGAGTGCAATTAATGATGGTGCTCCCTGCTCTCTTTGCTTTGTTCATTGCTATGTACCGCATCGTTCCGTCGATCCCCGCAGCCCCAACTGCCAGTTATGTTTCACTCCCTCTCCCTCTCCTGTCATGTTCCTCTTGTCTCTCTCTCGTTTCTCTCGTCTCTATCTCCTCTCCCTCCTCACTCTCTCTCTCCTCTCATTTCGCTCATTACCCTCCGACTCGACAGCCATGCACACACTTCACATAGGAGCATGATCAGAAGCGCAGTTTCCTCATTGTCCTCTTGATATTAAAAATATCCCGCCTGTCTCTCTGTGTTTAAATGCGCACCACAATATCAATGTTCTCTCGTTCCTTCCTGGAGTGAGTCCGATCGCACCATCGCTCGACTCGCTTGGAGTCTCGCCACTGAATGACCAATGGAACCATACCAAATACCCCACCTACTTGTCCACTCTACTTAAAAAAACATATAAAGGCGCTTAGGATCGCTTGTCTTTTTCTTCACTCACCCCCCCTCCCTATTTGCTGCACCCCCTTCCCTTCCCTTCCCTTCCCTCCCCTTTCCCCTTCAATAATACCCATTTTCACAATGTCTGCTACTGCTGCTACCCAAGCCGCGAAAAAGGCCCCCACTATCTTCCAGACCTGGTTCCGTGCCGAGGTCATCCCCATCTACGGAGTTATCGGTTGTGCCGTCGGTGGTGCCGGTAAGTTCTTCTTCCCCTTTCTCTCGCTTTTTTGATCCAGTCTCTTGCTTCCCTCTCAGAAGAATAGTTTTCTAGCTCCCTCACCCCCTTGTGCATTGATCTGTGTGCTGACCTTGTCTCTTCAATAATTGTTATAATAGCCTGGTACGTTACCCGCCTTGCCCGTGGACCCGACGTCACCTGGGACCGCAAGAACAACCCCCACCCTTGGTTGCACATTGAACAGGACACCCAGCTCAAGCTTATCACCGTCAAGGAGGGTCAGGGTTTCACCAAGTCCTACACTCGCGATCGTCTGTAAAAGCGTAGACTCACTTTTTTTTCTCGACCTGACGGAGACATATACCATCCCGAGAAATTGACCACCTCAATGAAATACATACACAATCGACAACTATCACCCATTTTTTCTGTTATTGACATAGACACCCAAACTGTACCTTTATTCCCTCTCTCTCTCTCTTCTCTTTTATTATCTCTTTACCTTTCACTATTGCAAGCCAAGGGGGCCGAGCCATTTACATAGAACGAATAAAAAACTCTTTCTAGATACCTCATCAACTGCAAAAAGGATGAGAGTACGATCAGGCATGTATGGTCGTTTCTTTTTTATCAAAAGCGGGAAGGGAAGGCGCCCGGAGCGCGAATGAGACAAGTACGAAAAAAACCGGAAGAGAACTGCGCGGAGAAGAATGGGCGCAGGGGAGACCCCCTCAGAAAAGGAACAGAAAGGAGGAGATTCATTAGTAGCATAGAACATGATGTGTGTCAGTTTCGCATAGAAGAGAAAAAAAGAGAGCCGGACCTTGAACAGAACCACGATGTAGGTGGGACAGATGCAAGGCAATGAATAGAAAGTAGAGAGATGTATGTACCCCGCCTCGCTCATTGTCTCTCGATCTGTTTAAGATGAGACATGGGTGCCTTGACTCTCTATTCCCGACCGTTGGGAAGGCACATCATTTTTTCCTACATTTTATTTCTCAGGTTAGAAACAGAGAATCCGCTGTTGCCCACCAAAAACAAAACAAAATGAGAGTAAGATCAGCAAACATGGCCCTTCTCCTGAATACACTCCTCTCCTTTTCTCAAGCCGTTTACACCTCACCTACTAAGCTAGAAAAAAAAAAGTGAAAGAGAAAATCACAAATTGTACAACCCTGGCTAATTGCACGCGTTTTCCTTTACTCTTCCTCTTTCTCACCTTTCTTGCGCTGTTTTTTCATATCTCTGACAAACAACACAAAGGAGGCACTTGAAAGTAAGGGGGGTACAGACCAAACTCTTAAGTACGCATCCACCAGTTGACGCGTCCAGAGGTGCCAGTCGGGTAGTCCCGGCACCCACAACCGGCCTAATATTTCACTTAAGGGTTATACCGCCACCAACATTGATTGTGTTTAGAACTGGACATACTGAAATATTTACATAAATATATCCAAATAGCAGGATTAGCTCAGTGGTAGAGCAGCCGACTGCAGATCGGCAGGTCTCCGGTTCAAACCCGGAATTCTGCTATCTTTTTTGTCTTTTGCTCTTCGTTTCTGAAGAAATGATTGTGACAAAATGCCTGGGACCATGAACGGCACTCTGTGAAGTGAACGCAGGGCAGGATTAGCTCAGCGGCAGAGCAGCCGACTGCAGATCGGCAGGTCTCCGGTTCAAATCCGGAATTCTGCTGTCCTTCTTCTCTTCTCTTTTGCCTCCGTCTTGTCCAGGGGGTGGGAGTCGTCAGGAGCATTGATACTCTCTCGAGTAGCTCGCCCGTCGTCGTTGCCGTCATTGTGTCCACTCTGTCTGTCTCAATTGCGCAGATTTCACACTTACTTGATCGCTCGTCTCACTTTTTTTGTTCGTTTGTCTTTCGTCTGCTCTCATTTCATCTATTCTTCTTTCTGTTCGTTCTTCTCTCTTCCTCTTTCTCTTTTCTTTTTCTTCCTCACTACACTTTTCGCTCTTCCCTTCCCTCAACCCTAACAACACTAACACACACACCAACAAAAATGGGCGAATCCATCAAGGCCTTGGTCGAGAGACTTATCCGTAAGACAGTGTTCACATTCCTGGTCAATGATCGCCCACTCTGTGCTTTATCTGTTTCCGCGCTACTTGTGTTCTCCTTTTTTGCTCAAAGTTCAGATCTGATGACATCTCAACTCATTTTTTTTTCAATGCATCACAACTCTCATTCTGTCTTGTTGATTCATAGGCGAGAACAAGGTTATGTTCTTTGGCAAGAGTTACTGCCCGTAAGTCCATTTCACCACCACCCGCCACAACTCACCAGCGACAAGACAGGGACAAAGGGCTCACGTTCACAGTTATGGGAATCTCGCACTTTTCCATCCGCGGCCTGGAAGGGAATGGCAGATATCGACTTCATTGTGGTTCGTTTGTTGTTCGTCTGGACAAGGGTGTGTTGTTCATCGCCAATTGGTCTACAGAAAGCAAGAGGGGGTGGGTCAAAGTGCAAGCAGAAAAATAGGTTTGAGTAATAATTCTGAGCTGGATGTTTTCGAATTGGGCTTTGACCGTTTCTGAGATACTCCATTTGTAATGGCAAGGAGAGACAAAGGGGCGATAGAAGGAGTGGGGGGAGTAGACAAACGCAGGATCAGGATCGAGAGTCCCGTTCCTTTTTTTTTCTTGACTCCTTTCTCAACAAGGGGGTAGTGTTGAAAAGGGTTCAGGAGGTGGGAAAGATATCAACAGACATGCTCAATTGGTCACCCTACAAGCTTGTCTTGCGGCTAGTCCTTCCTGTCTCTTCGTCGGCGGATATATCGATCTGGTTCGAACCACACGCTGAAAGTGACACTCACAGCATCTTTTTTTTCTTCTCTTTTACTTGGACATGATAGCCACTGCAAGAATGCAAAGTCGGTCTTGGCCGCCAAGGGTGTCCAGTACAAGGCGTATGAGATCGATCTTGAGGCCAAGGGAGCTGAGGTTCAGGATTACTTGCAGCAAAAGACCGGTCTGCGCGTAAGTCACATGGCTTGACTTTTGTGTTGTTGCGATTACCACGCTTCCATCTGTTCGCGTTTCAAGTGCCTCGTAAAACAGTAGAGGTGAACTAACAGTGACTTTGCCCTTTTGTGTGACTGATCTAGACTGTCCCCAATATCTTCATCAACACTCACCACCTTGGAGGTAAGGGAGAATCTTCAGGAGGCGACAGCGTGAACGAAAGCTCAGGATTGGATTATGTGTATTCGTTTGTGTCAGCGGTGTCATAGCAATTGATCTAACCATACTTTCCTACATTCGTTACTTTTCTCGTTGTGGAATAGGTAACTCTGATCTGATCGTTGCAAAGGAGAGTGGAAAGCTCGACAAGATGTTAGGCACCAAGTCTGAGCTGTAGAAAGTTTGACCCGCTTTTTCATTCTATTGATCCCTTGTTCAAGGTGTGTAAATAAAGCAGTTCTTTTTAACAATGGGCAAAAGTTAACAAGGACATGCCTGTTCGTGTGTAAGAGCAACGCGCGTTGAATCGAAGTTGAACGCGCTCAAAGTGACTTTGAATATTTTTTTTAAATGGGTGACGTCAACGCGTATATTCCTGATTTTTTTGCAACAAGCTTTTTGCTTGATTGTCAGTCGCGCGAACAAAGAAGTGTTTTGTTTGCCCTCTTGTTCGCTTGACAAACGCACAACTCCAAGGACCCGATCGATCCACGAAATCAATCACACTTACCCGACAACAAAAAAATCACCAAACCTAACTCTTTTCTTCTACCAACAAAGAGCATTGCATAAAGCAACAGGAGGACGAACACACAACTATAAACAACTATAAAAAAAGCCTGATGGATTCGCCACCAAACACCGCCAGGCCGACATGGCTCAATCAGCTACCAGACCACAGTATCTTTGAGCTCAACGAACAAGAGTACCTCGAATGGAGCCAACAGACCGCTGCCGCTGCCGCCCACGAGAAGGAGGCCAACAAGTCCACAGCTACAACCACTACCAACAACGATTCTACAAACCAAGGATCGCTCGCTTCTCGTTTTTCATTCGGAACTTCTACCACAAAATCTACTACCCCTCCTCCGTCGGCTTGGCCTAAACCAGAGCCAGTCAAGGATTCATATGGACTGGACGACCTGAGCGAGGAGTACCAGGGGGCATATCAAGGACTGTCTTGTATGGCTGTTCGGGGTCAGGATCTGTATGTTGCTGTGGGGCGACAGATCCGCTATGCCAGTCTTGAGGAGCTCAAGATGGGTGTTGAGTATCGTGGACGGGAATCTGCGATCGAGTATATTGACAAGCGACAGCACAAGGTACTTTTTTGGTTGACATACAGAGGATCTTAGGCTTTGTTATTATGTGTTTCTTTCATAATGAATCGAAAAACGCGGTCATAGGACGTACGATTCGATTTTAGCCCACTAAACGTGTTCCTCCGTTACCTCCTATTGTGAGTAGGTGTTGAAGGTCCAGGATGTGGATTTCGATATCAGGCGACTCGTTCTGAACCAGGACGGCAAACTGCTGGCGATTGTAGGAGACGAAAAGATTGTGATTGCAGCAGCGCCTTCGAAATCAAGCAAGCAGGATTCTAAGCCAGTCATTAAGTGCAAGTCGTTTGTTCTCGGAGAATTTTACCACATCAACAAGGGCGAGTCCAAGGTCGTCAAGGTCCTTTGGCACCCCCTCAGCAAGGGGTTCACACACTTGGTCGTCCTCACCCATGACGGTCTTCTCAGGTACATATTACTTTCCCGTGCACTTTGTCGTATTTCATTTTATAGCATGAATGATTTGGTTCGGACATGTCTGTCTTTATTCAATGTGCAAATTCTAACGACGATCCCGCTTCCTTAATATTCTTCTTAGAATGTATGATGTGGCGGCAAATATTGACGAACCAGAGCAGATCTTTAGCTTCAGGGACGAAGGAGTAGCATCAAGGGCATACGGCATGGAGGTTCTTCAGGCAGCTTCGTTTTGCTTTGGCTCTAAGTACTCACCATGGGGTCAGCTCGCAGTGTATGGTCTGACTCGGGAAGGCGATCTCTACATGGTTTGCCCAGTGATGCCACAGACCTGGTGAGTATTCTATATGCTCAAACATTGTTTCACAATTACATTGGCCATCCTGTCATACCAACGCATCGTGATATTGCAAATATCTTCATGACTAACGGTTCGTTCCCTCACACCTGTTCTCACGATAGCACGTTGAATGCAGCGGATCTAGACGAAATTCGCAATCAGATTGACGAGAGCGCATCACAGGAGTCATTCGAGACGGCATTGGTGAAGAAGAACTGGATCAACAAGGTGGTGGAGAGCGTTCAGCCTCACCCATTCTCGGAAGAGATCGTCCTGGTGCAGAATCCCACTCTCAAGAGCGGCAAGGTTTCTCGACAGGGACCATTCCTCTATAAGCCAGCGCCTATCGATCTGGATGATGACGACAACAGGGCATATGACATTCTCTGTTTGGAGAATGAGGTGGCCGAGGTCCTTGCGATGGCTCACTCCAGCGGAAAAGTCGATATCTGCATTGCTCTTGATCGCCCCACAGGACGCTGGTCATTACCATCAAAGTCAAAAACCCGCGGGACATATGGGCTAGATGATGATGATGATGATGATGAGGAGGAGAGGCTGCCAGAGGTAGCTGTGTACGAGTCGGTCGATCTGGGTCTTCTCAAAGTCTTTGCAACAACCAGTACATCATCAAGTGGAGCTTATGGACTCACTGAAACGAGAATGGGTATCGTAAACCGACCCGTACTGGTGGCCGACACGATGTACGGCGACACATTCTACATATACCACGAGGCAGGAGCACATTGCATATCAATTCGTCCCTGGCTGGACGAGTTGACAGCTATCTACGAGTCTGGATCGAGCAGCCAACAGCACATTGCCCTGATGAACAAGTTTTTCGTGTCCAAGATCAAGTCTGCTGTCGGATCTGTCGCCAACACCCGCCCCACCAAAACAAGGTAACATGCGCGACCAATTACTCATTTTTGGCTTTAATGCCCTTGTTTTGCGCGCGGCTGACAATTTGCGCATTCTTCAACCGATTAGCCCGCCTGCTCCAATCATTGGATTGTCGATTGTGACGGACGCGTACTTGGACTACTCTCTTCTGCTGTTGACATCCTCATTACAGCTCATCGGAATGGAGCTGACTCCTCGACCCAGGAAAAGCGCCACCAGTGGTGCCACTCCATCGCCAGCAACATTCACAGGGTCACTGACAACACCTCTAGACGACGGCGGTAGCACATACACAGTTTCCCTCTCAGAGCCAATGTTTGACAAGCAATGTGGATTGATGGCATTGAACGGACTGCCACTGCAGCCCCAGGTTATTCTCCCACCAGGCGTTGGGTCAGCCAAGATTGTTGTCACGGAGGAGAATTTGAAGTTCTTGGGCCAAATGGTTCAGGGCGTTCGGGAGTCGCTGCGCGAGGTCTTTACCGCCTGCGATCTTACTCAACTGAGGTGCGTTCTAGATATGCATACCTGACCTGAGATATGTTTTCTGCCGAAGGGAAAACAAGCTCATACTCAACCGTCATGTCTTTACTACCTTTCACTATTAGACTGGTCGCACAGGAGAAAGAATATGCTCGTCAACAGGATGTGGTGCAGAAGACGTATGAGCATATCACAGGGACGCTCGGCGCAAAAGTACAGAAGCAGATTGACAGACTGGATGCTCAGATTGCTCGGCAAAGCGCCCTGATGGCGCGTGCAGATGGTCTGCTGCAGAAAGTCATGGAGTCTCGGGAGCCCGCATTGAGTCCTGCCGAGAAGGAGTGGATGGCCGATGTGAAAAAAATGGACAAGGTCGTCAAGGCACTCGACGCAAGGCGGCACCACGTTGGAACACAGTACGAGGTCCTGAAGCGGAGATTGGCAGAGATGAAACAGCAGCTGGCGTCGGGACAGAGCATTTCTGAAGACCCTAACAGAAGGGTCAGCTACTCTCTCTTGGATCGTTCGGGAAGCCCAGATTTTACCAAGTCCTGGTCGCCACGCCGTGCATCTACTGTTGTTGGCAAGCGACAGCCTGTCAAGCAATACGGAGATGCCCAAATCAAGCCTATCGAATCGGCTATCGCTGACCAGTAAGTCTCTTTTCTCGTGGATGGGTTCTATGTTCTGTCCCTTATCGGTTTTATTCTTGTACGTCGAATGTGCTAATTCATTCCAACGCGTTTCTTCAATTGTGAATCTAGGGGGGGTATGCTGGATACGACGACAAAGATGGTGAAGGAGCTCGAAACGCGGATGGGTTCTTTGGACATCACTCACAAGCCAGCCCACTAGACCTCCTTGGTCACAAAGAAAGCAGGACCCTCTCTCCACCAGCAACATTAAAACTTTCATCGCTTTCATCAACCTCAGCTACTCTTGCAATGGGCGTTCTTTTATTTTCTTGTACGGCTTACTTCTCGCCAGTCTCTTTCTCTGACTGTCGACAAGATAAGTCTTTCACGAAAAAAGAGCTGGACGCGGTTTGATTGTGGGGTATGGACAATTTTCTTGACGCGAGCTAGGGTAAAAGACGAAAACGGACTTTTGTAATCATGACGTGAAATACCAAACTATGTTGTCGTTTAGTAGGACATGACGCGTCCTTTCATTTACCGCGCTTCGCCTTATATAATAGCTAGCAGGGCAGTTTGGCAAACAGAAAAAACTTTGGCCTTCATTACCTTTGAACATGAGAAAAGCGCGTTTGCCCATGTTCACAACTGACTGCAAAGAAGCAAAGTTATCTTGTCGGCCGAGAATGCCAAGAACCCCGGTGAGGATATCTTTTGCGCAGGAGTGGATGCAAAAGAAGAAAAAGAGTGGAAATAATAACGGCGAGTGAAAGTTTGTGCTATAGCTGGGTCCAAGTGCCAAGTGGGGTAGAAGAACAAAATACGATGGAGAGGATTCTCCACAACAAAAGGGTAATTCCACACAGGACACAATGTGCATATGCACAATTGTGCCACTCGTTCGCGCCAATCGTCCAATGGGAGACCAATTGGATGCTAGTATGCATGTTTGGTTACGAATCGAGGGTTATTAAACATGCATAACATTTTTACCTCCTCCTTGGCTCATGCATAGAAACATAAAAAATACTGCTTTCTAGGACTTTTTGGCCATAACTCTTTTTTTTTCTGGGCAGTCCGAGGACTGAATTGAGCTTGGCCAGTTGGACTATGGGAAGGAAAAACAACAAGACTCTCTTGCTCCTTAGATACCACCTGGATCAGCATGCAATTGTCACTCCTCTCCCTCTCTCTCCTCCCTCTAGCCTTCGTGCTCCATTCCTCGCCTTTATGTTCTGGATTGAACCTTACGTTGTCTACAAGATGTTGCCGTTCTTTTACTTCTCTTCCTTCTTGGCTCTTATTAACATGTGCTTATGGAAACGAGAGAGGCAGTGGTTTGTTTTGAGTTTTGTGTTTGTTGTCGTCGCACAGGGCGCTCATTTATTTTAGCCCTTTTGGATAAATGTTCACAATGGCAAGAGCGAACAAGTAGGTGGCATGTCTGAAAAGAAGGGAAAAAACGGGAATGCAGGTGAAGGCCCCTGAAAGTAGAGGCCAGACCCTTGAAATGAACGACCATCTCTGGTGTCGCTTTTTTGCCTTATTGCTCCACAGGCGTTAGGTTCCCAGCGGGATAGTTTTTTCTAGTTCAAGAACAACAATAATGAAAATGCTCACAATCCCTCCTACCTTCATGTCCACCTGCCTAGTGCTTACACGAACACAAAAAAGAGCATGTTTGGATATGTATTTGCCCCAGAGCACCGTTCTCCGCGGCTCACTATTCGCCCTGTTCCATCGCCTCCTTTTCTGCAGGGAGTAAAAAATCTGCATTCTCCACACATACATCTTTGTTCCATACACACCAACCCCTAAATGCCCCTCGGCTGCCAAGCCGCCTATCATGATCTTATCCTTTTTCTCTCGATGCATTGCAGTTTTGTCCAACCTGTTTCTGCCACACAGACAATGATGATCCTCACGAAAAATGAGGACGTGGTGTTGTGGAAACAATGCGTCCTCCTTTGTTCACTTTTTTCATTTTTCACAAATATTAAAGTCTCGTTTGTTGCAGAAGAATGGCGCTGTGGCCTTCGGATGTCAAGGGAATTTATTCTGTACTTCACTTTGCTCTTTGATCGGTCGGTCGAGGAAAAAAATTATGTTATTTTGGACGTGAGCATTGCAAGTGCATGCGCCCTTGCAGATGGTAGACACCTGTTTCTCCTCTACCCTGTACCAACGTCCTCTATTGTCCGGATAATAACAGAGAAAGCGATGGTCGTAGACAATTGGCGAAATGGGGTCGGTGATGAACAATGGAGAGGGAGGGTGTCGATAGAGTGGTTGTCGATCCCTGGAGAACATGCAAAACAGGAGTAGCGTTGTTGGTAAAGTGGATTGTAGGTAAAGTGGTTTGTTGGTTGTTGTCTTCTTTAGCTTGGTCATCTCATAGTATGAGAGCCCTTTATTATTCTCTGCTTCATGGTTCAGTTTTTCAACGAAGTGCTCTCTTCTACTAGTGTCAGTCTCCCCATCCGAACATAAATAAGACGACCTTTCCTTGTTCGATTTTGTTTTGTGTCTTTCTTCACCCACTCCTCCGTCTTTCTTTCCCTCCCCCCACACCTTTCTTCGCCTTCCCTCTCTTCCTCCATTCTCCTTCCTCTCCGTTTTATATTCTCTTTGATACTTCTCTTGGCTCGAGCCACCAGTATCTCGGTCACTCCGACATATACCCCTCACATTACTTCATCGTACATATACCCTATTCAACAGGAGAACACCTCAAACAACGAACACACGACCTCCAAAGCAAAGATGCCACCATCATCAGCACACCCCTATGAAGGAACATCCTTCACCACCACCCCCCTCCCCTCCATGGTCATCAACCCCTCGCGTCGCACCACCACCTCACCACCACGCGTCAAGAAACCAGTCCCCAATTGGCACCTTCTCGTCCGCCCCGCAATGTTCGACTCCAATCCTCGGAAATCCAATCTCGAAAAGGCCATGGACGAAGAACTCGCAGAACTCCGGATCGTCATGGACCATGCGCTAAACAATCGCATGACAGAAGCCGAGGCCCTTCTCAGAGGACGCCATAAACCGGAATCGATGTATTATCAGTTTGGAAAGGCGCTTGTGGATGCGTTGAGAGCGATTCTGACGTTCCATCCGGATGAGATTGAGAAGGCGATGAAGAGTTTTGATTTGACGTTGAAGGTTGCGGATAAGCAGCGGAAGGCGGCGAGTTCGATTGTGGGACTTGGGACGGTCAAGGCTTTGGGGTCTTGGGTTATTGGGTCGATTGGCGCTGGAAGCTTTCGGGGCATGACCAGGATCGAGAAGCATGCCGTAAGTCTCGTACATCTTTCTTTCATGCATGTTCATATTGTTTTGTTTGTTTGTTTGTTTGTTTGTTTGTATATCGGACGGACAGCGATTTATTATATTGTGAGCTGCAGGGGGGGAAACAGGAGAGCTGCTAGGGCTCAATGGGATGGAGCATGATCAAATAATAATATTCTGTTTTTTATTACTAAGAACGGCTGTGTTCGCACGAGGGAGAGCAATGATCTGGATGAGATACCCCACAACCAATGCAGTCGACCCTAAGTTAACCTTCCTTTACTCTCTTCTGCACCAATTAGGAACTGATATACGCCGAGGCGACGGTTCTGCGCGCAGGATTCAGTGTGCTCTACCACCAGGACTTCTTCTCACTCCTCGAAGAAACCGTTTCCCTCCGTTCAGCATTCGCAATCTTCAACGGCCTCAAATCCTACATCGACGCGACCGAGGCCGAACTCAAGGCTGGTGGCGATATCTCGGAACACCATATCGACGAACATCTGGTCACGGGGCTTATCTTTGCATCCTCGCTGTTCAACATTGCCATCTCTTTCCTGCCCGACGCTATCATCTCCCTTCTGCAGTTTGTGGGGTTCCCTTCGGATAGGGATTGGGGGCTGGAGTTGTTAAACACTGCAGGGATGTGGGACCCCCGAGCTGGGGACGATTCACCGTTCGAGTTTCAGGAAAGACTGGAGTCTGATAACAACGAGGGGATGCGTCGTCAGATCTGTGATATCACACCCATCGCGATTCACCTCATCGCGGCGTCGTTCTTGCCCTTTCGACATGTGGACTATTCCTTCGCCGAGCGGATCAACAACTACAACCTACACAAGTACCCGGACTCGATGGTGTTCAACTTCCTAAGGGCGCGACATGCCCAGGTGAACACGAGGTTGGAGGAGGCGATTGCGATTTATGAGTCGATTGAAGCCCAGCCCGAGTGGAGGAACTTGAAGCATGCTTGTGTATTCGAGCAGCTCATGTGTGCCATGATGGAGAGCGATTATGATCTGGCGTGTACAAAGTCAAGGGTCTTGTTGAGGGAGAGTAATTGGACAAAGACGATTTTTCGGTACCTGGCTGCTATCACGACGTTGAGGCGTGGGCTACCAAAGGAGGCGAAGCGAGTTGAGGAGTTGATGCGCAAGGTTGAACCAGGCAAGCAAAAGTTCTGTGGTGTCGAGGTCTTCCCCGAGGTACGTCCCTCTCCTCCCTCCCCCTTTTTTTTATTTTATTTTTTTTATTTTTATCTGAGGGTCCTTTGTAACTTGGACAACATTATTAACAAACTGCATTATCTTCATTCGAAAAAATAGACATTCTGCGCAAGGAAGGCAAACAGATACCTCAACGAAAACAACCGCCTCCTTCTCCCCGACTACGACTTCCTCGTCCTCTGGAACGGCTTTGACATGATGCCCTTAAAATCCCTCCGCGTGGCACTCTCCAACATCATGCTCGAAGTCCAACGTCTCGACGACCTCCTCCCCGCATCGATGCTCGCAATCTCAGAATCCCCCCTCCCCAAGGGCGACTATACCATCGAAGCCACCAAAGGCCTCTTCTCTACCTTCCGCTCCGGAATCCATACCCTCACCCGGGCGGATAGGGTACGGGGGTATGAGCACTTTTATGACGACTATTGTATTGCCAACTACTTGTTGGGACTTGTTGCGAAACAGATTGCGTTCTTTCCAGAGGAAGTGTTTGACCAAGACATGTGCTCTCTCTCCGTAAGGTCGTTCAAGACCGTCTTTCGCTACTCGCCCTATATCCTGGACGACACCTACGCATACTACTTTGCACACTACAACTTGGGATTAATCATGATGCAACTCGGACAGTTGGACGACGCAGAGTCGAAATTCAAGTACCTCCTTTCGACCATCAACCCGACGCTCCTGGGACTCCCTGCGCTTGCAGCCGGGAAGGACAGGAACTCATTACAGGTCTTGGTCTTTGCCAAGGCCCACGCCGCATTGTTCTTGCTCAACGAAGACCGCGCCATCGCCGCCGCAAAGTCGGAGGCCGGATCCCAAAAGGCCAGATCAGGACGGTCAACGTCCTCCATTGACTCGTCGGTCGTGAACTTGGACGCCGCCGTGACCAACCTCTCCGTCATCTACAAACAGCAGCAACAACAACAACAACAACAACAACAACAACAACAACAACAACAACAACAACAACATCAGCAACATCAGCAACAGCAGCAACAACAGCAGAGGAAAAGGAGCCTAGGATCTGGGTCGGTGAGCAGGACGGTGTCTGGGGGTTCAGGAGAGTATGGGCCACCGACAAGGAGCACGGCCAAGTTGACAAGGGACTTCAAGGACTTTCCTACGATCGAGGTCTACCACGAAGGGGAATATGTTTGACGAGCCGAAGAGAGGGAAAGACGAAGATTGGAGGGATACCACGATGGCAAAATGAACATACCAGCAAACTGCAAAACAGCACAACAACAGCAACAAATGACGACAACAAACTACGCAAAAGTAAAAACTTGACATGAAAAAAATGTAATTGTGATTATTTAAAAGTGAGATGAGTTTATGCAGTTGAGGGTTGGGGGGTAAAGTGAGTCGTCTAATTGATCCGCAATGTCTCCTGAATGTATAACCGTGTCTCCTCCGAAAGTTCGCCCACTAAAAAAAAAAACAATAACATTTTCAATCGTTAATACAACAGCTGCAGCACAACTCAACAGAGACAAGAACGAACAAAAAAAATAATGAAAAAAATGAGTTACCTTGACAGCAAGACTTGACGGCAGCGAGAAGAGGCACCTGTTGCTTCTGCTCACCCTTCTTCCCCCTCACTTTCTTACCGCTCTCCTCCAAGGGCAGCTCAACACCCGAATAAAACACAATCTCAATCGCACGTCTCTGAAGCGCAGGTGGGAGCTTCACAAACGGACCCATAATTGTCCTCGTCGCCGCATCACTTCCCTTGGGCGCCGCAACAGTGACACAGAAGAATAGTGACATATAACTCTGCAAAGTCTTGACAAACTGTGCCCGCTCAGCCTCCTTAATCGACGCTCCCGTAGTAGCCGCGCCTCCCTTTTCCTCTAACGACGACGCAGAAGACTCGCCCGCAATGACGGTGACCCACGCCAACAGATCCAACACAGTCTGACTGGTCTCGATCCGCTCCGTGCCCAGATCCCACAACAGCTTGGGCAGCTTCAATAAACTGGTCTCCAAAAGCTTGGACAGCTTCCGAATCGAAGCCTGCTGCTCCTTCCTATCCTTCTTTGCCAGTCCCAACAACGCCTTCCGATTACTTCCACCACCACCCTGACGCGGCGCTCCGGGCACGTTAATCGTAAACGATCCTGTGTAATGAGGGTGCGACTGCAACTTGATCACGAGCGCCAAGAACTGAAGGATCGTCCGCTTAGACCCGCTCTGAACATGTGCCTGGTGAAAGAAAGCCATCAGCGCCTCAAAGACCCACTCCCGCCGCTTAGTCTCCAGACAATTCAGGAGTGTCCACAGCGTAGGGAGCAGCGCTACCAGATGCTGAGACTTGAAATCCGTCGACATGCCGCTCATCTCTGTCAACGCCGACGACAAGCCCTTGGCCTCGTCCTCATCCTCATCATCTGAATCAGAGTCCTCAGGGTTAGACCATCCAAGAGTATCCAACACAAACTCGACAACCTGGTCTGCCCAAGGGGGTGTAACAACCTGAACCGCCACAAACATCTCCTGCTTCCCGTTTCCAGCAGCCGCAGCCACAGCCCGATCGTGTTCCGCAAACTCTTCATCATCATCCTCACTATCATAGTCCGAAGAGTCAGCTGCAGCTGCAGCAGAGGCAGTAACAGAGGCCACCTGTCGCTTCTTGGCGTCTTTGTTCGAGAGTCGCTTGGAAGACTTGAGCTTCAGATCCGCCTTGGCCTGTTGACGTTTTGACTTCTTGTCGTTCGAGGGGGCAACTGCTGATGGCTCCTTGCGCATGAGTTGTGTCCGTCCAACTCCCGATCCCAACAAGAATAATGATGTCAGCTCACAGTACGTCGTGTTCATCTCCTGCAGCAACACCGACACCTATTTTTTTTTCGTTCAGGAAATTTTGCAAATAACTGTCAATTTCACATCCCTTCCAAGCAATGTCAAGCAAATGTCGCAAAACAAAACCAAAAAAAAAAAATGGTGCAAATAAGTTACCTTGGAGTCGATCATGCCTACGGTGTCTTTGCCAAAGGGAAAGTAAATCAAGACATGTCGCAACAAACTCTGCAAGAACTCATCCAGCCACCGAACCTCCTCCCTCTCCTGCTCCCGCTCCTCATCCGTCTCAGCAGTAGTCTTCTTCTTGGGAATAGCCAAAGCAGCCCTCCACAAGATACCCCAGATCCTCAACACCAAATGCACAACCGTCAACGAATGGTTCGAATGGATGGTCGTTGTCGATGAAAATACTGTTGGTGCGGTATCCAACCAGACCGAAAGCAACAGTGGGTGCAGAGTCGCAATCAGGGGCTTAATCTGAGAAAGTCGGCCCTGGACACCTCCCATCTGATCGCCACTGGTCTTGCCACTTCCGCTGACTCCCGCGTTGGCACCGGCTCCTGAAGCACTAGCGCCTCCTTGTTGGTGGAAAACCTTGATGGCAATACTGGTGCGGGCGTTGGAGTCCTGTTGCTGTCCTCCTGCAGATGCTGCATCCCGAGTCAGGTTACCCCAAATCGACTGGGCCATCGACGAACGCGACACCGAGGGGTGCATAGGGAAAGTCGACAGGGGTTGATGGTGTCTGTGAGAGTTTCCGAACGAGATGATGGGTGATGAGTCAAAATGAAGCGATTCTGGGTTGTCGTTGTGGTTGTCTGCATGATCCTCTGTCGCGGTATCCGACGATCCTTCATCCTCCGAGTCCGAATCGCTCTCATCACTGTCGTCCTCGCTGTCACTTTCCTCCTCATCCTCGCCATTCGTCTTTTTGCGAACAGACCGACCATTCTTGGACGCTCCCAAAGAAGATGACGCCTTGCGCTTCTTAGAGCTCTTGCCGCCTTTACCCTTCGAGAGATCCTCATGAGCACCACGCTGAGTCCGTGCAGCATTGAACGCCTTGCGAGCATGAGCAGTCCCCAAAAAGTTTCTCAAAAACCAATATGGATCCTTGTCACCTCCCTCGCCACCTAGACCCTCCTGCAAGAACCCCGCCAAACTCTCCAGAACATCGCACTTTGCTTTCATGGATCCGGGGGCGTTTTTTCCTGCACTTGCGCTCGCCACGACTCCTGAAGATCCACTGTTGGATGATGAAGGAGTGGCCATCCCGCTGTTGGCCGAGGCCGTGAATGACATTGCGCTGGCGTTCTTCGAGCTGGTTGACGCGTTCGAGTCCGACGTCAACATTGACACATAGTTTGGAATAATCTATACACACACAACGTTCATCAAAAAATGAAAATATTTCGTCGTAAGCCATTGGGTGTCCTACTGAAAAAAAAAAAGAATCGTCCAAAGCAAAAAACACTGGGCATATGCACCTAAGGAGTGACAAAGTACCTTATCCCAGAACCCATTGACGACAACCTGCCCACCAGCAGCAACCCAGAGATCCATAAACTTGAGCGCATCTTCCCGAATATCGTCCAGGATATGAGTCATGGCCGAGCAGGTATAAACGATCAACAGCGGCAAGAACGGGTGGATATCGCGCGCATGCAGCATCGGAATGAATTCGCCCAAAAAGTTCTGCAACGCCTTCCTGACCACAGGCGACTATCATATAAAAAAGAGAAGGTAAAGAAACGGATAAAGTTTAGCTTGGGACGTCCGATCAACATTGCCACGAAAGAATGATAACCACAACGCCCAACAGCCCCCCTCCCCCTGGATCCAGAAATTGTAGAAAGGAGACACTTACGTCGTCGATCAACAAACGAACAATAGAATTAACGAGCACACCCAAATGAAGCGGCAACAAATGCGGGTGTCGGTGGAAAAGATCCCTCAATCCCAACAACGCATCCTTCCTGGTTCCTGGACTATAATGCTTCAATTGAGTCATCAGCTCCACAAAGGTCACATTCCTTGCGTTCGTCAACAGCGCCGTCTTGTCGTGGCTGATCGACTGACTAGGCAGCGAGATGGCTGTTCATTGCGTATGGTGATAAAGAAGAGTGGGGTTAGGTATAGATTCAGTGGAGATTGGGCAGCGAGACATGCGAAGAGGCCGATGTTAGGATGTTGAGTGTTGGGGTTTGGAGTGGTACCTTTGGACTTGAAAGACGTATCCGTGAAACTGTCCGCCACCGCCTTCTTCTTTCCCACCTTCAGCTTCGTTTTCTATTCGACAAAAAAAAACGTACACACACCATTAATAGACCATTACAACAGCCAGTAAACAGTGAAAATGAGGTTCGTTTGTTCTGGGTGTCGTGGTGGTGGTAATGGTGGGTCGGCGGGTACCTTAAAGTCAGCATTCTTCTCCTTCTTGCGTTTACTACTCGACTTTGGCATGGTTCTTTATGTGGGTGGGTAGGTGTCTCTGAATGTCCGTTGTATGGTCTGTGTGTGTCGGGTAAGGCAACTGCTCTTCTTGAGGGTCAACTTGGGCGAATGTCAGAAAGGTGTGATGCTTAGGTTCGTTGTCCGAGGAATTAACAAAAGAAAAGAAGAGCGCGGTGCAGGTTGGTTATGTCAAGGTCCTTTCTTTTCTTTTTTTTTTAACCATTGATTTGTTTACATTTGTGACTGCCATGCACTCAAAGATAATTGGGATTTTGTCCCAACTGGATTTGCGACTTGGAAAAAAAAAAGCGAATAGTAAACGCGTTCGTGTACCGTCCTTCACCACTTCGCTCCTTTTCTTTTTCCTTCAACAAGCACCACCATCCAAGCGCTTCTGACAGAGAAAAATTATGCATATTATTAAAAAGTTTTGATGTTTAAAGTATTAATAAATAGGATTAAACAACTCCTCCAGCACCAGAACCACCAGCTCGTTGCTGCTGCGTCTGTTGCTGCTGACGCTGTTGACTGGCCGCAATCGCGGCTGCCAAAGCCCTCAAATCCCCAAATGTCCCACTAGACTTGTTCGTTCTTCTCCCATCCTCGCCTCCTCCCGCAGCGGCAGGCGTAGCATCTTCTTGCCTTTCTTTTTGCCTCCGCCTCTCCTGCCTCTTCTCCTTCCTCCGTCTAGACCCATCACCAGCATGATCATCATGTTCATGTCCATGTTCATTATCATGACCACCACTTCCCTTCCCACCCTCAGACACTTCATCCTCAGAATCCGAAAGAAGAGAACCCTCAGAATCCGAAGTGACAGAAGAGATCGAAGGCGACTCGGAGGAATCCTCAATGACATATTCCTCCTCCTCAAGGACCAGCAAGTGGTCCTTCCATTCCGTCCAAGTCGACGAGATCGTTCCTGATAATGTCCTCGTCCGAAGTAGTTTGGAGCTGCTCAAAGAGGCGGAGTCCTGGCCATTGTCGAGGGACATGGGACGGGTCTTGCGGGTTGATGAGCGTTGGGATGTTCTTCTTGGTAGCGTCGCAGGTGCTGGTGTGACAACAGCAGGGCCGGTTATAGGTCTGACAACCCCGCCTCGGGGACGCACTTCGACAGTCTCCTGCTCAGCATCAAGATCGCCAGGCGCCTTCTCGGAAGCAACGACAGATCCTGATCTAGGCCCAAGGGTCCTTACAGACACAGGAGCTCCCGCAATGGCAAGCGACTGAACAACCGCAGGCAAGGTAGTTGTCGATCCCGAAGCCGACACCGGGGCTGGTTCGACCACCGGCGGTTGCTTTTGCAACGTCTCTGTCAGCTCTTCTGACGGACTCTTCACAATACTGTTCGTTGAGACTGTCAGAGCCGTGTTCAATGGCACTGGTCCCAGTCCTACTCCCGTTCCCGTTACTGCTGTTGCTGATGACTGCGGTGGGAGAGGGGGAAGCTGCTGCTGCTGCTGTTGTGATGATGACTGGGATTGGAACGCATACTGTGGCAACCACTCCTGCCTCGCTGCACTAGCAACGCTGGGACTGACAGGAGAGGGAGGGGGGTGCTGTCCAAGCTGTAACGCAGAATGATGCGTCTTGCGCCAGGGCGGCAACGATAAGGACCGTACTGCTAGATCCGTGGGTGCCGAGACTGCCGTCGGTAATGACCTCGCCTGTCGTGGAGAGGACTGCTGTTGCCGCAATGTCGACGGCGACGTGAAAGATCGATCAATTCCTTGCCCAGGAACAACAGCAACGCCGTCAGACGACCGGATCCTGGCAACACTTCCGGCAGCTGCGAGACTCTGCGGCAATGTCACGTTTGGCAGCTCATCCTGAGACTCTGTACCCGCTTCGACTCCTCCCACTGTGGTAGTAGCCGACGCCTTGGCGCCAGTTCCAGATCCTGCGACGAAAGATGGCAAAGAACGAACAAACTCAGTCTCGAACGCAGACACCAAGTTATCAAACGCCAAATGACTCGCCTCACGTTCACGTTCAGACATCTGAAGCTGCAACGCCACAGCCGCCGGTGAAAGTCCTCCAGCAGCTGCTGCTGACGACCCGGAAGGCGTGATACTCGTAGCGGCGCCCAAGAAGCTCCTCCTCCGCATCGCCTTGCCCTTCCCCCCATTACTCTTCTCTTCCGGCGACAAAAGTCCACCACCTCCACCTTCGGTAGGCGACTCGATCAAGACCCCCATCGCCCCCACAGCACCACCATCTCCACGGTGAGACTCATTCGCCCGTGGTCGAAAGACCAATCCTGAAAGACTGTCCAGAATCACACGTCGTTTCCGACCCCGCAATGCAATCTCCTGATGCACCGTATCACCACCACGCGCTGCAGGGTGCAAACCCGTCTGTTGCTGTTTCATCTGCTGCTGTTGTTGCTGTTGTTGGAGTTGCTGCAGTTCCTGAGCGGAGAAGGGCGGCTCCAGAATCGTAAGGGCCTTGGCAAGACTGAGCATCGAAGATCCTGCAGACCTCAGCATGGGGTTCGCGCCAACACCATATCCTCCATTGTTACGACTGTGTCCAGGATCGACTTCGCTCCTAGACCGCAAGTGCGCCAATGTCGGTTGCTTCCCTGCAGGTCCGCTCTGCTGTTGCTGCTGATGAGAAAGAGTCCTCTGATACTGGAGTCCAGCGACAGTCGCATAGTCGATAAGTGCCTCGACCGTCTCCAACAAGGCCTTCAAGATCCGTTGACTGTGCGTCGGCATCATCTCGATCAAGTCCTTGTAACTCCTTCCTTGCGGTCGAACAAAAAAGTCGTACAAATGCCAAGGGATCCACTGCTCCGGAGCAATCGACAGCAAATACGCCAACAACAATGCCAGGTCCTGTAACGAGAGCGGATTCAGGATGGCGTTGGTCGCTTGCGCATAGGAGTTGGCCATTCCTGACTGCGGCTTGTTGTTCCGCAGAGGAGTCGTCGGCGCGCCACCTGTAGACGGCTGTCCTCCTGGGGTGGTCGTAGGACCCGTCAACAAGACTGAGTGGGAAGAGTAGCGAGAGAGGTGGTGACTGGAGTGGGATCGCATAGGTGGCGCTGCTCCTGTTGCCGACATGGATACTCCTCCACCAGTAGCGATCAACGACAACAGCGACTGGTTCTGCGATTGAGATCCTGAGGTTGCATTCGAACCACGATAAGCCTGGACATTACTCGTGAGAACTGTGGGATCCAAGCCATCGCGGTCCTTTTCCATCCCCATCGACGATGACGACGACGTCATGACCATCAACAGCGCCTGCAAAGTCGCACGAGATTCCTGAGCTGCTTGTTCGATAGCCGCTGCGATATTGTACGAGTTGTTTGCCGACGAGAGGTGTCCGCTTCCACTGCCCGAATTGTTACCGCCGTTGTTGCCACCATTGCCGTTCGATGACCGTGACTTGTTCTTGTCCGCCTTTTTGTTACTCGAGGCCGTTGGTGGTAATGCAGCAGCACCTGAATAGGGGTTATGGGAGTCGGGAAATGGTTTCTGGCCCAAGGATGGTGGTGCATGAGGGGCATCGTCCTGCAGTGAGCCCAGTCGTTGCTGCTGTTGCTGCTTGAACACTGTGTGATATGTGCATGTATGTATAGCAATCACGAAGACAGAAGAGAGATGAAAAAAAAATTAGTTTTGCAGGAACATGGATGGATCGATGTTTGGATTGGTTCAATTCACTGTGTCGGGAAAATAAACAAATGCAAATATAAAAAAAAAGTCGATGTATGCCATGCCCACGCAATCTCCATGCGACGAAGGGGACATGGGACTGGACTGGATTGGATTGGGAAGAGGGGTCCAGTCCATACAAAACATCATTATTTTAGCATGCATGCATGGATCGCATGGATTGCGAGGACACCGATAAAAAGAAAAAGCAAAAAAAAGGGGGTAGGCGCATAGGGAGGGAAAAGGGAAAAAAAGCAGAGAAATGGGAAAAAGGGATGGGAAGTAAAAATCATAAAAGGTATATGCAACTTCCACTACTGCTACCCTTTCTCTCTCCATCGTATCATCGCTGGTTCGCTGCGTTATTTCGTTACCTCGAGTCTTGATCTCGTTACAACAACAGATCATGCTCCACTTGAACTGCTCGATCGTCAATGCCGTATTCGTCGCACCAGCAGTGCTAGTAGCACTGGTGATGGTGTTGTTAAGAGGATTCCTGCCGTGATGGAGAATGCCATCGACCTGAAACAATTCTCCCTCCCCGGGTCCGGGCGACCGAGAAGAAGACCATAGAGAGGTGGGATTCAAATTGGTTGTTACCCCTCCTCCTACTGCATCTCTTCCTCCCATGCCCCCTTGGCCATGGGCTTGACCTCCACCAACTGGATTTGCCCCTCCTCCTGCTGCAGCAGCATTCGAAGATGATGTTAGAGTTAGTCCTCCGGTAGATGATCCAGTCGACGGAGAAGTAGCCGTCTGGGAGTTGTTGTTGGTGTTATTATTGCTACCATTGCCGCTGATAAATTTGGCAAGGTTCGAGGTCATAAGGGACGAGGGCAAGAAGGACATGCGTCGCTGGTGTTTCTTCACCACTGCCGCAGGTTGCTGCTGCTGCTGCTGCTGTTGATGAGGCCATCCCTCTGCCACGACTGGTAAGGACGCGGTAGGAGAGGAGGTTGGTTGCTTCGAGGAGGAGGATGGGGTCGGTGCAGCGGGTAACGAAAGTGTCGGTAAAACGATGGCAGGAGGGACAGGTGGGAGGCGTGACTGCCCCTGGGAAGAATGCACCGCGGGTTCATTTGATGCGGGTCTGTTGTTGATGTTGCTGCTGTGGCCATCGTCCTCGTCGCTCTCCCCCTCTGCAACAATGGCGGGTAAAGGCTTGTTGGGGTCATAAACGACTCTGCCCCTGCCTCTACAAGTGCTGCCAATGACCTGCTGATGGCCTGTTCCTTCCAATGCAGAGGGGTAATGGCCACCTGTGGTCGAAGGCACGGCCGGCAGCAACGCCTCTTGCTGTTGTATCGTCAACACCTCCATCTTTCGTGCTGGTGTAGGGGCAGAAAATCGCTTAAAGGTCGATCGCTTCTTTTGAGGTTGATCCTGTTGCTGAGATAGTTGTTGTGGATGAGGAGCTGGGTATAATTGCTGAGATTGGTAGCGATGATGGTTGTGATAGTTGGGGTGCTGGTGGACGGCCGAGGTCGAAGGCGACGTTGGGATGATGGTCGCACTAGCAGAGGGAGCGGACCTTGCTGAGAGAGTGGCAGCAGGCATGGAGGATCGTCTACTCCGAAAGGGAAAAATTGTCGTCCACGACCTCCTCTTGGCCGAACCAGGAGATGCAAAGACGGTTGGATCGTCAAACGAGGCACCCTTGGGATGATGGCTATTGCTGAGACCGCCTCTCCCTCCTGTAATCCCTCCGCTGGCTCCTCCGCCTCCGCTGCCAAAGCGAGGGTAAATGTCCCGTATGTTGACGTCCCTGTCCGTGGCCGAGGGATCAGAGAACCAAGGATGGGTCTCCAAGCCTCTCACGAATTGGATGAAAAGTGGTGGAGGTGGACAAGGTGTCGAAAGAGAGAGAGGGGCTGATCCAAAGACAGAGACTGACTGTTGTTGTTGTTGTGAGCCAGTTGGGAAATTGGTTGTGGTTGTTGTGCTCTGCTGTGGATTGCTGGTGGAGCTGTGTTTGTCTTTTTGTTTGTTCTTAAAGGGGTGGGTGAATGTGAAAGAAGAAGGAGAGGGGAATGCCCAGGATAGAGGTCTCCTTTTGGTGGTGGTGGTGGTTGGAGGTTGTTTGGAAGGGAGTGAGGGAAGAGGAGTCTCCTTGACCGGGAGGTTGACAATAGGCGAAGAAGGAGGTGAAGAAGAAGAAAGAGGAGAGGATGCTGCAATGGTCGAGACAGCAGCAGGAGAAAGAGTCGACAAGGCTTGTTCTGCTGGTGTATCGATTTGTGCACCGACGAATAAAAATCGATTTCCAGTGACTTCGAGCTTGGACTCCTGAGGTTGGTGGGGTCGCTGAGGGGCACGAGCACTGTTTGACCTTCGAACAACAACAACAGCTGACGACGAAGAAGACGACGCAGGGGAGGAGGATGAGGCCGAAGAGACAGTAGGCGTGGACGCAAAGACTACAAGCTCGGGGTGAGGGTGAGGGGGAAGAGGGGCAGGGTGCTGAGGTGGGTATGGCGATGGAGAAGAAGGGATACGCGAAGAAGAAGACGAAGAAGAAGAAGAGGAAACAGAAGAGGAAGTGGGAGTAGAAGCAGAAAGGGTAAGGGAGAGTTTCTTTTTATGCGGAAGGTTTGGAAATGTCGATTCGGTGTCAGCAGCAATAATGGCAGTGGTGGCAGATAAGGTTTTTCTTACTACTCCCGTCGTCGTTGTTGTTGTCGGTGTTAATGCGGCGAATGCGGGAAAAGGAGCGGTACCACTCGTTGTTGTCGCTGTTGTTGTTGCTGTTTGTACTTGTTGATGGGGTAATGGATGCACAAATGTAAACAGGGTGTTGGGGGTGACCTCGATATCCGACGACAGGTACGACTCTTCACTAGACAGCGAGAGGATAGACGATCGAGCCGTGTCCACTGATGCTGACCGGTGTCGCTGTCTTTGTTGTCGCTGTTGATGTGGGGAGGTGGGAGGATGGGGATAAGGAGACAATGATCGAGGACGATGCGACCGAAACGAACGCGAACTCGAACGAGAAGAAGAGTCGGATTCTATTCTGAGAGGGGCGCGCGTAGGCGAGATGAGGTTGTAAAAGTGGTGGCGATAATGATGGTCAGACTGATCCTGGCTGGGGACAGTCTTGTAGCAATAGGGACACCAGGTATGGATGGTCGAGAGGGAAAGGGAACTCTGGTGTGGTTGAGGTTGATGTTGGTGTTGGTGTCGTTGAGTAGAAGGATATCGTCCTCTAGATTCGTCTACATCTAGCAGGGATCCCGCTCTTGAACGCGACTTTGCTCGTTGTTTCCCTTTGTCTCGTCGGGAAGGAGCAGTATTCTTGGCCTTGATTTTAATTGGACGAACACTGGTGCCAGTAGAGGTAGCTGCAGCAGCAGAGGCGGCAGCTTTCTTCTGGCGTCGGCGCTTAGACCCTGGATGCTGAGGGCGGTTACGGTAGATCGATGGGATGGAACCAGAGAGGTCTGTTGAGAGACTGGATGGTATGGAATGAACAGTCAGTTGGGAGGGAAAGTGAACAGACGTTTGGAACACTGTAGGAACACCATCAATATCACTCTTGTTGATGCAAGTTGGATATTTTGTGGAGGAAGGAGCACAGGTGCAGCCGAGTCGAGAGAGTCGTTTGATTATCCTCGAAAAGTAGCCGAGGGAGCGGTTGGAGGGGACACGAGTCTTCTTCTTGGTCTTTGTGATAGTTGGAACAGAAGTCGACTGGGTTGAATGCGGATGTGAAGTAGTAGAGATAGGAAGGGTAGGAGGGGGAATGAGAAGAGGGGCAAGTTGGTGACGAGTGGATGCTCCTGTGCGCCGTTGACCTTGCTCTCGTTGCTGCAGCTGGTGCTCTTGCTCCTGTGGCTGTGTCTGCTGAGATTGTTGTTGCTGTGGAGCTGCTGAGCTGTCGTCGACTGTTGCTGGTCGCTGTTTGTATTGTTGTTGTCGTTGAGAGGGAGCTGGTATGGGGTCACGACCAGATCGTCTCCCTTTATGACAGTGACGATAATATTCAGTCTGGGTGAACGGTTCCTGTAGAGCCTCAAACCGATACTGTGCCTCGTCGAGCTCTTCCTCTTCTATTTGGTTGCTGTCTTTGTCCTCGTTGTTGTCGTCGTCGGTGTCAGAGTCGTTGACAAAACCTTGATGGTTCTGACGGTACTGCTCCTGAGCAAGTTCCTGCAGATGACGACGTGTTTGGTTATGTCGATCATATCCACTTCCACTGCCGGTGGCACTTGCGCTTCCACTGTCGAGGAGATGATGATGTGTGTAGACCTGGGTTTGGGTCTGGTGTGAAGAAGAGGATAGATGGGAAAGGAGCTCATTGCTATCTACGTTGACGTTACGTACGCTGAAGAATGCACCTGGGTTTCCGCCGTAGTTCGTTGATGTTGTCGCTGAGGTAGCAGTTTGAGGAGGATAGAGGTGAGAATGATGTTGGTTCGTGTGTTTGTGGAATGGGGTGGGTGCGGGTAGGACAGAGGGGAATGAAGATGATGTCGAGAGTCTGTTGTTGGCGGGAAGAGCGAAAGGGGAGGCAGAATGAGATAATGAAGGAAGACAGGATGTGGATGCGGATGCTGAGGCAGATACCGTGGATGTTGTGTAGAATAAAGGCGGGGTGGAATAGAGGAGGACAAGGTCTGGTGGCGAAGGGGAGGTAAAGATAGAGAGGGTGATGGAGGAGACGCAGGAGGAAGAAGAGGAGTGGCGGGAAGGGGAGTCTTGTGATGGTGGGATGGGACTTGAATGGGAAAAGGGATGGAAGGAAGAAGAGGAAAGGAAGGAAGGTGAGAGGGAGGGCGACGGAGGATTATCAGAGGAGGTTGACGAAGAAGTGGAAGTGGAAGTGGAAGACAAGGGTAAAGGTAAAGAAGAGGAAGAAGTAGAGGGAGATGGTGGAGGGAGAGGAGGCAGCGGGTTGGGGGCTGGGAAGATGACCATGTCTAGTTCTTCACTTCACTTTTCTCTTTCCTGATGAAAGAGAGGAGGCTATTCAATTCATTCATAGACAGGGGGACAGGACAGGGGGTCAGTAAGAGGCGATAAATTGCTGGTGGCGAATTGAAATATACTATCGTTCTTTATGCTCATAATGAAATTGGCGGGAAAGAAAACACAGCAACGATGACGGATGTGTGGAGGGAAGAAACAGACACCATGACAAACACAGACGAGAGACAAGAGGGAAGAGGGAAGTGGGAAGAAAGGAGCGAGGGAAGAAAAATCCAACCGCCGCTTACGGTCTGTGACTCAAATCAGGCATGCCATGCTTTGTGTCTGGGATGGGAAGGGAAAGTGCAAGTAGAGGACATGGTTGTTATTTTGCCGCCTTTTTCTTTCCCTTTGGATGTTAAAAAAAAAGATAGTGCGACTGGGATGACAAACCCGCTCTCAACCCAGCGCAGACACGCCCATCCATCGCTCTTCTTTTCTTAACATAAAGAGACCTTTTCAGCTGTTGTTGACTTTGCCGCTGCTGCTGAGTTCTGTCCTTATTTTCTTTGTCGTTGTCCTTGTGAGAGTGCTCTCTCGCATGCAACAAACTTCCTTAGTCCCCTGCTCATCTTTTCATTTAGATATATCCCTGTTCTTCCCCTTCATTAGTCTTTCTTTGCCCTTGAACCTTGTCCTGACCTGTCTGTTTGTCTGTAAACCCGAGTAAAAGACAGATGACTGACACCAGTAGCATAATCTTCGTATCCTGTCTGCATCAATACATCATCCACCAGTGCCTGCCTATTCCCTTCCCCTTCCCGCACAATTTTCTTCCCGTCGCATGAATGAAAGAAAAGTTGACGACTGACAATTCATTTCCTGCGGAAATCACACCTGTTTTCTTCCTGTGCTGCTGTCGTTGCCCTCCCATTCACCCCTTGTTTGCGTCGGCGATAAACAAATGCAGGAAAGAAAAAATAGCCAAAGATCAAAAAATGAACCCTACCTTCAGTTGGCCAAGATAAGAAAAGGGGGGGAGGCGTGCAGGCGAGTGGGCGGCAGGATTGGGTACAAAAAAAAAACGACCTTGTGTTTCCCTCCTTTTTTTGCCGTCGAGTTTGGTGGAAGAGAGTTTTCTCCGCGGGTAGGTTGGTTGACAGAACAGTAGGCGGGCCGTGTGATCAACTGGTATCGTAATAGTCGTGGCGGTAAATATATTGTTGACGATTGTAGCACGATAGGTTGGTGGATGGAAGACGGTTGTTGAGAGTCTCGCCACTTGTCTTTTCCTTCACTTGTTCTGTTGTGTTTGAGTTTCTCAATCGAACACAAAATTAAACTCTGTCAAGGTGTGACAAGATGAAAGAGAGAAAAAGAAGCGGCACTGCTGTGTCCTTGTTCCTGTCTGTGTTGTTGATGTTGTTGTGTCTTCCAATGAACAAAAGGTGAAAAAAAGGAAAACCTTGAATGGATTGGCGGGAAGGAAAAAAAGAGAAGGGAGGCCCGCGAATCACAAGTGATGTATCCTGGACTGTTGGTTTTATGCTTGGTGGAGCTGGAAGGGGTCGTGGAACCAGAGGAGGTTGAGTGTGTGCGAGAAGGAGGAGGTTGTTTCCTTGCTTGAACCAAAGAAAAAAAAGTCGACGGGAGCAGGACAAAAGAGTCGATATAGAAGAGGAAGAAGGTAAAAAGGAAGAAAGAAGAAAAAGAAAAAGGAAGTCAAAACGAGACCAAGACAAAGTGATGGAGGCTATCATTCCGAGCCAATGGATCCTCTCCTTGCATGCACCCTTTCTATATTAATTGCTACCCTCGAGGAGAGTAGAGGAGAGGAAGGAGTGTGTGTTCCTGTTTGATGAGAGAATCTGGAGCAAGGAGACTGACCGAGGGAGAGAGCTCAGCAAGAGAGAGACGGAGGAAGGAGAAAAGGGGGGAGCGAGGAGTTCGACAATCAATCGAAGATGCAGATATATGAATTATTGTAAGAAAGGGAAAGGCATTCACTTGAACTCACACACCCACGAGAGAAAAGAAAGGGGCGGATGCAGTTGGGGTTGCGAGCCAAAGAAAGAGCGAGGAACTTAAGATGAAGTACTCGCTCACGCGCTCTTTCACAGTTACCAGATGACAAAAATAGGACAAAACATGTATGGTCAATGAGATGAATGTAGACCGTGGCACTCGTTCAGGGATTCCAGGTACGCTCCTGTGTTCATTTGTATCCGTTACTCTCGCTCTCTGTTACGGTAATGTTCCTGAACAAACAAAAAGATAGCCGTTAAGCGTTGAGGGGTTCAGGACAAGGATGGATGTTACGATGAAGAGTAAGGGACATAGATCCTAAAACACTCTGTTGCATTCCTGCTATTCGTTCCAAGCCAGTGCTTGCTCGTTAGTTCTCTTCTTGCTCCTTTGTTTACTTGTTTATAAATATTAGCCAAAAGAACAACCCGATAACAGGGGCAAGGGGCAAGGAGGTAAATGGTAAGACGAGTCAAAGAAGGAATGGCGGGAAGGATATAATTCAAAGGGAATCCTCCAGGAACACATCCTCACAGGTACCGCCGGCTCCACCTTTTGTCCACTGTTTATGTTTTATGTCCCGTCTCTTCGTCAAGGAGGTTTCTAACTCGTAGTTGTGTTGCTTAAAAAAAAAAGAGGTAAGAGGGGTTCATAGGAAGGGGGTCATGACCAATCCATCCATCCATCCATGGGATAAAAAAAGACTGCTTCCGCACTGACCCTCCTTCCTCCCCCGTAGACCACAGATCACACACTGCTGCACTCGCATAGAGAGCGGTGCCAGTTTCGTTGTCTTTGTACTTTCAGATGGGGTCGAAGGAGCATAACCAAACGAGAGCCCTTTCTCTCTCTCTTTTGCAATAATGAAACGTATCCAGGAGGTGTCAAAATCTTGGGGGTTGCGTTTTTGCTGTTGTCCTATTATCCTTTGCCACTTCATGGCACGAACCACATCCAGATAAAAAACTCACGGGGGTGCAGGTGGTGGTTGTCCCTTACAGACTAGAATAACGGATAAGGGGGGTTGACAAAGACACAAAGGGGTGAACATGCTGTCGAAAAGGTATATGCATCTTCCATTTATTTGCCTTTCTCTCTTCTCGACAAGTTGCGGATCATTGGTTTTGGCGACAAAGGCAGCATTGAGGCTGTCTCCGTGTATCCTCGAAGGGATCGAGTTACGCATGGAATTAATGCTTTCTAAATGTTCATTTGCAAGGAAATAACGAATCAAATAGCCTCGGATGAGCTTGTCCTGGACAAGCTTGCTATCTCAATAAACATACCCCAGGAACGTTGTGCGCAGACCCCACCTAGTCGATCTATGGGGGGACAGATATCAGATCCTCTTCCCCAATTCATCTTAGGTTCCCCATGCATCCTAGCATCCAATCCACCCCCCACCCCCCCCATAGATATATCAGCCCCACACTCGGCCACATTCCATTCCCCCAATTCCTCCTCTTTGTTTCCTTGATCCCTTTTGTCTCGATCGGATAGAGGGAAGTAATATAACAAAAAAATTGTTGAGCGGAGTACCTAGTCCCCAAAAGTCTACCCATTGACCCCACAGTCCGAGGTAGTGATCGAGGTGATCGCGGGCATCGAGCAAAAGGGTCGTCCGGGGTCTAGAGAACAAAAGAGAAAAATAATAAGCGAGTACGTATCCCTCTTTTTACTTTTTGCCATTCCTCCCCCATCACCAGCATGGCTGTTATTGATGGGAAACAAATGATGACTTATTAATCGGACTGAATGTCTTGATCCAGTTCACACCAATATAAAAGACATCCACATCCCATTTCTTTCCTTCTTCACAAACCAACAAACAAGACAACCCACCCACCAACTTCAACAACCAAAACCAGCCAAAACAAGCAAAAGCAAGATGACCGAAGCAACCAAGAACCTGTCGACCGCGGCCATGTCCAAGATCCTCGAGGGCAAGAGCAACGAGTACTCGCTCCTTTACTTCCCCTTCCACGGTGTCGTCCCCGCCCTTCGTGCCATGCTCGCCATGTCCGGCGCCAAAGTCACCTTCACCCAGCCTGATGTATGTCGCACTTTTTCACATTCTATCCGTATCGATCTCTTATTCCTACCTCAACTCATGTACAACGACTAACCATGCTTTCTTTCTTTTTCAACCAAAATGTAGGACTGGCCCGTGGAGAAGAAGGAGACGCAGTTTGGACACATGCCGATCCTTTACGTGACCGACCCGACCACCAACCAAACCCTCCCCCTCACAGAACTCTCAGTCCTTGAGGAATACATCGGCCGCAAATACAACTTCCTTGGCTCCAACTCCTACGAAGCCAACCAGATCCTGGCCTACAGCAGCTCAACCCAATCCTTGTTCGACAAATTCGTCACCCTGGTCATCCGCACCGCCGACCCCGATCTCCGTGCCAAGATGATGGAAACCTTTGTCAACAGCTTCATTGGCGAATGGGCAGAATTCCATGAACGTGCTCTCCAGGCGAATGTCGCTGCGGGGATTGCAAAGATGGGACATTATGTGGGCGAGGAGGTGTCGTTGGCGGATTTGAAGACTGCGGCGGCTGCGATGGTGATGATGAAGGTTTCTGGGGACAAGTTTATTAGTGAGGAGAAGACGCCTGCGATGATGGAGGTTTGTAAGGCTGTGGGGGCGGATGAGAGGTACAAGAAGTGGAGTGCTTCTGAGGATATGAAGTTGTTTAACGAGGTCACCAAGAAGCGCTTTAGTCTGTAAGCGTGCGGGACCCTTCTTAGTCTTAGTCTTGCCCCTCTATCCCAATAATACAATTCGACTATTCTTTTTATATGGACGTTGGCATTGGGGTGAGAGAGAAAGAGATATGTTCACCCTAAAAATTGGTGTAGGAATGTACGCGTTGGATATACTTTGGGATTCCTTCTCAGCAACACCTGCAGCTGCCACCCTTGCATCGACAAGTAAAGTAACGGCTGTTCCACTGTGGAGCATTAGCAAGTATAGGGATGAGCGCTGACAAATAGACACAAAGGTTGACCACTCTCTGTTTGTTCGTCGAGTGGAACGTCCATCCGTTTATGGGGATGGCGTGAAATGATCTCATTGTTGTTGTAGGAAGGGTCTGCGCTTTGCGCTCAAGGGTCTGAAAATTGCCTAAATTTCGATCGGCGAAGGGTGGGATTTTTTTTTTCTTGCAGACGCAGTTCCGAATTCCTCCACACCTTTTCTACTTTTGTGCAGTTATCCTTCAACGCGTGAATGAATGAGTGCGGCGCATCTTTATTGATGGTCTGACTGGTCATGAATGAGAGAGAGAGAGGGAGAAAGACGCCGCTTTTTTTATTTCCTTTTGCCAAATTTATCTTCGCGAAAATGCTAACCCCATCACGCAGCATTGACCAGTCTTCATAGGCATTAACGCACCAGTGGCGCAAAACAAGGAAGACAAAAAAGATGTATAAGAGGAGGGACCATTCCTCCCGATTTTCTCATCATCAAACCATCCAAACAGCAATCTACACTCTCTTACACAATAATAACCAACAAATCTCTTCTCCTCCTCCTTACCCCTCAATCACTCAGAAACAACGAAAAAAAAAATGGTGACTCCATCAAAGGACATTTCGACAGAGACTATGTCGCAGATTGCGAAATCAAAGGACAACAAGTACGAGCTTCTCTACTTCCCCTTCCATGGTGTCCTCCCCGCTCTCCGTGCCATGCTCGCCATCTCTGGTGCCGACTACACCTTTACCCACCCCGTCGTAAGTTCATCCTTCAAATGCCTTCCTTATCGACACTTACCATTTGTTCCCCCCATTTTCTCTTCGTTACTCATTGCTCTTCCTTTTCTTGATATCCATTAGGACTGGACAAAGGAAAAGTCAACAACACCATTTGGATCCCTCCCCGTTCTCTATGAGACAGACCCCACCTCGGGCCACACCCTCGAGCTCGCAGAACTCTCTGCCATCGAATCCTACCTAGGTGACAAGTACGGTTGGATGGGCGACAACCTTTGGGAAAGAGCGCAAATCCAGATGTATCATTCTTCGACCCAGGCGGTGTTTGATAAATGGGTGACGACGGTTGTGAGGGCCCCCAAGGAGAACAAGGAGCAAATGACGGAGATTTATTTGGAAAAGATCTTGCCAGAGTGGGTTGAGACCCATGAGAGGGGTTTGCAAGGCAAGAGGTGCAACGGACATTATGTTGGTGACAAGGTATGTGGTTTTTTTTTTTTTTTTTTTGTTCATGTGAAATGCGTGTAAGAAAAATATATGTAAACCTGCAATGATCTTAGCACACACATCCACTGACACAATTTTTTTCCCCTCCCTCCTTTCCTTCCAATAGTTCTCGATCGCAGATCTGAAGACAGCAACAACGATCGACAACCTGATCTCAATCTCGGGAGAGCGCTTCCTCTCGCGAGAAAAGACTCCCGCCATCTTTGCAGTCTACGACGCCGTTGAGAAGATGCCCAAGTACGCGGTCTGGAAGGCGAGTTCTGAATGGAAGGCTTATGATGAGCTCAACAAGAAGCTCTTTGGCTTTTAAAGTAAGGCAGGGATGGTTTCGAGAGACAACTGCACATGATGCGCACCAACAAAAAAAGGAATGCACCAACACCGCATAGGAATAAAGTTGCAATTTCGCATGCACCTCGTAGATCTCAACTAAGTGTTGGGAACACAAGAACGAGGGTCGCCGAGCAATGAATGCTGGTAGGAACAAAAAATAAACACACTCGTATGAAACGAATAACACCCATAGCTATCTCTTTTGCTCAAGAAAAAAGTTTCGCAAAAGCAAACAAAGCGCGAAGGTTGGTGGTGATAATGTGGATTATTGTGCTGAACTGTACAATGGAGATTGCTACTCGATCGTCGTAAGGAAAACACCCCCGGAGCGCAAGCAGACAGTGCAGAGATGAAATGGGCTGAAGCAAGAATGTCGAGTTGCAACTAATTTGAGTCATTTCATCCGTGCATTGTCTGTCTCTGCCTGACCAGGCGGAAGGAAAACGTGTGAGAAGTACAAAGCCGAAGAAAGAGAGTTTATTCATAGACCAAGCGCGTAAAAGAAGCATAGGAAAGTAATTAAATCAAAAAGGATAGTTTGAGTTTGTCATCTCGACCAGCAAAGGAAATTGAATGACAAAAGGACCATGTCCAAATGGGGCTCGCAATTGCCGAACAGGCGGAGACGGGGTTGATAGAAAACAATTGCACACATCCCCCAACCTTTTTTTTTCTTTTGAGCCCCGCATCATTGTCCCTTTGATCGTCATGAACACACACAGGAGAATGAGAGCGACCAAGTATTACGCCCAATTGGAGTAACGGAGGACCCTGGAAAAGGAAAACATTCCGAGTGCTTGTTTTTGTTTGTGCGCAGCATTGACAATAAAAAGGTTAGTCAACACTCAGAAAGATTGAAAAGTGCAGCAGGGCAGGATGGATCCCCGGTTGCAAACATGGCTCCATCTATGAGCTGGCATTGAGAAGTAAGGATCGCATCCTTTTCGGGCAGTTTCTCTCATAAGAACGTGTGCGTTGTTTTTGAGTGCTTGATGTCGTTGGATGAGCTCATCTGTTTCAAACTTTCACAATTTCGCATAAATAGCCAACCCACTGCCTTAATTTTCTGTCTCTCACTCATCAAGACTCATCAATCAATTTCTTCTCCACTCTCACTCTCACTCTCACTTTCTCACTCTCTCGCTCTCACTCTCTCTCTCCTAAAAAAAAAATGATTGCACCATCCACCTCAATCTCAGATCTGATCCTGGCCAAGGAAAACGTCCACCATTTGACTTACTTTCCCTTCCACGGCCTCGCTGGTTGCATCCGTACAGTCCTGGTCCTCTTGGGCGAGCCCTACGAGAACCACACCCTCTCCTTCAGAGTACGGCCTAATTTTTTTTGTGAGGATTGACACTGTCAAACGACGTTTCTCCCATGTTAACATATCAATTACTTTTTATTCTCCACTTGCCGACCATTAGGAATGGATGGCCCAGAAGCCATTGACGCCCTTTGGACATATCCCCATCCTCCGCGAAGAGACCAAATGCGGCAAGGTACACACACGCGTATAACAGTCAGTCATTTTCTCTACTCATGTCGATTCGATAAGTATTCCTTTTCTCACCTTTGTCCTCTGCTCCTTTCTTCTTCTCCACACCCTCTACCCAGTCCTTCGAAATAGCAGAGATCTCTGCCATTGAATTCTTCCTCGCAAAGCGCGCAGGCAACTTGCTTGGAAAGGACTTTTGGGAAGAATCCCAGATCAGGATGTTCCACTCTTCCACCCACGCCCTCATCACCTTCCTTATCCACACCGTCGTCCAGTCCCCTCAGTCCGATCGCGCCGCCTTCTTGGCCAGGTTTAAGAAAACCAATTTACCGCAGTGGGTCAAGTCCCATGAGAAGTATTTGGTGGCTAATGGGTCCAATGGACACTATGTTGGAGACCAGGTAAGGTGTTTTCTTTTTTTTTTTTTTTTTTTTTTTTTTTTCGTTTTTTGTTTTTTGTTTTGTATCCTGGACTGTCCTGAAGTTTACCATATTCTCCTCGCTGGAGTACCTTAACCAACTAACCAATGAGCATAACCCATGTTGTTCCTGCCATGGTCCATAGTTGTCGATTGCGGATATCAAGACGGCGTCGGTGGTCGAGCATTTGATTAACCTGACCAACGGAGAAGGAGAAACGCCCCTGGTCTCTGAAGAGTTGACCCCTGCCATCATGGCCGTGAAGAACAACCTCGAGAAGAACCCTCAATATGCAGAATGGAGAGCTTCGCAGCAGTACCAAGAGTTCACCGGCGGCAACCTTGGCTTCTTTGGTTTCTAAATATCCATGCTCTGACAGAAACGAATCTTAGATGAAGCCCCCTTGGCGTGTCCATGAATATATCCAACGTAAAAACACAGGTGTTTGTGGATTAAGTGGTTTTTAATTAGTCTGGGTACATGGTATTGAGTTTGTCTGGTCCAAGTGGCGATACAGCAAAAAGTAAATCCGGCTCCCGCCCCCGATCCTGCTTCCTTCCAAATCCTGAAAGTCGAGCAATTGTGGCCTTAGGCGAGTCCGCAGATGGAAAGCTCCCTCATCTGCTGCAAGATGCCATCCGCAGCCGCCTCCAGCTCATAGCCCTCCGTCTCGGGTGGGAAGAACTGTCTCAATCCCTCCAGCGTGTTATGGGCGTCCTGTGCAAAGCTCAACTGACTCTTGACAACGGCCTCGAACGAAGGGTCCAGGTACGCCACTCTTGCATCGACAATCTTTGGCAGCTCAGACGTCAACTGAGCATTCATGGTCTCATAAGCCTCCCTCAACGCGTTGGCTTCATGTTCTGCGCGGGGCAGTCTCGTAGAGTCCTCTGACGGCTTCTCGACCAGCTTGCGGACTTTTGAGCGGGCGGCGTCATAGTCGAGGAGCTTCTTATTGCGACGACGCGTGGCTTCGTTGATCTCGGGAAAGTAGGATGCATATCGACCGATGGGTTCCAGCACTGCTGTCCTGTACGAAGCATCCTATCAAGCACACAGGAGTAAAATGAAAATGTTAGGAGGTTGTGGATCTAGAGTACTGATTTTGATGCTCCTGGGCATGTCCTTTGCCTTCACGCCAGGTGGCCTCTCGGAGTATGAATACGACATAACTAAAGGGGGCTGGTCGAGAGAACGAGGGGACGAGTGAAATAGTCCAAGTTGCTTATCCTGATTAAGCATTATGCACAGAGTATGTTTCTTTGCTTCGTACCAATTCATCCTGGGCCTGCTGCTCCAGTCTTCCAACGGCCTCCTTGTACTTCACACCGTAGACGCCCATAGGTGCTCCATCGTCATAGAATTGGTCAATTGTCGAAGCAATTTTGAGTTGTGATCCCGTCATATCTACACATAAAGAACGGTATTTTTGAGGTTAGGGTTTCTCGTCATCGTGTGTTCTTTTTGTGTCTGTTGGCTTGGCGAAGGAGTAGAAGGTCTAGAAGAGTCAGGAAGGGACACAGCCGTCGATAGCGTCACAAGGTGGTGTTTTCGACTTTTTTTTTTTTTTTTTTTTTTTTTTGGTTATCTGCTGTTGGTGAGCAGATGGCAAAGAAAACGAAGAGAGTTCGTTATGTCGATGGGTTGAAATATTGGTTGGAGGAGGTGGTTACTGAGAACACCCTTACTTTTGACAGACTGAGAGTATCCCACTGCTTCCTTGTGAAGCCTTTCAACCTTTTGATCCAAGCTATTAGTTGAAAAAGAAAGAAAAGGTTGGTGGTAGAGTAAGAGAAAAGAACGACGACGAAGAGTGTGATACGCGATTGAGTGGACGTCTGTGGAGTGAAAAGGTACCTCTTGAAGCGGCGTTCCTCTTCCTCGAATTCGCGGTCGGAGGTCCTATCCAAACTTCCGGTCTTTGAGAGGACGGAGGTGGTTGCCCGGTTGAGGTTCTTCTTGAATCCTGACCTATGTATCCATTGAGGAAGGAGGATGACAGGTGGGCGACGCTTGTTAGTTGGTGTTAACGTGAACAGTGTTGAGATTAGGGTGTGACGCGAGTGTGAATGAGTTGTTGTGTGTTCTTTACCAACTCATGGTTAATGTGTATATGTGTTGTAGTAGTGAGAGTGAGGGTGTGAGTGAGTGGAGAGTAGGGAAGGTGGTGATGCGTGTGAGTAGTTGATGAAAGTGTTGGTGAGGGACGAAGGGGTTGATGAGTAGTAAAGGACAAGTGCACGAAAAAGAGAGAGAGTGTGTGAGAGAGAGCTAAGAGGGAAGAAGAATCGATCGCATGGCCTGCCAAATTGATTTGCCACCGAGTACACATGAAAGATAAAAAAAGGCACAGGCACACACCCGTAAAGCGAGGAGCGACGCCAGGTCCTTTTCTTTCTCTTTCCTCCTCTCCTCTCTTCTCCTCTCTTCCTCCTCCTTCCCTACTCCTCCTCCCCTCACTCCACTCTTTCGACGACCATGACCACCCCCGTCTCCGAACAGGACATCGCACGGGCGAACGCCATCAAGGAAGAGGCCAACATTCTCTTCGCCAGTACGTTTACTTCACTCCTCCACCTATTGACTGATTCATACGTTCATACAAAGTCTGATCTAACAAATCGCACCTTCCACTCTTGACTTTTTACTGATTAGACAAGAAGTTTGAAGAGGCCATTGAGAAGTATACTGAGGCTATCGAGGTCAATCCCAACGTCGCCGCTTTCTACGCCAACAGAGCCTTTGCCCACACAAAGATCGAGGCCTATGGTGCCGCTATTCTGTAAGCTGCATACACACAGTCACCGCCATTCAACTGACAGCAACTCATTCAGCCAAAGGAAGATCATGATGAGCTCAGGGGCTGACATTTGTTATATTTTTTTTGTTGATCTTGATCTGGGCTAGTGATGGAGACAAGGCAGTGGAGGTTGACCCAAAGTACGCCAAGGGATACTATCGTCGTGGAGTCGGCAAGTACGCCCTCGCCCGCTACAAAGAGGCTGCCAAGGACTTTAGAATTGTGCTCAAGATTGCGCCCAACGACAAGGACGCCAAGCTCAAGCTGGACGATTGCGACAAGACCGTCGCTAGGATGGCCTTTGAGAAGGCAATTGCCTCCAACGAGGTTGTCAAGAAGGTCTCTGACTCGATCGACACCCAGTCCATTATTGTCGAGGACGCTTATGATGGTGTCAGAATCGATGATGGCAAGGTCACCAAGGAGTTTGTTGATGACATGATTGAGCGCTTTATCGGCCAGAAGAAGATCCATCGTCGCTACGCATACGAGGTAACTTTCCCTCCCGATCGTTGTGTTTGCGCCCACGTCTGTCTTTGTTTGTGTTTTTTTAAGTGTGCTGTTCTTGTGCTTTCAAATTTCAGCCGGACGAGCAGGGACAATGGCAGGCGCAGACACGGGAAGGATCAAAAACACAAAGAACACTCAAACACGAGCACTCCAGCCAAGTCCAGTCAGCGAGCAGGATTTTTTTTAGTTGAGATTAAGTGGCGGAAACCAACCTTCATTCTCTTTTTTCTTTTGACAATTGTCCCATAGATTATTCTCCAGGCGAGAAAGTACTTCATGGAGCAGTCCTCGCTGGTCGACGTCGAGATTCCAAAGGACCACAAGCTGACAATCTGCGGAGATGTTCACGGACAGTTCTACGACTTTAACAACATCTTTAAACTCAACGGCCGCCCCTCAGAGACTCACGCCTACCTCTTCAACGGCGATTTCGTCGACCGCGGCAGCTTCTCGCTCGAGATCATCTTGACCCTCTTTGCCTACAAGCTGCTCTACCCCACAGGAATGTACCTCACACGCGGCAACCACGAGACGGACGACATGAACAAGGTCTATGGTTTTGAGGATGAGGTCAAAGCCAAGTTCTCAGAGACCATGTTCAAGATGTTCTCGGAGACCTTTGCCACCTTGCCTTTGGCACACTTGGTCCAAAAGAAGATCTTTGTCGTCCACGGCGGATTGAGCTCAAGAGACGATGTCACTTTGGAGGAGATTCGCAACATTGACCGTGTCACCAAGGGCCAGCCTGGACAGGGAGGTTTGATGTCAGAGTTGCTCTGGGCTGATCCCCAGTTCTTGCCAGGACGGAGTCCTAGTGCCCGCGGTGTTGGACAAAAGTTCGGACCCGATGTCACCGAGAACTTCTGCAAGATGAACAACATCGGTACGTTTTTTTTTGTCTTTTTCGGACTTATAACAAGGTTTTATGCTTTGATTGTCGCTAATGAACGTGCAGTTGATACTAACGTCTGTATATTTGCTATTGTTGTAGATATGATTATTCGAAGCCACGAGGTCAAGCAACAGGGATACCAGGTGGAGCACGATGGACGTTGCGTCACCATCTTCTCAGCACCCAACTACTGGTATGGCGTCTACTCATGGAATCATTGTCGCGTTAACTTTGTGTTTATTCACTTGGGCACCTTTCTCTTCAATCGCACTTATACTAATCTCTATCTTGTGTTTGGTGCCCTCTGCATTACTAGTGACTCGGTCGGAAACAAAGGAGCGTATATTAATGTGACACCCGAAACGGAAAAGGGATACAAGCTGGACTATGTTCAGTTTGAAGCTGTGGAGCACCCCAAGACACAACCTTACTCTAACAAGTTCCGTGGAGGATTCTGAAGCGAGGTTGTCAAGATTATCACCATCTTGGCACTTGTTCTGTTGACGCGATATCTCCTCCTCCAACTGAACATCGGTAGCCCAGTTTTTACTTCATTTGCTCCTTCAACGTCCTCCTCGTCCTCTTTCTCGACTCTTGACTTTTCACCTCTCTACGCCCTCCTGAACAGAGGTTAGTGACCGTGACAACTTGGCATCAACCGACCACTTGCGACCACACCCTTCAAACGGACAGGCGGACTACAGGAAATAGACGAGAGCAATGACGGTAGACTACAACTGATGTATGTGGAGAGGAAGCATTATCGGTGTTGATAAATAAACATAAAAGAAAGAGTAAAAAAAGTACAACACAGCAGACAATGGTTGTGGATCGAAGTGGACCAAGTGGACCCAATGTCTACTCTGCTGGGTTCGGTTTTCCCATTTTCGGCGTGAGCGCAGCCATGCATGCAAGCCACGGTAAGAATTTCAAACTGATCGAATCATTCACGAGAAAAGTCGCGCTAATACTCCCTCTTCTTTTTACAACAGTTTGTTTCTCCTTCCACCATTCTTTTTTTTCTTCTTCTTCCCCACTTCACTACTCTCCGCCAACCATATAAGCGATGTTCGCACACTCGATCCGTCCGGTCGCCATGCTCAGGACCACCATCCGCCAAATCCCCTCTGTCGGACCATCGACCCTTCTTCGTCAACAGGCAGTTCACCAGTCTCGATTCGCGTCCTCATCAGGTGCCGCTGTCTGTGAGTCATTGGCAACCTCTTGACGAGCAACCAAGGGAACACATTTCAAAACTTGTATAACACCGACCGACGCACTTTGCGTTTCTGAACCTTCCCTTCACGAAGGAGCAGCACTTTTGCTGTTGTTCAGTTTGGTTGTGTCTGATTGCTAGAGTGACATCACACCCTTTCTCTCTCTCTCTCTCCCACATGGAACGATCAGCTAATGCAATCTCTACGCATTTCTTTCTTACTTTTCAATCCTGTTCATAGTCCAGAGACAACCGTCGGTCTTCCAGACATCAGCGTTGAGCGCAGCGTTCAAGTCCGCAGCAGCAGGAGGTGTCGCGTCCAGGACTATGATCGGCGCAGGAGCTGCGACTACTTGTCTTGTTGGACCCTTGATCTACTCCCGATCCATGATGGCGTCCTACATGTCGAGCAGTAGCTCGTTGTTCGCACCCAGGGTTGCTCACTGTGCCGCTGCACCACGTAAGTTTGGATGTGTCTTGGCCAAGGTTTAATCCCTGCTTTGTTGAGTGGGTGGTTTGGTTATGTTGTTGACAGCAGAAGGGGGAAATGGAGGAGGACCAGTAGGGAGAGGTTGTAGAGGAAGATAGTGATGGAGTTTGGCAATTAGGACGTCATTGGTGAAACCGGTGAACGGATCGGGTGTGTATATGGGGTATCCTCTGCGACATATCGGCTAGTTCCTTCTGTGGAGCGCGATCGGTGGATCGCGAACTGGCGCAATTGAGTCGTGGGACTGTCATCTGGAGAAAGATTTGCTAATGCGTTCATTTTTTTTTTCTTCTTGTAAAATTAGTTGACACCATCTATGACGATTGTAAGTGCTCGCACAGGACCTTGACTAGCAGGAAAAGGAGATTGTTCTCTCTCCAATTGGATGGCAGTGATGGCGAAAAGAACGAAGGAACCTTCTACCTCACAGTACTAACAACCATCTTATCACGCATCTACTCTTAATCTCATAGTCGGATTGAAGAAGGAACCCTTGCTCAACGGCAAAGAACTGTCGTTCGGAATGGCAATGGGACTCTGCTCAGGATACCTCTTCAAGAAACTGGGAAAGCTCATGATGCTAGTCGTCGGTCTCGGTTTCGTCTCTCTTCAATTGTTGGTCAACACGGGATACATCCAAGTGAACTGGAAGAGGATCGAGGGCAAGTTTGTGGATCAGTTTGATGTGGATCGAGATGGAAAAGTAACAATCAATGATGCCAAGCATGGATTCAGGTGGTTGATGAACCTGTTGACAAAGAACTTTCAGTTCAAGTCTACTTTTGTCGGAGGCTTCGTCCTTGGTTTCAAGCATGGATAGAAAAGTAACGGTATCAGCCTCGTTTTAGGAATAGAAAAGACATGTCAATAATAACAATTCAATTATTCAACAATAGGGCAGGAAATGTATGAAAATATATGCTATGAACGAAAAAGTGACATCGGTGGTATGAAATCGCAAGGAGGCGGGGGGGAAGGTAAATTGCTTCAAAGATCATTGTCTTCATCTTCCTTGTCTTCAATTTTTTGTTGATTGGTTTGCTCGTCTCTGCCCCTGTCACCTCCACCGGAATTATCACTGCCATCGCCACCCTTGTCCCTGTTCTCGTGTTCCTGTGCTCTTTCCTGTGCTCCTTCTCCTAATTGCTGCTGTTTGACCTGACGAGGTGGACCCTGGATCGGACTACACGGCAAGATTCTGACGACAGGCGGTTGGGACAATCGCAAAGGCTGCAGAAACAAGGATGGTAACTCTGACTCCTGACGTCGGATACGTCGAGTAATCTGTTCGAACACTTGACTGTTAAGGTCCTGCTGATCCATGTGTCCGACTTCGTTCCAGTTTCGCTTCCTGGATCTTCCAATGGTCATGGAATCGCCTCCTGCTTGTGAGCCACCGCCACTACCGGAAGCAGCAACTGAAGACGCAGGAGCAAGAACAAAAGCTCATGGCGCGTTGGGAATGTTTCTTTTGACAACGACGACTCGTTTCCGACTCCGACCCCGACGCAGACGATCCGCCTCCTTGGGTAGTCCTACTCCTGGACCGTGTAGTGTCTGACAGCCGGCGAAGATGAGGTGGGAGCAGTGCAGGCGGTGATGGCAATGGCGGATGGGGTAAGGAGTCGGATGACTTCGTAACGAGCTCGCTATGGGCGAGAAGAGGATCTGGATTCCATGATGTCTTGTCCAAGCACACCACCAGAGCGGATAGGCAACTGGCGGTCTCCAAATCTGATAAAGTCGTTTATGATCTATCGAGTCCCACACTCGTAAAGACGGCGTAGATGTTCCTAATTAGCACGAAGGATATCTAAATCCGATCTGTAGGGGTCGGGTGGGAACCAGAATTTGATGTTTGGATCGTAGGCTGGTAAAGGGGGAAAAAGTGCCCCGTTCAGAGATTGCGCATCCGGAGAAGCCTGATTCAGGGATTTCGCGTTAGGACGTCGAGTACGAATGAGAATCAAGGAGGCATACGTCCGGCAAGTACGAGGGATGATCCCGGATGCGTTCGAGCCAGATGACAACCACAGGTGCCACAGCAGCGACGGCTGTTGAGTACGATAATTTTGTCTAGGATCCTCTTTGACTCGAACTCAACGATTTTTGTAAAGCTTCCCATTCGGCGCGGAGCTGATCTTTAGTCGTTCGGGCGGGGGCGGTAAGAGTGAAACTCTGATTAGAGACTCGCTTGTCGTCATCTGGCCAGTTAAGAGGAGGGGAATAGGGTCGACTGATATTGGCATCGGCAGAGCCCTATGGATCATATAACCAGACATGCGCATTTTTTCCGCGCCTGTTGGCGGGTAACGGAGGCTGCTTATCGTGGGGAAATCTATAGTGGCTGTCGCAAACGGGAGACATGCGGGTCTTGCAGTCTTGGGATCCTGTTATGTAGAATGTTCCGTGGTTTATATATTCTGTGCCGAGTTGTTGTGCTGTTGGCGAGAGACAGCTGTGGCCGTGGTGGAATGGATTGGAGAATGATGAAGAGGTATTCATTCTCGTGGGAATGGGAGTGGGACTGTATCAAGGTATTGGCCTTGGTGGACTCTGTGATCATATCAAATGTCGTCGCCAAGAATATGGCCGGCATCTGCGCCTATGCGGGTTCTGACCAACGGAAGGGATGGTGATTGAGTATTGTCAAATAGTCGGTGAAGCTTCTGAGAGCGGTAGTCCAGCTTGTTGTTGCGTCTGTTTGTTGGTGCTGGTCTTGTTGTTTGCCAGGGATTTGAGGCGGTAGCGACATAGCAAAGAGGTTTGAGATTTCGAAAGGCTCTTTAGATGGCCTCGTTCTGGGGTGAGGGCGAGGGATGGTTGAAGACGAAGAAGAATAAGGCGAGGGTGGGTTGGTGAGGCAGTGAAAGTAAAATCAAGAAACGGTGTTGACGTAATAAAATCTCCGCAGTGGACACGTGTAAAATCTCCGCAGTGGAAGCGCGTAAAAATCTCTGCAGTGGACACGTGTAAAAATCACTCCAGGGGATCCGTGCGAAATAATCGCAGTGCAGATTTCTCGAAGTTTCGAACCCTTAAGACACGCGAGTATAAAAGGGGTCTTTTCCCTCTGTCGTCTCTTTTCTCCCTTTCCTTTCTTCCTTTCTTCCTTTCTTTTTTTCTTTTCTTCCTTTTCCCTCACCCCACTCACTCGCCAGCCAGGACCCGAAGACAAAAGGCACGACAGCGGACAAGAGCCCCCACTGCTCTTTTTACGCGATCACGCGTGCTTTCCTCTGTTTATCCTCCCAAGCCAACGCGTCCTCAAAGTAAACAAACAAACATTCACTTCCTTCCTTCACCCTTCCCTCTCCCTTCTCTCCCCTTCTCTCCCCTTCTCTCCCCTTCTCTCCCCTTCTCTCCCCTTCTCTCTCCCTTCTCTCTCCTTCTCTCTCCCTTCTCTCTCCCTTACCTCACCCTTCTCTCTCCCTTCTCTCTCCCTTACCTCACCCTTCTCTCTCCCTTCTCTCTCCCTTACCTCACCCTTCCCTCTACCTTCATTCCCCTGCCACTACCTCCACCACCAACCACAATCAACAGTACTCAGCAATCAACACGAAAACAGCAATCAGTCCCATCTTACCTCTATCTCTCCCTCCTTCCCTCTGGTGCCCAATTGTTGCAATCAACCTTCCCTTTGCTAACATGGTCTCCCTATTCTTTTGACTAGATGCCAGCAAGACTAGCAGCCTGCTAGGCGAGGCCATAACTGACAACGGCATCTTCTGAATCAGCACCTGGACGTCTGTGAAGGTAAGTATCTAAAAAGAAGCCGGTCGACTGCGTAAGCGGTGGGAGGCATGAAGGATGTGGCGACGCGACAACAGCGGTATCGGGGCTCTAGCAGCGACTCGGCTGGTCGGTCCCATCTGGCTGGGGATCCCTGTGACTGATTTGCCCCGGGGTACCCTCAGCGGAAGGGTGGGAAGTTGACCACTGGGAGGGTTAGAGGTGGCTGCTGTCTAGCGGCGTCCCATTCTTCATGACTCTTGGACACCCTGTGGTGGCCGGGGCCAATTTGGATGACTTGCTAGACGGTGCACAGCGGTGAGGTGCAAAGTTCGAAGACTAACCGTCATTTGTTCTCCTTTTGTTCTCCACTCTTCTATATACACCACGCCTACACCAAAAACCTCTTGAAGGGTTGCGTGTGATCAGGAACCGGGTCAGCATAAAGGCAAGTATCTAAAAAGAAGCCGGTCGACTGCGTAAGCGGTGGGAGGCATGAAGGGTGTGGCGACGCGACAACAGCGGTATCGGGGCTTTAGCAGCGATTCGGCTGGTCGGTCTCATCTGGTTGGGGATCCCTGTTGCTTTTTTGTCCCGGGGTACCCCCAGCGGAAGGGTGAGAAGTTGGCCACTGGGAGGGTTAGAGGTGGCTGCTGTCTAGCGGCGTCTCATTCTTCATGACTCTTGGACACCCTGTGGTGGCCGGGGCCAATTTGGATGACTTGCTAGACGGTGCACAGCGGTGAGGTGCAAAGTTCGAAGGCTAACCGTCATTTTTTTTTCGTTTTGTTTTCCATTCATCTATATACACCACGCCTACATCAAACACTTCTCGATGAGCAACGTGTGATCAGGAGCTGGGTCAGCATAAAGGCAAGTATCTAGAAAGAAGCCGGTCGACTGCGTAAGCGGTGGGAGGCATGAAGGGTGTGGCGACGCGACAACAGCGGTATCGGGGCTCTAGCAGCGACTCGGCTGGTCGGTCCCATCTGGCTGGGGATCCCTGTGACTGATTTGCCCCGGGGTACCCTCAGCGGAAGGGTGGGAAGTTGACCACTGGGAGGGTTAGAGGTGGCTGCTGTCTAGCGGCGTCCCATTCTTCATGACTCTTGGACACCCTGTGGTGGCCGGGGCCAATTTGGATGACTTGCTAGACGGTGCACAGCGGTGAGGTGCAAAGTTCGAAGACTAACCGTCATTTGTTCTCCTTTTGTTCTCCACTCTTCTATATACACCACGCCTACACCAAAAACCTCTTGAAGAGTTGCATATGATCAGGAACCGGGTCAGCATAAAGGCAAGTATCTAAAAAGAAGCCGGTCGACTGCGTAAGCGGTGGGAGGCATGAAGGATGTGGCGACGCGACAACAGCGGTATCGGGGCTTTAGCAGCGACTCGGCTGGTCGGTCCCATCTGGCTGGGGATCCCTGTGACTGATTTGCCCCGGGGTACCCTCAGCGGAAGGGTGGGAAGTTGACCACTGGGAGGGTTAGAGGTGGCTGCTGTTTAGCGGCGTCTCATTCTTCATGACTCTTGGACACCCTGTGGTGGCCGGGGCCAATTTGGATGACTTGCTAGACGGTGCACAGCGGTGAGGTGCAAAGTTCGAAGACTAACCGTCATTTGTTCTCCTTTTGTTCTCCATTCATCTATGTACCACGCCTGCACTAAAAATTATTTGATGAGTTGTGTGTTTTCAAGAGCCGGGCCAACGTCGCAAGAGGAAGGTGGTCGATGATCATGGAGAGGATCTGGGGTGGGATGACATGAGATGACATGACGCTGTTGGTCGGCCTTGGATGAGTTGAAAAGAACTGTGGAAAGAAAAATCCCTTCTTGAATACCAATCCACTTGGAGCCCACTTGGAGCCAACAAAAAAATATCTTGTTGCTTTGCGATAAATGACTAGATGTACCTGTTGGTTGGTGATGAATGACTAGATGTATCTTGTTGGTTGGTGATAAATGACTAAATGTATCAAAAGAAATCATAAGACATGTTGGATTGCTTCAACTCTCTTGAGTAAAGCTGTGCTGCTGTGTCTCTCAGACATGGTGTCATTGCTTGCCAGTTATGTTTTGAAAAATGAAGCTTGTTAGATTGGTTGAGCATGCACAAGAGTTATGGGCAACAGGGAGTATTCGATTTTATTGTAAAGTTTATTTGGAGCAACAGGTATGCAAGAAAGAAACGCTGTAGATAAAAAAAGGGGAGAGCGACCAAGACGTAAAATGAAGAATGAAGAAAGGTAAAGAAAAGAAAGATGGTATTGAAAGGAGAAAGAAGACAAAAAAAAAAGAAGCAAGTAAAGAAAATGAAAAGCTAACTCAAGAGAAGGGAAGGACAGATGGCCTAGATGGCCATCTCGTGGACGATCGCCAAAAGCTCCGCTGCACCACCTTGCTGGCCTTGAACAAACGCTTGAATGCGTGGAAGGTCGGACCGAGCGAAATATCGTCTCTGAAGGAAGAGGGTTCGGATGGCGTCTCTTCGGTTGAGGATATCTTCCTCGGGGAATGGCGCCGCACCGATAAGGAACCGAGCGTTGTCAACGCCCACTTGAAGTCCATGGACTCCCCGAGCAACAAGCAAAACATCCCGCTCGTTGACAAGGAACGCCGTGACACAGTTGCCGTCAGCGCTAACAGGATAACCGATCTCAATGGGAATGGTCTCTAGGTCACGGTTTCTGAGGTTATACATCATTTTTGCCTCGGACTTGGTAAGCATCGGGACGACGTTCTGTCCACAGTACTCGTTGGCGTATCCAAGTAAACGGGCTGGAACCTCTTCCACAACCACCTTCTCCATGCACATCCTCTGTCGGCACTGCTTGCAAAACAAACGCTCCTCCTGTCCCTGAGCACGGACGGGAAGAGCAACTTCATGCCCCACATTGACGCACATCCTCCCACAGTGGCTGCACTGGACATTCATGGTTAGGTGTATTTGTGGATGTTGGTTATTGGGTTTTTGTGTGTGGGTTGGAGAGTGCTGCGTATTGAGTGGTGGTGATTGATTGTTGCTTGTTGAAGGAAGGAAATAGAGTGAAAAGTAACGAAAAGAAAAGAAAGGAAAAATGAAAAGACGAACCTCCTTCTTTAAATACCAATTCACCTGGAGCAAACAAAAAAAATATTCTCGTCGGTTGGTGATAAATTACTAGATGTATCTGTTGTGACGGTGATAACGGCCTAGATGTATCTGTTGCGATGGTGATAAAGGACCAGATGTATCTGCTGTGATGGTGATAAAGGACTAGATGTATCTGTTGTGATGGTGATAAATGACTAGATGTATCAAAAGAAACCATGAGGACATGTTGATCTTGCAGGGTTGCTTCAACTTTCTCGAGCTAAGCCCTACTGATGCGTCTCTCAGACATGGTGTCTTTGCTTGCCAGTTCTTTTTTCGAAAAATGAAGCTTATTAAATTGGTTGAGCATGCGCAAGGGAACTGCGGGCAATAGGGAGTATTCGCTTTGATTGTAAAGTTTAGTTGGTGGAGCAACAGGTATGCAAGAACGAAACGCTGTACAAAAAAAAAAAAAAAAACCGAGAACGCAGAGTCGATGTCAACTTAAAGCCTCCTGCTTTCTTTGAACCAGACAACACGATCCATCAGTCACATCCTCGGAGCTTAGCCTATTCATGCCCACCCCATCCTGTTTTTCTATAGATCTATTTATCACACAGCATCGGCAATTATCCTTTTTTTTGTAGGGCATCGCCTCTCAGTTCCAATCATCATGCAATCATCTGTGTACAGTTTGCAGCCAGTTGTGTATTAACCTACAGTCGCGTTCGCGCTATATTTCTGTTCTCAGTGGTTCCTTGAACGCCACCAAAATTTATTACTCCTGAATGAAGCTCTGAACCCAGCCTCGTCTGCAATTTTTGCTGACGAAGCGGCTGGGGTCAGAGCTTCCCTTCTATTGCCGCTCAATTGTCTGAGAGAGAGACTTCTGCTGACTAATCCAAGCACGTTTTTTCCTACAAAGTTCTTGCAACAACAGCCAACATACCCACACACATATAAATTCATACATGGAAAGTTGATAGACAATGGCAGAGGCGAATAAACACAATGATCATAGGACTGCCCTTTAAGTTTGCATGACGTTTTCCTTTTTTGTACCGTTGATAGTTCAGCAGTTCACAGAGGCGATGTGATTGACTGATTTATTTCGTAATTGCACATGGAGCTGAATCAACAAAGAAGTTGCTTGATTACCAAACACGAGCATAGAGACCTTACGAATCAGAACGAGCAAGAACGTACGCGTTCGTCACCAAAAGAACTGGTTTTCACTTTCTCATTTGACATTTCACATGATCAGTTTATATCCACTTCTAACTCCCTTACAATATGATATCATAGTACCCTCGCTATATTGTGAAAAATAAGATAGAGGCGTCGAGGACTCCCTTTCTTTGTTTGTCAAACCATTGAAGTCATGTTGCGGACTTTAGCAATTGCAAGGAACATCCAACCCATTGCAATCGAGAAGCGTCTTCGATAGGAAAAAAAAGAATGTTAGAGCATGCTCGGATGTCTGCAGTTGTGGAGGTGGCAATGTGCCTGTAGTAAATGGTGTTCCCGCCTTTTTTTTGTCAACATGAGTACAATACATCATGTGGGGAACAGAGAAAAGTCTCGAACCCTAGTTCCCCTTGTACACGCACACAGGCTAAATTGTGGTTTTAGGTCCGCAGGATCCCCTCTTTCTTTTCTTTGTTTGCTTGCTTGTGATGCATGGTCTGAGTGTGCATTTCCTTCTTCCAAACGGACCAATGATCAGCGACTGGTGGTAAGAAGGACATCCCAACCTATCCTCATTTTTATGTCTCTTTACCGGTGACGGGATGAGGGAGAAAGGCGAAAGGCGATAGCAAGGGCATATAAGAAAGAAAGAGGAATTGCCAAAGAGTATTCGATCCATCGCCAAAATCGCTTATTTCCATATTATGACTGGTAGGGGGGATCTTTCATTGCGGTCATCTTCCGCCAGTCAAGGCCAAAAGAAACACCTTATTATTCACCACCTCTCATCATTGTACAGATGGGTTACAAAAGTTTTGTAACAAAAACAAAAACAAATAGGGCTTCTTTTCACTTTCAACCTTTCCCTCAAAAAAAATTCATATTTTTTGTTGCAAAACTTTTGTAATCCATCTGTACAGGCCGCCCAGTCTTCTTTCAGATCCTTGCTTGTCTGACGCCACCAAAATTATTTTCAATTACTAGGGGCACGGGTCGGGATCGACTGTTCCTTTTTCATTCGGCGGGTGGTCGTTTTTTCTTTCATCAATGCTAGACAACACAATTCATTACAAGGGTGGATGAAAGAAAAAACGAGGTTTATTGTCAAAGAAAAGCAGGGAGAGAGAAAAAAGGCGGGTATTACAAAGAATAAAAGAAATCAAAAGGAAAAATCGCCATAAAGAGAACAAGAAATGAAAGATCGAAAAGAAGGTGGCGGAGAAGTAGAACAAAAAGTGGGGTTGAAGGAAAGGCTGTACAAAACAAAGAAAGTGAAGAAAAGGAGGGAAATGAGCGCAAAAGAGAAGAATATCGCCTAGATAGCAAGGGCGTTGACAACCTCCCGCAAGTCTCCACGGCCATATTCAATGTAACACTGAATGGTTGGCAACTTTGATGGCGCGAAAAGCTCTCTCTGAAGGAACTTCTCGCGAATCCTGTCCCTTCTCTCTCGAACAGCTCCTGCGGGTGGCAAGTCAATACTCCCTCCTTTCTGCCAAGAAAAGGCGTCACGGGCGTTATCAATCCCTATGTCGCCTCCATACAGACAGCGCGCCTTTTCGAGAACGAGTCTCTCTTCATACATCTTGATTTTGTACACGCCATTAACCGCCTCGAGAGCATGCACCTGAATGTACGGCAACGATTCGAGGTGTCCGTCAAGCAAGCAGTACTGGGCTGTCGCCTCAGTTAGAGTAATACGAGGTAAGATGCTGACGTTGGTCTTTGGGTCTATGTATACGTCCACGCCTGGCGGGTAGGGTTCCTTGTAAGTGTTGTAGGCCTTGCGTCTACACGTGACGCAGAGATCAAGTATCCCCAACTCGCCTGTCCATCTGAGTCGCACTGGAAGGAGGCGTTCAAGCCCTTTTGTAGGAAAGTGGCGTTTGCAGTCCTGGCACCGCGTGGAATTGGTGGGCATAGTGGTTGTTGATTCGTGTTGGTTGTGGAGTGTGAAGGTTGTGATAAAACAAAGAAAAAATAGAGAGAAGGAAAGGAAGTGTACGACATATGAAGGAGATTTTTGAAGGAGCGTAGATGATTAATGTTCCTCCACATTCAGCAATACAAGAGCAAAGCCTTATTCGCAACATTGGGAGGCACTTTATTTTTAAGGCTGCCCTTGGAGATGCCAGCCAATGGCGATCTATTTACGTTCGTGTTGGTTTTGAACGCGTTGTCTTGTTATTGAACCTGATCTGATGGTGTTTTGGCATCAGCAGTGTTGTGTGTTTGTCGCGATGAGTGTTGTCTGAAGCACTCATGAGCAAGCACTAACAAAAAAATAGTATCACAATAAGTCGCTCTTCTTTTTATTGACTGTACAGTTGCTATAGTTTGATCGACTTCGCTCAGCCATCGTACCCCTTTTTTTTATCTTTACTGTCCACTTCTTCCCCACCGTCAGCAAAGATTTTCAGCCTCTAATGGGCGACGTGTAAAAAACCCCATCGTGGTACCCAAGAGCATGATCGAAATGGTCTTTGTTCATCTCTCACGTCATTTTACCTGGACAGCTGCCTTGTTCTCTTCATCGAGGAAGTTATCACAACATTTCTGAATCCAAAGGGAAATGATCTTTATTACTTAAAATCAAAAGACAGACAACTACAGGGCAGTAGACAAAAGATGTGCAGAGGGGAAACGGATGTTAAAAGGAGGCAATGAGAAGGGCATGGACGAAAAAGACCCCCCCGGCAGTAGTAACCTAGTTTCCATAGATCGCGACGATCCTGCCTAAGTGTCCTTGACCATAATTGACATAGTTCGACACACATGGCAGTGTCGGCGCCGCAAAAAAGAATCCCCAATCCAAGAAGGCCTGACGAATCCTGTCCCTTCTCATTCGTTCAATTCCTACTGGCGGCGTGGGCGTATAAGTGACACCCCCATGCTGCCAAGAATAGCACTCTCGAGCATTGGTAATCCCAACATCGCCACCCCACACCTGGCGGGCCACCTTGATGATGTCTCTTTCCTCGTACAGCTTAACGTCGTAAACGTAATCTGCAGTCCTGACAGAGTGTGCGGTGATGACATGCCGCATATCTCTGAAATGGCAGTCAGTCAAGCAATACTGTCGTCTCGCTTCCGTCTTGGTGATCCTAGGCACGATCGTGTGTCCATGGATATGGTCAGCGTACGCGTCGACTCCTGAAGGGAGTGGTTCCTGGGAGGTGTTGTATGCCTTACGTCTGCACTCCAGACAGAGATAGTGAGTTTCTAAGACACCTCTCTGTGTAATGTTCACCAGAAGGGGTTGATTGAACCCCCTGTTAGGAAAACGTTCTCCGCAGTCCTGACATGTTGGTCGAGGGTTGCTGCGATTCGACATGATGTGTTGCGGAGGGTTGGTCGTGTGAAAGGACGTGGGTGTTGTTGTCTGGGGAGAAAGAGCAAGTGAACGAAGAAGAAAAGAAAAAACTCAAATTGGTATTTAAGAACAAATAGGTGTGGTCGCAGGTAAAAGGTCGAATCATCGCCTCATCGTCCCTTTCGTAAGCAACCACAGCTCCTGCAGAAGGATTTTTTTAGCACTCTTTCATTCTTCAAGAAATATAAACGCGTTTTTTCTTGACACATGTTAGTTCCTTTCATTGTCGGTGAAGGTACCTGAAGGAGCGAAGCAAGACATACTTACTTTGATTTCATGAAGACTTCACAAACACGAACCCTAGCAAAAAAAAATGGCGCACTCGCTCTCACTTTTTTTATTCTGTGCACAACTTGTGTATTTCTGTGATCACAAGCCAAGACCCAATCAATATCATATTGAAATGAAGAGTTTATTGTGTTTGATGATGGAACAAAAAAGAGATCGTTCATTTGGGGAAATGAACATGTCCAAAAGCACAACTATCAAAAGCTAAGAGAAAGCATGAAAAAAACAGTGAGGATCAGGGGGAGAAAAGTTCCGTGGCGAATCAGAAAGGTAGCTTACGTGGACAAAAAGGCTAATGGTGAAATGGTGAAACCAGCCAATATCATAGGTCCGGACGATCACTTCTAGATCGCCCTGGTCAGCTTGAACATAAAGTCTGACGAACGGTAACTCGGGCGCCGCAAAGTGGCCTTTCGCCAGAAACACTTCTCGGATCCTCTCCCTTCTTTCTCGGAAAACTCCTGCAGAGGACAGTTCGACTTGCTCTCCTTGTGCAGCAAACCATCCAGGGGCATAGGCGATACCGACATCGCCTCCATATTTCAAACGAGCCCTGTCGAGAATCTCTTTTTCCTCGTACATTTTGATCATATAAACCTCGCCAGCTGAGGGAACAAAACGTGCAGTGATGTGAGGCAAGAGTTCGAGAAAGGAGTCGTCCAGGCCGTACTGTAGGTTCGCCTCGCTCCCAGAGATCCGTGGCACGATCATGGCTCCAAAGATGGGGTCCGAGTAGGCAGCGACTTGATGAAGATAGGGCTCCTGCATGAACTTGAATGCCTTGCATCTGCACTTGAGGCAGAGGTGAGCTTTATGAAAGCCGCTTGCATCTCTAAATTGGACCGGAAGGAGTCCCATCAATGCCTAAAAAGGATGGTGTTTATTGCGGTCTTGACATTGCATGAGGTTGTTGTTGTTGTTGTTGTTTGACATGGTATATAATTGAAGGGGTTACTGACTGTGTCAATTGTTGTATGTGAATAAGAGAGAGAGAGAGGGTCGCGTGGTGCTGAGGATGAACAGAGAGAGAGACAAAGAGAGAAAGAGAGAGCAGACATGAAGGTTGCTCAAAATATTATGTACCTCAAGCTCAAGGAAGGTAATCAAGCCCTCATGAACTTTGGTGTTTTCTGAAATAAGGTTTATGGACAAAGCTTCGCTCAGTAATCGTCTTTCGTCAATCAATCGGGGGAAAGGGCGATGGTGTTTGCAAAGTACATTTTCTTTCTTCAGACAAGCTGCGATCAGTCAGATTCAAATTTAAACGAATATTTATTGCAGATAGAGAGTCCTACTAACCAAAGGTAGACAGGAATGGCAAGGCAATACAGGGAACGTAGGAAGACAAAGAAATGCGTCGCCGCCAAGGAAAAATGGATGAAAAAAATGAGAGGGCAGTGGAGCGGGAGAAAAACTGGCGGTGTGAGAAAGATTGTGCGAACAAAATGACGAAAAAAAGAGAAGGAAATGAATGGATGCAAGTAAAAGATGGTGAACTAGACAGCCAAGGTGTCGACTATCTCCTCGAAGTTTCCCCGTCCAGTTTTGACATAGTCCCTGATTTGAGGTAACCTTGAGGACGCATAGACCTTTCTCATCAAGAACGCCTGTCGGATCTTGTTCCGTCTCTCCAGGACAGGTCCAACAGGGGGCAGCTCGACAAGCTCTCCTTGGCCAGCAAAGAACTGACGGGCATTCGCGATTCCGACGTCACCGCCGTGTACCCACCGAGCTTGTTTGAGAATGGCTTTTTCGTCGTACAACATGACTTCGTAGGGGTCACGGGATGTTCTGACAGGACGTACGATGATGTGATGCAAGTTTCGAAACTGGTCGTCTTTCAAGCAATAATGCAATCTCGCCTCGTTCTCGTTGATCCGAGGCACGATCCTGCCTCCGTAGGCGGTGTCCATATACGACTCGACTGTTGGAGGATAGGGCTCGCTTTTGATGGCAAACTCTTTGCGTCTGCAATCGAGGCAGAGAATAACCGTCGTCCCCACGACGCCAAAACGTCGAGACAGTACTGGGAGGACTCGATCGAGTCCTTCAGCAGGAGAACGTCCCTTGCAGAACTTGCAGGTGTTCGTTTTCGTATCTCGCTTGTTCGACTTATGGTTTGTAGAATCGAGTGGTTGTTTGGGGGGCATTCTGAGAAGGCTTTCTTGCGCAAGTGCTGTTGGGTGAAGGTAGGAGGAATGAAGGAAGCTGAAGAAATAGAAGAAAAAGGAGAGAGAAAAAGAGAGTGAGAGCGGGCACTAATGCAAGCAGTATTTAAGCTGAGGTGTATCGCCATTTTGAAGACAATCAAGCCTCTTTTTTTGCAAGTAAGGCGTTTTGTCTGTTTCTTATATCAATGGCTAATGGCAAAGGCCAAGGTACACTAAAAAAAACTTTCATTAGTCCGTTTCTGGATAGGGGTTCAAGGATAAGCTATGGAATGTGTGAGAATGAAATACAAGCTCGTGGCATTCTGGCACTTCGTTCCGTTGTCTCTGCATATCAACTAGGTTTCTAGCTGTAGCGTTCGTTTTGAGCAAAAAAAAAAACATTCGCCACCGTAATGTCATCGCTCTCTTATCGATCATTTCATATTATGCAGGCCTAGAATACATCGGTCCTGGTCCTCCTTGCTCGTGTTTGCTTATTGTCTGAGCGCTTCGCCGCTCTAACGCCATCAATTTTTTGTCAGCCCCAAGGCGGATTGTCACAAAAAGGAGCAATTCATTGGAAGTATCCCCTGCCTCCTTGGGTATGCATCGGAGTGGATATCCTTCCTTCGCATCTGTTATACATGCATACTCAAAACAGCCACAAAACATCACCTCTGTATCAATGGAAACTGATTTTTATTGTAGAGAAAACAAAGAACTGAATGAGGAGAGGCAAAAGAAGTGACTAAAAAACGGGTGAGAGGGGAAAAGAGACAAAAAGAAGGTGCCAAGGCAAAAAGGAGGGGGACAACGGAAAAGGGGAAAGTCAACCTAGGGACCATAGAGATTAACGATATCGTGCAGGTTTCCCTCACTGTGCTCTACAAATCTATGCACGAACAGCAGTTCTGAGGCAGCAAAGATGCCAACCTTCCAGAACGCCTGACGAATGAGGTTCCTTCTCTCGCGGATAGGTCCAACAGGGGCCTGATGGGCCTCCTCTCCAGGTTGAACAAACACCTTACGGGCGTTCGCGATCCCGACATCGCCACTATACTCCAGTCGAGCTCTGTCGAGAACGTCCTTCTCTTTAAACATCCGGAGGCGATATCTCTGGCTATCCAGCCCGACAAAACTAACCTCTTCGTTTGGAAGATCTTGAAGATGGGGTTCGTTCATGAAGTAATGCAGATTCGCTTCGAGCAGGGTAATTCGGGGCACGATCTGGGCTCCAAAGAGGGTATCCATGTAGGTTTCCATCTGGTGAGGGTAAGGCTCTGGGTGGGTTTCGAGTCGGTTGCGTCTGTACAGGAGGCACATAAGAACAGGTTGAGAGTGGCCAACATGTCCAATCTGCACGGGGAGTGGGTGCTGGAGCCCACAAAAAGGAAAACGGTTATTTCATTCTTGGCATGGCGGGGGGGACGGTTGGGATTGGCCATGGTTTATCGACTCAGTAGGTTGATTTGTTACGAGGGTGATTTTACGTGGGTATTGTTGTTAGAACGTCTTATAGAAAAGAGATGAAGAAAAAGGAAAGAACCAGAACGCAAGTAAGGGGTTATATATGAAAATATTAGGCTCAAGGTGACAGAGTTGAATCAACCGCCACCATCGCTACTTTCGAAGGTAGCCACGGCTTCCGCAGGAAAACCTTTATTGTGGTAGCGTTCCTCGCAACATGATCCTTTACTTTTTTATGAAACTGCCTGAAGGAGCGACATTTGGCATTCTTTGTTTCCACAAAGCAGCCAGTCTATACCATTCTTGTGATTCTCCTTGATCATAAGCAAAGACTTCAATTGACGTTGAAGCAAAGGAGTGTTGATTTTTTTGAAGAGAGAGCACAGCGAACACGTCAAAAGGCAAAACTATCAAAGGCTAAAAAAGTCGACAGCAAAAAACACCATTACTCTCCTCTGTCCCTCTCTTCCTCTCCTCTTTAACGCCTGTGTTGCTGGAAAAGAAGGAAATTTAGGTGAAAAAAAACTGTCGACAACGACCACATGGCTAAGAGGAGCAAGAGGTAGAAATAATAATCTACAATGAGCGCTGACTCCAGAATTGAGAGCAAACACAGTTCTTCGAGGAACAGCATAATCACAATACACATCCCATAATCATTCCTTGTTTTACAACTCCATTATCCTTTTGCAGTACGTTTACTTTCAATGGTATTGAGGAATGGCATTGAGGTTGTGTATCATGTATTACTTGGTTGCTTTGCCCAATTTCTATCCCGTTTCCATTCTTTCCTCTTACTGGATCTCGATCCACTTGGTGGTGGCGATGGACTCATCATCTGCCCTAAGCCGCAACCTCGCTTTCTTTACATATCCTTTTCATGCCCTTGTCGTTTATTTTTTGTTCGTCTTCATCCACCTGCCATTGTTCTTCTCAGTGGGATGCATAATTATAGGAAAACATAATGGTGTGGGCATGAATGGGCTAAGTTCCGAAGATGTGACTGATGGATAGTACTGTCTGGTGCAAATAAAGCAAGAGGCTGTTAAACTGACCTCTAGTCTTCCTTCTCATTTCTTTTTGTTCCTTTTCGTTTCTTTTCTTCAACAAACAACGATCAACGACTACAAATAAAACTTTACAATCAAAGCGAATACTCCCTGTTGCCCGCGGCTCCCTTGTGCATGCTCAACCAATTTAATAAGCTTCGTTTTTCGAAAAAAGAACTGGCAAGCAATGACACCATGTCTGAGAGACGCATCAGTAGGGCTTAGCTCGAGAAAGTTGAAGCAACCCTGCGAGATCAACATGTCCTCATGGTTTCTTTTGATACATCTAGTCATTTATCACCATCACCGACCAACAAGATTTTCTTTCTGTTGGCTCCAGGTGGATTGACATTTAACGACGGGGTTCGTCTTTTCTTTTCAACACATCCTGCTCATACAACCTCACTTCTACAACAAGAATCTCCTCTACAACAAATATCTCCTTTACAACAAATATCTCCTTTACAACAAATATCTCCTTTACAACAAATATCTCCTTTACAACAAATATCTCCTTTACAACAAATATCTCTACTACAACAAGAATCTCTTCTACAACAAACACCCATGGCCGACCAACACCTTCCTATCTTTCCACCCGAGATCATCCACATGATCATCGACCACCTTCCCCCTGCGGCATTGGCTCACACCTCAACAGTTGACCGCGCGTGGCTCGAGCATGTCCGTGCGCTTCCCGTCTGGTCGACCATGTGCCAAAATGGAGGCTACGACATCACCAACCCGCCCGTCGCCCACGCAATGACAGCAGTATGCCTCCGGTCTGGATATATCTGCGGTCGCTGTTCTTCCGTCACTAAAGGGCGACCACTCCCTTCTGACATGCCGCTCGCGACTGCCATCCAAGGTGGACCAACTCTATCACTTTGCTGTCGCTGCCGCACCAACGAAATGGGTCACAATTTCCGGTTCCGCGGCGAGACCATCAGCTATGTCGACGGGACCAACACCGTCTCTGAGCGACAAGAGGATGTTAACCGAGGACTTGTCGCGATCATGACTTTGATCCCTATATACGCCATCACCAAGTCAGATCTGGTGATGGCAGGAGTTGACGCTGTCGCCACAGAGCCTCATCACACGGTTATCCCGACAGAGCTGTATTTTCGCGCGGAGGTTCAGGATGTCGCCAAACGCATCCACGGCGGGTGGAACGGCATCGACGCAGCGCGTAACCCTAGGAGAGAATTGGACAGACGACGATCTTACGACAGAAGACTCCAGGCTCTTCAGGCTTTGCAGCAGATCTAGCGGATAAGACACGACGGGAGGATGTTACTGAGGGAGAGTCGAGGAGGAAGGAGGATGAGATCGGAAGGAAGGGAGACGAGTTGAAGGATAGTGGAGGACAGATGACCTAGGGCGGGTGGTATGGAACGGACTAGAGGTAAAGGAAGCGATAGTGCAACAAACGAGAAGTCAGTGTGATAGAATACAATAAAGAACAACCATGCTCGCTTGTTGCTTGCGCCACATGTTCTTCTCTGTTGTGCTGAATGGGTCTCGCATAAATGTATCTTTGGAATGGTAGATGCATGCATATGATCCCTTTGACCATTTGTCCCTTTGTTGTCGGTTACATGTATGTTCTGTCCGACATTCTGTGCATCTCCGCTTAGCATCCATGTTAAAGCAACAAGCATTGCCAGCATCGCCCAAGATGTTTTGGTACATTCACACCTTTATTTTTACCAATGTAACTCACTAGTCTCTACATGGCTATGTCATATTCACTATGGCTGTCAAGTCATCATCGAGATGAGAGGTATCTATGATGGACAGCCAGCCTTTGATATATGCATCTCGCGGTTTCTGCAGCAGTTAGTAAGTTATTCAAACAGGCTCGACTTTCATAACAAAAGATCCAAGAGCCATGAACCAAGATATTGCGTTAAACAGCAGCGACCTCTGAAGCATTCAGTGGCCTACTTCTCACCCTTCTACTCGGGGTACCCCGTGACAAATTAGTCGCAGTGATATCCAGACAGATGAGAAGCCTACCACCTAAGCCGCTGCAAGAGCCCCAATACCGCTGTTGTCGCGTCATCACAAAGTCCATGCCTCCCATCGCAAGGCAGTCGACCGGCACCCCTTTCCAGATACTTGCCTTCATGTTGGCCCGGCTCTTGAAAACACACAACTCATCAAATAATTTTTGGTGCAGGCGTGGTATATAGATGAATGGAGAACAAAAGGAGATATAAAAAGACGGTTAGTCTTCGAACTTTGCACCTCACCGCTGTGCACCGTCTAACAAGTCATCCAAATTGGCCCCGGCCACCACAGGGTGTCCAAGAGTCATGAAGAATGAGACGCCGCTAGACAGCAGCCACCTCTAACCCTCCCAGTGGTCAACTTCCCACCCTTCCGCTGAGGGTACCCCGGGACAAAAAAGCAACAGGGATCCCCAACCAGATGAGACCGACCAGCCGAGTCGCTGCTAGAGCCCCGATACCGCTGTTGTCGCGTCGCCACACCCTTCATGCCTCCCACCGCTTACGCAGTCGACCGGCTTCTTTCTAGATACTTGCCTTTATGCTGACCCAGCTCCTGATCACACACAACTCATCGAGAAGTGTTTGATGTAAGCGTGGTATATATAGATGAATGGAAAACAAAACGAAAAAAAAATGACGGTTAGCCTTCGAACTTTGCACCTCACCGCTGTGCACCGTCTAGCAAGTCATCCAAATTGGCCCCGGCCACCACAGGGTGTCCAAGAGTCATGAAGAATGGGACGCCGCTAGACAGCAGCCACCTCTAACCCTCCCAGTGGCCAACTTCCCACCCTTCCGCTGAGGGTACCCCGGGGCAAATCAGTCACAGGGATCCCCAGCCAGATGGGACCGACCAGCCGAGTCGCTGCTAAAGCCCCGATACCGCTGTTGTCGCGTCGCCACACCCTTCATGCCTCCCACCGCTTACGCAGTCGACCGGCTTCTTTCTAGATACTTGCCTTTATGCTGACCCAGCTCCTGATCACACGTTGCTCATCGAGAAGTGTTTGATGTAGGCGTGGTGTATATAGATGAATGGATAGCAAAAGGAGATAAAAAAGACGGTTAGTCTTCGAACTTTGCACCTCACCGCTGTGCACCGTCTAGCAAGTCATCCAAATTGGCCCCGGCCACCACAGGGTGTCCAAGAGCCATGAAGAATGGGACGCCGCTAGACAGCAGCCACCTCTAACCCTCCCAGTGGCCAACTTCTCACCCTTCCGCTGGGGGTACCCCGGGACAAAAAAGCAACAGGGATCCCCAACCAGATGAGACCGACCAGCCGAGTCGCTGCTAGAGCCCCGATACCGCTGTTGTCGCGTCGCCACATCCTTCATGCCTCCCACCGCTTACGCAGTCGACCGGCTTCTTTTTAGATACTTACCTTCACAGACGTCCAGGTGCTGATTCAGAAGATGCCGTTGTCAGTTATGGCCTCGCCTAGCAGGCTGCTAGTCTTGCTGGCATCTAGTCAAAAGAATAGGGAGACGATGTTAGCAAAGGGAAGGTTGATTGCAACAATTGGGCACCAGAGGGAAGGAGGGAGAGATAGAGGTAAGATGGGACTGATTGCTGTTTTCGTGTTGATTGCTGAGTACTGTTGATTGTGGTTGGTGGTGGAGGTAGTGGCAGGGGAATGAAGGTAGAGGGAAGGGTGAGGTAAGGGAGAGAGAAGGGAGAGAGAAGGGAGAGGTAAGGGAGAGAGAAGGGAGAGAGAAGGGTGAGGTAAGGGAGAGAGAAGGGAGAGAGAAGGGAGAGAGAAGGGAGAGAGAAGGGGAGAGAAGGGGAGAGAAGGGGAGAGAAGGGAGAGGGAAGGGTGAAGGAAGGAAGTGAATGTTTGTTTGTTTACTTTGAGGACGCGTTGGCTTGGGAGGATAAACAGAGGAAAGTACGCGTGATCGCGTAAAAAGAGCGGTAGTTGCTCTTGTCCGCTGTCGTGCCTCTCGTCTTCGCCCTTTGCTTGAATGGTTTTGATTTGGTCCTGGTCCTTGTTGGTCCTGGCTGGCGAGTGAGTGGGGTGAGGAGAAAGGAAGAAAAGAAAGGAAGAAAGGAAGAAAGGAAAGGGAGAAAAGAGACGACAGAGGGAAAAGACCCCTTTTATACTCGCGTGTCTTAAGGGTTCGAAACTTCGAGAAATCTGCACTGCGATTATTTCGCACGGATCCCCTGGAGTGATTTTTACACGTGTCCACACACACACACACACACACACACACACACACAAAGCACGTACAAACATCACCTTCACTCTCCTCTATCCCTCTTTCCCTCTCCTCTCTAATGCCTGTGCTTCTGGAAAAGAAGGAAAGAACTGTCGACAACGACCACATGGTTAAGAGGAACAAGAGGTGGAATTGATAACCTACTTGACTGGTGCAGCGATAGTCTCCGAGGGGAATCCCATTGCGCGCAACAGCATGAACTGACGCTTCGATGGGAGCTAGAAGTGAACCAAGACAATCCGAGTTCATAGGAAGTTAAAGAGTACTGTTAACTGTGGATCGACTTGACACGCCGCGCCATGTAGGCGAGTCGCCTCAGCTTTACCTCAGAGCCCACAATATCGTTCGACCGGATAATGACCACTCTCTGATGGTCAAACCCCTCCTTGTCCTTATTCTTCTTATGCTCCTCCTCAAAGTACACTTGCCCTTCTGGAGGTAAAGATTTAGGCAGTTCCGGAGGATCCCCGTTCCTGTCATTGTTCCCGCCATCCTGTCGTCACCGCCATGGTCCATCAAACGATATCTTCAGCCTCTCCAACGATGCCGTAGTGAATTCGGCCATGACCTCATGAGATACATCACTGTCCTGATGATCCTGAAGACATTACTGTCCTGACGATCCTGAAAACATCACTGTCCTGATGATTCTGAAGACGCCCCTCACCGATTGTCAACCTTCGGAGACTGATGTTCATTGCAGGAGACCGTTCAAGGCGATCCAGTTGCTCGCATACGGACGACTTCAAATAGATATAATCTCAGGTATCTAGTCCATCGCCAAAAACCTCTTTCATCTCCTCTGACGACCAGATGGTGGACTCATCAGGCACCTTGTTGTGGAGACAGAAATCCAGCGATCGCAGGTTTTGGATCGTCGTATGGGTGAATACAAATATGAAGAGTAGCGACGGGTCGATAGTCTTCATATGGCGGACCTGACGTTTGTTGTGGACGAGGGGAGTGATGAAACTCAAGCGTGGTGTTTTCTCTAGCGCCGTTGTTGTTGCTGTTGTTGTTTTGTCCGGTTGGGGAGCAAACGATCATATCAGATCCGATACAAAGAGTGAGGTAAGACGACCACTTTTTGCAGACATGGACGCATTGCGCGAAGTCGTGTTGAGTCCAGGAGATTAAAAATGTATCCTAGGGTGATAGTGATGGTGACTGAAAAACAGAGGTCAATCGGTATCATATTTATTAATATTTGAGCACATAATCATGATCAAAATGCTTACCTCATTCAGGGCGAAGAATAAAAGGACGATCCAATGCCATGTGGGTGAGCAGCCATCCACTTCTCCACTGCAGCCTTAGCAGCAGGTCCATCAGCATGGTAAACAAACCACCTCCGATCTGACTTCAAACCCTTGATCCTCTCCAGCTTGGGCCAATTCGTATGCATCCACTCCAACTCTGCAACTCCAATATAATGAACAGTCGACCTTAAATCCAACATCCGCAGTTCTTTCAGCCCAGCCAGCAGATACAACCCGCTCTCCAACGAAAATTCCAGGAACTGGTAGTTGAACATGCGGGTGTCCTTTAGCAGCGCCGCCTCCTCCATCGCAGCCAGGTTCATTGACGGGTCCACGCCTGCGTATTCCATGGTTCTTGTACCCAGATCTTGCATGTCAAGCATGAGCTCTTCCAGTTCTGTCATCCTGCCCAATTGAGTGGAAATCCACCGCTGAACATGGAATTTCAAAAAGGGATCTAGTCCTAACTCCCCTGTGTCGGTTGTTCCTCACCATTATGTCGATACAACGCATCCGGTCTTGGTACTCCTTCGATGCGAAGTTGAAGATGTTTCATCGATGGCCCCAGCACCCATGACCGATCCACTCCGCCCTCGACATGATCCAAGTAAGTCTCGTACGCATGCACCAGAATCTCCGTCCTAAACCTCTTCCTCTGTCCATTCGCAATTCCCTCCAGCCGTCTTAGATTCCTGGCGGAGCACAACACATCCACAAAGGCGTTCATCTCCAACTCCTCCGCGCTCTCTATCTGCAGCACCTCCAGCGTTTCGACATTCTTCATCAGCGCCGAAAATGTAAAGGTGCCAAACAAAGGCATGTCCGGCAACCGCGACTCTCTCCATCCTGACCTGGCTGTTCGGATCAGGGCCAAGATCTCATCAGCATTATTGTAAAGACTCTTCCTCCACTCGAGGCTCGATAACTTGTGACATGCAGCTCCAAGACACACAGGTAACATCTCTACCGCTTTGATGTCCAGACGATGGAGACAAAGCGTTTTCACATTGGGACACCGGGTCAGGAAGGCCAGTCGGGTATGGTCCATGCTGTTCTGGCTTCCACAAGTGATGGCAATCTCCTTCAAGGCGCGGAAAGGTTCTCGAAAGAACTGATTGAAACGAGCCACATCTTCGAGATTCAGGTCCTTATTGCTACCGTCGTTGATGCACTTGTCATGTGGGATCGAGTTGAGGAACGAGAGCTGGAGTTTTTCTAGGTGGGTGGTCGGAAATGCCGAGACAAGATCTGCAAAGCCGTCCAAACCGTCCTTGTATCGGAAACGACCCAAGTCCAGACTTATAAATCGGTTATCCTGCTGGACGTTGATCACCGGGGAGACGCACCTTGATACATCCACAAACTCTTGACCCATGACCATCGTAGCCGGTACGGTGAGGTCGCTCGAATTAATGAACTCGCGGACTCTCAAGGCAGGGTGTTCCTTGAGGCAAAGTGTCAAAGATTCGAGCTTGGAGATGCGTAGGTGGTAAAGACCGAGGAAGGAGATGAACGTCGGGTCAGTTGTCTCGACGGTGCGGAGGGTGATTAGGTCGAGGATCTCTTGGGGGACGGATGAGAGTGATGCATAGGGGAGGGTTGAGAAGGGGATGTCTATTCGGGATGGAAGGCTTGCCATTGTTGATGGAGGCGAGAAAAGTGAAAGCGGAATGAAAAGTGAAGTCAATGCAGAACACAACAGAAAGAAAAAAGAAGAGTCGCAAAATGAAGAAGCAAAATACATACAGGAAACTGTGTCCGAAGGGCGGACTTTGATCAAAGCGGCCATGGGAGAGGGGCAGACGGTGGTGAAGGGAGCCACCGGGGGATTCGCATCATCGACGAAATTGGAACTGATGGGATTGATCGCAGGAATCCTCACAATACCACAGGACAACCAAGCGGCGATGAATCATTTCAGGGAGGTCGTTGTCAATCGGAAGTGAGCGTCGGTGAGTGACAAACTGAGGTGCGATTACGCTGCAGAGTGGACCGTGGTCGCACAGATTTGCAGCAAGCGCAAGTGGTCAACAACAGTCGAGTGGTTCAAGGGCCAAGGCGGGTACGAATGGAACGGAAAGGCGGATACGGCAGCAAAGGAGGCGCAATTACAGAGAGGAACGGCATGGGAGGTGGGCAGACCCGCCCCGCACGACATCAAGCATACTCGGCGACGATGGCTGTTGTGGGTTTCGATCAGGGCACGAGACACGTGCTCAATATGCAGACCACCAGACGCTGGCACCAGGAGTGGCCACAACAGCTTTTCAGCGTTGCTCATGTCGACACCCGAGTCCTTGTCGAAATCGGCGGCATTGCTGCGGCGCACTTTGGGACCCACTCGGAGACATATATCACTTCCCCGGGTCCTGCGCGGGACCCTGCACGACGACTCTAAGTGTTGACGCTCCTATCAACCTAACAGAGGAAACAAGGGATACTTTCAAAGAATAATAAACCTTGATAAAGCCCATTTTGGGTGTCCATTTAGTCTTGCCAGTCTCCAGACAATCCAAAAGAAATCACATACAGGCCAATGTCGGAACAAAGACGACGATGAGGGAGTTTATTCATGAACGTTCATTATCTTTGATCCTAAAAAGCTTTCTAAAAAACCGCTCCCATTTCAACACACGCTTCCTCCTCTGTTCCTCAGGCCCAACGCCGTTGGCGCATTGTGTGGTACGAGTCTTGGTGGATAGTTTGACGCCATAGTGAGTTTCATACTCTGCTTTCAATCTGTAGAAAAGGTCGTAGAAGGCGTCGTTGTGGGAGGAGTTAATGATATGGGCCAGCTCATGCAGCATCGTGAGCACGAGGTCGTTGTGGGAGATGAGGCCTCTCCATGTCCGGAGCTTCAAGTGGATCTCCAAGGTATGTCCCACGTTCAGACCCAAGTACTTGCTTCCAGGATCGAGTTCGTGCAACTCGTCAATGTACCATCGACGTCTCCGCATGATGACTTTAACCTTCTCGACGACGCTCGTCATGAGCTTGTACGACTCCTCAGAGTTCCCGCACACGAAGACCCTGCCAAAGCAATCGCGGTCGCGGATATCTTGGAGAGTCCAGATGTTTCCTTTGGGCGGCCTGTATTCCCAGCTGATGACATCGCCCCTTGCCTCCATCACTCTAAGCTTATCGAGCGTCATTATGTTGGCCATCTTTTTGAAATTACAGTCAAAATTAGGTCAGGAGAGGGTGGTCGTTTTCCGCTACGGCTCTGACGATGGTGATTGCGGGAGTGATAAGGGACGCGGGTGCGGGGAGACATTGTGCTTTTTAACATTGTGGATGGTGTGATAATGCGAAAATAGAGTGTCCAATTCCCGGGGGTCAAAAAAAAAAAAGTACATTTTCCAAAAACTGGAGTCGACTAAGAGAGCAACTCAGCTGGAGCAAATGAATGATGGATGATCTTTGTTGGTATGGTGCACAGGCCAAGTGATGGGGGGTTTTAGTCGAGTACTGGTCTGGGTCATAATTTGAGTCGCGGTCTAATGTGGTTTGCAATTTGCGTGCATGCTGCACACATACACATCTGTTGGAGACTCTCACGCATCTCGGCTCCGACTGTTTCGTTCTCATTCCTCCCATCTTTCCATCTTTACTTTGCATTCGACTCTGCTGTTCTCACTTTGTCGAAGCAAACATTGCACATCACACCCCACATTGCTCATTTAAAGTTGAAGAAAGAAAAACTGTGTGTGGGTGTGTAAGACAATAGGGGATTTTCTTCTTTAGTGATAGCTTACCAAGTATGCAATTAATGGCTGCAGGAAGAACGGACGGGAGAATAGATGGGAACAATGAAGGAAGAGGAGTAATTGAAGAGAAAATGGGGGATTATCGATGCGAGCAATGGAAAGGATGTGGTGACGGTGGTCAATGAGTGAAGAAAAGAAGATGGACGGGAAAGTCGAAATGCGCAAGAAGAAGTAGAAGAAGAGAAAGGGTTAGCGGGATATTTAATGTTTACGAGCGAAAAGACGAAAAAAATAATTCATCATGAGCCCTTTGTTGATGCCCCTTGTTGGTGCCTGGATGTCCATCCGCGCATTTTGTAGCTTATCGGGCAAACAGACACAGAAAAAGCTTAAGGTGTGGTCAGAACACGCCGCGTTTTTGGACTATAACGATTGACAGTGACACACACAACATTGCTTCTTAAGGTTTGGTCAGAACACGCCGCGTTTTTGGGCTATAACGATTGACAGCGACACACACAACATTGCTTCTTAAGGTTTGGTCAGAACACGCCGCGTTTTTAGGCTGTAAACTATCATCTGGAGGAGGATTGGGTCCTAATGGCTGCAACAGACTCACCTGCGAAGACGCTCCTTGATAAAGCACTGCTCCCCGATTCAACTGACTCTGGACCCTGCAGCAACTGGTAATGACCTCGAGATCGAGATGCTGGTCATTAATGCTCTCCATAAGCTGGTATACGGCTTTCCTTTCGCTGTTGGGCTAGGATGTCTACAGTTTGTTAACTATAAAATGAAGAGCCAATGCCGTGAGGATGGGAATCCAGCCACTTCTCCACTGCACCCATAACCTCCAATCCAGCCTCTGCATCACCCAACCACTCTCGCTTCGACATCAACCCTTTGATCTCCTTCAGCTTGGGCCAGTTGACATGCATCCAGTCCAGTTCCGCAACTCCAATCCTATGCGCAGTCGATTTGACATCCAGGACCCTCAATTCCTTCATCTCCGCCAACAACTCCAGCCCACTCTCCAGCGAGAACTCCAAGGAGCGGTAAATAAATGTAGGAGCCACATGCCGCAACGACCCCTCCAAGGCAATCGGGTCGTAAGACAAATGAGCAACATTTCTTGCCAACAACGCCATGTTATCCAACTCCTTCACTCCCAAAATCAGCTCCTGAAGACCCGTAAGCCTCCCCAGCTGCGTATAAACCCACCGCTGAACGTCGTACCGGGGATGCATATCTTCTGCCTCTTCGGGTACATCTGGATCAAGAGGAAGTGGGTCTCCGTCTCGTTGACAAACAATGTCAGGTCGAGGAACATCGTCGATCCAGATCTGCAGGAACTCCAAAGATGGCCCCAAAGCCCAAGACCGATCCTTTTCATGAGTATGTTGACGGAATGCCAAATAAGCCCATATGGTCAGCTCCGTCGTGTTCTCCTGAGCCTTCCCATCCGCGGGCCCCTCAAGTCGTCTGAGATGCTGAGCAGAACAGAGTATATCCAAAAACTCTGTCCCCCCAAGGTCACCCCATCCCTCCACCTTCAGTACCTCCAACCTCGTTCGGACACTAGCCATCAGAATCGTAAACGCCTCTGTCCCGAATCCGCCCATGTCCGGCAACGAAACTTCTCTCCAGTGGTTCTTGGCGGACGAGAGTAGGTAAGCCAGATCGTTATCTGGTCCATTGTTCGGCCCCTTCACCTCCAGGATGGACAGATGAGGACAACTCATGCGAAGAGCTGCACTCAGCGACGCCATGGGGATCCTGCCAATGTTGTCGAGTAGGAGTCGCTCCAGACTGGCACATCGACCGAGGAAGGCAAGGCGCTGAGGGGCGATATGAAAATTACCGCCAGAGATCAGTAGCTCCTTTAAGACCTTGAAAGGGCCGAATAAGGGTATCCCTGGCGCCGATGCAAACAGCTCTTTGTGGGTATCGCCTAGATCGTTAAATGAAGTCGAAGAATCCGCGACTGGGGAGAGAGGAGAGGGTCGGTTGCGGAATCGAAGCTCCAGTCGTTCCAGGGATGTTGTAGGGCAGCAGCCAATAAATAGTTGGAAGGCGTCCGTCCCGTCGTTGTTCCGAAAGCAAGTCTCGTCGGCTGACACGAATTTTAGGCCCTGGTTCGCCCTCATAAGTTTGCCCAACAATTGAGCGTTTCCACACTCTTCAATCTGCTGCCGCTGCGAACTTGCAGATGACTGTACCCGCGTCTCCACCCCCGCCTGTTCCTGTTCCTGCTCTGGTAGTAACTCCAACCTCGGGAGAGGCCCTCGTCTAACTCGTTCAAAACTCACAACCAACGAGTGAAGCCCTCCTCCTTCTCCTCCTTCTCTTTCTGTCTTAAGGGTCGCCAGCACTTTTGCGATCTGAGGGTTGACAAGTTCAAGGTCCCGAATAAAATGCGCGTTCCTGGCAACAAGCGCCGTCATCTCCTCGCCAGAGAATCGGTCGTCAGCCTTTACAGTCCGCCAGAGTGAAGGAGTGAAGAACGTGAACCAGTAGTGGCAGACGCGGACACATTGTGCCAAATCGTGTTGGGCCAAATGGGTAGTTATGAGGATGGTGATCTCTAGGGGGAGGGAAGAAAATGAAGCAGGTGGCATGTCGGGCCAGATGGAAGGGAAAAAAAAAAAGCAAGAGTGATGACAATGTTGCAAGGAAGCGGAAGGAAAGGGAAAGTGATGACAATGAAGGATGGGAAAAGAAAGGAAGAGTGATGACAATGGTGCAAGGAAGGGGAAAGAAAAAGGAAGAGTGATGACAATGTTACAAGGAAGGGGTTGAAGTAAAAAGGTATATAGAGGAAGAAGAATAGGACGTGTACATGAAGTAGAGAGAGGGGAGAGAGAGAGAGGAAAAAGAAGAAAGAAACGACGAGTGGAAATGGATAGAAGAGAAGGAAAGAAGCAAACTTAATTTGAAAGGGCATAGTGTCTTCTCTAACTCTCGCAAAGTGCAGTGCGGATCAAATTCTAGATGCATTAGCTTTACTTTATTATCTAACAGAACGACGTTACTTGGTTCCTGCATAATAACACCCAATCCCGTCTGGGTGATCAGCCATCCACGCATCGACCGCAGCTTTAACTGTCAGCCTGGGCTCAGCCTCACCAGCCCATTCTCGCCTCGAATCTAAACCCCTGATCGTCTTCAACCTAGGCCAATTGACATGCATCCAGTCCAGCTCCTCGACGCCGATCCTGTGGGCTGTCAATCTCACATCTAGCACTTTCAACTTCTTCAGCCCCGCCAATAGCTCGAGACCACTTTCCAACGAGAACTCCAAGGTATGGTAATTGAACGTTGGGTACACATGACATAACGCCTCCTCCAGCTCAATCGAACTCGGATCCGTGTCTTTGCTGAAACCTCTCTTAGACAACTCCTCAGGATTCAGATCCATGACGCCTAAGATGAGCTCCTGAAGGCCTGTCAGTCTCCCTAGCTGAGTATAAATCCACCGCTGCACCTTGAACCGCAAGGAGTCGTCCGAATCCTCTGGCAAGTCTTCCGGGTGAGCCATTGAATCTCCAAACCGATAGTAGACGACATCCGATCGAGGGACTTCTACAATTCGCAGCTGTAAAAAATCCATGGATGGCCCCAGCGCCCAGGATTGATCCGCCTTTTTGACGTGGGTATATCCGTAGAGCGCCCCATATGCCGATACAGTGAACTCCTTCTGAAGCCCTGAGAATTCCCCATCTTCTAACCCTTGAATTCGTCGCAGATTTCGAGCAGAGCAAAGTAACTCCAAAAAGTCGTCCTCTTCAGTGTGACCCCAATCTCCAACCCTGAGAACCTCCAACGTTGTCGATACCCTCCTCATCAGAGATGCAAATGACTGGGTCCCGAAATTCTTCAGATCCGGCAACGAGATCTCCTTCCACCCCGACGAACTAGCTGACAACAAAATCGCAATATCTCGATCCTGTCCTACAGGCGGCCCTTTCCAGTCCAGATGAGACAACTTGGGACAGGATAGTCCCATGGCGACTGACAGGGAGGCAACCGCAATGGCATCAATGTCCTCCAGTCGTATCCACTTCAGATTGGGACACCGAAGAAGGAAACCAAGTCGATGGTAGTCGATATGACAATGTCCGCCAGAGATGACTAGCTCCTTCAAGACATTAAAGAAACCAAAAAGACCTCCAAGTTCTCTCCGATCCCCCAGTGCAGCGACAACGTCCGCCATGACAAACGAGTCGGGTCCTTGTTGCGCATTCGCTGGAGGATCTGGTCGATTAGGGTTGTGTCCGAACCGGAGCTCCAAACGTTCCAGTCGGGTAATAGGACAAATAGCCATAATTGTGCTGAAGGCGTCACCTCCATCCATGTTCCGAAAGCAAGACTCGTCCATCGTCAGCGACCTCAGATTCCAGTTCCTTGTCAGAATGAGTTCCAGCGCCCGAGTGTTGCCAAAGTTGGCCGCCTGCTCACTCAAATAGTCGGCTGTAGTCCACGGCCCTGGGGTATCCATCCTCGTCAGAAAGGAAGTAGCCTCGTCCTGGAAACTTGCGCTCAGGGACCGAAGCGACCCTTCGCCTCGTTGGCTAAGAGCCAAGAGGTGTGTTCCCTGAGGGTCAGAGAGTTGGAGGTCTCGGATGCGGTGTTTGTTGTGGAGGAGGTAGCCCAGCCATATGGAATTATGGAACCGAGCGTCGACGTGGACGTCTTGCCAGAGTAGTTGGGTGAAAAAGTCAGACCACTTGTGAGAGAGGCGGAGACACTGCGCGAGATCATGTTGATTCAGGTGAGAGGCGATGAGGGTGATGACTTCTAGAGGAAGGGAGGTGAATGAGGGTGATGACATGTCGGTGATGTGGAGACGGTGGGCGAGACGACAACAGCGATGGGAAGGAGACGATGTGAAAGGTAGAAAGCAAAAGGAGAAAATAAGACAGAAAACAAGGTCGTGGGAAGACTGCTACTGTGTTCAATGGCCACCACTTAATAAAAAGAACTCCGATCTCTCTTTAATCCTTTCTACTCTCTCAATTGCCTCTCTTTCCGTTAATCCTTTCTACTCCCTATTGCTCCGTCCTTTCTTTGTTTATTGCAATTCCCCTTCTCCCAATTGTCCATGCGATCTGCCTTTCTCTCTCTCTCTCTCTCTCTCTCTCTCTCTCTCTCTCCCTCTGGTACAAGAATCGATTATTTAGTAATCAAAATACAATGAGACAAATAAAATCTTACTTAATGTCATGAATAAAATGAAGAACCAATGCCATGAGGATGGGCAGCGATCCACTCGTTCACTGCAGTCCTGACCGCCATACTGCCTTCATCATCGCCAGCCCATTCTCTCCTCGACAAAAGGCCCTTGATCTTTATCAACTTGGGCCAATTGGCATGCATCCACTCTAGCTCCTCGACACCGATCCGGTGTGCCGTCCAACGAACGTCCAGCACCGCCAGTTCCTTCATTCCAGCCAGCAGATCCAGACCACTAGCCAACGAAAACTCGAGGCTGCGATAGTTGAACTCTCTCACAAAGTTGTGTCCGGGGTCATCAAAGGGTTCCAACTCTCCTAATTCCACAACGTGCCAGGAATGCCGGGCGGAAACGGTGTCGGGGACTCCAAGGTTGAGCTCATTCAATCCTGTCATGCGACCCAGTTGAGTGTAGATGAACCTTTGGATATCATAGCGTTTGTTCATGTTCACCGGAAGCGTACCATCCGATTCGTCGTCCAATGGCGATCCGTTCCGACGACAGACGACATCCGGCCGTGGGACGCTCTCGATCCTCATCTGAAAGTACTCCATCGACTCCCCAAGAGCCCAAGGCTCGTTCACTACCATAGCCGCCATATACGCATTGAGAAACAGTTCCCTGATATAAGTCAGTCCCGATCCATCCTGCACGCCCTCCAGCCGACAGAGTCGCCTCGCATTACACAAAAATGGGTAAAGTTCTGCGCTGTCTTGCCCTCCCCATCCGTCACACTTCAGCACCTCCAACGTCGACGCATGATTCATAAGCTGTCGTGTAGCCATGGGTCCCATATTCTGCATCCCGCAGAGTTGAACTTCCTTCCAACCCTCACTGCTCATCATCAACACAGCCACAAAGGTCGAGTCGTCCTCCTCGCCGCCGCTGATGTAGTCTAGTCTGTTCAATCTGGGACACGACACAAAGACCGAGCGCGCAAGGCTCTCCAATGAAAGAATCCCACAGTTCTTGAGTCGAATGCTCTCCAGACTCGCACATCGCTTGATGCACCACTTTTCGAACCCAGGATCTGCAAGCTGACCACCAAAGCAGTCAGCAATAACGAGTTCCTTCAGGGCGACAAAGGGGTCCATGTCCTGCTCATCAGAAACCCCAGCAAAGGCCGTGAGGATTCGAGACCGTTCATTCCATGGTGCATCAAAGGCAATCTCCAGCCTCTCCAGCTCGGCAGTTGGGATGCAATTCAAGACCCCATAAACATCCTCCACATCCCAGGCATTCATGAGCCATTCACCTCCGAGAGTCAAGGACCGCAACCCCGGGTTCTGGCTCAACAACCGACAAAGGACCTGCGAGTACCCGAGCGGATCCACAGGATCTCTCCGTGCCTCCAAGCGAAACTGTATCGACTGCTCGCCTCGGATCTGGTATCTAAGGGACTTTAGATTGGTGCAAGGTGGGGATGCTCGGATAGCGAAACTCTTGGCGACGCTGGCACGACTGGTCTCAAAGGTGTGAGTGTAGTGTGCGTTGCGAACGAGACTTGCGAGGCCCTCAGGATTGTCGAGGCAGTCAGCGTGTTTGCGTCGGAAGATTTGAACGACTTTCCAGAGGAGAGGGGTGCAGCAGTCGTGCCAGGTTTTGTTGATGCGAGCACATTGTGCCAGGTCTGATTGACCCAGCAGCGGAACGATGAGGAGGATGATCTCTGGAAGGAGAGTAGGTGATGGTGAATCTGACATCAAGATGAATGAAGAAGAGCAGGTAAAGAATGATTAGAACAATGAAAGAACGAAGAACAGTCTGGGTCCCAGTGGTGGCAAAAGTCAAACTCAATCGTCCAAAAATTTAAGTGCAGACAAAACGACAGAAGCTGGAAACGTGGTGCCTGCATTACTGTGGTGGAAGGTGGATGTGTGGTACCTGGATCCTCTTCTCTACTCCTTGTTTTTATCGTAGTTGAGGGAATTCGGCATCCTTCAGCAAAAGTCATACCTCAATGGTGGTGCTATGTGCTTCTTTAGACTAGCAAGAGAAGAAATTGAGCTGTTCGTTCACACATGGACAGCGTGGGCGAAGTGCGCTCTTGTCCTTGCATTCGCTGGGCTGTTGATTGAACAAGAGTGAGAGACGGTCATCGTTGCCTTTAAATCTATTCCTCCCACTGCGACCTTTATTTTATTTTTTTGATCAGTGGTGCCTGGGTGGAACAAAGGGGCACCGCGTGTTATAGAGGTTCTTTCCCCTTGTACCCCCTCTTCTTTGTGCCTACAATAGACAAATGGCGAGAGCAATTGCTCCTACGTTTTCAACGCGTCCTTGTCCCAAGGCGCTACTTTTTGCCGACTGCCCGAGGTCACGTGCAGATATGACCCCTGTGGCGGTTATTATTTTTTCTTAAGCTATTTCGTTGTTTTTGTAGTTTCCGGTTTGCCTGACTGACCAACAGGAACAAGACTGACCAACAGAACAAGATAAGAAGGCGCTTCTCTCTTTCCTATTCTTCACCCCTCCCTTTTGGTGCTCTTTCCTCTTCTTTTTTCCTCTGCCTTCCTATCCTCTCCTTCCTTGCACCCTTCTCTCCTCCTCTTTTCTGTCCTCTCCCTTCTTTTCACTCCACACTCTCGCTCACTCTCTTCCATCTTTCCCTTCACCTCACACCCTTCTAATCAACAAAAGGGAATGTGGCACCATGTCTACCCGCACTGGCACAAGGCAGCCCAACGCTGCTTCTCCTTCATCGCCGTCGTCCTCCTCATCACCCTCCCCGTGGTCTACGGCAAACACCACTCCATATCCTCAAAAGTTCTGGGCTCCGTTCTCGGCGTCTTCTTTGCCATCTGGATCGCCTTCTCTGTACGCCTTGCTTCTCTTGTTGCAGTTCTTGTTCGCTTTCTGCTCGCCCTTTTTTTTCTTGTCTGTTGGTTTTACCGGGTGTACAAAGACAATTGCCATTGAGCCCAATTACTGACTGTTATTCTCTCTGTTGCCCCCTTCTCTTCTTCACCACTCCTCCCTGTCCCCTTTCTCTCCACGCTTCCACTTGCATGACACTTGCATACATACATCTAATAGCTTATAGTCCGTTTCCTGGTCCCCTCACCGGTTGTCGAGTCCACCCTCCCCATCTATACCCACTCCCCTATCCCCGACCCCGTCGTTCTCTACTCCCCAACCCGTTCAGACGCAACACCTGCAGCACCCGCCATCCGTCTTCATCCTTCCTCAGCAGCTACTCCACGAGCCCCGGGACGAACAGGAGGAGCCCGGTTTGCGGACGATCCCGTTGACGTTGACGCTGCTGCTGAAGGAACAGGAGGAGCGATCCGAAATAACGTCACTTTCCAGACCCGTCCTCGAGGCAACACTGCGGATTCGACAAGCTCGTTTGCATACCCTACCTTTGCAGCCTATCGACAGGCACAGCATGTCAACTTTGATGCCTTTGCTCAGCGTGTGAAGCGGGCCTTTGCGCTTTCGCAGCAGCAACAGCAGGAGCAGCAGAGGGAGCTTGAGGAACAGGAGCTGCAGAAACAGCAGCAACAGCAGGACGAAGAGCTGGACGAACTCAAACAACAACAGCAACAGCACCCCCTATCCTTGGATCAGCAGCGACCAACCAACTCGAGGAGCAATTCAACCTCGGCAGTACCTTCTTCCACTCTAGCCACCAACGCACCAGCAACAGGAACACGATCACGCTCCTCGTCTGCTGCGAGCATGATGAGTGACTTTGCGGAACGACTCAAGACCGGGAAACTGTTTCGACGGGCTTCGAACCTCTCTCTCAGGACGACTGCTGTTGCCAATGCTGCTGCTTCTGAGGCTGCTGGTGTGAGCAGTAGTACGCTTTCTAAACGGCCAAGTAATCAACAGCTCAAGGACAGCAACAATACTGCGGGCGATGCCGAGCTGTTGTCATCACCGCTGGCACCGTTGGGGATCGAGATTACGGTTACCCCCTCGGAGGACGATCACCCGTCCACCGGCAACGCTCATACTCCTACAACAACAACAGCAACAGCAAAAGCAACGGCAACGGCAACAACAGGATCCGCTCCCGCCATCCCCGCCTCTGCCGCATCGAGCCTTTAATTATATTTATCTCTCCGACTCGGCCAGCTCTCAACATACAACCTTTATTTATCTTGTCCTCTCCTTTGCCCACAAACTGACTTTGTCTGCCTTGCCTTGCCCGATGAGCTGAGCCCGGAGCTGGGGGTTTGCCAATGGTCTCACACGGAGAAGGTGTTCTGCCATCGCCATGATTTGCCTGTTGAGGTCGAGGGGGACGCTGAGGGAGGAGTGAGAAAGGGAGAGAAGGATGAAAGGACTGTAGGACGCGAACACGCGAGTGGAGCACACGGGTTGAATTTTTAGTACCTCAGACGACAAAAAGCGTGCAGAAAGTTATCAAGGAAAAACTGAGCCCACATAACATCCATTGGAATCGCCTAGGCCCTGTCTCCTTCTTCCTCCTCAACTCCTAAGCGACACACAGACCCGTCTTTTTGCGTGTTCTTTACTTTGTTGTTGCTTCGCAGCAGCGAAGCATGCAGCTCCCCTGTTTTTCGATTATATTGTCTGTTTGTTCTGTTGATGGTCATATTACTTCAACCCCTAGTCACCCTTTTTTTTTTCTTTCATTCGTGACCAACTGCGAAGCTATCATTTTCTTTCTACTTTTCTTCTTAATTAACCATCATCACCTTGTACAATAGCTCATAATTTCTAATCTACATATCCTAATAACCAATCTTATCCACCATTCTCCTCTCTCCATGTGCTTGCACAGCGTGAAAGAATTGCATTTAATTGGATGAAGCATGCCAATGAATCTACATGATAAGACAATCAACACCTATATCATCATGAACACCTTCACTTTCACAATCCCTCGAGCATCTCGCATCCATCTCGTTCCAGGTGTGTCCGCACGCATAACAAAAGCTCTGTCCGCAATGACAGACCATATGGTTACACCCTTGTTGCTTCTCGATCACGAATCTGCAGGAGGGGCAATGTCGCCAATGTCGGTCTTGGACTAATTGGAGCATTGCTCGGTCTTCTTCTGTTTGCCCGCCTTGTGCCTGTTCTCTGTATTGTTCGCATGTCAAGCCTGTTAGATGGAGTGGGAAGGGGGGGAAAGGTTGCAGGTCTCAGGTTAACAATCACACGAATTATTTTGGAGATTAGAGAAAAAGCGACAACACACCCATCAACAAACAGCCCAAGGATGTTAACATACCACGATGAAAAGGCACAGCACAAGAAGCGCAAAACGAATTCCGGCACTCGGGACAAGTAACCGCAGTCCCATCGCGATCATCCAGATCCACAATCGACCGACACTCTGGTAACGGACAACAGACCTTGTTCGCAACATGTATCTCGGCCAGTTTGCGGTACCAAATCTCTAACGTCTCCTTGTCCAATACCCATTCTGCAGATTCGGTAGGGATAGGGGTCCGACAACCCGGTTGTGGGCAGACAGTGGGGAAGCGAGCTTGGGGGCTTTGGGTAGCGTTGAGGAGGAAGGATTGGAGACAGGAGAGGCAGAGGCCGTGGTCGCAGGGGAGGATGAGTCCTAGTTCTTTTGAGGACATTGAGGGTGTGATTGAAGGTGCTACCGTTGAGATCCGCCGTGAGGGGGCTGAAGTGGAAGTTGAGGCAGCATTAAGGCTACTGGATATCTGTTGTCGCGGCTGTTGAGAGTATTCGACACTCTGGAGAGAAAACGACCGTGCTAGTCGTTCGGTGAATGTGCGTGCGAACTGGACCCGTGACGAAGTTACCGTTGACTCTTCCTGGTGCTCTTGCTGCTGTTGTTGTAATGGGTCCAGGTCAAAAGTCATGAAAGACTCGAAGCAAATTCCGCATGTTGTCGATGGTATCGTGTTCTTTAGCAATTCTTCCCGATCCAGCATGCGGTCTATATGGTTTGCATACCAGAATACGTTAGAACATACCCTGTGATGCCAAGGGTTCATAATGCCCCGAGGCATAAGAATAGCTGACATGTCCGAATTACAAGAGAATGTACCTTCTTGTCGGCAGCGTACTGAAGAAGTCTGGGTAGAGTTACGCCCAGAACCAGACCCGGGAGCAGGACGCCACAGTTCCGGATGATAATTGGTCGCATGGTGACTATAATTCCGCAACATCGCTGGCATGATCACCAACAGATCCGTCTCGTACCCATATTCGATCTCCTCGCCGTCAGAGCCGTCCAATTCGTTATGGCTCCCACCCTGTTCCTCACTGCGGAGACCTAGACTTTTGACAGTTAAACTGTCGTCATTGTTGTTGTCAAAATCGTCGTCCTCGTCGATTTCGGACTCGCTGCGCTGGGACTCTGGTGTCCGTTGCCTATGCTGGAAGGACGTTTCTGACCCCTGTGCTTGTCCTTGCGGGTTGTGGATGGTATGACTGCTCCCGATAGAGACTCGATTCTTGCCTTTGGCACCACTGCCGTCCCGGACTTCTGGCGCGCACGAGGCGTCGTTCTCAAAGTCCGAGAGGAAGACGTAGTCGTAGTCTTCTTCGTATTCGTCGACTTGCTGCATAGTTTGCTTCTAAACGTGTGTTGTTTGTGTGTGTTGTTTCCTGGGAGCGAGGTGACGAGTGGTCAAAGTAGTGAAAGTAAGAGATGAGGGTCTACAGTGGTTGGAAGGAGTGAGAATGTCAGCGGGCGAGTGAGCACTAAGGTTTAAGAGTAAAAAAGCTTGGCATTCAGCTTATGTCCTGTTGTATAACAGTTTGTCAACCCTTTTTTGTGTGCATTGACTAAGGATGCTCGTTGCGTACGTTTCATTCCCCGTTGTGCTGTTGCGCGACTGTGTCTTTCCATCGCGATGAAGGAGGAAACACTCACCCAGTGCCAGTAGGTTGTATAGTTGATGAAAGGAAGGGTTTGTGTGAATGGTAAATAGGGCTGAAAAGTGAATGGGAAAAAGTGGAGAACAACACCGTTTTTGAGGAGGCGCCCAGACCTCACTTTCCACGTGACACTTTCCAAGTTACAGCACAGCCTGGCTGCATGGTTTTCACTTTTATTCCAACGGTGAGAGTGTGTACAAGAAAGGAACAAGGGTCTTGAATAGAACAACAAGGACGCTAATCGCTCATATGACCACTGGCATCGACAAGGGGACCAGACGGACTGGGGACATGGTTGTGCTCAGGCACATCCTGCCACGACGTACAGAACTGACACCGCGTCGCCACCTTGCTGATCTTTTGGCGGCAGTACTTGCACTTCACCTTGCTCTTGATAATCTCTTCCTGCTGGAACGACTGGAATACTGTGTGTCATGGATCGAAAGTGTGTTAATGATATGTTACTTTGCATGAGACATCCTGTAAGAGATAACAAAAAAGCAAGAGGGGTACCTCGAATGACGGAGAAGAGGACGAACGCGACGATGAAGAAGTTGAACGTCATTTGGAAGAACCGTCCGTATGCAATGCAGACTGCACCGTCATCATGGGCTAATTATTATTTTTATGTCAGCATGCAGCACATCCAGGGAAGAGAAAGGCGAGGAAAGGATCAGGATGAAGCAGTAGCTGTGTTAGATACTGGGCGAATTCAAACAACACAGACACTTGTATGCTCCTGTGTATCGTTTCTACCCCCATTTACCTTGATCCAATGTGAGATACGTTGTTGAAGCGTTCTTTCCATCCTTGATGACGACAAAGAGATCGTCCAGACTCGCATGTCCGACTGCCAATCCCAGAGGTGGTGAAATGATGTCGTTGACCAATGAGTTCACCAATGATGTGAACGCTACTCCCAGTATCAACCCCACCTATGTTTGTCGAAGAGAAGAGTAGTAAACAGGTAAGCAGCTGCCACTAGTTCGTCGTTTAGTTCTTATTTTTGGTGCTTGTTGTCCTTGTATTCGTTTCTTGATATCCCTTCTGTCCAACAAGGAACCTTTATTTTTTTGGTGGTCATGCGGATGAATGACCATTCGTACTTTTGCTCCTTTACGGCACTTTCCCAATCCTGAGTTACAGAAACAAGAAGCTCTTTTGTTGCTTGACTTACAGCCAAACCGACGACGTTCCCATTGTCGATAAAGTCCTATTCAAGTTGAACAAAGAGAGAACCAAGATGTACGTCAGTCAAGAATGGGCGATTTGTGGGCTCGATACACAAATTCAGAAGTGAAGGGAGGCAAAGGGGTGGTACCTTGAAGTGGGTCCAGAGGGTTTTTGCTTTGCGAGTGACGACCATACCGCCGTGCAAGAGAGACTCGCGTGTGGTGTCTTCAACGTTATGGAGTCCATCTATGATTCTTTCGCGTTGTGTCATCCATCCGTTTGTGTTCCCGTTCTGGCGTCCGTTTGGCGGCGACGACATTTTTCTGTTTTTGTTGTGTTGTGTTGTCTTGGTTGAAGGTGAGGGTGAAAGGGATGGAGGGTGCTTGAGTGATGATGAATGGAGCGAGTGGTGGTGGGTGGGCGTGAGTGAAGAAAAGAATAAAGAGGAAGAAGAAGAAGAGACGAAAGAGAGTCGTTCTTTTGCTTTTGTATTCGAATAAACTGTGTTCCTTTCCTCACCAACTCTCACTTCTTACAGTAAAAAGGGACATCAGAAAGGGAGTAACCTCTGTCCTCTGTGAACACAAACAACACACACAACACACACAACACATTCACGACAAACAGACACGTGCTACGTTGTTATTACATATGCATCCACTGATAATGATTACAGACACCTCCACACTGTCTTCCTCGCGCTTCTTTCAGTCAGGTTTCATAACTTTCTTTGGGTCACGTGCAGTCACCCACAGATTCTGCAAGCGAGCGAACCAAAACGCTCTCATCTTGTAGACTGCTGAGAAAGTTGAAAAGTCCATCATCTTTCCTTTTTTATTGTTCATCACTTCCTCCTCTCACGACCACCCCGCCAAGTCATATAACATCAAGATGGTCAACGCCGCAAAAGTACTCCAGGACCTGCGCGCCTCCGCAGAGCGCAAGCCAGATGTCGTCGTCCGTCTCGGAAAGCCCCTCATCGATTCGGGCGCCGTCTTGAAACTCGATGCCGATGGTAACAATTCCAGGAAGATGTATAGGAGACATTCTCAGGAACAACAACTAAGGATGTAGCGAAACCAGGAGTACGACTTTCATCTAAAAAGTGGAATCAAGTCCTGCAACAGTGAAAGAGAGAACGTTTGCAGGAACTTTGTCAATGACAGTCATGGAAGGCTGTGTTCGAGGAAGGACTGCCAGAGCAACCACGACGCGACATCCCTGATGACTTTAGGAGACCAAGGAGAACTGCTAGCTGAAGGACAAAGTAAACTAGATTTTGATCTAACATAGACCATTGACTTTGATGCGCTCTACTTTATAGCTTGGCTCGTGTACGAGCAGGTTGCTATTGCTGCACTGGATATGGGCGATGATGCCCTTGCCCTCGTATGTTCATTAGCGAGATCACATTCTTCATCAGATCAGGCTTTGTTTTAACGGGTTAATACGGGTCGAGAAAAGGATCAGAGATCTAACAGGATATGTCTTCTTCGATTCCGTAGAAATGCATCCAGGCTCTCGAGACAAAGTTCCCAGGATCGCCTCGCGTCCGCCGTCTTCAAGGAATGCAGCTGGAGGCATCAGGAAAGCTCGCAGAGGCAGGACTGATCTACAAGGCTATCCTCGAGGAGGACGAGACCAACGTCGTAGGTGTCATTTAGGACCAACGGAAGACTCAATTCTATTGCGAATGCTGTCAAGTTGCTCCACAGTTAACAGTACTCTCTAACTTTCTATGAACTCGGATTGTCTTGGTCCATCTCTAGCTCGCCTCGAAGCGTCAGGTCATGCTGTTGCGCGCAATGGGATTGCCCTCGGAGGCCATCTCTGCACTGGTCAAGTACCTGGATATCAACTACACCGACTTTGAGGGATGGCTCCAGCTCGCCGATTTGTACTTGGATGAGCTCATGTAAGCATCAATCTTGTGTCCTGAAGCAGCACTGGAACGTTCCCGAGAGTCACACACAGCGAGGACGATCGACCGTTTTCTTTTGTGCTAGGATCTGACTAGCTGCCATATTCTCTCTTTAACCTTCCTGTCAATAGGTACGCACAGGCTGCGTTTTGCATGGAGGAGGTGTTGATGCTTCAACCCCAGAACCACATCTTCCACCTCAAATATGCCGAGATTCTTTACACACAGGACAACTTCCAGTTGGCATTGAAGCAGTTTTGCCGCGTCGTCGAGTTGTGCAGGGATCATGTCCGTGGACTTTATGGAATCAAGATGGTAACTCTCCACAGATATGCGTTTGATCTGCGACGCAAAATGTGGCACCTTGAAACTAACCGGTCTCCTTCTTTCATATTACTTTCTGAATGTGAAATAGTGCGCTTCTCGCTTGTTGAAGGCAGCACCATCAAAAGACGCAGCAGCAGCAACATCGCATGAGGATTTGGAGGCTATGGACTTGTTGGCCACAGAGCGTTTGATCGCCCTCTATGGCGCCCCAGGTGCTGCAGCCGAGTCATCCAAAGTGGCCGCTACCAAGTGGATCGAGATCCAGTAAAGGAAAGAATGGACACGGGATAGAAATTGGGCAAAGCGACCTAGTAATACATGATATACAACCTCAATACCACTCCTCAATACCACACTGAAAGTAAACGTACTGCAAAAGGATAATGGAGTTGTGAAACAAGGAATGGTTATGGGATGTGTATTGTGATTATGCTGCTCCTCGAAGAGCTATGTTTGCTTTCGATTCTGGAGCCAGCGCTCACTGTAGATTATCATTTCTTCGTCTCGTTCCTCTTGGCCATGTGGTCGTTGTCGACTGTTCTTCTTTACCCAAATTACCTTCCTTTCGCTCTTTAACCTTCTTTTCCGGAAGCACAGGCATTAGAGAGGAGAGGGAAAGAGGGATAGAGGAGAGTGAAGGTGATGTTTGTACGTGCTTTGTGTGTGTGTGTGTGTGTGTATGTGTGTGTGTGTGTGTGTGTGTGTGTGTGTGTGTGTGTGTGTGTGTGTGTGTGTGTGTGGACACGTGTAAAAATCACTCCAGGGGATCCGTGCGAAATAATCGCAGTGCAGATTTCTCGAAGTTTCGAACCCTTAAGACACGCGAGTATAAAAGGGGTCTTTTCCCTCTGTCGTCTCTTTTCTCCCTTTCCTTTCTTCCTTTCTTTTTTTCTTTTCTTCCTTTCTCCTCACCCCACTCACTCGCCAGCCAGGACCCACAAGGACCAGGACCAAATCAAAACCATTCAAGCAAAGGGCGAAGACGAGAGGCACGACAGCGGACAAGAGCAACTACCGCTCTTTTTACGCGATCACGCGTACTTTCCTCTGTTTATCCTCCCAAGCCAACGCGTCCTCAAAGTAAACAAACAAACATTCACTTCCTTCCTTCACCCTTCCCTCTCCCTTCTCTCCCCTTCTCTCCCCTTCTCTCCCCTTCTCTCTCCCTTCTCTCTCCCTTACCTCACCCTTCCCTCTACCTTCATTCCCCTGCCACTACCTCCACCACCAACCACAATCAACAGTACTCAGCAATCAACACGAAAACAGCAATCAGTCCCATCTTACCTCTATCTCTCCCTCCTTCCCTCTGGTGCCCAATTGTTGCAATCAACCTTCCCTTTGCTAACATCGTCTCCCTATTCTTTTGACTAGATGCCAGCAAGACCAGCAGCCTGCTAGGCGAGGCCATAACTGACAACGGCATCTTCTGAATCAGCACCTGGACGTCTGTGAAGGTAAGTATCTAAAAAGAAGCCGGTCGACTGCGTAAGCGGTGGGAGGCATGAAGGATGTGGCGACGCGACAACAGCGGTATCGGGGCTCTAGCAGCGACTCGGCTGGTCGGTCCCATCTGGCTGGGGATCCCTGTGACTGATTTGCCCCGGGGTACCCTCAGCGGAAGGGTGGGAAGTTGACCACTGGGAGGGTTAGAGGTGGCTGCTGTCTAGCGGCGTCTCATTCTTCATGACTCTTGGACACCCTGTGGTGACCGGGGCCAATTTGGATGACTTGCTAGACGGTGCACAGCGGTGAGGTGCAAAGTTCGAAGGCTAACCGTCATTTTTTTTTCGTTTTGTTTTCCATTCATCTATATACACCACGTCTACATCAAACACTTCTCGATGAGCAACGTGTGATCAGGAGCTGGGTCAGCATAAAGGCAAGTATCTAGAAAGAAGCCGGTCGACTGCGTAAGCGGTGGGAGGCATGAAGGGTGTGGCGACGCGACAACAGCGGTATCGGGGCTCTAGCAGCGACTCGGCTGGTCGGTCCCATCTGGCTGGGGATCCCTGTGACTGATTTGCCCCGGGGTACCCTCAGCGGAAGGGTGGGAAGTTGACCACTGGGAGGGTTAGAGGTGGCTGCTGTCTAGCGGCGTCTCATTCTTCATGACTCTTGGACACCCTGTGGTGGCCGGGGCCAATTTGGATGACTTGTTAGACGGTGCACAGCGGTGAGGTGCAAAGTTCGAAGACTAACCGTCTTTTTATATCTCCTTTTGTTCTCCATTCATCTATATACCACGCCTGCACCAAAAATTATTTGATGAGTTGTGTGTTTTCAAGAGCCGGGCCAACATGAAGGCAAGTATCTGGAAAGGGGTGCCGGTCGACTGCCTTGCGATGGGAGGCATGGACTTTGTGATGACGCGACAACAGCGGTATTGGGGCTCTTGCAGCGGCTTAGGTGGTAGGCTTCTCATCTGTCTGGATATCACTGCGACTAATTTGTCACGGGGTACCCCGAGTAGAAGGGTGAGAAGTAGGCCACTGAATGCTTCAGAGGTCGCTGCTGTTTAACGCAATATCTTGGTTCATGGCTCTTGGATCTTTTGTTATGAAAGTCGAGCCTGTTTGAATAACTTACTAACTGCTGCAGAAACCGCGAGATGCATATATCAAAGGCTGGCTGTCCATCATAGATACCTCTCATCTCGATGATGACTTGACAGCCATAGTGAATATGACATAGCCATGTAGAGACTAGTGAGTTACATTGGTAAAAATAAAGGTGTGAATGTACCAAAACATCTTGGGCGATGCTGGCAATGCTTGTTGCTTTAACATGGATGCTAAGCGGAGATGCACAGAATGTCGGACAGAACATACATGTAACCGACAACAAAGGGACAAATGGTCAAAGGGATCATATGCATGCATCTACCATTCCAAAGATACATTTATGCGAGACCCATTCAGCACAACAGAGAAGAACATGTGGCGCAAGCAACAAGCGAGCATGGTTGTTCTTTATTGTATTCTATCACACTGACTTCTCGTTTGTTGCACTATCGCTTCCTTTACCTCTAGTCCGTTCCATACCACCCGCCCTAGGTCATCTGTCCTCCACTATCCCTCAACTCGTCTCCCTTCCTTCCGATCTCATCCTCCTTCCTCCTCGACTCTCCCTCAGTAACAGCCTCCCGTCGAGTATCATCCTCTAGATCTGCTGAAGAGCCTAAGTCTGCTGTTGTAAGATTTTCGTTTGCCTCATGCCTTCATACGGTTACACACTGCGTCAGTACCGTTCTCCTTGAGTTTCGTGCTTATACTATCGACTGTATACACAATCGTACAAAGTAGAAAAGCAAGCCCTTCTCAAATGAAAATAGACTTACTTGACTCATGTCCTTTGAAAGTATCCTTGAATAACGAAAGCCTATTTTTCCTGATCATAAACGGTTACAACAAAACAAGTGCCAGGGAAGTGACGGCGATGGACTCATCATCTGCCCTGAGCCGTAAACCTTGCTTTCTTTACATATCCTTTTCATGTCTTTCTCGTTTATTTTTTGCTCTTCTTCATCCACCTGCCATTGTTCCTCTCTGTGTGATGATGGTGTGGGCATAAATGAGCAAAGCTCGGAGGATGTGATTAATGGATCGTATTGTCTGGTGCAAAGCAGGAGGCTGTAAAGTTGATATCGGGTCCCCCTTCTCGTTTCTTTTTTTGTGCAGCGTTTCTTTCTTGAATACCTGTTGCTCCACAAAATAAACTTTACAATCCAAGCTAATACTCCCTGTAGCCCGAAGCTCCCGTGCACATGCTCAACCAATCTAGCAAGCTTAATTTTTCGAAAAAGAACTGGGAAGCAGTGACACCGTGTCTGAGAGACGAGGCAGCACAGCTTTACTCAAGAAAATTGAAGCAATCCTCCGAGATCAACATGTCCCTATGATTTCTTTGGATTATCTAGTCATCTATCACCAACAAGCTGAAGCAACCCTGCGAGATCAAGATGTTCCTATGATTGCTTTGGATACATCTAGTTATTTATCACCAACCAACGAGAACTTCTTTTTTGGTTGGCTCCAGGTGGATTGGTATTTAGAGAAGGAGGTTCGTCTTTTTTTTTTTTTTCTTCTTTTTTTTTTCTTTTCTTTTCTTTTCTTTCCTTTTCTTTTCGTTACTTTTCACTTCATTTCCTTCCTTCAACAAACAACGATCAACGACTACTACCTATCCTACCACCAATGCACAAAACACAAGAACCAATATCTATAAAAACACAGAAATCATGACCGTCCGGTGCAGCTATTGTGGGAGGTGGTGCCCAGATGCATGGTATGAGGCCACTCTCCCTGTCCGTGTTCATGGACAGGAAGAGCGTCTGTACTGCAAGCAGTACAGACGGAGGATGTGCAGGGAGGGTGTGGTAGTGGAGGCGATTGCAGCCCGTCTGGAAGGCTACCACAAGACTACTGTGGGTTAAACGTCGTCCTACTGCTCACTAGGTCCGAGGCTAGGACGCTCTATTACCTCACCAACCTGCACCTGGAGAACATTCCTACTGAGATCGGGTATCCAGTTTGGACCGACAGAACCTATAACAGGGCATTCCTTGTCAACGAGCGGGGTGTTTTCGCGTGTTGTTCGGGGAGTCCATGGACTTCAAGTGGGCGTTGACAACGTTCGGCTCGTTGCCCAAGCGGGGCCATCACTCCTGAGGAAGATATCCTCAACCAAAGGGACGCCATCCGAACCCTCCTCCTTCAGAGACGGTATTTCGCTAGGCCCGACCTTCCAGCCATTCAAGCGTTTGTTCAGGGTCAGCAGGGAGGTGCAGAGGAGCTTTTGGCGATAGTCAAAGAGGTGGCCATCTAGGTTGCCATTTGTCATTCCCTTCTCTTGAGTTAGCTTTTCATTTTCTTTTACTTGCTTCTTTTTTTTTGTCTTCTTTCTCCTTTCAATACCATCTTTCTTTTCTTTACCTTTCTTCATTCTTCATTTTACGTCTTGGTCGCTCTCCCCTTTTTTTATCTACAGCGTTTCTTTCTTGCATACCTGTTGCTCCAAATAAAACTTTACAATAAAATCGAATACTCCCTGTTGCCCATAACTCTTGTGCATGCTCAACCAATCTAACAAGCTTCATTTTTCAAAACATAACTGGCAAGCAATGACACCATGTCTGAGAGACACAGCAGCACAGCTTTACTCAAGAGAGTTGAAGCAATCCAACATGTCTTATGATTTCTTTTGATACATTTAGTCATTTATCACCAACCAACAAGATACATCTAGTCATTCATCACCAACCAACAGGTACATCTAGTCATTTATCGCAAAGCAACAAGATATTTTTTTGTTGGCTCCAAGTGGATTGGTATTCAAGAAGGGATTTTTCTTTCCACAGTTCTTTTCAACTCATCCAAGGCCGACCAACAGCTTCATGTCATCCCACCCCAGATCCTTTCCATGATCATCGACCACCTTCCTCTTGCGACGTTGGCTAACATCTCAAGAGTTGACCGCGCGTGGCTTGAATATGTCCGTGCGCTTCCCGTCTGAACGGCCATGTGCCAAAATGGAGGCTACAACACGACACCCCCCCCTAGAACAACCATGCTCGCTTGTTGCTTGCGCCACATGTTCTTCTCTGTTGTGCTGAATGGGTCTCGCATAAATGTATCTTTGGAATGGTAGATGCATGCATATGATCCCTTTGACCATTTGTCCCTTTGTTGTCGGTTACATGTATGTTCTGTCCGACATTCTGTGCATCTCCGCTTAGCATCCATGTTAAAGCAACAAGCATTGCCAGCATCGCCCAAGATGTTTTGGTACATTCACACCTTTATTTTTACCAATGTAACTCACTAGTCTCTACATGGCTATGTCATATTCACTATGGCTGTCAAGTCATCATCGAGATGAGAGGTATCTATGATGGACAGCCAGCCTTTGATATATGCATCTCGCGGTTTCTGCAGCAGTTAGTAAGTTATTCAAACAGGCTCGACTTTCATAACAAAAGATCCAAGAGCCATGAACCAAGATATTGCGTTAAACAGCAGCGACCTCTGAAGCATTCAGTGGCCTACTTCTCACCCTTCTACTCGGGGTACCCCGTGACAAATTAGTCGCAGTGATATCCAGACAGATGAGAAGCCTACCACCTAAGCCGCTGCAAGAGCCCCAATACCGCTGTTGTCGCGTCATCACAAAGTCCATGCCTCCCATCGCAAGGCAGTCGACCGGCACCCCTTTCCAGATACTTGCCTTCATGTTGGCCCGGCTCTTGAAAACACACAACTCATCAAATAATTTTTGGTGCAGGCGTGGTATATAGATGAATGGAGAACAAAAGGAGATATAAAAAGACGGTTAGTCTTCGAACTTTGCACCTCACCGCTGTGCACCGTCTAACAAGTCATCCAAATTGGCCCCGGCCACCACAGGGTGTCCAAGAGTCATGAAGAATGAGACGCCGCTAGACAGCAGCCACCTCTAACCCTCCCAGTGGTCAACTTCCCACCCTTCCGCTGAGGGTACCCCGGGGCAAATCAGTCACAGGGATCCCCAGCCAGATGGGACCGACCAGCCGAGTCGCTGCTAGAGCCCCGATACCGCTGTTGTCGCGTCGCCACACCCTTCATGCCTCCCACCGCTTACGCAGTCGACCGGCTTCTTTCTAGATACTTGCCTTTATGCTGACCCAGCTCCTGATCACACGTTGCTCATCGAGAAGTGTTTGATGTAGACGTGGTGTATATAGATGAATGGAAAACAAAACGAAAAAAAAATGACGGTTAGCCTTCGAACTTTGCACCTCACCGCTGTGCACCGTCTAGCAAGTCATCCAAATTGGCCCCGGTCACCACAGGGTGTCCAAGAGTCATGAAGAATGAGACGCCGCTAGACAGCAGCCACCTCTAACCCTCCCAGTGGTCAACTTCCCACCCTTCCGCTGAGGGTACCCCGGGGCAAATCAGTCACAGGGATCCCCAGCCAGATGGGACCGACCAGCCGAGTCGCTGCTAGAGCCCCGATACCGCTGTTGTCGCGTCGCCACATCCTTCATGCCTCCCACCGCTTACGCAGTCGACCGGCTTCTTTTTAGATACTTACCTTCACAGACGTCCAGGTGCTGATTCAGAAGATGCCGTTGTCAGTTATGGCCTCGCCTAGCAGGCTGCTGGTCTTGCTGGCATCTAGTCAAAAGAATAGGGAGACGATGTTAGCAAAGGGAAGGTTGATTGCAACAATTGGGCACCAGAGGGAAGGAGGGAGAGATAGAGGTAAGATGGGACTGATTGCTGTTTTCGTGTTGATTGCTGAGTACTGTTGATTGTGGTTGGTGGTGGAGGTAGTGGCAGGGGAATGAAGGTAGAGGGAAGGGTGAGGTAAGGGAGAGAGAAGGGAGAGAGAAGGGGAGAGAAGGGGAGAGAAGGGGAGAGAAGGGAGAGGGAAGGGTGAAGGAAGGAAGTGAATGTTTGTTTGTTTACTTTGAGGACGCGTTGGCTTGGGAGGATAAACAGAGGAAAGTACGCGTGATCGCGTAAAAAGAGCGGTAGTTGCTCTTGTCCGCTGTCGTGCCTCTCGTCTTCGCCCTTTGCTTGAATGGTTTTGATTTGGTCCTGGTCCTTGTGGGTCCTGGCTGGCGAGTGAGTGGGGTGAGGAGAAAGGAAGAAAAGAAAAAAAGAAAGGAAGAAAGGAAAGGGAGAAAAGAGACGACAGAGGGAAAAGACCCCTTTTATACTCGCGTGTCTTAAGGGTTCGAAACTTCGAGAAATCTGCACTGCGATTATTTCGCACGGATCCCCTGGAGTGATTTTTACACGTGTCCACACACACACACACACACACACACACACACACACACACACACACACACACACACACACACATACACACACACACACACACACAAAGCACGTACAAACATCACCTTCACTCTCCTCTATCCCTCTTTCCCTCTCCTCTCTAATGCCTGTGCTTCCGGAAAAGAAGGTTAAAGAGCGAAAGGAAGGTAATTTGGGTAAAGAAGAACAGTCGACAACGACCACATGGCCAAGAGGAACGAGACGAAGAAATGATAATCTACAGTGAGCGCTGGCTCCAGAATCGAAAGCAAACATAGCTCTTCGAGGAGCAGCATAATCACAATACACATCCCATAACCATTCCTTGTTTCACAACTCCATTATCCTTTTGCAGTACGTTTACTTTCAGTGTGGTATTGAGGAGTGGTATTGAGGTTGTATATCATGTATTACTAGGTCGCTTTGCCCAATTTCTATCCCGTGTCCATTCTTTCCTTTACTGGATCTCGATCCACTTGGTAGCGGCCACTTTGGATGACTCGGCTGCAGCACCTGGGGCGCCATAGAGGGCGATCAAACGCTCTGTGGCCAACAAGTCCATAGCCTCCAAATCCTCATGCGATGTTGCTGCTGCTGCGTCTTTTGATGGTGCTGCCTTCAACAAGCGAGAAGCGCACTATTTCACATTCAGAAAGTAATATGAAAGAAGGAGACCGGTTAGTTTCAAGGTGCCACATTTTGCGTCGCAGATCAAACGCATATCTGTGGAGAGTTACCATCTTGATTCCATAAAGTCCACGGACATGATCCCTGCACAACTCGACGACGCGGCAAAACTGCTTCAATGCCAACTGGAAGTTGTCCTGTGTGTAAAGAATCTCGGCATATTTGAGGTGGAAGATGTGGTTCTGGGGTTGAAGCATCAACACCTCCTCCATGCAAAACGCAGCCTGTGCGTACCTATTGACAGGAAGGTTAAAGAGAGAATATGGCAGCTAGTCAGATCCTAGCACAAAAGAAAACGGTCGATCGTCCTCGCTGTGTGTGACTCTCGGGAACGTTCCAGTGCTGCTTCAGGACACAAGACTGATGCTTACGTGAGCTCATCCAAGTACAAATCGGCGAGCTGGAGCCATCCCTCAAAGTCGGTGTAGTTGATATCCAGGTACTTGACCAGTGCAGAGATGGCCTCCGAGGGCAATCCCATTGCGCACAACAGCATGACCTGACGCTTCGAGGCGAGCTAGAGATGGACCAAGACAATCCGAGTTCATAGAAAGTTAGATAGTACTGTTAACTGTGGAGCAACTTGACAGCATTCGCAATAGAATTAAATCTTCCGTTGGTCCTAAATGATACTTACGACGTTGATATCGCCCCTGGAGATGGGTTGTTATGCGTCTTCAAAGTTGCCGACAGTGTCGCACTATTTGTAGACTGGCTGGGGAGACCTCCAAGAGATTGTTAACACCTTTGCTGTATTTTCTTTTGCCCTTCTGTCGATCACTTTTTGACATACCCCAACATTGCCCTTTCCACCGCTTTATTTTGTTTCTTTCATGGTATTTCTCGTAGCTCCTTCCTTGCTTCTTCTGTCTACGCTCACTTGGGTAACTCTTTCATTCCGAAATAAAATTCCATTCATCTTTGTCACAAAATGTGATTGCTTTGAACATCAAGGGTCCCGATCCGTGCCCTCTTTTTGACACTGGCGCCGCTACAATAAGGTTGGACGCTTCAGACCACCAGAATGCTGCAAGGTGATATCGCCAATGTAATGACTGTGTGTGGCCACACATAAAAAGAAGTAGGGTTGCCATAAATTTTGTTGAGTTCACTGAGAGGTTCTTTTTCTTGAGTATCATGCTTGTACTATCGACTGTACACACAATCGTACAAAGAAGAAAAGCAATCCCTTCTCAAATGAAAATAGACTTACTTGACTCATGTCCTTTGAAAGTATCCTTGAATAACGAAAGCCTATTTTGCCGATCATAAACGGTTACAGCAAAACAAGTGTCAGAGCAGTGTCGGCGATGGACCCATCATCTGCCCTGAGCCGTACCTTGCTTTCTTTACATATATCCTTTTCATGTCTTTCTCGTTTATTTTTTGTTCTTCTTCATCCACCTGCCATTGTTCCTCTCTGTGTGACGGGTAATTATATATATAAAAACATTGTGGTGTGGGCATGAAATGAGCAAAGCTCCGAGGATGTGATTAATGGATCGTATTGTCTGGTGCAAAGAAAGCAGAAGACTGTTAAGTTGACATGGAGTCTGCATTCTCGATTATTTTTCGTTTATATTCGTTTAAATTCGTATAAATTCATTTTTTTTCCTTCAACAAAGAGCCATCAACCACCACCACTTAACACGCAGCACTCTCCAACCAACACACAAAACCCAATAACCACCAACCGAAATACACACCGAAATCATGACCGTCCAGTGAAACCATTGTAAGTGGATGTGCTTTGACGTAGGACATGGGGCTACTCTCTCTGTCCATGTTCACGGACAGGAAGAGCATCTGTATTGCTTGCAGTGCAAAAGGACGGTATGCAGGGAGGGTGTGGTTGTGGAGTCGATTCCAGCCCGTCTGAAAGGCTACGCCAACGAGTACTGTGGACAAAACGTCGTCTCAATGCTCACCAGGTCTGAGGACAGGACAATGTATTAACTCACCAACCTTCACCTAGAGGCTATTCTCACCGAGTAACCAATCTTAGTCAGAATAGCCTCTAGGTGAAGGTTGGTGAGTTAATACATTGTCCTGTCCTCAGACCTGGTGAGCATTGAGACGACGTTTTGTCCACAGTACTCGTTGGCGTAGCCTTTCAGACGGGCTGGAATCGACTCCACAACCACACCCTCCCTGCATACCGTCCTTTTGCACTGCAAGCAATACAGATGCTCTTCCTGTCCGTGAACATGGACAGAGAGAGTAGCCCCATGTCCTACGTCAAAGCACATCCACTTACAATGGTTTCACTGGACGGTCATGATTTCGGTGTGTATTTCGGTTGGTGGTTATTGGGTTTTGTGTGTTGGTTGGAGAGTGCTGCGTGTTAAGTGGTAGTGGTTGATGGCTCTTTGTTGAAGGAAGGAAATGAAGTGAAAAGTAACGAAAAGAAAAGAAAAAAAAGAAGAAAAAAAAAAGACGAACCCCTTCTTTAAATACCAATCCACCTGGAGTCAACAACAAAAAAAAATTGTTGTTGGTTGGTGATAAATGACTAGATGTATCTGTTGTGATGGTGGTAAAGGATTATATGTATCTGTTGCGATGGTGATAAACGAATGGATGTATCAAAAAGAAATCATGAGGACATGTTGATCTCGCAGGGTTGCGTCAACTTTCTTGAGCTAAGCCCTGCTGATGCGTCTCTCAGACATGGTGCCATTGCTTGCCAGTTCTTTTTTTCCAAAAAAAAAAGAAGCTCGTTAAATTGGTTGAGTATGCGCCAAGGAGCCGCGGGCAACAGGGAGTATTCGCTTTGATTGTAAAGTTTAGTTGGTGGAGCAACAGGCATGCATGAAAGGAACGTTGTACGAAAAAAAAAAAAAAAAAAAAAAAAAGAAACGAGAAGACAGAGTCGATGTCAACTTAACAGCCTCCTGCTTTCTTTGAACCAGACAACACGATCCATCAGTCACGTCCTCAGGGTTGAGCCCATTCATGCCCACGCCATTATGTTTTTTTATATATAATTATGCATCACACGGAGAGGAACAATGGCAGGTGGATGAAGAACAAAAAATAAATGAGAATGGCTTGAAAACTGAAAAGGATATGTAAAGAAAGCAAGGCTTTGCGGCTCAGGGCTGGTGATGAAGTCCATCGCCGCCACTTCCCTGACACTTGTTTTGCTGTAACCTTTTATGATCAGCAAAAAGGCTTTCGTTATTCAAAGGTACTTTCAAAGGACACGAGTCAAGTAAGTCTGTCTTCTTTTGAGAAAGGCTTGCTTTTTTTTTTCTTTGTCGATTGCGTGTACAGTACAGTCGATAGTCCAAGCACGACGCCCAAGGAGAAAAAACGACATCTCAGTGAACTCAACAAAAATTATGGCAACCTTACTTCTTGTTATGTGTGGCCACACACAGTCATTACATTGGCGACATCATCTTGAGGCTTTTTGGTGGTCTGAAGCATCCAACCTTATTGTAGCGGCGCCAGTGTCAAAAAGAGGGCACGGATCGGGACCCCTGATGTTCACAAGCAACATTTTGTTACAAAAATGAATGGGATTTTATTTCGGAATGAAAGAGTTACCCAAGCGAGTGTAGACAGAAGAAGCAAGGAAGGAGCTACGAGAACAACTATGAAAGAGACAAAGCAAAGTGGCGGAAAGGGCAATGTTGGGGTATGTCAAAAAGTGGTCGACTGATGGGCAAAAGAAATACCAACAGAAGTCTAGACAGCAAAGGTCTTGGAGGTCACCCCTGCCAGTCTTCAAATAGTGCGAAACGGGCGACAAATTTGAAGACGCATAAAACCCCTTCTCCAGGGATGAGAACAACGTCTTAGGTGTCATTTAGGGACCACGCTTGAATTCATTTACCGCCCTCGGTCCGCAACAAACGTCAAGGCCGCCATATCAAGATTACCGAACCGTCGTTACTCTTCCTATTGATACTCATCCATCTGACGATCCAAAACCAACTATCGCTGGATCTATTTCTCCGCAACGAGGTACTTTATGACTCGCCTATCTGGTCGTCAGAGGGGATGAAAGGCGGTTTTGGCGATGTTGGACTAGATACCTGAGTTTATATATATTTGAGGTTGTCTGTATGCGAGCAACTGGATCGCCGTGAACGGACTCCTGCTGCTAAATACCAGTCTCCAAAGGTTGACAATCGGCGAGGGATATTTTCGGGGCCATCTAGGCAGGGATATCTCTCATGAGGTCATGGCCGAATTCACCACGGCGTCGTTGGAGAGGTTGGACATGTCGTTCGATGGACCATGGCGGTGACGACAGGATGGCGGGAACAATGGCAATAATGGAGATCTGCCGGAATTGTCGAGGCTTATACACACCAGGTGGGTAAGTGTACTTTGAGGAGGAGCTTAAGCAGAATAAGGACAAGGAGGGGTTTGACCGTCTGAGAGAGATCATTATCCGGCCGAACGATATTGTGAGCTCTGAGGTTGAGCAGGCGTCTCAGTTTTCTAGTGCGGTGTGGGCGCATTCGCGGAGTCTCACCTTCGACGGCATTCTCAACAGGAATATGTGCGATTTGATGTGTACACTGGACGATACCTGCCTACTGTGGGAGCAGTTGACATTAGTGAATGTCTCTTACTTGAACGATACTATGTTAGCGCTTATTCTGGAGGCAAGTCAAGGAGGATGGAGGGTTTTGAGATTGACGGATCTGGTCGGTTCGGAAAGGGGTCCTTTGAATCGTTGATGGTGAGCATGACGACATTGGAGAATATCCGTGTTGAGTGCTGGCGTGCGTTTGGACAAGGTGTGGTTCTGGACTTTTTTCGTTCTGCGATTGACCTCCGGGTGGTTAGTAAGACCTGAAGTCAGAGGGTTGACGACTCCGAACAACAAGGTGTGTGAGCTGTTGACGGTCCATGCAAAGAAGGATCGGACCTACGCAATGGGACCCAAGGTGGAGATGATGCAATTGCATATTGTGGGAATTCTTCGACCCAATTTCGTCTGCAAATTTGAAAGTAACCCTATTACAGCCAGTTGCGGAGGAGGAAGACCGGTATGAAGTTCAGAGGTGGATGTATGAGCAATTGGAGAGGATGGCGGGCCTTGAGGATCTTGTTATAGGCTGGGTCAATTGTGACATGACCGAAGTTAACCAACAGCAGAGGGAAGGGCCTGCATCACCACGTCTTGGGCTCCTGTAACAGTCGCTAGAGTTTTCGATGAAGAGCTAGTTGGGATTGTTGAGTGGGATGAGGGAGTTGCGGGTGTTGGATGTCTGGTTGACTGCACACAGGATTGGGTTTGCGGAGTTGGACAGAATGCATGCAAATTAGCCCAAGACTAGGATTCGGATCGAGCATGTGGTGAGAACGTTGAGGGTAACCCTTTGCTTGTAAGTTTTAGTTACTGATTGTAAGACAAACCAATGCCACGAAGATGCGCCTTCAACAAAGCTCTCACATCCGCCTTCCACACCAGGTACCCGTAGAAATAAAAAATACGCTCAGGTAACATCAAACAAAGCCTTCTCGATCTTAGCTCCAATCAGTCTCATCTGGTACCTCTCTCGAGATTTTCACACCCTGGTACACCCACTCGGTACGCACACTGTAGCAATTGTAGTTTAACAAAGAAAGCGTCTTGCGACTTTTCGTTCTTCTATTTATTGCTTAGTTAGCAGGATCACACTGGTAAGGTCCTCCCGAAGGAATACCATCCTGACCCACCGAAGCGCTGTTAACCCACTGAGCATTGCTCCTAGTAGCACTCTTCGAAAGCACCGAAAAGTTGCCCGTGCAATCAGCGGTCGAGAACAACTTCATGACACCGCCGTTGGTGTTCTTGATCTTGGCGGTCTGGGAGGTCGTGAGACAGACGCAGGTTCTCTTGCCAGCGACGGGGACCGTGACGGTCTTGCCGGCGTTGTTGGTAATTTGGAATTGCCAGTCACCCAGGGCCAGGGCACCGTTGAGGATTGCGAGGACGAACAAGAGGATGAGGGATTTGTGCATTTTTCTATTGCGAGTGGAGAACGACAGAAAAAGTGGGTGTTAGCCTGAGAAGAACAGGACCAGATACAAAAGTGGAACGATGGCATGAGATGGCATTGGGGAGACTTACGTTTGGTGTGTTGGGGGTGAAAAGTGAAGTGGGATGCTGATTCATTTTCGACATGAAAAACCATGGTATTTAAGCAAAAAAAAAAAAAAAAGATATCCGCCGAGATTCTGAGCCTTGACTGAAACCGTTAACGGTCATCCCAAAATCGGTAAGATGCAAGGACGCCGCTTTTTTGTCAAACTTAAATACAAAGCGGCGTGAACGTTCACCCCTTTCTCCTCTTCACCCCATCCCGCTCAACACACTGCGCTGCTCTGGATGTTCCCATTAGGCTAGTCTAATCGTGCGCTATCTCCTAGTGAAGTCCTCTTCCCTTCAGAATTGAATAACAAACAAACAAATAGGCCCGTCAACAAATCGAATTAGAAGGAGCTCTAGACCTTTGTCTGAATTGTTAAAAACCAAATTGTATGTTCGGCGTTGGTGTGCTCAATTTTGAACAGGAGCCCTGACCCTGACACCTAATAATGCTCATGCCGGAAAAATAATGTCTCCAGCAGACAAATACTAATATTTATGCAATCAATCCTATCCCGAACCCCAGAGGGGCACTAAAGAGTCGACCGATCACTCTGTAAAGTCGAACACTACCTTTAGGGACGGCGAGAAGGATTGGGTGAATACGAAGTAGCCCTTCCTCATTTGTCGACCTTGCTATTACTTTTTTTCGTGTTTGGGTGGATCACGTAGGCGTAGGGTTATCTAGTCGTTGGCAGTTGGATATCTTTTCTTTCCTTTCTCTGACGGACACATAGCTCATTCTTCCCCACAGTTACCTTGCTAGCGCAGGTGGAGGGTGGCTTGGACGCGTCTTATTTTGAGGACCGAGGAGGGAGGGTGAGGAGGCGTCAGGTTTTGTGTGTGTGTGTGTGTGGTGGGAGGGGAGGGGATTGGGAGAGAAGTGAGAAGAGGGTGAGAGAGTGGAAGAGAAAAGGCCAAGCAGTTGTCTCAGCGCCTGCGCACACTGTTAGCTTGGTTGCCAGGTAATGGAGCCGACAGAACCGAACACGAAAAGGAATACGGGGCGCGTAGATAGGAGATGTGGGAGACTGGACTGCAGATGAGATTTCCTAACGTGTACTGCCAAAAAGTGTTCTCACGTGTTTCAAAGCTGCACCTTATTCCCGCAGACCATACGAAATAAAAAAAGGAGGGCCACGCATGTCTTGCTATTGAATGCCTTGTTCACACTCACCCACGTCTCGTCATGAAGTCCTACCCACCTCCTCGACTCTTCCGGATTCCGGAGCTGGCAATCCTCGTCGCATCACACCTCACCAGGGGAGACATCTCGCGTCTCATGCGGACCAGTCGACAGATGTACCACACGATGGCCCCGATCTTCTTCCACAACCTGAGCACGTCCTTTCACTTCAAACGAGATGACAGCGGCGTCCTTCTCGAAAACTCCCGGGGACTGGAGGCTCTGGCGAGAAACGCCCAGCATGTGAGGGAGTGGGACACCGGCATCCTCTTCTTCAACTACTACTACCACGCCTCCGCCCCCTTCCGCACTAGCAACAACGACAGCATAGCACCAACAGCGGTTCTACGCGCAGCTCCCCAAAAACCACTGTCAGGGTTAGTCCAGCTATTCGCGCCACGTCGCCCCGACGACGTCTACGAATTAATTGCCCTACCTCAGATGACGTGGTTAACTAGGATTGACCTAAATCTCATTTGGAACCCGAGGGAGTGCAACTGTCGTTACCCTTTCCCCGACTACCTCAACGCTAGCACGACGCTCTTTCGAATTTGCGAGATTCTCCGACTCTTGCCACGGCTTTGCCAACTGGACATATGTGGACTCGTAATCAAGGACTCTGGAAGCGCACGACTTTTTACATTGACACTGTTGAAGATGACTCAACTGAGACGACTGAACATCACTCTTTCACGTCTGTGGACCTATTCTGGAATCAGGACCTTGCTCTTCGACAACCTTCCACCGTCAATCGAGCGACTATACATTGGGGGAACAAACTCCTGCGTGCTGGCGGGTGATAGCGGACTGGAGGCCGACAACTCCGATAACAGGGCAATGGAGGCTGCTCAAGACCCAGTAATGAGCACAACTAAGCTGGCCAACCTTCAAGACTTGGCGTTGGATGATTGGCAGGAAAGCACCACCAAGGAGCAGTTTCTTTCGCTGTTTGCGCGTTGCCCTGGATTGAAGACGTTGAAGTTGAAACAGCCGTCTGCTCCTTCTGGGGTGGATGGGGCCGATATTGGCAGGGTCTGTCCCGACCTCCGAGATATCACCTTTGACGGATCACGCGACATGGATGGCAACGACAAGTGGCTCTTCGAGGTCATGGAGTCTCTGCCGGAGAATCAGATGGAGAGCCTGGAGTTTCAATCGGCATCTCGCTGCCGTTTGGACGATGTTACTGCAGTAAGGACTCTCCTACGACATTCCGGTTCTCTTTGGCAGATCAAGATCATCTCGCCGGTTGCCAGCTCGGCTGTGCGGATGATATTGGAGATGTGCACGGCTCTGGAGGTCTTGCAGATTTCTCATTCTACGGTTGACCTTTGCGACGCGATTGCTTCTCCCTGGGCATGCACCAAGATGACCAGCTTGACACTGTCTATCAAGATATCCCCATCATCTTCTCCTCCAGGGACCGAGTTTGTCCCCTCCTACCTCCAGAACCCGTCAACTCCACTTTCAGCAGCTGAGAAGGACATTTTCACCCAGCTAGAGGTGTTTTATCAACAAATCGGGAAACTGACGGGATTGCGACATCTCAACATTGGTAGAGCGGAATACAGTGAGCATGGATTGGTTGTCGGCCGTTCCCCCTTGCGCGACAGACCGCTACCCGGAATGCTGATTTTGCCCACCAATAGGGCTGATCGACCTGGTTTTCTGGACGTGTTGGGAGGATTGAGTAAGCTTGAGACGGTTGGCGGGGCTATCTTTCCAGAGACAGTGGACGGAAAGATGCCCGAGTTCACCAGTGAGTTCACTTGGATTTGCAAGCATTGGCGATCTTTGCGCCAACCAGACTTTCTCCTTCAACAGATACCTCGGAGGGGTGTCGTTGTTGATGATGTTGGTGGATCTCAGGAATCGCTGTTGTGGCCATTGAGGTAGATGTTGGTGCTTTATTGTTCTGTACTTTGTGGTGCTGCTCTTTTTGTTGAGTTATTGAATGACGCGATGTCGTTACTCATAAATAAAATGCAAACAAATACCACACCTTTTGGAAGATGGAATTATTATTATTTTCTCTCTCTCTCTCTAGTTTCCGACAACGATCGCTCCGTTCTCATGTCGGACACTTCCCTCTCCTCGCTTTCATTGGAGATCGTTCAGCTCATCGCTGACCGCCTGAACCAACACTCTCTCTACCAATGCAGTCTTGTCTGCCATCCCTGGCATTCCGCCTTTGAATCATCCTTCTGGCGATCAGTCCAGCTCTTGTCATACATCCGTTTCGAAAACCCCTCTCCTTCTCTGGAAGCACTCACCCGCAACCTACACCACATCCGCCAATTGGCAACTTCTGACCCGACACTTATCCACCACCTTGCCTTCCACCAATCTGCGCTCAGCCAACTTCAATTTTTGAAACTGTACCTCTTTGGCAACAAGTCCTCTTTCTTCACTACAGAATCACCCGAAGTAGATATGGCACGAGGGAACAACACAAAGGCGATAAGCAGGATTCTGGAAGGATGCCACAATCTGCAGGTCCTGAATCTTTGGATCACAGACTGGTTCCAACAAGAGGGCAAGGCCGTCGGCTTCCAAGAGATTATGTCCGCCTGTCCTACAGGATCGCTCGAGTCGATCATACTTACCTTTGAGACGCGAGATCCTATCCATTTCCCGCAAGATCCATCACAGTCGGTCCGGGAGTATCAATCGGACGTCGTCGACCAACAGAAACGCCTTCTGCCTTTTATTGCCTTGCAGAACGTACTCATCAATGCCGGCAATTATCTCATGCATCCGTCTAAATTGGCCTTCTTGGCTCGATGTCCCAACCTGGTGAAGCTTGAACTCGAGTCGTCGAACGAGTGCGTGTTGATGGACTTGGCGGACTTGCTTCAAGCGTTCTGCCCCAACCTGGTCGATTTGGTCTGGAGCAGCTATAGAGGTTACAAGGACGAGTACACAGCTGCGGTGTTGAGGTCCAGTCGGCTGGGATGGAGAGTTCTGTCGCCCTGTCATGGAAGCTTTGGTCCTTTATCCTACGAGGCGGTAGTGAGGAGTGGTGAGACCTTGGAGGAATTGGACATGATAGTATGCGGGAGCGGTTCTGGTGAAGCTCATCGGAGTTTTTTCTTGGACCTGTTCTGCATTGCCAGGAATCTTCGAATGCTTATCGGACTTGAGGATGAGTTGCGGCATCTTCATGAGATTGCGGCCGAGGTGCATGCTGAGATGGCGTTCAATCAGCATATCGAAAGTGGGGGTGGTCGGACGTGGGTGTTGGGTCCTATGATGAAGTACATGCAGATGCAAGTCGTTGGTGTTCCTCGACCGGATGTGGTGTGCCGAGTCAATGGAACACCTTTGAGGCCATGGATGGTCGAGCAGCTTGACGACAGTCGCCGATATGAGGTTCAAAGGTGGATCTATGAGCAGCTGGGGAGGATGACGGGGCTTGAGGAGCTTGTCCTAGGGATGATTGACATTTGTCTCGATGATGTGGGGGATTATATGCCTGAAGAGGATGACGGAGATGCGGAGCTATCTCTTACGGAATTAGAGGATGGTATGGAGGAGGATGGTTGGCTGAATAGGTTGATCAACTACCAGAGTTTGGAGTTTTCCCTGGAGAGTGGGTTGGAGCTGTTGGGGGGGATGAAGATGATGAGGTCGCTAGATGTCAAGGCTACAACTCATCGGATAGGTGTTGCAGAGTTGGAATGGATGCATGTGCATTGGCCCAAGCTGAAGGAGATCAAGGGATTGATCACCGAGAGGAAGTGGGCAGGGGATGCTGAAGAGGGAATCAAGGTTAAGCAAGATGTCGAGGCTTGGATGACTGCTCACCCCCATGGTATTGGATCCTCTTATTATGTGTGATCCACTTATTTGTCCCTTGTTCTCTCTCTCTCTCTCCTTTTACCCCAAGTCTCCGAACGAGAATAGCTTCAGACCCCATCCTTTTTGCGCCATTGGCCATCGAATTCTCACAATTAAAAATTACACGCTGTGAAAGGGGCAATTGAACAAAAAAACCGTTAACATGTCTTGACGAGCATTATTGAAGAATAGTGTTGAGAGATTGGAGGTGGCTCAGGATCGAGAGTGCGGAGGGGTCTTGGACGGAACGATACCCTAGATCTGTTTGAGTTGTGCGAAAAGGCTAAGGCGGCGCATGATATTCATTCATTCAACTACTTTGTCGATGGAGTTATCGTTGAAGAGCGGGTTGGATTTGCTGGAGAGGTTGAAGGAACTGAGGGTGTTATATGTACGGAGGACGGCGCATAAAGTTCAAGGTCGGTGTTGATGCATGGATGGCAGCTCATCCTCGTGGCATTGGATTTTCCAAGTACCACTAGCCCATAGCTTATCGTTAAGTTGCTACCCAAAGTAATAAAAAGGCTTGTCGATAGTACACCTGCCTGCGTCATGTATTAGAATTGCAAACAATTGCGTTCTTCCTCCCCTCTCCTTGTTCTCTCTTGTGGACAATTTGCTCTTTCTCATTCTCCCCTGCTGTAACAACACCGCACAGACGACAAATGACACAAAGACCACGATCTGCCCTGATTCAATTTTTATGAAATTGAACACCGAGAAGCAAAGTGCTCACAAGGTTATTTTCAGCAAGGGATGTGATGTGTGTGTGTGTGTGTGTGTGTGTGTGTGTGTGTGTGTGTGTGTTTGTATCGTAATGTGAGTGAGGCAAAAGGCGGGGGTGAGACAGGTAGGTAAGAGAGCGAATGCATCGGCGTGGCGAGGATGAGATGATGAGAGAGAGACATGGTGGTGTTGATGTCAGCCAGGGGGGGTCGAGTGCATAGAGGAGGCAAGCTACAGGAGAGTAAACAAAGGATATTTTGTTAGAGGAACAAAGAAATGAAGGGAGAGCGAGGAAGAGAAACAGGGTAGGGTCCAAGGGTGAGGATAGACAAAAGAATTGTTTGAGGGTTCGGATGTTATGAGGATATGGGGTTGTTCCTGAGCCAAAACGAATCCTGGCGAATTATATGTCCTTTTGCCCTCCTACAGGTTACAGGGGTACATAGCCAGATGTTGCACTTGGCATTCAGGAAGGATCTCCGTGGAGGCGAGTTAATTTAGGCGTTTGACTCTGCGACTCGATTAGAGTTCGTCCACTCTTTCTTTTTTTCTATTCCTGCCAGGTGCATTTAATTTCTTCCCGCGATGGACCTTGGACCAGAAGGGTGAATGGGACAGGTGTGAAAGCGTCCCCTGTCCTCTTCCCAGTCTGTCTGGAAGGAAGGAAGGAGGGAAGGAAGGAAAATAAAAATGAAAGAGCCACGATGTGTCTGTGTGTGTGTGTGAGCAGTGGGAAGAAGTAGACGGGGAACAACAAACAGACTGGATACCTTCCAGGGGATATCGTGACTGGACAGTGGTCTGATAGACAACCATGCATCGGGGACCCATGAGGATACAGCATGGCTGTCTTTTTTTTTATTTGTTCAGCGGAACAACAAAAGAAGGAAGGGCACCAGTCAACTGTGCGCCATGCTGAGTACGTGTGTTTTATCCTGTAGAAATCGAATGGTCGAGTGAGTGAGTGAGTGAGTGAGAGTGAGTTGCTCTGGGTCCCCTTGCCCCTCACTGCTCTCCTCTTCCCATCGTCTGCCGATGTGTGTCCTGTGTGACCCTCACTCCACACACCTCCCATCGATTTCAATTCATTAATTCTTTTAGTCGATTCGGCCTATCACCAACGACACGAACAGAGGACAACCGTCTGTCTGCCCTGACCATCACCATCGCTTCTTTTTCTTCTTCTTCTTCTTCTTCTCCTCCTCCTCCTCCTCTCATCATCCCCTTCTTTCGCTTTCTTCACTTCTTTCTTTCATTTCATCACGCCCTTCCTTGTATTTATTCTTCTTCCTCCTTCCTATTCCATACCCACTCGTTCTTCTTGACGCCCCATTCCTGTCACCTCTTCACTCGTTCTCTTGTACTCTACCACTTTACTCATCCACGCACCTTGTTGCCATCCAAACCGTTGCATACTCACGCCATACACCTTGCACACAATTCCCCTTTGTGCTTTTCCCTTATTGTGATTCCGACGCCCAGTCTCCACCGGAACACCATACCCGCTTCTCTTTTGCTTTCCCTTTTTGTTATTATCGTTGCTTTCCAACCGTCCACTTTTTACATCATCGTTCTCCATCCCCATCCTCCTACACAGCTACACCCCTCTCCTTTCATTCTTTTCATTTGTTTCCGCGAACCAATACACCGACTTGGTTAGCAACAACATAGGCAACAGCAACAATAACAATAACGACAACAACGACAAACCAACTGTGAACCTGCAAACAACACTCGCCCTTTTCTCTGCTCTTTCTCGTCCAACTCCACCCCCACCGACTCGGCTTTGTTCGCCTTGGCCAGTAGTCCCCTTCTTCTCCTCATACCCATCCACCTTGCCATCAGCATACACACCAACTATAACAATACCAACCACCCTCTAACGACCAAGAGACACGATGACGGTGACGAATAGCGCCTTCCTAGACTTTGTTATCGGGTTTGCCGTCTCGTTGATCGCCTCGGTCATGAACGCCGCAGGACTCAACTTGCTAAAACTCGACCACGTCCGCAATAGCGCATTACCAACAGAACGACAACGCAACGAGTGTGGGCGGCCCATGTGGCATATCGGACTCTATCTCTATATTTCCAGTCAGCTTGCTGGAAGTACTATCGCGCTGAGTAAGTTTTCCTTTGTTGAAGTGGTCTTTTTGTTTGTTCTTGTCTCTGTGTCCATGGTTGTCTTCGGTTCAATTCTGAATTATTTTTGTGCGCCAAGCAACGACAGCCTTTCCCGACCCACTTCACCGAACAACAGGACCATGAACTCAACAGCGATACAAAATAATCGACATTGAGCCTTGTCTCTTTATACATACAACACCATGCCTGGATACACTTTACCGACTCAAACCACACACAACCACCAAATCAATGAACATAGTCTCTCCATAACTATTTATTTCTTTCTTGTCATACTATGAGTCGGAGAGGACCCTCTCTCTCTCCTTCCCCTTACCCTTTCCCTTTTACATTCCCTCATTTTCCTTTCTATTGACCCTAATACTACCTCCCTCACAAGAGAGCTGCATGCAAAGGACTAATCATCGATCATCCCATATGTATGATCCCCTATCTTATTTCTCTTTACGAAAATAGATTTCTTAAAGACTCAATGGGTAGCGCCTTTGGGATCGATTGCCTTGATTTTCAACTTTGTGTTTGCCAAGATCCTGGTCGGGACACAAATCACACGGCAGGACGTCTACGGAACCATCGTAGTCATGGCCTCCGTCGTCTGGATCGTCGTCTTTGGCGGCATGAACTCGAGCGGCGATATGGAGGAGACTATGACACTTACGGATTTAAAGATGCTCTTTGCCAGGATCGTCTTTATTATCTACTTCTCGGTTCTCAACGGCATCATCTTTGCGTTCCTCGGATTGGGAATGTATGCCTACTGGGCCATCTCGCTCGACGACGAATCGGGACAGCTGAGAAAGAACATGAAAGCAAGGTTGACCCAGTTGCTTGGAACCAACCGCTTTGCAAGGGCTTCAGGATTGACGCTGGAGGGCGATGAAGGTCTTGCAGCCGATGCAAGAGATCAGAGGCTGAAGAAGGTGGTAGCCATGATCTTTTCGGCCTGTGGTGGACTCTTGGCCAGTGAGACGCTGTTGTTGGCCAAGAGTGGTGTCAAGTTGATCACCTCAACCGTAGCTGGAGATAACCAGTTCACGGACTATCTCAGCTATTTTATCCTCTTTGTCCTCGTCTTTACCGCCATCCTCCAGGTAAGACAGAATGAGAACTTGCCTTGCAGGACATACTTTCGCCCATTTGCTGTTTGAACCAATCTGCACATGGTTCACAAGAGGACAATTGGAACTCAATTATTATTTTTCCCCATCCGATTAGGTGTATTGTCTTAACACGGGACTGAAGCTGTACGACTCTGTCTTGGTCGTGCCGACATTCTATGGATTCTACACGTCGTTTGGACTCATCAACTCGACCATCTACCTGAATCAATTGGGCGACTATGAACCTTGGGTCCTGCTCTTGGTTCTCCTTGGTATCGGTGCTCTGATTTATGGTGTCAAGATGCTCAGCGCACCCAAGCCTGACCCCAACTCGGTAGGGGACCCGCTCGCGTCCCTCGACAATGTCTATGACGACGATGATGAGGACTCGCATGAGATGGAGCAGAGAAGCAAGCACAACAAGGCTGGCGAAGCGGGCGACAGCAAGGGCGGCAGTAACAACGGCAACATGGACAGTTCTATGGGAAAGAAGTCCAAAAAGATGGCGTCCCTCAAGAAGAAGAAGTCGGCCCGTCGTCAGAGCCATCGTGGCATGGATGAGGAGAACGGGGATGTGCCCTCGGTCTATGGAAGCCAGCGCGGGATGTTGGATGATGAGGGTATGAGCACCTTCAGCGGGACCTCTCATACAACACGAGGACGTGGAAACAGTTTCACCAGCAAGTCCAGTTTCCAGTCGGATCCCTTCAGGACCCCCAAGGATAACCGATCGATTCACGAAGGTTTTGCGGTTGGAAGAAACCGGATGTCGCTTACTCAACAGGCACCTACACATGTTTTGGTGGACACGACGGAGGACTTGGACGATTCTGAGGATGATGAGAGGGGTATCCGGAGACAGGCTGAGGCGGATGCGGCGGAACGAGAAAAGATGCGTCGACAGAGTGTTCTGCAGTCGTCCCTCAACACCCTGACGATGCATGAGAAGTCTCGCACGGAATCCTCTCCCAACAACAACGGTCCACAACAGCCTCCCAGGATTGATACCTCGTCGTCCACTACTGCTGCTGATGCAGGCAAGGCAACGAGACGACAGTCAAAGAGGATGTCAACGGCGGCAGCGGCGGGTGTGATGTCTCCTAGTCAGTTCCGGGCACATTTCACTAATGGACAGTTGCAGGATGATGAGGAGGAAGGTGCGGATGAGCTCGGTGAGATTTCGAGGAGTCAGATGTCGTCGCTCTCTGCAGGAGCTGGACATCCTGGACAAGCACAACAACAGCAAGGAGGCGCGATAAGGGGTCACTCTGTGCGCTGGTCGACAGGGAGCTCCAAGATTGATCAGGTCTTTGAGGATCTGAACCCTTTCAAGGTCCTCAAGCGGGACTCGTTTGTTGGAGGTGTTGAGAGCGCAAGGAGCATAACGTCTGCAACCACAGCAACTGGAGTGGTAACGACATCGTCGTCAGTCCCTTCATCACCTCATCCTGGATCCTCTGGAAGTCGTCGTCCTGCTGGTCAGAGCCACGGTCGCCAGGATTCGTTCTCGGGTCTGCCCTCCGAGTGGGATGTGCCCGGCCGGAAGAAGCGGCACTCGATGTTGTTTGGCGAGGCCGGTCGGTCTGCATCTTCGTCTTCGATCACTGGAGGTGATGGAACAACTACACCACCTTCAGGATCCTTGAGCCGGTCTAACTCGATGAACAATGGATCTGGCTCTGGTGGACTCTTCTCGCCCGGTGAGAAGCTGATCTCGAGCGCGATGGGCGGTGACGGTGAGGCGGCACCGTCTCCAAGGACGTCGAGGATCATGTCATCCCCTGAGATCCAGTTGGGCGGTATGGCTGCGACCTTTGCGGCCATGGGATATCAACAGGAGGGGACTGGGGATGTTGAAGGACGATTCGTTGGACAGGAGTCTTTCTCTTCTTCTTCGACAACGGCATACAATCGTCATTACTTTACGGGCACGCCTCAACAACAACCAACCGTTGCTGCTGGAGCTGCCACTGCGTCTTCGTCGGCTGGTCTGGCGTAAAAAAAAAACACACAATCAAAAAATAAAAACTGTAGCTACCCTTTTTTCTCTCTCTCTCTCTTTCTCTCTCTCCTTCGCACTACACAAACCTCTTATTGGACAAACACACATAAATACGAAAAGCAAAAGCATTGACAACAACAACAACATATTTCTTCTTTTGCCCTAGTTTGTGCATGATGTGGGTGTATGTAGATGGCAGATATTTATTAGATAAAAAAAGGAGGGAGATCAATGTTTAAATGGCACAGGAAATAATTGTTGTTTTTTGATTAAGCGGTGTACCCAACATCAGGATCGGAATACACGCGCGAATGTGCACGGATGTACTCTGCCGTTGGGTGGTCGAGCGGATCACACGACAACCATTCGCCCTTTTCGTTTCCCTCCTCCTCCTGACGGGGCTGATAAAGTCGAATATAATCGACCTTCATGACCGCCGGGAACTGTAGCTCAGGGTCGAGGAGGAGTTCTTCCTGGAGGAGGCCGAGGCTGAGGACGATCGACATGGGCTCTTGTGGGATACTTGTTGTTGGAGGAAGGGTTTTTGCGTCCTTGTACCAGGCGTCTTTTTCTTTTGTGGGGGAGGCTGTGAGAGGAGAGGGGGGGGGGGATTGGTGGTGGAGGAGAGAGTGTGAGGTGCTGAGGAGTGGAGGGTAGCGGTTGGAGTTTAGTGAGAATTGGATGTATGCGTCTTCGTCTCCTGATCCAGAAGTAAGCGTGGAGGAGGTGGTGTTGAGGGCGCCTGGCCAGTACTCAAGACCGACTTTTATGAACTCGTCCTTATCCTGGATGGCGTTGACAGATGAAGACGAAAAGAAGCGGGTGTCGATGGGTTGGATCCATTGGGGAGTTGAGGTCTCTACTGCCGCTTTTGAGGCGATTTTGAGTCCGTCGGTTGTCGAAGAGGAGGAAGAGGAGGAGGGGGAGGAAGCGAGTTTGACGGATGATATCGCAATACTCTGTCGAAGCGCACCATTCCCATTACTACCACCGCCAGCAACTCTTCCACGTCCAAAAGCAGCATCGACAGTGACACGACTACCGCCCAACCTCTGCTTCTGTAACATCACCACCGTCTCCCCATGATCCACTCCTTGACCCTCCCCGTCCTGCTGCTGCTGCTGCTGCTGTTGACGCTTCTTGATCCTATGATACTCTCTTCTCTGCAAAACCCGGGGAGGAGCCTGTTGTAAGACCTGAATCGCATGCTTTTGAGCCTCCACGGCCTCAGGGTTCATTTGGACGCCATAATGGGTTTCCAAGAGAGTCATCTCGGGGGCTCCGCGACTCTTGTGGCCCAATGTGGTGTCGGTGACTGATGAGCAGCCGTTCAGTCTCTGGACCGTGGAGTTGGTGGAGGTGGGGTTACATTTTGTGAAAGAGGAGGTTGAGGAGGATGAGGAGGAAGAAGGGTAGACGCCGGCCATGGAGGCAGGGTACCCGTACCGTGCCAAGTTTCCTAGGACGAATACTCGTGGTTTCAGACCTGCTTTTGTTGGACTACCCGGGAGACTCACCGCCACTAACGAGGAGTTGTTGTGAAAAGAAAAGGATGAGTTGGTTGGTACATTTTTTTTTTTTGGGAAGGTAAGTTGAAGATGCAAACACACAAAAAAAATTGGGAGGGGGGGGGGGTGTTTTTTGTTGCCTTACCTTCAAGAATCCCGCCTTGGAAACACATCTTGTTCCAGGACTGGAGCATGCCAGAGGTGTACTTCCAGGCACCACTACTGCTACCATCACGCTTTTGGAACTTGGCACCAGAAGGAGAAGGACGGGCAGGGTCGCGTTGGAGGGTGATCTCCAGCTGTCCGTTCTTGGTCGTCACCTGGTCTGACGAGTAATTCTCCAGTGTCTTCATCGCCGTTGACGCTGGCAAATTCACCGCCTCCCTAATCGCATTCAAAACAAAAAAAAGGGGGGGGGGAGCATGGTCAGAAAAAGGCGGGAGCGTTTTCAGTTTACCACAAACCCCAGCGAAACAAATTCTTTTTTACCAGTGAGGATCCTGTCCGGGTGCAAAATTGCGCCCATCCAGATTAAACTCATCCGAAAACACCAAATCCCAAAGCCCTCCATCCCTCGCAATAGTTGTTCTCTTATCCTGCGGCGTATCCTTATCCACCATCCCCCTCATCGCAGCCTTCACAACCGTTGATGTTGCTGTCTTTGACATCGGCCCCATCAATCCTGCTGTACCAACACCCCCCTGCTGCTGACTATCCATCGCGAACCGCACATGCGACATGGCCGCATTCGCAGCATTCGCAGCCTCTTCAGCGGCAGCCTCGGCAGCGAGACGATCCTTCCTGAGACTTGAGGCGATCGGGTATCCGAGGATGAGAAGGATGAGGCCACAGAGGATGAGGAGCATACTGGTGATATTGATTAAGCCCCGGCAGGAGCACATTCCTTCAAAGGGGGATGGGTCAGGGAGGTGCATGAGTTTTTCAGAGGTTGTCGAGTAAGTGGATGATTGGCGGGTTCTGCGGGGTGGGGGGATGGAGGAAGAGGAGGTGGAAGAAGGCCGGTGGAGGAACCCGAATCCGAATCCGAACGCGCTGCGATTTGCAGGTTTTTCGAGGTCGCTTCCGCCTCCACGGACACCGACACCGGCGGCAGAGTGGTCAAGAGGGTAAGCATGGTCATCATCAACATCTACGAGGAGAGTTGTGGTCGATGACATGGCCGTTGGGTGATACACTTCCGATCCGTGCTGAAACTGCTGTTGATGAACAGTCGTAGCCAACGAGTTCACAGAACTCAAGTTGTTGCTGTTGAACAACGACGACGAAGAGTGGTTGATCTTGTGCATGGACCCAAACGGTCCTTGACCATCATCATCATCCCCAAAACTCCGGGCTTGAGCACGGTTCCGCTCAAACTGACCAATGTAGTCGTTGCCCGTCAATGGACCCGTCATCGAGTCGACAGATATGGAGGTGTTGGACCTGTTGAGGGTAGAGGTGCTGGAGGTAGAGGTAAGGGCTTGGCTGTAAACGGCGCGAGCGCGTTGGGCGGCTGCCATGGCTGCGGCCGCTAGGGATGAGGGCAGTTGGGTGCTGTTGGCGGCGGTTGCGGCTTTTGCAGGGACGGTTATGGATGAGGGTGTAGAAGAAGAAGAAGGTCCGAGGCGGTGGAAGGTTCGGGTTGGTGGAGTGGTTCTGTTCATCGTCATTGACAAATAGTCAGACGAGTCGTCGTCGTCGTCGCTGCTGGTCATGACAGTCGTTGTTGTCGAAGAAGAAGTAGAGTTGGACAACGAGGTGAGAGGTGGTGGGGAGAATGACACGGGAGTAGCCGAAAGAGCAACAGAGGCCCCACTGCCGGGTAAATGCTTGGGGACAACAATCGTCGGCACCATGACAGGAGTGTTCCTGCGTCGCGAGACAGGTGAAAACGAAGCTCGACCGCTATCGGTCCCGGTGGTAGCGACATTTGACGAAGAAGTGTACCCCCGCTGGACCTCGGAGTAGCCCCCAAACCCACCAGCCGTCGTCTGGGATCGACGCAGGTACGCGGTAGGCGAGAAGGGTGGTGGTGAGATGTTACCCATCCCATTACCGCTGCCGACAGGAACTGTGGACGAACGACTGAGCCCCGTGGCAGAGTGGATGAAATCTCGGAGGGAGGGCAAGGACGAGAAGGTGGCCAGGGGTGGAGAGGAGACTGCCCTGCAGGTAGGACCAAAAGTCATAGAACTCGATCTCTGATCCACTCGTCCTTGGTTGAATGCAAACTCGACGTCGCCACCATCGTTGTCAGCACGGGAATTAAAGACAAGGTCCTGGCCACCACTACCACCATCATAATGATCGCCATTCATCATCCGGCGCATACGTTCGTCCTCGTCCTGACCTTGAGACTTCTTGGCCTGGCCCTTGACATTGTTTTGAAGAGAGCTGGATCCGAGGGAGCCCAAAAAAGTGGACGTGCCCTTCTTGAGACGGTATAAGGAAGAATCGAAAGAACTCTCTCTGTTCAAAGAAGTACCACCTCCGAGTGCCTGAGTAGAATAAACGGTCATGGGTGGCGAAGCAAGCGAAATTGTCGTAAACTCTATCGCAGACGACGAAACTGGCCGTGCCGACGCAGAAACGGGAACGGGAACAGGAACGGGAACAGTATCGTCATGACGGACCTTGTGGAAAGAACCGCCGCCACGGATGGCAGCAGTACGGGGATGCATCATCCAGTCATCCATCCCAGCCATAGCTCCCTTTCCTAGTCGAGGGATGACTCCTTGCTCAGTCTCGACCCTAGTCGTCGCATCATCACTACTCCTCCTCCGTCCACCCATCCGCCCTTTCAAGAACTGGTCTCCTTGTGTTGCAGATAGATTAGACCCATCCTCCTCGTCATCGGTACCCTGGAGTAACATGTCGTCACAAGAGTCCCAGGGGTCTAAGGAATCCATCATGGCGGCAACTCCATGCTTGCGTGACTTTTTGGATCCTCGAGCGCCGCCCTTGTTACCTTTCTTGCCCTTGATACTGAATCGAGATACTTGACTGGACTGTTGTTGGATGGAGGGACCTGACAAGCTAGGCGAAATGTGGGTGCCGGAAGAAGTTCCAAAAGTGTTGCGTTTGAGAGACCAAGATGTAGACGCAGGCTTGGACGCAGACGCGGTCGGATCCTTCTTCATCTCAGCGCCAATATGATCCACCACTCCCTCTTCAGCAACAATCGCCTTCCCACCCAAAGACCCAAGGGAGGTAATGCGCTGAAAGAAGTTGGTGTAAATCGCAGTCGACCGATTCGTCTTGTCCTTCTTGTTGGCCTCCTGCCTATCAAACTCCTCATCTAGCGGAGGCGAGATCGACGACAGAGGCGAAGGTGTGAAGGTAGTGGTCAGCAGGGCAGGGTTGGCGTTGACGAGGGAGGACCCTCGACGGTGGTGGCGTTTGCTGGTGGAAGAAGGTGGAGGGGACGGGGTTGCGAGAGAGATAGAGATTTCTGGGACGATGTCCTTGTAAGAGCTGTTGTTGGCTGCGCGGGAGAGGGAGAGGGGACGGTGTTGGATCTGGGCTTTGGGAGTTGAGTAGATACTGGACGAGTCGCGCTGTTGCTGATGCTGTTGTTGCCTGCGAGAAGTTGGAGGTGTGCTGGCAGTGATCATGGCCATCGACCCATCTGGTTCTTCAAAGTCCTTTGTCTGCGTCGATGGCTCTGCTGGTGATGACAGCAATGTAGGTTCCAAGTTATCCTGCTGTTGCTTAGGGGCCTTCAGAGACTTGAAATGCTCCTTGTGGGCATTAGTATTATAAGGATCCAGCGCCGCCAGTGCCTCCCTTCTAGCCCTAACCACACTCTCCTCGTCCTCATCCTCATCCCCTTCATCGTTCTCTTCTCCACCACTCTGGCGATCAAAGAGATTCGCATGAATGTCGGAAAAGGGGTTAAAGAAGTCTGGCCTCTGCTGCTGTTGCTGTTGTTGTTGTTGGGACTCTGCAAACTCTAACGCTGTGAGGGGTGCAGTCGCTACTATTGTTGTTGAATTGTCATATTGTTGTTCTTTGGTATAGTCGTGAGTGACCATGTCTGAGAAGGGGTTCTTGACCATGAGCTTGACCTTCTTTGACCTTGAATTGTTGTTATTGTTGTTGTTGTTGCTGTGAGTGCCATTGTTGTTGATGGTGGCGTTGGTTAACTTCTTGTTGGTTCCCTTCTTGCCCATTGTTGCGTGTCTATGTCTAGCAGAATGTGACACGAGAAAAAAAGGGAAAATAATAGTTTGGGCGTCAGAGCATAGGTTAATTTTTTAGAAACAAGGAGACAGCGAGTCCATGAAAAGAAAAAGGCATGTGCGTACATGTAGTTGTGCTGATGTGTCCTGGGGGGGGGGGGGGGGGGGGGGGGAGGGGAGAGAAGGAGAGAGACTTGAGTGTGTATGTCGTCTGGCGGATTAAGTAGGTGTAAAAAAAATAGATGCGTGCTGGTTTGTCGTGTGAATGTGAGTGTGTGTGATGCAAAAAAGTGAGGGATGTGGCGGCGAAGAGAGAGAGAGAGAGAGAGTTATGAAAAATAAATATGAGCTGTGCGATGTTGTCGCAGTGAGGAAGGGGGATGTAGGGAAGGAGGATGGGGGAGGGGGGAGATATATATATATATATAATGGAAGTGAAGTGAAAGGATGATGAGGGTTGAGTAAAGGGCAACAAAAGTAAGAAAGAACGTGAACGAAGGAGATGAAAAGACAATGGACGACATGAAAAGTGTACATGTTGATCTGATCATGACCGTCACGGCGAAAGTCGGTTTGATACCTTTAAGGACCATATAGAGAGAGGGCGACTGGAGATTCGGTTCTGCTCTTGCTGTGCCGCAGGGTCCGTTATAGTAGCATAGTATCAGTAGCAAACAGTAGCAAAAAATAATAATAGCTGGTATCATTATGGCTTTGTTTGAATAGTGAAGTGGCAAAAAGGGTGAACATAAATGAACGATGAGGTTTGACACTGCGAGACAAAGAGAGGCGTTCTACTCCTCACTGGGTAAGCACATCTTTGTCCCTTCTCTCCCGTGGCAAAAGATGAAATACAATACGGGTTCAGAATAAGCGCCATAAATGATGACGGTGATCACGGAGAAGGGCCCCGTAGGAGCCGGAATCAGAATCAGATCCAGGTGAGCGTGCGCAAGAAATAAAAAGAACGAATAAATGGACGCCTCCGTGAACATTTTTTTCTCCATTGTTCGCTTGAATCAGACGCACGTAGAGAGGAAATGGATCGACCGACAAGGAGGAACAATTTCCGCACGGATCCAAGCATCAGGGCTATTAGAGTAGCAGGTCGACAATTCAAAAAATAGATAGGTACTTGTGGTTAATGGAGGGTCGGCCACAATAATGTGTGGAGGGCAAGTACACATAGGAGACTCCTACGCAGGCACGGTAGACATGTTCTTCTTCTTCCAGCCTCCCCTCTTCTTCTTTGTATGCATTGGTCACCCTCCATTCACCTGTTCATTACACTCTCTCTTTCTCGCGCACCCATTTTTGCGTGTTCGGGTGCCGCACCATCAGTTTCGGTCGCGTTGTCGCGCGTAACTTTGTCGCGATCTTTTCTTACGCGTCGAATATCGTTTTTTTTTTAGTGAGCTGAAAACAGTATCAACCTGACGTGCGAAAGGAAACAACGCCTATGAGCAATCTACGGTAGAAAAGACAGATGTAAAGAATGTAAAAGCGTGAACGTCCTTTTTTTTTTTTTTTTTTTTTCTTTTTTCGTACGCAATTTTATTTCTCTAACAAACAGCATAGAGAAGTTATTTGGAAGTAAAAAGGGACTACAGACCAAACTCTTCAGTGCACCATCCACCAGTCGCAGTCCGGTCCAGAACCTGGCTCTGCGCAACAATTGTCGCTGCTCTTCACAGCTTAAACGGAAGAAAATAAAACTAGATACGAATGAAAGGGATTCTTCCCATCCTCTCCATCATTGACAACCTCCTCCTTCCTAACAAACTCTCCAACAACCGCTCGTCAGCAGCGCGTGGGTCCTTGGTCGCTCCAGGGCACCTTCCTTCACAATGTGTGGCTTGCGAAGCGCCACACGGGCAGAAACCATCGTGCGTGATATAACCGTATCCTTGACTCCAGTCACCCCGAGGGCCTGTGTACTTGGATGTCTTGTTCTTGGCAGAGATACCCTGGGTCTGCTCCCACGCGATCGTCGCGGTTGGTTGGGCAGGCAGAAGGAATAGGAGGCGAAAAATTCAGGCACAAAAACCAATCCCCTACTCGACTGACTTTCGTCCAGTGTTCACATATAGAACCTTTACACCTATGGCACCGGCACTAAACAAGGGTCTGAAAGTACCGATGAGGCATCAGCAGAAGGCCCCTGGTCCCAGGTCGGCGCCCTGTTCGGTTTTTTTTCGGCCCTAATGCGCCAATTTTTGAAGAACCTACGGAAATGTGTTTTGGTAGTTGGATCAAAATAATCAAGAATATCTTCATGAAACATCAAAATAGCAGGATTAGCTCAGTGGTAGAGCAGCCGACTGCAGATCGGCAGGTCTCCGGTTCAAACCCGGAATTCTGCTTTCTTTTGACTTTTTGAACAAAACCTGTTCTTGGTTCTCCGAGCAGGCGAGCAATTTTTTTCTGTTGGGCTGAGGATAGTCCTGGCTGAAAGGAAAGTGCGAGAATCTCCCATGGGGACATACTTTTTCTTTTTTTTTTTTTTCCCTTCCTTTCCCGCCATTCTTGTTCATCCTTTCTTCTCTCACTCACTCATACTCATCCTGACTCTCTCTCCCACTCGCACGAGCAATTCTCTTTTCCCATCCCCACGCTTTTACTTTTACTCTGCCGCATTCAAGTCGACTTGAGTCAACTCGAACAACCAACACTCATTCACAACAGCAACAACCTCAAGGACTATGTTTGGCTGTATTGTCGCCGGACGCCTGGTAAAGACAAGAACCGCTTAGACTGTGCCTCCTGTTAACAGAAGAGCCTGTTGGACAACTTTACACAGACACGGGGATACAATTAAGAGGATGAACATACACCAAACAACAAAACAACAAGCCTACCTACCACCATCGGCACCACCTTTTTTTATTCTTCCTTTCCTTCGGTCAACGCGAACGACATGGAAACAGACAAGAGGGATCTGCACACAGACAGGGGACAGGATACAACCACCCAGCCAGCCGATCGATTGATCCCATATGGACTGACCATGAATGTATACAATTTCTATATTCCATCGAATAATTAGGTGCAGACAAACTTGCAGCAGGTGGATGTCAACAAGTTTACCTTCCAGTTGGACGATGCAGAGGCGATCAACCACATTGTTGTCTTTCTCCTCGGAACCATTCCCTTCCAGCACGGTTCCGCAGCCACCGTCCATCTTTTATGGCCCAACAAGACCTGGCAGCTCCTCGGCATGTACGTCTCTTTCTGTTCGTTATCTTTCTGTTTTCGATTCAATTACCTTCTTACTCGTAGTATATACATCATTCTCACATTCTACCTGTTTTCTCATTCGTGTTTGTCGCGTGTGTATCTGATCTGAACCTACCAAATAGGTTGTCGAATGAAAAGGCGAGCGCGATCTTTCGTCTGAAGGCCAACGGATCCAAATCCACAGCACAACAATCCACAACAGGAGCATCTATCAGCGACATGTCCATGGACAGCTCATCGTCAACAACCACATCATCAACCACAGTACCCATCACAGCAACCCTCGGTATCTCCATTGAACCTATCGATGTGGTCATGAGCCAGATCGCAACCCTCGCCTCCTCTTCCTCGTCAACATCCACAGTACCCAGCAATGCCCTCGTCCCTCTCTCTTCTATCAACAACAGCAACACAGCTTCACCAGACTCTGTGGCAGCAATTGCTCAAAAGGTGATGAGTCACCTTTACAACCATGTCACCTCATTCGCGACAGCAGTAGTACCACAGGGATCGACTGTGTTGGTACCGACAGGAGGACCTGGGTCAGCCATGGGCGTGTTAGCGAACCAGGCAGATATGAGTTTCCTACCTGTGCGGGCATTCAATGACTGGTTCCAGAACGTGGTTCGCAAAGCCAAAGCTGACCCCATGTTCCTGACTCGGGAGTGATCTCGCGGTTCATCCTTTTGGGCACCCTTCTTTTGCATTACCCATTTAGCACATCTTGTCGCATTGAATAAAAATAATGACAGTACTCTACCCAGCATGTGTCTATGTTGGTTTTCTGTCCAGGGGAGATATGGCATTGGAAGAAGGAGCAAGGATACACAAAACCACACGCCTTTTTACGAAGGGACTCTGTCCTATTCTTCCAACTGTGCTCGGAAGAAGGAAGAAGGAAGAAGGAAGAAGGAAGAAGGAGTGACAAGTAGTTTGTTTTTGTACGTTGCACAGTGCAATCCTAGTCCGAGATCCCACCCCGAGTGGATGAGTGCACAGTCCGTTCTCGTTATCCTCCTATCGGAAGAAAAAGAAGCAATGCTGAATGACGGCCCGAATCAGCCAGCAGCAATTCCCTCGATTGGACAAAAAAGGAGTTTTTTGTCGCCTCTCAGAAAGACCTTTCCTTTCTTCTTTCTTCTTCAGCAAACAATCAGTGAGCAAGCAAGGAATCGGGATTACTTCTCCCCCATCCTCTCCTTCCTTTCCTCTTTTTTTCTTCTTCCTTCTTCTTCTTTCTCCAACGCTAATCCCCATCCTACTTTCAAGCATTCATTCATTCATTCCCTTCTCATTCACACTGACAAGAAAAAGGGACCATGGAACAACAGAGCAAGGACCACCCCTCCACAGCCGGTCCAGCCGAGGACAGCAACCACAATACCAATAACACCAACGACAACGGCGCTGACCCCACCATCAACCCACTTCTCTCCAAGATGCGGACAGTCCCTCTCCCCCGCCCAGGCGAACTCTTGATCTACGACTGCCGCCCTCCACCCTCTCATAGCCATGCACCAACTGTAACAGCACAGGAGACACCCACGTTTCTATTGCAGGATAATGACACCTCCTTGTCCTCCTCTTCGTCCCCTTCGTCGTCAGGGTCCGATGCTACTGCTGCACGGATAGCATTCACTTCCCCTCCCACGACACCCATGCCTGCACCCCAGGAAGCAACTTTTACCCGAGACGACACCAATACCACCGATCAAGGTATGCCTTTGAAATTCTTGTCAAAGAGAACTGTTCATATCATGTTTGCTTCGTAATTGTTGTCATTCACTGTCAACACCCTCCGTGTTGCTCATTCATAAGTCGTCTGGTTGCTCACGCCTCTCTTTTGTTTCTATCATTTTTGTTCTCTTGGTCACCCTGCTCCTCTTCTCGTTATCTCCTAATTATTGGACCTCCTTTTTGTAGACGAGGGATCAGATTCGCCTTCTCCTGTTCCTAGAGCATCATTATTAAGTTCAGGAGCTGCACCAGGTGTTGCGACAGATAACTACCACCACCACACCTCCAAAAGTAACAGCAGCAGTCAACGACCCATTCGCTGTCTCCAATGGAACATTGAACGCAACTACAAGGCTGACGAAATCTTGGCAACCCTGACAGAACTCGACGCCGACATCTTATGTATCCAAGAGATCGACATTGGTTGCCACCGATCGGGCCATGACCGTGACCACTTTCTGGAGATCTGCAAGTCGCAGGGTCTCTATGGTGGGTTTGTCCCCGAGTTCTGGGAGCTGGAGCACCCGGGCCGCAAGGATCGGGATCAGGGCGGTGGTGTTCACGGAAACGCCATCCTGTCGAGGTGGCCTGTTAATGGGTTCCGAGTGCTTGACCATGTCCACCATGCGTACGAGTGGGAGCGAGATGGACTAAAGCTGAACGAGCCCAGATTGGGAAGGTAATAATAGCATTAACGACTGGAATGAGATGGAGATGGTTCGCATTATTGTTTTCTCTATGTTGAGCCGGTGCGCGCGTTTTTCTAGGCTCTCTTTTAATTTTTTATTATGGGTGTTTCAATTTTGACAATTGTATCTTGGCCATTGTTTCCTTTGTAGACGGTTCACAATTGTGGCGGACATCCAGACGCCCTCTGGTCCACTTCTGTGCTACTGCGCCCACCTCGAGGTCTTTACAGGAATCGTTGGGCGAATCTCTGCTTTGAGTGACATCTTGGCGGACTCGGAACTGTACTCGGATCGATACCCTTATCAGATCCTCTTTGGTGATCTGAACACCATCTCACACTCGATCGCACGACTTGCCAAGACAATCTCGACAGATCAGTATCGGATTGGATCGTTTGGATCCCAGGAAGCAGAGTGGTGGGACAACAACCTTTGGAGCTGGCATGTTCAGGACGGAGAGTTCAACTTGGCTCTCGCTACTGGAGGATGGGGCTGGTTGCGTCGGTTGGGGTTTCTGGGACTTGGTCTTGGTGCTGGTTCGGGTGTCAATGGAGTGTCATCGGTTTGGTCCGCAGATGGCAAGTACTCTGGATGGCTTGCGCAATTGGTAGAGGCAGGATTGTCAAAGGTCAAGTTGGCTCGTCAGGAACAACTGCTGAGTGACAAGTTTATTACGATCGACCAGGAAGTCTCATACCAGCACTCACATCACCCACACCAACACCAACAACACGACAACCAAATCAAGGACCAGCAACATGGTCGGGGTTCGGAAGAGAGTCATGCGGACGAGCTCGAGAGTGAGAAGAGCTTTTATGAGGACGGAAGTGTTATTCTTGTCGGACGACCTCGATCACCCAGCATCATCACACTCGAGTCCAGTCTCATGGACCACAACGAGTGCATGTCGTCGCCGTCGTGGTCGTACCCTTCAACACCGTCAGTGATGTATGCTGATCAGGAAGGAGACGAAACCGATGGCGAGAGCCCGGACTGTGACGAGGGAGTCGATGCCACCCGACGAGGACGACGACAGCTTCCACGTGTCAACGTGCGCTACTTTTCCTCGACACCGTCAACACCTTCACCCACGCTCCGTCTGATCCCACCAACGCCCAAACAGAGTCGGTCCAGTGGTTTGGACCGCGTGCTCATCGGGACCAATGACTATCAGCGCGGGATCCCTATGCCCTTTGACGACGAAGAAGAATTGCAGGATCATGATGTCCCGCTCGACAGTATTTTGAATCAGGAGGGACAACACCAGCACCAGTACCAGCACCAGGAAACAATGCAACAACACACCACTCATGACTTTCAATACCCTAATGACCCTAACGCCCCTTTTACGACTTTTACGACCACTGAAACGACAACCACCACCACCACGTCAACAACGACAGCAACGCATCATGATATTTACTACAAGCAAAAGACAGAGACATCCTCGACATTCAAGGACCCTCAACCACCATTCCTCCTCACACATCTCCAACAAACTCACGCCTTCTTCTCAACCCAACGTCTTTGGTCTGGCTTCACACCCCTAGTCCTCCATCAAGCGCGCAACCCAGGGTTCTATGACCCCTGGTGTTCTCGGAGGGATATGACCCTCCACAACCCCAACTTTTTTGGAATCCTCAAGGCGAAACTGGACTATACCTTGCTCCGGAATTTGAGGTGTGTTTCGAGAGTTACGGGGAACCATGATTACTCGGCGAGTGATCATAAGTGGCTTTTGGTTGAGGTTGAGTTTGAGAGGAAGTTTGAGATTGCAGCGGCGAGGGAGGAGGATGATGATGAGGAGGAGAAGGATGTTATTCAGTTGGAGGGATTGACGGAGGAGACGTCGTCGTCGTCGTTAATGGATCGGGAACAGGAGGAGAAGGAGATTGCGATGCCATCGAAGGAGCAGCAGTACTTGTGGTGGCGGGAGAGGAGACTAGAGTGGGGACAGCCTGTTCAGCCCCTACCCCATGGGCATCCTCAACATGTTGCTGAGAAAAAGGCCCGACGGAGCAAGGCAAGATCGTCATCTTCATCGTCGTCGGGTTCGACGTCTTTGTTGGTAGCGACGGTTACTGCTGCTGTTGCTGTTGGCGGGTACTGGCTTTGGTCTCGACACAAGTAGCTGGGCGTTTTTAAGATTATTTTATGTTGGCTTATATTTTCAGTTTTGAGCATGGACGATATCTTGGATGTAAAAAAAATATAAACTGAAGGGGGTGGGTTGACCCTCAAACAAAATCCGATCAGATCTGATAGCCATAGCTTTATTTTGGGCAAAGGTCTCGGACAGATCCAATAGTGCGACATGGTCAAAGAGGAGACATCGAGAGTCACATACAATGTGGATGTCCCTGAGTGAGTGTCAAATAATTGAATTCGCTATTTCGTGTTGATCCTTATGCTGTCAACCTTCCTGGACCCTACAAGTAAAAAGAAGACCCAATGCCACGTGGGTGGGCAGCCATCCATGCCTCCACAGCAGCCTTAGCAGCAGGTCCGTCCGCATGGTAAACAGACCACCTCCGATCCGACTCTAAACCCTTGATCGTCTCCAGCTTGGGCCAATTCCTATGCATCCACTCCAATTCTGCAACTCCAATATAATGAGCAGTCGACCTTACATCCAGCATCCGCAATTCCTTCAGCCCAGCCAACAGACCCAACCCGCTCTCCAACGAAAATTCCAGAGACTGGTAGTTGAACATGCGGATACCATTTAGCAGCGCCGCCTCCTCCATCGCAACTAGGCTCATTGACGAGTCCACGCCTGCGAAATTCATTGTGCGTATACTCAGATCTTGTAGACCAAGAATGAGCTCTTCCAGTCCTGTCATCCTGCTTAGTTGAGTGTAAATCCACCGCTGAACATCGAACCTCAAAGTGGGATCCAGTCCTGTCTGCTGAAACATAAGCTCGCTTCCATTCAGTCGGCACACCACATCTGGTCGTGGAACGCCTTCGATCCGAAGCTGAAGATGCTCCATTGATGGCCCCAACGCCCATGACCGATCCACCCCGCCATCGACATGCTCCGAGTAGGCTGCCTGCGCATGGACCATCACCTCCGTCGTAAACCTCTTCCTCTGTCGATCCACAATTCCCTCCAGCCGTCTCAGATTCCTGGCGGAGCACAACAGATCCAAAAACGCATCCTCCCGAATCTCGTCCGAGCTCTCGAACCGAAACACCTCCAGCGTCTCGGTATGCTCCATCACTGCCTCCAACGCACCGGTGCTAAACATAAGCAAATCTGGCAGTCGCAACTCCTTCCACCCAAGCTTGGTCGATCGTATCAGACGTATAATAAGATCCTCATCATCGTAGACGCTCTTCCTCCACTCGAGGTTGACCAGCTTGTGGCATGAAAATTCGATGAATGAAGGTATGGTCTGGAGGGCCTTATCGTCCAGACGGTGGAGGCGAAGCGTCTCCATACTGGGACACCGCATCAGGAAAAACAGTAGGTTGGGATCCATGTAATTCTGACATCCTCCAGTAATAACGACCTCCTTCAAGGCGAAAAAAGGAGCGCGCTCGGCCAGATAGTACTGATTCACCTTCTTCGCATCGAGTTCCACGTCATTGACGCTGTTGATCTCCCTGTCGAAGGGGATTGACTGAAGGAATGAGAGTTCGAGCTTCTCCAGTTTGGCGGTAGGAATGGCTGCAACGAGGTCCGGAAAGCCCTCCTTCCCATCCTTGTACCGGAAGCAATCCACGTCCAGGCTCAGGTGTTGTAGGTCCGAGTTATCCTGCAGGAGTCGGATCACATCGCCGGCACAGCGGCGGATATCCATAGTTTCCCTGGTTTCGTCGCCAGTGAACGGGCCTGGTCGAAGGACAACTTTGTCGGAAATGACGAGCTCGGTGACAGTGGAGACGGGATGGTTCTTGAAGCGGATGGTGAGTGATTGTAGGTTGATGGTGGGTGGCATGCAGCTGCGGAGGCAGCAGACGAGTGCTGGGTCGGTGGTCTCGACGGTACGAAGGTGTAGAGCGTTGCGAACGAGGGCGTGGCGGGCTTCTCTGGTTTTGAAGCGTTCGTTTATGGTTTCGTCGACGACGCGGATGTCTCGCCAGAGAAGGGGAGTGAAGAGAGTGTGCCATTCCTTGCTGACGCCGACGCAGGAGGCGTAGTCCTTTGGGTTGATTAGGGGGAGGACGAGGTCGATGATCTCCTGTGGGAGGGTGGTGAGGGACGGCATTGTGGATGAAAAGAAAAGTGATTGGTTGTTATAAGAGATGAATGAGAAAAGTGAGAGTTGAATGAAAAAAGTGAGAGTTGAATGAGAAAAGTGAGAGCGTTGAAGGAAAAAGGAGGAGTAGAAAAGCAGGAAAATAAGGGAGTTTGGAGGAGTGGGAAAATAACCAACGTTGGAAAAGTAAGTTCGAGCACAGACCAAGACTAATAATGATAAATCACATACCAGAAACACAAGGAATAAAAGTAAAACAACGATGCCTTGCTGCTACCGAAAAAGGCCGACTATAAGCCATGCCTGTGTTGTCCCGAGGACGCGGATAGAGTGCTTGTTGCAGAAGAGGGCTTCCTTGGTGCTGTGAACGTTTCCCTCCGCCCACGACTGCGGTTCAATGTCATGTAGACGAGACACTGTGCGTTGAATGGCTATTGTCCGTCCGACAATCAACAACCGCACCATTGTGAATGGCGCTCTAACAGGTCGTCAAGTAAGGAGGAGCGGAAAAAGAGGGGTGGGAATTTTGACGACATCGAAAATGGCCCAAAAAAATGACATGACATTTTTTGTCCTTTTTCCGTTCTTCCCTCTTTTCATCTTTTTTTTACTTCTTTTCTTTCCTTCTTTTTTTCTGTCCTTCCTTCCCACTTCCACTTCTTCCCTTCCCCCCTCCGTCCTTCTGCAATCCTTCCTGCTAGTTACTTTGCTTGCTCTTCTTACAGCACCTCAGCCTTTCTTGCCTCATTTTACTCTCCTCTCCTTTTCTCTCCACCTCTTTTCTTAATTCTCGTTTGCCTTCCCTAAACACTCTCTACTCATTCGTGTTCCCACCTATCATGGGAAAAAAACGCGAGGTTCGTTGCCGGGAGTTTGACGTTAGCACCTGTACAATCGTACACGCGACAAAAGGGGATAAAATGAAACATGATCGTAAATACCACTCTAAAAAAAAAGCCGTAGGTTTCATGGAAGGCTTTTGCGATGTCAGGGATTTCTCCAAAACCCCTCCATACTACTACTGCACGGGAAATGGATGCACAACAAAGACAAATCGACTCCCTTCTATGAAAGACCATATTCCAAACTGCAGATTCATCAAATGGACGGTTGCACCATCGACAACAGCGTCAACCCTGGCATCACCTCAGTCGGTCCCAACAGCATCCCAACCTCCTTCCAATAGCCATCAACCTACTGGAACAACAAAACGAAAAAGTGACCGATATGGCGTCCTCAGAACCATCCTCCGCTTTACTTCCAGCAGAGGTCGACACGTCCACGTCCCCGCTTCGATCGGTGTCTCCGGCTACCTCCCTGACCAGTGTCTTCCAGTCTCTGGCCACTCAGCTTGAGTTGTATATGAAGAGGACTGACTCCGCCCTTGTCAACTCGCAGACCGCCCTCGAGCAGTCCCAGATTGTCCTTCAGCAGTCCCAGATTGTCCTTCAGCAGTCCCAAGTCGCTCTCCAACAGATCACCACTTCGATCGCTGCTCTTGAGGGAAAGTTCGATGCCATTCTTACAACATCAACCGCTTATCGAGCTGACACCAATGCCAAATGGGAGAACCTCACGGACCAGTTGGGTCTTCAAGTATGCGAGAACCCCCCCCCCCCCCCCTCCAAAAAAAATGAGGTTCGCGACATCCTCTCGCGCTTCCGGCAACTCTTGATCATGCTTTTCCGGCTCACTCCTGTCAACATCAATCAACACAATCAACTTGCCCGACGACGACGAACGCATTCAACGAAACCAAGTTGCCATGGCAGCCCGCCAAAACGAGGAGTTTTTACAGAGCAACAGGAACAGGAGTTGCGACAGACGAGAGTCAGGAGGAGGATGACGATGTTGCGAAAGACGCAGGCAACAATGTGACCAACTGAGGATGAAGATAAACCTCAATTCAAATGTCGATGCCTAAAAACAAGATTTTCAAACAAATATATGTACTCCATTTTTCTTCGATTTGAGTCGCTGATGTCGAAAATGTCAGAAATACAGCCTTCTCAATTATTTAATTAAAGCAGAAAAACTAATTGCTTGGCTTGGGATAAAAAGAAGACCCAATACCAAGGGGGTGAGCAGCCATCCATGCTTCCACAGCAGCCTTGCGAGCTGGTCCCTCCGCATACTTAACAGACCACCTCCAATCCGTCCCCAACCCTCTGATTGTCTCCAGCATGGGCCAATTCACATGCATCCACTCCAGCTCCGCAACCCCAATATAATGAGCAGTCGACCGAACATCCAGCATCCGCATCTCCTTCAACCCACTCAACAGACTCAACCCACTCTCCAGCGAAAACTCCAACGACAAATAATTGAATACATGTGGGTCATTCCCCAACAATGCCTCCTCCAACGCAACCGAGTCCATCGACCGATCCACGCCACGACTCGCCATCGTCTTTTCGCTAAGATCCATCAATCCAACAATGAGCTCCTGAAGTCCTGTCATCCTGCCGAGTTGATTGTAAATCCAATGTTGGACAGGCACTCTTAGAGCTGGATCCAGCCCTGTCTGCCGAAACATCAGCTCGCCGCCGCTCTGTCGGTACAGGACATCCGGTCGGGGCACACACTGAATTTGAAGCTGGAGATGCTCCATTGAAGGCCCCAGTACCCATGATCGATCCCCCATGTGGTCTATATAGTGCTCCAGGAAGGATTCACACGCATTTACGTTGGGCTCTACAGTAAACCTCTTCCTCTGCCGATCTGCGATCCCCTCCAGGCGCCTCAGCCTCTTAGCCGAACATAGCAGATCCACCATACCATTCGGCGGGAGGCGTTCGGCGCTCTCTATCCGAAGGACCTCCAACGTCTCAACGTGCTCCATCAGTGCCTCCCACGAGTCGGTATCAAACTCGGGCATGTCCGGCAGTCGCAATTCTCTCCATCCCTGCCTAGATGCTTTCAGCAGGCCTACAATAAACTCCTCCGGATCGTGGAGGCCCTTTCTCCACTCCAGGTTGACGAGTTTGGGACATCCAGCCCTGAGGAACACCCGTAAGGCCTTCATAGCGTTGCTATCCAGACGATGCAGTCGAACAGTCTCCACATTATGGCACCGGAACAAGAACATCAACCGGTTGATATCCATATCGTTCTGGCTTCCACCAGTGATGACGACCTCCTTCAAGGCGTGAAAAGGCTCATGCTTGGCCAAGTAGTACTCAATCAATTTCTCGGTATCAGCGTTCCCCTCGTCGCCAAGCTCCCTGTCGTATGAGACCGAGTTGAGGAACGAGAGCTCGAGTTTCTCTAGTTTGGCAGTAGGAAAGACCGAAACCAAATTCGTCATAGCCTCCCCTCCATCCTCGTATCGGAAACAGCCCACGTCCAGACTCAGGTATCGCAGATCACGGTTATTCTGCAGGATCCGAATCACCGTAGAGGCACACCTTGGGATGTCCAAGGTTCCCTTGGAGTTGTCGTTGGTCATCGCGGCGACAGCGGTGGTGGTGGTGGTGGTGGTGGTGGTGGTGGTGGTGGTGGTGGTGGCGGCTGTCACAGTCATAGCGGTCGAAAAGAGGATAGATGAGGTGGGATGGTCCTTGAGGCGGATAGTCAACGAGTCGAGTTTAGTAATTGGAGATAAGTAGGCAAGGAAGTAGACGATGGCTGGGTCTGTGGTTTCGACGACGCGGATATGTTGACAATTCCGAGCCAGGGCATTCCGGGTTTCTCTGGTCCCGAAGCATTCTTGCATGGTCCTGTCGCCCACTCGGACGACTTTCCAGAGGAGGGGTGTAAAGATAGTGGACCAGTAATGGTTGACGAGGATACAGGATGGGTAGTCGTTGTGGGAGATTAGAGGGGTAATGATGTCGAGGATCTCTTGGGGGAGGTCCAGCATGGATGCCCAGATTGGCATTGTTGATGAGTCCTCCATTTGTGAGAAGGGGATGAAGAGTGAGAGGTGAATGAAAGAAAGAAGGACGAAGTGTGGGAAAGAATCAAATTCACTAAAAGCCCAAGGATTTATGAATGTAAAATGTTCCAATTTGCACCCTTCCTTCCGTCCCCTCTCAATTAATTACCCCCCTCTCTTATTATATCCCTTCAGGCTATTGTTTTCTCTATCGCTTTGTTCATTGCGATTGCCTCACCTACATGTCCATTCGAGCTATTAGGGGAGTGAGAAGGCATCGTTGTTGCCTTTGTATGTATTCCTTCCTCAGCGACCGTTACTTGTGTGACTCAATGATCAAAACAAAATAAAGTTATCAGTGATGCACTAATGGTGCCTGGCTGAGGGGAACGACGTTCTATTTGGCTGTCAATCTTTTTAATACTGGAAAAGGAGGATATTTACACACCCTTTTTGCTATTCGAAAAACATTGACATCATGTCAATGCTATGCAGGAAGATATTTCTTTACTTCCATCCTGAATAAAATGAAGACCCAATACCTCAAGGATGAACATCCATCCACTCATCCACAGCAGTCACGACCTCCTCCACACCATCCACACCATCACCAGCCCACTTACGCTTCGAGTCTAACCCCCTAATCTCCCTCAACCGTGGCCAATTCTCATGCATCCATTCCAATTCCTCCACCCTAATACCATGTACCGTCATCCTCACATCCAACAAGATGTAGAAGAGTGGCAAAAGCTTTGTGGGCCCATGGTTGGCGTTGAAGTGCAAGGGCAGACACTGGAAGAATGAGCATACATCTAGCCTGTTGCATACAAAACTCATTTGCTAACTTCATCCCATGAACACGAAATAGCGCCTTACGATATCAAATAAATCTGCTCCACATCACTCTATTTTATTTTTCTTCGTCAATGTTTCTGATCTCGTCAAACACTCTAGTAGTAAGGAAGGTAACCAAGCCGAGTCCAAAAGTGGTCCTGGTAGCGGGTATCAAGTTTTGCCTCAAATTCATTTTTCCACGCATATTCTCTTTCATTATACTCGCTGGATACTTTCCCGTGTGCCCTCGCCTCGAGCTCGAGTACCTTCAATACACTCAAATCCTTCAAAAGTTCCACCCCACTCTCCACCGTCATCTCGAGACACTCATGCTGGAGTCCGTTCTGGACCTCATAATAATCTCGGTCGAAATAATCGACCTCGTAATAATCTCGGTCGTAATACTCGCCTTCAGTATATGACTCTCGATCCATACATTCGTTATTGCATTCGACGTCGTCATGCCCCAAGACTAGCTGCTTGAGTTTAGTAAGCCGGCCAAGCTGGGAGTACACCCGGCGCTGGATCCTGCGGCTGTCTTCCATGGTTCCCTTATGGAGTTCGTCATCGTCGTCAAACGGGCGCAAGTTACTTCTTGCGAGAATGTCCGGGCGTGGGATACCGCCAATTCGGATTTTGAGGGACTCGAGAGAGGTGCAGACCCAATCTGAGCCACCGACAATATCTCGGGCGTCCAGCTGGCAATCGCATGTGTGCGATCGGTCGCGGGCAATGGCATCGAATCGCTTGAGGTTGGGTGCCGCACTGAAGAGTTTTTGGACCGTCGAACTGGAGACGTCGTAAGCACTGTCGAGACGGACATTCTCCAAGGTAGGGGCATTCCTGAGCAGCGCGGCGGAGGAAAGGGGCCCGAACACACCAGAGTTGCTCCGTGACCGAGGAAAGCCTAGCGTTCTCCAACCTGCTTGACTGGCATCTAGGAGTGCAGCCAAGTCACCATCGAAGGAGCCGTACCACTCCAACAAGTGCAAGTGGACAACCTTGGGGCAGTGGCGGAAAAGAAGGGATGAAAAGAACCGGAAATGATAAACCGTCGACATGTCTTCGAGACGGATGGTCTCGACGTTGGGGCATCGCTTCAGGAGCCGGCGTAGGGTCTGCTTGTTATAGTCGATCGCATAATTTCTGAAGACAAGTTTCTCGAGATGAGGAAGCGGTGTCAACAGGCCTGTGGCGTCGGATTCGGTGTCGTTGTCGTCAGTCTGCACCAGCTGCTGACTGTCGTCCTCCAAGTGGTAAGATCGGTCCTTATTGATAGGGTCCCATCCACCTAGCTCCAGAATCTTGAGGCTCTCTGGGATACAATCGAACACTCGCCCAAGGTTCGGATTCTTCTCGTCCAGAAGAGCGCCGTCCAGCGTGAGGCTCCGGAGATGAACAGCGTGCTGAAGAATAGTAATGAATGGTTCCAAGTCCAGGGCAGCTGGTGCGTTCTGAGATGACGTCGAGAGGTCATTGTCATAGGGGCATCTGCCTTCCAGAATCTTGAGCTCCAGTAGATTGGTGCAAGCTTGAATATGGGTAGCCAACAACTCGACCATCTCATAGTTCTCACACGTAATGGCCTGAACAAAGTGGCCGTACTTTTTCAGCGTGTGCAAGCTGTTGGGACATTCGTAAAGGGGACGGATGCGGACTTCTCGCCAGAGATGCCGGGCGAAAGTGCGGGACCAATCGTGATTGACTTGGACACAGGCAACCAGTTCTTTTGGATCGAGATGAATGGCGATCATGTCGAACACCTCGAGAGGGTGAGATGATACGGTGGTTTTTTCCATGGTTGGGTAGGTTGATTGGCTGGTGGATTGGTTGTCTGGTTGATATATGCGAAGGAGATAAAGGGGAATGATGTGGAAAAAAAATGTCCTCTTTTGATTTTTTTTTGGCATGAGTGGGCTGTGTGGTGGCAAAAACCTAAACACCCTCTCAGACCGTTTAGCATGTCATATGCATCCTCATTTCGCGACACACTTGCATAGCTCAAACCAAACCTCTCGACGGTGGCAAAAGACAGATATTTTGTTTTTCGCCAGGCTGGAGCGGCAGACGAAGGGCGGCGATTGTGTGCACGCTGCATTCCCTCTATTCAATAGAAAGTGATTTGTTTTTGTTAGAAGAGTGCCCGTGGAGGTGTGGAGCAAGTGTGAAGTGATAAAAAAAGTGGTGGTAGTTGAATTTTGCAATGTTTATTTGTGTTTGCCAGTTCCTCTCTCTCTTCTTGTCGTCGGGGACCTGGAGGGGTCTCTTTTTTTTTTTTTTTTTTTTATCCTCCCTTTTTCTTTCTGCATTCTCTTTTTTTCTTACTTGGTTACCTTGAAGCAGGGCTTTGTGTTTCTGGTACAATGTGCAGTGGCCAACTGTTCTTCCTCCGCAGTTCGTCCTCGCCCTTACTCTTTCAGGTTCTCAAACCACCCAAACGCAGCATTGGCCTCCGCCGTAGACTCCAACAAACGTCAACACATCATCCATGCGATAGGATGGGCGGGCGGCGGAAGCAGCGTCGAGGCTACTGCCGTTGTACTCCTCTTAGAGCCACGTCTGAACCGAATCTCCAACTTCTCCAGCCCTTGCAAACAGGACAAACCGCTATCACCACACAAAAACGATTCTGACCCCATCCCCTGTTCCTGAAAACAACTCTCATCCAACACCAACTCCCTCAAATTCCAATTTTCCTGAACAACAAACAACTCTACAGCCCGGGCATTCCCCAAAATTCTCTGAATTCTCCCATACCTCAGGTCTCGAACTCGATCATCGAAAAAGCGACCCAGCCTCTCGTGGGAAACGAACGCTCAGGGATCGAAGAGTGCCTTCGCCTCGTAATGCGAGCGCCATGATTTATGCGACACGGGGGGTCGATGAGGACGAGGTGTCGGACTCAGCGCTTGTTGTGTGGGGAGGCATTTAGTGGGGTTTCGTCATGAAAGCGAGTGTTGGCGTGGATAATTCGCCTAAAGGGTGGTGTGAACATGACTGTGTAGTTGTGCGAGAGGCGGAGACACTGTGCTAGGTCGTGGCGGTTGAGTTAGGAGGCGATGATGGATACAACTTCAGGAGGTAGCGTAGAGAAAGAAGAAGACGGTATGTTGAGAAATAATGATTGAAATGGAGAGGATGGAGAAGAGAGAGAGGGGACAAAAAGAAAAAGAATCAAGCCTTGAACAAAGGAAAGGACCGCAAGCAAAGACGAAATTAGTGCAAAAGTGAATGTTAAGTTGGATTTGAACTTTTCATTGTCAAAGAGAGAGAGACAATCAAAAGAAATTGCGTTTGTCCTAGCCTAGATTCCCTGATCTGCAGCATTAGACGGACCGGCCTCCAGGACTGATGCAGGTCGCGATGATGCAGAAGTCGGTGAACACGCAGGGAGCGGTGGCCGCGTTGCACCTGCGGATGGCGGCGCATGGCCAGAGAAGGTTGACGGAGGAGGAGGAGGAGGCAATGTCCATGGTTGACCGCCGTGTTGGTCGCCAGTCCAGGGAGGGAGATAGTAACTCCAGGCATTTTGGTGTGATGAGTTGAAGGCGTGCTGCCATGCTGGATAATGATGACCATCAGCGTAATAGTAGTCGGTTCTTGTGTGGGTCGTGTACTGCGTATAGCTGTGGTAGTAACCTGGAGGAGCGGGTTCTGAATTGTACGTGCCATAGCCACAAACACATGGTCTTCCTTCCATGGCACATTGGCACCAATATCCGTAGGTGGGTCTGGCTGTATTCGCGTAGTGAGGTGTTGGTATCAAGGACCTTACTGGAGGGAATGAATCGGCTTGGCTGTACACAGCTGGTGTAGCCTCGGTCCGTTCTGTGACATGGACGAAACAATGTTTGTGTATCGTCAGTGCCTGAAATTGCAAAGAAACTCTGTCTCAACTGAGTAACAAAAACTTTAAAAGTACGCATTACCAATGGCCTGGTTCCTGGGTACTTCATCGTCTGTTTGTCTGTGAGCGATACTCGCGGTAGGACTATTTGCATCTGATGCTGGCGTTTGTGAAGATTCTTGCGTGGCGGCAATGCCATGTGGCGCTTTGATGAAGACGAATAGACAAGGGCGTAAGCATCCACAAAATGAAGGACGAACAATTCAAACAAAAGAGACTGATAACGAAAGACGAGTGGTACCTTGTTCGTCGCAGTTAACCGTCTCCATATCTGTTGATAGTTCGGTGGCAATTGCATCCGCGCTCTCTTTCTCATCCGAATCAAGCGTCGGTCCCGTGGTAGTAGTCGGTTCTGCGATGGCCGTCGCGTCAAGCTGTTCCATAAGTGCTAAAAAGAAGAGTTCAAAATTACAAAAACGTCAGCCCATAAGCAAAGATAACACCAACAAACCAATTTGCTTGAAAGAAAGTAATATTACCTAAGACTCTTCTCCTGGCTTCTTCGACTGCAGCTGGACTGTCACTTTTACCAATAGTAGTTCGACTGTTCGTTGTCAAATCAAGGCTGACGTTAGACGAGCTGTGGTCGCGCAGAAGAGACGCTTTTGTAGGCGGCACTGGACACGAGGACAGGACTGGGCTTGATGCAGGAGAAATGAGCATATCGTCCGTTTCCTCTTGGACGGATGGCGGAGGTGACAGTGTCAGTGAGTCCAAGAGCGGCGGAGAAGGTGAAATCGAGCGTGGAGGTTCCAGTATGTCGTAAACGTGCGCAAGCAACGGAAGAGTAGGGTTGCAAGGTTTTGACAAAATGGTGGCGTTGTCTTGGACCTCGCGAATGCCAGATTCATCGTCAACCTTCAAATCGGCAAAGGTCACGCGCCGGCGCGGCTTGCTCGGAGGAATTGACGAGTTGCACTTCACTGCCGAAGGGCGATGGTCGATGCTGGCAGCACTGTCGTCAGATGGTGGTTGTCGGTATCGTCTTGTCACCGGCTGTCTTTTCTGGCTAGTATAAGAACGCTCTTTCCCTGTAACTTTTCTCCGCAGGAATAAATTGTTGTACCTGTCTTGAGCAAGGCCATTCTTTGCAGGAGACCCTTTTGACTGAATCGACCCTGAAAACGTTGCAGAAGTGGTCTTGTTGGTACTGGAGCACATACTCGTCTCAGAACCGTCGGTGGGTTGCACTTGAACGATCTCCTCCGCATGACTGGACTCGCGTTGCGTGTTGATAAACTGTGCTCCTTGCTTCAGAACGATTGGAGATGGCGTGGAACAGGTCTCGGGTTGAGGAGGCGTACTCTCCTTGGGAGAAAGTTGGCCGTCCGGTGTATCGCCTGCTTGTATGTAGACAGAATGAAAATATAAATATGGATCGAGTTAACATGTTGCCTACCAGGTCATTAAAATAAGACAATGATTATAGCCTGCGCAAACGAAGCAACACATACCCTTCTTGTGGTGTTTCCACTTGAGAGCAAGAGATCCGAGATATCCTTCTTCTCTTTCATCGCCCCGAGTCTCCTTGTCCTTGTCGATTCTTGCCTCTCCGTGCAAATGAAGGACCTGGCTTGTCCTATCAGTGACCTTACGAGGAAAAGTGTTCGCCGGAGGGGCCATAATCTTCCAAGACAGGTGTTGAGGGGGGGTTTGTATCGCTGGCTTGCTTCTGCGCGGGAGACCTTGCCGTTGAGACTCCTGCTCCTGTATTGTCTCCCAGGCTCGCAAAGGTTGGAGCTTCTGTTGGTGGTGACCTTGCATTGGATTTTGACGATGGCAAACAGTGTTCATAGTGACGGCGGACGTGATGCTCAAATGAGCGGTATGTCCAAGTGTGTAAGCTTTGTCGATATCGGTCCTGCGAGGAGTACTGGAAATCTTGGCCTGGCCGACGACTCCATTCAACTGCTTTGGCATCTGCTCCAACTCTTTCATCTCTGACTTTGCGCGTTCGATGCCAAGGAGGGCTGTCTTCTCGTTCTCCAATCGCACTTTAGACGGGCGTCCAATAGAGCGTTTGCCCAAGAGAGTGGCGACTGAGATGCCTGCAGTGGAATTCCCTGTTTGCTGCTTATAGTCATTCAAGACCCCCTGCAAGGCTTTGTAAGCAACAGCCGCTGCACTGACCAACTCGGAGCGGCGGTCCTGAGGTGGTGCTTGGGGCTGGACTTCTTGGAACTGTCGATGGTCTTGAACGACGGCAGGGTAAGTGGTCATTTGCAATTTCTGAATGTGGTTAGTGACTCCGCCTTGGGTGGTTGCGGTCGTGACGGAGGCAGCAGTAGAAAAACGGATCGCACTCGATATCATTGCGGCAGACTGGCGAGGAGGCGACTGACTCGTGGACGACTGGTGAAAACGCGTTTCAGGGGTGGATGAGGAGGACGGCCCTGACATATCAGTTGTGGGTGACAGTGAGGGCAACGGCGACTGGAGGGAGGAAGAAAGGTCGTCGCTACGGATGGAGCAGAGGGTGGTCTGGGACGTGTTCACGGGGGGTACACCCCATCGAGACCTGAGCGAGGTCCCTTCGCGCTTGATATATGTCGCAGCGTGGTGACCGGAGACTGGGTTGTGATCGGAGTAAAGGAGACCGCCTTGATAGATGATAAAGTCTGTGCGGATATTTCTTTTGGGTGGACTGGCAGTGTCCCTGTCTGCAGCCTCGCTCCTTTCTATATCCCTGCCCAAACCCGACTCTCGGCTTCCTCTGCGTCTGCCTGTATCTCTGTCTCTGGTGGGGCTTCTGCTGGGGTTATCGTGTCTGTTGCGGTTATTGCCGTGTCTCTCTCTGCTGTCGTATATGTGGTAATCACTGTCGGCGCTGGAGTGATCTCTGTTCTTGTTATACCAGGCACCGCCGTAAGAGTCGCGTCTGCTGTCGTACGAAGCGCGGTCACTGTCGCTTGTGAAACGGCCATTGTTCCATGAGTCCCTGCTGCCGGAATAAGATCGGTCTCTATAGTATGCGATAGGGTCATACAAACCTCTCTCCTTGCTGTACAAGCCGTTGCTGTCAAAGGTGTTGCCTTTGTCTTTGTGCTTGTACCGCATTTGGCCGTTGGAGTTGGGGTTGCCCCTGTATCCACCGTAGCGGTCATTGTCGTGGTCGTGGCGTTTGTTGTTGCTGTCGTCTTTGTTGTTGTTGATATCGTAGCTCATGATGGATGAATGGATGAGTAAAGAGGAGTGGATGGTGAAGATAGAAAGAGAGAGAGAGAGAGAGAGAGAGAGAAAGAAAAAGAGAAAGAGAAAGAGAAAGAGAGAGAGAGCACCACCGGTGGTGGCAAACGACGAACAATTTGAGTGAAAGGGGGAGAAAACAAACAAAAGGGTAAGGGGAGGGGGGAGAAGAAGTGGCGGGTGAAATAGAAAAGGGAGCAAAGGAACAATACGAAAAGAGAGAGGAAGAGGAAAGAAAAAGAGCGAAGAGGAAGGAACAAAACAAAAGGCAATCAGTTCACACGTATGCATCAGCCTGCATTGCATTGCGCTTGTACGAAAAAAAAATTACGGTCATTATTCACATGAAGTGAAGGATGTTCTTTTTGTTTGGAAGATGTGTGCCAAAAATAACAAAACAAGCATGGAAAAACGGCTTGCTTGCTTTTGGTATGAGTGTCGGTTGTAGCTGGCAATCCGCACACGCTCTCATCCTCCGCCTCCCTGAGAATGAAAACAAATGGGCGGTAGGATTCAAGAAAAATGACTCGCCACTTTGATTTCTTGAAACGCGCACTGGACTCTCATCACGGTCGCACAAGAGCGACAACGACAAAGGATACGGGAGAACAGTCGATTTCTTGTCGATGTTCCCTTCGAGAAAGGGCAGCAAAGAGCGCACACGCCAAGGGAATAAAGACACAAATAGCGTTCATCGAGTCATTTCCACAGCTTTTTCTTCTCCATGTCACCCATACCACCCCAGTCCTCCAAGAAACGTGTTCACCTTTCCCTCATACCTTCGTCATAAAAACCACACAAAGGACCCCGTTGTAGTACCATTTCTACACCTCACCTCACTCCACACCACACAGTCATTTTCGTTTGTGCTGAATATCACCACAAAAGTCGACTTTCCTCGCCATTTCTCACTTTCTCATCTCCAAGAACAACAGCAACAGTGCACTCACAATCTCACACACACACACGCACACACTCTAGTCTCTCTTCCCGACATTGATGATACCGATCAAGGCGAACCCAATGAATTCGAATCCTCCACGGACCACCAACGCCTGGATGCTCTGCCTCCCATGCCTCCCTTGCCGCCTAGTCCGCTTTACCGACAATCCCGAATCCTCCTACATCGGCCTTCAACCCCGACTTGTCCGACTTCCAATAACAAGAACACCTCTAGAGAATCTCAAAAACCGCTGCCTTGCACACCTACGTTTCTTCAACCCTACGACCTCGATAGACTCGGGTTCCGTCAACAACTGAATCCGCATCACCCACATGGGCATCCGATGCGGTTGTATAGCCGGGAGGAGGTCCAGCTGGCGGCGTTGGAAGTTCATGCGGGTGGGTTGGTGTGAATGCTGAGCGAGTTGGTCTTGCACGGCCAGAGAGCGAGGCGGTCTAATTATAGGTGTCTCGATCAAAGAAGTAGGAGGGCGAGGGCGAGGAGGTGTTAATTCGCAGGAGCAGGTGGATGCTGTGATTTGGGTGTAAGGGAGGAGGATGTCACATGGCCCACTGTGACATTTTCTCATATCAGGTACGAACGCGTTTACTCTCCTCTTTTTCACCTTTCAGAACATGCAATTACGGAAAAAAAAAAAAAAAAAATCAGCTATTGCATATTTTTTAATTCCTAAACTTGAAGGAAAACCTGGGGGGCTTAAGGGGGCTATATCCGCCCATTTAATAGACGATACGCGAGCAATCGTAAGGTCCCGTAGATGGGACACCATCCTTTCCGACACTCGCGCTGTTAACCCACTGCGCATTGCTCCTAGTGGCACCCTTCGAAAGCACCGCAAAATTGCCTGTGCAGTCATCTGTCGAGAACAACTTCATGACACCGCCGTTGGTGTTCTTGATCTTGGCCGTCTGGGAGGTCTCGAGACAGACGCAGTGGCGCTTTCCGATAACGGGGACTTCGACAGTCTTGCCGGCATTGTTGTACACCCTGAATTGCCAATCTCCTAGGGCCAGGGCTCCGTTGAGGGTGGCCAAGACCAGGAGGAGGAGGACGGAGGGCTTGTGCATTTTTGGTGAACTTCTAGTTGCGAATAGAAAAGGAGTTAGCCTGAGGTACAAACAGAATCTGAGAGAAGAGAGACAAGGGAGGGATGACGCGAAATGGTACCAGTTATTTACATTGGTGTGTTGAGGAAGAGAAAAGCGGGTTACTTTCTATTACATCTTCAATCTCGGTAAGGTATTTAAGCAAAATACGATCCGCCGAGATTCTGAGCCACACTCCAACAATGGTCACACTAAAAGGGCCACAACTGCAAGGACGCCGTCTTTTTTTTCAAACCTAAAAAGAAACCGGCGTTGGCCAGTCCATTCTTCTCCATTCCTCAAGACATCGTAAACTACGGACAGTGAGGACTTTCTCACTAGAACAATCGATCAGAACTATCTAGATATAATGGGCTATATCCAGGGGAAAGTACTCTCTAGAATCGAGGACAACAAATCAACCCGATTTGACATCTGGTCGAAAATAACCATGGCGCAAGCAAACACACAACACAACCATGCACGTAATCAAACCCATAGGCGCTAAAGAGCCGACCGATTAATTACTCTGTATTCCCGGTACGTTTGAAGCTTAGGACGGTGTGATGAATTGAATGATAAATCGGTAACGGTTACGATGCGGGGTGGTCAAAGTCTGGGTCAGATTCAAACGTTAGACCCGCCGCACTTTGCGTAGTCTCCGACATCGCATTGTATATTGCGCAAGTGTAACATGCATCACAGGTACCAAAACGACAAAATGCAAGCAAGCCTACGAAACGATCCAGGTTCGACGCATTTCAGATCGGATATGAAGATTTTTTTTTTTTATCCAGCCAATGGCTATACCTTTGCGTTTTTCATCGTGACGACCACGACCCTTTCATACCAAAGACGCGTTCACTTTTTCGTCGCCCTCAAAGCATACATTTTTGGTGGCAAAGAGTCAAACACAACGACGAAGACAAAAGCCAATTGAAGCCCAAGTGAAAAAACGTGAATGAAAAAAAAAAAGTTCTATTAGGATGCCGGCGCAACATGTTACTATGCAAATACAAACAAAGACACCTCCCTCAACTTTCTCCTTATCCCAGCAAACTAGAGCCGAATCACCAGCTCATTCAAGTTTTCAGACCCGGTAATCTCCAGATCCTTCTCGTTCGCCAGATGCAGTAAACAGATGAAACAGAACGGCACGGAGATATCCCGCAGCCTCTGTTCCGGATACATTTTGCTCAGACCTCCAATGATCTCTGTGAACCGTTGCTCCTTCTTGACATATTCGCCACCGCCTTCCACATCCTCATCTGCACTATGACCATCATGGTCATCATCATCATTATCCCTTCCTCCCTCATCCTCATCATCCGCAATATTGGCCCTCTTGTTCTTCCTCCGGTCATGGCCATCCCTGCCGCCTGCTTGCCGCTTCAACGACTGTTGGGTCATCTCTTTCCAGATATTATCCTTCAGCTTCTTGACATCGACCTTCTTGGCTGTTTTGGAGAAGCTGATCGACGTTGCCTTGACGAGCTTGGGTTGTGTGACCAACTGGCTGGCATAGTCATTGCCATCACCATCCAGACCAAACCCAAGGATACCGCCCAAACCCTCACCACCAGGTCCGGCAAAGAATCCTTGATCTGGAGATCCAAAGTCGTCGTCGTCATCATCATAGTCGTTGTAGATCTGTGTCTGGTCCAGCTGGTCTGTGAGCGCAGTCACATCCCCGTCGTTGATATTGTTGGTGTGTGATGCCCAGAACTCTTCATCGGGGAACGTCAGCGCGACTAGATTACCGCATGAGGTCGACATATATATATATTTTTGTTAGTACTCGATGTCAGACATTGAAGATTTTCCCCATGCCATATCCAGACAGTTTTCAATGATAAACTTACAAGGCTCTGTATCTTCGTTTTGCTGAAGGAATCCTGGTTGTGGCTTCTTGTTCTTCGACTTTATCTACATTATATAAAACCAATGGGTTAGTCAAAACTACGGATACAAAAATACGCACACTTTCAAAAGTAAGAGGTTCCAATGATAGATACTTACGATGAATGCTGGCTTCAGGAACATGCGCAGGAGCTGTTTTGACGAAAAGTGAATGTCATCTGGGAGGAGGTGTGTTTGCTTGCGACTATCGGCCAGATTGGCATTAGAAATCGACAAGGCACTAGCGTCGGCGGGCGCAAACAGCTCATTCTCGTCCACCTCTGGAGCTTCCAGGAAATTGATCACAAGTGGGACTTTGCCGCCCTTCTTCTTGGGAGCCGCTTCCTCATCCTCTGGAGCACCTTCCTCGGGTACTGCATTAGGATCAGGCTTTTTCTCTATGAGAGCGAAGCACGTTAAAGCACAAACAAATGTCAGTGACATACAAAAATGAAAGTTGAAACTAACGACTTGATACGGCTGCGGCATCAGTTGCGATTGCCTACCTTTGCGAGGACGTCTCAGCTTCCAGTGCTCAGGGCCAGCCCAGTTGCGCAAGAATGCCGAATCAAGGTACGCGTACATGTCGGTCGGGTCTTTTTCGATCTCATCTGTCGATTCAGCCATGATCCTCTCCACTGCAGGTCCTGCGTGACGTGCCTCAATTTGTGCGTCCAGATCTCCAAAAGCATCCTCAACCTGTGCATTGCCTTCCGCCTCGGCATTGTTCTGGCCAAAGTCCGTAGCCTGGTCCTGGTCCAAATCGTCATAGACATCTGGGGGGCTACCAAAATCATCGTCGTAACCGTTATCATCATCATCTCCACCGCCAAAGACATCGTCGCGATCAGTGCCATGTCCGGTGGTATCACCATCGTCATCGCCGTGGAGTCTCTTCAAGAAAGAAAAGTCCAACTCGGACGATCCGGAAAGTTGAAAGTCCTTCAATGACGGGCAAATGTCCTTGCTAAAGATCTGGTTCAGTGACGGTAAGAATTTGGCTAGGTAATTAAAATAGATTGGTCCGCCAACGTTAGTGATTAATCCAACAGGTCTCCGTGGTACATTTTATCATATCTTGAAAGAAAATAGTGAATCCTTACAGCGTAATTTCTGGATGTCAATCATGGCGCTCTCGACGTCTGAGCTCTTCCTGTTCGTTCCAGCCCGGGGTTCTTCACCGTCTGTTGGCGTATGCGGTTCGTCCTCTTCCTCTTCATCGTCCTCGTCGTCATCATCATCGCCTTCATCTCGAGCATCGCTGGCATCAAAAATGATCTTTCCTTCTGCGTCGATACTCAGGTGGTTCAAAAGCAGTCCACGAGCGCCTCCCTCGTCAAAGTCGGCTGATGTCTTCTTGAACAGTGGGTCGACCGAGAATTCTAGATTGAACTTTTCCAGCGAAAGAGAGCTAAAGTCCTTGGCCAATGTATTTCCACTGCGTGATGAGTGCTATCAGAGGAAGGAGTAGCAAATTTGCAGGCGAGGGTTAGTCGGAACTCGCCTTGGTGAATAATATAACGTGAAATAGCAATCTCGGAGTGTGTTGTTTACCTTCTTTTTTGCTGGCTTGCCCTGTTCGTCGTCGTCGTCGTTGGTCTCTTCAACTTCCTCCGCTTGGTGTCCCTCTAGTGTATGTAACAATAAAGCTAAATGTTAGTACACCTGAGAATATTGTCTGAAATAATAGACACTAGAATTAAAACGTCCGTCATTCCAAGAGAAGCTGAACTTACTCGCACTGGTGGCGAGACCTCCGAGCAGTTTGGTAGTTTCCGTGGCCACAGAGTCAACTCTAGATGTGTAAACCTTGACGCACCCATCTAACGTACACGATGCTAGATACATTTTGAAACAAAAGGATGAGAATTTGCGTTAGAGAATTTAGTCCGCAAAAAGTTCCACGAGCCCTGAGCAAACAAAAAAGACTTGCGCAATGCCGGCCTCTTTGTTGACGTACCTTTCTGAAAGTTGATAGAGTCTCCCTCGCGCAGGACAGACATATCGTGGAAGTAGTCGATCAGGGCAAGGTTCCAGCTGTTATGAACGTTGATTTTCTATTTGATATCCAGAAATAACAAAAACGTCGTTAGTCTTCACCACCGTGAACATTATCTGTTTTTGTAAATGCGGTAACAAAAGGCCAGTCGAACGTACGTTGTCTGTAGCAAGCTTCAACCACTGCTCAAAGCTGTCCATGGAGACCGTAACGGGTATAGGAAGCGGCGCCTGCAAAGAATCAACAACGCCCAAAAGACCGCTCGGTCCGCTGGGTCGCAGTTTACTCGATGGGCTGCTGAGGTTATTGCCACCACTACCTTGGCCGTCTCCTCCTGCTGCCGCTGGACCACCTTGGCGGAAAGAAAGTCGACGGTTCGCGCGTTCGTTCATGTCAGACATCCTCCGAAGACGTTTCTCCTTGGCGTCGTCGTTCAGCTCTGTGGTCCCACCGAGAGGGACCTCGATGTCCTGGTAGCGAGCAGCTGATGAGGATGAGGATGCGAGGGGTGGTCTAATGTTACTGCTGCTTCCTCCTTGTCCGCTGCTGACGCGCCGCATGGCGTCGGGATTTCGTTGCTGCACGGGTGATTTCTGTTGTCCCAGCATGATCCTGTTCTGCCGGGGGATGTTTTTGTCTGTGTCTGTGTCTTCGTGTTGCTGGTGTTGTTGATTGCTTTTGTTACGGAAAGTGTGTGATGAAGCAAAAGAGGTTTAAGAGAGTCTGTTTGTTGGAAACATCAAAAAAGAGGCGCGAGTCTTCAGGGACGGACTGCACGTGACTTGCAGGGGAAATGAAACAAAAACTAACGCGAAAAAAAATATCTGTTTATTTTTCGGCGCGTCAAGGAGCCGCTTATCGTCGAGTCAGGGACCCAGAAGATCCGGCACCAGGGTTGAGGGCACTTCCAGCCTTCCGTCTTGGCTGACTAAGACATCCAGGGCAGTTATGAAGGACATCGTGAATGAAAACGTCGCAGTCTGCACAAAACGTCTTTTCACACAGTTTGCATTGATACCTTCCCGCCTCTGTTGTAGCCTGAAGCTGAAGACTGATCTTGTGAGGACTGAGAAACATCTTTTGACACGAGAAGCACTGTGTCGTCGTTGAAGCACTAGAAGCGACGAACCAAGTAAGCAAGGTATAAGCACAATTACCAAAGCAGCGAGAACAACAAACAATCCTGCGCGCAACTAAACAAGTCAAAGAACCTACTCTTTCCAGGCAACTTCAACAAAGTTCTCGACGGGGAAGAGATGGTGATAACTTCTGGCCAAGAGAGGACTGGAGACAAGTGTGAGCGTGCATATATCGCACTCTGTCGGAATGTCGCACAGCTTTGCATTGCACCGTGGGCAAATATATCCTCCCAATGTCAGCTTTCCGTGACAGGCACAAAGCGTGGCCGCAGTATCGTTTGACCGTGACGGGAATCCCATCTGAACCAGGTTGGATGCAGTCTTTGTCGTCGTAACCGCCGTCGGGGGAATGACCTCAAACAACAAATCCCTGTAATGCCCCTCATTCATCGCCACTCCGAACGTTCCTATTATTAAGAAAATGATTGTTAGGCTTTGTCGTGTGACAACAAATGGCACAGATACGAACTACTACGGCAAATGAATAGTATGACAGTTACCTTTTGTCTGCGTGGTCAGAACTTTCAGCACTTGAACCTCTGCTGCTAGCGCAATGACGGACGCCCTGATGTTATCCTGAGTAAGCTGCGTTATCGTGTCGTGGATGTTTCCTGGATCGGTTGTCGTTAATGAGCCCATAATGACAAGAATCTCCCGAGATCCGTGAGCAGGGACATGCCTATCATCGATAAACAAACACACTGTGAGTTCGACGCGCCAAACATATAACAAAACGGAAAAGCAAACCATCCAGCCTGTGAAGAAAGTACAGAGGTTTCCTTACACTAATGAGCTGCGGGCCATTTCAAGTGCGTTTTGCAATGAAGGCTCACCTCCAGTCTCCTGAAACTTTTTCAATTTGAGTGCCCTGATATGCTCCGTAGGGTTTCCACTCAGTTCTGTCAGCTTTTCCGCCAGTCCATCTTTTGTCCCGACGAGTCCGATCTGCGAGATTGGGTTCTGGTCAAAGAATTCAGCAATGAAGGCCTCCAGATATGTGAACGTCAACGACAGTCGTGAGGGCCGAAGATCCTTCTCCTGCATGGCCTTTGAGAGATCGATAATGATAAAGAGATGCCGAATGATTCCACGCTGAATAGGGTCCGTATCACGTAATAGTCTAAGTGAGATAAGTGGAATAAATGGGCAAACAAATACAATTGATTAGACACTACGCGCCACCATCCAAGTAACTTGCCTATACAAGCATATCCTTGAATGATTAAAGTGCGCAGAAAGCAAAGTAACATACCGCTTACGCTTGGCGGCTTGCTGTAAACTGTTGACGACTCCTGCGAGACTTCCGTGTTCGTCTTCTTGAAGGACGTCCCAACTGCGCTTGTACTCTTCCTCCCAGGCGTAGTTTGCCTGATTGTTCATAAGGGACGAGTCATCGACATCAATAATGTCCTCGTCGTCCTCGACCATCTGTCTGCGTCCGTTGGTAGCCATGTTTAGTTAGGCTTCAGTGTTTTCCAGAGTTTCCTGTAAGTCAATTGTGCTGATGCAGGTTGTGGAGAGAGAGAGAGGTCGATCGGAGAAGCGAACAAGCAAAAAGAGAAGAAAAGTGCCATGCGTTTCTTAAAAGGGCAACGCCTCGTTTTTATCCTTGCACCGGGCAGTCACTTTTTTTTCAAAGCCCAGACTCCTGTTGAAGCCACTCCCTGACGGACAGATCGTACGATTTTCTTCCCGCGCTGTGCAACGGTCGTGCCTGATAATCTCGCCCTCGTCCCTATTCGTCTCTTTTTCTTTTCCTTCTTCCTTCATCTCTCATTACCTTCCCTTCCTTCCCAACCATTCACCCCCTCCCCCTCATCATCATGCTCGATCTCATTGGTTGGTCTTCCCTCCCCGCAGGTCTCCTCCCTAAGTGGCTTTGGATCGTCGGTGTCACCTCCTTCCTCAACACCTTCCAGGCCTTTGCTACCCTCTCCGCCACCAAACGCATCTACGCCAACAAGCAGCACGAAGGTATTTTCCTTTTTGTTCATTTCTTCCTCTCCTTTCTTTGATGACACTCCCTATGTTTGTTGCCTCTTCCCCGGAGGATCAATTGAACTTGCAACAACGACCGCTGTAACATTTTTACTCACAACAAATCCAACTCTCTATCACGGTGCTCCTCTCACTAGTCACCGGTCTCTCGGGCCGCACCTTCGGTGTCTGGACCCTCCTCAGTTCCGTCATCCGTCTCTTCGGCGCCTACAACCTCCACATCGCTCCGTAAGTCCCAGCACATACACCCACCGGCCTCTTTTTTTCCAGCATCATCATCCCCCAACTGCTTCTTACCATTATTTTTCTAATCCCAACACTTTTTCTCCCCCCGACGTGTCAAAAATAGCATGTACCAAATCACCATCTGCACCTTCGGCATTGCCTGGCTCCACTTCATGTCCGAGCTCTTTGTCTTCCGCACCGCAAAGATTACTGGACCCTTCCTCGCCCCCTGCGTCGTCGCCAGTAAGTCTCCAGGAGTTTTTGTTTTATGTGTTGACAAGGAACAACAGGATACACATACCTTTGGAACCCTGCATTTTGACCTGACAACGCGTGTTTGCTTTTCAACTTATTTTAGCCTCCTCTTTGATCTGGATGGTTTCGCAGTACAGCTACTACGTCAAGCAGTACTAAAACTAAGGACAGTACAGGATGGATCTTGAACAGCAAACAACGACGAACCGAGAACTTGCATTCGACACATCCTCAACACTCCATGCCTGGTTTTGGACCGAAAAACTGTACCATATCAACTAGACCGAATAAAAAAAGCTGCAATCGACAAAAACACAACCATCCCCCAAAGACAATACTCTCGGCAAGTAGGATTCAGAGAGTGTACGCTTCTTGTTTATTTAAACTACCTGATTCTTTTACTAGATATCACCCTACACTTTACTGGTCGTTGCTGACAGAAGTACGCCCAAAGCCCGAATAACCACTCCAGCTGTTCTCGGCAGTATGCTGTCTGGTCGTGGTAGACGAAGCATCGTCCTCCGAGGGCCCGTCCTCATATAGGTTGATCTTACGGCTACGCAGAGTCTGTCCTCCTCCGGGCGAGTCAATACCAGTCGAATTTGCAGCCCTGTTCAGTCGCGACGTCAGCTGGTCCAATTCTGTCTTTTCAGCAGAAGGCGAATTCGAATTCTTTGATGCCGATGCTGCAACTGCGCCAATAATACCAAGGATATTGTCGACGCCATTGCCCGAAATGGAAGAATCGCGAGACGAGGTCGATCCTGTAGACTGCGTTCTTTCGCTGTAGAGGTTGACAGGTGGTTGAGGTAAGGGGCGCGAGGGGATGTTGCGACCGACAGTGTTGGTGGCCATAGTAGCCACAGCAACCAGCTTGGGTGACACAACTGCAAATGCCCATGAGAACACTCCTTGTTTTGGTTGACGTAAGTTCGATCCTTCTGTAGAGTCGCGTGTTGCTGTAGGCGTATAGCTTGGTGGAGGCGCAGATTGGTCTGCAGATTGTTGGTCTACTCCAGCAGCAGAGAGCGACGACATGCTGGCTGGTGCTTGTGACTACAATGAACGATGTGCACACACAAAAGAATAATTAGTACTCAAAAAATTACTCCCAGTCCTCGTATGCTGTCCTACAACATGGTCAAAAATAGGTGCATGCTTGGCATTGAGATGTTACCTTCTTGTACATATCGAGTGCCAAGTTCTGGAGTGTCTGAATCGCCTGCTTGAGGTACTGCATGCCCATCACCATAGCCTTATTATGCATATCCTTGAGCGTCAGGTCGATCTCCTTTTCGTGCTTCATAAGATATGGCTCGACAATCGCTTGGTAGATGTAGATAGAACCCTAAGACATTTTTTTTTGTTTGCGACAAGGTCAATCCGTGTGTTCCATCGTCATAACTTCCCGAAAGTTCAAAATGGATAATGCGAACACCCGTTGATGTGCGTACCTGTGTTTGGGGAAGGACCATCCAAAGGACAAACAACATCTTGATCTCGTAATAGAATGGGAACCTACAAAGGAAGTTTTAGGTCGCAATTGTGAGCATGAACGATTTTATACAATGACTCCAACGCCTGCTGCGACACTTTTCCTCCCTGTGCGACTTTGTTGATACGTACCAAAAGACAAAGATGTCGAGGACAAACTCGACGACGGAGAACATGCCCATGACGGACCAGTACATGAGCCAAGCCGTCAATCGGTTGTTGTCACGGGTGTTAATCGCCTTGTACGACGCGTACGCCGGATACTAATCAGGTCATTTAAAGAGGGTCGTGTTAGGTTTGTGTCACTTGAAGAGAAAGCCGAATTGGCAGCGAAAAAGAGCGAGACGTTGACGACGGGCATCAATTGGGGTTGTTCCTTACAAGCCAGCCTGCAAGCGAGCTACTCATAAACAGAACCGAAAGGAAGGAGGCGTTGAATGAGCTTGAGAATGTGTTTTGCTTTGCCATGGAGCGCGCACGCATTGAAAGGCACAAGAAATTGAAACCTTACCAGACCACACGAGCGACAAGGTACATCATAATGGACACTTGTGTTCTTGACAGAAAAGTGAAAGTATCTAAGTCTGTATTTAAAATGTGAGGTGGAGAGTGGTGAACTGATGTGTAAAGAATAGGCGACGAATGCAAAGTTAGAAGGGAAGGAAGGAGGCAAAGGGTGAGTTGGAATCAACTTGCGTCTTTCCACCATGGGCTTGGCACTAAAAAAAAAAAAGGGTTGCGTGACCGTTTTGCGGACAATATACATTTTATTTTTTGCAGGACACAGAATGCAGGAGAGTATGGGATAGGTTCAGAATCCAAGCACGGTCTTCAGATTGGGCACAACCCCCATCTTGAGGAGACGGTCAACCATCCTCGTCTTGTCCTTCTCAACACACCAGCTAAGGCACTGATCGTCCGGCTTGACTCCATACTCCAGAAACACATCCACAATCTCGTTATGCTCCTCGACACAGGCCCACCGCAAGGCCTTCATCTCTGCCGGTGCCCCGTACGAAAGTAACATCTTGACCATCTCGACATCGCCTCGCTGGGATGCCCGGACCAAAGGATAGTGAGATGTATGTGATGGTGATCCACCTCGAGAGAGCAAGACGCGAAGAAGAGGAATGTATTCGTGGGACTTGAACAGTCGCCGTGGGATCGGAAAATCCTTGGGCAGTGGGATCAAACTGTCCTGCTGATCTGATGCACCTCCTCCTTCTCCTCCCACAGTGCTGTTGACAGATAGATCGGCCGGTAGGGGATTCCTTGGTGTCGAGGAGAGTGGCAGAGGGTATTTCCTCCGCCTCTTCTTGCTCGACGAATCCTCCGTATCTGCAAGTTGCGACCGTTTGCCGGGTGTAGATGTTGGTGTTGTCGCCCTTGACGAACCTACCGAGACATCATCCGCGAGCTGATTGGTCGGACTTGCTGTTACTGTTGCTGTAGTTTCCCAGGCATGAAATTGTGCTGATGATCCGACGGTTGTTGAGGGGTGTGGGCGCCATAGCACCTCTTGCCAAGCAGTAGCTTCGTCCCCAATACGGTTACGGTCCCTCTCTCTTGAATATATATAATCCAGTGCGTTCAGGACATCAATGTCGAAGAAGGCCCAGCGGAGACCCTTGACGACGGCCTTGACATAGTTGTGTCTGTAGCGGGTGAGTAAGAACCGTGTCCTGGTTGAGTTTGACTTTGAGAGGGGAGCGAGGGTGAAGTTTAGAGTGCGGCAGGTGAGTGCGAGTGCCGGATTGGATGAGAGAATAAAGATGTTTATGAGGAGCTCTGTCGGCAATGTAAGTAGTGGTGGGGTGGGTTGGGGCATTAGGAGTGGGTGGTTGAATGACAAATGTATGCAGAAAGTAGGAATAGCAGACGAGCAGTGGAGCTTTTTTTTTTCTTGCAGGAATGTTGTTGACACACGTGATTTATTCGAACGGTCACTTTATGAGTGGGTTTCCCGCCAACTCGACCTTCGTTATTCTCTTCACCCACAACACACCTACGCGATGGAGCTGGAATCAGGAACAGGCGGCTCGACAGCTGCCTTACAAGGAGACATTGCCATCCTACGCCAGGAGTGTTAGTATTCTCAACTTTTTGAACATCGTTCTCATGAGTCAGAAGAATGAACACAACAACGAGATGCACAACAAAGCTGACAAACGACCCCTGGGTTTCCTTTATGCCCTTCACCGACAACGATAGTGCTGAGCATGGAGGCGAAACGCGATGCCTTACTTCGACAGATCGAACAGGAGGAGCAAGGTATCACAGATGGTAACTCAACTCACTCACTCTCTCTTTCTGTCATAACTTTGGCTCGGCGCACTTGTCACACACGAAAGGACCCTAATATTTACAACACACCATCCATCGTCCCTGGGACTTTTCTATAGATAACAACACTCCCATACCATCACCGGTAGACACAGTCGCAGATGACCTGGAACAAAAACGACTGCAGGATATCCTCATGGCCTACCGGTTAACAGGAGTCACCCTTTTCAACGGAGACGAGTTTGATCACCAGGATTGGTCTCAGTACGATGTCGGCGATATCCTTGAAGGACCCAAGGACGCCGGCATTCGCTTTGACACCTTTGCCCTCGGTACCTTTTGCTTTTGTTATTGCATTCCGCCCGATTCGACTTCGAACACAGAATGATGGTGCTTCTTTTATGGCGTAAAGAAACTAACACGACGCGTTACTTCTTCATTTCAAATGGAATTTAATGCCACTCTCTGTTATAGGCAGATACTACGAGCCGTACTACATTATGCTCCGCACGACACCAATAGGCTCAAGGAACAATCCTCAGAATCTTGATGAGGATGAGGACCCTCAACTCGACACCAAGAAGACGTTTGAGATTGCAAAACACACTATACCCCACTGGATCCCTCTCAGCGAACTGGAAAAGCGCTACCTCAACCGCGACATGAGCGTAAGCATTCTTCCTTTCTGGAACAGTTCATGGAAGAAAACAATTGACCAACGACCTGTCAACTACTATTGTCGCGACAGACGAGACTTACACACGAGAAATATGTTCTTTGAAATAATTTATCGTATAGACGTTTACACGGAGTGTGGCAGACTACCTACAGGCATTTGTGACAAGGAGAGAAAATATAAATGAGATCATCAACACTTTTAGTCTGGACAAGTCCCTCATCCAAGCAGCAACAACAGCATCAGAGGCGGCAGCGGTAGCAGCAGCAGCAGCAGCGGAGGAGGAAGGCGCAACAATACCAGCCCAAGAACAAGATGCCATCTCCATCCCAGAGATCACCTGCAAAACTAAAGACGCCGCCATCCGGGATATCGTCTTGAGTTGTTTCCGATACGACACTCTATTCACACTTTACCACCGCCGTCAATCCAGGGACGCAAAAAAGAAGGACGCCGAGAATCAGAAGCAGAAACCTGCACCCGCCACATCTACATCTACGTTTTCCTCGAACTTTGGCGACAATACCAAACTGCTGGATGACGATGACCTGGCCATGGATCTTGACAAGGAACCTGAGGAGGAGCTTGATCGCAAGGCGGATCTGGAACTTTTGAAGTCTCAGACAGGCGCAGACGTGTTGTCGGTTCAGATTCATCTCATCTACGAGGACTCGCACTCGACAACACCCACGAGGGCGGACGTTCAGTTCTCAAAGGGTCATGATCTAATCCAAATTGATTCGCTGCCAAGAAGGCATCCTCTGCGAGAACAACACGCAAAGTGGATAAACTCCCTCACCACCAATTATTCGCTTTACCATGCCATTCTTAGCATAACTGACCTGCACAAACCGTAATAACAGATCAAAGACCCTTTATTATTTTCATATATCCATTGTCTACGCATCACAAAAAACGCCGCCAATTTCAGCCAGCCCTTATTTCCTGCGTCACGTGTACCTCGAAATATGTATGTGCGACCTTGGAGTTATATAGTATCTCCAAATGTATGGAAAGTATCGAAAGGCAGGATTAGCTCAGCGGCAGAGCAGCCGACTGCAGATCGGCAGGTCTCTGGTTCAAATCCGGAATTCTGCTTCCTTTTGCTTCTTTATCAAGGACACCTTTTTTTCTATTTTTGCTTGGAACGACAACGGGGTGCCTGGACGGCACCTGGTACTCCTCATTTGAACATATCCGAAGCGCCAATTCCAATGGATAACACTCTGGCAAGCTGGTTTTTTGTGCTGAAGAACAACGTTTTGTAGACGAGGATAGAAAGTAACGACCGATGTCTGAAGAGGGGTGTCTTTGATTCGAGGCCCACGACTATTTGGAAAAGTGGTTGAGAGTTGGGTCAAATATGTAACACGCAGTGCCATATACAGGCGGTGAAAGAATTGTGTGAACCTGTTGGCGGGAGGGGCCTCTTGGCAAGAGGGACAAACCTTAAATGCAAGAGGGAGAGAACCTCTTCACAAGAGGGCCTGTACCTCTTCACAAGAGGGACAAATACCTTCCCAAGGACAGCACCTTTACAAGAGGGACTGGCGACCATCTTGCTGTCTTGTCCACAAGTGCAAGCCAGCGCCACCGTCCTTGCAGTCTTTATTTGCAAGAAATTCTCTTTGTCTATCGTTTGGCGCGTTTTTGAAAGTGGGTTTATTTTTTCAACCTCGCTCTTCGACTCTTACTGGCCAATCATTTGGCGTGTTTTGAAAGTGGTTATTTTGATTTTGGCATGTTTACAATGGGCACACATTTCACCCAACCTCAACAAAGACACAGTCATTTTTCCAAACAGTCGTGGGCCTTGCTTTGATCTCGCAGTCAGTCTGGTAACAGATATCGTGGCGGTGTCGCACGCTTGCCTCCGTGAGCCAAGACGTCCTGTGTCGTCAGTACCAAAAAACACTCTCCAAATACTTGAAGTTTGTGGCATCTTCCTGAGTAGCAATAGCAAGCGGTCCGTCGAGAGGGTGTCATGAATGGTGTTTTCCTTTTTGATTGTTTTTCTTTTATTCTTTCGTTGCATGTGAAAAGATACGGCTGAGATAGTTATACATGCGATAAACGAGGGAGGAGACGACGGAAAGAGGAGAGAGGGTGTGCGCTTAAGGAAGAAGAAAAAGAAAACAATGTTTTGGGCGAAACGGTGTGAGTGAAAAAAAGTAAAATCCAACCCTGATTCAAATTAGCGCCGTCCTCCACACGCAGGGCTCACACACTCAAATCTTTGTTTTCAGGCAGACGACGTCTCTTGTTGAGTATCTGAGGGCTTTGACTGTCCCTCATCCTTGGGGAAGTAGCGAGGGAGCAGCGTCTCATAGATTTGGACGTCCTTGTCCAAGAACACGCAAAACACGACTCGCTCGATCTATGGTCGCAAAGATAACAAGGTGGTAGAAAGTAGATCGATCGTCAATCCAGTGTTCAGGTTATATCAAATCATCGCTGTCGAAAACGAAACACGTTTTGCGATCGTTAAGATCCTAAAACATTACCTCGCGGGCTTCATTGGGATGACTGTCCATCCAGTCGCGAACAGTCTTCAACGCCACTTCGGCCGCGTTCTTGTTGTCATATCCGTAAATCCCTGTGGAGATACAACAGAATGCCTATAGCAATTGGGAGTACGCGTCAGTAACGCGTCTCATACGCACTCACTGCTGTCTAATGTCAAGATATCAAAGAGTGTCAAGGTGGATCTCGACTTACGATGCTCTTGAGTTTTTCATCCTTGACAATCTCGAGGACGCTATTGTAGCAGCTCTTTAGTTTGGGGGGATTCTCACCAATAGGCCCAACCGTGTGAATGATTCCTAAAAGAAAAAGTAGGAGATCAACCTGGTGTTAAATCTTTGTTTCAATCCTTCTTATTCCACTTACCTCGCCTCTGAGCAACGCGACAAGAAAATATTCTTACTCTTTGAGGGAAGCCTGTAGGCCTTGGTACTCTTGGCCTCCTAATAACGGGAAAATGAGCAAAGCAGTCAACGTTAGATCCACTGGTCAATACAGGTGCTCAATGCTGCAGACAACAGATTGACCAAAAAAAAGGTGACTTACGCCTGTTGGGCATCCTCTAAGTGTGCGGCACTCCACCAAGAGCTCCCTTCCAGCTGCCCTGTGAATGGCTCCATCGACTATTGCATTAACAGAGGAAAGTGAACGTGTCAGACACCCTGCTATATGTTCTGTCACGTCAAATTCTGGTAAACATGACATCCTGTTGACGTACTTCCGCCTCCTCCAAGAAGTGACTCGTTCGCAGCGTTAACTATATAGCGCATGGCAAGGATAGCGGGGATTGGTCAGCTTAGCAATTAATTAGATCCTGCAATTGAATCCTTGAGGACACAAACAAAACGACTCAACAATGCCTCACCAACTGCGTCGATCTGGAGCTTTGTAATGTCTCCCTTCCTATCGCGCGCAAAGAACGCAAGAAAAAAGAGAGTCGATCGTTAATGCCATGGCTTACAAATGGAAAGAAAAATGTACCTATCGCAAGCGAATCATTGATGCGATCTTTTGATCAAGCAACAAATCCATACCACATTGAGATACGTTTGCTCCAGAGAGTGTTGGGGGCAAATTCATTATGGTCGGCTGGTTGGATAAGTAGAGAAGAACACAGGGTTGTGAGTCAGCGAAACGGGAAGGAAGAAAATGTAGGTTCGATTTTTGTCACTGAAAGAGGGATTGCATTCTCCTAAAAAAGACAGGTCCGAATTATGGGATGCAAGTGCGATGGAGAAAGAATAGAAATGTGAGGTGAGAAGATTCAACTACCTTTATTTGGCTTGGGGTACTCTCCATAGCATTCCTCAAGGGTTGGAATGTCGTCGAGAATAGTGATGTCGTTGCCGTCGTTCTTTTGTTGCTTTCCCATTCTGGTTGGTTGTGAATGTGTCGTTGGTGTGGTTGTGGGTGAAGAGAGTGAATGGAGTAGAGTTCTTTTGGGCAAGAGACGCAGGTGGTCGTGACTGTCTTGCTCGCGCAACGCGTGAAGAGGAGAGTGAGAAGAAAGAGGAGCCGTCGAGAGACCTAAGACGGTTGCGATGATGTGTGAGAGAGTTTTGATATCAAGAAAGAAGCGAACACGACTTGGTCAACATGACGAAAGATGTGATCTTACCTCTATTTGGCTTTGTTTGCATTGCTGCACCACGAAGAGCCACGGCTGCTGCACCACGAACTGCCGCTACAATTCCCATCGTTGTCCACAGTTGTGTTGTGAAAAGGTGAACAAGCAAAGAAGAACAAAAAGGAGATGGGTGAAAAAAAGATTGGGCAGTGTTTTTATCTTGTGCAACAGATAAAAAAAGGAGGAGGGGTGAACAGTAGGGCAGTGAGAGTGACCTTCTCAGATCCAAGTGTCGACTCTCAGAAGCCTCTCAGCGATATACACCTACTCTCCTTTCAACAAACTCACTACATGTAGTCCATAGGTTGTGACATCTTACACCATACTTAACAAGGTCAGTTTTCCAAATAGTCCTCATGTGCTCAATCTCAACATCTCCACCATGAAGCCCAGGCGCATATTTCAGTACCGCCTCCTTGAGGTACAACTAGATGTCGTACCTCGTCCCCCGGAAATTCAAGGCAGCCATATCAAAGTCCCCAAGACAAAACAACCTTTTGGCTTCTCGCTTGGCCAACTTGGGAACAACATCCATCCCGCGGCAAAGGTACGGGGCAGTAAACTTGGGTAACGGCTCTGGTTTTTCTCGGTAGTGGTCGCGTCGGCATTTCAAGCACAACCAGGCTCTTGTCGTCACCATGATATCGTTGAAGGTAGCAGTGGCAGTCGTGGTGTCGATGGATGCGGTAGCATAGGCGGTGGTGGTAATGGGTGCGAAGGTAGTTGTAAAGGTGAGAGCTGATACTGATCCTCGGTGTCGAGGTGTAGTGTCTGAGAGGGAAGTGACTATGGCAGCGGTCGCATATGTCTCCGGAGGCTTGATGAACAAGAGCAAAAAAAGTCGTATTCATTCAATGATATTCGCTCGTTCCTCGGTGCAAAGTGTACTTTCTCATTTTGTTCCCTTTCTTCTTTTCTTACCTCCTCCACCACCCTTAGCATTCAGCAAGCTGGAGTCTTAAAGACGCATGTCCTGAACAACCAGACGATGGGGCAGGTAGGGTCGCAGAGCGTATTCTTCTTTGACCCTTTGTTCAACCTAGGTGTTCCTCTCTCTGTTCGAGGCAGTGTGATATGGTTTGAGAGAAAGGTCAACGGTGGAGGCGTATCCTACCGTGTTGAATCGAGAGGGCGTGAAGAATCAGGGTGCCAGGAGACGTTGAGGTGGGGGTGGAAAGTGAGAAAGAAAAGTACATTACCATTGTTGTCCTTTCTTTGCCTTTGTCCATGTCTTTGTCCATGCCCATGCGCTTCCTAAGTTCCAAAGTGGTATATAAAGGTTGCAAAAGGAAGAAAGAGGGGTCAAATGGTTGTCCTTGTTTGCCTTTTATACGAAAAACAAGCACACCTTTACACCCCAATGGTATTCTTTGTTATGACAAGAAAAGCCTTTTTATTCAACGAAAGAACAATGGCTATGAAAAAGAGAATAATCAACAGGCATGCTGCCATGTGTGAATTTGACAGAAATGAGGCTTGGTCAAGTTCGCTCTGAAGGACCGTTGCACTCAAACGAAAGAAAAAAAAAGAGTATGGAAGTATAGTACAATGTCTTTGCCCAAAGCATTAATGCTATCAGGATGAATGGACGGGGAAAGGGTGAAGTAGTGTCAGACGTAGCCAATTAGATATAAACGAACATTCACCTGGTCTTCGCACTAGCGTCACAATCAAGGCATTACCTGGCCAGAGGAGCACTTGCAGCTCTTGTCACAATGGCAGTCGGCGCCAGACTTGCCCTCGCAGGGGCACGCACCCTTGGCACAACCGCACCCATGACCGGAAGCGCACTTGCAATCCTTACCACACTTGCACTCTCCACCAGTCGATCCTTCACAAGGACATGCCCCCTTGGCACATCCACAACCTTGCTTCTGACCACAATGGCAGGGCTTCGCGCAGGTACACTTGCCTCCGCTCTTGCAGGTGCATTTGGCTCCTTCAGAGGGAGCGCTGCCGGGAGCAGAGGAAGAGGTCATCTCGGTCTTTCCGCATTGGCATTGTTGACCACATCCTTGAGGGTGGATTGTAGGTTATGAAGGAGAGGGGGAAAGGGAGTAGGGGAGAAAGGGGAAGAGTAGTTAGTAAGAGGATGAACTACAAATCAATGGGTGTGAGAAAAAAATGGAATTGACGACAAATGACGCGAGCACGCAGAAAATTAAATGCGACTGGAAAAGAGAGAGAAAGTGTGTTTGTTCAAGTCAAGACACTCATAGAAGAGTGATGAGGAATGAACTTCTGTTCATCCTCCATGGGCGCATTCATCACATTCCGAATTTTGTGCTACTCGAAGAGGAGGTCACCATAAAGGCAGGGTCACCCCCGGCGGAGCAAAAGGCGAGCGCGTGGGAAGGACAAGCATGCATATCGGAAACACAAACATGTCGGCGGAGTAGAGTGCAGAAAAGAAGGCACTTACCACAGTTGCTGCCGCAGGTACAGGCGCTGTTTCCACAAGGGTTCATGATGAAATGGTATGGTTGAGGGTAGAGGTTTTTGTTGTTATTTGGCTTGATAAGTTGTAGATGATGCTGGTTTCGAACAAAAAAAAGGAAGGAGAAAGTATGAATAGAGTGAAGGAAGACAAGAATCAGCGCGCTTTTATGAGGTTCCATCCTCACCCCCTATTCTCTATCTTCCCCTCTCTTTCGTGAATGAACAATTAAGAAGAAACACTTGTTTACACGTCATTCATCTGTCAAAGGCGGTGTGCGCCATTTTTTCTATTTGACAAATTGTCTGATACTTTCGCGCATTACTTTGGGATAAGTGCGAACCACCTACACCTGATTTGTTTCTGAGAAGAGTAGAAATGGCGCGTGAATCACAGGGGGAAGAGAGTGAGCGAGAAAGAGAGAAAACAACTCCAATTTCTTTGTTCGACATGGTCCTTGTTCTCACCCCCACTCGTAATATACATGTACTCTACCTTGATAAACGACGCACCTGCATTGCTCTCTTCTTGTACATGTACCATGTCTTTCTTCTTTTTGTTTCACAATATGTACAAAGGAACGAAGGAAAGAAGGAAAAAACAAAACGAAGAGAAGGACGCGACGATCCACAAAGCAAGCTCTACAGCGTTCGGACTGGGTTGACTTGTACCCTCTGGCGATGAAGAAAGGGGTGTTGTTGTGTTGTTGTGTTGTTGTGTTGTGGCAGTAGATGTTACATCGTTAAATCAGGCCTCACGTGAATGACAACTAACAAGATCTCCCAGCCTGCCCTGAACTTGTGAACTTGTTCGCCACCATGTCTCTTTTTTATTTACCTTCCTCGCCGAAGCCATGACGAACAAAGACAAAAAGTTCATCGACCCCAAGGAAGTGATCCACACCTTGGACGGGAAGATCGACCTCTGTACGCCCCTTCTCTCTCTCTCTCGCACATTCACTCCCAGCTTCATTGGTCCTTACGCCGGCCACGAGCGTGTGAATGGCATTCCGCACCTTGACATAAGGACATCTCTTCCAGCATGAACTGACCAACACCATTCCTTTTCCCTTGTGACATATGACAATCGATGGATTCGAATAACCAACCTCTCAGTTAAGACAATCCTGGCTCGGAAGGACCCCACGGCTCAGATTCCTGTCCTATCCAGCCGCTCTCAACCGGCAGCAACGCCAGGCGGCGGTACCAACCTTGTTGATGTCACCAAAGCGGAGGCGTTGTTGTCTTCGCCCAGTTCATCCCGGTCACAGCATAGAAAACGAGTGCCCTACGCCAAGACTAGCGCGACTGATGCACCAGCTGTCGCCACGACAACCATCTCTTCTATAGAAAAATCGGTTACCTCGACCCAGTCGACGCCTGCGGGGGGGAAAATGCAATGGTCAGCTGTGTTTGTAAAGTACTGCAATAACCCTCTCACTATACCCGAAAACTTGAGGCACTGGCACGACGATGGCCATATTATCATCATGGATGCCTATCCCAAGGTGAGTCTTTGCTTCCTCACGGTCTTGATTGCAATTGGTAAAATGCTGAATCTGTAACGGAAAAGCTTATAATTTTCATTTTCTTCAACTTGTAGGCGAAGGTGCATATGCTTGTGTTACCCAGAAAGCCGGTGGACAAGGTGACGGACTTGGTCGGCGAAGCAGGAATCAGGACGGTGGAGGGGTTGATCCGCGTGGCAACCACTCTTATGAGGACGTACGTTGTGTCCTTCCTCCTTCCCTTGAAAGTTCAATGTCCGTGAAGGACAGCGTATCATTGAGTTCTGACCCTGTGATATCTTTGATCATTTTTAATTGCTAGTTTGAAGGCAGAGAACGCCTATCTGGACTTCAAGATGGGCTTCCACGCCATTCCCAGTATTAGGTTCGTCGGTGCTCTTCCTCTCAACGCAGAAATAATTCGTTATAAATCAAGATCCGTTCTTCTCTGAAAGCAGTAAGGAGAAGAAAGCATTAACCAATTATTTATTCATTGAATTATGACTACTACTAGCCAATTACATCTCCACGTCATCTCTCAGGACTTTTGCTCGCCATATCTGAAGAACGCGCAACACTGGAATTCGTTCAACACTAGATTCTTCATCTCTCCAGAAGAGGTGATCAAGACCATTCAGGAGAAGGGGTCATTCCAGAAGACGGCGGAGGAGTTGAACACGTACAGGAGAATGAAGAAGATTGCGATGGTGTGTAACCAGTGCTCGCAGGTTATAAAGTCTGTTCCTATGCTGCGCCATCATTTGAGCGACCACTTTACGCACAAGGTCAAGGCTCTGACGAGGATGTAGTATCTTACTCGTCGCGTCGCTGAGTGAAATGGACAATGGGCAACAATCAAACAACAACCAACCAACCAACCAACCCTCCCAACAAGCAGGAACCAACAAAAGTCAACACTTGTATCAACATATGTATTCTAGGCCCACCTGTCCACAGCACTTTTTCTATGAATCACAGCCACTTTTTCTTCGACAACTTGCTGCCACACTTATTGGAAACCTTGCTTGCTTGGGTCAATGCTCTTATGGCTTGTCCTGTAAGTAGAATGTGGTTTGTATGGATATGGATGCGCATAGGACTTGTACGCGTCATGGCTTAACCGTTGGAGGGAGACAGAAGTGTGAGAGACAGGGAGAGAGGGCTAACTTGAGAGGGAAGAAAGGAACGATAAGAGAAAGCCGACTCCAGAAAAATAAGAACAGGTTGAGAAGAGGATGTAACCAGGCACACCCCGAATGAATGAGTTGGTTATGTATGCATGGGACGGAGGAAGTATAGATTCTGACAGCGGGTTGATTCTGCGCTAATGAGGAGAATCGTCCGAGACCGCATCTACACCGAAGGAAAGAGGAAGAGTGTGTGTTTGTGAAGGGTTTAGGAAGAAGTGGGAATAGATAAAGAGAGCGAGCGAGAGAGAGAGAGAGGTATTTATACTGTGTACAGTGAATGCGATTGGTCCTCTGAAGAGTACGCGACAAAATCTTGTCCCCCTTCCCTAGCTAATAAAGACCGAGACCCAACGAGGTCTCCATGGTGGCATGGACGACATCTGGCCTCAGTTTCTGGAAGTACTCCCTCAGTTCTGCCCGACGGACATTGTACTCAACATACGGCATCGTATCCACATGGAGCCCACGCATAACCTTCAGCTTGGGCCAATTCACCGCCATCCAGTCCAGTTCCGCCTTTCCAATCCTATGGTCCAATCCCTCAAACCCAAACATCTCCAGATCCTTCAGCCCCGCCAGTCGTTCCAGTCCAGACTCGAGCGACAACTCCAAGGTGTTGGGGATGGGCCCATCGTACTGCAAGTACTTGACCCCATCGACTGTATAATAAGGGGGCTCGTCCAACTGATAGAGACGATAGTTCCTGTACTCGTGCCCAAAGCAGAGTGTCTTGAGTGAAGTCCATTGTCCGACTCGGCCGAGGATCGCTTGCTGATGTTCCCGACTCTCCACAAGCCGCTCCACTGCAAGCCGCTCTTCACCCTCGAGGGAGTCCCTACTACAAAGTCGCCCCGAGGCTACAAGAGAATCCACCACCCTCTGCTCCTCTACAGCCAGACGGTTGACCCCTACAATCTGGCATCGGAACACCGTCATTTGAGCGCACACCCACGGTCTCACCAATATACTCTGTACCTCCATCTTGTGATGAATCGCGTCCAGTTCTTCCAGCTCGAGACAGGTCTCCAGCATCTGGCACACAGAATCGGGCTGTAGCTGAACCCCGTCAACGGGGTGGATAGAAAGCCCGTCATAGGCCTGACGAAACACCCTCAGCTGCCTGCAGTGCTTCCCTGCGGCCTTGGCGATTTCCATGCTATCCCTATCAACAACAAGCGTTGTCAGACACGGCAGCCGGGGAATCAACAGCATCGCCGCCCAATAGTCCTCGAAGGATAACGGGGGAGAGATGTGGCTGAAATAAAGTTCCTTTAGCTGACTCGGCGTGCTCTTCATGAGCCTACCAAGCTCGGTGCCCATCCAGCCGTCCAGATAGAATGTCCCAATCGTCAGCGAGACAAGACCCGGAAGATTTTCCAACAGATTGTGCATGGTTCCGCTGCCCACCGTCGCCTTGTGCAGGTCAAGCCGCTCAAGTTGATGGGGCGTTGGCAGGAGGTAGTCGGATCCGCCCGATGTCAGACTCGTGCTAAAAGATCGCAGCTTTGGAAGGGCAATTAAAATCTCGAAGAGGTCAAGATGGTCTGGGCTGTAGTCGAGCTCCTCCAGGTCATGCAGGACCGCCAGACTGGCGCGGGAAAAGGATGAAGGAACTATGGCCAGTTCAGAGATGTTCTTGCACAGAACCAACTGCCGCAGCCCTGCATTCTGTCGAACCAGCAGCCAAATATGCTGGACCAGATTCCAGCCATCTAACAGACGCGCCTGTCTACCCAAGTCGCCTTGGCCTTGGCCTCGATTCGCAGGGAGGATCGATTGGAGGTGTTCCTCAAAGACGGGCGAAATCAACGGTCCAGGTATCATCCCTCCTTGTTCCTCCCCGGAAGGATCGTTGTAGGGACGGCGGAGGTCCAGGAACCTGATACTGAGCGAACATAGGTTCGTGCAGGTTTCTGCGCTGCTGGCGGCGGCAATAAGGTAAGGGCTGGACACGTCCAGTTCGCGGATGTGGTGTCCATACTTGACAAATAGGTCGCGAAGCCGCTGGTCGTCGGCCTCTGTCCAAGTGTCAGACGTGTTGTCTTGCTTCAGCACCTTGTGCCAGCTGTAGGAGTGGTCGCAGATGGCACTCCAGAGTCGAGGGATGAGGGGAGGCTTCCACGAGGATGCAAGCTGGATGCAGACAAGGAGCTGCGGTGGGTCGAGGTAGTCTCCGACATTGCGGATGATCTCCCATGGGAGAGGGCGGGCCATTGTGCGATGTTTTGTGGTGAGGGGGAGAGAGGCGAGAGGAAGTGTATGTGTTTGTCTGTGTGAAAGGAAACATGGCGGCGTGCCGAAGCTCTGATCCCATCCACCTCGTCCGCTAAAATGCACATTTTGCTAACGAGAGGCTGGGACACAATCTCCCCTTTTTTGGACGAAGGGAGTTTCTTTAATGAAAGGGGAGATTGTGTCCCAGCCTCTCGTGAGCAAAATGTGCATTTTAGCGGACGAGGTGACCGGATGGGTTCAGAGCTTCCAGGAGATGGCTGGGTTTGAGAAACAGTCCCTCATGAGAAGGTGGTGGGATGTCACGGGGTTAAAGATTTGTGGTATTCGAGAGGGGCTGATCTGCCGAGTGACTCCTGCCAACACCCTCAGGTGTATTCGAACTAGGGGAAGGGATAACGGACTCTTGATCTCCAGAGCCCGTCATAGCTGATAGCTGGGATGAAAAAGGGAAAAAGTGTGTGTGTGTATAACTCGCTAGACGCGTAAAAGAAGAAAAGAAGAACGGCAATAACCTCTGACCCTGCTCGGATATCAAGAAAAAAAGGTACTTTATTGTTAGAACTACACTATGTCAGACGCACTCGTCAATACTGCTAGGAAAAGGAACAGCATTGCGCATACCTGCTCGGATATCACCTTCCTCTTTCCTATTATTTCACCCCCCACACCCTCACTCACATACGCACCCGCGCACACCTTCATTCATTCCTCTTCCCTAACACACGTGTATGCTCTCAGACCCCAACGACCTCACCACTGTTCACTCTTCACATCAGCTTTCACGCCCACACACACACGCATCCACCTCTTACCAATATCACCATTCTCCTCCAAAGATGGTGACAATCCAAATCCAGGTCCTACTCTAAGTAGGGTCACGAGAGGTATAGACCTTACACCCTCTCTCTCGTTCTTCACTATCCATTCCGGACGTGCTAGCCCCATTTCTTGTATTCATTCAGCTTGAAGAGAGCGAGAGGGTAACGGCGAGGAGATCACCAAGCGAATGGACTATGGACTCAACACGGACTAGAAAAGGAAGGACGCCCGATTGCTGCTCTACGCGTTCTTGGTTGCTAGACTGCCAAAATAACCTCGCCAAAAAATGGTGGCAAAGCGAATACCGAAAAACAAAAAAGTGATACAAATAAAAATGGATCAATGGCGATCCAGGGGTTCGAAGGGAAGGGGTTGGCCGATGAAGAAGGTACAAGAGAGCAACGAGTACTTTTTATTCTTGCTAGTTGTTGTTTTCTTTCTTCCCCTTCCTTTCCTTCATATCACTCCTTCTCACTCTCATGCCCTGTACTTCCTACCTCTACCCCCACGGTCACTCGGACTTCTCTGGTTGCCGCTATCTCTATCTTTTATGTCGCTCCTAACAGCACTCTAGATCGCCTTCTTTCTGTGCACTCGCACTGGCCACGCTCCATCCCACACTCTCACAACAACCACGAAACAGATCTAACCTAAAATCCTTTTTTTCCATTTCCATTTTACATACCCGAATGAGTAGCTTGTGAGTTTGCTCGTTCTTCGTCCCTGTCCCGCGAATTGTCGTTAAATCCCAACAGCGACTCGAATCCATCCTGCCCTACCTTCCCATACCCCCAGCCCTATGCTCAGCACTCACCTTCTCGACCGAGCCCAATGATGACATCATCCCCGAACATTGCTCAACCGTCGTCTTCAAGGGCAGCAGCAACAGTCCATCGCCCAAGCGGGCCTAGTACTACAAAGATAGTCAATCCAACTACTACTCCACCGGCGCGACAATAAAGTCAGGAGCGGGAGCTCTTGTCAAGTCATCTTCCCTCGACTCCTCTGCAACCTTGACTTCGTCCACGCCATCGTCATCGATAGCACTTCAGTGGTACGCGGACCCCTACGAATACCCCTCGACGACCTCTTGTATCAAGATCTCACTCAACCCCAAGGCTTCCTTCCGCTTTCTCTGCCTTCGGTTTTCCGTAAACAGAGCGAAGGGTTCTGTGACAATTTTTATTATCGCCAACACCCTTCCTACGGCGGTGCCAATAACAGTTCTTACTATCATAACCTCCACAACAAGAATGGTGTGCCTCCCCGTACCACCCCGGTCTTGTTTACCTTTCCATTTCCTTCGTACGACGAGCATTTTCCATCGAAGGTTCAGGTGAGGGGGTCGTTTGATGATTGGCAGAGGGATACGCCGCTGTTGGTCAAGAATGAGCAGGAGGGTCGGTTTAAGGCTGAGATTCTGGTCGATCTTGAGAGGCTACCTGAGGCTTATCAGGAGGAGACTTACAGCAGTGCTGGTGGTGATGGCGAAGCTGTTGCAGCGAAGAGCGATGCCGATGGAGAGTTGCCGCCTGGTGCCAAGTTGAGACACAAGTTGATCTATAAGTTTGTGTTGGATGGTCACCAGTGGGTCACGGAAGCGGGTCAGTCGTTAGAGAGATTGCAGCACCGCCCATCGCCTCCTCTGACCTCTCGGATGACTCACCCGCACACTGTCCTCCATTCTCCAGCAACAGTCCCCTCTTTCGTTCGGGTCCAAGTCAGCACACCCGCCCGCCATGAATTATGGCGATCCGAGTCGCGACTTTATGGCGCAGGGTGCTCTCCCGACGACGGCGCTCTCGACTTCGGTGCCACAACTGCCCGCGATGACGACGTTGGCGTTGTCAACTAAGAAAAAGACGACAGGGTTCTGGAAGAAGATTAAGAAAGTCCTCGCGTGGACCGACCGAGAGAGGAGGAAGAGAGGTGGTGATGGTGATAGTGCAGGAGGAGATGTGAGGAAGGAGAAGAGGAAGAGGAGAATGGGTGTAAGAAGATGAGTAAGATGGAGGTGAAGACACATAAGAGCAATGAAAAAGTAGTTGTAACGACACTCTCTCTTTGTAATATATCAAAAATACCTTCGAAGAAGAAAGAAAAGAACCTCAGTCAAGCTTTCTTTGTTGTTGCACGTTGACAGTTGTCTCTCTTTTTCTTTAGCGACGCGAAAAGAGGGCAGCGAGATATCCAAGATTCAGAGCCACCATGGAAAAATGCAGGGTTCAAGACAAAACCGCAATACTTGACTTTGAAAGAATGACGACCATGGCTCTGCAGTGGGCTGATAATCGGTCTCTGACAACCAAAAAAAAAAAACACATTTTGACCGTACAGTATCAGCATGTGAAAAGTAGTATTTTTCGACCATGTATTCCTGTTGAAGCGTCGCCGCGGGTAACTAACTAGTCCTGATCCCGGTACAGTCGGAGTTTGTGGATGAACCAGTATATCATAAAATCGATCATCGTAAAAGTGGGCTTTTGTGTTGAAAAAAGAATGTTCTCTTCCTTCTACCCGATAGGCAAGAGCTAGTTATTTTATCTATTCTTCCTTCCTTTCATTCTCTCTTGTCCTCGCCCTCCTTCCTCTGCCTTCAACTTTTGTTCCTACTCTCCTTCTTTCTTCTCCTTACTTTCTCTTCTTCTTTTTGTCGTCGTTCCTCATCGCTATTTCTTTCCCTCCTCTTCCTTTCTTCCTCATATCTCTTCCTCGTCGTCCTCGTCGTCCTCATCACCCATTCCTTTCTTGACACACTCGTCACCCTCTCTTCCCTCCCAACTACACTACACATGGGACCCATTCTTCGGATCAAGACCAAGCGGATAGCTTTCATTCTCGTCTTTCTCGCCACCATTGCTGCCCTTCTAGGTCCTTACATCTTTGTCCACTTCCCAAGGACATGTATACCTTACGTTGACCCGATTCACCAAACAGGGCGGCCTATCTCTTCTTCACTCTCAACAGCAACGGCGACAGACAACAACTACAATAACAATCATGGATACCATGACCCTCGGATCATCATCCTCTCGGGTGAACTCTGCACGAACCCGGACCCAATCTCGAAATGTAGACAACTCGGTAAAGTCTCCCACCACAACCGTCGAGAATACATCGCTCATCAGCAAGGCCGATACGACCTCTGGGATACCGAGACCACCCGTTATTTCGAGGAGGTCATAGCCGTCGGTGCCGTCCCTGCCTGGGCCAAGATAAAGATGATCAAGGATGAACTCGCCAAGAATGAACACGACTGGATCTTTTGGATGGATACGGATGCCCTGATTGCCAACATGGATATCCGACTGGAACAGTTTATCGATAACCGTCATTCACTCATCATCACCAAGGATTGGTATTGCCTCAACGCCGGCGTGTTTTTGATCAAGAACGATGACTGGTCCCGAGAGTTTATCGACCTGGTCTGGTCCAAAATGGGGCCTTATGATCACGAACAGGACTGGATGATTGGGACTTTGGAAACGCATCCAGAGTTGAAGGAGAAAGAAAAAGTCAAGTATTTGCCGCAGTGCAGTTTCAACTCGTATTGGAACATGAAGAAACTCTACCAGATGTTCCGACCTGGCGATTTTATGGTCCATTGGGGGGCTTTCAACTGGGATGTACAGTCGTTCGAGGATTGGCAACAGCTTCGATACTTCAAGATGCCGTCACTCCGGTCAGGATAAAAGCTTCCACCCCTCTCCCTCACACCATGGTCGTTCTCCTCCATCCTATTCCTTATTTTCTTCCTAACTTCGTCTATATAGTGTCGTATAAAACAAGAATAACACGAACAGAAACAAATGAGGGGTGTATTTTTATTTTAACGAAGAGACATATAATCCTCTGTCCCTTGTAATAAACGCCGACATCTCTTTTCCCCTCTCATCATTCCATTTTACTGTCTACTCTACCATCCAAACACGTCGTCCTAACGAGCGGAAGACAACCAAGGATTTAAAGTGGGAGAAAAAAAAACAAGAGTGCGCCGCGTGCAAACTTTAATTTTTTTTTGTACTCAATTTTACTCTTTATCCAACTACAGCCCACCAGTTGCAGTTCTGGTCAGGGACCTGGCACTGCACATCAATTGTCGCCGCTCTTCGCAGCTTAAACGGAAGACAAAACAAAATTAGATGCGAATAAAGGGGGGATTTTTCCCATTTTCTCTGTCATTGACAACCTCTTCCTTCCCAAACAGACTCTCCAACAACCGCTCGTCAGCAGCGGGCGGGTCTTTGATCGCGCCAGGGCAAGTTTCATCCTCATATGTGGCTAGCGACGTGCCACACAGGCAGAAACCATGACGGTTGATGTAACCGAATCCCTGACTCCAGACACCTCGGGGGCGGTGTACTTGGATGTCTTGTCCTGGGCAGAGATAGCCTGAGTCTGCTCCTACGCGATTGTCGGGGGTGCACCGGGGTTTCCATATCAACTCCGAGGCCTGCGTCTTCGAGTAGCCAACAAACTTGTACAGGACAGTCTTGGCGATGGACATTGGGGTCCAGAAGACCGCGGACCATTTATTCAACATATTCTTGGGAGTGACACCGCGAAGGAGATCCGACACGTTCCACTTGGGGGGTTCTCGTCGCGATCGGGGGAGCAGGACTACCGCTGCGCACGGCTCGAGCTCCACCGATGGAAGAGAATCCTCGTACATGATCCGCATACGAGAGGGTCGCTAGTGTATGGGTACTGTTCTCGGCACTTGATGACCTTTTGTGAACCGCACGTTTGTGTTCCCTGTTTCCTGGCTGCATTGTAGCTGTTTGTCCCCCGCACGCACGAACAAAAAAGGGTTTTTTTTCTCTCCCTTTCTTACTCAACAAACTTGACCCGTTGACAAATATGGATTCACTCGTCCGTATCGCTTGTGGAGGGCAAGGGCAAAAAATGAAAAAAGACCAAAAAGCAGAATTCCGGGTTTGAACCGGAGACCTGCCGATCTGCAGTCGGCTGCTCTACCGCTGAGCTAATCCTGCATCTGTCAATTGTAATTTCATTATTTTACTTATTGTGCATCACAGCACTTTAACGTTACGTCACCGTAATATTAATAATCGTACACGCAACTATAGTTGGTGGCGTCGGAGTCAGGCTTTAGGCGTACTCCGCGACGATCGCGTGGGAGCAGACCCAGGGTATCTCTGCCAAGAACAAGACATCCAAGTACACAGGCCCCGAGGTGACTGGAGTCGAGGATACGGTTACATCACGCACGATGGTTTCTGTCCGTGTGGCGCTTCGCTATCCACACATGATGAAGGAAGGTGCCCTGGAGCGACCAAGGACCACGCGCTGCTGACGAGCGGTTGTTGGAGAGTTTGTTAGGAAGGAGGAGGTTGTCAATGATGGAGAGGATGGGAAGAATCCCCTTCATTCGTACCTAGTTTTATTTTCTTCCGTTTAAGTTGTGAAGAGCAGCGACAATTGTTGCGCAGAGCCAGGTTCCGGATCGGACTGCGACTGAAGAGTTTGGTCTGTACTGTAGTCCCCTTTTACTTCCAAATGACTTTTCTATGCTGTTTGTTAGAGAGATATAATTGTGTACAAAAAAAAAAAAAAAAAGGCACAGGGCGTTGCACACTTGTGCATGAATAGAGGTGGCGTCGTCCACTTGAAAACGACACTGAAGAAGTACTTTGACTATCTCCTGGTTTTCAGATGGAGGTGTTTTTTAGGGAGTAGTAGCCTTGGTGTTTTCTTCCGTTTCTGGCATGAAGAGCACCAGCGATTGTTGCGCTGAGCCAGTGTTAACAGAACAGGACTGTAACTAGGGGATGGCAAACTGGGATGGGGTCTATTTTAATAGTTCTTTATTCTTGGATTACCCAGCACGAGCTGTTGAAATATCATTAAAAAAAAAAGGCGCAGGGAAGTAGGGATTCTTTCCATCTTTCCTTTCCCAAACCTCTACCCTCTTTACCCCCTTCAGGCCCACGATGCCAATGACGGCCAAACGAGCATACTCAGCAAAGCTGCATCCCATGGACATCCCCGAGATACGGAACCTTGTCATCTCTAATCTTTCCTCAACAACCAACAGCAGGACCAACATCCTCTCATGCTCATGCGTCTCCAAAGCTTGGCTACAGACTTGCCTCCCCTACCTCTGGTATAAACTCGACTTGCGCAAATTCAACAAACATCAACTGCACTTACGCTACCAAGGGATCATCAACAACGCACATCTGATTCGACATCTCAGTCTGGAGCACATGCAGTTCTATGAATTGCACCCACACCTCCAAGACTGTGTCCTGCCGTATTGTCGGGGGTTACGGAGGATCGAATTTACAGAGACTTGGAATTCGGTGGATGACAGCGGGGTTGCGAAGGATCGCTCGGACAAGGACAGGCTGCGGTTGAGAGAATGGGCAGATATCGCGGCGCTGGTACAACAGAATCCAGGGTTACAGGAATTTTGGATCGAGAACTCGAATGTCTGGACGCCGCCTGTTGCATTCTGGAAAGCCTTGGCAGAGGATATTCCCGCGTTGCGTTCTCTCCAGATCTTGCGTGCTACCGTTGGGCAGGTCGGGATCAGCAGTGCCGGAAGCAATATCAGCTACAGTGTCGGTGGCAACACAAGCAACAGCAGCGCCGCTGGGAGCAGTAACTCTAGTGACGGCAGTGAGCCCGAAGAAGATATGATTCTAGACCTTTTTCTGTCTATTTGCGACCGTGTCGAGGAACTGCATCTTGACGCCGTGCTGTTCACCGGAGTCAAGACCGAGCGCTGGATCAATGGCCCGACATTCTCTCACCTCCAGAAGCTGACGTACTTTGGGCGGTCCACCATGCAGTTCGAACTCTTTTACAAGGCCCTGGATGCACCTGGACTACGAGAACTCACCTGGGGATCACCGTACAGAGCCATGGTACAGCCCACCATCATTGCGCTCATTTTGACTCCCGAGATTGTGAAACGACGCCTGGCACTGGAGGTATTGGATCTGCAGGAGGTGATGCCCTTTGAGGATCGAGAGCTTCAACTGATTCTCATGTCGCTCTCACGGCCGCTTCTCGCGCTTCGGGTCAAGGATTCCGGGTTTGGTATACAGGCTCTGGAGGCGTTACTGCGACCGCGGCCTTCGTGGACTCAGTGGGGCGCTGGCAGCGGATTCGCAGGAGAGCTGATGGCATGTCATGGATCTACCATCCACACCTTGAACCTGCAAGGGTGTATCACGGTGACCAGCGCGATGGCGCAGAGGCTCTTGCAGAGTTGTCCCCAGCTTGAGGTTTTTGCCGCATGGGAGATCAAGGCGGTTGATATTTTGCATGCGCAGACCGAGAACGGGGCGTGGTATGGCCGTGAGCAGATAAGACCAGCTTGGGCGTGCAGGAAGCTGAAACAATTGGAGGTGTTTATTTCGGTATTCACATCTCTTCAAGAAGTTTGGCGACAAGAAACAACTGGACAAGAGTACATGACCTCCCCTTTTGAATCGACCACGACCTCGACGGCGACGTCTTCACCATTTTTGTCAGCAGCAGAATTGGAATGGAGTTCTAATGGACTTGAATCGTCATCGTCATTCTTGTCCATGCGTGCTCCGTCACCACCACCTCCCCTCTTAGAAGCAGAACAACGGCTCCACAGAGCGGTCTACCGAGAACTTGCGCAGCTGACAGGACTCGAAAAGTTGGAGATCGGTAAATGGCGGTTGGCGACCGAGTACCATCAGAACCCGGACGAGGAACAAGGACTGGATTTGCGATTGGACTCTGGACTTGATGCCCTAGCGGGGCTGACGCGGCTGCGGGAGTTGGATTTCAGGAACACGCCGCAGTATTTGGGCGAGCAGGATGTTATTTGGATGGCGGAGCACTTTTGTGGGATGAGTGAGAGTGGTGGAGTGGGGCTCAGAGGCAGGTTTTCGGGAAATCATAATTGGCATCGGAAGCTGGAAGTGCTGTTCAAGAATGTTCAGCAGCGAGGAATGTCTTCGGTTGCAAAGCGTAGTTAGCAGTTCAATTTGAGCAGGGAAAAGAACAGGGTAGAAATAAAAAGCAGTCAAAGAAATCAATCGTGGGCGAAATGAGACATACCAAATCATATTGGCGGCTGTTGATTAACAAGTGGAAGGAAAGAGAGTGAACACACACTGTTTTTTTTTGCCTCAGGATGTTCGGGGTATAAACGTACGTGTGCTTAATATTCCGTATGTAGTTGCAAAAAAGTGGTGTATTATCTTATTGTTGGTGGTTATGAAGGGATGATGATGGTATGCATTGCTCACTCGAAATGGCCTTGCTGCCCCTCTTCTTGGACCATCTTCCTCCCTGATTGGCTAGGGCATATATTGTTCACTTGGACTATGGAGCAACGAGCATACGCCATGGTATGTCATGGTAACAGGTATGTCTGCGCTCTTAATTTGTTCTAAATGCATTGTCCCTCATTCGCGTCCAAAGGTATCACGAATTGAAAATTAGTAACTCCCCAATCAGATCTTGCAGACAAATTTTTCTCGAGTGGCAAGAAAATGTTTCATTTTGCTGCTTACATCGCTCGTCCTACACGCAACTCCTGTAGCATCGGTATATTCCTTTCTTGTTTTCTCTTTTCCCTTCTTCTCTTCGCCCTTTTGCTGCTATCTTGCTACCATCTCCCTCCTGCTGACTCTCATTCTCCACTCGTCGTCGTTACCTTCTTTCTCTCTTTCGCCTCTTTTTATTTGTTTATGGCCAACGTGTGTGTCCCGACATCGTCTCTTTTATTCCGCCTAATTGCTCGTATGACTCCTACTTCAAACGGCGGCCATCCACTTTGATTCAACATCCCTTGTACAGACATCTTTGTAAATGCTCCTTTCTACCCTTTCATACTTGATCTTTTTTTCCTACCACGATCGACTGTACATATAATATACAGTATTTTGGCTTACTTATTACAACTTCACCAATCAGGAACCAGCAACCAGCAACCAGCAAAAAGAAAAACATCAAACATCAACCAACAACTCAACAACAGTAAAACTACTTAAAGCATGGACGGTAAAAACCGGCGCCCGCGCGGAGACTCCAACATGCAGTCATATAGGCCCAACAACCAGTCGTCATCGACCCCCTTGCGTGCAGCCATTGCTCGTCCCGAGAACAAAGAGTTCAATGTTGCCGGCCATGATTTCGGTGGACTTCCTTTAGGTAATCAACATACATTCAGTATGGCACCGTACGTTTCCCCAAATTTCGCGTGGCATTTATTTTTAGTGGCTTGTCCAGTTCATCAGCTCCCACTTCGTTTTTCTTCCTTGTTCGAAACACACTCATCATCAATATCACAGACAAGACAGTCAAGGACGCGATCAAGTCAGGAAAGAAAGCCCCGGAGCTCATCAATGAGGCACATGAAAACCTGGAGCGCCATGTCGACGTTCCCCTTAAAAAGCCCACTAAAACAGTCTTCAGCTCCCTGGGAGGCGGTCGCAATGCTTCCTCGACCGAGGTCGGTTGGGGTGGTCCCGAGGGCGGCAAGCGCAGAGATGACACCCCAAAGAACTTTGTCTATTGTGACGAGGACTTTGTCTACCGTAACGAGGACTTTCCCCCTCCAACTAGTGCCAGCGATTCGTAAGTTGTAATTGGGTTGCGATGGTGGTGTTATTTTAATTGCTCAATTTTTTTAAACACCTGTCGTATTCTTTTGTGATACTCGCAATGATAGTTCCCTTTCAGTCCTTTCTGCTTCTAAGCCAAAGGAGAGTGCTCCTTCTCCTAGCAAAAGTGCAGCCTCCAACAACAAGAAGTCAGCCTCTACAGCCGAGTAAGTTTATATTCACATTTCAGCACAACTAAAGCAAAAGACAAACAAATACCAAAGCGATACTTTTGTTTTTGGTGTCACATCCTAACTCATAATTTCCCATGTCGCATTCTTAATAGGCCTCATGGTACAAAGACTGCGCCTTACCTTGGTCTGAGCCACTCGTTATTCAGAAAGGAACCCGCCAAGGAGGACAACAAGCCATCGGCCAACGGTACCCCCGAGATGAACTTGGGCAGCCTCTTCCCCGAGAATCAATCATCCTCTCAGCCCGTGACGAGCTCATCTTACCCATTGAAGTCCACCCTTACTCGGCAGGACACTCCTGAGATGAACCTCAACAACCTCTTCCCCGAGGACCAGTCCACATCTTATCGCAAAAAGAATGTGTTGTCACCTCTGAAGAGTACCCTCAATCGCCAGGACAACCCCGAGATGAGCCTCAGTATCTTCTTTCCCGAGGTCGCTCCAATCTTCTCTCAATATGCCCCATCCCACGAGCACTTCAATGCTCCAGCTCACCTGCTTCATGCCCATGGCAAGCAATCCGTTGCCAGTAGTGGTACTCCCGAGATGAATCTGGACAAGCTTTCTCTTGAGGATCAGTCACCTTCTCAGCACAAGAAGAAGCCATCATCTCCTTTGGAGCACACCCCCACTCGTCAAGACACACCTGAGATGAGCTTGGGCAGCCTATTCCTCGAGAACCAGTCGTCTTCTCAACTCAATAAGAGCGCCTCGTCTTCTTCGAATAACACCTCCATTCGTCAAGACACGCCTGAGATGAGTCTCAACACCCTCTTACCTGAGGATCAATCTTCCTCGCGGTCCAAGAAGCACACTTCGTTGCCATTGAAGAGCACTCTTACGCGTCAGGACTCTCCTGAGGTGGGTCTCGACAAGCTCTTCCCTGAGGATTCTTCGTCAGGCAAGGTTTCAATCTCTGCTCAACATGCCCGATCCCAAGACCCCTTCAATACTCCAGCTCACCTGGTCCATCCTTCAAGCAAGCAATCCGCTGCTGGTAGGAGCACTCCCGAGATGAACTTGGGTAGTCTGTTCTCGGAGGACCAGTCACCCTCTCAACCCAAGACGATGGCTTTGTCTCCGTTGAAGAACACTCCTACGCGCCAGGACACCCCCGAGATGAACTTGAACAACCTCTTCCTCGAGGAGCAGTTGCATGCTCAGTCCAGGAAGAACGTCTCATCTCCACTCAAGAACACTCCTACGCGCCAGGACACCCCCGAGATGAGCTTGGGCAGCCTCTTCCCCGAGGAGCAGTCGACCTCCCGGCCCATGAAGAAGGTATCATTTCCCTTGAAGGCTACTCCCACTCGTCAGGACACTCCCAAGATGAATCTCAACACTCAGTTCCCCGAGTATCAGTCGATATCTCAGCTCAAGAAGAAGACCGCCTTATCTCCACTCAAGAATATTCCTGCGCGCAAGAACACCCCCGAGATGAACCTGAACCAGCTTTTTACAGAGGACACGCCCGCTTCTTCGGTCTATGTTAGCCAAGGTATCGCACAACTCGCATCAGGCGACTCGACCAAGCCCGTTTCGATTTCCATTGCGGACCTTCTGGACGATAGCGATGCGAGTGACCACAGCCCTTATAACTCGTCTGTGGAGACCAACGCTAAGCCCTTCATACATACTCAGCATTACACTCATCCAGGCAAGACGAGTGTCCATGCACCCGAGCCTTCAGCTGCTGGCAAGGCCAAGTTCCCTACGATGCCACATCTTCCTGCAATCGCTTCGATTAGTCTGCCATTCGTTGGTGCCAAGATGGCCGGTATGTCAACGCAGCCCGAACTACATACAGCTTGCACTCCCGGGCTTCCATCCAACAACTTTCCTTGGATCAGCGTTCTCGACGTTCCATCTGGCAGTGCCCCTTCGGTCAGTGTCCCTGAACTTCCAACTCTCGATTCCCCGTCGGTCAGCGCTCCAGTACTCCCACTCTCGATTCCCCTTCGGTCAGCGTTCCAATACTTCCATCTCTCAGTGCGTCGACCCTTCCCGCTGTCAGCACCGTTGAGCTCCCTTCACACAGTGCTCGCGGTCACCACAATGCTGCTGCTCCTCGCGTAGGTGGAGTCCGCGACATAATGCCAGTAATGCCTTCAATGTCGCCCTTCTCTCATCATCCGGCACTTTACCCAAATGAGGAGACTGATTTCCCTCGCAAAGATACTCCAAGACACGAAAATCCGGCTCCTTCTCATGTTGAGCCAATTGTCGAGATCCAAAGGGCTCCTGTCAAGTCTCATCCTGTTGCCATCTTCCGTGCTGACATTCCTTCTGACGAGAAGAGGCGTGGGAAGAGAGCTCGCAAGGCTCAGCGCAAGCATGACGCGACTCGACGACACAGCATCATGGACACCATCAGCACTGCTCTGGTCGGTCGCAAGAAGAACACTGTTTCCTCGCCCGTCATGAGATTGAACGAGTTGTTTGACGAGCCTATGGCCATGGCTCTTCCTGCTCCTGCGACCCACAGTGCGCCTCTTTTGGGAGGCATTCGCAGCAAATTGCCAGTTTTTTCTTCGGTCTACCTGCCATCGATGCCAGCTATGCCAGCCGTACCAGAGGTCCACCTGCCTGCTCTTTCAGAGATGCATCTACCTGCGCTTCCAGAAATGCATCTGCCTTCAGTGCCAGCGATGCCTATTTTGACCATGCCCCATCTGCCAAAGTTAGGCTCTGTCGTTGCTACAGGCGTCTCTGGACCAGCCATTTTGGTCAAGCACAAGCCATCCACTGCCGCCGCTCTCAAGATGCCCAAAATTGATCCTACACTTCTCCCCGAAGAGCAGGCTAACTACCCTCGAGGCGATGTCCGAAGACGCGAGAACCCTGCTCCTTCCCACGCCCATGTCAAGGATATTGTCGAGGTGAGGAAGTTGAGGCTCCCTCAAGCTTCGCCTTCATTGTCGGTCTTGCCCCCTCTGGATCTCTCTAGCCTGCCAAAGATGGGTGTCGCCGCTGTTCCCTTTGTCTCAGCAGCGGCCATATTGCCCAGACACAAGCCCTCCACTTCTGCCGCTCTCAAGACGCCCAAGGTTGACCTTACGCTTCTCCCTGAAGAGCAGGCTAACTACCCTCGCGGCGATGTCCGAAGACAGGAGAACCCAGCTCCTTCACACGCTGAGGATATTATCGAGGTGAGGAAGTTGCGCTTTCCTCCAGCTTTGCCACTGATGCCCGCCTTGCCAATTCTGGCTCTGGACCGTCAGCAAAAGCTGGGAGCTGGTACTGCTCACAAGTCATCCAAGGCGGTCGCGATCAAGATGCCCAAGGCCGATCATACGCTTCTCCCCGAGGAGCAGGCCAACTACCCTCGAGGTGACATTTCAAGACTCAAGAACCCTGCTCCTTCTCATGTTGAGGATATTGTTGAGGTGGGGAAGGTCCGTGTTCCTGCGCCTCTGCCTTTGGACGCTGAGCTCCCAGTCGTCGTGGCTGCAGCTCCCGCATTTTCCTGGTCATCGATCCATATGCCGACTCTTCCGGAGATTCACATGCCTACCCTTCCCGCCATGCCCGCGATGCCCGCTTTGCATATGCCTACTCTCCCCAAGATTGTTATCCCTGGTAAGAATTCCTTTTTCTCTTTGCATGCTATGGTTATATTCTGCAGATCAAATTCATAGCACGTACTAACTTCCAAACCGCCATCGCGCTTTTTTTTTGTTTGTTTATGGTAATACAGATATAGAGTGGCTCGTGGGAGAGGAAGACACTTACTACTCTGCAGATGACGAACCAGCAACCCCCATCGTCACACGCAAGACCGTGGTTACCGAGCCCGCTCGTGTCATCCCCAAGATCGCAACATCTGCCGTTCCGGCTGCCCCTATTATCGCTCAGAGGACGACGGTTGTCACTGAGCCAGTTGCGCGTGCGATTCTCAAGGTTACAGAGGTTGTTCCTGTTGTCACTCAAAAGACGGTTGTTACCGAGACCACGCACGTCATCCCCGAGGTCAAGAAGATCCCCATTGCTCAACCACCAGTCGAGGCCAAGAGGATCCCCATCCCTCAACCACCAGTCGAGGTCAAGAAGATCCCCATCGCTCAATCACCGGTCGAGGTCAGGAGGATCCCTATTGCCCAACCTCCAGTCATCACCAAGACTACAACTGTCAAGACTGCTACCACTACAGATCCTGCGGTGCCCAAGCTCGAGATTGCCAAGCCAGCAGCAGTCCGAGAAATCAAAGAGGTCAAGTTCATGGCCACACCCAGGTCTGAGCCTAATGTCCGCAAGCCCTTGGCCGCCGAGTTTTATGCTAACGAGCACCGACATATGGAGACTATTGAACTCAAGGACGATGACTACAAGGTGGCTGAGAAGATTGCTCATGCTCCCAGGCCTGTTATCCCTGCGGTGGTCGAAACCAAGAAGGCGGTTGTTGAGACTACTACCCACGCTCCCGAGATTGTTGAGGCACCAAAGGTTGTGGAACTTCACAAGGCGGCTGAGGCACCCAAGATCGTCATGGCCACCGCCTCTCCTGGGCCTATCCCTGCCCCTCGCCCTGAGCCAATCGTCACTAAGACGACAGTTACTACCGCCATGAAGACCGCCGATCCCATCCCTGCCCCTCGTCCTATTGTGGCTGCAGCCGCTGTTGCACCAGTTGTTCACCTTCACCACCTCCACAAGGAGGTCGCACCTATGCAGATAGAGACAAAGCATGAGACCACAGAGGTCGCCAAGACCGCCGTTGTCGCGCCCATTCCTCAACCCGCCGAGCAGGTTAAGAAAGCCGTTGAGGAAGTCCGCCACGAGCCTATTCCACAAACCATCCAACAGGTCCAAACTTTTAAGACTGTCGAGGAGCATCATCACCAGCCGCAGATCCAGCAGCAACAAACCATCCACCAACAATCTGTCGCCGCCACCCCCGCAGTTGAGACCCTCTTCGACAGCGGTGAACGCACAGTGCTCATCAAGAAACTCTATACAACCACCGAATACTACGACTCCGAGGACGACGACGAACTCGACGAATTCGGGTACCGCAAAGACCGCGACGTCTCCCTCCACATCGTCCCCACGCCCACCGCTGGGACCCGTCAAAACTTTCTCCAGGCCTACAAGAACCGCAGGAATTCAGGTGATTCTGAGGTTGAGGCGCTTCAGCATCAGGAGGTGGCGAATGGCGCTGGCGGTAGTAGAAGGTCGAGTTTGGGGGAGTCGCTGAAGCAGCAGCATTCACATTTCTGGAAACGGACGAAGCAGGCTCCTCAGGGCGCTCATCAGCAGGATTATGTGACGCATATCCCTTTGCATGATCCCAGTCAGCAACAGAAGCAGGAGTATCAGGTTGTGCAGGAGAATGTTTATAGCACTCAGCCCCGTGATCAACTGCAGGAGCAGCAACAACAAACTCAACATGTCCAGCAGCAGCAGCAGCAGCAGCAACAGTACAACCCCCTTCCTCATGCTCAACAACAACAACAGCAGCAGTATTACCAGCAACAAAACAAGAACCAGCAGCAGCCTCAGCATTTCCAACAGGAACATAGTAGCCAACAGCAGTACTACAACCAAAACCAGCCCAACTACCAGTCCCATCAGGCATACCAGCAGTTCCAGCAGCAACAGCAGAATATGCAACAACAGCAGAACATGCAGATGCCTTACCAGGAGCAGCCTGGTGACCGCATTGGTGGCGAGTACAACCGTGGTCCCGCTCAGTAAAGTTGCCCCTGATGCATGGATAGACAAAGTTGAAGTAGAATAATGCTTCTGCCAAATAAACAATGAAATCATTTTTGGCTGCAACTTGACCTGTTTAGTTCGGAGATGCTAAGCAAGAAAGAAGCGGAAGGGTGAAGGGAGAGATTTGCTATGTACAGTGTCGTAAAAGTGAGGGAGAGTTGTATGATGCGAGTATGTTGTAATTTGCTATGTACAGTGTTGAAGGGAGAGTTGTACGATGCGAGTATGTTTGTAGAGGTATGCAAAATGTGATAATGCATTGTAAGGTGGGTTGGTCGCCAAAGCCAGGAGGTATGCCTTAGTAGTAGCGGTTCTTCCTCCAGTTGGAAGTTGTGTGCCACTTGTGCCGTTTACTCAACCGAATCACCCGATCCCAAAGAAGTTGCTGTCTCCCGCTCTCACGTCGAGCACTCTCCCTCTCCTCGCGACGCTGCTCCAATGCCTCCCTCCTCTCCTCCTTCTTCTCTTCAGATACAGGTGGACGCTTCTTGGTCAGCGGCTTCTTCTTGTACAATCGACACCCTTTTGCTCTCTCATTACAGACCGCTGCTCGTTTCCGTCCAGGGTTTGTCGCACAAGCATCTATGCCTACCCACCCGCCGTGGACTTCCAATGCGCGTCGCTGGACTGCTCCTCGATCGAACAGCTGGTTTCTGGTATCCTGTCGACCTGTACTCGGGACCCCTCGCAAGTTCTCACCTCGCAGTGCGTAGTTGATGAATATAGCATGCGGCGCCAGTTGCTTGGTTTGAACCACAAACGCAAACTCATCCCTGTAAACCCTGTCCTCTTTCAGGGGTTCTGGGTGTCGTTTGAAGTACTCCTGTCGGCAGGCCAGACACAGCATCCAGTCCAAATGGCCATCGTCCTTATTCTCGACCGGCAAGGGCAAATCCGCATAATGTTCCCGACCCTTGGAGAAAGACATGCACCGCTCACAGATCCAGTAAGAGTTGGCACATACCAGTGCCATATGGGTCCTGTACTTTTTCCTGGGGTCGCCCAACTCTGCCTTCTTGCAGGCTTCTTTCCAAACCGGCAACACACGTGCTGCATCCAGCCATGCCTTTGAGATCCGGGAGTGACGTGCGATCTTGGACAAGGGCAGGTAGAGCAGGATCTGCTGCAGCACCTCTGTCGGGAATATCGAGCGCGTGTATTCGCGACCCTTGACAGCTCCAAAGTGTCCCCTATCCAGATTAGACGAAGAGGGTTCGGCGACTTCCTGTATCCCGATGTGTTTGTCTCCTTCGTCTCCCTCATGATCATTCTCCTCTCCGTCACCAGAACCAACCTCATTTCCCTTCTCCTGCTCGCTTAGCTCGTCCTGGCTGTCGATTTCTTCCAGAACTTCGACCTTGCGCTTCTGGGTCTGCGGGATCCTGGTCAAAATAATCTCCACCATATCGTCATCCGTCTCAAACTCAGAATCACCACCATCTTTGGCACCCTTCTTAGTCGTAGGATCCGGAGGCGCCTCGTTGCTGATGGCGTCGGTGTTGGCGTCCGCAGAATCCTTGGCTCGTCCTTTGCCCTTGGCATTACGCCTCAGAGTAGTAGCGGCATTCGGGTCCTTGCGTGGGCGGCCTCGCTTCTTTAGACAAGCTGACGTCGAAGAAACGCCGCCTTCAGAACTTCCCGGTACAGATCCACCAGCACTCTGATCGGTTGGCTTCCTGCGACGTTTCGCTTTGCTTACTGCCAACCCTGCTCCTTGTCCCTGATGCTGACCCTGTTGGTCAGTCGCTCGCTCCTTGCCTTTCCTCGACCCCTTCATGGGGACGGTTACTGTCCCTGTCCCTGTTGCTGTTTCCGCGGAAGGTGCCAAGGGTGCAGCAGGATTTGTGAGGTCGTGAGTGGTCCTTCCTGTAGAGGTTCCGATACCGTCGCTGATGTTCCCGCAGGGCTGGTAGAAACCGGCCAGTGCCTCCATAACGCCGTCCGCTGAGCTGGTGAACACTGACGATGGTATAGGCACTCCTGGTGCTCCAGCTGGTATGCCACTCGCCCCGGTGGTTGTCGCAGAGGTAGAGGCAGTGGCACCAGCCAAAGGACCAGTGAGACTAACCCCCGCCCGCAAGAGTCGCACGAGTTCCGTAGAGGTGTCTGCATCCCCAGTAATCGTTCCTTCAGCAGAACACGGGATTGACACAGGTGCGGGTGTTGTTGTAGACCCAGACTCGGACCTGGACGACGGTAAAGAAGCGTTGGTGGATGGGTCGGTGATGATGAGCCGAATACGCTTTATGGTCGACATGGTTGCTTGAAACGTTGGACTGAATCCGTCTTTTGTTTAGTTGAGGGAGCGGCTTTGCTTGGTGATTGTTGTTGATTGCTTCCTTGAGGTGATCCTTGCGGTACAGAGTGATCAAGGTTTGGGTCTGTCAGAGGGTGTGCACATGGGAGACCGACAGTGAAGTTGACCTTACTGTGATCAAGAAAGGGGAAGCGATAGGCGTTGTGAGAAAGAAACAAAGGTATCAAAGCAGCAAAGTTTAAAAGTAAAAAAACCAGGGTCAAAACACAAAGGGAAGTCATTTTCTGCAATTTGATTTTTATTTCGCATTGACAGGGTAGACCGGGTCGATGAGCGCAAAGATATCATGTAGTTCGCGTTGTTGTCGCTATGGTTGTCGCTGATGTTTGCTTTGCATTTGAAAAAAGTAAAGTGCGATGTTGTTGATTGGATTGCAGTGTTGCCAAATGAGTGTAAAGGCGAGAGTAATGGAAGATGTCACAAATCCAATGCTCTGTTCTTTGTTTGTCGAGTGTTGGTGTTGGGAGGAGTCAATGATCAGACAAAGATCCAGCGACTGCCGCCTCAGTAACAGTGTCGGCGTTCCCAGGCTCGCTCAGGGTGTCGCATCTCCCATTCGAATCGTCGCCACTTGGCGCGCTCGCGGCGTCTCTCCCACAGCTCCTCCTCTCGCTCCTCTCGTCGACGCTCCTGTTCCTCCTCTCGGATGGCACGCTTCTCGGCCGCGATTCTGGATCGCTCCAGCATGTAAGGGGTGGTAGATGGCCGCTTGGTGCAAGTTTTGGCAGCTTTGGCTCTGGCTGCGCATGCGGATGCTCGCTTCCGTCGAGGGTTTGTTGCTTGAGCGTTAACGCCGACCCAGCCGCCGTGGATGTGAATCGCGCGCTTCTGGACCTCCGAGCGATCGTACAGAGGGAGGCCTTGTGACGAAGACCCAACCGTCTCAATTCCATCCAGCTGGCTCCCTCCCAAACCATAATTGATGTAGATCCCGTTGGGCGCGATAGAGCCGGCTCTAGGTACCCAAGCGAACTCCTGACGGTAAACTCCCTTCTTGAGAGGCGCTGGGTGCTTGTGGTAGTATTCCTGACGGCACTGGAGGCACAACATATGGATATGGTCATTATCGTCAACGTCCTTGACAGGGAGGGGGAGATCCGCTCGATTAGTTTTGGCGTTAGAGTAGGAATAGCAGCGTGTGCAGATCCAGAACGAGTCGGCGCAGGCCAACGCCATATGGGTCTTGTATTTCTTCTTGGGTTCTCCCAACCCAGCCTCCTGACAGATAATCTTCCAGACAGACAGAGAGTGAACCGCATCCAGCCACGCCTTGGAGACCATGGAGGCTCGGGCGATCTCTGAGAGAGGCAGCCAAGAGATGATGTGCTGCAGAATCTCGACCGGGAGACTCGAAAAAGGTTCCTGAGGATTGACATTTGGAGGTGCTGAAATGCCTTGTGCGACAACCAAGGGGGCCGAACTGGAACCCTGGATCTCGAGGACCCCTTGTCCATGAACAGAGCCAGCTGTCGAGGTCATCGACGAGTCGCTTTCCTGCATAGTGTCCTGATCCCCAGCATCGCCCGTGTCGATCTGGCTATCCGAGTTGCTCAGAGAGGTCGGGTCCGAGACGGCCTTTCCTTTTCCCTTGGCCTTCTTGGCAGAGGTAGTCTTGGCCTTTGTTTTTGATGGGGGAGTAGGGGTTGTGACAGTTGAGGTGCCTGTAGTAGAGTTCTTGGGGGGTCGACCTCTCTTCTTGGGGACAGGCGTAGAAACAGACTCCGCCTTGATGCCCGAGCCATCACCACCATCACCGGCGATCTCTACTCCCGACAGATCGACGCCACTGTCCTTTCTGTTCGCTATACCCGATTCCTTTCCTGTCTCCTTGCGTCGCTTGCGTGGGGTCGACCCGTCCTCTGCCGGTGTTTGTGACTCTGGGCTGTTCGTATCTGTTGCTTTCTTTTCCCCCTTGACGGCCCTTGTTCGTTTCTTGGTAGTCGTCGTGGAGGCCAAAGCGTCTGAGGCCTCCTCAGTCGGCTGCACTAAAGCCGATTTGATTCGCGTGGTGCGAGTTGACGGCCGAGGACTAATATGATCCGACTGTGATATCACTCCTGCGTCAGTGTTCTGCCCTACCTCGTTTTCCTGAGCCATCGTCATCGCAGTATCCGTGATTTCTGGGGTGGTTGTCGCCTTTGTGGTGATTATTGCAGGAGACGAAAGGGCCTCCGAGACGACACGGTTGGCCTTTTGGACGAGCTTGGCAAGGCTCGTGGGCACGTCTGGGCCGAGCCCGGTAATGGCGGCGACGCCAGATGGTGAAAGGGATTCGGAAGGAGTCAAAGAAACTCTGGGCTCTGCTGAAGTCACGACATCCATGTTTTGTTCGCTGTTGCTTGTTTTGTTGTTGTGAATACGTTTTTTTGTGTTTTTAATCTGGACCACGCGGCTGATGCAGCAATGGAGAAGGAGATGTCATGCAGGGCTGAGAGTTAGTGTTGACCTTGTCGTGGTCAGCAGATGTTGTGTGAGAAAAGGAAGAAAAAGAAGAAAAGGAGAGAGGGCGTGGGAGAGGAAATAGGTGGAGTTGGTGGAGAAAGGAAAAGAGGAAGAGAAGCGCATGAATTGGCACAAAAAATACGTCACCAAAGTCGCATCTGAGCACCCCTCCTGTGGGGTGTAGACACTCAGGCCGCTCTTGTTATCCAGATAACGTCGCACAATGTTCGCCATATTCTCGGCTGCCATAACGTCGCGATGATGGTACACATGGCACTCGGGGCAGTAGAAGCGGCAGAGAGTGACATGGGCGACAAAGTGGCCGCAGTGAGGGCACTTCTTACTCGTGTAGTAGCATTTTGTAAAGTGTGGCGTTGGAGGGTCCCATGATAGTATGAGGTGTCCTTTGTTGACCAATCAAATCATGTTGTGGTTCCTGACCCTTGTCCCACGAGGATGAAAAGGTGCCTGAAATAAAAGGGATCGATCCGTTGTTCTCTTCTCTCTCTCTCTCTTTCTCCCTTGAAACACCTTCCAACACTCACACATACACACGACTTCCTTTCTTCCTTACTTCTTCCTTCAATCGATCCTTTTTTATTCAGCCTTCGTTCTCCTCAACACCTCCTTCCTACTCACTCACTCACTCACTCACTCACTCACTCACTCACTCACTCACAACAAAAGCAACACCCGAAAAACAAACAAACAGCAAGAATGGTCAAGATCCAGACTCTCGCTTTCTTGTCCCTCGCGTCCACTGCCTTGGCTGCCCCCGCCTGGTGGGAGCAGTGGACCCTCGGCAAGGTCAAGGACACCGTCGTCTCCCGCGTCAACCACTTCAGCAACAACATCAACGGCGACAGCACCCTCCGTCTCGTCCAGACCGCAGAGGACAAGGCCCCCGTCTGGATGACCGAGGACCAGCGCATGGAACTCCTCCGCAAGAACATCGGATACATGGACATCACCGACCACCAGGACTTTGAGCCCTCCCTCCGCTCCTTGACTCATTTGCGTACGTGTTCGCCGTTGTTTTTGTTCTTTATATTTGTTTGTTTGTTTGTTTGTTTGTCTGGCATGTCTTGGCGTATGCGTGTGAATAATGGTCCAAAGGGAGAGGATTGTGAGGCGCCAAAGTTGTATTGCGACATTCCGAACGACATTCACACCTTCTTTTGGACTCGTTTATTTTTATTTTTCTCTTCGCTCGTTTCGCACTGACAACCAACGCGCCCTTTTCTTTTTTTGTTTCCTTTTTTGTAGCCCTTCCCAAGAAGGCGGTGCAGCAGACCAAGTATGGTCGTTATGTCAACAGCCTTTCGACCGCCAACATGGAGGTTGCCCTCAAGGAGCTTACTTCCTTCCACAACCGCTACTACAGATCCGAGAGCGGCCACCAGTCTGCCCAATGGCTCTACAAGGAGATTAGCGACTTGATCGAGGAATCCGACGCCGACTCGGATGTCAGCATCCGCAAGTTCCAGCACAAGTGGGATCAGTTCTCCATCATTGGTATTGACCCTCATTCCTTCCATGCTGTCGCCCGTTGTTACAAACTCGGCTCTTGATTTTCATTTCCCACGTGAGGGAAACCATCGCTTTGCCTGACCCCGTTATTTTTCTGTTAATATAGTTCGTTTCGAGGGAACGGACGAGTCACTCGCCAACCAGCCCGCCATTGTCGGTGCCCATCAGGATTCTGTCAACGGCTGGAACCCTCTCTGGGGTCGTTCCCCCGGCGCCGATGACGATGGTTCAGGAACCGTCACCACCTTGGAGGTCTTCCGCTCCCTTGTTGGTACTGGATTCCGCCCCACCCGCCCCGTCGAGTTTCATTGGTATTCTGCCGAGGAGGCTGGTCTCTTGGGATCCCAAGATGTTGCCGAGAGCTACGAGAAGAAGGGTGTCGAGGTCATTGCCATGATCCAGGTAAGTTGTTCAATCCAGGCTTTGGCCATTCTTTTCCTAATTGTGCTCATGTATGCAGTTGGAGTTTTCAACTTTGCTAATTTTCGCTCGCTCTCTTGTAGAACGATATGACAGGATATGTTGGAACAAAATTCGAAGAGTCGTTCGGCGTTGTCACTGACTATGTAGATCCTGAGCTGACCGAGCTGATCAAGGTACACACGGACACCTCGCAGGATACTACGTGTCACTCTGGATAGAAAATTTTCTTGTCGGCGCAAGCATCATTTGCTAACCCTGTACTGTGTTACTCATGTTTGAATCTAGGTGTATGCCAGAGAGTACGGTGATATCTCTGTCCGCGATACCAAGTGTGGATACGGCTGTAAGCGCTCCTCTTTCGTTTCCAATTGCAGGGTATCAATCGGATAGTCTCCCTCATTTTCCATACCTAATCACTCACAATTCTTCCTCTCCCCCATCACCCTCTAGGCTCGGACCACGCGTCATGGAGCAAGTACGGATACAGGTCGGCATTCGCGATCGAGGGTGATTTCTCGGACATCAGCCCTTGGATCCACGGATCAGACGACGAAATCTCCCATGTCGACTTCGACCATATGAAGCAGTTCGCCAAGCTGTCCCTCGGATTCGCGATCGAGTTGGGTCACTTTTCTGGAAAGGAGCAGGACAAGCCCAGCCGCGGTGGGTCCCGTTGGGAGACTACTTCTGAGCGCGAGGTCAAGCCTTGCCACTAATTTTATTTTGAGTGTGTCAAGGAGTGCATGGCTATGGATGTCGAAGTGCGACAAGAAAGACAATGAAGAATTATGTAAATGTGCTTGATACCCTCTCCTCTTCGTCGGTAATAAAGCCTTAGCCTTAACGCTACAACTTGTTATTTTGTTGCCAATGATCAGTGTGCATGTGCATTATCGTGTCTGTTTATGTGCTTGTGTCTAGCTGTAGCTACAAGACGTGGCCAAGAATACAAAGGAGTGGCTATAGGTCAGCGAAAATTCAGTGGTCTTTGGTAAGATGCTAGATATGAAAAACATTTGTGTGAAGAGAGGCAATCTTGCGGAGGGCCAAAGCAGCGACATAACAGGGAGCCCAAGCGGTTGCACAGCAGGACAATGACTCAACTTCGGGAACTGGGTGCAAGCCAGGAAGACGGACCACGACCGAACCAGCAAGACGAGTCATCTGCTTCACAGCAGGCGAAGCCAGCAACTCACGAGGAAGACCATGGTTGCATCCCCGAGATGACTCCCAACGCAATCGATGCATATGGGCATGATGACGATGACAGCCTTACTGGCACCATGCACGTCTAATCATGTCCAGAGCCCACTTTGATGCTGCAGAATAAAATCAAGATCGATGTACTTCTTTCCTGTAAATAATAAGGTTATTTCACTAAGATCGCCGGTCATCTTGACTTGGTTGAAACACGAGTAACTGTTCCTTGCGATGCGGTGTTACCTGTAGACACAAACTAAAATGAAGCTCGCTGCATCTAACGCGGATGAATGCAGGGAAACTGGGTAAGGTGCAGAAGAGATTGACTCATACAATCCTAGTAGCGTACCAAGTGTGGGTACAAAGCACAAGAGGTGATGGTGACTGCCTTTCCACCCAACATAAAAAGGTCGAAATCGCAAGACCGACCGGCACAAAAGGGTCGCCTGTCGTTTCTTTTTTCCCCTTTCCTTTCTTCCTTTCCTTCTTTCCCTCACCCCTCTTACTCGTCGGCCAAGATCCACACGGACCAGAACCAGGACCAGGACCAGGACAAAGCCAAAACTCTTCAAGTAAGGCGAAGACGAGGAACAGGACAGCGGACAAGAGCCACCCCTGCTCTTTTGCGCGATCACACATGCTTTCCTCTGCTTATCCTCCCAAGCCAATGTGTCCTCAAGGTAAACAAGCAAACCCCTCCCTTCCTCTCTTGATGCCCAATTGTTGCATTCAACCTTTCCCTTGCTAACATCGTCTCCCTTCTCTTTTAACTAAGTGCCAGCAAGACCAGTAGCCAGCTAGCCGTCATCACTGACAACAGCACCTGGACGGCTGCGGAGGTAAATATCTGGAAAGGAGTGCCGGTCGACTGCTTAAGCGGTGGGAGGCATGGACTTTGTGGCGACGCGACAGCAGCCATAGCTAGGCTCTTGCAGCAGCTTGGCTGGTAGGCTTCTCATCTGGCTGGAGATCACTGTGACTAATTTGTTCTGGGGTACCCCCAGCGGAAAGGTGAGAAGTAGGCCACTGAGTACTTCAGAGGTGGCTGCTGTTTAACGGAATATCATTGTTCACAAAGTTTGATAGTTGAGCGACTACTTGGCAGATATCAGGAGTGTATGCAGGGTAGAGTGGAGTAACTGAATTAGAATGATTAAATAAAGGCGATGTTTATTACTATGAGGGTCTGTGTATCATCTTATCTGAGGTGTAAGATCGTGTCGACACGATCGTATCCTGTCCCCTTAATAATTCGATCGCTTCCAGGGACCCAAGGACTACGCATGTTTTGTGTATGTGATGCACCTGAGTCTGGACCTCTGGACTCATGCCCCAATGTCCCGATTGCAAATTTTGTACAAGCACACCCATACTCACATATATTCCTTGACTTATCCCTTCTTTGCTACCTACATCCTGTCATCATCCCTAACCCCACTACTCACTCTTACTCTACTTCTCACTTTCATTACATTTCTATACACTTAATCCTTTCCTTCTCTCCCTCACTCATTCACTACCATTACGCGCATTACCCTTCACACCCTCTCACACACCTCTCTTTTCCGAGAGCAGCCCAGCCAACCTCCTTGATCCATCGTTCAGTTCACCTTTCTTTCGACCTCCCCTTGCTCCCCTTTATTATTCTTAATTATCTTGCCTCTCACCCCGACTTGCACTCACCCGTAAAGGAATTACGATAAAGAGGAGCAGAAAGTCGCTATGCGTTGTAAAGGAAACTCTTCTTCCTTCTACGGCCTCCTTGCCACCGTCACTCTCCTCCTCCTCCTCTCCGACCACCCCACCAATGCAGAGCTTCTTCGGTAAAACTATCCCTCCTTCCAACTATTCAATTGTTTATTCCTGATATAAGCGAGACGAGCATACAACTAAAGGCATTATACCGTTGTTGTGTTGTTAGAGTATCGGTACAGCAACAGCCGGGAGTGAACCCAAGGAGCCCCAAGGAACGAGCCCATTATGGATCCCGACATGAGTACATGACAAAACTGCTCGCACTCAATGCCCACAACGACAATACCTCCTCCGACGACAACAACAACGCCAATACATCACCAGCCTCCTTCACCCTTTCCTCCTCACCACCATCATCACCAATAATAGCAAAGGCAGCTGCAGGAGGAGATGAAAAAGGAGGAGGAAGAGAAAGCGAGTCGGAGCTGAACCTGATGTCGCAGTTGGACAAGCTTGAGCATGAGCTCATCCAGAAGCGGGCGTTTGTTGGTGTGGCGCCACTTCGAGGCAACTCACTCGACACCCAGTGGGTTGCGGCGATGTCGATCGGTACCCCACCGCAGGAGTTCTCGGTCGTGTTTGATACTGGAAGCGGTGACCTCTGGGTGTCGTCGGTGGGCTGTACCTCTAGGGTCTGCAACTCCCAACGTCGGTTCAGTCCTAGTCAGTCAAGGTAATTTACAAGTGCTGCATGGTTGTGTGTGAGCGGTATGCAAGGAGGGGGGGCTGTCGTCTGTCGGCGGTTTTTTTTTGTCACGGGAATTTGCAGGGGACAGGGGACAGGGAATGCGCGCTTGGGCGCTCGTACAGGATTGGATTAGTTTGAACAAGTGTTATATGTACCTGGACGGACGATAACGGACATCTTATTTCTTGGGTGACCCACACATTGACTCCCTTGCCCTGGACCCTGGAGAACGTTACACTAATTCAATTCCTATGAACTGGAAAACTCGAATTACAATCAAATAACAATTGGTGTCAATTATGATACAGTATAATGTCACGGACAAGAGAAAGATAGAGAGAACGTGTATGTTATCTCCCATGGTAGCCATGTGTTAATTATATATTACGCTCCCTATTATACACATATAGCTCGTTTCAAATGGACAACACGCGATGGCAAATCGCTTACGCCGACACCTCGCAGGCATCAGGAATACTCGGGGTTGACAACGTCACAGTAGCAGGGATCAGTGTCAGCAATCAGACATTCGGCCTCGCCTCCATCAACGCCGGACCTGTACCTCCCTCAGGCACCTCAGGCTTTGATGGAATCATGGGACTAGGCTTCGAAGGCACTTCGGACATGAAGGGTACGGACTACTGCTTCTTCCTTCTCGGGGCATTGTGATTAATTCACAAGATGGCAATATACCAATGCAGGACGCAATTGGTTCAGGGCAAGCATTAATCGTGATTCGTCGTCTTTTGTGGACATTAGGGTTCAGGTCACCAATCACAAACATGATGCTCCAAAACCAAATCGACCAGGCCATCGTTTCCGTCTGGCTGAACAAGGCATCGGAGCAGGACGCGAAACTTTCCAATGGCGGGGAGTTTATTTTCGGAGGCGTCGATCCTTCGCTCTACACAGGATCAATCACCTACCTTCCCGTCACCTCGGACAGCCAATGGCAAGTTGCGGTCGATGAAGTATACATCGGGCGCAAGGAACTCGCTGTCTCTAAATCCTCATCCTACGCGGTTGTCGACACGGGATCATCCTACATCTTGCTCCCGGATTATCTGGCAACTGCATTCCATCGGGCGATCCCCAATTCGCAGTATGACAAGGACCTGGGCTGGATGATCCCTTGCACATTGGCAAAGTCAACCTCTGTTGGCGATCTCACGTTTGTGCTGGGTGGGCAAAAGTTTGCAGTGCCCCTTTCCGACATTGTCATCCTCGAGTCAGGATTCAAGGGCATTTGCCTCTCTGCCGTCGACTCTTGGAGCGAGGCTACCAACGGGCATTCAAGCGAGTCGGTAAGTATCTCTACCCCTTTGGACTTTGGGTTAATGTGCAGAGTCTATTCCTTATTGTTAAATGTCTAATAACGGCCTTTTCTTTATTTTTGATATGGATAGCAAATCCTGCTGGGAGACCTGTTTATCAAGAACCATTACATCGTATACGACTTTGCGGATCGGCGGATTGGATTTGCTCAAAAGGTGCCATTGGCCCCAGGCGGAATCGGACTCAACGCTCAAAACTCTGCGCCCTCTACATCATGGACTCGGGAGGAGCATTGGGCAATAATGGCGTTGATGACGACTGCAGCCATAATTGCGACGTCGTTGTTGTAGCTTTTGCAGAGTTTCGTCGTCGAGTCGACCCTATATCTTTTTTTTCCCTCTCTCTTTTACATGTCTCCGTCCTTTGATGTATCATCCTCCCTTTCATTCAAAAATAGCCCTGTACAGTATTACCACCCACCACCACCATTCCATCTACCACCACCATTTATCACATCTCTATCTACCCACCATCTATTTACTTAATTACTAAAGTATTCCCTATTCATTGTGCTTTGCCATTAACACCAACGTGATGGGGAAGAAACGAAGGGTGGCGAACGATCTGGTAACTGCCTTAAGGGCACAACGAAAAGAGACAAGAAGAGGCAAACCAGAGGAGGGAGGAGGAGGAGGAGGGGAGAAGACCCGGGACAATGGGCCAGAGCTGGATCCAAATGAGTGTCTTGAAGAAACGGAATGACAGAGTTGTGGGGTTGGGGCTCACTTCTTCGCCAGTCTGTCATTCAGTCAGTCAGTCAGTCAGTCAGTCAGTCTGTGCGCTCCAGAGAAATCTTTTGCACAGCCAGAATAAGTCTGAGAGCGTTCTTGGTTGGGATCTGATACACTGAGAGCGAAAAGGAGTAAAGGAGACATGAGATGTGTGATGTATTTTGTACTGAGCTATTATTATCGGAAAGTGAGAGAAGGGAGGGAGAGAGAACAACAGACAACGGTATATCCCGAGGGAGCACATGGGTGAGCAAGGGTGTGTGTGTTGTGTTGTGTTGTGTTGTGTTGTGTTTCGAGGTATGCGATAGAGTACAGTGGGTGTCAGCTAAAGAGGAGGACGAGTAGCGAGAATGCTAGAGACATACATTTCGGTCAACGTGTATCGAGAAGTGCGCGCCTGGGATAGGTCGATGTCTTTGCATCCAGTCACGTCTAAGCAGCAATGGATGCGAAAATCAATGTTGCCTTTTATCCCTACTCGTTTCCAGCTTTGTGCGTGCTATTAGGACATCTGCTCCCGAACCGGTCCGATGTATCCTATGCCCCTCTTTTTTGCTGGTAATACTGCTCGCGGCTTCTCTTTCTCGTAGTTGTGAGTGAATAACACCAGGGCGCCGTCGTTCTAGAGGGCGTGCATGATTATTGTTACTCATTTAAAGTTATCAGCACGGATCGCACTTTTTACTGCGTACTTTTGCGAAAATGCCAATGGTCCTCTTGATCCTCGCGCCTGACGGCACAGTACCATAATCACTTTATGGATACCCAATGGTGTACCCAATGGTGGCATGACGCAAAAGAGAAGGACAGGCTGGCTGTATTTTGTCGCATATTTGTTTTTGCCCTCCTTTCTTCCTCCACTCCCCTACGCCCCTCCCTCTGGAGATCGCATTTTCTTCTTTCGGCCCGAGTCCACGTCTTTGCCTTTCCTTTTTCTTGTTCTGCATATCCATAATCCATGTCCACACCCACACATCCATGCCCATGCCCCATGCCCATTCAAGGTGCACACCCAATCATATCCTTGGGTTCTTTCGCTTCAATCCTCCTTCAATACCTCCTTGCCTTCCTTGTAGTTACCTCCTCCTTCGGAATTGCACCATTCCCATCTCACCCTTTCCACGTCTTTATTATCATCTCTTCCAATAACACCTTGCCTTGCGGGTATCCAGTCCGGCTCCTTCTCACCCCTCACTCCTCGTCACGCTACTTCGCGCTTCTTATCCCTTTCATCTTTGTTTCTCTGCTTAACCAAGCAAAACACAATCAAGAAATAACCTTGTTTGACATCCAGGTCGGGACCTTTCTTTCGCTCCTTCATAATTCACATTCCGTTTTTCCTCTCTATCCCCGTTCATCTTTATTCACTTTCCCGCCCCTTTAAGTCCTCTATTCCTTTTTCTTCTTCTCTCAACTCTCTCCCTTTCACACGCTAACACCAAACTGAATAGACACACGTACTGGTAAGGTTACGAGAAGGGGTTAATATGAAGGCGAGCAAGCTATAGGCCTTGTTACAATATTTTGATGCCGTTCGGTTATATCCTGGCAACCCACCTCCTTTTTTTTCTTTTTCCCTCCCTGACTCTTTTTAAACGCACCTCCTTTCACTCGCTCCTTGATTTTTTTTCCTGTGTCTGTCTATATGTTTGTGTGTATGGTGGGGCCCTCGTCACGGCCAAGAGGGAGAAGTAATATTATGGTGTGAGAGAAGGAGAACAAAAGTCTAAGTCATTGAGTTAGCAAAGAGTGGGAGCCAGGTGGGGATTGCCTAAGATATACACAATATTCAAAGTGTATGAGAGGGATGTCTTGGATGGGATGGGATCCCGGGCAGGATCTCGATCTCAGTCACTTTGTTCCTCCCGTGCCTTTTTGTCCTTTTCCCTTCTCTCTCCTGGTGGTGAATATCCCCGTACTGGCTCTTGTCCTTATGGTTTTGTGTTCTTTTGTACGACGACAACGACAAAGGATACAAAAAACCTCCTTCCTTTTTTGTTCTCCCCAATCATCCGTATTCCTCCTCAAAGAAACGGTCTGTGAACATCTACCAGAATGAAAAGAGGAGCAACCATATCGTCTTGTTCTAGGTCCACCTTTTAGAGTCCTCTATCCTTGTACAAAGTCCAGGTATCTATGGTTCACTCCGACGTTTTTCTCTTTCTCTCTTATACACAATCCCTTGACCATAAAAAAGGAGTTTGAATACGAGCTATCCACGGGTATTGAGAGATGACTATGTCGCATGCATTTCTTTCTATGGTTGACCATGTGCAATAATGCAAATGGCATTGATCATCGGAGAGTTGATTCCGTCCATCCCGTTCCTTGTTCTCCCTCTGTCGCGCGTGTTAAGGTAGTGTTTATGCCCATGCTTTTCTGCGAATTTGCATATTCAATTGGCCAGCATGGATTGGATGGGCATCTGCATGCATTGCATGACAGCCACTTTGGCTTCCCTTTCCCTTCCCTTCCCTTTCCCCTTCCCCTCATTCTCATTCACTCACTCAATCACCCTTTTACTCCTTCAGCTTGCTTGTCCTACCTAGTCCGGTTTTGCTGTCCATCGACCATCGTCAATCGTTCATCATCCTTCTCTCATTGTTCAATGTTCATTCACCCATTCCCTCCGTCTCCCTTCCTATTTTTCATCATACCAGACGGCGTTCATCTCTCCCTTCTATGTGTAACACTAACAAATGAAAATGATGGACCATGCTTGCTTCAAGAATGAAAGCCTTCGATGTTCTCCTTGTTCACGGTTACAACATTGTACACCTCAGCAAACTATTTGTTTAATCATTGTCCTCGCCTCTCATTGTTCCCATTCTCTCGTGCCTTTTGTTACAAGAAGACGGGACAAATGCTCTCTTACTCTCTCTTGTCCATGAGATGCGTGTTAAAAATATATATCTCTAAATGTGTTTCGCGTTTCGTCGTGTCCCTTTTGGAAGAGAAAGAGAGCTCCTTGCGAACGATATATATTTTTGTGCAGGCCAAGCAAGGACTTATAGTTTCTGCTCCATACATACACGAATATCTCTCCTTCTCTCTCTCTCCCTTGATTTTATTTTATTTATTTTATTTTAATTATCTCATTGCCTCGTCGTCTTCCTTCTTCTTAGTTCTTGATCATCTCTTTCTTTCTTCTCTTTCCTTCCTTCCCTTGTTCCCTTCTCTTGCTTCCTTCTTACTCTCATTCTCTTTCTCGCATCCCTCCCTCCCTCCCTCCCTCTTACCCTCCTCTTAAGATTGCTTTCGACTCAAATCGAAAAGACATCCCCTTCCTTTCTTTTTCTCACTTCATTCACCTCGTCTCCTTCTTCACTCTTATCTTCCCTAATTTCCTCACTTCCTCTTTACACACAACTACCCCACTCTACTTCACCTTTTTACGCATCCTCACCCATTCCACCTCTTTTCAATCGCAATCATAACCGTACCTCCATTAGCACCTCTCTAATCCACATCCTAATCCAAATCCACATCCTAATCCTTGTCTTCGCCTTCTTTCTGTAACTCATACCTTTTCATCCCTCCAAACTACATCCATACCTTTGGACAACAACAGCAACAAACATCAAAGCAGTTTGCAGTACCCTTGCTTGTAAGCAAAACCTTGTATGATACATACCTCTAGAAATAGACCACATGCAACATGCATTCGAACGCGTTGACCATTGATGTCCCCTGCAAGAATGGGAAAGGCACCACAACAAAAAGGCAAGGCGATGCACATTCCTTCTTTCTAACGCACATTCTTCACTTTATTTTTCCTTCTGACTATGCGACTCAAATTGAAATAGCACACTCTTCTTTTCCTTTCTCTATTCCCTCTCCGCTCACCCAGCACCCTTTTGCAACGACTCCGGCACCCATTCCCATCCCATCCACCTTCCTCAACCACGATCCTTTTCTTCCCTTGTTCATATCGAACCTTCCCCTCCTCAGCCTTTTATTTTATTCCTATCTCCAGGACAACAATCAGACACGAGGTAAGAACCACACTCCTTTTATTGTTGTTCAGTTCAGTTCCCAGTTTCTAACAAAACATCTATGGGACGTGTTTTGAGGACACTTCATTGTCGAGGGAAAAGAAGTAACAAACATCGATTAGAAAAAGAGAAAAAGAGTTCGAGGGTGAAGGATGGGTGTCTATCTAGGACATAAAGATTTCTGGTGGTGTAAAAGCGGGAGGTAGGATTAAGGCACTCTTCCCTTTCTTGCCCTTTCTCTCCTTCTCAGACCTCCTATGCCATCTTTTTTCCCGCCCGCCTTCTCCTGGGGTGCAGTTGTCCCTGAACGGGTGTGGTGTATGGATGGAGCGTGTACACCAAAAAGAGTAGAAAAGAAAAGATTCGGAGAATAGACTGTCTTTTCGTGTGTTCAAGCGGGAAAATGGAAAGAGGTGTGGTTCTGTTCCTTGTTTCCTTCGCACCCTCAATTTTTGGGAAGACGTCCCTTTTTTTTGTGTGTGTTTGTTTGCTACACGGCAAATGTGAGGGGAAGGACAGACAAAAGTCAGACAACAACCACAACATGTTCTTGTTTGGTATGTATGGGGCGTGGGCATGGCATGGCATGCCGACGGGACGAGTAGTAGCAACCACAGCAACAATGCATCCTCGCTCTAGCTCTTACATACATTCGGGAGAGCTTCCCTCTCTCTTTTTCACATCCCTTACAACACTCCTTTGTGGCGGGAGCAAAATCATGACGCACGATGATCATCTCTCGTTCGCTCCCCTTTCACTATGTCATGCCCAAACCCCAATTCTTTCAAATATGAAAGAGGGCTACAGCTTTGGAGGGTTGTTCTTCCATCATTGCAGGAGACTATTCATCCTCTGTTTACTCTGTTATTCTTCTTTTCAACATGGCTGCATGGTCCTTTATGCTTTTGTTGCGTTAGTGAAAGAGGACAAGAAAAAGGGAGGTCCATGCTAAGCATTGGGCATCGTCACGTGTACAATCGCGCTTCTTGCTGGATAATGATTCCTCAGGGAGCCAGGATGTGACTCTCCGATCACGTTCCATACCGAGACCCTTTGTGCCCATCCTCCTGTAGCCAACATGGCGCCCTTTCATTCATTAACACATCCATTTCACTTCTTTCATCAATAGTCAACACTCTTCTACCTTCTCAACAAACAACATATACACAATGACATCGGTTGCAGACAACACCTTTGACCCTTCGTCAGCACAACGCCTCCCACAGCTCTCAACAAGCCACCTCACCCCAGGTGTGTTCAACCCCACAACAGGTGCCCCCGATGGCCTTCACAGATCGCCCCTCACACCACCACCAACACCTATCATCTCTGACAACGGCAACGGCGAGAAGTTGACCGTCTCTGCTAAGCACCTCCAACACCACACACTCCAACCAGAGTTCATCTCAGAGTACACCTTGGGCGATGAGCTCGGCTCTGGAGGATTCGGATTTGTTGTTTCTGCCACCCGGAAATCTGACCACAAGGAAGTCGCCGTCAAGTTTATCTTCCGTGATAAGGTGCCTGTCCATGGCTGGGCCAAGGACCCCGAGCTGGGCGTGATTCCCATGGAGGTCTATGTTCTCCGGAATGTTCAGCACCCCAACATCATCTCCTTCATGAACGTCTACCAGGACTTCAAGTTCTTTTACCTGGTCATGGAGCTCCACGGCACACCATGGTCGACCAGTAACCCTCTTCTCAACAAGAACGACAACAGTAACGCCAACAACATGCCCACGTCCATGATCGAGGCTATGGCTGCTGCGACCTTGAACCAGCGGAACGGCTTGACCGGATCCAACTCGACCTCTTCTTCCACCTCGTCCAATTCTTTCACATCTTCATCAACCTCGAGCTCATCGTCGTCTCTGAGCCATTCCGGAAGCGATAACGAGTTGTACGTTGAGCCTCCCAAGCCTGCACTGTTGGTTCGTCGGACCTCGTGTGATCTCTTTGAGTGCATCGAGCACCACTCCAAGTTCTCAGAGTCCCAGGCGCGCATGATCTTCAAGCAGATCGTCGAGTGCGTGGATTACCTCAACTCGCGCGGTATCTGCCATCGTGACATCAAGGACGAGAACATTGTCATTGACAATGACTTCCGGGTCAAGTTGATCGACTTTGGATCTGCCGTCATTATCCCAAGACCCCAGGGCAAGCTCTTTGACCGGTTCTACGGCACCATCAACTGTAAGTCACGTTATTTACATGCATTAGATGAGCCTTCTTTCTGAAACACGCGTATACCTTGATTGTTTTGACATGGTTACTTATCTATTTTCTGTCGTTATTCGCTATCTTAGACGCGTCGCCTGAGATCTTGAAGGGTGAAAAGTATAGGGCCGAGTCGGCCGAAATCTGGTCACTGGGCATTCTCCTCTACACCATCCTCTACGGTGAGGTACCCTTCAACGACCCCGTCCAGGCCATCTCAGGGCCCTACATCTCACCACGCGTCCGATCGTCACCCGAGTGTTTGCATCTATTGAACTGGATGTTGTCCAAGACTCCCGAGCGCCGTGCAACGATTGAGGATGTTGCCAACCACCCATGGATCTCCGGTCTCAGCCTCTCTGCATAAGGAAGCGCTCTCTCTTTTCTTTTTGCTCATTGTTACTTTATTGTTTTTTCGCGTTTGATATTTCTTGTTCGTTAGCATTTTCAAGGGGAGCAGAGCGAGACTGGTGCTCGTTTAATTTGCTGTTTCTCTCTTCGTCTTCTTCCTCATCCACTCAACCTCTATACCAACACCTTTCCCTACACTTTTCTTTCTTTTCGTTTTCTGTTGTTTCTATCTTTTATTACCACTAATCTACTTCACCCCTCTCCCCTAATTTATCTTCCATTGAAGTCTCTTCGCCCAACTCCTTCATCAGTGGACCTACCTCCTTCATCTTCACCTCCTTCACTCGCCTTCATTCGTCCTCCCTTTTTCTTGACCTCCATGGCTGCCTCACCTTGACTATGTTTCCCGTAGCTCAGTCCGCAGTACCCAGCGACGATCATGAGAATCATTATCCTTTCGTCTGTTTTCGACCACAAAAAGTGGTCGAAATTTATCCCTTCGATTGATTCTGCGAGCAGTGTCCTCTCCATATTTACAAAAAAAAATACCATAGAGAGCACCCACTCAGTCACATAAAAAAAAGAGGAACCACCATGAGAGGAACTTCCATATCAACTTATCTTCCCATTACTTTTCCCTCACTTCTAAATGTCAGCGAAATGGACAGGCAGAAACAATAAGTGTGGATAAAATAGTCGCAGAGCTGAGCCTTCATAAAAGATAATGTTGTCAAAAACCTCTGACAATAATGGAAGGGGATACTTGAACAGCACGAAAATCACCATGAAGATGAGAAACCAGACCGAGATCGTCATCGATATCTACTTTTCCCCCGTTCCTTCATGATTCGCATTAAGTGGACGCAACAATGAAAAAACACGCCATCAATTCAGACGCCTCCCACTCATTCAAGCATGGGACTAGTGACAATGTTGTCGGAAATCCAGAAAAAAAAAGACGGCACCGCATAGAAGTGATAAACTCTTATGAATAAGATATTATCAACCTCCATAAATAAAAATGCCAGACAGACAAAGGGATAAATCAGTCAGCATCATCGTCTCCGCCACTGCTACGTCAGTGACCCCCCCCCCTCCAACCACACCTCATCCGGCCTCCATCTTCACCCCATTTGATCCCTCTCTTTCTATCCTTAAACCGCTCAAGTAATATAGATAAAATCAAGCGCTATTAATATCAATACTGTCACCCGGAGCCTCGCGTTCTGGCTTCTGCAAACAGAGGCCTAGCTCGAGGGAAAAAAAAGGCGGCAAGTGAAAAAAAGCATTGGAACGTTTAGGCGGAAACATATTCCCGATTTAAGTTTGTGTGCGATCCACCATGCCATGCACGGCATTGCAAAACACATAATCAAAAACAAAAAAGCGCCCGCGGACCCATTCAAGAAAAATTACGTCTATGTCTTTGCAACTGTCCTCCCCACATCGAGGGCGCACAAAAATCTTTTGGGAGTACATGTGTTCGAGACCCCGCCCATTTTGTGTCCACACCTCAAAAAAAGGAAAATTGAAGACACATGGATCTTACTACCTTGCAACCTGCCCCATCTGCAGACTTTCTATGAACCTTTTTCTCCGTGAGCATAACTGCATCTCGCAAGTCCACATGTTTTTTTTCTCCTTTTCAGCGATATATATATATATATTTTTCTGGCTAGTTCTTTGTAATCGCCTCCTTGTCCAAAAGAAATGCCTTATTACCATGCATTGACCTTCACCCGTTGCCTCAACCTAGAAGCGAATAGATGAAGGATCTCGACACGTCTTATTTTCTTCCTGCACAAAAAGTCTGGTTCATACTTTCTTTTCCCTCAGCAGGCATAAGAGAAGGAATTGTTCGTCGAAAACCGCATGGGTGTTGTTGGAGGAGTCAGGTCAGCGAACTGTAGACACATCTCCATTCAAGATACAAAGAGAAAAAGAGAAACAAGGATTTGGAGTCTCAAGCCGTATTCAATTACAGATATCATTTATTCGTTTGAAGAGAGGGTTGATGCAGAAAGAAACGAATGAGGATGATATGTGTTCAATCAAGAAAAGCCGATACAAAAAGGTTATTATTATACAGACTCAAAGGCGTGCACTTTAGTCTTGCCCATGGTATGGATAACATACACGATGACCTATATGTATCAACAAATGAATGAGAATTATGTAAGTGATGCGAACGAACACAAAAAAAAGTAACCATGTACGTTTGCCATGAGTCGACAAATGTGGTCACCAGCACAAAAACAATTGCACTTACAGTCTTCATGAGTCGGAGAGCGTTGAGCATTCCCGCTTTGAGATGTTCATCAAGGCAGTCGATTTTTCTGGTAAGAGAGTCAGGCGCCCTCAAGGTCAGGGTATTACCGTCGATACTGACCAGGGTGTACTCTGTCTCCAGAATGTTCAAAATCGGAGCCATCGCGTTACTACCCCACGATACCTGGTACGTCTGACCGCCGAAAAGATCAACGCCACGGACAATGACGATCTCCTGACCAATGAGACACTGATAATCTCGCACGGGAATGTCGTCATGAGCACACGGTCCCCAAGACCCAACTTGCCAGCGCGACGGTGGCCCAATCCGGCAATATCATGAAAGCCGATTGAGGGAACAGTGGCGCCGACGGGCTTGCGGACAATTGAGCTACTGGCGACGGGGGTGTTGTCCTCGACGGTGCTGATTTCAGACATTCTTGGTGACAGGCTTGCCTGGCGAGGAGGCGGCCGGGTCGACTGTTTCATCGGCGAGAGCAAAAATGTTTAGTTCAGGGGTTTCGACAATATGATCTTCTTCCATTCCATAACCAGCGGGCGGAAGTTTACAGATGGGCCGAGGGGCTCGAAAAAAATATTGGCGAGATTTACGATGGGTTTGAAGAGATCGAAGGTGCCATCTTCATATCTGCTGTAGGGGATAGTAGTGGGGTCCAAGAGGAGGAAGCTCCTGATTTTGAGCGTCTTGACGACAGAATGGTGATCGGGTAGGGCTCCGAGGTCGATGATTGAGCTGCAGATGTCTTTGACGACTGAACTGTAGGATGCTGGGTTGTCATAACCACAGGGGAGGGTTTGAGAGATGCGGTGGTGGCGGTGGTAGTGGTGACTGGCGTGGCAACAGGTGTAACCTTCATTAGTATAGGGACAGAAGGGATGGCTGCGGGCACGGGGTAGGTCGTCATCTTTTGTAGAGCGAGAAGGAATATGATTGTAACGTGTGGACCAAGGAAATGGACGCACTTTTATGCAAAAGGGGAATAAATGAAAAGTTGAGGTATGATTCTGTCATAACAAAAATAAAGAGACATAAAAATGAGAGGGTAACTTAGGATGTCCTTCTTAGTTTGCCCCTAGTCGCTGATCATTGGTCCGTTTGGAAGAAGGGAATGTACACTCAGACCATGCATCGTAAACAAGCAAACAAAGAAAAGAAAGAGGGAGTTCCGCGGACTAAAAAACAAAATTTAGCTTGTGTGAGTGTACGAGGGGAACAAGGGTTCGAGACCTTGCTCTGTTCCCCACATGATGTATTGTACTCATGTTGCAACAAAAAAAAGCGGAAACACCCTTTACTACAGGCACATTGTCACCTCAGACATTCGACCATGTTCTAACATCTCCTTTTTTTTCCGATCGAAGGTGCTTCTTGCTTGCAATGGGTTGGATGTTTCTTGCTATTGCTCAAGTCCGCAACATGACCTCAACGATTTGACGAACAAAGGAAGTTCTCGACGCCTCTTTCTTATTTTTCACAACACAGCGAGGGTATCATGATCTCATGTTGTAAGTGAGTTAGAAGTGGACGTAGACTGATCAAGTGAAATGTCAGGTGAGTAGGCGAAGACGTGATAAACGCGTACGTTCTTGTTCGTAAGGTCTTTATTCTCGTGTTGGTAGTCAAGCAACATCTCTGCTGATTCAGCTCCATGTGCAATTACGAAATAAATCAGTCAATTAGAAGTACGAAAAAACCAAGTATCTCAAATGCGACAAAGTCTTCGATTGGTTTAAAAAATAACATTTATTCCTATAACTACTATAACTCCTACAATACTCTGGTAATACCGAAGCGACATAGCCAGCAGGGGGTGAAGACTTGACCTTCTTCTCCCCCTGGTCCCTCTTGATCTAAAATGCTTGGACGATGGAGATGACATAGAGTTGTTAGTGGCTGTTGCAAGTTTGAATATTGCTGGTCCACCATCCCCTCTCGCTTTCTCCCACGTTTTCTGACCGGGGGGTGTCGAATAGCCACTACCCTACTAACCCCAAGAAACCTACGCCTCTTCAACATTGTCCAGATGCCTGTTATCCCTGCTGTAGAGTGGACTACATCAGATGCAATCACAGCGAAGAAAGTAAAGAGTTGGTCGAATATGCCGGAGCACGAGGGAGTTACTGACTCGAATTAGACATACTGGCGTTTCTCGTCTACCCTGCCAGTTGACAGGGCAGAGATTGAGGATTGCAATTTTGTCGAACTACCCTGCCTTGATCTGAAGCACCCCTCACTCCCAGAAGCGCATCAAGACACTCGATTTGCAAACCCAACCCAATCAGTCATGCTGAAGACCCCGATACCAGAACCAGCCGGCTCCACTAACGCAAGGATATGACAATGAGAAGGAATGTCCTCTATTGTAGAGGACTCCATCCTCCCAGAGCCCATCCTTGGTACCCCTTCAATACCCCTGCCGCACGTTCTAAACGCCGGGATTTCCCAACTCCCTCCAGACACCCAGACACCTTCGGTACTCTTGAGGTCCCACCCACGGTCTAAACGGGGAGTACTCCCCAAAAAGAAAAGGCACCCCCGCAATGAACATTAACTTGCCTTGTTGTTGTCTTGTCGCTGCCTTGTGTTTGTCCATGAGTATTGACGCTGATTGCGACATGGTGATGAGAGTTGATTCCGAGACCGACCCTGCATTGTGATCAAAGTGAGGAAGATGACTGTGAGTAGGTGAATGGGAGCGAGGGAAAGTAAAGATGAAAGCGAAGGTGAAAAAGGGAGAAGAATGAAAAAAAAAAAAAAAAAAAGAATGAGGAAGAAGAGAGAATGGTGGCGGGGATAGAAGGACGAGAGAAACAGTGACGCAAGGGGACGGGTGGGAACTCGAAAACTGAGAGCACGAGGGTTTGTTCAAGTAGTGTAGAAAGCCTATCTGGACGAAATCCATCATATCCGAGCCTCCGGAGACCCCCAAAGACCCTCCCGTTACGAGAGAAAGGGCCATTGCCTTACCTCTCTCGTGCACCAGATACCCCTTCAAAGAAAGATCTGATTCCCTCTCTTGTAGATTCCTCATGCCTCCCTCCAGAATGAACTTGCATGGTAACTTGCCTTGTGGTGAGTGATGCTTGTTCTTGACCGACTTCTGAGGCGAAATGTCAATGTAAGTGAAGGTGGATGAGAAAAAGTGGATGAGAAAAAGAGAAGGGTAACGTGTTGCAGCTGATGAGTGAAGAACAGGAGGAGGAGGAGGGAAGGAAAGGAGGGAAGAAGGGGAAGAAGGGGAAGAAAGGAAGGAAGTGGAAGAAAGGAATGAGGGGGAAGGTATTTATCTGTCCCTCACTTTCTCTGTCTACGCGAAAATGAAAAAATGAAAAATGAAAAATGACTACTTTTGAACTCAAGAACACGTGCAAGTAAGAGCGGCGCGGCGGACTTTACGCGCCTTTGTTTTTGCTCGCAAATGTGCACAAGGGTCGTTTTCATGGGATGGAGACCATGACTACTATGAACGACTATCCAGGCCAGCTCTAGACCAGAAGATGATCGTAGTCTTGACTAGTGTTGATGTCGGGGCGTACAGTGAAGTAGAGTCGATTGCCAAGCGATTGTGCGATTAGCTCATGCGATTCAGAAAGCTGGATACTGTCTGACTTGCAACCCGCGACCGCTACCTTGCGACTTATTAGCATTCATCCTTTACTGCTCTTTGGTTTCAACGTGAAGAGTAAAAAAAATATATGTTGAACAAGAGTTTTGAAGGAATGAGGTTTGTGACATTGAGGAGACTGAGGTCGGGATAAGTATGACGACACCTGTTTTGAAGGAGAATGTCGCGTCCAGTGACCTTATTTTGCCACCTTTGTTTTGTTATCATGCATGATGCATGATGGCAACAAAATAATGAAATCGTCACAACACATACACACACAGACATATTCTAGTAGCGTTCTTCACGTAACTCGAATAATACTTTGTCTAAGCCCTTGAATCGCCATCTCTGACTCCCTGTTCCTTTGTTCTCTTCCCTCCACCTCTCTCTCTGATCCTGTTTTAAGAAACGGTCAACCCTGCCTTGTCCTAGTATAGATTCTCAATAGAGAAATTGCAGGCAAGCATGAGGAAATCATCACCAAAGTATGGATGCTCTTTGGTGTTTAATAACGATGAGCTTGTGGGTGGGGGATGGTGTAAGGTGAAAGGGATGTGATTTGTTGTTCTCGTTTGTGCCACGGTGGAAAGACGCCATTCGCAAAAATAAAAGTACGACCGTCTTCTCCTCGAATTTGCATTTCCATTTTTCGAATAAAAAGGATGATGAAGACGCTTTTCGTTCTTGGAGGAGATCACTGCCACGAAGAATGCCTGTTGATCAAAAAGAAGAGGAACAATGGCGAAGACAAAAACAAGACTTATCAAACTTGACTACAAGACTGGAGGAACATCCTCTTTCTGGAGGTATGTGTATCCAAAAGTTAAAAAGTCGTCATGGTACCCAGCCAGTCCATCAGAAAAATCACCAACCCCTTTCTACTCAAATGAAAAAAAATCCTCTGGTCCGGGTTAACAAATCCAAAAAAATGACGCAATAAAAGTAAAGAGGTAGACGAGAACTCAGACACGGCTCGAAAAAGAAGCACCAAAGCATTGGTCACGACAACATTGATTACCCTACCCCCGTCGTTTTATTCTTTCGGCTTCAAGTATGGTATTACTTTCCTTTCGTGCTGCTCTTTTCTCATATCGTCCTTTAATCCTCTTTCATTATCTCTTCTGCGTCTCAATCGAAAAAGTCGACGCAAAGGCTGACAAGGCCCCATTGTATCTAAAAGGTATGCTCCGAAAAAAGAAACGACGCGAGCGTTTCAGTTATCGGTCTGTTTAGTTCGCAAAAGACATCGAGCAAAAGCGAGGCGTGTGTACGAAAATCATTCTTTGCTACAGCGATGACCTTTGAAAATATATCCACTTAACAACGCTCGCTTTTTCCTCCTCTACTCAACGCGTTATGATCGTATATACGACGGGGGTGTTGTGTCCGAGTTAATATACGCAAACTTCTTGTTCAGTACCTTGCCTGTGCTTTTTAGTACAAGAGAGATACATTCACGCGTAACACGAAGTCTACGCAAAAGTAAACTGGCATAGTAGATATTGGACGCTATGTTCGCAGTGAAATTGTCTTTTTGTATCATTGTTTCTTTGTTTAGTACGAACTACAGTTGAACATGGATGTATCCCTTTGGATATCATAAAGAAGCAGAGGGAAAGAAAATACTTTGTCTGCTTAGAAATCCCTGCTCGGAGAGGCGGTTGGTCCGTCTTGGTTAAAAAAGAGTCTAAAAGCGTGGGGGGCCTTTTATGCCCATCCAGTCCGTCTCAACGCCCAGCCTCTTTGTGTGTGTCGATTTCCCTCTCCGAATCAAAGAGCGGGTAAACAGACAAAGGCCTAACAAACATCATCGACTCCTGAAGTGTCACAAAGATCATAGCACGCCACCAAAACAAAAGAAAATTTTCCTTCTCAATCCTTCATTTTTGCTCTCTCATTTCTTCTGGGGCCTGCATCCTCTTTTTCCTTACCAAGCCTCGCCGATAGGGTTCCGTTTGAAGTAAAAAGGAGAGAGAGGCCGAGCGATGAAGTGAAGCGGGTTCTGCTGTCGCTGTGAGGGGATGAGGTACGTAGAAGAGGCGGGCTGCAACAATGGTCATATATTTCTTGCTTCGTGGCCTGAACTCCTTTCATTTTTTTCGGCGACAAGTGGTCTTTGTTCCGAGTTGGTGGTAGTCGAATAAAACGAGTACGAGTATACAAAGAGTGGCAAGTCTTTGTGTGGACCCTTCCAAGGGGTTCACTTTCTATCGTCATTCCTTCCCTCCTTCTATCTTGCACCACAGTTTAATGTTGCATTTGCTTTTGGTGGTTTGATTTGCGATGATGGTTCCACTCCCCCTTCCTGAAATTACATATTTAAACCCTCTCCTTTCGTTTTTTATCTCCTCAACGCCATCCTCTCCTTCTCAACAGCCCACAGCGCACCTTCCTGTCAACCCAACCAAACCTCAAATAAAACGAAACGATGTCTTCCAACAACACCAACGACGGTAGTCGTGTCCAGCCGATGCAGCATATTCCCATGGCCCTCCTGATCCCGGCCGATCGCCCCATCTACCAAGTCCCTCTCTCCCACAACGATGAAGGCAACCCGTATGTCAGCATGCGAGACGTTTATGCCGTCCTCCAGTACTCCGGCGACATTCTTATCTTCAAGGACGAGTATCAAAAGAGTCCCGTACTGATCCAGGGGTAAGTTCAACTTTTTCTGTAGTTATGTTTATTTTTTCTTTGTTTTGTGCGTCGAAAATGAATCGCCCACTCATCACGACCCATCCTTATCTCCATTTACCTTCCTCTTTCTCATCATTATTTTGAATCACCAGTGCCACTGACGGGAACCAAGGCTGGATCCCCTTCTTCCCCAATCGAACCCTCTACTTCCGCTATCCCAATCAAGAAGTCGCTCCCAACTCTCCTCCTCTTCCCCCTCTACTTCCTCCAACCCGGACTCGCCGCGGCTCAACTCGAGTCCGAATCTCTCGTCGTGGGTCTCCTCCACCTCTACCACCTCAAGTTGACTCAACTACTACTCCCAGCCCTCCTCGGTCCGGATTCTATGCTGTTAGTCCCTCGCTCACAACGTCCCCACGTGCCAGCCCTACTCGCTCGAGTGACGATGGTACAATTATCTCTCGCATCGCAAGTCCTTCTCCTCGCAGTACTGGTAGCTGTACTCCATACGCCAGACCTTCTACTGTTCGTCTATCCGGCACCAGACATGCTGTCAGTTCCAACCAAGGACAACAGTCGCCTCAGCAGGCAGGACAGGCTCAGCCAAATGTAGCCACCTCTCCTTCTACTGCCTTTCCACCTGCTGCCTCTCCACCTGCTGCCTCTCCTCCTACTGCAACTACCCCTACCGCTACTGTTACTGGAAGTCATGATTCAGCTACTTCAGGCTCTGCTTGTGGTAGTAGTCATGGAGGAAGTCCTTATCCTTCAGCTCCGGTCGCAGGACAGTCCCAGAGAAGATCGCAGCGTGACGATGAACTGAGAGGCATGGTCTCAGATCTCGAAGAATGGCGCAACGAATCGAAGGCTAGGGACTTGCAACGTTATCATACTGTCAGCCAGGTTCTGACCGAAACTACGTATCTCAACCAATGCAACCAAAAGCTTCAGCGAGATAACCAGGAACTCCAGCAACAGCTCCATGCCCTTCAACAAGACTACCAGGCCCTTCGCCAAGACAACCAGGCCTTTTACCAAGACATCTATAACTTCCGGGAAGCGAATAAGGACCTCGTGCGGGGGAACCATGACCTTCAACGAGAGAATCAGACCATCCATCAGAATCTTCGAGATCTCCGGAACCTGAATCAGCTTCGAGAGCAAGAGATCTGCGACCTCCGGAACCAGAACGTGAACCTCCATCATCGTGAAGGGTCTTTTGTCTGCATCAATTGTGACCAATGTCAACAAGGGGGATCAGGCGCGGCATCGACGGCATCGTCGTATTCGTCATCGAGGTCGATGAATCCTCATGGACCCAGCTCTCATCGGCAACTAGCACATGGGCCACCACAGAACCCGCAAGCCTTGCCTCCGTCGGGAGAGGTGAATCAGCCTCATATTGGCGGATCTTCGGCGCCCCATCAACGAGGGCACGCTGCGATGCACCAGTATGATAGGGTAGGATTCGCTTCTGGTGCTTCAGATACCGAGTCCCCCATTTCGGGTACGTTGCCTACTATGCCACCTCAGTTCATTGATGCCTTCGGCGAGGACGACCCCACCAGCGCTGCTGCTGCAACTCTTGTCATGGTCTCTCAAGGTCAAAGTCGAGTTCTGGGCGAGCACGGCAGCCCCGCTGCCCGAAGATCTTTTTCCAATCAGTCGCTTTCTCCTGCAGCGGCGAAGGTTGCTGAGTTTGTTGAGAGTGATAATATGGACCCGTACAACTCAGGCACCCGAGACTACCGAGTCCACAGTTGGGTCCAGGAAATTGATGAGGGCGGTTATACACCTCACGCTGAGTATGAGGGTGAAGAAGAAGATGAACAGAGAGAGAGTGAGGAGGTCGAGGAATGTAAAGATTATGAGCTTGAGGAGGGAGAGGTTGAGGAGGGAGAGATTGAGGGGGGAGAGTATGAGGAGAGTGAAGATGAGCAGTAGAATCTATTTTTTTCAGCGCTCGTGCTGGACACTCGCGGTCATTTTTTGTCTAGCAGATCTACCGTATCCATAAACTCTTTTTATCTTTAATACACACATCCGATATTTCTATTTTTCTACGCGCAACATTTAGCAAATGGTTCAATGGCCAAGTTGGATACAACCTCGCTGCTTGCTACCAATGACTTCGGGCAGCCAAACGTATCGATCTACAAACAATCGTCAAGGGCGGAGAAGAGTCAATGCCCATCCTAAAAGTGCGATGCTTCGTTTTTCAATGGTTATTCTTTGTTCGTTTGTGGAAAATGGCGGCATGCATGCAATCAAGTCATTTTTTGTTCGTATGTTTGTATCGATGCCCTCTTTTGTCGGTTCTCATCCCCTTTCATCCTCTTTCATCCTCCTTCGCCGTCATCTCACTCTTCCCTTCCGTTTCACATCCACCTTCCGCTCTTTCTCCTTCTCTTTCACTTCCTACCTGCATGTGGAGCCACGCCTCCTCGCCACTTCTTTGCTTTGTCCACCGTTCTTTCTCTCTTGAAATTTCCATCCACCCATGTCAACACTTCCACCTCCATCTTCCATCTTATTGTTACCAACGAAAAAATTGACTCCCGCAGCCCCCTCGACATGCCACACTTTTCTTCCTCTGACACAGCAGCAGCAGCAACAAAGATCGCCAGCCATCCGTTGGCCATGACGTCTTCTCTTCTTTGTTCTTAATATCGCTGTGTTTCAAGGTACCACAGTCTACAGCATCCACACTTACCATTTGGACCTTGAAGCTGGTAAGGAAAATCGTACCACCCTTTTTTTGCGTACTTCATTTAAGCAAACGTTTCTTTCTCTTTTTTTTTTTTTTTAACTTTACTCAATCATCTCCTCCCAACAGCCCTTTCCACTCCTTTACCCACACACACCAAAGCAACACCGTAGGCCCTTCATACCCACTACCAGACCCGCGGTAAGAATACATCATGCCTCTAAGACGCGAAACCCCAGGTAAAAAGCACAGCTTAAGCTTGATTGGTATCATCGAGAATCTTCAATCCTTTTTGTTTCCTTGTGTTCTCCCCCTCCAATGTGTTAGTGCTCAAACTTCAAGGAGACAACAACAAACTCCCTCGCTCTCGTACTGACCCCAAACTTGTTCCGTGTTTCCGCTTCTCCCCTTGCCATCAAGGTTCAACAGGTCAACGCTCGCGAACTCCAACCCCATCTGAGACCACCACTCCGACCGAAGACCCTCCATCCCCCGAAGGAGATCAGCAACAAGCTCAACCAGGACAAGCTACCGCTGCTGGTACAGCGGCATCGTCGCCCTCTCCCTCGATCCCTATTGAACAAATCCCGATTGCCGCTCCAACTACCCCAGCCGGCTCCTCGTCGTCGACCACTGCTGCCACACCTACCATTGACTCGCGCCTCCCTACTCGAAACCCGTTCATTCCGTCGTCCACCCGACGGAGCCATCGTCTGATACTGAGAAATGCCGAGACTCCCGATGCAACGGTGCCTCAATCGCCTCCAGCCACTACCTCCAGTGGTGGTGATTTGTCAACAGCTGCTACTGTTGCGCTGCAGTTCCCCTCGTTGCCTCCTCCTCCGCCACCTACTCCGACCACCGTGACCACTACCAGAAGTCGTGGTCGAGGACGGGTGATGTTTGAGCAGCTCATGGCACTCAACTCTGCGAACGCCATCATTGCAGCCCAGGCCGCTGCTCACCAACCCGAATCTGAGGTTGGGTCTGGATTTGGATCAAACATTGATGCTTCCAACCCATCTCGTCCGACAAGATCCTCAACTTCTGGTCCTGGTACGTCTGTCACAATCACAGGCCAGGAAGCTCAAACCCAAGCGGAGGCTGGGGCAGAGGCCAATTTGAGTTCATTCCCCAGACCCCGACCCAACGACAACGTTGTCCTCAACCTCGACCGAGGTGCTCCTACTCGATCACTTCGACTCCATCCACTCAGAATGACTGGCGTTAGAGCGGCTGAAACTGGGGCTGGTATTGCAGCCATCGTGGCTCAGAATGAGGCTCGCCGTCGAGCCAGGAATAATGCTCCCCTGGGTCCTGGAGCGCAATGGTTGTTGGAAGCTGGTCCCGCGGCGCCTTCTACGAGACGACGGACCAGGTCTGCATCTGCTGCTGCAGCTGTTGCTGCAGTTAATGTGGTGGTGAATGGTGGCGCTGCCACGGGCGGCAGGTCTGAGAACGAGGCTCTCAACCTTGGAGGGAATGGGTCAACACGTCAGCAGTCAGACCCATACCCTCGTACGCAGCGTACAGCTCGAGCACGTTCGACCCAAGTCAACAACGGGGGCTCACAGCGCGTCTCTGAAGCCTCGGCCCCAAGGCTTCCTACCTCTCTTCCTTCGACTACTACTACTGGCACCACAGCGGTTGTTACCTCCATCAGTGATGGTATTGCCCAGTCGGCAGGTCCAACTCCGACTCCCTCGAGAGGTGCTGCCCGAGCTGGCACCAAGAGATCGCGCACTGAGATGGAAATGCCTGGCGACAACGACGTTCCCCGGAATGCTGGTCATGCTGGAAGTGCAATCCCTGGTGGTTCTAACCCAGGTGCAGGCCATTCGAGTTCTGAAGAGAGAGAGGATGAGGTTATGGAATCTGGAGTTGTTCAACTGATCGGTGGCGATGGAGAAGCTGGAGGGGTTACTCAAACTGGAGGGGAAGAGGCTGCTCAGGTCGAAGAGGCACCACAGTCTACACAGGCTGGACCAGCCGCTCAAGTTGGAGAACCTGCCTTCGACGTCAGACTGTCTGTGCACTCAACCACAGGAGTAGCGACATACGCCTTCGTCCTTCCTCCCGATATTGATCCCAGCTATCCACTCGGGTATGGTGGTGTCATCAACGTCCCACAGTTTGCAAGTTTTGCTGACACTGCCGTGGGCTCGTCAACTCCAGCTACCTCGCCAATCGGTCCTACTTCGATGGCTTCCTCCTCGCCATCAACGGTACCTCCAAACAGCTCTGGCGCGACCGCCGCCCTTTCTGGAGGCATCCCGGCGGCAAGGACAGCCGTCTTACAAGTTGCAAGATCCATTATCGAGAACCTAGAATCAACCAATGCGACTCTTATTGTCCCGAACACCACTACCACTACTACCACTACTGCTATCGTCGCTTCTGCTGGACACGAAGCGGCGGTTGCGGATGATGTAGTTCCGTCGTCTGGGTCGAGCACAGACCCAGTCTCTCCTCACCTTGATGATAATGGTGGTAACGGTGGTTCATCCTCGGATTTGGATTCGAGTTCGAATCGGTCTTCTGCGGGACAGGACGGCGGTGAGGGTCGTGAGAAGCGTCGACGTGTTGGTGGTCGTGACGAGGACTCGTCGATTGTGTAAGTTACCTTCTCCTTTGCCCCTCCCTTCATTTTTTTTTCTTTTTTACTTTTCTGTGGCCCATCGTCCTCCATCCTCCCTTTCGTTTCTTCTCTTTCATTTTCTTCTTCTTTGTACCCGTCAAAGCCCAAATAAAATCTGTTGTTTACCAATATGCATCATTCCAACGAAGAAATGAACGTATCAAAAGCGCTAAAGCTCTCTCTCCTCATCTCTCTCTACTCTACAAAAAAAATGAAAATAGGCACGATGTGGCTCTACTGGCAGTATCCTCAATCCTATGGGGAAGCATGTTTTGGATGATGTTCTCGGAGGACGGCCGGCGGTTCATGGAGAAGTTTGGGCCATTTGTCTGGACGCATTTGCGCGCGTTGTATCCTGGACAGTTTCAGTTTGGTGCTCCACCCCCACCCCCACCAACTCCTCCACCTCCACCTCCAGCCCCTCCTGCAATGTAGAAACCCTCCCCCCTCCTCCCTCTGTTGGTTGATTCTCATTCATTAAAACAACATTTTTTTTTTGTTTTTCGTCAAATATTTGATACACACTCGCGTTTTGCTTGTTTGTCTATCTTTCTTTTTATTCTACGCTCACACCCCACCAAACCCACGGGAGGTCTAAAGGACATTTGCAAAAAGAAAACTCAAGACACCTCCAAGGGCCATAGCAAGTACTTGAAAGTCCCGACTACTTGCCCTAAGAGCATCCCATCCAGATCCCGCAATGCTCTTGGCGTTCAAATTGATCCCTCCAGGTGCCATATCGACCTTTTCCGCGAATCCAATCTGTTCCTTTTGATAGTCGTAGACCACATACTGGTTCTTGACAAATAAGTCTCCCAACAAGATACCCTAAAAAAAAAATGCCAAAATAAGTATGCGCTGTTAGTGTTTTGCGTTATGCTGGTCATATCCCTCTCTTCGCGAATCTTGGGGGGGGGGGGGGGGCAGAAAAAAAAAAACTTACAGACTGACCGCCATGGCCAGCAAGCTCCTGCCAAGAATCAATGGCGCTCAGACAGTAATTATTAAAGGCCGACTTGAGGATCACAATATCCGACAAGGGCACACTAAACTTCTTCCCGCCCAACACAAACGTCAAGTCCCCCACCGACCGCGAATTGGCCAGGGAACAGGGGATCCACCAGCCCAATTTGCTGTCGTACTGCGAGTTAGGGATCGCTCGATGGAACGCCGTTGCCAAGTAATCGGGGAACAAGATATATGAAGATCCAGTATCGACAATTGCCGAGGAAGCTGCGCTGGAGAGAGAGAGTTCCTTGCGTCCGATAAAGACTTGATCGATGGAAATCTGCCATTCCTTTGACGATGTGACGGGGACGTAGGTGATGGGTCCGACGTAGAGCGATGGGTCGACGCCTCCGAAAATGAACTGTCCGCCGTTGGATAGTGATGCGTCCTGGTCCGATGCCTTGTTGAGCCATACCGATACAATGGGCTGGTCAATCTGGTTCTGCAGAATCATGTTCGTTATGGGTGTATTGACATCTAAATTATCACCACGAAAAGCATAATGAGCGCATGTTTTTTTTTTTTTTTTTTTTTTTTTTTTTAGTTCTAGAGGTTTCAACATGCATTCCAGATATCTGCAGAGATAACAAGCATTCATGCGCCAACCGTGACTTCCAAGCTCACACAACTTACTGCCCATTTCGCTGTTAGAGTTGAAACCGAGTCCCATGATCCCGTCTACTCCGGTGGCGGCTGTAGATCCCGAGTTGACAGAAGCCATGCCAAAGGTCTGGTCGTTAATCGTTATTCCTGCAACTTTGATATTGTCCGTGGCCAGCACACCCGAGACTTTGGAGTCGTCTGCATAGTTGATTGACCAAGGCCTTCCATCCTGATGAAACGTACTGGATTAGTCAAAAATACGACATGTAGAAAAAAAAAAAAAAAAAAAAGGGGTTAGTTAAGTCTTGTGAACTGAGAAATGGGTCAATGTCCATGCCTGTGTTTGTCCAACGAATGTAGTGGTTGTTGTTCTGGCTTGTGAGAATAATTGGAAGTATGGGTCGCCCATGCCCTGTGGTCCTGTTCTGATCTAACGGCAGATAAGATGGATGAATTCATTTCCTCCCTTGCGCATTCCAATCTTCCAAATGTGTACCACCAAAAAAAACCCCCTGTCAAAACAAAGAAAACGGTCTAAGAATTAATTACCTTGATCGAGCAGGGTTGAACCGCCGAAGGGTCATACATGTCAAAGTCTGACAACTCGTTGAAGGGATCCAGAGGTCACTGCTACCAGTATCAAAGACGACCGAGAACTCCTGCGGCGGAGACCCAATCTCCATGGCTGCGACCCATTGGGTATCGAGAGAATTACCACGAAGGGGCGCTACTCCGACTAGAGCCCGCTTTGGATGTTCCTGCTTCGGATTCTGCTGGCTGTGCTTATCATGTATCCGTTTTAGTTTCTCTAGTTCCTGGTCGAGTTTGTCCATGAAGGATATCGTCATAACGGACGGATGGTCATCCTCTTCACCGGCGCCTACTGTTGCTCCTTCTGCTGTCGCTCCTTTTGGTTTTGAATTTGACAAGGCTCGTTTGAAATTCGAGTCTGGGGTATCGTCAACAATTAGGTGTGGTTGTTCTGGTGGTGTTGCTCCTTCTGCTGCTGCTGCTTCGTCGAGTGCTGTGGGAGGCAGGCTTTGTTTGATATCATTGTATTGGTGCAGTTTAGACATGAAGGCGAGTCGGGACTCGTGGTGAGCGCGCAGTTCCTGAGTAGCCCTTCTTGGACTTTCGCCCGGGTACTGCTTGACCGAGATTCTAATAATAGACCATTGCAATATCCAACAAAACAAACAAAACACACAGAGATAAGTTTAGATGCTTGAGACATTGAGACATCAGATTCGAAAACCGCAGGGCAGTCGTGGTTGATGGGAAAGAAGGGAGGGGAGAAAGAATGAGAGAGAGAGAGAGTGTGTTGTTTACCGATGTAGTTTTGGGGATTCGGATGTGGCAAGGGGGAGGATGACGAGGATCAAGAGGAGACAGCATCGGCTGCAGTCGAGGAGGAGGGGGGACCTCATTATTGTGATTATGTTATGTGTCGTAGAGGAGGGGTGTAAGTAAGTATGTTTCTTGTTCCTGAATGTGCTGTGTGAGTGATGTCCAGGGGGGTAGTTTTTGAGAGAGTGTGAAGAAGATGAGGGAGTGTGCGGGAGTGTGCGGGAGTATGTTCCTGAGAAGGAGGAGTGTGGAGGGTCGTGTCAGTCCAAGAAGGGTCTTCCTGTTCGGAAGCGAAGGAGTGAGTGAAGGAGCGAGAGAAGGAGTGGGTGAATGGGTAAGGGAGTGATTGTGCACGAGGAGCGAATGTGCAAGAAGGAAGGCAGAGGAGAGAGAGAGTGGGTGAATGTGTAAAGACAAGGAAGAGTAACAAAACCGGGGAAGGAAAGGAGACGACTAATTTCTGATATTGTATGAAGACCGGTTCTCTCTCTCTCTCTCTCTCTCTCTTTTCTTTATATCCCCTATTATTATTTTCATTGCCCTTCATCGTAGCCAATTCCAGCAACAAGTACAGTGAGAGAGAGAGAGAGTTGCCCGTTATGTCTCTTACTTCTACTGTATCGACCAACATATTGTTGTTCGTCAGGGCGTCATTCAAGTCGGACCGCACTTTCAGATAACAGACACACATTTGTTCAACATGCAGGGTTAGGAACATACAGACACAGCCTTCAACATCCAAAAGGTGTTCTTCCTCGACCTTGTTTTCTGTACAGCTCACAGGGGCGATATTTATTTTTTTCATATACATGCATGTTCGGTCGACAACTTGTCGTAAATACAAAAAGAGGCGGCAATTGGCTTTCTTAGTTCTTCTCCTGACCCTTGTAGTGACCGAGTTCGACAGCAAAGCCAAGGGCAAGCTTGGCGAACTGCTTCATGTGGTCAAAGTTGATGTGCGAAATATCATCGTTTGTCGAGTGGATGTAAGGGCCTATCATAACATATACAAAAAAACAACAACAACAACCGTTAGCATCGGGATCAATTCGCCACCATCATGTTGAACAGGGAAAAAAACACACGCAAAGAGCAAGTAGGCTGTTCTTTTCCTCCTCCTCCTCTTTCTCTCGCCCCTTCTCCTTGATATTACGTACTGCTGTCACTGAAGTCACCCTCGATGGCGAATGCAGAGCGGTATCCAGCCTTGGCCCACGAAGCGTGATCAGAGCCTATGGGAACAAAAAATAAAATCGTGGGGTCAATGGAGTGAATACAAATAAAGGGTCCTGTTCCATTTGGAACGCATCCTTGTTATGACGTCTGGAAAATACACCAGAATCCTGCATATCCATAGCCACCAAAATGGTTTCAAACAATCACTCACAGGCATATCCACACTTGGTCTCGCGAACGGGAATATCACCGTACTCGCGGGCATAGACCTAAAAAGTACAAAAAGCAGCAAAAAATTAGTCTGCAGTTCATCCTTGACATTAATACAGCAGCTGCAGAAACATAATTGAGGAAGGGACTACGTACGCGGACCAATTCGGTCAATTCGGGGTCGACAAAATCGACGACAATGCCGTATGACTCGGCAAACTTGGTGCCAACGTATCCAGTCATATCGTTCTAATTGGCAAAGCCAAGAAAGAGAGACAAGCATTGAACGACACTGTTAGAACAACCAAGTTATGTGGCCACATGAAGTTGGTCAGTCAAGTCTAGACACTAAGGAAATTTCTTACCTGAATCATGGCAATGACATCAACACGCTTCTGCTCGTACTCCTTGGCAACATCCTGGGATCCCAAGAGACCGGCCTCTTCGGCAGAGTACCAGTGGAACTCGACGGGGCGCTGAGGGCGGAATCCAGTGCCAACAAGGGAGCGGAAGACCTCCAAGATGGTAACGGTGCCCGAACCATCGTCATCGGCACCGGGAGCACGGAGTATGGGGAGCCACATGTTGATAGAGTCCTGGTGGGCACCAACAATGACGGGCTGGTTCGACAACGACTCATCCTTGCCCTCAAAGCGAGCTACGATCGAATGGGAGAAGATGGAGTCAGCTTGGCGTTCTCTTCCCCCCCCCCTATTTTTCCTTGCTCAATATGCATGTCGCCATCTTGGTATTCGCTTGTTACAACATAAAAGACTTTCTTACCGATGATGGAGAACTGGTCCCAGTTGTGATGGAATTTACGGATGCTGACGTCAGAGTCGGCGTCGGACTCCTCGATCAAGTCGCTAACCTGCTTGTAAAGCCATTGGGCGGACTGCTTGCCGGTCTCGCTCTTGTAGTAACGGTTGTAGAAGCTGGTGAACTCGGTCAAGGCAACCTCCATGTTGGCGGTCGAGAGGCTATCAACATAGCGAGCAACCTTCTTCTGGTGAACAGCGGCAGTAGGGAGGGCTGTAGTTGAGATAAAAGAAAAGGGGAACAATTGAGTTCTAAGGTTCAACAGTACCGTTTTAATTTTTTTCTCACCGTGTCAGACGGGGGTTAACCATGTGTAGATAAAACAGCAGTGACGGGAGGGAGCGAGTGTTCATTTCACTTACGACGCTTGCCAAGGGCAGAGACACGGCTGGCGCCAAGGTCCTGGTGGTCGGTGATATCCATGTACTTGATGCTGTTGCGGAACATGTGGAGACGCTCCTTCTCAGTGGTCCAGTAGGGGGCCTTGTCGGCGGCGGTCTGGACAAGACGCATATCGTCGTTATGGCTGATAACGGAGTCTGAGGTGGTGGTGTGCTTGTTGAGGGTCCACTGCTCCCACCAGGAGGGTGCGGCCAAGGCGACTGAGGCCAATGAGACGAGGAGGAGAGACTGAAGTTTCATTTTTGAGTGAATGGGTGAGGGAAGATGGGGAAGGGCGATGAATGAAGAGAAGAATGTAAAAGAGAAAGGAAGAAGGAAAGTAGAGGTTAGGCCGCGTTGTCCTTTTTGACTTTGCAGTCCAGATTTGGGCAGGAAATGACGACGTATGGATGCGAATAGAGAGGACGAGTAAGAGTGCTCTCAGGTCAGGCAGACAGGCATACGTGCTGAACAACACATACATGAACCATAGCAAGTACATGTACTGTGTCATCATTTCGGGACGAGATGAAGTGCCTTTTGTTTTTTTGACAAGGAGGTGTCTGAGAGCTGCTCTCGTCCTTGTTGGCCTTGTTGTTGTTGCAAAAGTATCTAAGCAACGTTGGACGCAGAGGCCAATAATATTATTATTCGCTGGGTTCTTGTGAAGGTGCGAGTAAAGGCAAGGGAAACAAGAGGGCGAGAAACTGTCAGTGGTCTATGATGTCTTCAATAGCATACAATAATGGGTGTAGCATGCACGCAAGTAGCTAAGCTTTGTGCATTGTGAAGAAGAAGCGAAAATAGAGGGACAGATCGTTTCCTTTTCTGGTGTTACGCAGCTCTGTATCTTTTTTCATTCGTTTCTATTTGCCATGTTGTGCTTGTATCCGGACCCGTTGGATTGTCCATTGACCATTGACTATTGTCCATTGACCATAGACTATTGTCCATTGACCATTGACTATTGTCCATTGACCATTGACCATTGTATTGACCATTGACTATTGTCCATTGACCATTGACTATTGTCCATTGACCATTGACTATTGTCCATTGACCATTGACTATTGTATTGACCATTGACTATTGTATTGACCATTGACTATTGTCCATTGACCATTGACTATTGTCCATTGACCATTGACTATTGTATTGACCATTGACTATTGTCCATTGACCATTGACTATTGTCCATTGACCATTGACTATTGTATTGACCATTGACTATTGTCCATTGACCATAGACTATTGTCCATTGACCATTGACTATTATCCATTGACCATTGACTGTGCGCCTGCACGTTATCTAGAAAAAGGGTTGTTGCTCTTTTGTGGATTGTGGTGGACCCGATTGCTCAATTCGAGTGAGTACAGTAAGAGGAGAGAGAAAAAGAGAGAAGAGACAAAAAGGAACGTGGATAGCGCGATAAATGAAACATCCATAATTGCAAACGGGGATGGGCCAGCCAATAGAGACAGACAGGGCCTGTCCTGTCTCCTCCGCCCATACCCTGCACAGTATGTAGACTGACTGTATGGAGCCACTTTTTGCTTGTTTGTTGTCCGCTTATTTTCTTTTTTCAATCCTCCACACCTCAATCTCAACCCCATCCTCATCCTCATCGCACTTACCTCTTCCCTCTCTCACCTTCCATCACTTCACCTTCGACTAATTCACCCCCACTTACTGCATACAACAACAATAACTCTCCATCTTGCCTAGTTCTTCCTCACTCCTCTTATACCCTAGAACCCTTGTCCCTTTTTTTTTTTATTTTATCTCACTAAGCAACCAACAACACAGCAACAACGGTGGTGCTACACATACCCGACAGCAGCAATTCTCCCCTTGTCACCCTTCCTTTGCTCCTTCCAAACCAATTACTACCTACTACTATCACCTTCCATGTCCTCGACTCCTTCCTCGGCCCCTTCAGCCCCTCTGTGCTCCTCCTCCTCCACCACCGCATCAAACGAATGCCAGACTACAGACGAACCAGCAACTGCCTCCCCTACTACAGTCGACAACCTTGCTGTTATCACAGACTGCCCCAACGCTACAAACGCTGCCCAGTGGTTCTACAAACCATACCTCCAACCCTCCGCCATCTCCACCACTGCAATGTCAACCTTCATCCCCTCAGAGTCGCATCACAAAAAGAACAAGCGATCCCTCTCTTCATCGTTTTCTGTTAATTCATCCACAATACGCCTCCCTGGCACCCCTGCCTCTCTCTACAGCAACGCTGTTTCAGCCAGTCGTCTTCAATCGCAGACCCCTATCGGACCAGGACACGATCCTGTTGGTGGCAGTGGCATCCCTAGGATCCGGGGCGAGGACCTTTACTCGACATACTCGACTGGAGTCGGCGCCGGTGGATATAGTAAGCGGACAGCTGGACCCTACTCCTCTCAATCAACACCCAATCATGCAGGGAGCTCCTTTCACCTCAACCCACAACCACTCCTGCCCATCAAGGATGAGTCAATATACCATAACCCATACAGAGCACCATCGCACACCAACACCCGGTCCTTTGTACCACCAATGGTCCAAGGGTACGAATTTATTGGTGGATCGCAGGCGGGAAACATGGGATTGATTATGGGCAAGCGGATATCGGACGGTGTGCCTGTGACAGGCAAGCTCCATCAGTCCCGCGTCCTCCTCCAGCACGAGTACCGGATATTGAAGCGACTCCAGATTGCCAATGCCCGTTATGATCCCACAAGCACTCCTCCACCAAAGTTCAATCCGTCGACCGAACCACAAACAAAGCTCGAACCTTCCTGTTGTGGTGAAATACCAACATCGGTATCGGCATCGGGGGGTTGCAGCAGTGCTGGTGCTACCACAGAAGCGACCCCACCACAATCAACTGGAACACCGTCAAATGACAGCAGTGGGCGACAACAGCCTGCAAGGGAGAGCAAGTGTCATGTCAAGCCTGGTGCGAAGCAAGCAGTCTACGAGACAGGGAGCGTCGAGACCGAAAAGTACTTTAACCGAGTCGTGGAAGATTTCATCGACCTGGATCAAGACGACCTCTCGATCTTGATTCTTGAACGGCTCGGACCCAACCTGTTGTCGCATACACACCACCAGTTCATGGGACTCGATAACCTTCAGGAACTCTACAGCACAGGCGGGAAGATTGAAAAGTGTGTCGGGTCACCCTTCCGAGATGTGTACACTTTCCTGGTGTTTGCGCTGAAGGCAGCTTGTGTTCTTGAGGCCCTACAATCAGCAAATATTGCTCACCTCGCCATCTGCCCTACCGCTCTGCACTGGATGCCGGCTGAACCAAAGATCGGACCCTGGAGCCCCAAAAGTGATACCCATTCTGAATCGAACGGAGCTGGAAACGGGATTGGAGGCGGGTCTAGCCAGTACACCAAGGGACCCTCGACGCTTTACGCATTGTTGGACACGATGGACATCAACGACACCAAATTGCGGCTATTCGATTTCACGCATTCCAAGATTCTGAGTCACGAGCGAGCCAGAGCGCCCAACAATATTGTCGAGTGGCAGATCCCTGGGTACATGGAGTACCACCTGCAGTTTTTGGCACCAGAGCAGACGGGACGAGCAGAGACCTGGATGGATTACCGCACGGATATCTATGGACTCGGCGCGACCTTGTTCTCGCTCTTGACGATGCAGTATCCCAACACCGGAAACGACAGCGTTCAGATTCTGCAAGGTGAGTGCGAAGGTGCATTGTAAATGTTCGCTGTGGAGAAACGAGCATACGCTTGACATTCACCGCTTACTTACTGACCATTTTGTGTCGATGCGGATGAAAATATTTAGGCGTTCTGACGAGGGATTTGCCACCGGTGAGCGACTTTAGGTCGGACATGCCTCCCATTGTGGACGCTATCCTTCGCAAGATGACGCAAAAGGTGAGTTAGATACACCACCATCGTTTTGAGACGATTGTGGAGCCTGCAACATTGATTAGCAAAGTAGTAAACACGTGTCACATGCTTTCATCCGATAGCAACCAAGTCAGCGTTATCAGAACGCCTTCGGGTTTAAGCAGGATATCTTGCGTTGCTTGAACACTCTCCGCAGAACTGGAAAGGTAGGCAATTTTACACCAATGCGCGCTTGTTGATACGATGTTCTAACTATATGAGTGGAATTTGGTCACCTAACTTTGATGTTGTTCTCCCTTGTAGATCGATTCGTTTGAGTTGGGAAACCACGATATTTCGTACCAATTCGTCCTGCCAAACAGTCTATTTGGGCGTCACTCGGAGCAACAGTTGATCTCGGCAGCGATTGTTCAGGCGGCCAGCGCTTACCAACAGACGCTAAACAGTAACTTGATCTGCAACGATGACGATGAGAGCTATGGCGATTTGGACGGCGGAACGAGTTATGGGGGACCCTCGACACCAGCGGCAGTAAGTGCCAACGACTCAGAGGATCTCTATGTCTTTGAGGATGACATTGTGTCGCTCAAGTGCCAACTGTCGTCCAGGATCCCTCTATCGTCCAAGACTCTGTTGCGGAAGCCTAGGCTCTTTGATCGTGGAGGTGGCAAATCGGTTCACCGCGGAACTGAGCTGAGCGACCCTGTTGTTAGGGTTATCTTTGTTAGTGGACCATCGGGTGTTGGAAAGTAAGTTCAGAACAGTTCCCTTGATTATAAATTTAATTTTGCTATGCAGTTTGATCAACCAGAAAACCAATTCTAATTAATTCCATCATTCCATCACTAACTTTATTTGTTTCGGTTTCGTAGGACGGTGTTGATCAGGCGAATGTCGACAGTGGCGCGTAACTCGGGATTGTTCGCAGGAGGAGTCTTCGAGGCTGGCAACTCGGCCCCTTACTCGGCGATCCTGTCTTGTATCCAGAGCGTACTCCAGCAACTATTGACCCAACAGACTGACGCCCTGGCTACCCTCGTCATCGCCATTAGGACCGCCTTTGAACCTGACTCTGGGATTGGCATTATTTGCGACCTGATCCCCGAGTTGAAGTACTTTTTCAAAGGCTCCGACTTGCCTGAAAGCAAGGATGTCCCGCTCACCCATTCAGTGGCCCGTTTTCATGCACTGATCCTCAAGCTGATCCGGGTTATTTCAACACATTTCTTCATGACCTGGCTGATCGACGACCTCCATTTTGCGGATGAGAACTCGATCGACTTGTTGGCCACCCTGGTCAATGTCAACAAGCGGCTCCCTATTGTGCTGATCATCACTCACAGAGACACCATTGAGTGTTTGATCAAAGTCAAACAGATCTTGGGCGGAGGCAATGTTGCAGGAGCCAGGCACCCGACAGGATTCAGTGCTCTGGGAACGATGCACAACGAGTACAATCCAGGATCTTCGGGAACTGGATCTGATTTGATGGCGTCCATGCCGAACGGTTCTGGCAATATTGGCGGGGGTGGAGGCGATGGCATGCCGTCTCTACCGAGAAGGGGTCTTAACCGATCTTCGTCTGGAACATCGCTCATTGTTCGTGGTGGCGGAGGCGTGCGATTCATTCGCCTTCAAAACCCAACTCTTGAAGCGATCCAGGAATTCTTGGCTTCACTACTCCACCGCGACAAGGAGGATGTCGTGTCGCTGGCCAAGGCGCTCCGACAAAAGTCCTGGTTAACCATTCGACAGCTTGTTCTGGAATTGTACAGGACCGAGACCATCTACTTCAACTGCTTCAGTCGAGAGTGGGAGTGGGAGCCCTGTGAGGACACCCTGGGCGAGGTTGTGCGTCGATTGACGGGAGAGGAGTTTGCGTTCCTCGACCAACGGTTCCGTGCTTTGGACTGTGATACCAAAAAGACGTTAATCTGTGCGTCGATCTGTGGACCATTTTTTACGATCCATGATCTTCAACTTTTGGCATCAGCGGCGTTCACCTGGTCAGGAACGGAACCCAAGACGGCAGTGTCGAGCAATTGTACAGGACCCAAGCCGTATGCTCCAGATGAAGGTACTGCTGCTGACCCCTCCAGCACACCGGCGGCTATGAATTCGGGATGCAAGGCCATGGCCGGTCTGCAGTCTGCCATTCGGGAGGGAATTTTGGTTTATACCTCTGAACCCAACGAGCTGCGTTTCCACCACGGGACCATGCGTCGTGTCGCCGTGAACCTGTTGGACAGTCCCGAGCAAACCGAGAAGCTGCATTTCGAGATGGCCAAAATCCTTTTCAACACGCCGGGGCAGGAGTTCAGAACCGCCAGCCATGTTCTCCAGAGCCTTAACTTGATCAAGAAGAGTCTCGCCGCTGGAAAAATGGACAAGTCCTCGACGACCGCAACACCGGAGCCGGTAGTGGAAGCCGACAAGCCCAGCGACTGGAAGGAGCACTGTTTCTTAGGAAATCATCCACCGCCTGTGCTGGAGGAAGAAGACGACAAGTCATCTGGGCCGGATGGTCGTGCTCTGAGGGTGATCCTCTCACTGGCCGGAGAGAAGTCACAGAAGAGCGGCGCTCAGGATATGGCCCTTGCGTTTTGGAATGCTGCCATGGCTTTGTTGCCAGAACACTGTTGGGAGCGTTCTGACAAGACTGAGCCAGTCGACGGCAGTCTCAACAATGCAACTTCCACGGCAACTACCTCTCCGTCAAGCAGCAATAGTGTCCACTCGCTAACACCTCCCGACTCGGACCTTCAGGACATCGATATGGAGGGGCTTCTTGGATCGCCTAAACCGACGCGCTACACGATCTCACGCCAATTACCGCTCCACCATGAGGCCCTGAAACTGCACCTTCAGTGCATCGAGGCCGAGCGATGGCGGGAGAATTTCGGTCAAGCCATGAAGATATGTGAGATTGTCTTGGCGAATGTGACCGATCCGATCGACAGAGCTCGAGTTTATCAACACCAGATCGAGATGTCTGTTTGGGCCTACTCTTCCCCGGAGAAGGCAACAGCGATCACGATCAAGTGTCTGCAGGAACTCGGTATTCCGGAAGATACGCTGTTCAGCCCGACGGAGGAGGAGATGAGGGTTACTTTTGGCGAGACTCACCAGATGTTATTGAGGCATATGCCAGAGCTGGAGGCTGACCCGCCAAAGATCTGTCACGATCCAAAGATCGCCATGATGATGGAAGTTATGTCTGTCGCCAGGTAAGCCAACTGAATTATGCATTGCCTTCAATGCCTTTTTTTAGCTTGCATATCTGCGTATCAAGACAAGTTAATCTCGTTCGCTGACTCCTCTCTTCTTTCCATCTGAATACTTATCATAGTGCAAGTTTGTACTACTGCAATGTGCCGTTCATGGCCAGCGGGATCATTCAGTCGATGAGACTCACCTGTGAGCACGGCATTACCAAGGATGCAGGTCGAGCATTGGTGTCGTTTGCTCTCACCTACTCCACCTGGTACGGGTGCCTCGACAACGCTTACGAGCTCGGAAAGTAAGTTACACGACCTGCAATCTCGGAGTACAAGTAAACGAGAAATTGAATCCTGCACTTTTTTACTAACCATCATAACTCTCTTAATATTTCAGACTGGCGTGCGATGTTTCGAACGGGAATCAACATGTCATATTCTTGTTCTACATGACCGTCCAGCAGTGGGGCGATCACATCGCGCACGCTGTCTCGGCTTTGGAAGAAACCCTCACAGACGTCGATCTCACCTGCGACCGCCTCTTCCACACCGCAGGAATGATCCATGTTGCCGTGATCAAGGTCCTCCTCGGCCGCGTCCACCTCAACGACCTCATGACTAGCACCATCGACCATCTTGCCAAACATAACGAGTTTGGACCCAAGTCCCACGGAGTCGAGGTCATGCAGGGAGTCCTCCAGCTCGTGAAGTGTCTCAAGGGCCGGACAGAGTCGACCACCAACCCCGAGCTGATCTTTGACGATGCGGATTACTCCGAATCCAAGGCCCATGCTGCGAAACGGGCCATGAATTCGTTGAGTATGGTTCACAACAACAGCACCTACCAGATGCTCAAGATTGTTGCGGCGTTTATCTTCGGACATTACGCGTTCATTGAGAAGATGACGGAGGTTTGGCATGATGATCCCAAGTCGATCATGAATTTTGAGGGCTCTTGGATTGCGCACTCTATCTTCACAGTGGTCGGTCTGTCGTTGGTTAACCTGTTGAGAACGGAGAAGGATCCGGAGGTCCGGAAGCGTCATCAGAGACGGTTGTTGAGTATTCGGGATCAGATGAAGATGAGAGCCAACAAATACGCGACTAACCACGCCGCCATGTACTATCTCCTGGAAGCTGAGATGGCCGACCAAAGGCTGTGTCAGGAAGAGGAATATGGTGATGACGATGACTGCGATGGCGTCGAAGCCGACATGGAGGTGGATGACGATGACGAGTATGCCGCCCAGTGCAGGGTCTACAACGTGCTCTCGGACTCGAGACGACGTGGTCGCGGAGGAATGTTCATCCCTGCCATGAAGAAGGTCTTCCTGCTCTATGAGAAGGCCATCAAGTTCGCAACCGACGGCGATTTCCCACTCCACAAGTGCTTCGCCTACGAGCTTGCTGCGAAATGCCATCTCCGTCATGGACTCTTCACTAGTGCCAGGTGTCTGATGGCCAACTCTTGCAAGGTCTACCACAACTGGGGTGCCAAGGGTAAGGTCCAATGGTTCCATAGGACCTACCCTGAGATCTTCCCAGCTTCTCAGGATGACGACCCTGCGGGACTTGCGCGGTCGATGTTTTATCGACCTACCAGCGATAACGAGTCTAGCCGATATGCTGCAGCTGCGTCGAGTAGTTGCCCTATTACTACTGCCACTGCTGCCGCATCATCAGGATCATTCCGACAAGCCGCTAGCAGCGCTAATGCAGCTTTGGTTTATCCCCTTACTGCAGCTGCGACCGCCGCTACTTCTCCTTGGATGACCGCCAGCCCTCGCTCAACAATGAGCCCCTCTGATGTTGGAAACGATTCCTTGAACGCCGCTGCAGTCTCAGCAGCCGCAGAATCGGGTCTGACATCAACATTCCAGTCAGGCGTCAATGACCCGGCCAGTGCAACGTCGACAGGGACTTCCATCCTCTCGGCACCACTCTACTCCCTTCAAAACACATGGATTAGCTCCCCGCGCTCGCCCGAGATGGAGAATGTGGATTTGGATGTGATTGATTTCTCATCAGTCATAGAGGCGATGCAAGTCATTGCGAGTGAGATTGATTTGGAGCTGTTGTTGGTTAAGTCTCTTGGCGTGCTCAACCAATCCGTCGGTGCCAAGAAGTGCTCCGTCATCATCTCCAAGGACCACGAGCTCGTCCTGGCGGCCTCGTTGGGTGGCGACCGTGGCCGCTGCGAGTCTGTGAATCCTCCCATGAGGTTTGACCAGTGCAGCTCGCTGTTCCAGGGTGTCATCCACTATGTCATCAACATCTCCGCCCCTTGTCTGGTCATCAATGCCAAAGACGACCCTCGGTTCTGTGCAGACGAGTACGTCAAGCAACACGCCGACCTCAAGACCGTCCTCTGCGCGCCTATCCTCCATAAGACTACCCTCGTCGGTGTATTGTACATGGAGAATTTCCCTGAAAGGGCGTTCGCCAACAAGAGACTGTTGGTCATGAACCTCCTAGTCCAACAATTGGGCATCTCGATCACCAACGCATTGCTGTACCAGTCCGTTCTCCAATCCGAGACCAAGCTGAATGGGTTGTTGGAGAACATGCCCTGCGGCATAGCGTTGTGGGATGCCAACGCTGAGAACTGCCAGTACATTAATTCCACGTGGGGTGATATGACTGGCTACACTGTGGACCAGATCATGAAGTCGAGGTTGAGTGTCTTGGTCCATCCCGATGAAATTGTCGGCCATGGTATCGCCTGGAAGGATCGTGTCCGAGCTGGAGTGTCCTGCCAATGGTAAGTGTTTTATTTTTTTTGTCAATATTTCTATATTATCCTTATCCTTCTCTTTGATGAGCATGGTACTGATTGCCTACCACATTGAAACCAATGTCCTTTTAGGGAGGCGAGATACGGATTGAGTGATGGATCGTACCGCTGGGGAATTGTCAGGATGCTGCCTATCAAAGCCAACACGGAGAGGGCGAATATCCTGCAATGGTTGACTGTCACTATTGACATTGACGACCAGCGCCGTGCTGTCCAACTCAAGTCCAATTTTTTGGCCAACATGAGCCACGAACTCCGCACGTAAGTCCATTATTTCTTTTGACGCTTGGAGAGGTTTACTTGTGTTCATAAGTTGGCCCCCCCTGAGACTAACAAATTTGGTGGCAAATTATCATTGTGGTACAAACATTAGACCATTCTCCGGTATTTTGGGCATGCTGTCGCTGCTCAAGGATTCAAGTGGGTTGTCAGACGAACAATTCGAGTTTGTCGACATGGCCAAGGCTTCCTGTGAGATGTTGATCCGTATTGTTGACGACTTGCTCAACTTTAGCAAATTGGAAGCTGACAAGGTGACACTGGAGTACATTCCAATCTGTTTCGAGGAAATCCTTGGAGGTAGTTTACAACGTTATTTATGTATGCAGCTGTCGAGTGTTTCTGTGCGCATATGCCTTTAGAACTAACAATTTATGTTCTCATCCCTTGTAAAAAAAAAAAAAAAACTAGATGTGTGCGACTTGTTGGTTCCATTGGCATCGCGCAAAGGTCTGGAACTGATCATCCTCCTCGACCCCACCCTCCCCGTCCAACTCATCGGCGACCCAGACAGGATGAAACAGATCCTCATGAACCTCATCGGAAACGCCATCAAGTTCTCTACCTCCGGAAGTATCGTCATCAAGTACTGGCATGAGCTCCGCAAACGCGAGACCATCCCTGTCAAGAAACCCCCTCAATCTATCCTGGACATCCTGACGGGAAAATGTCGACTTGATTATTATAACACTAGTGGGGTGGAGCAGTTGAGGAAGAAGGTTGCATTGGAGTCGGATGAGTCCCATTTGGGCGATGAAGTCTTGCTGCATTGTTCTGTCACGGATCAGGGTATTGGGATGACGCCTGAGGAGCAGAAGATGTTGTTTGTTTCCTTCCAGCAGACGGATAGTGGGACCACTCGCAAGTATGGAGGTACTGGACTTGGACTCTCCATTTGCGCCCAGTTGATTGCCCACATGAACGGCAAGATCGTCGTCGACTCTGAGAAGGGCAAGGGCTCCACCTTCACCTTCACTGCAAAGCTAACAACCATGACTGATCAGGATAGAGCCGAGCACCCAGCAGAGAATGCACGGATCCAGGAATGTCGTGTGGTTCTGGTGAAGCGTGTCACGGCATTGAAGGACAAACGGATCTTGATCTTGTCGCCAAACATATACCTGAGGGAGCAGCTCAAGCAGACGATTGGGGGGCAGGCGCAGTTTATGGAGTTTGATAGTGTTGATTCGGCGATTGAAGCTCGGGCGATTGGGGTGCTTTGTGACTCGGAGGAAGGGTGTCCGGAGTTGGCGGATGCTTCGTCGTTGCATAGTGGGAGTGAGGAAGAGGAAGAGAAGGAAGATAATGTACCTGTGACTCAGGCGAAGCGACCTTGCAACGGCTCTGTCGCGCCACGCAGCGGAAGGACCCACTCCCAGGACGAACAAAAGCCGAGCGGCAGCCCTTGCAGCAAGGACCCATCCAAGAAGGTTAACAGCCCCTGCAAGGGTAAATCCACCGCAACAGCGTCAGACTTACCGCCGATCCAACCTTTCGACTTTATCCTCGTCGATCATGTCCTCGACTCTTCGGAACTCGATTGTATCCACCCGTCCCCCCGCGTCGCCTATGTCCTCCTCCTCGCACCCACCACCGAGACCTTGCGCTGGATCCTCCCACCCGCAACCGAGAAACGATATGATGCTAATCAGGATGAGGCTGCTGAGAGTGAGCAAGTGGATGTGGGGGGCCGAGGCCGGATCCGTCAGAGTTCCGAGGTGGATTTTGCGGCGAGGGCAATGGGACGTGTTCATAGCGCGTCGTATTCGTCCAAGGTCGATCATTCGACTCCTGTATCTACGCCCACGGCTCCGGCAAGGGCGCCCATTTGTGATGGGACCAAGAGTTTGGCTGCTGGACATTCCAGATCAGGAAACGCTTCCGCCACTACGGCGACGAAGGTTGCAGGATTGACTAGATTACCGTCACAGCTGTTCAAGCGGAGGAAGAACGGTGTGTCACATCAGGGTCATGTCCGCCAGGTCCTACTGAACAGAAGGGACCCCTCGTTCCAGGTGGTCCGGATGATCAAACCTGTTCGCCGGATGAAGCTGCTCCAGATCATGTCCAACGCTATTAAGCAGCATGAGCATCGTCAAATGTATCCTGAGGAGTACATGGAGGAAGACGAGGATGATAGGTGGCCGACCGGTGCTAGGTTGACTGAGTTGGATGAGGATGATACTAGCATGGGAGAGGAATACAGCCGGTCAAGGAGGGATAGTGATGTGTCGACGCCTACTTCTTCTGCGTACTCGACCCCTGCGGCAGCGTCATCGCCAATGTCTGACAGCTCGTCGAGTCGACCATCGCCGCACAAGACTCTAAAGCGCCAACGGCCGAATCCCGCTTTGTTTGACGAGGACCCTTCCGCCGACAACGAGTCAACAAAGCTTGACGAGCGGCCTCTATCAAAATCGGCAAGATTGACAACACTCAAGTCCTCGACAACCGCGGAAACAGCAGCAGCGGCGGCAGCGCGGAAGAAGGGCAAGAGTCGCCAAAGAAATCGTGCCATGGATATGGGTCAAGATACCGATGTCAGGAAGCGGGCTCGTAACAATGATGCTCTGTCGTTGCTTCTGTCACCCCGACAGCTCAAGATGTGTAAGGGCATTAATGTCCTCGTCGCTGAAGATGATTTCGTGTCTCAAAAGATCCTTGAAAAGTAAGTTTCTACTCCTATGCTCTTTGTCCTGTATGCCGCTTGAGTCTTGTGTTTGAAGTAAGTGCTGAGGCAGCTAGTTTTTTTTTTTTTTTACTTACAATTATTTTCCTACACGCTCCTTTTTTTTGTTATTTGTTGCATCCTTTCTATAGGCAACTGACAAAGTTGGGAATGAATGTGGTGATTGCCAACAACGGACAGGAGGCCGTCAATCGATGGCTGGCCGCTGAACGTGATCACTACACCGTCGCCATTTTCGATCACGTAAGTGTTCTCCCACCAGAACTTTATCTCTTTCCCCCGTTCCGAGCGGCGACTATGAAGTTCATGTTCCCTCACCCATCAAAAGATAAACTCGCATACTAATCATCCCCCCCCCCCCCCCATGACTATTGGCCATGTTCATTTACCTACCATAGCATATGCCGATCATGGACGGTCTAGCGGCGACAAGGATGATTCGGTCCTTGGAAGCAGAGCACATGGCAGAGGAAAAAGAAAGGCAAAGACTCAACCCCAACAACGACGACGACGACAACAAAGCCAATAGGGATCAATCAACAACTGGAGAAGGAAGCGCAAGGTCTGGCGTCTTCAAACCAACTAGGAACCCTAACCGCATCCCTATCGTCGGTCTGAGTGCCGACATCCAGCACGCCACCAAAGAGGTAAAGTCCCGATTTTGACAAAGGGGGGTTCATGGTTGTAAAACATGCCACATGCCAACAATTTTGAACATCCAAATTTAACTCTTTCTTTTGGTCCCCCATTTGTCATTTGATAGAAATGTATCAAGGCAGGAATGGACGAGTATATGACAAAGCCGCTATTGACCCAAGGACTTGCGATCTTGATTCAGAGATACTGCTGTGAGTAGCAAGGGCAATGGCGGTACCACGCATACCCAACCTTGATCGAAAGTTATGATTTTGTCAACTACATCAAAGTGCCGACCAAGATTTCCAACATATAAATACAAAAAAAAAATTGGTCGGTCGTACACTACAGAAATAAAATATTTAGTAACTGCAATCGTTCTATGGTCTACCTACAAGGACAGAAAAAGGGGTGTAACTCGACAATAAGATTACCAGGTAACAGAGTGTGGGGGGGGAGCACAGAGGAGAGCTTACGACTCTGGTCATGTCTGGGAGTTGGCGCAACAGTATCTCTGGATCAGCAGTGCGAGCCCCTTAGTGAGCAGAGGCTTGGTCATGTACTCATCCATTCCCGCCTTGATGCACGACTTTTTTTTTTCGCCAGCAAAAGAAACAAAGAACTGTGTCAATTCATCTGAACCTTATAAAAAAACACATTTGTCAAAAGTACAGAAAAGAAAAAAAAATATCAAGACCTACGAAGAAGCCCCCCCACCCTTTCAAAACACATACCTCTTTGGTGCTTTGTTGAATATCGGCACTGAGTCCAACAATCGGGATCCGGGTCGGCTTCTTGCCATCGTGCCGTCCCTGTGCAAACTCTCCTTCCAATGCTCGCACCTTCCTCGTCGCCGCAAGTCCATCCATAATCGGCATGTGCTATTTTCGTAACCGTAATCATTGCAAAGTATGTAAGGGTTAGCAGGCAGACCAAAATTCAACATATACATGACTTATGCCTACCATGCATTCAACCTGGCTGATACGTACGTGGTCAAAAATGGCAATGGTGTAATAGCCCCGCTCGACAGACAGCCATTGGTCCACGGCTTCCTGTCCATTACTCGCAATCATCACATTCATCCCAAGCTTTGTCAATTGTCTAGGGGGGGGAAAGAAAAGTATATATGAAAGTTTAAAAAAAACGTATCACATACGAAAAAAAAACCCCCAAAAAGTGTTAAGATAAAAAAAAACACTGACAAACAAAAGAAAAACTTACTTTTCAAGGATCTTTTGAGAAACGAAATCATCCTCCGCAACAAGAACATTCTTCCCGCGACAACTATTGCGCTCCTCAGGAGTCAAGAGCAGCGCCAGAGCGTCATTGTTCCTAGTGCGCTTCGGGAACGAATTGTCGTCAACCCCAATGACTGCTCCGCTCAACCCAAGGTTCCTAGGCGGATCAATCTCAGCTTCGGCAGTAATCTGCGTCGGTTGCGCGACAACTACCGTTGGAGTCGTACTTGATCCTCCTCTCATGACCACAGTGTCATCGATCGAACTCTTTTGAGCCTTGGACACGCGTGTCAGGTCTGGATCCTTATTGGTGCCCGAAGCAGCATCCTGTCTACGTCTTCGCTTCAACGGTACTGGGCGGCCTGAAGACGATGAAGTCGACATTGGCGAATTCGACCGTGACCGAAGAAGGGGCGACGGGGGCGACAAATGAGAATCAAACGTCGCATCCGTGGTCGACAGCCGACGCTTCTTGTCCACTCCAGTATCCGAGTCTGAATCATTCTCGGTCGAAGTCTCCACAGTCGAACCCCGACGGTATCCCGAGTCCAGACTCTCAGTTCCATCATCGTCTTGGTGATCCTCGTGTTGCAAGCGGTGGTTGTGCTGGTGGATTGCATTGTAGAAGATTTGAAGAAGCTTCAGCCGTCGAACAGGCTTGATCATCCGACAAATCTGGAACGTGCTCGTCTCCATCTTGGGTTGCTCGTCACCTTGAAGAGCATGGTGAGGAGCAGGTCTTGTCACCGTCATCAGGCCACGCGACTTGCGCTTCTTGAAAAGATCTGAGGGCACCTTGAGAGTGCTCTTCGCGGCTCCTGACTGAGTCGACGATGTTGGTCGTCCGGCAATATGACTGTGGGTCACGTAAGGGTTACTAATGTTGGAGTTGGTGGTGTTCGCTGCGGAGACTCTCTGAACTCGACCAAGAGGTTGGTCCCCCAGGTGGGCGTCACCTTCTCGGCGAACCCTTCCTCTGCCTCCGACATCAAGGGCTCCAGACTCCTCGGGCTCGTCAGGTTGCTTCTTGGCGGCTGGTGGCAGAATCCATCTGAGAGTCTCCGTCGTGGGGGCAAGTAGCAAGACAAAAGCAATCGCTGGCGACGGGTAGATCCAATCCAGCTCTGCAGAGTCTAAGACGTGATCCACCACAATAAAGTCGAAAGGAGCAAGAGTCTCCAAGCCCAGAGAATCCCTACAGCCAGCGGTCATAATATCGTCTTCCGCTGACACTCCTAATCCAGAATGGCCATCCTTGGGATCAACATCAATTCGTATGGGTGCAGATGGCTTTGCGGCCGAGGTCGAGAGGCCAGTCATCTTGATAACGCCACTCTCCAACGCAGCCTCGACGGTCTCATACTCGACAAATGTGGTGTCCTGAAGCGTCCGCCTGATTTGCTCTCGGAGGTCCCGATTCGGCGACATAATCAAAATCCGCTTGCCCCTGATGAGATCCAAACGAACATTCAGGATCTTATCGCACTCCTTGATCCTTGAACTCTCGGCTGGATTCTGCTCTTGGTCAAAGTCTGTCGGTGTCCTCAGACAGGCCGTGAAAGTAAATGTCGCGCCTTTGCCCTTCTCCGAATCGACCACAATCTTGCCGTTCATATGCGCAATCAACTGAGCGCAGATCGACAACCCCAATCCGGTGCCTCCATACTTGCGCGTAGTTCCGTTATCGGTTTGTTGGAACGAGACAAAGAGCATCTTCTGTTCCTGAGGGCTCAGTCCGATTCCTTGATCCCGAACAGAGCAGTGCAAAACAACCTCGTCCCCAAGATGGGAATCGTCCTCCAACTCGACACGGCCCGAGGTTTTGCCAGAGAGGATCTTGAGCAGATCCTGAGATGAGGCGGCAGATCGGCGCGGTTTCTTCTTGTTCATCTCGTGCCAGAACTCAATGACGACGTTGCCGGTGGTCGAAAACTTGATGGCGTTACCAATGAGATTCATCAAAATCTGCTTCATCCTGTCGGGGTCGCCAATGAGGAGTATCGGGAGCGTACTGTCGAATAGCATTATCAACTCCAAGCCCTTGCGCGACGCCAACGGCACTAACAGATCACACACATCTACAAGAGAAAAAGGAAATGTCGATATGTTAGCGAGAGATGGTCGGAAACTTGAACTGGGAACAGATAACACATTTCCATAAAGAAAATGGTGCGCTAGTTACCTCCAAGGATCTCCTCGAAACAGAGCGGGATGTACTCCAGTGTCACCTTGTCGGCCTCCAGTTTGCTGAAATTGAGCAAGTCATCAACGATACGGATCAGCATCTCGCAGGAAGCTTTGGCCATGTCAACAAACTCGAACTGCTCCTGTGAGAGCCCGCTCGAGTCGCGGAGGAGCGACAACATGCCCAAAATACCAGAGAATGGTCTAATATTTGCATGATGATGAGAGGTTGCCACCAATTTGTTAGGCTCGAGAGTCAAAGCTGCTTTGCTGACCAAATATACAATATTCGTAGCATGGGTTTAGAGAAAAACTCAAAAAGACTTACGTGCGGAGCTCGTGGCTCATGTTGGCCAAAAAATTGGACTTGAGTTGGACAGCACGGCGCTGGTCGTCAATGTCAATGGTCACTGTAAGCCATTGGATGATCCTGTTGTCCGACGGTGACTTGATCGGCAACATCCTCACAATCGCCCACCGAAATGACCCATCCTTCAGCCTGTAACGGCTCTCCCTACAATAAATAGAATCAGTAATAGTGTCAAGAGTTGCGCCACATACTCACCAAGATGCATTTTGTGAAGAAAGCAATTCATATCACATACCATTGACAAGGAGCCCCAGCTTGAACGCGCTCACGCCAATGCTGGGCGTAGATCGCAACCTCGTCGGCATGGGTCAGAATCGTCCATCCTGAATCCATTATTTCATCGATCGAAAATCCAGTCATGTCCCTCCAGCTCGAGTTGATGTACTGGCATTTCTCGGCCGTAGCGTCCCACAAGGCAATTCCACAAGGCATGTTCTCCAGCAAGCCATTCAATTTGGCCTCGGACTGAAGCACCGACTGGTACAGCATTGCGTTAGTGATGGAGATTCCCAACTGCTGCACCAGAAGGTTCATCACCAACATACGCTTGTTCGCAAACGCACGCTGTGGAAACGCTTCCATGTAGAGCACTCCGACCATAACACCCTTGTGAACGATCGGCGCACAGAGCACCGTCTTGAGATCGGACCGCTGCTTGAGGTACTCGTCCGCACAGAACCTGGGGTCGTCCTGAGCGTTGGTAAGCAGACATGGGGTTCCAGTGTTGATGACATAGTTGATGACACCCTGGAAGAGCGAGCTGCATTGGCTAATCTCTATCGGCGGGTTCACGGCTTCGCATCGTCCAAGATCGCCCTGGGACACTGCCAGGACCAGCTCTTGGTCCTTGTCAATAATCACGCAACAGCGTTTGGCACCGACACTCTGGTTGAGAACCCCGAGAGACTTGACCAGAAGCAAGTCCAGGTCGATCTCACTGGCAATCACCTGCATCGCTTCGATCACGGACGAGAAGTCGAGGACGTCCAGATCGGCATTATCCATCTCTGGCGACTGAGGCGATGAAATCCAGTTACTGTTGGGAAGAAGAGGTCCTGAGATCGAGCTTGTTGTTGAGGCGCTTGAGTGCATACTTGAAGTAAGACACGACTCTGCCATAGCCGCGGCTGCCGCCGAAACAGCATCGCTCCCGTATCCACCCGGACTGTACATCGTCTTGGGGCTCCCAGAAAGCCAAGGTGAGGTGGCCGCATGGGAGGGTGCCCCAACAACGGTGCTGCTGACATTGGAGGCGCCAGTGGGTATCGCCCCGGCAGAACTGTTGGTTCGAGGACGACGGACAGAAGGACTATCGTTAGGCCGATAGAAGAATCCACGTGCAGGCACCGCGTTTTCAGTCTCGGGTAGCACTCCGAAGATCTCAGGGTACGTCTTGTAGAACCAAAGGACCTTGCCGCGAGCTCCCCACATCTGGTATCCCTTGCATGAGTTAGCCAAAAGACATCTGGCGCTGGTGACAAGTCCATGGCGGAGGTGGCACTTGGCGGCCAACTCGTACGCAATGCATCGGTGAAGCGGGAAGTCGCCATTGATGGCGTAGGCGATCGACTTTTCGTACAGCAACAGAATCGACTTCAAGTCCTTCTTGGACTCCTCTTCCTGATCAGCCATTTCCGCCTCAACCAGGTGGAACATCGACGCATGGTTTGTCGGGAACTTGAGAGCTCCCTTCTCCATCCTGTCCTTGACCGCGAGTAGCTGGCCGCGTCGTCGCTCCCTGACGTCTGCGGGTTGTTCAACTCTCATCAGGCTGACGAGGGTTAGTCCAATGACCGTCAGTATCGAGTGGGAGATCCAAGTGCCTTCAAAGTTCATCATCGACTTGGGGTCGTCGTGCCAGCTTTTGGTAATCTCGTCAATGAACTCGTAATGTCCAAAGACGAAAGCCGCCATGATCTTCAGCATAGTGTAGGTGCTGTTGTTGTGGGCCATAATGAGTGACTTGTCGACCTTACCGCGAACCTTGGACTCTGCAAAATCGTTATCGTCAAAGATGGTCTCGGGGTTCTCCGACTGCGTTTGACCCTTGAGACACTTGACCAACTGCAAAATGCCTTGCATAACCTCAACTCCATGCGACTTGGGACCGAATTCGTTGTGCTTGTTAATAAGATCTGTTGTCGCCGTCATGCAGTCGCGCAGGTGGACACGGCCAAGGAGGACACGCATGACCGAGATGTGTATGGTTCCTGCAGTGTGGAACAGCCGATCGCAGGTCATATCCGAGGCCGTCAGTGTTTCCTCCAGTGCGGGAATTGAGTTAGCGATATGTTCGCCCCACTGCTGGACCGTCAAATGAAAGAGAAACTTGACATGGTGGTTGTCCTTGCAGACTCGGTATGCCAACCTATTAGTAATGAAAGAATATGTTAATTGTCGCTCGGAATATTAACGATAACCGATAGTGCGTTTGACGGAAGCCATCCTTGCTCTACTTACTTTCCGACTTCATAGGCATTCTCGAGAACGCCATGCCAAGTAGAGTGGGTCAATGCAAATGAGACCAATGCGCGCCCGGCGTCCTTGGAAAATCCGTACTTGCAGACCAGCTTGAGGGACTCTACCACTCCAACAGCAAGGAACGGCACATTGCAATAATAGAGACTCGAGCTAAGAAAATGTAGAGTTAGGTGGCCAGACAATTTCTTACTTAAACAAAAATGCTGTCGTACTTGCGGACGAAAATAAAGACTTGTGTATAAGACCTACTTTGCGACAGAGAGAACTTCCATCATCATGTTGATCCTTGGGTCCGTGCAAACTTTTGGGTTTTCCGCCTGCAGCTCCGCCATATGGCTTAACAACAAAAGATGAGTCTCATCATACAGCTTCCGGATCTCAGCTTGGGAGGGGTTGAATGAAATGTCCTTGGGCAGCCCCAGCTCTTGCAAACACTGAATCGCAATCCGTGTCGCCTCGTCCGGTCGACTGAAGGCCCATACCGAGACCTCGATCTGGTGCTGGTAAACCCGTGCGCGGTCAATTGGGTCTGAGATCTTGTCCAAGACGGTGTTGCAGATACTCATCGCCTCGTCAAAGTTCTCCCGCCAACGCTCGGCCTCAATGCACTGAATGTGAAGTTTCAATGCCTCAAGGTAGAGCGGCGTTTTAACCTGAGGGACCTCATGCACAATATCTTCCGCCTCGTCAACATCCTTTTCGCTCGACCCGAGACTCTCCTTGGTAGCTCCAGCAACAGGCAAGTCCCAGCAGTTCTCGGGAAGCAACGTCAAAGCAGCATACCAGTTCGCCATAGCCAGATCCTGCGCCCCACTCTTCTGAGACTTTTCGCCTGCAAGAGATAGTATCGCTCTTAGAGATTCGGTGTCCAGCGCCGGGTATTCAGCATCAGCATCATCATCCACGACAGGAACCCAATACGGTATTTCCTTGGGCGCATCAGGGTCGACAGGAACTAGTTTCTTTTTGATGAGGTCCAGTGACAGCAAGACGTGGTTCGCCGTCCGGAACTCTTGACCAGGAATTTTGAGCAGAATCTTGGCCATCTCGTAGTGCAGACGCTCCTTCTCATCAGTACCCTCCAAGAGAGTGAGAGCAACCTTGCGCATGATGTTGTGGTGGAACCTAACGTGATCCGGTAGGGTAGTGTACGCAAGGATGCCCTCCCGCAATGCCGACTGCAATCCTGCCATGGCGCTGCTGCCCTTGTTGGAATCGGGCTCAGCCGTCTCGGGAGCATGGTTGAGTTTCTCGTGAGGAGGGTGGGTCCCTTGGCCTCCTTTGGTTGACCAAACGTACGCTGTCGACGCAAGGTGCTGGAGGTCGTGGATGCTGATAACGGAACCGCAGACCGCCGCACAGTTGATGATCTTTTTGGTATCGCAGTCCAAGTTACGGAAACGTTGCTCCAGGAACGCGTATTCCTCGCCAGTCAACTTCCTGACCTCGTGTGCCAGTGTCTCGGCACAGGACTCCCACTCCCAGGCCTTGGTGAGCGAGTTGAAGCGGATGGTCTGGTTCCTGTACAACTCCAGAGTGAGCTGACGGATCGTAAGCCAAGACTTTTGATTGAAAACCTTAGCGAGAGGGGCGACATCGGCCTTGGTATGGTGAAGAAGGGTCGCCAAAAACTCTTGGATGTTGCCGGTCGACGGGTTCTGTAACTTGATAAACCGAACCCCTCCGCCTCCGCGAACCACCAGCGGAAGTCCTGTAGCCCGGATCGCAGTCGTCTTGGTCATGGGTGCTGGGGCCGACATGGAAGTGTTCAAACTCGAAATCTCGTCCACCAAAGGATCGTGGTGAATGCTTCCGAGTGTGCCATAGCTCCCCGTAGGATTGTTTCCGGTTGGATTGCTTCCTCCCAGAATCTGCTTGACTTTGATGAGACAATCGATGGTATCCCGGTGTGTCATGATGAGGACGATTGGGAGTCGTTTGTTGACGTTGACCAAGGTTGCCAGTAACGCGATCGAGTTTTCGTCCGCGTAGTGGATATCATCGATGAGCCAAGTCATGAAAAAGTGTGTCGAGATGACTCGAATCAACTTAAGAATGAGGGCATGAAATCGAGCTACAGAGTGGGTGAGCGGGATGTCTTTGCTGTCTGGCATGACGGAGCCGTTGAAAAAGTACTTGAGCTCCGGGATGAGGTCGCAGACGATTCCGATTCCTGAATTGGGCTCAAATGCTGTCCGGATAGCGACAACCAGCGAGGCGAGGGCGTCCGTGTGCTGAGTCAGCAATTGCTGTAGGACACTCTGTATACACGACAAAATGGCTGAGTAGGGTTCCGACTCATCCGCTTCAAAACTCCCTCCTGCAAACAATCCCGAGCTGCGCGCCACCGGTGCCATTCCTCTGATCAACATCGACCTAAAACAAGACCAGAGAAAAAGTATACGTTAATTAATGCGCAAGTACTTCAATGGATTCGTACATAACTGAATGACGACGTAGTACTTACTTTCCGACGCCAGATGGACCGCTAACAAAAATGGCTCTGACAACAGGATCGGTGGTCTCAAGTCCCCGGTGGACAGCCTTCCCGCCATCAAACGACTTTGGTGTCCTGAGCAGTGTCTTTGAAGACAGCGAGATCTTTGCACTAGCCTGGTTCTGTAGCGACACAATCTCGTCCTCAAAGTCATAATGGTCGTCATCCATCGCCATCATTTTTGGTGTCGGACCATCGTCCTCGTTTGAGCTGGTGTCCGAGGCATCGCTGTTGTGCTGGTAAGCTGCCGCCGCTTGTGAAATAGCTGCCGAGATCATTTGCTGCTCAATGTATCGTCCAAAGATAGTGTTCGGGAGCACGAACTGGTAAGACACATCATGCTTCCCGAGAGGAAATTGCTCGACCTATTCACGTAAGCAAATTACTGGTCAGCCTCCAGTCATGATTGCAAGTTACCCATGTCACATTGCCAACTGATGACCAAAGGTCCTCCTTACAGATCCAGTCCTGTGCAGTTCGTTGAGACAGTGGAGAATATCCTGCTTGAAGCCGAAAGCGTTTTGATACCGCTGACTTGGTTGCTATTTTAAGCAAACATAATAAGATGCTAGTCTTTAGTTTTCAACTTTTGAAAGACATTCATGTATTAGCAAAAGGAGAAATGGTGGCTACCTTCTTGGTCATCTTGCGGAGGATGTCGTCAATTACTGGCGGTATGTCAGGCCGGAAGTCCCGTAGTGGTGGCAGCTCTCTTGAAAGGACGCCTACGATTTTGAGTTCATCCAAGTGAAAATCAACTCTTGGTTAATGCGCGCATAAAGAAGATAAGCAAAGTGCTCCGCCATCATCACACTTGCAATAATTACCTTGTAAAATTTGAACACTGTCTGTGCCACGATTTGGGAACTGCATAGTCAACAGTGTGAACAGCGTGGCACCGAGTCCGTAGATATCCGTTCGGTGATCCATCCATGTCTCTGCTCGCCCTGTCTGCTCCGGCGCCAGAAACTGCAAATGGTACTCCAGGTATCCGGGAATGTGCCACTCAAAAATGTTGTTCGGCGCCCTTGCACGTTCATGACTCAGAATCTTGGAATGCGTGAAGTCGAAAAGTCGCAGTTTGGTATCATTAACGTCCCACTTGGGCGACTGTGGCAATGCGCTGAAATATCCTGACCCACTGTGTGTCATCGGAGGGTTGCCCGCCGCTCCGTGGTCGCTGTAAGGATGTACTCGATCAGAGTCAAAAGAGTCCGCATCGTGATACAACGACGATGGGTTCCGTGGAGTGCTCCGCTGCACAGTCTCTTCTTGGGATGACTGTTCTACGCCGTATGACTCGGGAAGTGACCAGTGGAACGCGGTTGGCGACAATGCCAGATGTGCAACGTTGGACTTTTGTAACGCCTCCAAGACACAGGCAGCCTTCAGACAAAACACCAGAAACGTGTAGGTGTCTGGAAAAGGCGATGCGCCCATCCTGTCCGCATGTAGCTCCGAGTTCTGGTGACTATCCGTGTCGTCGAGTCCTGTGAACCGGTGCTGCTGGTGCGATAGGAGATTTGGTCCGAGACGGCGCATAATAAGTATAGACATCTGAGTCCGATCCAGATCAACAAAGTCAACCACGGTCCTGTTAAAGTACTTCTCGCCCTCTACCAGCCCGGACTCGTACTCGGTTGGACAATCGCCTGGCGTTGTTTTATTACTGCTCCCGCTCCCGCTCCCACCATCGCTTCCTGGCGGTGTTGTTTGTGGATGTGGTCGACTCAGATTGCTGTGGGGGTTATATCGTCCGTCCTTGATCTGAAATCGTTTTAAGATCCTGTGCTCGTGTTGTAGTAGCGTCAATGACTGGTGTAGCTTGCCCGTAACTGGTAACCCGTCCGATATCCGTCTGCCGAGCATCAATCCCATGTTGCCTGCCTGGGACCCTCCTCGAAACTCGTATCCGGCAACCCGTGGGGGATGGAACGCAGAGCTGTTGGTATGTGATGGTGGTTTGTAAGGGTTGTCGTGACCCAGCTCTTCTTTACGGCGATGAAAAGAGGCTGTGCTTGGGAAGGTGGCGGAGGATCTGCTGGGAGCGCTTCTTTGGTGGGAGCTTGCCGTGATGTACTCTTGCTCGGTACGCATCACAGGCGGTAATAGCGCTGCACTTTTTGAAATAAGAGGGACAACCCCCTGTGTTGACGAGCGAGAAGAGTTGTCTGCCATGATATTAGGGACGAAGGAGGGTTGGAAGAGGAGGGAGGGGCGATGGCTCCACCGGGAGGCCACATCGTCCGTACAGTTGTTGTTGTCCAATTCCCGAGGAGGTGGTGGCACAGGGTCGTACATATCTGTTTCACGTGTGATGCTGTCTACCAGTGAGGTTGACGAGTCCATTGTCCTCATACGAGGTCGGTGCATAGTTGGTATTGCTGGTGGTGGTGGCACTGGGAGTGGCATGGGCAGTTGACTTTGGGGTGGGGGTAAGGCTGTTGAGGCTCCTGCAGTTGCTGCGGCTGTGAAGAGAGGGAAGGCGGCGTCATGACCAGCTATAGGTGCATAGTGGACGTATGCGTAAGGAGGTGGTGCCTGCTTGAGGATGGATGCGAGGGTGACCTGGCCAAGTCTAGAGGAGGAGGTGGTGGTAGTGGAGGATGGGGCCTGTGAGGGTGCGGATGGGCTGGAGGGGTTGGAGGGGCTGTTGGTTGGCCGCATCAAAAGGTATATGGGAAAGAGTGATTTGGATGGTGGTGTGTAGCGTCGCTTGTTCTGACAGAGGTTGAGGGTCCGTTAGGCTGGTTGTACCGACTGGTTGTGGTGAAGGAAGAGAGAGAGAGACCGTTGTGATAAACACAAAAAAGAAAAAGGGCGGTGTTATTCCTTTGCTGTCTGATGTTGTAAGTCTGTCTGTGTGTGGGTGTGAGTGAGGGTGATGGCGAAGGATGAGGAGGCAAGTGCAGTGCGCGAGTGAGAGATGGGAGGGGGGGGAATCAAGAAGAGGCAGTAGTCAAGACGACTTTAGACAACAGCGCGTGCAAGAAGAACGAAGAGGCGAACTGGACTGGGGCACAGGAAGACGGGCTGCTTTCAATTGGCCAGCTCTCTTTCTCTCTTTCTCTCTTTCTCTCTCTATTGGATCCTTTATGCGTTCGTGTCCTTGTTGCCTGAGCGTGTCCGTTTCAACTCTCCCAGGTAAAAAACGAGGGCACGCATGCACGCAAGCACAGTAAGAGCAAACGCTAATCTACAGATGGCCCACAAACTGAAATAAGCGACAACACACAAACACACACCCCCATAAAGACACAGCAGCCTTTGACGTGAAATAAAAAAAAGTGACAATGGGATTTCTAATGGTAAATATGTTCTACTCCTCTTCCTGCTACTACTACTACAACTACAACCCGCTAGTAAAGACACAAGCACGCTCGTCTATGCCTCGGGGGCAGCATCGCCAGACTTGGCATGGGCATCCAAGTTCATCACCAACAGGGTAGGGTTCATACCCAAGAGCTGGACAAGGCGTCCACCACCAGCCTGGCTCAAAAGACCAACAACCTGCGACCGGAGAGTCTGGATACCAGGCATCTCGACCATCTTGGCCATATCGTCCACGCTGACCAAAGAATCGTCAACCTTGCCTCCGAGCAAAATCATCTTGCGGTTCTTCTCCACAATCTTGCGGATTCCTGTCAAACCCTTGGGCACCTTGGCCGACGACTGTGCCTCCTCGTCCTCCGGGCTGACGTTGCAACTGATCACACAAGTAGGTCCGTTAATCAAGGGCTCCAGGTTGGCGTAGCGTGTTTCCCTGAGAGCAGCAGCAAAGATACCGAGGCGAATGACCTTCATCTCAGCACCGGCAGCGGCGAGCTCTGTGCGGAGCTGGATCAGCTCGGGGACGGACATGTTGTTGTGTTGGCAGATCAGCATGATGCGGTTGTTATTGAGAATGCTGGAGTAGGCGTGGTGCAAAAAGGTCTTTTGTGGGCGGAAGTCCTTGCCGTAGTTGGTGAGCTTCTTTCCTGAATCAACCGCCGCCGCCTTGCGTGATGATCCCTTTGCCGAGATATGTGATGTTGAGGCATCTATTTAAATTGAAAAGTTGGCGGGGGTGTGAGCCGTGTTTCTTTTGTGAGAGACTTCCTGAAGATTGTACTATGAGTGCCAACTGCAAGTTGTTGGCTGGCCTTACATTGACGGACAGTAGAAGCGGTCAATGGCCGCACGGAACGGGCAGCGATTCCTATTGATATATAAGAGTAAGAGATCATAAGACAATTAGTCTTTGGTAGATCGAAGTTTGTCTGTCTTGAATACGCTCTTGCATGGTCCTCGTGCCTCACAGTGCGTGGAGTTGCAACATAACGACGAGGTGTGTCCTTTGTGCGATATGTCTGTGATCCACGACATCACGGTTCGTATCTCCTTCTGCTTGCTTTTTGCCAAAGGTTTTGGTTCCTGAAAGTCGCTCCTGATCACGCGAACATAGTCCGAGTTACAAAGCACTGTTGAAATCTCGCCATAAGAAATCCGGTGCTGGTTTGTCCATGTGTTCCTTGTATGCGAATTAAGAACTCATGCTGGCCTCCGTATGTTTATATACCTCTGACAGACGACAACATGGTGATGTAGGTTGTGAGGGTTGGTTGGCTTTGCTGAGGAGATGCTAGAGGATGCAAGGGGCGACCCATCCCCCAGTCCCTGAACCTTTTGAGCTCCGGGAAGCGGATATTGTTGTTCGGTGGCTTGAACTGAATCGAGTTTGTAGCATATCATTTTACCAGTCACGCAAACAAACATTTGCTTTCTTTTTTTCTTTTGACCCCCCAAGCTTTGCCTGCATTCAACTCACAAAAACACATCACCTTCACACACAAAACAACCATGGCGCCCAAGTCCCGCGAGAACGTCAACAGCGATATCGAGTCCAGCGACGACGAAGGCATCAAGAACCTGTACGTTTACTAGAAAAACACACATAACCGAAACAATCAACAAACTATCTCGCGCACAAGGAACTTTTTGTCACAAAACAACAACACAAACAAAACAAGCACAAGCACAAGCACAAGCACAAGCACAAGCACAAGCACAAGCACAAGCAAAAGGAACTAACTCAGCGCAACAAATCTTCAAATTGACCATCGATAGTGACTACAAGCCCCCTCGGGATTTCTCATTGCATACGGCCAAGAAGCACGCACACTCAGTATTCGACGTGGATGAAGCATCCAAGCACGAGCTCTGGCTGATCAGGGTCCCCGAGGGCGTCACAAACGAGGATCTCGAAACCATGTCTATCACCCTCCCCCCTTCAACCAAACCAACAACATCAAAGGAAACCACCACACTCGGCTCATTGAAGAAGAAGGAAATCTCGGCCTACTCCTCTGCGACCACCACCATTAAATACTACCTCCAGACCGTTTCGCCCGACTCTGGAATCGCCGGAGAGATGCTTTCACTCCAGCCCCTGATCCCCGCCGCTAACAAGGGAGGTCGTCTTCTTCAGGCACCCAATGGAGTACACCAACACCTCGCCCTCGTTGCTTCTACCTCTATCCCTTCAGGACAGACCTTGGGAGAGGAGATCTTGTCTCGCCCTGTCCCCAAACGCGACCAACCCGAGGGTTTGAAGCAGAGATTCCAGTTTGCTGGAGCCGATTCCCCAGCCCCTGGAGCAAAGTTGTCAGGATCGGGCAAAAAGTTTGCTGCTGAATGGTTGAAGACCTTGGAGAAGAGAGCAAGCGAGGCAGAGGAAGAAGCAGAGAAGAAGCGTCAGAAGGAGTTGGAGGCTGCCATGGAGGATGACGAGGAATTGGAGGAAGTTGCTGCAGTTGAGGAGGCAGAGGAGGAGGAGGAGGCAGAGGAGGAACAGGAGCAAGAGGTGGAAGAGTCACAGCCATCACCAGCCAAGAAGCGCAAGGGCGAGGATATGGAGGTCGATGGATCAGAGGAGAAGAAGGTCAAGAAGGAAAAGAAGGACAAGAAAAAGAAGGAGAAGAAGAACAAGGATTAATTTACCTACCACTACCACCACCACCACTATTTTGCATATTCAAAACAATACATATCATTTTTCAAAAGGATATTTTGAGCAGAGTGGTGGACACAATGGTTTATTATCTTAGCTTCGCTGCGGGTATAAACCTCACATTCCGGAACTGACCCATCACCGGCTGCCGTCGGTTCGCAGGCCAGTAAAACTTGCCCGCCCAAAGATCCTCCTCCTCGTCATGCGTCCAAGAGTTCATCGCGAGCTTATACTCGACTCCAGGCGTTCGCGGGTCAGCAGTCCAAAGATCCGTCCTCCTCAAGACCTCCTTTCCATCCACCGACCAAGCAATGAACTCTGGCTGCCATTCAACAGAGTATGTATGCCATCCCTTGGACGCATCAAACCCAAGCGGAACCTTGACAGCTTGCTGAGTAGACCCCTTCCAAACCGTCAACCAAGCAGCCGTCGGATCCAAACCCGTCAACTCAATATCGATCTCACTACCCCCTCCAGGGGCACTACTATGAGCAATCAAGAACATCGCCGTGACATGACCCCGCAGGTCCGTCGACACCATATCCACCGAATACTTCCCATACCCAATACCCCTATCTCTCGAGATCATCTCTCCGCAATTGTAAGGTCGCCCCGGATGTGGAGGTCGTTTGCTTCCTGGAGGCGCGGGTATGGGCAGACCGTTGCTCTTGGTGATCAAGATCTGGGTGCCCCAAGGGGTCATCACGACGTTGCGCCGGTTGTAGACACAACTCCACCGGAGAGGTCCTGTCCCGTCTGGGATAACGTAGTTTGGAGGAACTGTGACGTGATAGGAGGAGAGGGGGTCGACGAATGGCCGGACTGGTAGTGGATGTTTGACAGGACTTGACACTGAAAGGTGGCCCATGGAATTGGAGTTTGGGCTTGGACTGGTCTCGGTCTCGTTGAAGTTGAAGTCGAATTCGTTGGAGAACAGGGCGGGGTCTGCGCTGTAGCCGCTGCCAATGCGGACGTTGGTGCTCACTTGTATAATGCTTCCTGGTGCTGAGATATCCAAGGCTATGTTGGTTGTATCGGCATTAGCTATGACTGGTTCATTGTTGCTGTCGGCGGCGGGTGTCGAGGGTACAATGGCCGAGGAGCCAATGCTTGTAACCAGTGCAAGCGTGAGCGCCAACGAGAAGAGCCCAGTTGATGTCTTGCGAAACTTCATATTTGAAGGAGCAGTGGATGTTACAAATGTGCAAGTAGGTATAAGGAAACAAAGGCTTGAATGAGGGGGAACACAAGTAGACAACTTTGAAAAATAGAAGAGAAGAAGCCATTTGAAAATGAAGAGCAAGGTCAAGGGGGATATGGAATCCAATTTGTACGTGCGAAGGGTCACAATAGAATTACTTAGTACCCACCTTCTTAGTAAATTAGCCCAGACCCCTGGAAACAAAAAAAAACAAAAAAAAGCAAGAAGAGAACAAGGGTGTGATTTGTCTGCTATTCTTGCTGCCCTGGCCTTCCTTCATTCAAGCCTCGCTGCATCGGCTATTGCCTCCTGTCCTTACTACCTAGGTTGATATCCATGCCCTGCCACATGTAAACCGTCAACTTTTACCACTCAAGTTCCTGATGATGGTGCACTTGCTTGTTATAGCCTGGGTTAGAAGAAAGGGTTATCCTAGGATACTGTTTACGCGCACAATGAAGAAATGGAAGAAATACTCGAAAGGTGTGTGTGTGTGTGTGAGTGTGGAGTGAATGGGAAGAGAGAGACAAGGACGTGGAAAATCAAGGAGGTAGTTGGTTTGGATTAAGAGGTGAACGGTGAAAGGAATCAGCATAGTCGTGACTCACGGGTGCCTCGTTGATGGGAAATACACATCATGAATAGGGAATTGAATGAACAAAGGCAAAAAGTCAACGATGAACAATGCCCAGGCCGCACTTGTTGATGGCAATGATTCGTCAGGCTCGTCAGGGACAAATGTTAATCGTCCTAATGGCGTTTTAGATCCCCCTCTCTTCGCCCTCGAAGCTTTGTTTTGATTGGCTAACTGTCTACCTTAAAAGCAACCGCGTCGCGTTCCCTTTTTTTTTTCACTCCTTCCTTTCTTCCCCCTTCGTCACCCTTCCTTATTCCACTTTACCCTGTAGAAAAAAAAATACATAAAATGTTCATGAAAATAGCTCGTGCAAAAGAAAAACAAAAGCAATGAGAAAAAAGACTACACCTGAAACCACACGTCCGTGTCACTGTCAGTCAGCTATGTCTCCTGGTTCGATTTTTAGGTCCATCTGTCTGAAAACATGGGGATAAAAGCGTATCGGCATTCAAACCAATAGTAACGCATCAAGGGCCTCTTCTAGAAGGGGTCCGAGACGAAGAGGATGAAAATATGCATTCCCGCGTAAAGATTTCACGTGACGGATAGTCAAACAGGACGCGTTTTTTGGTCGAAAACAAGCTGTACTGCCTTTGAGCCCCCTTGGACGCGAACATATGAGACGAATACGTTTTTCTCCGCGTCAATGATATGACGGGCAAAAGGCATTGTCACTCAGTATGTCCCACTAGCACAATATATTGATACGAAACTCCTTTTCCTATTGTCACCTATGACCACAATCGAAAAAACACACAGTGAGATGCACCCAACCACAACCCAAATGAATCATCTTCCTTCGCCCCACAACAAAACCAAACGTCTGCTGCGTTCAAGGAATTTTCCAGCAAATGTTGTCAAGTTTCTAGTCTCGCGGCCATCCCCTCTCTACGTGGGTTGGAATCCAGTTCCAATTTTCAATCTTCGCGCAGCAAAGACCCTCACGCAGTGAGCGTGTCTGGGTCAAAATTTGGAGTTTTGGGCGGAGCGGGTCGTAAAATTAAAAAGGAAGGTGCTTAAGGGTTCGGCATGGAGGGGTTGAGTTGATCCTTTGATTGTAACACAAATGTCGTTTCTAGTGAAAATGCCATTTGAATGGCCCCAGTTCACCTTCCTTTTCAGTTTTACGACCCGCTCCGCCAATAACTCCAAATTTTGACCCAGACACGCTCGCAGTGAACGCCTTCCTCTAGCTTGCTTACACGGGAAGCGCCGAGATAGCTGAACACCTAAATGAATAGACATTATGCACAGCAAAACGTAGAATAAAAAAAGGGTCGACTTTTATAGCATGTACAAGTAACTATGAACAGAAGGAGAAAAGAAAAAAGAAATAGGGGGGTTCTAAGAAAGATGAAGAGATAGAGCACTGGTGCTGACGAGCAAGAGAAAAAAACTACTCGTTGTCGTAGGCGAGGATGGATCCGAGCCAGGTCTCAACCTCGCGCTTCTCCATGTTCTTGCGTGCAGAGTAGTCCGTGATCTGGTCCTCACTGACCTTGCCCACGGCAAAGTACTGGCCGCGTCCGAAAACAATAGCAGAGACAGATGCGCCGGGATCCATGGCCAAGGACTCGGTCAAGCTGATACCAGTCTGAGCTTCGATGTTGCCCAACTCCCACATCGTTTTCTTCTCGGTGTGGTCAGGCTGCGAGGGGTAACCAGGAGCAGGGCGGATACCCTGGTACTTGATCGACAACATGTCACTGACATTCATGGCCTCGTCAGGGGCATATCCCCAGTGCTCGCGACGAATATCCTCGTGTAACTTCTCGGCAAAGGCCTCAGCAAGACGGTCAGCCAGAGACTTGGCCATGATCGAGCTGTAGTCATCGTGATTGGCCTTGAACTTCTCGCAGAGCTCATCGCATCCGAAACCAGAGGTGACGGCAAACATCGACAAGTAGTCGGCAATACCACTCTCCTTGGGGGCGACGAAATCCGAGAGACACATGTATTTCTCGTTCGACTCCTTCTCCTTCTCGGCCTGCTGTCTCAATCCATAAAACTTGGCAACAACCTTGGAGCGGGTCTCGTCCTCGTAGATCTCGATATCATCGCCGACGCTGTTGGCAGGGTAGAAGCCGACAATACCGGTGGCAGTGAGCTGCTTCTTGTCGATCATCGTCTTCATCATAGCAAGAGCCTCATCGTGCAACTTCTTGGCCTCGGCACCAACCGTCTCGTCGTTAAAGATCTTGGGGTATCCACGGTTAGGGTACTTGCCACGAAGCTGCCAGACCTGGAAGAAAGGGCTCCAGTCGATATGGCTGATCACGGAGTTGAGGTCAATGTCCTTGAAGACCTTGGTGCCCATGAACGAGGGCTTGATGATCTTCTCCTGGGTCCAGTCCAAAACCATTCTTTGTTCACGGGCAGCAGCCAAGGTGAGGTAGCGGCGATCCTTGAGTCCGTCGTAGTGGTCCTCGCGAATCTCCGCGTACTCCTCGTTGATGTCGTCAATAAAGTCCTCCCTGACCTTGTCATCCAGCAAGCTCGACACGACGACGACACTCTTGGAGGCATCCAGGACGTGAATGGCGGGCTGAGCGTAGCGGGGAGCGACCTTGACGGCTGTGTGGGTCTTGGAGGTGGTGGCGCCACCAATCAAGATGGGGATCTTCAATCCAGCGCGCTCAGCCTCCTTAGCAACGTGAATCATCTCGTCGAGCGAAGGAGTAATAAGTCCCGACAGTCCAATGATATCGACCTTCTCCTTGATGGCGGTCTGGATAATCTTGTCGCAGGGGGTCATGACTCCGAGATCGATGACTCTGTAGTTGTTGCATCCGAGAACGACGGCCACAATGTTCTTGCCGATATCGTGGACATCACCCTTGACAGTCGCCATGAGAACGGTGCCAGAATACCAGTTGTCATCGTCAGCGAGACCCTGCTCGGCAATGTTCTTGAGACGCTCAATCTCCATGAAAGGAATCAAATGGGCGACGGCGGTCTTCATGACACGAGCAGACTTGATGACCTGAGGCAAGAACATCTTTCCGGCTCCGAAGAGGTCTCCGACAATACTCATACCGCTCATCAAGGGACCTTCAATAACGTTCAAGGGGCGGGGGTACTTTTGCAGATCCTGGCGCGCCTCCTCAGTATCCTCCACAATGAACTTGACGATTCCTTTGACCAAGGCGTACGACAAACGCTCGGCGACGGGCTTGAGGCGCCATTCCTCGGTCTCGGCCTCCTTCTTGGCACCCTTGGCGTTGGCCTGGGCATAGGCGAGCAACTTGTCGGTCACCTCGGGGTCACGGTTCCAGACAGCGTCCTCGCAGAGCTGCAAGAGATCCTTGGGAATGTCATCGTAGACTGTCAAGAAACCGGCGTTGACGATACCCATATCCATGCCGACCTTGATAGCGTGGTACAGGAAAACAGAGTGCATGGCCTCACGAATGATCTCCATACCACGGAAGGAGAAGGACAAGTTGGAGACACCTCCACTGATCTTGGCGCCTGGCAAGTTGGCCTTGATTAACTTGATGGCCTCAATGAACTCGACTCCGTAGTTGTTGTGCTCCTCCATACCGGTACAGATGGTGAGAATGTTGGGATCAAAGATGATGTCGTTGGGGTTGAATCCCACCTGGTCCACGAGGATATGGTACGAGCGCGAACAGATCTCAAACTTGCGCTCTTTAGTATCAGCCTGCCCGAGCTCATCGAAAGCCATGACGACGACAGCAGCACCGAAACGACGAACAATAGTAGCCTGGCGAATGAACTCTTCCTCACCAGCCTTGAGGGAGATACTGTTGACGATGCACTTTCCCTGAGCGCACTTCAATCCTGCCTCGATAACAGCAAAGTTGGACGAATCGACCATAAGAGGAACCTTGGAGACATCGGGATCACTGCTCAGCAGGTTGAGGAAGCGGGTCATAGCGGCGACACCATCCAACATTCCTTCGTCAAAGTTGACATCGACAATCTGGGCTCCGCTCTCGACCTGGGCTCGCGCAATGGCGAGACACTCGTCGTACTGGCCCTTCAAGACGTGGCGGGCGAACTTGCGTGATCCAGCAACGTTGCAGCGCTCTCCAATGTTGACAAAGTTGGTGGACTGGTCGACGCGGAGGGGCTCCAATCCTGAAAGCAGCATGCCGCTGATGACGGGATCCTTCTCAAACTTGCGGGGTGCATAAGACTTGCAAGCATTGGCAATGGCGCGGATATGGTCGGGAGTGGTACCGCAGCATCCTCCGATGATCGAAACCAAGCCCTCTTGTGCAAACACCACAACCTGCTTGGCCATGTCTTCGGGCGACTCGTCGTACTCTCCGAAAGCGTTAGGAAGACCCTGTAGGGAGAAATTTAGCGGGAAAAATAGTTAGTGAGTCATGTTCCTGGGTTTCAGTTGACGGAAATCAATGAAGCAAAAGAACAATGCTGGCCCTGATATTTCAAGAGACTTACAGCGTTAGGGTAGCAGATAACATGGGTCTTGGCGGCTTGGCCAATGTTGTAAATGAAGGGGCGCATCTGATCTGCTCCCAAGGCACAGTTGAGACCAATGGCCATAGGGTTTGCGTGCTTCATCGAAACAACAAACGCCTCTCCAGTCTGTCCACTGAGCGTGCGTCCAGACATATCGACAATTGTTCCCGAAACAAAGACGGGTGTCACGCGGCAGCCCTCGGCGAAGCAGAGGTCGATGGCGAAAAGCGCAGCCTTGGCGTTAAGGGTATCGAAAATGGTCTCGACCAAGAGAATATCAGCGCCTCCATCCAAAAGACCTCTAGTCTGCTCCTTGTACGCCTCGACCAACTCGTCAAAGGTGACGTTTCTGAAGGCAGGGTTCTCGACCGAGGGCGAGATTGAGCAGGTTCTGTTGGTGGGTCCCAAAGCACCGCAGACAAAGCGAGGGCGATCTGGCGTTTGCGCAGTTACCTATAAAGCGATTGAAGAGATATGTGTTAGTTTGTCTGTCACTCATACGATCACTATTTGGTTCACGATCGCAGGTCAGTCAGCGAGGCGATAGAAAACGTGGTTGGAGTTGGAGTTGTAGTTGTAATGCATCCATGAGGTCTCTTTTTGTGTGTATGTTTGCTGGTAGCCGGCAAGGCGATTGAAAGATATCTTCCACGAGATCTCCTTTTACGCTTGCTCCTTGCTTTGTTGTTTGTCTCTTTTGCTGATTTTCCATATTATTTTTTTGCATTGTTGATGTTGCACATCTAAAATTTGTCAACAAACAAACTAGACCACAAGACAACAAAAACACAACACAACATAACACAACTATTTGGCATACATACCCTATCACAGGCACGCTTGGCGACCTCTGCAGCGACCTTGTTCATCCTGTAGGCCTCGTTCTCCAGACCGTAATCCAATTGAGCGATGGATGTTGAGGAGAAGGTGTTGGTCTCGACCATGTCTGCTCCTGCGTCGAGGTACTGCCAGTGGATGTGCTCGATGGCGTCTGGCAGGGTGAAGACCAACATATCGTTGTTTCCCTTGAGATCCTTGGTATGGTTCTTGAATTCCTCGCCTATTGATGGTTCGATTGCAAAGTGAAGGCATATGAGTGAGTAAAAAATGGTGCTCGATAACTGGACGATGAGAGAGACACGATTGTTTTTTTTTTTCTTTGTCCGGTGTGAACCCGCCAACCCATGATATTTTTTTTTCATTGACAACCAGCGAGTTGATAAGATCGGATTCCAACTCAAAAAAATAAGAAGGCAGAGAAGGCAAAGAAGGTGACATATGAAAAGAGTCACAGCATGTGGGATCAGTCTTGTCATCCATCTTCCTCTTGTTGTCTCTCACACGTCCAACCTTCTTTTGTATTCCCCCCCCCAAAAAAAAAAAAAAAAAAGTTACCTCTAAAGTCTTCCTCGGACAAGCGAAGACGTTGGATCATGGTTCCCATGGCTCCGTCGATATACATGATCCTCTCCTTGAGAGTCTTTTCCAGGTACGCCTGGACATCTATTCAGGTAAGTGCATTATCGATATGTACGAGTCGCGGAGTTAGATTGCTGTTCCTGTGTACTACTTTCCCTGCTTCCCGCGTCGTTGTTACTGTTCGGCATTCGTTTGCTGTCGGTTCTAGAGGGTTGATTCAAGACAATACCGATGGGGGCTGTAGTCATTATGGAAGGAGTATAGAGGAAAGGAGGATGAGGAAGGGAGAGGTGAAGAAGGAATAAGAAAAGGGATGGGGAAGAAGAAGAAAAGGTGAGAAGAGGGACGAGCGGGCAAAGGGTAAGAAGGAGAGAGGAGTGTGAAGAACAAAGAAGTAAAAAAATGGGTTGGGGGAGGATGTGGGCTCAGAAAGAACCTCGGACTGCTTTTTGAATGACCATCAAGAAGCACGCAAGAATGACAGGTCGAAAAAGAAGCAAGAAACACCGAGCGGAGCTGGACATAAGCACTTTCTATGACTGTTGGACGTTCAATTGGCAATTCATACGACTATGGCGAAAAACAGGAGAACTACGGCTGAACTGGCAGGCACAATGTGGAGAGGATAATTGACTGCATTGAAGTGAATATCACTGACCGAATTGCAATACTTGTGAGACCCTCTCTTGCTGTCGCAAGCATATCTGGAGACGGAAAGTAAAATTATTTCAGGGCGAGACTGAGAAGGCAACGTTGAGTCAGGCAACGTACTGACTGGAGTCTCTTGCTAGCTGAGCCATGCACGGTATCATATCCAATTCACATTATTGCTTCTTAAGAATCGTAACACGCCTGGTCCAGCTGCGGGCTGCTCGGGTCCCTATTATGCGTGGTTGAGTGAAAGAGAGATCAGCGCCACTAAGAATCAAGAGAAAGGTAGTTATCACGTGCCGATCGGTTTTTCGTTTTTTTTTCCTTGTGGGCATGGCTTCCCTCGACAGGTCTCTGTCCCTGGGTCCTGGAGATTCGCGGCTCGCTTTTTATCCTTTCCTTCACACACACACCACACGGAGCGAGAAAGTCCACTCCACCTTGCCCTTTCAAAGAAGTGTACACTTTGTCGGACCAGGTCTTCTTTTTATTCTTCTTCTTCTTCTTTTTTCATTCACTCAACGCACACACTCACGCTCGTCTTTCTCTCCCTTTTTCTTTTCTCATTCTCACCTTAACCTCACCACACTCCCTTCCACTTCAACTTTTCACTACAACAATGGTCTCCGCTCAAAAAGTCGTCTTCCCCACCGAGGGCAAGCACCTCCTCGAGATCACCCGCGAGGGTCCCCTCTTCATCATGACCATGGTTGACAAGGAAAACAGATTCACCCCCGAAATGTGCAAGGCCATCTGCGACGCCCTCGACCACGTCGCCGAGGTCGTCGACAAAGAGGAGCTCACCGAGGCTGCCCTCATGACCCGCGGCCAGGACAAGTTCTACTCTAACGGTCTTGATATGGAGAAGGCCTTCTCTATCCCCGGCTTCACCGACCATACCTTCATGCCCATGCTCAACAAGATCCTCCTCTTTGGCATCCCTACCATTGCTTGCCTCAACGGGTACGTTCCTCTTTCAATTGTGATCGATTTGCGAGAGCGGGAAGAGGAAAGAGAATGAAGAGTGTCGATTTTTCGTGTCATTTCCATCTTCTTCTGCTCAATGCTTCGTGGGATATTTTTCTGTTTCTTTCTTCGTCCTCCCTCATGTGTGTCCATGTGTGTCCGAGGGAAGAAATGAATCATCAATGTGGGGTCCAGGATTGTTGTTTTTTTTATTCTTCGCTTGCATTAGTATCCGTCCTTCAGTTCTTGTTCATCATCTTTTTCTTGTCTTTGTCTGCTTTTTTATCTTTTTCACACATACTTCTTCGATCATTGCCTTCTTTGTCACTTTGATCGCCTACTCCTTCCTTCCTTCTTGCTTGCCCTCTTCTTGCTCTCTGATGTTCCCCGTGGGTGAAATAATTAAAGTTCAGTCGCACCAGTTGGCACTCCTTCAATTAGGCGCGACGGACATTTCTCGACTTGAGCCTACAAAGTTGGATCTGACGACTATCCACACCATCGCTAACTTAATATCTCCACCTGCCTTGTATCAAACGAACGAAATAGACACGCCTTCGCCGGTGGATGCCTCATGGCCATGGCCCACGACTACAGAGTCATGCGCAGCGATCGCGGCTTCATGTGCATGGTAAATACTCTTCATTTTTTTCTCTCCTCGATCGGCTTTAATTTCTCCGTCCCCGGATGCACAGTCGTGTGAACAGTTAACACACATCTCTAACCTTGTCTCCCCATTCCCCACAAACAAACACAAACACAATAATAGAACGAGATTGATCTCCCTTCGCCCTTGCCCGCCGGCATGTCGGCCCTCCTCCGCTATAAGATGCACCCCCACGTCTACCGCTCCTGCGTCCTCGAGGCCAAGCGCTTCAGCGCCCAGGAGGCCCTCTCCTCGCACCTCGTCGATGCCATTGCTGAGGGCGTCGAAGGCACCGTCGAGCTCGCCAAGCAAGTCGCCCTCAAGATTGCCCCCAAGGCCAAAGCCGGTGTCTTCTATGGCATGATCAAGGAGGATATGTACCCTGAGATTTCTCAGCGCCTCATGATGAACGCCAAGTTGTAGAGAAAATAGTTGAGAGTTAGAACCTTTTTGTTTTCTATATTGTACAGAACCGACATGCGGCATTGGTAATGGATCCAGGCTGGCTGAGGAAATAAAAATGAGTGAGAAAACGTACTACTGTTGCAGTGCTAATTGGATGTTGAGTTGGATGAACCGAAAAAAGGGTGACATTTGACACCAGATAAGAACCTTCGTGGACCCTGAAGAGCTCGCGGAGACAAAAAAAAAAAAAAAAGGACGAGATTTAGTTCACACAGCTACAAGTAAGGAGCAATGAAAATGGAGCAATTGGGGTTTCTCAGTCGCTGACGGCAACAAAACTGCCGATCAGAGTTCGTAAGACAATTGGACACATTACTCACCCACGCAACTGGGAATGGAACTCGGGAAAAATAATAAGGCGGAGAAAAGGGGGGGGAGGTAACGCAGCACTCCTAGGCTGGGAAAGTGGTGTCACTTCGATCGAGTTTTCTTTTCCCACGTGTCGGTACCACTATGAACATGCCGCTTCCTTCGCTTCAAAATGACCTGATCATGCCGACCGGGCGACTCTATAACATCAGATCTATCCATTACTCCCATGTCAAATGTCCACCAAACTGTCACTTCTAACGAGGGTGCTGTAGACAATATATTTGGCATTAGTAAGTCGAAATAATAACATCTATAATTATCTAGTAAGGATGCCAGCTCTTGTAACCGAGTCCAACACTCTTCAGTTTCTCGAACCGCAACAGATGGCGGCCGACGCGTGCCTCGATCGAAAAGCAATAGTCATCGTCTAGCAGCACGACACCAGAAGGCAGGGCCGTCCCCGCCTTCATCGCCGCTAACATCTGGGCCCCAAAAAAAAAAGATTCGGATCATTCGTACCATTGCCATTGCCATTACCGTCCAAAAGCCAGATATTGGACTGTCCGCGTCTCGCCAGTATATGCTTCCTCTACCCAGTCCTCCAGAGATCGGTCGCGCGCGCAACATGCACTCCTTGGTGTCCAGACCCTTGATTCCCGTCCTGAGTGTCCGCAAGTCCTAGCAGTTCCACGCCTTATTTCCCGCAATACCAATATCCATCATATGCGAGTATATAGGTTGAATTCTGTCAACCGTGTGCAGCTCCAAGGGGAGGACGAACCGCGGCTCGGACTCGGATGCTGATGTAGACGAGGCTTTGAGATTTGGAAAGTGCATCAGGTATCCTGGAGACGAATTTTGTTGGTTGGGAATCAGTCCGATCAGGGCGGAGGGCGGTAATGATACTGCAGATGAGGAAGGAGAGGTCCTCGGCCACAAAGTCCAGCGCCGTGGTATAATGAAACTTCAAAATCGTCATCGTAATCGACAACTCCCGCAAATGTACAGTGCCCTCCTTCACCAAGACCCGGATACGGTGGGCGAGTTTCACAACGACGATATCAAAGCCGGAGCTGATGTTGCTGTGGGAAAAATTGTTGCAGTCAACAGAGTACTAAATAAAGGGGAGGCAGTCCTGTGCCCATGCCCTGGAGACGCTTGTGTAGGCGATGGCGTCTTGGAGGGTGGCAAAGCGACTGATCCTGTTCCCAAGTTCTGGGTGGTTGCTGTCATGGCTCGCTGAAAGGAGGAAAAGCATGTCAACTGCTTGGCGTGCATATGCTGCGATTGCTACAGGTCAATGCAATCATGCCCCCGCCGGAAAAGGCAAGGTCTCCGCTTTGTGCTTCTCTCGGTCTGTAATGCACAACTACAAGACTCAAGGACTGACACACAGGAACTCACACACTCGTTCTGGCACACATAGGTACAATTTTTATTCTTTGACCCAAGACTTACAGGCAACCCATCCAGTATTTCCTACTCATCTTCATCTAAAGCGCCAAGGCTACGTCGCTTTCAACACAGCAAGCCAACGCCTTCATCGCTCTCTTAGACGCGACTAATTTTCCCCAGTTTGTTGTCTTCTTCCAGCTATCTACGGTTTATCCTCCGACACCCACCCCTAAAAAGAATAGCGGCCGCCAATGCATGACCAGCGTGCAAACACAAGAGCTTGACTTTAGGGCGAAGATAGCTGCTGAAGGGCTGATATAGACGCAATGAAAGGGGAAAGACGTGAATGAGAGTTGAGTGGTTACTAGCCCTATGACGGTAGAGACCCCGGGAATGAATTCAAAGGGGAGTTCTGGAAGAAAAGAAGCAAAGGGTATCCGAAACTACAAGCATCATTGCACCTCCCTTTTAGTTCCTGTTGCTGTTAGCGAGGTTCCTGGGAGAGAGGAGGAAGTTTGAGGGGGTATGAGGGGAATTGAAGAGGAAGGGAAAGGGAATAAAGGGAGACAAAGACAAAAAAACGAGGACGTTGGCAGGGGATAGGGAGGCACTTAGGCAGACCGTGGGAAGAAGCAGGGTAGTAAAGTGGCAAAGTGGCATAGAGGAATTCATTTAACTCTTTTTCTTTTTTTTGTACGAAGAATGACGCACGGCTGCCCTTGTGCATGTCCGTTTCATTCAACTTGTCTTTGAACATCACCGTTCATCATGGCGTCTGCCTTTCTCTGCACATGTGTTTGAGGGTGGCAAGATGGGCGGCCACCAATTTGACGTTTGTTTTTTACTCGAGTCCTCCTTTTCTTCTTTCTTCCTCATCCTTCCTTACTATCTTACTTCTTCCCCTCTCCTTTCTTTCGACCACTCAGGTCTTTGTCTTCTTAACCTTTCTTTCCTCGCTCAACTCCTCGTCCCTGAACACAATATACAACACCAAAAATCAATACAGAGTTATCAAGAAGCTGGGAGAAGGAGAGACAGGAACAGTCTTTCAAGTCAGTGATCCCTTGGGTCACCAGGTCATCATGGCCATGTATCCTCAGTATCTGGACATGGTAAGTTGACCGCGCCACGTTTGAAACAATAACAGCGCAAAATACATTCGCGAGTTTGCCTTGTTGTAGTATAGCTCGAATCAATGAGTAAAAAAACTAACATGCGCTCCATTCTTCTGACACTCGTTCCAATTAATAGTATACCACAGACAACACGGTTAAGGCTTCACTCCTGCCCCAGCGTGTTCTACTTACGTTGCCCACCTTCCAGCACGAAGGGTATCTCTGCCAATTGGCGCCAATCTGTGTAAAGAGGGTAAAAAAAAAATCAATCTTCAATAATCAGTTTTGATGCTTTCTGTGGGAAAAAAAACTTCCTTTGATGATCTCCATTGTCCAAGTTCTTGTTCAAGATCAATAACAAACGGTCTCAATCGCGTTTTTATAGAGCCTAAAGTACGTCTTGGAGAGCAACCGTATCGGCAAACTGACCGAAGATGAGGCTCGCGGCCTTTTCGCCCAGGTTGCAAAGGTGTTGGCATACATGCACTCGAAAGATATGGTCCACGGCTGTTTGCAGCCTTCAAGCATCCTCCTGAGGGAAGACGACGCGATTATGCTGAACGATTTCGGCCTCGCCAAGCAGTACAGCAGAGATATGGGTTTGTGGTAAGTGTTCATATGCAAGTTTGACAGCGAAAGTTTTTCATCACCGTTAGCAATGAATTGAGTGCAGGACAACACACTCATGCTTTTATGTATCTTACAGCGACGTTTTTCTAGTGACAGCTGGGGCACCCTGGCTTACATGCCACCAGAGCGCCACACACCCCCTCGCCGTTACGGGAAGGCAGCAGATGCTTGGGCCTTCGGCGTCCTGGTCTACCGGACCCTTATCGGGAAGAAGCCAACGTTCACGAAGAAGACGTAAGTAGATATGACCTTTCTGGTTTTTTTCCCCTTTTTTTTTGCATGTCCATGATGTGACTTTGACTTCGGTTTCTAGCCGTCTGGTTTGCTGGCATTGAAATCATTTCCTTACCCTCCTTTTTTGATAGCCATTATGCGGTTCTCGGTAAAGAGATCGATACCCTCTCAAAAGAGTTCCAGAACCTGCTGCGGGCACTCCTGTCACCCGACCCCAGTAAGTATTCGGCTATTCAATAGTTATTCCGCTTGCATTGTCTTGATGGCGACCAACAAATGCAAGACAGGGCCTTGAATCTCCGCCGGCATTTGTCTGGAAAGAAGCGATCTGACGACAAGCAGGACCAGGACGAAGGCGCCAAGACCAAGAGAAGAAGGAACAAGAAGAACGCTGCCAAGGCTGCTGCCGCTGCACCTGGAAATCCCTCAGCGACATGGAGCACTACGGAGGAATTCATTAATCTCCTTGTGACTCCTCCAGACCAGGCCGGGCCTTCCTCCAGCGCCGCCAACCACGTCTAAGACAACAGTGCCCCAGTTTTTGTTGTCCTAGAGCTTTCCTTGCGTTGTACATTATTCATTACTGTTTACTTTCTCTTTTCATTTGCTTCAACATATATTTCCTTTCGTTTATCATTTTTTTCCCTCTTGCTTAGGTTTTGTTTTGCTTTACCTTGCCTGTACTTTTTTCCTCCTTCATCCAAGTAGTCTTTCACACATTTTACTTGCCTTTTCTCTTTTTTCTTTGTAATAATATCAAATTGACGCAACCGCTGACATGGCCAGTTGCCTTGAACAATGCCCATCACAGCCAAATGTGTAAATCAAAATAGTATGTATTGCAAAAACGAAAGAAAAGATATCAAAAAGTGCGCTAAAGAGCAGACTGACGAGGCTGAGTGTTATACCCTCCGATCATTGTCTGCTTAGGCTGCGAAGAGTTCGCAATTCCTGCATTCGTATGATTCTCCGACGTATTATCCACCCGCTGATCAGCTCCACTATCAGCTGTATCATGTCCACCCTGGATACCGGTCTTGTTACCCGGGGTAACGTACAGACTCACATCACGATCCTTCCTGTGCCCAAACTCGTCCAACTCATCCTCGTCATCAGAGTCGTAGTAGTCGTTCTTGGTGCGCACTTTCTTGACCCAGACCAGCGACTCATCCGCGCCAACTCGGGGAACAGCCCCTGAGTATCCTTCTGGGATGACTGTATCGACGTTGGTAGAGATCGTGGGGACTACCTCTGGAGCTGGAGCTGGAGCTGGAGCTGGAGCTGGTGCTGGTGCTGGTGACCGTGTTGGTACTGCTGCTGCTGTTGCCGCTGGAACTGGAGCCGGGACTGGAGCTGGAGGGGGTGAGGACTCCTCGACAACCTCGGTCTTTGGAGGCTCTTCGACGATGACCGACTTGGGAACCTCAACTGGCTTAGGGGTCTCAATGACGACGGGCGAGGGCTTGGGTGCCTCAAAAATCACGGGTTTTGGTAGTGGTTCCACGAGAGTGAATTTGGGTGCCTCAACAACCTTGGAGGCCTTTTCAGCTTTGGGAGCATCAAAAACAACGGTCTTGGGTGCTTCATCAACGGCCTCAACAACGGCCGGCTGTGACTTGCGGACAACAACGGGCTCCACAACACGAGTCGTGAAAGTCTCAACCACCGGCTCAGCGATTTCCATAACGACAGCAGGCTCGACGGACTCAATAACATGGGTCATAATCTTGGGCTCTGGAATTGTAACAGCAGTCGTAGCGATGCCCTTAGACGTTTTCTTCTTCAGCGTGGGCATCTTGAAGGACTTCATCTTGGGAGCCGTCATCTTGGGGATCGTGACCTTGGGTAGCTTGATGTCCTTGCCTTGGACAGGCTGAGCAGGGATCGTAGGTCGAGGGGCGCTTGCGACCTTGAGCGCCGAGGTCGACACGAGCTTGGGTTCGACGTAAGGGATCACTGGGTGAGGAGCATTCAAGGGGCTAGGATACTCGACATCGTCTTCAGTGACCGTCAAGACGGGGTGTTTCGTGAGGACTGGGTGAGGAACAACGATGTCATCCTCCGTCACCGTGAAAATTGGTTCCGGCACCTCTGGGATCTCTGGCTTCTCGACGTCATCCTCCGTCATGGTCAACAGCGGGGCGGCAACCACAGGCATAGATGGCTTCTTGACATCCTCCTCTGTGACTTGGATGGCCGGCATAGAGTGGCCTGGCAGACGGTCCTTGTAATTCGCAGCAGCAGCGGCAGCAGCGGCAATACCTGCACCGGTGAACTTGTTGATCTTGGTCGTTAGGGGGACCTGGTTCTTCTTGGCCTCTTTCTTTGCCTCCTTCTTGGCCAGCTTTTCCTGCTTCTTCTTCTCTTTCTCAGCCTCCTTGGTCCCGATCTCTGTGGCAGCAACGTCAGGCTCGGGTGCTGTTTCGACGACAACGGGAGTAACAGCCGCTGCGACAACAGGGAGACGATCGACATGCTTGCCCTTGGCATCCATGGCGGGTGAATCCTCCGTGGTGGTAGCTACATCCTCATCGTCCTCATCATCTTCATCATGCTTGTGAGGAACAGCTGACGCGGCCGTTCCGGGGACCTCTCCAATAACAGCCTCCTCAGGCGTGACAGACGTAGCCTCCGTATATTGCCTATCGACAGGGTGAGTAGTCGAGTCGGCAGTAGCTGCAGAAACTGGCACAGCAGCAGCAATAGTCTCCTCGGCCTTGGTGACATGGGTTCCAACAACGGGGCTGACAACATGCGTATGGGCAGAAGGTTCAACACCGGTAGTCGAGGTAGGGCTCGCAGGTGTCATCGTCGTGATATCCTCATTAGCGTCGTGGGGCACAGTAGCAGTCGCAGGCGCCACCTCGTGGGCCTTCTCAGCGACGGTCTTATTAGTGTTAAAAACAGTCGAGTGCCTTCTGCCAGAGAGGACTGCGGCAACGGCAGAGGCAGCACCCGTGACAGCCGCGACGACCGAGTTGGTAGAGCTTGGCTCATGCTTGCCTTTCGTGTGATCGACCTCAACAGGCTTGGCGGCTTCGACATGCTTGGCCTCGACGGGGCTGACCCCAACATGCCTGGCGGAGTGTGTCTCAGTATTATCGACCTCCGTATGCGCATCCTCAACAGGCTTCTCAGTATCCGCAACAGTAGCACCACCAGGCTCATAAACATGCGTACGGGTCGGCGGCATGGTGGTGACGGTCTTTGTGGTGATAGTCTCGACCATAACCACCTCCTCGTCGTCGTTATGAGGGATCTTGGACGCAATATCCTCTGGTGCCTTTCCGATGACCTTCTTTTCGACGACCGTCTGTTCCTTGGGTACCTCGACTGAAGCCCCCTTCGACGCATGGAGACCAGAACTTGGGACAGCCCTAGTGGCTGGAGTTGTAGTTTGAGTGGCTTTGTCGTCACGGTGGTGACCAATAAGCTTGTCCCTTGCTGCTACCAAAGGAGCGGTAACAGCAGCAGCCAAGAGAGCGGCCTTGGATGTGGGAGATGTGGTAGTATGAGACGTTGTTGTAGTTGCATGAGGAGCTGCAGTAGTCACATGTGGTGTTGTGATGTCTGGATCCACTGCCGTGGTAGTTGCGGTAGTTGCGGCAGTCTTAGGGGTTGCAGAGCCATCGTGACGATGAGTGATCCTGTCCTTTGCAGCAACCAGAGGAGCAGCTACCGCGGCGGCCAAGAAAGACGCCTTGGTCTTGAACGAGTCAGAAACGGGGGTTGGGTGAGCTTCTGTTTCTGTGGGGTGAGCATATTCGGTTGTCGACGCTGTTGTAACGGGTGTGACAGGCACAGGGGCGACACCGCCTGTGGCATCGGCAACGCTAGAAGTGACGGTTGGGTGTGCAGCGGCGGCGGCGGCGGTGGTAGGATGCTCCTCAGTTGCTGCAACGGTAGGATGGTGCGTGCTTGTTCCCATATCCGATATCTCCCTCTTCATAGCCATCGTCGTTGCTGTTGTGGTGAGAACAGCAGTAGCGGCAGCAATGACAACAGGTACTGCATCTCCAACATGAGGATGAGAAGTGACCTCATGTGAAGAATGCGCAGGCTCAGTCGTTGTCGCCTTGTCCGTCACCATCACACTGCCAGAGGGCGGCAATACCGACAAGGGCTCCAACTTCTTGGCAGAGATCGAGGTCGCCTTGTCCGCCTCCAACACACTGCCTGAGGGCGGCAACACCGACAAGGGCTCCAGCTTCCTGGCAGAGATCAGGGTCGTCTTTTCTTCATCTATCAATGGCGCCGCTGGCTTGCGAAAAAGTGGCTTCGTGGTCACCACAGAGCCCCATGCCAACCTGTGGTGAGGCGGCTCGATGAACGGCTCATCTTCTATTGAAAAACATGCAGAAAAACAAAAAGATACCGATATCGTGGTGGTCAGACAACGCTTTGGTAATGTAAAGCATTATCCAACATATATTTTTTTTTCTAACTTCTTATTTACCAGGAGTGTCGCGCAAGGCAGCTGCGATGGTCGCTGCAACAGGCACCGCTACCGCACCAGCCATCGCAGGTTTAAGATCTGTGGGGGACGTGGTGGTCGTTGTAGTGGCTCCAACCTCGGCGTCCTTCTCATCCTTCTTGTGACCCATCATGGGCATATGAAATCCACTGAAGACCCCTTTGACCTTTTCTTTCATACCCGACTGAGAACCTCGGCGAGTTCCACCCATTACCACAGGGGCAGCCGTGGCTTCCACAATATCCTTAACTCCAGGCAGGTGAGCAGGGTTCTCATGCTGGTCAGCCTCATCACCACGAGGGTAAGTGCTCTCCTCCTCATCATACAACGAGAAGTCCTTCTTGGGCTTCTTGAGTGCCGCGGCAGTCGAGTGGTGCTCGGGGTGGTCAGCAGCCATGACAGCAGGGACAGCGAGAGCAGCGAAAGTCTCTTTTGGGAGCTTGTCGACCTCCATAACATCATGGATCACAGAAGGATTGCGAGGATTCTCGTGCATGTCATCTCCGTCATCACGAGGGTAGGTACTCTCCTCCTCATCATACAATGACAGATCCTTCTTGGGCTTCTTGAGTGCCGCGGCAGTCGAGTGGTGCTCGGGGAGGGTAGCAGCCACGATAGCAGGGACAGCGAGAGCAGCGAAAGCCGCCTTTGGGAACTCTTTGACCTCAATAACATCCTCAACCACAGCTGGGTGCGCAGGATTCTCCATCTTAACTTCCTCATCGCCACGGGGATAGGTACCCTCTTCCTCATCGTAGAGAGACAAGTCCTTCTTGGGAGCCTTGAGGGCCGCAGCAGTCGAGTGGTGCTCGGGGTGGGTAGCAGCTATGACAGCAGGGACAGCGAGAGCAGCGAAAGCCTCTTTTGGGAACTTGTTGACCTCCATAACATCATGGACCACAGAGGGATGGGGAGGATTCTCGTGCATGATAGCTCCGTCGCCGCGAGGGTAGGTGCTCTCCTCCTCATCATACAATGACAGATCCTTCTTGGGCTTCTTGAGAGCGGCAGCAGTCGAGTGGTGCTCGGGGTGGGTAGCAGCCATGACAGCAGGGACAGCGAGAGCAGCGAAAGCCTCTTTTGGGAGCTTGTTGACCTCCATAACATCATGGACCACAGAGGGATGGGGAGGATTCTCGTGCATGATAGCTCCGTCGCCGCGAGGGTAGGTGCTCTCCTCCTCATCATACAATGACAGATCCTTCTTGGGCATTTTGAGAGCGGCAGCAGTCGAGTGGTGCTCGGGGTGGTCAGCAGCCATGACAGCAGGGACAGCGAGAGCGGCGAAAGTCTCTTTTGGGAGCTTGTCGACCTCCATAACATCATGGATCACAGAAGGATTGCGAGGATTCTCGTGCATGTCATCTCCGTCATCACGAGGGTAGGTGCTCTCCTCCTCATCATACAATGACAGATCCTTCTTGGGCTTCTTGAGTGCCGCGGCAGTCGAGTGGTGCTCGGGGAGGGTAGCAGCCACGATAGCAGGGACAGCAAGAGCAGCGAAAGCCGCCTTTGGGAACTCTTTGACCTCAATAACATCCTCAACCACAGCTGGGTGCGCAGGATTCTCCATCTTAACTTCCTCATCGCCACGGGGATAGGTACCCTCTTCCTCATCGAAGAGAGACAAGTCCTTCTTGGGAGCCTTGAGGGCCGCAGCGGTCGAGTGCTTCACAGGCAGTGTCGTTGCCTTGGCAGCAGGAGCGGTGTCGGTGGCAGCGTCAGTCTCTTTGGTACCTGGGGTCACGGCGGGGTGTCCTGAGTGATCGCTCAGCATATGGAACACACCAGCCGCGGCTGCAGCAACTGCAGTAGCCGCTGTTGCAATAGCCGATTTCGAAGCAGGGGTGCTCTCCTCGGCGACAGGGTGTGAAGTAATAGCGGGGGCAGCAACAGTGGTAGGGAGATCGCTGTGTCTCAAAGTAGGCGTCGAAAAGGCTGGAACCACGGCCTTAGAGTCTAGAACATGCGCTGCTCCAGCGGTGGACTCGTCCGGCCTGACAAATATAGGGAGGTTCTCGTTGCTTGCAGTAGGGGTCGAGTAGACAGGGACCACAGATGGGGTAGTCAAACGTGCAGTAGCAGGAGTATCAGCAGGAGTATCAGCAGAAGTATCAGCAGGAGTATCAGCAGGAGCAACGACCGGCGAGTCTGGGAAGGCTCCAGGAAGCTTCTCAGCGGGTGCGGGAGGTGCCTTCATGACGACTGGCCCTGTGGGCACATGCGATCGCCTCAGGTTGGCAGGCATGTTCCTGAACGCCTTGGAGAACCTGGGCGACGAGGAGATGCGCTGCTTGAAAGAACCTGCTTTCGACAAGTAGTGCGCCTTTGGTGCTCTTGGCCTGGTGGGAGTTGTCAAAACGGGAGCTCGGGTCGAAGGAGATTCAGTGGTGGCTGAAATCAACGGATCCGAAACTGGAGCGGTGGATGAGGGAGCAACAGAAGGCGCAGGTGCATTCTCATGAGCAACACTAGTTGCAGTAGATGCGGCTGCCGTATGATGCTTCGGTGCATGCATGGTCTCCTGGATATGAACAGGTCGATCCTGGCTGGGTGAGAACGAAAGAGAGCGAAGAGCAGCTACGTTGCTTGCAACCTCGGGTCTCAGAGGCTGAATACTCGCAGGGTTGGCTGACGCAAAGGAACCAGTCAAAGGACCTGCAGTCGATGAGAGGGCGGGGCTGCTAGCCATGACAGGGTCCCTGGGGGACGCATTAGTGGCAGCAAGGGCAGCTTTCTTGTGCTCCTTGTATCCCAATCCGAGCGAGAAGGGACTAGCCTTCTTGGGACTCGCGGGATCATCGTTGTCGGGGACCTCCATGCCGTACCATGCTGTCATTTTCTTAGAAGATCCGGAAAGCTGAGGAGCGGCAGACTCGAGGGTTGGCGCAGGGCCTATTTCAGAGGAAGTGGCAGTAAGAGCCTTGGAGGACGAAGGGAAGTGAAGCGGATCGGTGGGAGTGCTTTGAGCAGACTCAGTTTCGACATGTGCTGGAGGGATGGGTTGAGGTACAGCTATCTCTCCGGGTTGAGAGTCCGCAGTTGAAGGCTCGTAATGAACTACATCACTGTTAAAGAATAATGAAGGGTGATCGAGAGCATTGCATAGAAGAGAAATTGGTTAGTTTTTTGTCATAAGTATATAAATATGATTACAGTAGATCATCACGCGTTTTAGTAGGCTGTGTTGTCAATGCTTACTTAGCATTTGAAGAAGTCACTGAATCTCCGGTATGGCTGCTGCCCCCACTATGTATGAAAATAAGTGAGGCGCCATGATGAGTTGCTAAGCTATTGCATATAGATGCACAATCAACAAGGTGCAGAGATATGCGAAATGTCTTACTGTTCACGAGTATTTCCTTGTGTGGCCAAGGGCGAGGGTACAGTATGGATACTATCCTCAGGAAGGGCACCGGTATCAGCTGCTTGCGAGAATAAGACACAATGCGGAACCGGATGTGATGTGAAACAACTGTTAGTCTCTAATGGGTTTTCATCATTTGACGCGTCACCATTGGCCAAAAGCTCTTCGCTTAATACGCGCCTCCCTTTTCAACTGCACATACACATTTTGCCTACAACGTCAACTGTTAGCCCTCGTGTTCACTAACAAATGGGATAATACAACTTACCAAGAGAGGGAAATGGATGTTCCTTTTGGCGCATTCCGCCGTGTTCATCATGAGCAACCTGGAACTCGTGCGAGGCCAACGGATCCGTGGCTGCGAGTCGGACAGGTTTCAAGCTAGACTCGGCCTGGTCATACGAGCTCATGCCCGAGCTTTCCTGTCCTTCGGCAAAAGTTCGCTGCTGTTTAGCGGAACTCTCTGCCGCACTTTGATCCTTGTAGCGTCGATGCATGTCCTTTACGCGCAAGACACTGTTGGTAGTTCTTTGTTGGTTGGGTGTAGGTGTCGGTAAAAGGAACCGAAGTATGGAAAGGGTCGGTTACGAGAGGTTGTCGAGTAAAGTATTGAGTGATAATAAATTAACAAATCAGTTGGTGAAGAGGAAGTTGGTGAAGAGGAAGTTGGGGAGTGATGCGTGAAGGTGGAGATTGTGTATGTGCAAGTCGAGGAAGGGATATCGAGGGAGTGAATATCACTTGTGAGCGGAGAGTGCTGCCTAGGATGTATGCGAGAATGGCGCGTTGAGAAGTTGTCGTTTGCGTATGTGGGTGTGTGAGGGTGCGGGTGGTGTGTGTATGTGGATGCGGTTGCGGTTTTGTACAAGATTAAGTTGACAACAACGAACAAATTAAGGATGGAAGGAGGGGAAAAGGGTGAAAGAGTTGGACAAAAGAATAAAAGAGAAGAGAAAAGCAGGGTATGAAAAGAGTCTTCGAGTCTTCTGTCATCGCAAACAAACGACAAACGACAGAAGAAAAAATGTTTCAGGTAGACATACAAAAAAAAAAAAAAAGCTCCGTGTCACTCTGGGTAGCATCAGAATCGATCAATCTGACTTGCTTCGTTTGGTTTGTGGGGAAGAAATCGACAGCGTCAGACAACGACAAACCTTTTGCTTCGCTAAGATGCCGACTTCACCGTCTGACCCGTCCGTTCATTGCCATCTGAATAACGCACTACTGAAAATTAAAAACCCTCAGAGCATGGAGATACTTTCTAACCCTTCAGGTCGGAGAAGATAAAAAAAATGGCAGGCTCAACAGGATACGAGTTGCATGGTGCCGTGGCTCCTCCTTATTCTTATCATATTCACGTAGGATGACGGGTTCATAAACGAGACACAAGGAAAGAAAAAGTACGGGTTCATGGAAAAACAACTGCACCCTCATTCTTCTCACCCCTCTTATCCTTTTTCCATCTCTTCTTCACACTCACACCCCATTCTAACGAAACGGTGGTGTTGTTAAACCTGAATGCACAAACTCAGATGCAGTGCTGGGAGTGAATGAGCGACGAGATGGAAATCAAAAGGGTGTTATAGTGCGCGTCTTTGAAGGTTGTGGAGGAGGAGGAGGAGGAGGTGGAACCTGAAGTGGAGAGGGAAAAGAATCTAAAGACACGACCAAGAGACAAGGGCTCTTTGACGACAAAAACAGTGCAGAACTCTCCACCATCACCAACCTGCACAAGCACTCCATAGTAACCAGCATTTGCACTGACAGATAATCTAGTGATAACGAGTTGGTTTATTTTGACGAAGCTGCAAGACTAAGACGATGACCGCGCGTGGTTGTACTTTGGTAAAAACTGCATTAAGTACTCCAAATGCTTTGAATGCACCGCTGCCTGGTTCTATCATCAGTCCAGAAACAACATGAATACCATTGGTTAGTTTCAACTCATCTTTGCGCAAGACATGGATAGCATCCATGGCTCTTTACTTGAAAAACTTACGGCGCGACTTCCTGTAAAGATGCGACGGTCACCACGAGAACCATAGATCACCGTCCTGTCGGGCAATATCTCGTTCTCATTCGTCGCACACACTGTCCCAATCACACACTCATCACCAAGCCATGTCCCGGATTTGACATGTGCTATTTGAAAAGTAGCATGAAAAATGTCACAAGATTGCATGGTTAGGATTAGCGTGCGAATTAGCAACGATTTCACGATATGAAGGGAGGAGGCTGGAACTACCCTGTCGTTACCTTTGACTTCCAGCGTGTTCCTGTTGCCAATCTTCATGCCCTCCATAACTATTGTTGATAGAGTTGAATGAAGTCTAGTCAGCACATGCAGACTTGGAGTTGGGCCAAATTAATTAAATGTCGCGACAATCCTCGTTGGCTTACCACTTCCAACCTCAAAGACGTTGTTGTCACCAATGATCAGTGCCTCCGGTCCCCTATTTCAGTATCAATGAACAACGGACAAAACAAGAGTCAGCACCGGTTCTAACATTGTATATGTCTCCTTTGACTGTGCATCCATGGCAACATCGGAGCACCCAACAGGGTTTGAACTGTCTACCTGTTGATGATGACAGCATTCTCCTCGACAATGTTGCCGCTCCCAAACATGATGGCTCCTCCTGTGGCCCATACTCTGCATTGGGGGTGAAGCACCGTGCCTGAAAGTAATCGACGAAGAACGAAAAATGGACGGAGAGGAACTTGCATTAGTCTCTTGACTTTGCTTCTTACATGCTCCTTTTATCATCCTGCGTGCTGCTGCTTCCTATAAACAATGCTGAGCTCCTTACCGGCACCTAATTGGTTGAGGAACAGTGAGGAAAAGCGTGTAAGCATTGACACCATATGAACAAAACGACAGCAGAGTGGAGTAGAAGCTTTCAAGTCTGCCTACCGACGTATATCTCGCCTCGAAGGTCATTGTCTTGACAGACCAGAGCCCTGGTGCTGATCGTCAATTTAGGTCTAATATTGGGTTAAAATGAACGGGAAGTTCTTAGTCTATGTGTTCCCGGCTCCCGCTGTTGCCATGGCCATTCTCGGCCCTTTGCTTCCTGACTCCATGGGCTTTGGCTGTGTGGTAGTTACCTGGACATCATCTTGAATAAAAAACTTGGCTTTGTGTGATGCTGGCGAGAGGGGTTATGTGTTGTTCTTGTTTGTTTTGAAACTTGATAGTCGGAGTCGGGTTCTTTATCCAGCTGAGCGTCGGCTTGTGTTGATGACAGAGAGGATTTCCTGTAGTCTCTAGAAGATGTGTCGTTGGGTTGGTGATGAAGGTGTTCAAGGTTGGCCTGAGTGTGTCGCGTGGATGCTCCGCTCTCGTCAGTTAAGGGCTAGACTGAAATGCCTCATGTCACACTTCGGCCCTCACTTTTGCCTTTTTTATTTCACGCTCCCAACATAAGTAAAAAGCTGGCAACCATGCGACGAATCAGCTCTTCAAGGCCACCACTCGTTCTCATCGACCGTCTACAGGAATAACCCGAGCGAAGTCAGGAAGCCAACAAGGGCCAAAAAAAACACATTCAACTCCTTCGCAGCAGCAACTGGAACTCGGATAACACAATCAGATCCTTGCCACAATGGCGACTCCATTCTGGAAACACCCAGCGCACCGAATCCCAACCTTGGGTCTATACAGAGTCCTCCTAAAGTCAACCTTCTCGTTACCACACAACTGTGTTCACCAACCCGGCCCTCGCCGGATACCCATTCAGCATAAAGGTGCTGGTCCCCCAGGTTCCAGTGACCCCTTGCCTCGCCTCCAGCGGAGCTATCTCTTCCAAATGATTCGGGATGAATTCCGATCCAACCGATATTGTACCAGTGCCAGGATCACTGCTGGCTATCTACGCGAGGCGGAGGAGACATTGAAGAAGCTGAGGAGAGCGAGGGATGGCGATCAAGAAGTCAGGAAGGAGTTGAAGGATCTTGTTCATGGAAGATGTGGACGTCTGAAAGAGGTTATCGATCATGTAAAGTTTATTGTCAATTGAGCAAACACTGTCAACGAGGATCTCGGGAAGAGCTGTCTTTCTCTGGTAATGACAATACTCACTCCAACGTACCCTTCGACCAATTGACCTGACATAGTTGAGTGACCTTATCAATTGGGATCCCAAGTCAACAACCCAACGGGATCGGTACAAACGATTGAAACGCGCTCAGGAACAGGTCTGGGACGTCCGCACTCAATCCTCCATTGAACGCGACCAACACCCCTTCTACAAGATCACCCTCCACCCATCTCTCTTCACCTTCCCCCCAGAACTGGACTATTACCCTCCTCACAAGTACCCACGCCAACTCAAAAACAAACGAGGTCTCTACAAGAACTTTGGAGGCGTGTTCCTGACCGAGGTCAAGACTTCTGAGGGATCCAAGTTTCCTAGGATCAGAGGAGGAACTCAGCCAGAGTGGATTAGCATGATGCTAAAGGGTCGTGTTCAGGCCTCGGTGAGGCGGGTGAACGAGTGGAAGCAATTGGAAGAACTCCAGAGGATGATGCAGATTGAGGAGCAGTTTACAAAGCTGCTAGGTGTCGACGACACCGGATATGGTAAGCAAACAACATCGGGCATGCGAACAATGCAAACAACATGACAGGAACGAGTACCGGACTTTGTGCTAATAAGCCCTTTCTAAATATCTCATTATTGGAATTAGTGGAGGGGATTGGCAAGCGGCTAAAAGAAGTTCAAGAGGACCATGCCAGAAGGAAGCGAGATGCCAACGAACGCAACGGACTTGAAGTCGGCGACATGGATGACCATGTATGAAGGCTATCTGATACCACTGGCCTTTTTCTCTTCGACACACCTTCGCTCTTCTTGACAAAATAAAAAAGCGCTCACAGGTTTTTGGTGGCGAGATCAAAAATGTGAGCAAACGTTTGTTACTGCGTTTCCTTTGTTCCCTAGCCATTTCTTTTGCGCTATTAGTCCCTGAATGGTTGCTTTCCATCATGGTGGTGCTTGTTGCTGTGTGACCTCACAAGGACCGGCAATGAGCAGGCAGACAGGGTCGCCTTGTCATCCATACGACGAGTAAACATAGCATTCTGGTGTGGACTGTGTCGTCCCCCTTAATTTCGATTCTGCCTTATTTCAGGAGCTTGGATCATGGACATCGCATCCTTTCTTACTTTTCTTTTCTCTTTTCACTATTACTATCTCTTACTCCTTCTCACGCAACAACTCCACCTCAGCTACAACAACAACAGCCAAGGTACGACGCCAGCACTTGCTTATTACCGAGGCTTTGCATAACGACGAATGCGTGCACAAAAGTGATAAGTTCTACTGTGCTCTCGTCTCCTTTTTCTAATCTTTTGTCTATGCGCTTGTTTAATAGCAATCCATCAAAATGAAGTACCCCACGATCTTGTCCATTCTCTCCCTTGCAATCCTCACCTGCGTCGCAGCCAGTCGCCTCTCTAACGGCAAATACACCATCCGGAGCTCACAAGGATCATATCTCGTTGACAACAAGGCCACCCTTGGAGGCCTGGTCGAGTTCAGTCGTGACACCACAGCTACCTCTTCTCGTAGCGCCCAATGGACTGTCGTACAGAACAAGACTGCATCCAACCCGAACATGTTTTCAATCCAGAACCGAAAGTCGAACTTGTTCCTGTCACTGGACCACAGCAAGGACACCGGGCGTAACCCGTACAGAAATGGTGAGCCCGTCAGGATGCAACAGGAATACCAGGTCTGGTTTCTGGACGCGACTGAGACTGTTGGGTACTACATTATCGAGTCTCCAGTGATGGGTCATCAGGAAAAGGCATATGCGATCAAATCCCCCGACGAGGATGATTCAGATCAGGAAAAGGATGGAAGAGTGACTCTGAAGGATGTGAGTAAGCTCTCTTCAACAAATCAAGGATGGTTGTTTGAGGTAGTGAAGTGATAGGGTGGCATGGTTTTTTTTTTTTTTTTTTTTTTTTGGCTCAGAAGGAGAAGGGTGAACTAGAGCTATGTGCCGTTTCTTAATTGCGGTTAATAAATGTATTGCCAATGCGCTGGGAGCAAGAATAAAAACGGTCTTGTAACATCTATCGACGACTCGGTGTCTACTATTGTTTCTTTGTTGGACAGACTTGATGGCGCCAGCTTTAGCCCAAGAACAGGAAAGAAAAACTGAATGGGGGTTTAATTATTTTTTTGGATACTAACATGCCTCGGCGAGTATGCTTAATTATCATCTTTTGGCGCCTTTTCATATCGCACAGGCTGAATGCCGTGTTTGTGAGGTGCGATCGGGTCAAAGCGCCCTTCGAAAATAAGTAATTCATGTATTTGTGTGTGAGTAGAACCGAGTAAAATACCTTTCCCTGCGAATGTAATTGAGTGCCTTTGCGTTTCTCTATGGAGAGTTCAACTCATTTAAGCGTCTTGCTTTTGCGTGTTGGGTCGTTCAAGTCCATGGCCTTAGTATGTTGGGCGTTCAAAGTGCAAAAAAGGAGAAACGCATTTTGCCCTTCAAACGCTGCGTAAAAGTCAACGGTACACGTGGCATTGTGGAAAGTTCCAATGCTCCAACCATGCAACAACGATAACCCTCCCCCTTGTCTCAAATAACAAACAAAAGGTCTGTCTTGACCGTACGATTGATGAGGGGTTAAAGAAACGAATAATACGTATGGGCGAAGACCTCTGTTTGTTTTTGTTTTGTGTATCTTTATTTTCTGGTTGTGATAGGGGCGAAATGCCGCATTTTTACGAGTGTGTGAGAGAGCGAAAGAGTGTAGATTACAAGGATGAAAGGTTTTTTAAAATGATCGTTAGATTTAGAAAGAAGTCTGAAAAGGACGTGCGCTTTAGCCCAACAGCATCAAGGGTATTAGTACAAAGGGTTGCAAGAAAAAGAAAAAAAAAGAAAATCGGCAGGGCAAAAGCGAAAAGAAGATACATGACTTGAACCAGCGCCAATTGAGAAAAGAAAAGTGAGAGTAGATAATTATCCTGTATCGCCATCTTAGGCTTGAGTGGGTGGTGTAAGGCTTTCTACGAATGCAGGGTGCAACTGCTTTGACACGTATGTTCTACGACAGAGAAAAAAACGGTACAATTGGGTGAGTGTTAACAACTTCGTTCCGTCTCCATCGCATCAGCACATTAATAAAAAGGAACAAAGAAACCACGACTTACGAAAAGGTGCTCTTGGGGGTGCCGAAGAAGTGGCTGCCCTTGGCAGAGACAACGGCGTCGACCATGGGGATAAGATCCTTGCTCAGTCCAACGCCGTCATAGTTCTTCTTGTCCTTGAGCTCGGCCAAGTGATCCGAAAAGTCGTCCAGAGTAAAGATGCAGGGGAAGTGGTCGAACAGCTTGCGGAAGAGAATGTTTCGGCGAGGATAGACACCGTCGGTCGCAATGTAGATGGTCGTGTATCGTCCACCTTCGTTCTTACGGGCCCTGCACTGAACATCATCCAATCGCTCGGGTCCAGATCTGTTCTTATTGTTGTTGTTGCCTGCAGCGGCACTGTCGCCAGGGGTCGAGGCGGGCGATGCCTGATAGTTGGGGATGGGGGTGATGCCGGTAATGTTGACTAGGCTCTTGAACATGTTTTCAATGTTATCGGGGGCTGGCTGGACAAACATGCCATCCCCTACACGCAGATGAAGACCAACAAAGGTTCCGAGACCTCCCAGTTTGTCCACGATGGTGTTTGAGGTGCTTGTGAGGACTGGGGTCGAAAGAATCATGGACCGTCTTAGGTACTGCTGGAAGGCCTTGTGCTCTGGCAGCTCGGCGCGGACTCTTCCTGTTGCAAAGAGCGATCCCATGTGAAGTACCCGCTCCGTCCTGTCCGAGAGCTCCTTGAGTTCCAGCTTGCGAGAATAGCGGCCGCCGTCGAGGGGGTAGGTGCTTTCGGGGTTGTCGTAGATCTGGTAGTCGTAGTGGACCTCGTCGTAAACGATATGGACGTCCTTGTTGCGATCGATTCCGAGGTGAGCCTCCATCCAGGCAAACGAGTGGTCGGGTCTGTACTTCCAAGGCTGCACCTTGTTGATCTTTTCCATGTCGTAGAAAAAGTCCCACTCGACGGTCGTCCAGGAGTAGTAGTTGAGACACTCTGCGGGGAGAGGGTCACCCTTGCCAATTCGTCCACAGTGGTCGAGTCCGCGCTTGGTCTGGAGAAGGATTCGACGGAGAAGGATGTCAAAGGTACGCCACTCAGTTGCGGGTCCCAAGAAGACTGGTGGAACCAGGAGAGTGCGGTTGAGGTAGTTGGCCAGGAGGAGGGCGTTCTCGAGGGTGATGCGCTGGTTGTGGAAACCCGAGTGGGGCAGGTAGGCCAGGTACCGCTCGTTGGGGTTGAAGGTTGGACGTGGAACGAGACCCTTCCCGACTTGAGGCAGTCCGTGCTGTTGTTCGTATGGTGGTGGGCGTTGTTGTTGCTGGTTCTGGTGCCTTGAGGCGGCAGAGTTCCTGTTGTGTGATGACGAGAGGGAGTCGAAGTAGAGGTAGAGGAGCGCCACGATGAGATTTGCGGCGATGACGAAGCTGAGAATCAGCTTTTTAGAATGCAGCATCTTGTCGTCGTTGTTGTAAAGAAGATCGTTAGCGTGCAGATGATAAGGTGTTGAGGAAGATGACGAGGGGAAGGAAGGGAAGGGGGCAAGGAGAAGAGCAAAGCGGAAAAAGAAAACAAAAAAAGAAGAGACAAGAAAAGAAATAAGGTACTGTACACATACACACACAGGAGAGAGTTCAAGATAGATGGCGTCGTTCTTGTGTTGTTATTCAGGGCCCAGAAGACGAGGCACTCATACACACACACACACACACACACAAGACATTAGATTATCCATGGTGATCGCATGGCTTTGTCAAGGGTCATAGGGGTTCCTTTTCCTTTTTTATTCTTCAACCACAAAAGGTATTGTTCATTACGGATAATCATAGCTGTTGCTGATATTCGTAGCTAATAATATTCATCGTTGGTCACAGTGGGGGCGAGACATGTTCAATCAGTGTTCAGTCGTTGTTCAGCCAGCAAAGAAAGATGGAAGAGGATGCTCACACTCACACACGCACACACGCACCTAGACAAACATGGCAGACCACTCGGAGGCGGTGTGCCCTGCTCTGTTCCTTTTCTTCAACCGTTTGAACAGACCTAAAAATAGCGTGTGGTTGTACTTGTTCCTCCTCCTCCTTTACGCCTCTTCTTCTCTCTTCCCTCTTCCCTCTTCCCTCTTCTCTCTGCTATTTTCTACAGGCACTTCTTTTTACTGCACTGCCTGGCTTCTCTTGGTCGTAACCCATTGGTGGTCGTCCATTACACGCTCCCTCCTCCTTGACCATAGAACACTTCCCCATCCGTTCTCCTTCTTTCTATGCTTAGGTATATCAACAGAACTCGCTCATACATATCCCAATCCGACCCTTTTGCCTGGTAAACGGTCGAACACAGTTGCTTGTATGAATAGATGAAAATGAAAAAAAAGGAGTCTAGCACCAATCCTTCTTGTGCCCATGTGTCCCTTTTCTTTCTTTTATGTATTGGCTGTCCTTTACGGCGCGCGCATGGCTCTGTCCCTCTTTTGTCCGTTTTCCTTTCTGGTGCTCTCAACCTCAAACTTTATCTCTTTCCTCTCTTGCTCTTGTTGATCCCAGTTTGTCAACAAAGTCTACAATCAATCGCCTATTGCCTGTTCAGTCCGTTGGTCGCCATGTTCTGTTTTCTGAGGGATGCTGTAAAGTCCACCTGGCCTTCCTTCTCCCTCTTTTCCTTGCTCTCATCCTTCTCTTGCTTTCGTTTCGTTCCGCTTCTCTGACTCCTTTCTTTGTTTCGTTCTACACGTTCCGCCTCGTCACCCTTTTCTTCCAGCTTTACGCCCACCGCAACAAGCCAGGGTCCCCCCCCCTCTTTTGTCTATCTTACCTTTCCCCCTTACTTTTCATCAACCTCTCCGCACACCTCCTCTTCTTGTCATCCATCAACCCACGTTTCTCATAGTCCTCTGCCGAAACCAAGAACTCATGTTGTTACCGCTCGTGTTTATTTGCAGCAATCCATAATGCAATGAACCCTAATCCCGCTTTTCACTTGCTTGGTTCAAGGAGAGGAAGAGAGTTGTGGGAAAACAGACCAATCAAGCATCCTATCCTCTTCGTTTTCTTGATGGAGCAATCCACACCACCATACCATTCGTAGTGTAGCAAGATTCTCCACCGATCTATTCTTCGCTAGACTATGCAACCAGGTCAATGGTACTTAACCGCATACCGGGCAAGATACATGACAAAAAAAAAAACGTGTGTTCCTCTTATTCTGTCTGAGAGATGGGCTCCTTTTCATTTCCAGACAAACAAGAGGTCTTGGCGGCATGAGCTGAACTACGCACTCTGCTACGGAGCTCACAAACATGAGAGGGAAAGTATTATTGTTGAACGTGGACCCAAGCCCTAGTAAAGCGTAGTCGCCCACACCTCTGCGACCAATGCAATATTTTTTGTTTCACATCAGCCTGGGACCCGCTCCTTCTTTAGTCGGTAAAGATTGTTCTTGACTGACTGACTGACATTGGAAAATTATCGAACGCGGCGAATAGCTAGATAAACACGACTCCGACGCGAACGCCAACAAAGGAGCTCGATGATGACGTGAATCTGTTCGTTGGTGGTCCCATCTTTTTTCCGCCTCATCGCAACTTAACACCCATTTCACCCGTGAAATCCAGCCAGTAGCAGATCATACCAATCCCTCACGCAACCTGCTTCAAAGCAGGAATGAACTCTTGAAACCTTGCAAATTCTACTCATAAAAGCCGCTCATTGACCCTCTCTGTCGTCATGCTGTTCGCTGTCAAGGTTGAAATTTTTTCCGCGCTCGCTAACTCCTTTTTTTAAAAAAAGTTCCCACATCCTTTTTTCGTTACATTCTCACCCATACCATTGACATTTGAACACCGCCGCACCAAATAAGCAACCATGGGAAACAAACACAGCAGCAACAGTGGTCATGACAACCACAAGGACACCAACCCCAACGCCATCAACTCGTCCGAAAACCTCGACCCCTTCGCACAACAACAACAACCCCCACCCCCGCCCCCACTACAAGGTCAAAACCGCAACCAAGGTCAAGGCCAACAACAAACACCCTTCTCCAGCGGCGGCAACTACCCTCCTCAACCAAAAAGCGACCGCGCCCCATTTTTCGAATCCCTCTCAATCCCTCCTTCCGACGACTCAGTTTCTTCGGCATCCGCCCTCGCCGCGAAATTCATCATCCCACACGAAAAGGGTCCTGACCGCTGGTCATCCAACTACATCCGCGACTCGGTCGTCTTTACCCCCGACGGCGCCCAAATCTCCATCGGTACTCTATCTTCCGTCAAACCGTTCTCGGGTGGAGAGCTCATCTCAAGGGAAACGGGGCTTGGATACGGGGTTTACTCTTGTGATATGATCTCGACCAACATCAAAGGGCATGTCACGGCCTTCTTCCTTATCGCCAACGGGATCAACGAGATCGATATCGAATTGACAGGACGAGTCTCGACCGTCTGTTGGGTCAACGTTTGGAAAGGGAAGGACCAGCACCCGGTCAAGATTGATTTGGGGTTTGACGCGGCCCAGGATTGGCATACGTATGCGATTGAATGGAGACGCGATTTTATTGCGTGGCATGTGGATGGAAGAAAGGTTTATGAGCGCTCAGATGTCGAAGTTGCTGACCCGGCAACGACAGAGTTCAAGTTGGCGATGAACTCTTGGACGCATAATAATGAAGACCAGTGGGCGGGCAAGTTTGAGATGCCGACGGATGGACGGAAGCCCGTCAGTTGCTTCCGTAACATGTCCTATACTCCTTAGTGTCCCCCATTTCTCTTGCTCTTTTTCTTTTTCCTTTCACTTGTATATATTCAAAACCTTTCATATCATAGCATACTGACCCACTTCTGCATAAAATAAATAAGATGACATATTTAAATAAAAAAAATACAACACAGATCCTAATAGACAACGACCTCAGCAACAGTAGCACCAGCAGAGGTACCATCATCCGTCAAAACACCCTCCACCACCAACTTCACAAACCTCGCCCTCACCCTCTCCGCCAACGAAACATCACTCGTATTGCCCAACCTAATCTTCACAACATTCGCATCCTGCGTATCATACGGCGCCGTAATCTCGACCTTATCGACCTTCGCCACCTCCTTCAACTCTGCATCCTCAGCACTGTTACCAACAAGAATAGTATAGTTGACAGGCGGGTTATGGTTGAAATTGAAATGGAATCCCTTGATGGACTGTGTGCGGCCCAAATCGATGGTCATGGATGCAGGGGCGCGAGTGCTGGGACGCCAGTAGGTCGCGTTAGATCCGTCCACGGCTGCGAGTGCGTATTGACCGGGGAGGATGGGGTCTTTGGAGATGACCGAGGGTGGGCATTGGGCCTTGTTTCCGGGGACTAGTGTTCCGTTCAGGTCACTCCTATACGTTCCCACCGTCAATGTCTGTCCCACCGCCAACTGGCTTTTTTTTCATGAAGAAGAAACAAAAAGGACTGATTAGCAAACTTTGCCAAAGAATAAGAAAACACGTTTTCTTCAAGTCAAAAATAGACAACAAGAACACAATGACAAGGAGGACGACTTACTATTTGCCAGACTTGCGGTTACGATCTCCAATACGAACACATGCCTTTTTGCCTTTCCCACCAGCCCGCCTAGTCACAGTCGTCTTATCCCCCGCTACCTTAACATCAAACACACTCCCTTGCCACTTCATCCCCTTGACTGTGAACCCCTCAGGTGCCAACTGCGGCGGCAGCGTCGGGTCCAAATAAAAGCAATCCAATCTCGGTCTGTATCCCGTAAACCCATGCGTCCAAATCTGGAGGTACCCACCATTGCCCGTCAAGAAAGTATACGCCGGGTTGGTGTGCCCATTATCCGCATAGATATCGGACGTCTGCTCCGAGAACTGATGGAACGGCTCACGGACATAAGGCTCAGAACTCTGCAGGAGGTATGTGAACGCCTCGCAACCCTGGTACGACAACTGTGCAGAGTCAATACTGAAAATCGAGTAGGTCATTCCGGGGCCATTAGGACTGTTGGCACCCGCATAAAAGGCGAGGTCACCCTTGGGGTTGGGGACAGGGTACTCGAGTGGGTAGATCAAGAGGACGACATCGGCTTGCTTGACGGGCGTCGTGGCGTTGAAACCGTCGTATTCGAGGACAATGTTGGACGAGTTGTCGTAGAGGATGGCAATGTTGTCGGCAATGTCACTCCAGTTGCTGGGTGTCAATGAGGAGATACCCAGGATCTTGGCTGCCTCGATACTGTTCCTGAGGGTCACTGATGCTCCTGCGTTCGTGAATGCTGCATTGTCCTTAAAGTTGGCGTATTCATCCGGGTCCGTCTACATTAGAAATCATACGTACAAAAAATGAAGGGTCAGTCTCTGAGGCGCGAATTGAAGGAATGCTGTAGTGAACATCAAAAAGCGACAAGCAAAGAGCCGTACCTCGTTCTTGGTTGTGAACCCACTATTTGAATAAAGAGGTGAAGGAAAATGAACGTGCATGTCAGAACACAATGAACATCCTAAATAAGGTTCACATATGCAGGTCTAAATAATTAGAATGTCTACTTACGGAGTGCCAGGCTGGCGGATGACCTGGCTGCCCCAGAAGTCTGAGACAGCCTTCATGATCGGGTATCCGTAGTCAGCGAGCCAAGTCTTGTTGTTGGTCGACAAAAAGTACTGCCACTGAGCCAGCGCAATATCGTTGTTCAAGTGGTACTCGTAATCATAGCATGGACCAATTCCTATCATACCGAAGCAACAAACGGAAATTAGCAATTGAAAGTTACGGAGATATACAAACTTCAAATACAAATAGAAAAAGGGTTGTGTAAAGTGGATAAACATACCGGTGCAGTTGCCGTAACGGAATGCGACCCAAGGGTATAAGAGTCCAGATCGATTGAACTGCTTAGCATTCTCCATCGCGGCGCCGAGGTTCTTGGTGCGGTAGTTGTTAATGCTCATCGCATAGTCCGGGAACAACGACAACAGACTTGGGTACATCCATGTATCGGCATCCCAAAAGATTCCTCCCGCATACGAATCCGACGTCAATCCAGCTGGAGCAATACTGTTATCGCCCAGACCCTTGCCCTCAAGACCACTGCGGACGTTGGCCAAGAGATGGAACAAGCTGGATCGGGTGGTTGTCTGGATCTCGGTGAGGAGACTGGTTGATTCGCTGGTGCTGTTGCTGGATCTCTTCTCGGCTCCGTGGATGATCACCTCACCGCCGTCGGCCCAGAGTGTCTCCCAGGCAGCCTTGTGTTCCTTAACCAGACTCTCCCATCCGTCTTTCCGTGCTTGCTTGGCCGTCTTCAGTGCCGTGTCTCGCTCAGTTCCCTCAAAGGCATCGGAGGAAGCAATACCGACCGCCTTGAAGACCGAGATCTTGCCATTGGAGGGAACCGTGACTGAGTAGGACTGGGCAACGGTAGCGGAGCTCTTGGCATTGTTGTTAAGACCAACACTGTCGGGAGTATCAACAGCTGAGGCCTTGGCAGCCTTCTTGTCGGACGAGATGATGCTGAGGGTTGAAATCTCCCAGGCGGTAACATTGGTGATCCCTGAGGGTCGGACAGCAGAGTAGATCGCATAGGGCAACTCGGTCTCTTTCACCTTGCCAGCCTGCTCACCCTCGACTCGCTGTGCACCAGCCCCATCAATCGCATCCGTGATCACGACTTGTTGACCACCCGCCAAACCAGAGACGTCCAGACGAACAAGACCCAGACTAGGACGCGATCGATGCGCCAGGACGGTGTAGTGAAGGAGGATGTCACTTGTGGCTGAACTGTTGTTGTTTGTAGACTTGAACGGCGACCAAACGACGATGGTTTCGACAATGCCATCACGCATAGAGAGCGACTGAGAGAAGGACTTTATCTGTTCAAGATCGACATCGACCCGATAAGTCGCCGAATCACTGGTGCCAGAACCTGGGGCAGAGGAAACGGTGAGGTACAGCGACGTCCATGTCGGGAGCAGCGAAATCACTTGCTCGCCTCCTGTTTGTTCCTACGTGTTGCATAGTCAAAATGGTCATAGCGTTAGTTCTCTAAATTATTAGTGGGCGCCTACTTTCACGCCTACTTTCACATCAAGGGATACCAGAGTTGCTAACGTGAAAAAAACAAATACTAGAGAAAGGATAGTAACGAATAATGACTTACAAAATTGGTCCCCCGTGTCTCATTCTGGAGTCCATAAAACCCCGCAACAATCGAAGCCGTTTGGCGAAGGGAAAAGAGAGGCCAGCCTTGGGTGCCGTTCATGTCATCATAGTCAATCGCCGGATGGATACGAAGACCCATACCCTCGGCGGGCAATCTAGCACCAATGTATCCGTTGGAGACGTAGGGCTCGGCCTGGAAGGACGTAGTGTTGATACTGGTTGTGCGGAAGATCCATTCGTCGGAGGAGGACGGGGAAGGCGCTGCGCTTGTGGCGACGGGGGATCCAGACGTAAAGACAGGCATAACCGCCACAATGACGGCGGTAAGGCTCACGACGAGCCGCAATGGGTTCGAACGCATGGTACTTTGTCAACTGTTCCCTGCTGATTACTTACGAATGGGAGAAAGATGTCAACGGATAGGAAAAGGATGAAAATTACGAGGGAGAAGGAGGGATCAAATGGGACGAGAAGTAACAGTAAAGGAAAGTGAGGGGAAAGAGGAATAAGAAAGAAAAAATCGAAGGGTGGGCAAGCAGGGTGAATCAGCATAAGTGGCCGGTATTTAAGCATAAACTATTCTCGGTTTTATGAATGCAGGTACTTGCTCACGTCTAACGCAACGACTTACAACTGCAACTGGGCCAGGACGAAACGTCATGTTGCGGTCACCTCTTGGGCTTTGGGTTGTGTGGGCAAAGTTAGCAGGGTATGAACGGTAGACCGGTTCCTGTCGAGCAAAGTTTGTTTTGGTGGGGTAAGAAAGACGAGAGATACGCGAAAGAAGAAGGCATCATGGGCCAAAACGGCTATTCTCTATGGGTGACCAGGGCCTGCATGACGCTAGTCTTCATTGGCGCTAAACGAAGGGAGGCGATACCCTCCATGGGTACGTGGGGTAAGCCCAAGAAAAAGAGAAAGGGACCAAAACGAGAACAAGAAACAACCACCCCGCTTTACCCCACAGCCTTATCTTTCTGTTTTTGGTTGTAAGCTCATCCAAGTAAAGCACGCAAGCTACCAAAAGATAGGGTACAATGGCCTGATAGGACGCATATGGACAACATATCCGCTCATTGACTCCAAGGCGTACACGGATACTTTTTCACGCTACCAACCAATAAGCTCTTATCTCTGGTACCTCTGTCGTGGTATCCACTCAAAGTGCGGGAAGTGTGAGTTCCTGTCTGAGTTCTGAGGTGTGAAGATGAGTAAATGGGCATGTACCTCTTTCTGAGTGTTACCCCATCTGTCTCTGTTGATGGGTCATCCTGATTCAAGTTGATTCGTTGCATGGGGGAAGGAGGTCATGATAAAGAGCAAGGCGAAGTGGGCAGAGCACGGGTGAGAGTGGGGCGTCAAGAAGAAAAAAAGAACAGTACTAAAATTGTTTGTGTTCCTAGATGATCGATGCGTTTAATAGTCTGAGATAGTGATACCAAGGGATGTCACACCTCATCGAGTGCCTCCTCATACGAGAACTCACTGTCGCCATTCTTGACAGCCTCAGGGTACAACCGCATCTTCGTATAGAACCGCCACAGCACAAAGTACAGGTACCCATTCAGCAGCCAATCCACCATCATCCCCACAATCACCACCATCACAAACGTATCCACCTTTGTCCCACAATAGAACGACGGTGGTAACTTGGCAGTTGAAGATCCATCCGTATCGACAACAACGGTGGCATAGGCAGAGGGGTGGAGACAAGCATTTTGTATCTGGTCCTTGTTCAATGCCAGCTCATAAGCAACCAGTCCAATCCTGGCTGCGGATAAGAACATCACTAGCCATTGGACAAACACATACATCCTCGTCAACATGTACGACCACTATGTACCAAAGAAATGGGAAGGGTACGTTAGCTGATTTATTTTTTCTTGAGACAAACGTACCTCGCTCCTCTGACACATACCAGCCAACTTACATTGCATTGGGCGATAAACGCGATGGCAGCAGTAATAGATTGGAGGGCAGAGAATCCTGCAACGACTACACAGATAGCCGAGGATGAAAAGAAAAAAGTGCCCCAGAGAAATAGACATATCGCACTAGCTGCGTTGATGACTACGACGAGTCCTGAGAGCCACATTCCTCCGCCTCGTATCGGTAGACATAAGCAGCAGTTGTTGCAGTACATTTTTTGATCGACAGATGGAAAGGAGTCAAGGAAAGTGGATGGAATGAAGTGGGCCAGGGGTATGAGTGGGTGCACAGTCTCTCTACCAAAGTGAAGACAGAGGGAAGACGACAGCAGGAAAGATTTAGCAGCAAAAAAAAATGAGAGAGACAACGATGCTTTATATACTTGTACCTGAAGACACCCTGCCCCTGGAGAGCAACAATGACTACTTCAAAAGAGAAGTTCGGTCATGCGATAAACGAAAAGAAAAAGAAATTGCCTCGGGGTAAAGAAGAAGGAATCAAGGATAGTGCTGATGGTCAAAGCATGACCAAGTGATGTTGGCGATAGAAAAAGAATGAATCAAGAAAAATAGATACAAATGCCAGAGGCAACTCGAGGACGAGTCAAACGTGTTTTGAAAGTACGCCCTGTAGAAGAGCGCAAGGCATTGAACGAAGAGTCTTTTATGTCGAATGACCTTGCGAGCGAACAAAGAAATGCCTCTATCATCACCCCTCTTTACATGTCTGCAGCTCACGCGTCAAGAAATAAATCGCGCATAGCTCTCCCCTATTTCATCGTAATTCCCTCAACGGTGTCTCAGCCAGGACTCCCACCCATGCTTCTTTTTCTACCACTTGTCATGACAAGGGGTACAGTTCAAGTCATCGCAGTACCCTTTACAACTCAGCGGACCCTATGCCTGATTTCTTCTTGTACCCAGCAAACCGCATACCCTATTCACATTAATCGATCCTTACTACGCGGGGTTGGTGGATACCATTATCATGCGGCTTTTTACGTGCCTAAATGAGAAAGAGGCACTTGTCGTGCAAGCATTTTATATTAAACACAACTGGTCTGAGAGAGAGGCCAGTAGACTTGCTGAAAACCCTCTTTTGAGAATGAAAACACAAGAATGACATGAAGAATAGACGCGTTTATCGATACTGTATGTGTATGTGCAATGTCGATCCTTTCTTTAATTCAAGGCCAAAAGTCAAAAGACAACAACAGCCAGAAGTAAAAAGAGAGCAAGAAAAGGAACGATGAAAATGTTGTTTGATTAGTAGTGTGAGTTATGTTCCAACTTGACAAGAAAACTGTGCGTGCTGCAGTATCTATCATCTCGACAATGGCGGGTGCAGCGCTTTCCTGTTGATGGCAAAATCGCCTTGCAGACACCATTGTCTTCTTCCTGCCACTGGGTCATGTCGGTGGTAGTGAACGCAGCACCTGTTGCCGGCGAGATTGAAGGCTCAACAGTAACGGTGGATGCAGCTGGTTGGTTAACGGTGCCGGTGACCTGAAGTTTGGTAAGTACAGTCTTCTTGGGTTCCGCGACCTGTTTGGCTTGGGGCGAAGGGACGCTGGCATCATCAGGTGTGGTGGCAGTAGCAGTGGCACGGGTGGCTACTTTGGCCGCATTCTGAACCACATGTTGCCAGAGAGATGCGACAACACGGTCGGGTGGCGGTGATGAGGCTATCGTCACTAATATTGGTGGGATCGGCTTGTTGAGCGCTGCAGGGATGTACTTGTTCATTTGCATTTCAATTCTCGGAATCGACGACGCCGAGGTCGGGTTGGTGTTGTTGTTGGTGGTAGCCTTTGCCATCGTTGTTTCACTTGGATCTTTTTTGTCGTGGCTGTTGTTGGTGTCGTCATCTTGATGGAGGCGATTCGATGCCTTGTTCTCGGACAGCAGAGGTTCAGGCTTGGTGGACAGATCTTGATGAGCACACTGAGGTTCTGGAGAGATTGAGAGTGAGGACTCCCAACCCTCAGACAGGACATCCTCTTCATCTTGCACATCAGCCCCGACCAAGTGAACAAAGCCATCATCGTTGTCGTCATCCGTTTTGATGGGGTTGTCTACTTCTGCTTTCTTTTCCGTGCCGTGAGCCTCGGGGTTGTCGTTGTCGGTGGCCTTGCTGTTCTTGCCAAGATCGTCATTGTCGTCATCGCTGTAGGTCGTGGCCAAGACCAAAGACTCGATGTCCTTGTTCGAGGAGAGAGACGACAGGTCCTCGAAGGAGTCGGCAACATTGCTTGCGTCATAGGTGGAAGCCATCTTTATCGAAGGTCTTGATGGGCAGATGAGCTGGGTGTGGAGTTGGAGGAAGGAGAAGAAAAGCACAAAAAGTTGTCAAAATCACCTGCCATTTTATACTGTGCAAAAAGAATTGATACCAAATGGTGATGAACTCTTGAGAGTGAGATGTGTTCAGATATTTTAGGCAACACTACTATGCTTACCTTGGTCTTCGGCTTCTTAAAGAATTGCAAATATCGGATGGGCCAACTGGCTTGGATGTTGCCGTCGCAAGCAACAAACATGGAGCGAACCCTATTGTCTCCCTCTTTCCACTTGCCCTTGTTTCCACACAAAGGGATGGCTGCGCCGACAGCCTTGTTTAGTATAGCGTTCTGAGCCAACTTAGCGTTCTGAACCAGCTTATCGTTCTGAGGCAACTTCAAGTTCCCCTTCTTGACTTTCGAAAACTGTCCATGCCCAGTGCTTGCACAGTGCATACACAGTGGAAAGAAAAAGAAGAGTATCGGGCTCGGCATTGTCAGGAGGATAAGGAACAGTCAAACAAACATAAAAAAGGATATTCCTCCTTGGTGCCGCACATCCCATAGTCCTGTTTTGTCATTTCATCAGTGCGCTCAAACCCTCTTTTGCAGTTGCCACTTTCTTTTGTTCCATCCTTCTCCCTCCTTGTCGTCATATTTTTCTAATTGTTCTTTCCATACAACCAAAAAGCAACCCATTTCCTGCCTTCCACGTTGACTTTGAGTCTCACTTGCAGTAGAGCTTGTGTATCTGAGATATAGTAGCATTCTGGTTTAACGGAAAGAAAATAGTAAATAAAGGACGAGCAAAGCGTCATTCGGCAAAAAAGGGATTCGCGTGTCAATTCGCTCTCTCGTGCCTACAAAAATAAATACTACACTCCTTTTTGCACTTTTCATAGTAAAATGCGGACCTTTTCCACTGAATTGAAAATATAAGGGGTGTTATTCAGTCCAGCCTTATCTATGCTTGGATTTACGAATCCTGAGGTTGACCGAGAGGTAGCGTGGCTTAAAATCAGTAAATCCCCTTATATTTTCAATTCAGTGGAAAAGGTCCATGAAAAGTGGACCTTTTCGCGAAAAGGAGTGTAGAGAGTGCTGTGTATTGATTTGGGATTATGATGGTTGAATACCCTCACTTCTCGTTTGTCTATAGCAACTCCTCGTTCCTTTTTTTTGCTCTATGTCTGTCCTCCACTCTCTTTTGTCCTCCTAGCCTGTTCTCTTCCTTGCTTTTTTTCGTATCACCATCGCATCTTGTATTTTTTAATCAGACCCCCAGCTTCAAGGAATGATCCCAGAGGAAGAACAGACGAACTGGAAATTTACCACCATGCTTTTGCACTCTCTTTCATGCAAACATACCACAGACCTCGGAATCAATGTGGACGCTCTTTGAGTGCCTCTCTTGGTAAACAGCCCCACTTCTTTGTTCTTTCAAAAGGCTGTCTATATGTTTTTATTGTACTGTCTGCGAAACCCTGAAACAATAGCGACCACTGGATGACTATGGCAACCAAGCGTAAAGAAAAGAACAAGCAAGTGTTGAGAACAAAACAATGGTGATAGAGAGAACTTTACGAGTTTAACGATCAACCGATAATATCACAGAGGCAATCCTCCGCCTCCTGCGAATAATATCGGTGCGATGTGTTTTTCCTGGCAGAATTTTCTTTTCTTCTTTTACTCCACCGCCAACCACACTCAAAAAGACCTTAAAACACGTTCAACCCCACTCTTACTCTCAACCGCCAAGCAACCACACTTTTGCCCACACACACACATCACCTCTGTGGGATAACCAAGATTGGTAGACGTCATTTATAACCTTTCTTTCATCTTGGTCCACCTCGAACTCTGTTACGTTTGCATCCGCTTCCAGACTCGATCACCTTTTTTGGTTCTGACCAAAAGCCCGTCAAAGGGTACATGTCTTGAGGCAGAGAAATGTATGCGACGAATGGTTGCCATTGAGGCAGGCAAAAAAGAAAACGGCGATAGCTTTCTTGAAGCAGCAAAGAATCCTATCATATCTCTTGCTGCTTCAGAAGCAGATCGTTCCGTTCAATCCTTTGCTCTTGATATCCTTGTGCAGTTTTTTTGCCAGTGATGACCTCTGAATAAGCAAGATCAACGGCGCCTATTTCTGCTGTCCCTCATGCCATTTAATGATGCCATGAGTGACAACGTGGACATTTCCAAGCCAGTGGCAAATATTCTTCACAATATGTTCGAGAGGATTGCCGAGGGCAAGAAGGTAGAGCTTGGGCGGCTTACAGGCATAAGCGACAATGGCCGATATATCCGCGGTCTGATTTGGGGTGTCACAAGGATGGTCAAGGTTGTTCGCACAGTCCTCGACAAATCCGGTCTCAAGTATGACACCCCAAATCAGACCGCGGATATATCGGCCATTGTCGCTTATGCCTGTAAGCCGCCCAAGCTCTACCTTCTTGCCCTCGGCAATCCTCTCGAACATATTGTGAAGAATATTTGCCACTGGCTTGGAAATGTCCACGTTGTCACTCATGGCATCATTAAATGGCATGAGGGACAGCAGAAATAGGCGCCGTTGATCTTGCTTATTCAGAGGTCATCACTGGCAAAAAAACTGCACAAGGATATCAAGAGCAAAGGATTGAACGGAACGATCTGCTTCTGAAGCAGCAAGAGATATGATAGGATTCTTTGCTGCTTCAAGAAAGCTATCGCCGTTTTCTTTTTTGCCTGCCTCAATGGCAACCATTCGTCGCATACATTTCTCTGCCTCAAGACATGTACCCTTTGACGGGCTTTTGGTCAGAACCAAAAAAGGTGATCGAGTCTGGAAGCGGATGCAAACGTAACAGAGTTCGAGGTGGACCAAGATGAAAGAAAGGTTATAAATGACGTCTACCAATCTTGGTTATCCCACAGAGGTGATGTGTGTGTGTGGGCAAAAGAGTGGCTGCTTGGCGGTTGAGAATGAGAGTGGGGTTGAATGTGCTATGGGCCGTTTTGAGTGTGGTACTTCTTTTTATTTTTTGCAATACTACATCTCAGGTGCAAAAGAAGGAAGTTAGCTCGCTATGCTTGTCACCTTTATTTCATAGCTTTGGGGGATCATCGTAGACAAGCTCTACTGTTTCAAGAGAGACACAAAGACAACGTGAAAGGTAGGGCATGTCAGCGAATGAGTTGATTTTTTGGTTGTATGGAAAGAGCACCAAGGATATCTTATTTGTGATTGCTTAATTGTTAGCGCCCGATACTTTTATTTTTCTTTACGCTGGGCATCGGCTGTTTTCCAAGGCCAAGAACGGGAACTTGAAGTTGGCTTAGAACGCTATACTAAACAGACGGTGTAATCATCCTTTTATATGCAAACAAAAGGTAAGTGGAGAGGGAGATAATAATTGAGAGCGCCTTTTGTTTGTTGCAGGCGATAGCAACTTCACATCCAAGTCTGATTGCCCTATCCGACATTTGCAGTTCGTCAAGAGGCTGAAGTACAAGATAAGCACCCTTTTTTTCTTTTAAACCATTGAGCAGCAAAAAGATATATCAACCCTAATGCTTGCTTCTTCTCTTTCCTTGAATAACTGGGCGCCTTGGAGTTCGTGATCGTGTCGGCTGATGAGTACTGCACCTCCAAGTCTTGCTGTCAGTGCCACACCAACAGTGAGGACCATATCACCATGGGCCGTCGCTCCATCCAATGCACACACAATGCAACCGAGTCAGAGACCATGGCCATAACAGGGCGCACAATATGGCTCGTGCAGCCTTACAATGGATAACATACTTTTTCTTAACCTCAAGAGCTATATCGTCCTACCCCACCTCTACGACGTTAACCTTGACAGTTTCACACTACACACCAGGCGCCTCTTGCTCATAGTTGATATTAGATGATCAACCACGTTTCTTCTAAAATCCTCGTCCGTAAGGTTTGATTCTAAATTAGCAAATACAGCTCGCTGTTTTCCGTGACGTGAAATTGGGTGTAAAGAACCTTGGTGTTCATTTTCGAGCATCGTTCCTTTACACCTCCCTACTCACCTACACACAATGGCCTCCATCGCTAACATTCGCGCCTTCCAGGTACGTGCCTCACTTAACAACAGTTACACACATACACACTCTACAAAACCGGCCCACTCATCTGGATGTGGCGACTGCCAGAACTACTGCTTTGTTTTTCACTCTTCCTTTTGAAGATCACATTCGACTGAAGAGCCGACCGCGATAAGGAATGCAATGGAACCACTTCAGTAAAAAGAACCCACGCTAACACTTTGTTTCTTTTTCTACTTTCATTTTTAGGCTGTTCGCGGCTACTCCACTGCCGCCAACGTCAAGGTAGCGATACAGAACAGGACACAGGAAGAGCGAACATACCCACTTTCACACAGATGTTTACAGGGTTGACATCTCGTACATGCATCAGAGGACTCAAGAGGGCGGAATCGAACGGAAGCACGGGACTCTGCGAGGTGGCGAGATCAGGACACACTTATATCATCACCCTTCGTTCCTGTTCAGCATGGAAGTGACCAAAGAACCGCTTCCTTGGGTGATGGTTCTTATGGAAGCGCGATAGAGCAGGGCCACACCTTCGACATGGTATATTGCTTCAGCGCAAGCACAAGAGGAGCAATTGAGATATCACTTCAGGCTTCAGTCAATTGGGGATATAAACCAGCAGCAGTTGTCAGCTCAGGACGCCAACTCAGAGAGCCTCTCTCCATGACAGCCTCGGGGCCCTCCTTCGTTGTATGAACATTTTTGTTCAGCTTTGTGTTAACACCTGACCATTGTCGCTTTGCGCCTATGTGTAGATCCCCCTTGTCCTGCACGGCATTGATGGTCGCTACGCCACTGCCTTGTACACCGCAGCTGCCAAGAAGTCTGCTTTGGACGTCGTCGATACCGACTTGAAGCAGGTCAAGACCCTTGTCGAGAAGGATGAGAAGCTCCGCGAGTACTTGGAGAACCCCACCATCAACAAGATCGAGAAGAAGAAGGGCATCCAGCAGGTGTTGTCTGTCGGCAAGTACAACGAGCTGACCAAGAACTTTTTCGACACCTTGGCCGAGAACGGACGCCTCTACGATACCGTAAAGATCATCAACTCTTACGGTTCCTTGATGAGCGCCGGTCGCGGCGAGATCCAGGTCACCATCACCTCTGCCAAGCCCTTGGAGAACAAGGATGTCGAGAAGGTCAAGGGTTACTTGCAGAAGTCCTCCTTCGTTACCGCCAAGCAGACCCTCATCGTCGCCAACAAGGTCAACCCCGCCATCCTCGGAGGTTTGGTCGTCGAGTTCGGTGACAAGACCATCGATCTCTCGGTCTCGTCCAAGGTCAACAAGCTCAACCACCTCCTCACCGAGACCATTTAAGGCTTCTAACCCACTCAATCCCGCTGCCCCACCTGAAATCTCGCCCATCCACCACCCAGCCTTCAATCTCATCGCTCAGCAAACGGCGTAGAGGTCGACCGACACGTCCCAATTTGTCAAATAAATAACTAACAGTGTCAACCATCCCAACTTGTCGCGACCCAACTCGATAACAAAGGAAGGGCCTGTCAGTCATCGTTAGGTTTTGAAAAAAGGGAACAGTAGGCTGGAGTTCCAATCTGCAGAGTGTAGATTAGATCATACTTTCTTCTCCCATTGCATGGAATATCAAGAGTTGATACTGGAATGTTAACGAAAGAAAGGGCCTTTCTTTTTCTTTCATCCTGCACGCGGAAAGGAAGGAGATCAGTTACCTCTTTTCCCTCCCACCCCACTTTCTCAACCCAAATACCCCTCTTTTCACTCCATAAAAAAACAAAAATGCTCGCCAAAAATTTACTTCGCGCAAGGCTCACGACCCTCCTCCTTGTCGTCGGATCGGCACTCTTCCTCATATCTCCCGCCGTCGCCGACGAAGCCGCCTCTGTCCTTGCCAATACAGTCGACTTTCAAGCACCCGTCAAAGACGCACCTCCTTCAGTCGCCGTCACCTCACTTGCCGACCCCGGAATCACACCCCTAACAGACGCACAGATCGAAGAGATCCTGGACGAGCACAACATGTTCCGTGCTCGACATCGCGCCCCTGCCCTGGAATGGGACGCTTTCTTAGCACGCGACGCTGAACGCGCGCTGGGAAATTGTCGCCCCTTCAGTTCTCGCTCTCGTGTATGTATCGGGTGTGTGTGTGTGTGTGTGTGTGTGTGTGTGTGTTGATTCATCAAGCAGTGTTGTTGTTCCCTCCTGTGCCTTTGTGCCTTTTGCTTACATTTTTTCGATATTAAAAATCATAATAGTACGGGAGGAACGAGTTCACGAGTGTGGAGATAGACTTCTACCTGGCCGTCGAGACATGGTATGCCCAAATCCAAGGATACGATTTCGAAGACCCCTCTCAATCTACACAGAACTCTGGCACATTCTCTCAACTGGTTTGGAAGAATTCGAAACGAATCGGGTGTGCGGTCAAGGAATGTTTGTCGAATGACGATGGGGAGGACGGTGGGTACTCGTCGTTTGTGCATTTGTGCGAATACGATCCGCCTGGTAATATGGTTACCAGGCTTTACACTTTGTACAAGAAGAACGTTCTTCCAGCCAGGAAAATCTAATGGTGGGTGGGTGGGACAAACACAAACAAACGCACGAATAAAACAAATTCTTATTTCTATTATTTCACGATAACAATCCTGTTCCAACACACTACCCTAGGATCCAATCCTCAACTCTCTCTCTCTCTCTCCTTAGTACCACAACTCTCTGAGCTGCTTATTGACGACCATAGGCTTGGTGACAAAGAGAACAGCGGCCAGCGCAACAATAGTGAGCACTAACTGGGATTTCGAAAAGTCTTCGTTCAGAATATCAAACGTCTTGGAGGCCGCATGGCGGGTCACAAACACATCCTGTCCAAACGCAACAACAACCGTCGTTGACTCCAAGAGTGTAGGCGAAGTGACAATCTTCTTGATGTTGGCAACCTCCAAGTTGTAGGAGAGGAACAGACGTGCGTCGTCGGGGATGGGGCTGTAAGGGATCAACATCTCCTCCTTCTCCAACGCGGTGGGTGCGCTAGTGGGGCGACGAGGGTCCAAGTAGCGCTGGTTGATCGCCATAATCGAGTGGCGAGAGAGTCCAAAGAGGATATCCTTGGCAGAGATTCCGGCCTTAGTTGTCGTCACACCAATGGCGCTGGCGGCCTGCGAGAAGGGGAACGACTGGGCAATTACATGGGGCTTCTCAGCAGTGAACGACGAGAAGGTGTCGCTGTAGGAGGTAAAGGAGCAGATAATGACAATTAGCCTTCATGTCTTGTATAGCAGGTTGCGGACGAAAAGTAAAAAGAATGCCAAAAAAAAAAAAAAAAAAAATACCTCTTGGTACGCTGGTTGCGGAGATTGCTCTCGTACAACTCCAGGGAGACAGCCTGGAAGCCCTTGGCAGAGGTCGAGGTCTCACCCTCAGACCAGAAGGTGTAGACGACGTTGTTCTCGAACTGGGTAGCCAGAATTTTTTGCTCAGCACCAACGTTCTCGTGCGTGGCCTGGTAGAGGATGCTGCCCTTGACAGTGTCGATCAAGTAGACGGTGATGTAAGGAGCCATACCGTTCTTGGGGGTCTTGTTGGCAGTAATGACGGTAGCATAGTTGGGGTTCTGGTACTTGTAGATGACACCACGGTCACCGAGGACACGACCCAATGACGACATGACCTCGTACGAGGGCCTCTCGGCAAGAGCAACAATCTCCTCGCCTTCAGGGAAAGGAACGGTCCAGGTGGGCTCGACATCCATGCGGTCAGTCTCGGCAGAAACGATAGCCTTGTATCCGCTGACCTTCTTGCCTCCGATCTTGTTCTCCAAAGTAAAGTACAGGTCCTCTGAGAGGGCCTTGAATGCTTGCTCGACAGGTTCGGTGGTGGGGAAGGTGGTGATGTGCATGCGGTCATCGACCAAGCACAACACCTGAGTCTTCTCATCAGGATCCTCGATAGGAAGCTTGAAAGCGCTCAAGTATCCGGCAGGAATCCAGGAGGCGGAGGGGAAGAAGAAGTTTCCAGAATCGTAATCCTTTCCAGTCAAAGCGTTGATGCGGTACATGCGAGTAACCTTGTTGTGCTAGAGGAGGGTGGAGATATTTCGAAGCAGTGCCTTGTTAGTATTTTGTGGGGCTGCTGTTAAAATGCTTCCAGAAAAAGGAAAATGGGGGCAAATAATTCAACTTACACCGCCATCTTCGGTCTGGGCAATGACGGCGAGAACGGGAGGGAGACGGACGTTGGCGTGGCGGATGATGACAATGTTCTTGATATCGTGGCCCATGGAAAAGAATCGGCTCCAAATGATCTGGCCCTTGTTGGCAGAGTCAACAGCAATAAGTTTGCCCTTCTCAGTGCTGAAAATCAAGATCTTGCGAAGACCAAACTGGTCACGGTAAAGGGGCTGGATGGTGTTGTTGACACCGATCTGGACCTCAGAGTAAGGGACAGCGACGGGGGCCTTGGTGAACAGCGACGAGGGGTTGGCATAGGACAGCAGGAAGGCGGGAAGATCCTTCAGCTGGTGGACATGGGAGGTCAAACGCTCGATATAGTGGGCGACAATCGACTCGTTCTTAGCCGACTTGACATGTCCAACCTCGTCGACATCCTGAGTCCAGAGCTTGCGCTCAGGGAGATCGACAATCTCGACATCCTTGGCATAGGCCAAGGACTCCTCACGATACCAGCTCTCAGACTCGACATCGGAAAAGGCGTGGAAGGAACCGTCCATGGTCGAGAAATAGATACGGGTCTGAACCCCCTGACCCTTGGTGTACTGCTCAAGGGAGGCAAAGGTAAAATGGGCAAACTTCTCAAAGTCCAGGGGAATTTCTTGCTCGAGGGTAACCTTGCGCTCCTTGGCATTGACCACCTCCAAAATAGCGACATCGGGGTCGTTTCTGTAAGCTCTCAAGACAGCAACATCTTCTGTTCCTGGAATGATCGTGGCAGACCAGGCGGAGAATCCAGTGCGCTCGCCAAAGTCGTAAATAATCCCTGCCTTTCCGGTCGACTGGTCAATCTCTAAAAGAACGGCGGCCTTGGCGTCGTTATACTCTCCCACAGTTCCGGCAAGCAAGAACTGAGTGTAACCTTCGGGCAAGCCGAGATCAACAAAGGTCAAGGGAGCCTGCAACTGCTCAAAATCAGGAATATCGGAGATGAGAACCTATGTGAAAGACGCGTGAATGAAACGAGTGACTGGGTAAGTAACAGTGTAGAATACTTTTGAAAGCTGCTCCAAAGTTGAAAATGATGAACGGTTACTAACCTTCAAAGTTGACTGGGTCGGCTTGTCAGTTCCGAGGCTGAGGATCTTCAAGTAATCCTGCTCCAACCAGGCAACATAGCCATCCTTGAGGGGCGATCCGCCTCCAAGAGTCAAAACATCCTCGACCTTGTCGATCTTGGATTTGATGTTGAAAGTCTTGACGAGCTTACCGGTGGCAGATTCCAATGCGACAACCTCGAGAGAGAAGGCAGCGATCCCGCGCTGAAGTCCCAAAACGTAGACTACATCCTCGGCGCCAGTGAATCCGTTAGCCTCCAGGACCGAGAAGTAGGTGGTAGCAGAGCCAGCCGCGGCCTTCCAGTGCCAAATCTGGGCTCCAGTCTTGCTGTTCAACTTGCGAACGTTAGCGCCCTCGTTCAAGACGATCAAGTTTCCGTCCTCCCTGGTCGAAGTCACGGCCTGGCCAAACTCCGACGAGCCTTCGCCTGCGGGGGAAAAGTCCCAGTGAGGCTGTCCAGTCTTGGAGTCCAGAAGGCGAACATGGAAGTCTTTGGTTCCAGTCAATGAAACGACGTCTATTGTAGAGAGGGGTTGAAGGCATGTTAGTTTACAATTGTACAGATCAAAGTGTCGATTGACTATCTCAACTAGGATAGATGGCTTACTTCCGGTAACGGCACGAATGGCATGAACGATCTCATTCTCGCCGAGCACCTGGCGCCAGACTAGAGTTAAAAGTGATGGATGAGCAGCAGAGAGTCAGTAAGGTATATCCCTGCAACAAGTACGGCTGATCTGATCCGGGATTATCGCGTTCATCGATCCAGAGGTCAGTCGCGGCCCTTACGGAGTTCTCCTGACTTTGTTTTGATCGAGGCAATAACGTTCTTATCGGTAGCAACATAGATCGAGTTCGATCCGCGTACGTTACGGACGTTTGCAGTCATATGTGGGGCTCCAATCCATCTGTGGTGCCTGCATTGACGGACAAAAGTTGCGAAAAAGTTGTTGCGTTAGATGATGAGAGAAGGGTTGCCAGTCCACCTTGGTCAGGGTTGGTTCATCGCGACAAGAGGAAGAGAGGTGACAAGTACCAGTCGATGACACCGGATTGGGACTCATCGAGAGCCGAGGCGGTTGTGGCAATAAGGGCGAGCAGGATGGTCCAGAGGGCGACCGACCAGATGGCGAGTCCCCTTGGTGGTGATGGGGCCATGGTCCTGTGAGTTGTGTAAGCGTGTTACTTTTTTGTTGAAAAGATGCTTATCCGCTGTCTGTCGTCGTTCCTGGAGTGTCCCCTTTTTGTGCGTCCTGATAGGTGGGAGTGCTTGTAGACAGACACTTGTGTTTGCTCGAGAAGAGTCGCGTTGAGCAGAGGACTTGATGAAATAAGAGAACGGATGATGATGAAGAACAAAAGCTATCGTTCCTTGAGCGGCCAACCAGAAGGTGTGAGAGAGTTGCAACGGTTCTCACACTTCCAGCCAGGATTGACACGTCACAGAGAACTCATTGCATCGCAAATATTAAATCTTTGCCACCAAAATTTAACCTTCAAATGGAATTGGAGGATAATACGAAAGGCACAAAGAACCTCGGTTGACAAAAAAATAGTTGCCTTGTTCTTTGTTGATGCTGATTTTGATGGTGTTGTTGTTGCCGTGAACATAGTTCTCACTTAGAGTCGTTAGTGTGGGCAAGGCATACCGCGCATGTTTCAGACCCGTAGAAAGGTCGATTTCTCAACAATAACGTCCGCTTTTTATGAGTAACTCTTGGGCGCATGGACCTCGCATCCTACTATTGTTTGTTGCCTTCAGCCATTGTTGTTACTCTCAAAAAGCAATTGTCGATTGCTGTCAAAAGAGTCGCCGGACATGATAAATGCCCTTTCTTCAATTAGAGCGAGGGTAGTATACAACAACAACAAAAAAACGCAACGGACAACCCCTCGCCCCAGTTGACACGCATGAGATCAAAGGCACAAGGCCAAATCAAGTCCGGGTGCAAAATGCGGAAGGAGGCAATAAGAGGCCACGTATGTGTTTATCGAGTGCACAGAAGGTGAATCAACAATGGCACGCAGAAAGAAGATGCCGCTTTTTTTTTGCGTTACCCGTTGGGTCTGTCCGGGATTGGTTTATTCCCCCTTTCCCTTTGAGTATTTTATTTTCTTTGGTGGGTTTGTTTATGTACTAGTAGTATTGGAGAGGAGAAGTGTAAAAGCCAAGGCGGACAAGGGACACGACACTTACTTAGCTATGAGGACAAAGGGGAGTGGGAGGGAAAAGGCAAATTATTGTGAAATTCAGGGGCACCGCATGTGAACTGAGATGGCACTTGGCAGGTGGCGGTGATGGGGAGGAGGAGACAGGAGCAACCGATAGAAAGGCCTTTTGCCCATGGTCCTGTTGTCGTGAGTGTGATGACCAAAAGATAGGGATGCGAAGTGAGGATGGACAGGTAAGCATTGGTTCATTGGACGAGAGACAGATAAGGAGCAGAGAGACGGACAGACAGACATACATATAGAAAAGGGGAACGAACTGAGATCATAAATCACAAGAGTCGAAGAGTTGAGGTACATTCGTAGTAACAGTTCGACTCAGGACAAGGAAGTGTGTGATAGCTCAAAGTACGGCGGAAGGAAGAGAAGGCAAGGGAGTAGTATTGACACCTGTTTCTTCTAGAACAAGTCAGTGTGAATGCAACATGCAAATGCATACACACAAACAAACATATGTCCCAGTTTTTGTTTGTATGCAGTGTCCACACAGCGTGAACATGTCCTGTACCCCCCGTTTTCCCTCGTTTTTCCTTCCCCCCCTCCCTCCCTTACTCCTCTTATTATTTTAATTCTGCTGACCTTTTTTCTTTTCCTTCTTTTTTCTTTTTTCATTTTTCTTTTTCCTATTTTACTGTCCTCAAACTTATTTCTCCTTTCACCATTTCTTTTCACCTTTGAATTACTCCTTGTCGTTGATCCCTCCTCCATCAACTACTCGCTCCTCTCCCTCTCTTTCCCCAGTCCCTCCCTCACAATTTCTGTCAACAACAACACTCATTTCCTCTCATTCACATACTCTGCTCCTACTTCTCCTTTCTCAATTCTCCCTTCAACCACCTGATTCGCACCCTTCTTCACACTTGTCTCTAACTCTTCTCTCGATTCAACACGCTCGCACTTACTCTGCTCCAACCTCAGCAGTTGAGAGCCGTATCGAAGCACGCTCAACCACCCATCTTTCATCGGTAGGTTCGCCATGTCCAGTTGCTCTCAGGGGCGGACAGGCACATATATGCTCGTGCCAGGACAGAGACGGCAGCAGGAATTCTCTCAACTCTCGTCTTTCACTCTCTCTATCACTCCCATTTTGCACCTTTGCAATCGCCGCTGTCCACATCTTTTTTATCCCCGGGTCACAATTGGTGGGAAATTAACATCATCCAAGTCGCTTTGTATTGGAGTGTACGTAAAAAGGTGTACTTATAAGCGCTTGAGCAAGTGAGTGGCAGCAGAAAAGAGGAAATGAGAGAGAGAGGAAGAAGCATCACTGTTGCGAACAATTGGCAGTAAACTGCGTGTGTGTGGGCATGTGTGCATGTGTATCTCGGCATTGCGTTGTAAGGATTCTACCCTCGGGGGTTATCATGACGAGGGGAGGTAGCACCTGGAGTTGGGACAAACAGGAAGCCATGAATGCGACCACAAACAAACAGACCGACAAGTAAACAAACACACACAAACAAAACAAACAATCATTCACCCACAAACACATCAGCAGACACCAGCAACAACTGAAGTCACTGCCTCAATGCCTCCCTCCCATGTCTACCATATATATGTATGCATATATATGCGCGAACGCAGTGTTGTGTACAGCTCACTTTTCTTTTCGTCCTGCTCTATATCATCTGTCCATGGGATCGCACTTTTTTATTGCTCGATATTATCTGCATCCTTTCCTGCTGTGCTCCGCAAGACGCATTGATCATAGATGCTTCCGTCGAGGTTCAATGCAAGGATAAATTGCTGTGTGAACCCTTCTTTTGCTCATCAAGTCATGTGTCTACAACCCGAGAGAAACAGAGGCAGGAGAATATGAAAACAATAGACTGCAGCCATATGCTCTTCCCTTGACCATTGTCCTGCCTAATTTCTGGTTCATTCCGACTTTTCTCTTGCAACCCCCTTCCTGTCTATGTACATTGGTTATGTGCTTATAGCACATGTTCACTCGCCTCCACCTTTTTTCCACCTTTTCTTCCTTCTTGATTTGGCGCCTCCCCTCTGCTGACTGACTCCTGGATCATCAATTAAGCAAAAGAAAAAGAATGGGATGGAAAGGGCCTAAACGAACGAGAATGAAGTGAGGACAAACAAGGATATATGCGGTTAACGACACGACCGAGGACTAACCAACTCGTACTCTCCTTTCTTTCTCATCCTCGTCTTTCTTCTCTTTCTCCGTCCATCTTTTTTCTTCTTTTCTACGAAATCGGTTTTACCTATATGTTTTTTTTTTGCTCTCGTCCCTGCGCCTTAGATATTCGAACGGCTATCCTTAACCTTCCAAGGAGTAAGAGCAGAACTCATCCCTTTATAGCACCCTTCAGGGAGCAAAAAGGACGCATTTCTTCATTTCCTTGACTCCTTACCGAGGACCTCGGGCACGTTGGATTCATTTCCTGCCAGTTCTCCCTTTTTCAAAGCTCTATTCTTTCATTTCTTGTCCCGCCCAACAAACACCTAATTTCTTATTTCAGCCAACAGCCAGCAACCTCGCTTTTGTCTCCGCTCCAACCCAATAATCGTCCACAGTTGATCACAAACAATGGCAGCAATGAAGACAACCACTTCTGGTCGTGCGTTCGCCAAGGTAAGCATACCCCCGGTATTGTTGGCTGTAGTGTGCTGGAAGATGCTTTGCGCGGAAAGGTTTTCCTGGATTATGGATCAAGCCTTGCTGGCTGATATGTCACCACAGATCCACGGAAAGATGAATGCAAAGAAGGACTTGGCAACAAAGATTACTGGAGCGAGACCTCCACCTGGATCTCATTGGACGAAACTTTATCGGACTCAGGGCCTTCCCACATCAGTCAACCAATTGATCAGTGTCAGACCCTGAGTGATACGTCTCTGTGCGACTAATAGCTAATGCCATCGTTCGCACGGACACATCTATAGAACATCTATGATCTCTACTCGACGTTGATGATCTCGCTCCCCATCACCAACCACAAGACACTCTTCAAGAGCTACCCCAACAGCTTCACATCAGAGGACGCCATCTCCCAACTCGGAGGTCTCCACTTCATCCAATCCAACCATGACTCCGACCCCAACGACCCCACCCGCATCATCACCCGCACAGTCAGGACTCACTTCTCCTTACCCCGCGACATGGCAAAGAACCTCTGCCAGACATTCATGGATGCCGGTCTCTTCGAGAGCGCATCAGACCCAGGCAAACGAGAGTTTCAAAACAGAGGCATCTACCACGTCACAGGAAAGGGAGCCCACATCGTCGAGAAATTTGTTCACAGGAACGGACTCCCAGTCGAGGCCACCCGTCACATCACATCCAATGCAACCCCAAGGATCCTGGTACTGGAGCGTGCTGAGGATGAAGATGCCATTGTGCTGAACCAAAAGGCGGTCGATGCGATCTTCAAGCGGTTTGCAGGACTGAGACCCAACGTCGTGTCGGATGGATCGATTGATGTCGCGTCAAGCCCTGGTCGGGAACGGGATCGTGTTCAGGCTAACATTGAACGATGCAACGGAATCGAGGTCAAGGACCAGCAACACAACTACGACATGTACAAGAACACGTTCTATGGCAAGGCAGCAGTTGATTGGCTCTTGGACTTTACGACAGTCATTGGCAAGGAAGAGGCCATCTGCATTGCACAGGAGATGGTCACCTGCAGATACATCGAGCAAGTGGGAGAGGAGCACAGAAGCGGACCCGCATTGTTCCGTACCGGAAACGGAGCCCTGTACCAGTTCACAGAGGCAGGAAAAGCTGTGCTTGGTTGGGAATCCCATGCCCGCAGTCGCGGTAGCAGTGTCAACACCGACTGGATGGAAGGTATTGCCACGACTCCGTTTTATCTATTTTGCTGTGCATTGCCCAAGGCGGGCTCCTATTATGCCCAATTTATTAATTTTGATATCGTATTTTTTGATTGTAGAGAGAGGAGTACTAGGAAGTTCCAAGATGGACAGAGTATTACAGTCAGAGATGCTCCTTTCAACCCAGTTCAAGCTCACATCCCACAACATTAGCCGCCTGCCCATCTCGGTCGCCAGCGAAAGACGTCGCTCTATAGACGAATCAAGTCTTGGCGGATCGACTGCATACAATGACGACACGACGCTTGTTAATGGATCCGTCCGTCGTCTGTCCCAAATCCTGAGTGACCCATCGTTCCAAACCACACAGTCAGTGTCAGGTGGTCCCATGTCCTCTTACGCCGCGTCGTCCTCGGGTCGAGAATCAGTAGGTCACCGTGAGGGGGGTTCGACAGGCAGCAGTGGAGGATCAGTTGCTGGTCTTGGTTCGTCTGTTCAGTCCAGCACGTCAAACGTCAAGCGACTTGAGCTCATTCTGGATGACGCTGAGCTCCATGAGCTGTTCAGGAACTTTTTGCGGGCCAACATTTGCGAGGAGAACCTGACTTTCCATCTGGAGGTTATGAGCTACAGGACGCGGTTTGAGGCGCTGGTGCATTCAACTCGAGTCTATGCTCAGTCTTTGGCGTCGCAAGATCCGTCGACGATCCCAGGACCTATTCCACATCCAGCAGCATTGCGCGAACTGGAAAAGCAGATCTGCACACATGCTTTTGCGATCTACGAGACGTACTTGATTGCAGGCGCCCCTCGCGAGCTGAACTTGCCTCATCAGATGCGACTGGATCTCACCGCATACATGCAGGCCGTCGTCCGGAACATGGAAACACCTTCGGCAACCGACGGAAACCCCAGCACACCAACGTTACAATCGACACAGCAGGAGGCAGGATTGATCGGAGCAGCGACCGGAGACCGTGCCAAGACGCCGACGAGGGAGCTTATCCACATTGGCCTGTTTGACAAGGCAGACGAACACATCAAGAGGCTGATGTCGACCGACTCGGTACCCAAGTTTACAAAGTCAGAGATCTACCTCGGTGTGATTGTGAGCCGAATGAAGCTTCGGAACGGGAACGGCGGAGGATCAGGAGGCGCCGGCGGTAATGGGTCTTTGAACGTTATCCACGGAAAGTCGCTTCGGTCATCTCGCAGCAGGAGCGGTGAAAATATGGAACGCAGTGTCAGCCAAGGAGTCTAATGGCCAGTAATGGTGATGTTCGACGCTGGACTTTTGCGAGTCCAAAATAATACCCGGCCTTTACACGTGAAAAAAACCCGAAATAAAATAAAATAAAAATATCTATAGCCTACTCGACGTCGCGGCGCGTTATTGTCGCGCGACTCTTTGAAGCTTTGAACCCGTGCCCCTTTACTTCACTGATCAGTTGAGAAATTCGTTCTCGCCAGACATCTCTCCCTTGTCCATTTTTCCTGCCCTCTTCTCTCTTTTACTTCTTTTTTCCTTACCCACATCACAAGCACTCTCCCTTCCCCAACCACCAAACCATACGAAACTAAGTAACCCATCCAACTCTTACATCCACGCACACACAACCATCCATCTAACCTGCCATGGCATCTCCTGATACTATCAAAGTCAACTTGGCCGACCAGCCCGGCGAGTGTGTCACGGTTCCATACACTGCTGACGAGCCCGTCTACAACATTATCCAGCGCATCGCCATGGAGCTCCAAGAGACCAAGACCGACTACAACTACCAGGAGCTTTACCTCCAAGGCTTCCATCTCGAGTACCCTCAGCTCCCCCTCGCCAACTATCGTGTCCTCGGAGGAACCCTGACCTACCAATCAATCAAAAAAGGTGACATGTCTGTTTTTGTCAAGACCCTCTCCGGCGGCAAGTCGCTCTGCATCGGTTGCAACCCGTCGGATTCGGTCTTGGACCTTAAGAAGATCCTCTTCAAACGCGAGGGCGTCCCTTTGGGTCAGATGCAACTCCAGCACCGTGGCAAGGTCCTTGATGATGACGATACGTTGGAATCTCGAGGCATTCGCCGGATGTCTACTCTGACCATGTCGACCTATGTCCGGGGTGGCCTCAGCTTGAACTTCGTTGCGCCCATTACGTTTGCCGACGTCGTTAACAGCGACAACGTCCACAAGGTTAAACTTGTCCGTGGTGGGTGTAAAGAACGCATTGTGCGTCCTGGTACCAACGTCCATGTCAAGTGTCCATGTACGCTCCAGTATGACGTGGTTGTTCCCATGCGCTTTGGAATCATTGAGCTGTCCCAGGAGAAATTACCCTGTCCCAAGTGCGAGAAAGCGGACAAGACGGTCCCTGTCACAGTCGGATTCTTGACCTGCAAATACCGCTTCCTTGGCATCAAGGCGAACGGCGCCCAGTTCACAACCGGTTGGACCAAGGTCGATGAGTCTGATGAGTATCAGCAATTTGATCCCAAGAAGCAGATTGGATGGACTCGTTTGGTGATCGAGTCTGCCCCTCTTGACGGAGAGGATAACTGCCCACTTTGCCTGAAGCAAATGGATGACGAAGACGAAGTGGAGACATTGGACTGCGGCCACCGGTTCCACGAAGCCTGTCAGGCTCGACAAAATCCGGACACCACCTGTTCGAGCTGCGATTTCCAGCACGTCCTGCTCAATAACAAGAAGAGCTTCCTGGGAGGCTTGCGTCTTCGCCTGTCGCAGTAATGCAATCAAGATCGACTGACGCAACCTACCCCTCCACCAGCTTGAACCCTCACGGGCCATGTTACCTTTTTTTTGCTTCATCAGCTTTGATATTTGTTCTTTCAATAGTCTCGTCTCTCTCAATTCACCTTTTTCCCACACATTTTTGCTCTCACTTCATATCTCATCCCTCAACCATGCCCACTTCTCACCCATCCAGTCTCACAGTACGATTTTGATATGTTCATTTTTCATCCTGCGCACAACATAGTTCTCAATAGCAAACAGAAATAAAAAACGAGACAACAACAAGTGCCAACTAAGGCTTGCAATGAGGGGCTAGAGGAGATCTTGAACAGCTGCAAACTTTCTAAAATATTCTTTTGTTAAAATGAAAATTGTCGTATCTCAGTATGTAACCATTGCACAACAAAATGCTGAAACAATTGCGTAACGATTGAATGTGTTTTTCGTAACTTTGACAAAAGAGAAGGGACGTGCTAAATATATGGGTGTCGCTTGTTGTTCTTATCGCTGCCTCGCCTTCATGTTGTTCAACTTTCCTGTTCCCAATCGTCTCCTGTTACCCAGCTTCTCTAAGACTGCAGTTTCACCACTCGCATCAGTTCCCCGACCACTCAATCAGCAAAGGCCACTCACTATGCCACCAATTCGCCACAAGGAACAACCACCGCCTTTGACTTCACCATCTACTTTTCACATAAAAAAGAGTCACTATCTCTGTAAAGAGAGACAGAAGAATATCCGTGCCTTCATTGATGAAGGCAATACCTACTCTACTGTATCCAAGCGCTTCATACTCCCTTACACCACTGTGCGCTCCAACTTTGTGACCTTTCAAAATACCAACAGAGCCACCAATCTACCAAAGGGTGGCAACCGGGGTCCACATCTCAAGAAGGAACATTTGGAGTGCCTTATGGCGCTTCTCCTCGATGATCATGATATTTCCATCACCGACCTCCACTGCCAACTCAACAAACACTTCCACCAGGCAGCAGAAGCACCGTTCAAAATGCCGTCAACAAACCGCATTGACTACTCGCTGAAGCTGAATCACCTAGAACCCGTAAACTATAACGACCCCGATCGCGTTCAAAGCGAGGAAGGGTTTGAGCACAATTGGCATTCGGGCGCTCCGACACTTTGGGCGATTTCGTATACTTGGACGAACCTGGATTTCAATTTTGCATATCCGTCAGAAGTTTGGCCGTGACCCACGCGGTGTCCGTCCTATCAAACAAGTTGAGCCCCAGTCGAGGCGAACTGTCCCTGCACCCCGGAATACAGAGTCATCTCTCCCGTTCACTCTGGAACCATTGAGATCTCCCAGGAGAAGGTTCGCTGCCTCAACTGCGGGTCCCTTGCCCCCAACTGCGAATCCACTGACAGGACGGTCCCGGTCACAATCGGATTTTTGAACTGAAAGTACCGCTTTCATGGCCTCAGGGGCCGATGGCACCCAATTCACGGCCGACTGGACCAATGTCGACAACTTTGGGATGTGGACCCGAAGAGCTGATGGAGCTGTGAGTTCCAAGAACTCCTTGTCGATGGCAAGAAGTACTTTTTGGGCGTCTCGCGTCTTCGTCGGTGGCAAGGATGCGATGCTTTTACTGGAACCTTACTCAGTATTGCTCCCCGTTCCAGAGCCAAAAAAAAAATTACTTAAAAAACAAAAATTCACGCGTCGTTGACGCGCCACTATTTGACGCGTTTGAGTGACAAGCTCACTCTCAAGCCTGAGGGCATCGATTTTGACGATGTTGACCCGGCATTCGAGGCGGCGTCGGCATAGATTTACTCTGTGCCTGCCCCCAATTTGTGGATGTTTCCAGCAGCAATGTTTTGGACATCAAGCTTGCTATTTCTGCACCCCGCGGGGTCTTATCGCCTGACCTAGGAACCAGTATCGAGGTCCAGTGTCCTTGCACCCCGGACTACCGCGTTGTCGCTTCCGTTCACTTTAGAATCGCTGAAATCTATCTGCCACCCCCTTATTTGGAGACCTCTTTGAGATCTCGTCCTTCATATTCTGCTTTCACTTTGCTTCGCCTTGTGTTACTGACTTCTTTCCCCCCTATGTTGCTACTACTCTTTTTGTCAGATCACATTTCACATTCGAAAACAAAACACACAAATTTCTTCCCTTTGCCACCAAAACCATGTCACTTCCTACTCTCCCAACCCAATGTACTCCCACCCTTTCTTGCTCATCTACCTTAACAGCAATGGCAGCAAAAAAAGGACCTCGACACGGCCCCCCAAAAAAAAAAGTCTATAATCCTTTATGTATTTGTAACACGACAAAAACGGACTACAATACAAAGTAATAGGGATCGAAAACAGTACGAACCTTGGGCTTACTGGGATCCTCCTTGCCGACAGCAAGCTTGGGACACTGACGTACCAGCCACTTAAGATTACCATTCGCACGACTCTCAGACCTTGGACCTCCTTCCTCCTTGCCCCACACACTGATCCCGATCAGTTCCTTGAACGCGGCTGCCGGAAGTAGAGGATCCTCTGATGGTCCCCATGGCATCTCTTGAATCACCTCTAGAGGTGAATGAACTGGCTTACCCTTGGCGGCCTTCCAGTTCCGGTAACCCTCTTGCCATGGCCCATCCGCGTAGTTGACCCAGTTCTGGGCGATCCATTCTACCTCTGCTCGGCCACTCAGCTCTTCGTCCAGTTGGTAGACCACCAACTTCTTGAGGTTCTTTCGCAGCGGGCGTAAATAGTCGAGGCCAGTCGCCAGGGTGAGGTGGAGGCAGTCGATGAACATGTCATCCTTGTCGTCATAGTTGCTCTCGCTCTGGTAGCCCTCCAATGTCAACTCCTTCAGCTGGACCAACCGTCCGAGTTGTTGGCAGATCTGTCGTTGGATCTGGGTGCTGTATGTCGTGGTCTCCTCGACCCTCTTGTTCTCCTTGGCTCGCCAACTCAGATATGCCTCATCTTCCTCCTTCGCCTTCCCAACAACGCCTTCCTGTTCAGAGTCGGAATCCTCGCTGTCGCTGTAGTCGAAATGACTGCCCTTGACGCGCCCCTGTTCCTGTTGGTTCTCCTCTTCAAAATCCATGTCCTCCACCCCTTCTTCCTCATCCGTCGGCAAACTGGTAATCGCTTCTCCCTCGCTCGTGAGCAGGACCGAAAGATTCACGTGGCCATCGTCAGGATGCGGCAAGACATCCCATCCATCTCTTTCCAGGTTCCAGACCCATGTAATCTTGGGCTTGAAGGTCGCCATTGGAATAAAGATGTTGATCGAGAGTAGCTCCAAGTCCGTGCAGACCCAATCGTACCCCACCAGTCGTGATCCATTGACGGGCACGCCCAGCGCGCGAAGAATCCGGAGTGTTGGGACGAATTTGAGGAACATGGGCACCGCACTTCCAAGTTTGGGGTTGGCGCTAATATCCAGCTCTTGTAACCCGACCCAAGACTGATAACGATGGTCGTTCCCAAAAGTGCGGATGATGGCAGGGCTAGGCGGTATCAGATGTAGCAACTCTCTCGGCCCCAGCTCATCCACGTCCCAGGCGACCACTGACTCCAACTGCGGACCAAGTGTTTCCAGCAGCATTTCCCAGTCCTGTCTTGGAATCTCCCGATGGTGACTGAAATCGATAGCCTTGAGGTTCGGGCAGAGGAATGTAATGCTTTCGCCGACCTCCCCGCTCTGTGGAATCAAAACATGGCCACCGCTGTCCAAGACCGGATAGATATGTCTGATTCGGTCAAGGATCGGCTCTGGCAAGGGCTCTCGGATATTGGAGGGATCCGGCGACACGCGCAGCTGCTCTAGCTTTGGAAATCGCTGGCAGAGATGGATAAGGATAGACTGATCGACCGATAACTCCCCGTCCTCCACATCGGGATCCCGTTGTTGAGACCGAACGTTGTACAGGTGATGGCGCAGGTCGAAATTCAGGAGGGTCAGCCTTCGAAGGGTCGACTGTTCACATTCAATCCCGTTTTCGAGGTAACAGTGTTGCAGGAACATGTCGAAGAGGTGTCTGGTGGCGTTGGCGGGTCCAATGTTTCTGATCACGAGTTCCTCCAGATCCAAGCCGGGAAACTTTCCCAGTCTCTTCTTTGTATCCGCGTCCAGTCTATTGTACTGCCTTTCCAACCATCGTCCTTGATCCTGCGGTTCAGGGCCCCTCGATGCCTCCATGGGCGATATCTCCTCTTCCGAATACTCTGTAGCCACTTGCATCGCAAACCCATCTTCATCCTCCTCCTGCAGCTGAACTTGCAGCTGAGCAAGTAGCTCATCCGACAAAGTATATAATGTTGGCTCCTGCTCTTGGTCGGATTCCGACTCTGATCCTGACTCTGACCCTGGCTCCGACTCTGCATCTGACTGCGGCTCTATCTGCGGTTCTGTCTGTGGCTCCATCTGTAGCTCCGGTTCCTTGAGCAATGATCCAGCTGCAGCTGATGACGCTGCTATCCTTCGCCGCACCTGACCTCCATCCCGCAAGATCAATGCAACAAACAGCTCCGCAAACCCCTCACTCGTCACCCGGCTCTGGATATCCAACCGCCTGAGATGCTGAAGTGGGTGTTGAAACAGCAAATCAACCAACGTCAAAATTCCAGGGGCCCTGTATGTTGAGTACTCCAGACTGCGGATCCGAGGGTTCTGCTCAAGAAGATCGTCCATGACAAGCGTCCGTAAATGTGCGTCCGCCCAGAACCGCTCGGGGCTGTAGAGGCGGAAGCCGATGTGGTCCAGGTTGGTGAGGCGGGGCGGGATGACGCTTGACCAATGGAGTGTGGATGGGTCGGGTCTCATGCGCGGTTTCCCTCCATCCCAGCGATCGCCAACGGTGAGCGACCGGACTTCGGTGCCTCGTTGTAGCAGCTCTTGGAGGCACAAGGGCTGGGAGCTGGTTGCTGCGGCTGGTTTGTTGAAAAGAGGTCCTGACGACTGGTCCTGGTCCTCAATGGTAGTGCCCTTAATTTCTTCTCCCTCCGCTTCCTTCTCTTCGTCGCTCTCGTTGTCCTGAACTACTCGTCTGGCGAAGGTGTCAAGGATGTCGCTACTGGGAACAAATGCCGATGCTGAGCGGTGATGTAAACTCCATCGTCTCCAAAAGTGCGAAACGCGTGCACATGTGCTGAGGGTGGGGTCATCGAGGTAGGAGTAAACATGCAGGAGGATCTCTGGAAGCGAGAGCGGGCTGGATTCCTGCGACAACATGGCTTTTGGGTGTTGATCCTTTTGTCCTTGGAGGCTGCTTGGGTGGAGTTCAAAGAATAGAATATCAACATGGGAGGTTGTTATGAAAGATAGAATTGTTCCAGTCACATAATCGAGGCGCTATCACTATTCTCCCATTGGACACAGCTCCTACCTATCACAATGGTAATGAATTCTCGTGCTTCACGTCCGCTGCCTTCTTTCTACTTTTCGCCTTCTTCATACTCAGGGACATGCATACAAAAACAAGAAAACGAATAAAGCAAGCTGCATAACATTTGCTCGCATGTCTTCGAAGTCAAAGGTAAGAAGCTCTTCTTGCGTAGTGCAGTCTAGAAGAGTTGTTAGATATTTGACGATATCCCCGCTGGGGACGAAAGCCTCTAATAGGACGAAAGAGACTCCATATTCGCTAGAGTTGTCTGAATTGTGTGCAGATTACGAGCGACGGTCGATCAAGACGATGAAATATGTTCGGGAATAGAAAGAGGGTCATTTGTGTTTATCGAAGGGAGTTGAGAGTGAATGGGTGGGTGTTGGAGGAGTAAGAGAGAAGATAGCTGAGAAAGAAAAAAGAGAGGGGTGTATGTCAAGAGTCAGACATCCTCTTCCACTAAATAGCAGACCTCTATGTTACCACCGAACCTTAGCCATGCTCAGTAGTCCTGGTATTGTCCGTAAAAAAAGGACTCACGGTCCCGGGCAACATCCTTCTCGACCGCTAACTGCCGGCACTGTCCCTCCAGCCAGGCAACGTTCACGTTTGCCTCCAACGCTGACACCTGCCTCTTCCCGCAAACACTAACACCAAGCAGCTCTTGAAACTTGGGGCACAAAAGAATAGCTGTCCCTTCCCCTCCTATTTCCAGAGTCGTGGAAGAATTGGAAGCCAGTCCTAGTGGTGTAGAACTTGAACCACCACACGCCTCAAACGCACGTTGCCAGGCGGCGTTGTCTTGATGCACCCAATTCTGTGCGATCCATTCCATCTCCTTTCGCCCACAGAGCTCCTCTTCCAACTGGAATACGACCAGCTTCCTCAAGTTCGCCTGCAGAGGTCGCAGGTGGTCGAGCCCAGTCTCCAGGGTTAGGCGAAGGCAGTCCCACTCCTTGTTGTCGTATCGGTAGTCCTGGCGTCCTTCAAGCGTCAACTCCCTCAATCTTGTCAGTCGTCCTAGCTGCTTGCATATTGCAATTTGGATATGTGCACTGTGTGTCACGCGCTTCTTGGGCAGAGCCTCGCTAGATGCTCCTGTAAGCTCTGATTCTGCTGGGGCCGATGTAGAACTCTCGTTCCCACTATCATCTGAGTCCGAGCTGGAGTCAGCGTCTGAATCTGAATCTGAAGAGGAGTCCGAGCTAGAGTCGCTGGATCTCAGGTAGGTATCCGAGTCCGAGCTGCTGTCTTCTTGCTTGTTACCATCATACGATTTTTGCAGGGTCGGGAGCAGAGGCACCTCTATATCCATGGCAAGGCACTCGGCCTCATCGATCATTCGCCACTTGTCCTTGCCATCATCCCAGCGCCAGATCCTATACTCTGGCCAAGCCTGCGTCGGAATGATGATATGTATCGCAAGTGTTTCCAAGCCAGTACACACCCAGTCGAACCTAAGCAGCTGATTCGCCTCGATAGGAACGCCCAGGGCCTTGAAGTGTCGTAATGTCGGGACATACTTGAGGAACATGTGGATAGCCGGTGCCAGTGAGCCGTTGGCGCTGATGTCAAGCTCCTGTAGGCCGACCCATTTCTGGGAGAGGTGACCCCCAAAGTGCCTGACGAGTGTTGGCGAAGGCGGGACGAGCCGGATCAGTTCTTGAGGCTGCAGTTGGTCGACATTCCATGCTGCCAAGGATTCCAGTTGAGGCGCGAAGTGTTGTAAAAGTAGGTCCCAGTCCTCAGGGTGGAGTTCACGGTGGTGGCTCAGATCGATCTCCGTCAGCTTTGGGCAAGCCTTGATCATCGCCCTCGCAAGCTCCTCCGGCTGCCAGGACACAAAAGACTCGAATTCATCCAGATCCCGGAAAAGGTTGTAAATTTGATTCCCAAAGGAAACCGGGGATGGCTCGTAGTCGATCGAGATGTCGGGCGAAACTTGCAGCCGTTGCAGCACCGGGAATCGTCGACAGAGGTGATAGAGGAGCGACCCATCAATCTGCAGCCTCCCATTCTCGTCTTCCTCCTGCCCGTCCAAGTACACTGCCAGACAGAAATCGAACAGTGTCAACTTCCTAACAGCGACCGGGCGTGGAGGGGTTGTGTCGTTGAGGGATTTTCTCACAAACTGCTCGAAAGAACGAGAACTGTTGCCCTTGCTCCGAATGATGAGCTCCTCCAGGTCCCAGCCCAGTGTCGTAGGTTCCAAAGAACGTTCCTGTTCCAGCTCCAGAGACTCGAATTTACTCCGCACAGCCAATAGATCCAATAGTTCCGAGAGTCCATCACTCTCCAGATCACAGCAGAGCTCCAATCGTCTCAATTGCTGCAGCTGACAGCTCCTTAGGGCGGCGAATAAGACACGATACGATTGCTGTCGAAGCGACAGGAACTCGAGGTGCTGGAGGTTTGGGTTCTGGGAAATGAGGCCGACGACGATGCCCGAAGGTAAGTTCGGGCCTATAGGCGCATGAATGTGATAGTAGGGTCTGAAGCGGAGGTGCACCAAGCTGATCAGACTGGCGGGAAGAGCACACTCCCACTTTGAGAGGTCGTCCGAATCAACGGTCTCCGCCTCTAACATCTCGCTCTGACTCTCGTCCCCGACCGTCAAGGACTGGATCCGAAAGCACTGCTTTTTGAACTCTCGGACGAAACGAGCTCTCTTCCTCTGAATGAGCGAGCATCCTTCCCCGTCTGCTTCCTTGGCGCCACTGCTAACATTCGTTTCCTGTGCACGCTTTTGGCCTAGAAAGTCGATGATATCTCGGCTTGGGATGTGGTAGATCGACCAGGCGACGTGAAGACTCCAGGACCTCCAGAGACGACACACTCGAGTACAGGCATGGAGGGATTGACGATCGAGATGGAGAAGGACGTTTTGGAGGATCTCTGGGATGGAGATGGCTTCAGGGTTGGAGGATGTCATGGCGGCTGTCCTTGTCCTTGTCCCCGTTCCTTGTCAGCTGCTGTCCTGCAATCGTAGGTGGTTTGTTGCTGGTGTTGGAGTAAAGAAGAAACAGAAAAAAAGGTGTCTGCCGTACTGTCAACAAAACCTTTGTTTATTTATGCCACGATTTCCTATTTTGGACATATGCCACATCTCTGGGTTGAAAACGTCTCGCTGTACTACATATGTCGATCGAGATGGATGATCCCTGGGACGTCGATGGGGTTTGCGCGCGGTTCGGGTAGGGTCTCCGTGGCGGTGGTGTTGAGCTGTTTAGTCTTGAGGCTGGGCCTGATCCTGATGTGATGACAGATAGAGAAGCCGTGTTGCTTGGACTGATTGTAATACTGATCAATCAGTCAAATTGACCCCGCCACCAAAATCTTCACAACCGTCGAAGAGACAAATTACAGGAACACTTGATACGAATGACATAGTAAGGATTACCGAGGACCGTTGCTTATTATTGTTTCCCGCTACACTGTTGGGCACATATCAACTGAAAGAAAACAGTGTTCAAAATAAAAGTTCATTTTAATCCTCAGCGTTTTTATCATTTTGTACGCATTGCTGCGACCAAGAAGCCATCGACTGCACGTGACTAAGCCCTGTTTCAGATCGCTGCCCTGACTTGACCACCGTATGTGCGCGTACTTTTCTTACCTTTTTCTTTTTCTCTTTTCGTCTCACACTCAAGCTCACACCCACATACCCATACCTACCCTCCACCCTCGCACATCGATGACCTCCCGCATCCTCGCATCAACTTCAGCCCGCATCCTCTCTCGTCCTTCATCCCTCCTTCGCGCTCAATCCACTCGAGGTATTCTTCTCCCTCACTTTTGTAGCTCTTCGCCAACACTCCTCAACTTTGACTCACATACGTCGTGACATCTTTTTGTCCACTTATGCCTATGAACATAGCCATGACCGTTCCCACGCTCCTCTCCGTCGCAGAGCTCAAGAAGCAGCTCGGCGGCCCTGTCATCCTCGACGGCAGCTGGCATATGCCCGCCGAAAAGAGGGACCCCATCCAAGAGTTCAAGAACGAGCACCTTCCTGGAGGTTCGTATTGTTGTCACGCGAACCCTCACTGACTCGCAATAAAGTCAAACGCGAGGAAACAAGATCGAGACAGGACATGAGGCATGGATTTAAAGTAGCAAACTAACCACTCGCGTCGAAACCATGTTATTTTCTAGCCCGTTACTTTGACATCGAGTCTATCAAGGACAAGACCAGCAAGTTCCCTCATATGATGCCAACAGCCACTCAATTTGCACAGCAGGTCGGCGAACTCGGCATCACTAACAACGACCACATCGTCGTCTACGACACTGCCGGCTTCTTCTCGGCCCCACGCGTTTACTGGATGTTCAAGGTAACAGAAAGGAGTAGTAGAAGCTAATGCTAGACCATCTCCACAACCTTCAGGAACAACTGAACTCACGTATGTCGCGTTATCTACCTTTTTAAACTGTAGGCATTTGGCCATGAGAAGGTCTCTGTTTTGGACGGAGGACTCAAGGCTTGGAAGGCTGCTGGGTACCCTGTCGAGTCTGGCGATGCCAAAGTCCAGGTATGTCAGTCATTGATACTCACGGCGGCAACTAACAGGCGACATTTGCTTCAACAAGCGCAGCAGGAAGAACAGTCGTGACTAACTTGAACATCCTTATTTTGGACAATGTGATGATGCTAGGCCAAGGAATACAAGGTGCCCAAGCTGGATGCGGACGTGATCCGTTACCACGATCAAATTCTTCAATTGGTACGGGACAAGGACTCGAAGACAACCATTATTGACGCTCGAGGTGCGGATCGTTTCAGCGGACAAGCACCAGAGCCACGCGCAGGTCTCTCGTCGGGACATATGCCCGGTGCCAAGAATGTTTCCTTCAAGCAGCTGTTTGATGACAAAACAGGAGAACTTCACGACAATGGCCAGCTGGCGAGTGTCTTCCAGAAGGCAGGAGTGGATGTGTCAAAGCTGAAGGATGAGCCTGTTGTGTTGTCGTGTGGAAGTGGTGTGACGGCGAGTGTGTTGTATTTTGCACTTGAGCGTTTGGGTCTGAAGAAGTTAGCTGTCTATGATGGAAGCTGGACCGAGTATGCCTCGTTGAATGAAGGCCCAATCGTCAAGGATTGAGTCGTAGGTTTACCACGAGGGTCGTAGTTCTTTGTTGTAGGCAACAGCGACTTGTTTATTTTTGTTATTCTCTTTTCCTCGCCTCTCCCTCTTTGGCCGTTTCGAAATGCACTACTATTCTTTTGTGTTTGTTTTTTGAATGTCCGTCGTTGTTGTTTCCCTTGCTGGTTACTCCACTTCTGAAGGATCCATGATGATTTGCCCCCGGAGGCACCCTTGTTTTTCTTTCAGAAGGAGTTACAATTTTTCTGTTCATTCATTCAAACCAGAATCACCAAGCCAGGGACTCGGAGATATTCTCCTCCTCGATGTGACTGCCGCTGTCTTTTTTTACTCTGAGTCAATGCGACTGACTGACTATTAGACCTTGTCCTCCCTCTCCGTCATGGCAAAAAATGAAAAGGGCGATAAGAATAAAGGAATAGAACGTTCACATACTTTCTCCTCTTCTTCCCTTCTTCCCTTCCCCTCTACACTTCTCCCTCCCTCCTCTCCCGTTTGATCTGATCAACAAAAGTCGACCATGATCATCCCCCGCATCGACATCGCGGCTGACTCCTACAAGGACGACCTCACCGCATTCAGCCCCCTCCCCAACCAGGTTCTCGTCGTCCCCACCCCCGACAACGACCGCCTCACCGACATCCTCAAGAACCAGCACAAGGACGCCTACTGGATCCAACCTCTCGCCTTTGACCCCCAGGACCCCCTCGCTCAAATCCACACCCTCCTCGACGCCGGCGCCGACAAGGTCGTCCTCCCCTACGCTGCCTTTGCCAACGCCGACCTTGAATCGTCCTTCTCTCACATCCCCCAGGAACGCCTTGCCGTCACCCTCACCCCCGCCGAGTTTGCTCACCTCGACCGTCTCCTCGCCACCGTCTCGGTCTTCATCCTTGAATTGACCGATACTTCGGCCGAGAGTCTCGAGGCCATCAAGGCTGCTGCTCAATTGGCCCTGAAGGATCTCTTGCCCCGCGGAGGTGTCAAGCGCGTTGTTGCCTCTTTCGCATCATCGACCGCAACCCCTGGATTGCTTGCCATCTCTGAACTCGGTCGTCTCGGTGTCGATACTCAGTTGTCGACCAACATTCTCTCGACCGGACACGAGGACGGCAAACTCAACTTGGGCGAGGCCTTCATGGCCACTATCGTCTCTGATCGCCCTGACGGTCTCTTCCCTACTATTGTTGTTGACGAGCAGGGAATCTCTCTCGGCTTGGTCTACTCTTCGCTTGAGAGTGTTGTGGAGTCGTTCAGAACCGGCAAGGGAGTCTACTTTTCGAGGACTCGCGGTCTTTGGCACAAGGGTGCCTCGTCCGGATCTACTCAGGATTTGGTCAAGGTTCACGTTGACTGCGACAGCGATGCTCTCCAGTTCACTGTTCACCAGCACGGCACTGGTATGTTGTTTGTTTCTTTTTTTTCTGTTGTTTACTTTTCTTGTGCGAGAAATCAAGGAACTCAAAATTGGGATACAGCAAAGGGAAATATAAGAAAAGATCAAAAGGGGAGGAATGGTGGACAGTGTTTAAGGAGGAGGGGAAGGACAAGTTTTCAATCATAACTTAAGGAAGGAACAAATGTACTCATCGTTATCCATAATCTTTTTTATCAACTTAACAGGTTTCTGCCACAACAACATTCGCGGATGTTTTGGCCCTTCTTCTGGATTGGCCCACCTCGACCAGACCCTGCAGAGCCGCAAGATCTCTGCTCCCGCCGGATCCTACACCCAGCGTCTCTTCAAGGATAGCAACTTGGTCCAGTCCAAGATCATGGAGGAGGCCGAGGAGCTGTGCGAGGCCAAGACCCCCCAGGATATTGCCTGGGAGACTGCTGACCTGTTCTACTTTGCCCTCGTCAAGTGTGTCGCCAACGGCGTCAGCCTCCGCGATGTTGAGCAGCAGCTCGAGAGCCGCTCCCGCAAGATCACTCGTCGCCCTGGTCACGCCAAACCCAAGTGGGATGTCTCTGCCAAGGAGGCTGCTGCAGCCGCCGCTGCCGCTGCTGCCGCCCCTGTTGTCCCCGCCCCTGCTAGCGAGAATGGCAAGTCGGGTCGTATCTCTATGAAGTCTTACAAGATGAACGCCCTTTCCGCCGAGCAGCAGAGCAAGCTGTTGCTTCGCCCCATTATCCAGTCGAACGATATCATGGCCCGTGTCAAGCCCATTGTCGAGGGTGTCCGTGAGCGTGGTGATGCTGCTCTGATCGAGTTCACTGCCAAGTTTGATGGCGTTCAGTTGGAGAGCACTGTGATTTCTGCACCATTCTCGCCCGAGTCGATGGTTCTGGACGAGAAGACCCGCGCTGCGATCGATCAGGCTTACGAAAACATTCACAAGTTCCACGCTGCACAGTTACAGGACAAGGCCCTTGTGGTCGAGACCATGCCCGGAGTTGTCTGCACACGGTTTGCTCGCCCCATTGAGCGTGTTGGATTGTATGTTCCTGGAGGCACTGCAGTGTTGCCTTCGACGGCGTTGATGTTGGGTATCCCTGCTGCTGTTGCTGGATGCAGTGAGATTGTGATTGCGACCCCACCCCGCAAGGACGGAAGCATTGTTCCTGAGGTGATGTATGTTGCTCACAAGGTCGGCGCCTCCAAGGTTCTGATGGCCGGTGGTGCTCAAGCTGTCGCTGCGATGGCCTACGGAACTGAGAGCTGTCCCAAGGTCGATAAGATTTGCGGACCCGGAAACCAATACGTTACTGCAGCCAAGATGTTGACCCAGGTAAAGCCGAGGGCCTTCTTTTTTTATATTGTTGTTGTACCATTCGTGGCCGTCGAAAAATCACTGGTTTCTAACTTTCATTTCACCTGCCAAAAAAAAAAATAGATTGATAGCTCATCGTTGGTGTCGATTGATATGCCTGCAGGACCTTCGGAGCTGCTGGTGATTGCCGATATGACGTCGATTCCCGCCTATGTGGCCTCGGACTTGTTGTCGCAGGCCGAGCACGGTACAGATTCACAGGTGGTGTTGATCGCAGTTGGATTGACGGCGGAGCACTTGGCAGCGATCGAGGATGAGGTTCACGATCAGGCCAGCCGGTTGCCCCGTGTCGACATTGTGCGCGAGTCAATCCCCAAGTCGTATATTATCGATGTCGAGTCGATGGAGGAGGCCATGAGGTTCTCGAACGCCTATGCGCCCGAGCACTTGATCTTGCACTTGGAGGAAGCAGAGAAGCATGTGGACCAGGTCATGAATGCTGGAAGTGTCTTTGTTGGTCACTGGTCGCCTGAGAGCTGTGGAGACTATGCTTCGGGAACCAACCATACCTTGCCCACCTATGGGTATGCCCGTATGTACTCTGGTGTCAACACCGATACCTTCTTGAAGCACATTACCTCGCAGCAGTTGACCCGTGAAGGATTGGATGCTATTGGTGATACTGTCATGCGTCTTGCTGAGATTGAGGGATTGGAGGCTCACCGCAACGCTGTCGGTGTTCGCATCCGTGACATCCGTGGTCTCTAAATCTTTGTCAACATGTTTTTCAGTAAAATAAATCATGAAGAGTTCACACAGTTCTTTGAAGTATTGCGAGTTTCGAGTCGAAAAATGAACGAAGGTCGGTCGGTCGGTCGGTGATCAAAAGACAGTCTCATCAAATCAACGCATAATGCTCTACCGCATATCACTCCACGCGCCAACAGTATTGCATGAGGCATGAGGAGGTTCCTTGGTCAACTGCACATGTTGCTATTTGTTGTTGAAAATGCTTTTTATGAGAAATGATGCCGAATATATCTAGAGGATCGTTCTATGATCAAGGGAAGTATGTAAAATTACAGATAGCTCTTCTCGCTCTTGGGAGGAGCTGGTTTCCTGGGAACAACTGGCGCCTCAGGCACAGGTGTAGGGGCGGGTGTAGGTGTAGGTACAACAACATCAATGTCTTTGTCTTTGCTGAAAATGAAGTCCTGCTTCTCCGCCGATACCAGCACTATTTCACATATAAAACAAGACCCAAAAAAACAAATTAGTGGCGTTGCTTCAAGCCGCATCCATCAAAACAACAAAAATAATGCAGGAGACTTGAAGAGGAACTTACAGTCTTCAAAGTACTTTTCATCGACCTGCTCCTCGCGTTTTGAACGATCATGTCCAACAGTCAGAAGAGCCTCCTCTTCCTCGACCGACTCGCCTCTCCGGAGTTTGTCCCGCATATCCGTCAACACCGAAATCTTCCATTCCTGACTCGCCTTCAAATCCTTGGCCTCCCCCTTTGTCAACAACAGATGGACGGGGATTGAGCCCAGTGCAGACCAGTACAGGATATGGTACATGTAGATCCAGAACCGGGAGGGTTTCTTGGGAGGTCGTGGTGGTGGCACTCCTCCTGGCCCTGAGGATGAAGACTCGTATGCGCTGGCATTGGCGTCAGCGTATTCTGATGATTGTTGGTGTTGGTGTCCATGCTGGTGTTGTGAATCAGTCTCGGGTGCAACCCCAGTTCCTGCCCTTGATGCTTCTAAAGGATCCAAGATGTTGGGGTATTGGGAATTGGCGTTTGCAGCCTTGAGCTCGGCCTCCCGTTGGATCTCCCGCATGACCTGATCGATCGACTTGATACTGTCTTCGCTCTGGGGGACGACTGGTGGTGCCTCCAGGTTGAGGTTGAGCGAGTTTATCCTTGTTGAGGGCTGATCAATGGGGCGGTCATTCTTGTTCCAGGCGGCCGTTGAGAGGGTCAATTGGCGACGGGGGAGGAGTGTGAAGGTGTTGGTGGTAGTGGCAGTGGCAGGGGTGGCGGGTCGTGTTGAGGCCAGGAGGTGGCGACTGATCCTTGCGATCTGCCGAGATGCTGATGTTGCCATGTAAGGTTCTTTTGGCTTGAATGGAGAGATAGTAGTAGTGTGTTGTTGCTCCTATTGACGTCCTTTTGGTATCCGCGTTGGTGCTCCTTGTCGTGTTTAGGCTTGTGTTTCCCTTGCGTGATGTCCCTTGTGGGTGATGGCAGACGGTTGATCAGGTAAAAGGCGAAGAAGGCTCCTGTCGGGTCTGATTTATGTTTGAACAAGAAAGGAAAGAAATCAGATCGATTAAGGGGAAGTGGACCATGATATATCTGTTTGTCAAGGAAGGGTCAGCTGGAAAGGAAAAAAGGGGCGAAAGCAACATAGAGGAGAGAAGGGCGACATGGAATCAATGTGGATACTGAGAGAGGAAGAGAGTAAGAAGGAAAGAACGATAAAAGGAGCGCACAAGTGGGAATGAAGAAGCAACCATCTCTCTTTCCCTTTCTCCTTTCTTCCTTTTGTTCATTCCACCCCCACCACTTCCACCACAACCTACTTTCCCCTTCACACTCGCCCAAATACACCACACAGCACCACCATGGTAAAGGCACCCTCTGTCCCAGATACGCAGTCCCATCCACCCATTCCAATGATGAAATGCTCACTCACCTTCTCCGCTCTTCTTCTCTCTTGTCTCTCTTCTCTATGACCTTCTTTCTTTTGGACAATCAAACCAACCAACGAACAACCATGCCGAACACGATAGTCCGTCCGCAGACAGAAAAAGGCAAAACGCGCCATCCGCCAAAACTCGAACGTATTCGCCATGTTTGACCAAAAACAAATCGTCGAGCTTAAAGAAGCCTTCTCGCTGATCGACCACGACACCGACGGCTTCATCGACCGCGAAGACCTCAACGACATGCTCGCCTCCCTCGGCCAGTCGCCCACAGAGGAATATATCGAGGATATGATCTCAGAGGCTCCCGGCAGTATCAACTTTACAATGTTTCTGACACTTATGGGTGAAAAACTGTCGGGGACTGATCCGGAACATGAGATATTGCAGGCCTTTGAGTGCTTTGATGAATCCGGGACTGGGCTCTGCAACGCGGAAGAGTTGCGAGAATGGATGACTACTATGGGCGACCGCTTCACCGACGACGAGGTTAGTCTTTTTGTTCCAATTTGCATATATATCTGCGTCTGCAGGTGGAAAACCAAAAAGAAGTGAGAGCAAAGAAGAAGAAGCAGAGGAAGAGAGGAACATGATCAGGGTGTTCACACCTGACAGATCTACAGCATGTCTGGTGGTGTTATACAAGGAAACAAAAGAGGACTGAAGGCAGAAGGGGGACCATACATCATATCTGGTGGTGTTGCAGATTGACATTTGGTGTTAGAGATATTTGGAACGAACAAAGTCAATATAGCTTTTTAACCCACTTTTCACTTCACTCCCATTGTCAACCATTGTAGGTTGACATCATGTTCAAGGGCGCAACCATCGACAGGGACGGCAACTTCAACTATCGGGAATTCGCCAGAGTGCTCAAGCACGGGGAGTAGAGACACACAAGGACAAGCGATCGCATGACATCATCCCCCCAACGTCGGAAATGCCTCTGTGCACCACACCCCTTTTAACAGCATCACCTGCTCAGGCACCAAAAAGACATGCAAAATGGAATACACTAATAAAACATAGCAACAGTCAACCACGAATCCAGACAGAGGAAAGAGAAAAGTGTTTGTTGTCTTATTTGTCAATGGCAGGATCAAGTGCTAATGTCGAGTATTTTCCTGAAGGCAGATTCCAGTTGGGGTTGCTTTAGATGCCCTTTCCGCCAGTAACTTCCAAGGTGTGTCCAGTAATGTAGGAAGCAAAAGGACTGCAAAGCAACAAGACCGAACCAGCAGCCTCTTCGACCTGACCGGCACGCTTCAGAGGAGTATCGGCAAAGACAACTGCTGGTGGGGGAGCCTCCTTCTTAGCGCCCATGGGAATTCCAAGAGCAATCTTTTGACCGCCAACAGTCATGGTCTCACCGTTCTCTTTAGCACGGGTCAGGCGGGTGTCGACATATCCAAAGGCGACGGTGTTGCAACGGACTCCGAATGCGCCCCACTCTTTGGCAATGGTCTTTGTGAAGCCGACAACACCGGCCTTGGCGGTAGCATAGTTGGCCTGACCGAGGTTTCCATGAAGACCTGAGGTAGAAGAGATCTATATGAACAACGGTAGAAATGTCATATTAGCAAATCTACATGTCCAATCGCAAGAACAAAGAGCAATGGATAAAGAATGAGGGCAAAAGGCATACATTGACGATGGAGCGGGGCTCGTTGTCCTTGAGACGCATGTGGGCGGAAGCAGCGCGGAGGATTCGGAAGGGGGCGAGGTTGTGGACGTCGAGCATCATCTGGAACTGCTTGTCGGTGGTCTTGTGGAGCATGCCGTCAAAGGTGTATCCGGCGTTGTTAACAATGATGTTGATCTTGCCAAAGGCCTTGATGGTCTCGTTGATGAGGCGGTCGGGGAAAGCGAGGTCCGTCACGTCTCCCGAGACAGCAATGGCCTTTCCGCCCGCCTGGATGATCTGCTGAGCAATAGCCTTGCCCTTGACTACAAGTGTGAAGGAGTAGAGGGACTACGGTTAGGTGAAATATAATGTGGTCTGGGAGCACATAAGTACTGGCGACTACAGTAGAGCACAATCGTTACCATCGTCGAGGTCGCTGACGACGACAGAGGCGCCTTCCTTGCCGAAGAGAAGAGCGGTGGCTCCACCGATACCCTGGCTAAATCGAGTGAACAGGAGTGAGGTGAAAATTGGTTAGACTGGGGCTGCATGAATGATCGGAGACGGAGTGGGCAGAGCCGAGCAAGAGGCAAAGCGAACAGCAAGAAGGAAAGATGGTACGTGCATATAAAAGGTATTCCAGCACACAAACATGACTCAAACACAAACACAAACACAAAAAGATGCACAACCGGCACGATCGGGTTCACAGGTCCGATAGGCGATCGATTGGGTCTTTATATTATTTGTAGGTGGAGATGATATGGGGCCGAAGGAGGATGAGAACACGCTCGTTGATGTGTATTATTTGGTGGTTGTGGAGACAAAAGAGAAAGTGGGTGTTGTGGGGGAGTTTGCTTGTTGGTTCGTTCTTTCTTTCGTTCGTTGGAGGGAAGAAGGAAGACTAAGGTTCGGTAGCACATTATTTTTTTCGGCTCGGCGCACACACACTCTATAATACTGCTCTTGACACTCTCCTTCTCACGCCCCCTGCTACACCCTCACACTCCCACACACACACACACTCTCTGCTCCTTCACCATCACCTCTCTCATTCGCACGCATTCTTATGCTCCTTCTCTCTCCCTTGGTCCTGCTCATTAGCTATCCTCCGCTTTCATTTCCCGACCGTGTTTTGTTGCATTCAACACACATCATGAGAAAGTCGAAGTGCTAGGCAAAAAGAGAGTATGGGGGGGGGGGGGGGGGGGGGAGGGATAACAACAAAGAAATAGGAAAGAGGAGAAGGGAAGAGAGATATGGATTACCCAGCACCGGTGATGATGGCGACCTGTCCGGCGAGGAGACCGGCAGGGTGGGTGGCGGAGGCCGAGAGGTGGTTGACGAGGACAGCAACGCGGTTGGCAGCAATAGAGGACATGTTTGTGTTGGTGGTAGGATGGAAGGTGAGTTAGGGTGAGTGTGTAAATAGTGAACAAAGTAGAGAAGAAAAGAAAGGAGCAACTCTCAATGACGCCCACATGAAAAAGGCACGTCTCCACAACCACATATATCACGTGGAGTTCGAAAATAACTCCACCACAGATGGAAAGGAACGCGTTGAAAAAATTCACATACCGCGCGTTTCGTTTCTTCCTGTAATCTCTAAGAAAATGAAGTATGAAAGACTCGAGCATCCGTACATCAATTAACCCATCCACTCCGAATGCACAAATACAAGAAAAAGGATGCCTTTGTTTTCAGCACGCCGCTATCAAGGCTATATAACACGCGCTCGCCACCCTGGTCCACAAAGTCACTTTTCTCCCTCACTTCATTTTTCTCACCGCCAGCCTTTTTACCGCCACCAACATTTTTCTCTCTCACCTTTTACCCACACACCGCCACCACCGCTGTCCCAACAATGGACAAGAACGAACTTGTAGCCTGGATCAACCTCGTCGCCGGCAAAATCGAACACCTCGAGCAAACAGATGACCTCCTGCTCCGAAACCTGTTCGTTGATCCTGTGGGTATCAAAGTCTTCTCCGTCGCCCTCGACGTGCAATCCACTCACCACAAACTCTCTTCCGTCCGGGAGCAGATCTAAGACCCTGGGGCCGAAGACTGTGATATCATCGCTTCCCCCCGGCAGGTCGACTATGGCCTGGCGTTACAACTGAACCTTTCGTTCTTTCACAACATGCTGATGCGGCTGGAACGGCTACGTAGTGAACTCTGTGTGTACGATGGCAAAGAACGCGCAGTTAAAGAATGGAACGCAATCCACACCAACTACTACTGCGAGTTGGTCACCAAGATCAACCGCTTTTTTCGATTATTACCCTGGCTGTTAAGCCGTGTGACCGAAGGCCAAGTCTAGGAACTACTCAGAGCACCACAACACGATGTCAATCCACTGTTTGTGCCATTCACGCTCATTTCCTCACATGCGCGTGCATTTGGAGCATGAGGTTAGAGGACCCCGCGCGTACCTAGCACATCTGACAGCTTGTCACTGTCAATGTAAGCGCAAAAAAGGCTTTACTTTAGCATGTCACCCTCCTTCATGTATAAAGCTCCTCTTTCTTTCTTTCTCTCTTTCTCTTTAACTCTCAGTCTTATTCATTCCTCTCTTCCACTTTCACTCAAGCGCACATGTCCGACTCTGAAGTAGTTACATTTCGAGGACTCCTAGACCGAATCAATAGTGTCTCCAGTCACATCGCAAGACTCGAGGAGACAGAAGAGATCTACCTCAGCATGTTTCAAACCCGAACCGCCAATGGTGTCCGTGTCTTTAACGCCTCTCTCATGATGCAACCGGAGAGGATCAGTCTCTATTTGATCCGCCAGCAGATATACTACACTGCCCTTGAACATCATGTACTGATTCAAGTACTCCGTCAACTCGATATCAACATGGCGACGGTGCGTAGCCTTGCTGTGTCAAATAAGATGGTGGAGCGACTGGAGCAACTCCGCCTTGAAGAGAGAGCTTACTTGGCGGATACCGATGCACTTAGGGCGGGGAACCAACCCAACCTCCAGAACACCAGCTTTTTGATCAAGAAGGTCGTCGACTATTTCGTAAATGACTCATACAAGTACTTCTAGACCAAGGGCAGCAGGGTAGACACAAGAACTACTCGCAAGCACACCATTGCTGAATAAAAAAAATAGCTTTCGCTTTTTGTATTCTTTGATGCACTGCATATATAATCCAATGAAACGAAGAACAAAGCCTGAGAAATGGTACTTGACCACTCAAGTTTTGTAAAAAAACGTAAGGACTGGGGGATGGCTGAATGCGTTCGGCTTGTTTGGTTTGTCTCTCGTCATGAATGAAAGTACGGGAGATCCACTAGATGGACGATGGGACTGATCTTGAGATTTACAACACGGAACTACGACACGAGTGAAATTTTTGGCGGGCTCCTGCCTTCTGCCCAACGATGTAGCTTGTTTCCGCTGAAGGGTGTCATGAAGCCAGTCTCGATACCCTACAAGCTCAACCCCATGGGGTTCCCAAAGCATCGTAGAATGAATAGCTGAAGTGGTCCTGGGGGACTTTTCACGCCCTTCGTTCCTTGCAAATTCCGCTTGGTATCCACAGGTCTCAAAATAAATGTATTTTGTGCTCCTTTCTTTGTAAAGGAGTAGAACGCTGGACGTATGAGAGACCCTCACTTTCGTTACATTGTTCAACTCCCCCGTCATGGAAGCAAAGCAAAAAAAACGCCTTCTCGGCGTTTTCAGTCTCCTTATGTAAAAACCCCACTGCCCACATTTTCCTCTCAATCCCATTATGTTCATCTCTTCATTAATCACGAAGCTTTCACCACACCCATAACTATCTTTCCACAACTTTATCGATGGATCCAAGATAAGAACTTCAAAATTTCTTCAGAAGGATCGTAGACCTCGAGCAAACAGAACAATGTTACATCAGCGGGCTCCAATACCGATCCAATGGGCTCTATGTGTTCAAGGGAACTCTCGACTATTCCGAGGACCGCGTCCAATTGAGTGAGATCCGCAAGCAAATCTACGAGCACTCTGTCAGGCAAGGCGAGCTGGCGACGGAGGTTAATTTTCACATCTTCCAGACTATGCTATCATGACTGGATCAACTCCGACGTGAAGTTTATCAACAATAACAGTCTGTCTGATCCGCTGCTTTTATCTTTCACTTTATCCTTCATATGCATAAGCAACCCCCAGAGCATGACCGACAAACGCGTACCTTGCATCCCACATTCCATTCACTTTGACCGCAAAGCGCACAAGAAGCCTTTATTTTCAGCATACCACTTTCGTTTTTGAATAAAAAAACCCACCGCGCTGCCATTTTTTCTTTCTTCTCTCGTCTCTTCATCCCAATCTCTCTCTCACTCTCTCTGTCTCAATTCTTAGTCCATACTACACCCGTTACACCCTCATTCACTACCACTCTATCCGTCACTACACCCATGAATCAATTACAAGCTCTCCGGGGTCAGATCAACCTCGCCTACCGCAGGATCTTGGATCTCGAGCGAACTGAAGCGAACTACCTCAGAATGTTCCAAATCCAACTCGACGAACCCAACGGCGAGGTCTTATTTGACGCCACTCCTTCCAACCAAGACGATCGAAACAGACTCTATGATGTCCGCAATCAAATCTACAACGTCGCTCTTAACCACGCCCGCCTGATCGAATCCCTCCAAGAGATCGACGCCACCCTGGCAGATAAATTACGATTCCCAGTGGCTCATAGCATGCTGCAACGATTTCATCAGCTCCGTCGTGAGGTTCGCGTGTATCTTGCCCAGCAAGGCGCGGCTATGCAGACGAGCCTGGACAATGCCAATAAGAACCACGTGTTGATGGCCAAGATCACACAATCCTTCAACTTTGCCCCAGGCCATCAGACAGCTCCAAAGGGACGATTTTAGGGTCAGTTCAGGGACCAGGTCAAGGCGTCCTCTTGCACGTAGCACCTACACTTCTAAATAAATAAAAACATTTTGCTTTTGCGACAAAAAAAATTGGGTTGTTTTTGTCGAGTGCAGTGTGAGAATGCAATCGAAGGAAGTGAGAAAGTACCTGAAAAAAGTGCCTGACTATACCGAACTGAATGAATGTCAGGGGCTGAGGAGAGGCAATTGAATGTGATTTGTGCGTTCTTTTCTCTCATTGAAAATACCGCCGAAAGAGAACTATGCATAGCACACCTCTATCAATTGAACTCCATTCATCTTATAACCCGTTCGTCCACCCTGAAAGCAAAAAAAATCATGACGCCTTTTGTTTTCTGCACGTCGCTTCTCTTTTTGTATGAAACTTCTCTCGCCACTATTGCAATCTTTCACTATCTTATGACGTCCCTCCAAGACATCAACGCGCCTCTAGCAACGCGACTTAGCTTCTCCATCTACCAGTCAATGCAGCTGCGATTGAGTCACCTCCGCCGTGAAGAGCTTGGGTATAATGCTCAACAAGGTGCTAATCTGGAGGGGGAACATGTACCACGCCGATAACAACCGCATCTCAATCGCCAGGATCACAGCGTCCCTCGGTCCTGCGGCAGGCTACTGAACAGCGCAGAGGAACAAGCCTTCAAACTACCCGTAGGCAGCGTCATTCAAGAACCAAGGCCGTGATCCCTCACATCTATGAATAATAATAAATCGTTTGCTTTTGCGCAAAAGTTTCTGAGAAGAAAAGAATGTCATTCAATCGTCAAAAAATGAGAAACAAAACCAAAAAATATGTGATCGCTTGATCACCGAAAAGCTATGCAAAGTCTCAAGGACTGAGAGATAGGGCACTTGTTTACTCATTGTGTTGGGTTCCTTTTCTCAATCTCTGGGGTTTGTCATGTCCTTGTGAAGGGTACGAGAAAGTTGTCGGACGAGAAGGCTGGTATCACAAAATGCAAAAAAAATCCATCAGTTGGCAAAGGATCCAATGATAGAACACCCAGATAATGAACAACCAACACGCATTCTATATCTAATAGTCCGCCTTTCCAAATGACTAGAAAACAAATAGGCCTTTTATGATGTAGGTAGGCCTTCTAGTATAAAACTCGCAGAACACCGTGGCGATGTCCTCCTCTTTTCTTTCTCCTTTCTCTCTTAATCACTACCTCAATTTTCACTCTTTTTACCATCAGCGCACACGACACAATGTCCCGTCCTCCCACCGAACCCTTTTCTCCACCCACCACCCCACCAAGGGCTCGAAAGGAAGCCATTTTGAGCCAGATCAACGTCCGCTACCGCACGATCATGGATCTTGAGCGAATAGAAGAGCGCTACGTCGGTGAACTCCAGATTCGATCCAACGGCTCCAGCAGCCAGAACATCTTTGACTCTACCCTCAACAACCAAGCCGCTCGGACTGAACTCTATCAGGTCCGCACGCAGATCTGTGACCTGGCGCTCCTCCAGGGCAGATTGATTGTGTCCCTGTCTCAGATCGACACTCCCCTGGCGGCTCAACTTAACTTCTCCTTATTGCAGAAAATGGTGCGACGATTTGACCAGCTTCGTCGTGAAGTCGAAGGGTATCTTGCTGAGTCCGGCGTAGTTCTTGAGAGGAACATGGTCCACGTTGGCAACAATGGTTTGTTGATGGGGAAGATCGCCACATCGTTCAACTTGGCCGTCGGTCGCTAGACCGCATGACCAAGTGACATGCCTGCCAATCATCTATGACCAGAGCAATTCAAGAACCTGGGCTCTGGCCCCACACATCTTTGTATAAAAAAAAAGCTTTTGCTTTTGTATGAAGTAACTGAACCGAGAATGCAGATGAAAATGAAAAAAAGAGACAAAAAATGCCATGACTATTCACATGTTTTATGATCACCAAGGACCTAAAGGCAATTTAATTTATTCTATCTGTGTGTCTTTGATAGTGACATGAGAAGGCCGAAGATTTGACGACTAAGAAAGGAACAAAGAACAAAGACAAAAAAAGAGACCGGTGTATGTATGTGTGTGTGCGCATATAAAGTCTCTTTCACTCAACTGTGGATGTTTACGAATGAATGCCATGTAAATAAAAAGAAGGCTTGATGAATCAATCTCTGCAACCATTCCCAGGGTATAAAAGAGCATCTCGTTTCCACTATTTTTTACCTTCTTTCTTTCCTTTTCTTTCCTTCAATTTTGCTCCTTCCTTTTTCCACAATTCTGCTCCTTCTCTTTTCCACAATTCCGCTCCTTCTTTTTTCCCTTCTCCAGCACTTCCTTTCCTTCTGATATGGAGCCATCTATCACAATGTCCTCAGAGCCAAGCAAACGCAAGACCTCCCCTCCTCTGCCACCCCATCCGCATCCCAGAATGCGTCCCCATCATCTATCCGGCCATTCTCCATCCGTCCGCGACCAGGGCAACCCTCCCCGGATTCGCCTTCCTCTAGCCTTCAACCAGGAATGGGCTCGCCAGGGTCTCCTTCCCGCACTCCCCCTCCTCTCCCACAACCTGAAGGGGCAGCTCCTGGTGGTTGTGGGAGAGGAGGGGGAGTGCGGGAAGGAGACCCTGGCGAGCCCATTCCTGGTTGAAGGCTAGAGGAAGGCGAATCCGGGGAGGGTTGCCCTGGTCGCGGACGGATGGAGAATGGCCGGATAGATGATGGGGACGCATTCTGGGATGCGGATGGGGTGGCAGAGGAGGGGAGGTCTTGCGTTTGCTTGGCTCTGAGGACATTGTGATAGATGGCTCCATATCAGAAGGAAAGGAAGTGCTGGAGAAGGGAAAAAAGAAGGAGCGGAATTGTGGAAAAGAGAAGGAGCAGAATTGTGGAAAAAGGAAGGAGCAACATTGTGGAAAACAGAAGGAGTGAATTGGGAAGTAGAATTGTGGAAAAGAGAAGGAGCGGAATTGTGGAGCGGAATTGTGGTAAAAAATAATGGGTGCAGATAAATTCATCAAGCCTTCTTTTATTTAGACGGCATTCATTCGCAAACATCCACAGTCGAGTGATAAAAACTTTATATGCATTAAAGGGACATGATTATCTGACAGATGACCTCTACATCCTTGCCTGCTTGATCACCTCCGACTGCTCGCCCCCACCGCCATGGTGAGCTCACAATAGCAGCGAGCAACCCGTTTTGGTCTCTCAATTTCTCGATAAAGTCAGGCATATCGACAGAGTCTCAAAAGAGGTTTCTAGGTCGCTTCTGTGTCCAGTACTATGCAGCATTGCCACCAACTCCAGTTTACATGGCTGCACTGCAGATATTTTTACACGTATCTACTGCAGATGATTTTTTTATATTATGGGTAGACCCATGAGGTCGCTTTCACATCTTTCCTCCACTCCACCCTCCGAATCCCCACCATCTCAAAGATGGCACTCCCGACCTTCCCAGACGGCTCAGATGGAGGCACAAGGACCCGGACCGACCTCGAACGCTGCCACTGCCTCACCATCAAGAAGTCGCCTTCGCTTCGCTACTTGGGCTCTCTTGGTTTCCAGAAAGGTCATCACTGGCAGGGACAGGTAATTCCACCATATTTCCTACGTTTGCCACTTTTCCCCCATGTTTGCTACCGTTGAATTATTCTTAATCCTTCTCTACACGTCTCATTTATCGATGCACTCTCTTTCTCTGCCATCAACCCTCCTTCACATTTGTGTGTATGTGGGTGGGTGTCGGTGTGTGGATGTGTGTCGTTTGGAAGGCTTAAGAAGGTCGGCAAAGTGAAAAAAAAACAAGGAAAAGGAGTTTCAATCGATAGATGTACGACGAGACGTGAGTAACAGAAAAAGGAGTAATGGCCACAATCCAGAGTACCACAAAATAATCATTTTGACCTGCATGTGCCCTTTTGCCCTCCTTCCATCATCGGTGAAAAAAGAGAATGAGGTTAATCCACTCATTGTGCCTTTCGCGCTCCTTTCTTCATACGTAAATAAAATAACGAGGTAAAGAGTCCCACGCGTACCTAGCACATCTCACAGACCGTCAGCGTCGAAATATCAAGCACCCAAAAAATGCCTTTGTTTTCAGCATGTCACTCTCCTTCTTAGTATAAAAGCTATCTCTTTCTTCCTCTCTTTTTCTTTAACTCTCTTATTTCTTTTCTTCACCAACTCACCATCTCCCACTCTCTCATATTCGTACACATGGCCACCCCACGCGATAAAGGACTCCTCGTTAATGGAGTTACCGCTCTCGGCCGCCATATCGAAGACCTTGAGACAGAAGAATCGCGCCTCCTCAGCATTTTTCAAGTCCCAGGCACTTCCGGTACCTATGCCTTTAACGCCACCCTTATGATGCAAAAGGAGCGGGACATGCTCACCTCAATCCGCCTGAAGATTTGCTACACCGCCATCGAGCACTCCAAGCTGAACATTCTCCTCCGCCAATTCGACGATTATCTAGGGACGACGCTTAACCAAGGTGTATGGAATACAATGTTGAAGCGACAGGTTCAACTCGGATTTGAAGAGAATGCCTATGTGTATAACTGCTATGCATCCGAAGCGGAAAAGCGCCTTAACCTTGATAATACCCGCCTTGTGCTCAGCTTGATCACAAAGTTCTTGGAACATGACCCATACGAATATTTGCTGTAGAACTAAGACAGTACGAGAGACTCACACAATAACAGCAAGTGGGTAAATGCTGACAAGAACGCTAGTCTAGTCCTCTACATATCTGATCAAAAAAAAGCTTTCGCATTTTGAACAAATTTTTGTAGACGCGATCTCTCTTGTACAGTACACAAAAAGAAAGCCTAAAAAAAAAAGCGCTTGGCCACCCAATAGCTGTTGAAAACATAATGGATATGAGATGGTTGAATGTGTCCTCTATGGGTGACTTGTCTTTTGTCATTGATGATAGTGCAAGAAAGCAAATGATTCTGACTATAAAAATAATAAACGGCTGTAGAACATAAAAGGCAAAAAAAAAAAAAATAGCGAGATACAAGGGAGAAAGGACTAAGGCCTTCAAAAAGAAAGCAAAAATACTAGTGCCCATTGATAACAAGCTCAGAACGATACGAGCAATTGAAAGCGTACATTTCTGTGGACGGTCAATTGACCACAAAGAACAACGAATATTGGTGTCTTGACAGAGACCGTAGTAAAGCTACAATCGCGTCAGTTGAGAGACTACAGGGCACTCCACCCAGCACAAGCTCCAAAATTTAGATAGACCATTGCCTCATGTCAGATGATGTAGCTTGTATCCATCGTAGAGTTCATGGCTGTCGCGATGTCTCCCTCGATACCCAATACTCTCGTTTCGTTGGTCTGCCCGAAGCATCGTAAGACATGTCGTTGAAAGTGGTCCTGAGGGTTATTTCACGCTTCTTGTTCCTTGTAAAATACCTTAGTATCCACAGCTGTCGATGATGTATTTCGCACTCCTCATTTTGTACGCGTGAAGGTAAACTAGGATGTCGGAGACCACTGAAATAGAAGAGCTCACTGAGGTACAGGAGAACGTTGCGGATGCCACATCTGCTAGACCAAGTGCCATGGAGTCTATTACAAAAAATCGCCTTTTATCTTCAGCATGCCGGGCCTTTTCTTGTATAAAAACCCAATCACTGCTATCAAATCTTTATCTCCTTCTATCTCACTCTCTCCTCATTTCCATCAACCTTTTTCTCTCTACCTTTGTTACCCACACACACACCACCACCACCACCTATCTACGCACCGCTACCTCAACAATGCAAAAAGACGAAATCGTATCCCGAATCAAACTCGCCTGCCGCGACATCGAGACCCTTGAGAAACAAGAAAATAACTACCTCGACTTACTCCAGCGGCCATCCAACAACCGTACCGGAGAAACCGTCTTTAACGCCACCCTCGGCATGCAACCACAGCGCCACGCCATATTTGCAGTCCGGGAACGAATCTTCAAACACGCCCTCGAACATCACAACTTGATCGAGTCCCTCCGCGCAATCGACGAAGGCCTGGCAAAGTCGAGTAACTTCATTTTCGCGCACATGATGCTGAGGCGAATGGAGCAGCTCCAGAGTGAAGTCAATGAGTATGATGCTCAGCAAGGTGTGGCTGTTGAGGGGAACAAGGACCACGCCAATAAGAACCGCGAGTTGATCGCTAAGATCAAACATGTTTACGACGCTCCCGAGCCCCGCCCAAAGTCTCGATTTTGGAGACGAAAGTAGGAGCTCCCAGTAGGTCGCCTCCGAGGAGTAATTAGCTTTCCCATTCTATCATCCCTGAACAAAACACGTTGATTGAGTAAAATAAAACCCTCTTCCTCATTTGGTAGAAATCCTAAAAGCCCAATTCAAAAAAGAGCAAGTGAGAAATGACTGACTATTGCTCACGCTGTTGCAGCTCTCATTGGTCCTAGTTGAACGCCACCAAAATCCACGAACAAGAAGCAACGTGCTTGTCTTAGCTCGCAAAAGCGAGAGTGGGGAGGGGACTTGACATAGGATAACTGGATTCAGCGAGTGGGTGATAATTCGGGACACGTTGGCGCTGTTGATGATATTGTACATTGTGACTGGTGTACAAAATGGGAGAATGAAAGCTGATGGGAGGAGAGGGGAAGGAAGGAAGCGAAGGGTAAGGGAAAATGCAGAGCGAGGAGGGGTGTGTAAGGTCAAAAGAGAAAATATAAAAAGTATACCACAAGAAAAGAGAAGAAAAGAATAAGGACAGGGAGGTGGTTGTGTGAGGAAAAAGAAAAGTACAGTACCACCACCTTAAATCCAAGGAAGCCACAGTCGGAGGATGAAACACACTTTTATTCTGATAAAAAATAGAGCGAATACCAGCCCTAGCCTCCAAGGACAACTACGAGAAGGGAGACAACAGAGGTTCACTCGAAGCACTCTGCTTCGAAATCCTCAGCAATCCAGCGAATCGAAGTACTGTACTGTACCCCTTAGGCGGTGCACATCTTCTTAAGCTCTGCTGGGATCTTGAATGCCTGTTCATGACATGCGCAAGGGTGCGGAATAAAAATAAAAAAAAGGCTCACAATTAGTATTTTCCCACGTCCTCCCATCCACAAAAATCATAGAAGGGAAAGTAAGCAAGTGTATGTAAGATGAGTTACCTTGACAGCACTGGGTAAGGAAAGAAATTGGACCATGAGTCCGGCATCAAGATGGGGGTTGATGTGACAATGGAAGGGCCACATTCCAGGGTTGTCGTTGACGAACCGCAGGACAGTGTATCCAAAGGTTTGCAAGGTGACAGTGTCTCGACGAAGCGGGTTGATCGTATTGAGAGGGCTCTCCCCAGGGATGTATCGTCCTTTGCCCTCGCCAACGACATACACTTGGTGTCCGTGCTGATTTGTTTGAAAGAAAAAATAAGAGGGAGAGCGGTTAGGGTTGCGGATGGACAAAAAACAAAAGAGGAACTTGAATGTTAGAGTCACGGAACATGTAACATGCCATACCAGATGGAATGGGTGAGACCCTTCATCGTAATCTAGAGTGAAAAAGGACAAAAGCAAAAGAGTTACAACCAAAGAGTCAAATAAATACACATCGGTTATATCCTTCATCAAACGACAAAGAAAGATCAACGTACTATTGACAACAAGCTCGACGGTCTGGGTTTGGTTCAAGGTGACGATAAACTGCGTTGCCGCAAACTTGGTGTTGCCCTTGTTGACCTGGAACAGTGTCGCCGCCTTCTTGAGAGGCACCCAGGAAGTCTCGTTGACGTACCCCAGACTGACCCGCTTCTTGGTAATCTTCTGGAACGACATGTCCAGAATCACCTGGATATCTGCAGGAGGCGCATCCCGGACCACATATGGCTTTAACATACTCGCCTCCAGATCCAAGCATCGTCCAGGCCACGCCTCGTCCGCCCAATCAAATGAGTGTGCGGCCTGGCTCGCTGGTGCACCGGCGTAGCGGACAAGGGCCTTGACCGATGCATCCAAGGCTGGGTTCTCTTCATTGAAACAGTTCAAGTTCATCTGGGCACGGATCCAGTAGTTGTCGACCTGTTGGTTAGCCTGGACAATGGCCGAGTACCGCTGTCCAACATGAACCGGGATGCGATGCACATCTACGGGCTGCATATCGACTCCGTCAGCCTCGATGACGCTCAAGGTATGGTTGTCAATCGAGAACTGGAAATCGGCAAAACTACCTGTGTTAATGATTCGAATGCGGTATCGCAGACCCGGTTGGAAATCAAAGACGGATCGAGGGGCGTTGGAGTGACATGGGGCATGGGTTGGGAAGAGGGCCTGTGGGTCGAGAGTGCAGTTGAAGTAGTTGCGACCGTTGATGAGGCCGTTGTCTGGGACGGGTTCACTTCCATCGCTTGCTGGGCTGAGGTACCAGGAAACTAGGGTTGGTGAGGGTGTGTGGTAGTAGTCTGAGAGCATGACGATGACATCCTCATCGTAATGACCGAGGTGTGCCTCGTTGGGGCTGTGGATCACCAATGGCCCTGTAGACAAAAATAATAAAATGGTAAGTCATAGCCCGATGTTAACGTTCGACATATCCTAACAATAATAACAAAAAACTTTCAGAAGCATACCGACGATGCCGTCGACGTATTGCGATGCAGCGTGGGCATGCCACCAGTAGGTTCCCCACTGGTTGGGAACAGTGAAGTTGTAGGTGAATGACTGTCCTGGAGGGATCGGGCACTGAGTGACTCCTGCGCTTCCATCCATCCAGTTTGTGCCTGATTCCAAATCATCGGTGAAACAAGAGTGTGTCAGTGATTGAATAATCAGACAAAAATTTCCAGGTTCAAAAACAATTATTGGCGGCGCATGCGAATGAGTAGCTGCTTACCGTTCTGGAACATGCCGTGCCAATGGATGGCAGTGCCGTTCATCAAGTTATTGGTCACCTTGACCACAATCCTGTCTCCAGTGTTGGCCTCGACCAGTGGCCCAGGAAACATACCTATCATACATCAAAAAGATGTCAGTCATTAAGTCATTAGAAACTCAACTAGGGTACAAAAGAGAAAAAAGAGGGTGGCTTTGTGATCGATCAATGATAATTGAGGATCTCAAATCTCAATTGTCCATTCTTACCATTAACGAGAAGCATAGGTCGTTCAAGACCATCAGGCGCAATTGTCTTCTGCGAGATGGTCCAATCGTAAGACCGAGTTGTCGGGGCAGCCTTGATAACAAATTTCTTGTTGAGGTGGAACTGTCCAGGGTTGTTCCATGGTTGAGCTGGCGCTGCTGCTGCTACAGTGGCACCAGGAGCAAGGGATACAGAAGGAGCAGCCACTGCTTGACGTCGATGCAAGTTTGGGAGTGTGATACTCGCAACTTGTAATAATGTAGCCAGGAGGGCGCCAAAGAGAAATACCTTGCGGATAAGCACAGTCATGGTTTCGTCGGAGAGGGGTGTATAACAGAGCTGTTCTGCTGTTATTGTTGTGTGCAAGTGAATGGGCGAGAAAGTGCAAATGGGACAGGTTCGGATGCTGAGTGCTTATAAGAGAAAAGAAAGTACAAAGCGATCGGGTCGGCCAGACGATATTGGAATATGGCAGAGATGGATTTGATATTGCTCTCAACGTTCAAGTTCTCTTTCTTTCTTTTCAGCGCAAATCTGCTCATGAACCAACTGCCCCATAGCAGGTCCCATGATGTTTGGATATGATTACCTTTTCACTATTCTTCTTTTTGCAACACCGGTTGTTCATAAAAATTTGCTGTTGTCATTGTTCTGCTGTTATCCTTTTGCAACTTTGCCATTGTATCTCTGTCATTGCATCCCTGTCAATGCATCCCTGCCATTGCATCTCTGTCATTGCATCCATGGCATTGCATTACTCTCGTAATCACCAAAAGCAAAAGAAAGAGCAACAGTCTAGTCCATGTCCGAGCAGGAAAATCCATGTTTCTTATGTATGCAGGAACATCTAAGAGGAGCATTTGACATGCCCAAACGTCTTGAATTCTCAATCTCGCCCAATGCAGCTTGTTTTTCCGAACAAGTACCTCTCTACCGAAGGAAGGCCCTTGGCATCAACAGGTTTGGCACCCACTTCAATTGATTTGTCCATGGACGACAAAAGTCGATGAAGCACTATTTGCCATTGTTTGGCGTCAATGCCCTGATTGAGCATTCTGAGATTGAACCGGACAGGGTCCCCATTCTTGTCGTGAAAAGAAAAAGGAATGATAACCTGCATCTTTTGTCATCTCACTTCGACAGTTTGTCCCCCGGGTCTAAAAAGACTCGGCATGATGATGTTGTTGTTGTTGCTGTTGTTGCTGTTGTTGGGGGAGGAGGATATGGCGCCTGTGAGCACTCTCTCTGATGTTGTTGTCAACGAAAGGACAATGTAGGAAACTTCGTTTACTCATGCCTTTGTCAAGATCTGTCTTTGTTTTTTTTATTGTTGTTTTCCTTGTTCACTTCGGACATTCTGAACGTGGGTTGGGAAAGGCAAGGCAAAGGCATGTGGGCACTGAATGCAGGGGTACAATCCAATCATCCAACTAACAACTTTCAACGCCTTGTGTGTGACCTCATGGACTGGATTATTGGCTAACAATCCTGCCGAAATTGAATCCAAATAGGCAAAAATGGACCCTGGTGCATGCATGCTCTTTGTAGTGGGAATGAGAGCCCTCCTCCAACTGGACAAAAACACACAAACGCAGAGAGGGAAAGAGCAGCTAATAGCCTAAAGGAGAGAGAGAGGGCATGGACCCGTTTTGGACCAATGGCTGTAATCATAGGCCGCATGGTGGATGCTATTGGCTGCAAAGACAAGGCTAGGGCGGGCAACGACCATGTCCCAACCTGAACCCTGGTTTTCGCTCTTGTTTACCTGGAGGAGATTGCACCAAAAAAACAATCGGTGTACTGTGGTATTTCTCTCTTTCTCATCCAATCAGTGCACATGCACATTTTCCGTTGTCCAGCCGGATTGGTTTACTGGTTTTTTTTGCTCTCCTTTTCTACCTCCTCCTCTTCCTCATTGTTGCCCAAGGGCAATAATGACTAGCTCGCTCTTTTACTGCTTCTGTCTGAAAGAGATGAAAGAATGACAACATTCGGCAAAGCGAATCGATCATCTATCCTCATAGCGATCATAGCTCGCACTCGTTGGTCCTCTTATGGCAATTCGGCAGCGAGAGATTGGTCTTTATGTCGACATGGTTGTTATCTCCTTTTTCAAAAACGCTCATGCGGGATCAAGAGATGATCGGTCTTGGTCAACAATGTCCAGCTGTACAACACATACCGGTTATTAGACAGAGTCTGTTCCCCGTTTCTGCAGGGTTGCTCTTTGTTGAATTTGCTTGGCATCTCGAACCTTTCCTCCTTTTTGACAGTTACCTCCTCCTCCTCCTCCTCCTCCTCCTCCTCCTCCTTAACGCCGTACCACCTCTTTCTTTCCATTTCGTAATCTACAATCCCATTTAAGGTGCCAATGAACACATCTTCGGAGCGCTATTACTCTTTTTGTCGTTTGTAAAGACCAGCCGACTGAATGGACTGGACCTGGACTAGACCTGAGTTGAACAAAAACAAGATGGGATATAATACTCTCCGAATCCAGAAGGGAAAAACTATCAGCGTGCGTGGGAACAGAGTTTGCCTTCGTCGTTCTTGTTCCTATAAGAACGCATGGCTCATTCTCATATTCCTTTTCTTTTTTTCTTCCTTGTCACTTTCCTTGCTAACCTTCCTCTGACCTTCTCCCACCCTCCAAAGAAACCAAAGTTATCATCATGATGTTCAAGAAACTCGCTTCACTTGCCTTGTTGGCTGCCGCTGTCACTGCCCAAGTCCCCAAGGGCAAGGCCTTCGATCACATCTTCATCGTCTTCCTTGAGAATACTGTATGCTTCACTCCTTCCCCTTTTATTTTTCTCTGCATTCGAGTTCAGCCCACTGTCAACGTGCCCATTCATCCTTCCAAATCCTAGACGATACTAACCCAAATTTATGTCTCCTATTACTTTGCTCTCCCCCGATAGGACTACGATCTGGCCAACTCTGACCCCAACCTTCGTTCTCTCTTCTCCAGCGGTGTTGCTCTAAACAACTACCACGGAGTGACCCACCCCTCCCAGCCCAACTACTTTGCTGCTATTGCCGGAGACTACTTTGGCTACAAGGACGACAACGCTCACAACCTAGACACCTCCTACAAGACCGTCGTCGACCTTTTGGAGGCCAAGGGTCTGACATGGAGATCCTACCAGGAGAACCTGCCCTCGGTCTGCTACACCGGCACGTCCTCCAAGAGTCTCTACTACCGCAAGCACAACCCCTTCATCTCGTTTGACCTCATCTCCAAGGACGCCACCCGCTGCAAGAACATTGTCCCCTCGACTCAGTTGCAGACCGATCTCCAGGCCGGATACCTCCCCAACTACTCGTTCTACACCCCCAACATCAAGAACGATGGTCACGACACTACCGTCGGCTATGCCAGCAAGTGGTTCTCAGGTTTCTTGGCCCCCCTCCTCTCCAACCCCACCTTCAACAACAACACCCTCGTCGTCTTGACCTTTGACGAGGCTGACGACTACACCGACAAGACCAACCACATCTTGGGACTCTTGCTTGGTGACGCCGTCAAGAACATCAAGAACACCGTTGACTCGACCTTCTATACCCAGTACTCACTTATCTCGACTGTCACCTCCAACTGGGGTCTTGGCAACCTTGGTCGCAACGACATCAACAAGCCCCTCTCGAACGTCTTTAGCTTCGTCGCTGCCCTTACCGGCTACCAGAATGTGGCCGTCACCAACCCCCCTCCCCTGAACTAGAGAAACAAAAAACAAAAACAAAAAGATACCCTTTTGTATGTACACCTTGACATGTGGGCTGGATGGCTTTGTGGGATAGCTTTTGTCTTATGTACTGTACGTTTGTATGGGTAGCCGAGTATCCAGAAAAGTGGATCACGCATGCATTCTTCGCAAGCAATATTTGAGCCTTTCAGGAGAGCATTTTGTCTAGGTCGCCTTTACCGAAAATAAACTCTTATAACACACTACTATGAGCAAAAACGGAATGAACGTGAAAGGACGAGAGCGGGAAGGGAAAGAGAGAAAGAGGAATGGAACTAGTCTACAATGTACCAGTAGTAAATAGAGGAGGTAAGCTAGTCCTCTATGCAAGCGCGTTTCTTCACGACATGTCCATTTCTATCTCGCTCTCTCTCTCTCTCTTCTCTCTTATTTATTTCTCGCATCTTGGTACGTACCGCCGGTATTATAGCTTTTTGTCCCAAGTGCCTAGGGTACCTCATGGTCATATCCTTGCATGCCTAATGAGCAGGTGTATTCTTGTGTTTAACTAGCTGCTTGTTGTACTCTCAGTCGCTTAGCAGCATATCCAACCACGTTAATCTTCTCACTCTTCACCATTGTCGGGCTCATTGCGGACAGCGTGCGCCAATGGTGCAATGGTGTGGGAAAAGAAGGTGGTAAAGGAGGAGTACGATGAGAGTACAGCCCAACCATATATCAAACCTAAGCACAACAACCGCATCGCTTCCTTCACCACCAAAAAAGCGGCTCCCGCTCCCCATTGTCAGCTCGTCTCTCAGAATAGAAAAAAACCCAGCAGCTCTGAGAAATTCAAGAACGCAGAACATTCCTAAAATAAGGATAGAAAGAGAGAGAGCGAGAGAGAGAGAAAGAGGGGGGACTTTGAAAAGCAACAAAAAAAACGACGTTTCTGTGTTTATACACGACATTGTTTAGACCGTGTTTTTAATTTTTTCTTGTGAGAGCACCACGTCTATTGTTCTTAGTTACCTCTTAACTCAGACGTAGATAATTCAAGGTATGCTTGTTTGCATGCATGTCTGCATGGCGACTGAAAGAGAAAAAGAGAAGGTACAAACAGGGGGAAAGGAGAGGACAGGGCTCCATGGTGGCAAAGAGGCCAAGGGGCCAGAGGGTTGAATTGAATGTAGCCTAGAAAGGCAATGGATATTTGTAATGCTCTTTGTTGTGTATTTCATGAATGGTAACAGAGTCATTTGTCGGCGATGGTGCTGGGTAAAGAGGACACATGTTATGGTACCTGTGGAGCAATGCTCTCGTGGTTAGAGGGTGAGGCTGGAACTGGGGGGGTAATGGGTGAAGATGGTACTTGAGCGTTGCATTGTTGGTTGACACAAGGGAGGATGGTCACCTTAGCGAGGGATGTGTGTCGTACACCTTATGTATATGTCTGTTGCGAGGGAGGTAGAAAACATGTACGTGAAGGTGTATATGCGGGTGTATGTGTGAAGAAAAAAAAAGGGTAGCGCTGCATGCATGAGGTGGTTGACTATGTAGAGTAGAGAAATAGAAGAGCCTTCTTTCCCTACCTTTCGCTCGACTCGACCTTGCCTTAGACAAAAGATAGTCAAGGGATTTTCGATCCAGGAACCGCCAGTTTAGTTCCAAGAAACATTATTGTTAGGGTTTAGGGTCAGGATGATCAGTTCGTCAGGAACGAACAGGTCAAAGAAAATTAAAGGAATGTGATTGGTTGAAGCATTGAGTAATCAAAATGGCTAAAAGGAATTCATGGAGGGAAAAAAAGGGGGGTACATTCAACGTTTCAGGGTTGGAAATGGTGCAATGGATGCAAGCTGATATGGACGGGAGATTACACCCCAAAATGCCATAGATATAGATGAAGGTGGAAGAGGGCGGGAGGGATCGATAGTAGTAGAGGAGAGGGTTGCAAACAATGAAGGTGAGAACAAGAGAAGAATACAAGAGAGAGAGAGAGGGTAGTGAGAAGATATTAGAGGAGGGAGTGATGGGGATGGGAGTGATGGGAAAAAAAGAGCGAACAAAACGCGTGTAACGCTCAAGTCGAAAATTGGAGGGAAGAGAGAAAAGAGGTACTTCTGTGCTGAATTGTTCACATGTTTGCTGGTGGGTGGCATTGGCATTCAGGAAGGGCCTAAAACAAATTTAAAAGGGGGCAGAGTACTCTCGATCGAATAATTTGCCGTCGGCTATTATTTTTATTATTCATTTTCTTCCCTCTTACTCATTTCCTCACTTCATTCCCTCCGTTCAAAAAAAGAAAAAACAGTGGACAACTAGGAGTGAGTGGCTCTCTCTCACTCGCTCTCTTGTTTTTTTTTGGGTTCGTCTATCATTTGTCGTCGTTGAGTGCTGCAGGGGAGAGACGAGGAAATAAGCCTCGATCGAACAATGCGGATGCAAACTAAAGTCTATCACCTGAACCATAGTCAATAAACGCACGTACTCCATCGTCTGTATAGTAAAACACAAAATACATAAGCCAAGATACAATCATCCTCTACACTACATTGCCAGATGGACTCTCTCTCTCCCTCGCCTTCCCTCCCTTTTTGCTTACATCTGTCTCAAACACACACACATACATACACATACGTCGCAACAACAAACGACAACGGCCAACAAGGAGAATTTCAGGAACCACCGTTCATCTTTAAAAGCAGCCCCTTCCCTCCCTCGGTATCTCTTTTTTTCTTTTCTCCTTACGCTCATTCGTCCCTCCCTCGCCAACCCCCCCTCTCTCTCTCTCTTCACTACCCCTGGTAGCTTCCACAGATCGAAGCTTACTTGCCCTTCCCCTTGCCCTCGCAAACATCTCCAACGACCCCTACCTGCTCCTCACGCATACCTTACCCACCAGTACCAACTGTACTTTCATACCCTTTAACCTACATCTTCTCACTCTCACTCACCATGACTCGCTCTCGCACCGTCCCCATGGGCTTGATGGCATGCGTTGCCCTCGCCTGTATGACCCTTCTCAACCAGCCCTATGTTTACGCCGAACCCGCTTCCCTCGAGGACATCCAGCCTGGAACCCCCATGAAGTCAGTTCCCGTTAACTTGATGCCCCGCTCCTACAACGGTCGCCAGGACACCTTGAACAAGTTCCGACCCACCAACAGCATCCAGCTCCGCTTCATCGATGCCTCTGACGACAACTACCTCGACTACGGCGCCTGCCATCACGTCGACATGGATGTCGAGCTCAAGTCCGAGGCCGAGAAGCCCGAGGACCAGCGTACCATCCAGTCTTTGAACCCCTTCGCCTTCCAGCACGCTGTCAGAACTTTCTCGTGCTCTGGTACCGGCAAGGACTTGAAGCTGAACATGGAGCTCGACCCTCAGTATGCTGCTCAGATCAGCCGCTGGACTATTGGCCCCTCCAAGATCTTTGCCATTGTCATCCCCCACGACCATGTTGACCTCAAGAAGAACCAGGCTTGTTTCTCCGTCTTGAACGCCCAGGCCAAGAAGTGGACCCAGTCCCACCCCATGGAGACTGTTGTCAAGCTGGTCAAGAACCCTCGCTTCTTGAACGCCAAGAAGCGCAACGTCGTCACCTTCTCTGTGGCCAAGACCGATATCTGGTCGCAGATGAACCGTATTCAGTCTGTCCACATTGCCCATCGTGAGATGGACGAGGTTCTTCCCATGTTCTTCAACAAGCGCTCAATTGCTGAGGAGAAGGGCCCCATGTGGAACTTTGAGCGCGACCTCTCGCCTGCTACCCAGACTGTCTCACGCAGCATGAAAGCTGACAATGTCAATGCCAACCTCGACAGAAGTAACGTCAAGGGCTATGGTAAGCAATCTGTTTCGTAGATATAATTTATATTCACCCGATGTCAATCGCATTTCTGTTGTACTCTATGAGCTTGTGTCCACAACTAACATCGCCTTTCCTTCCCTCCTTGATCTCCCATCGGTTTCGAATTAATAGCCCAGGCTGATATGGCCTGGAAGCAGACCTGCATCAAGAACATTTTCACCGGCAAAGTCCACTGCCTCAAGTGGGGCATCTCCCGCTCCAAGATCTCCGGCACCACCGAGATCAACCACTCTGCCCGCGTCGACATCAAAAAGAAGAACGGCGGTCGCTCCAACGGCCCATCCAACCCCATGTTGACCTTGACTCGTGTCAACGTCACCACCCCTACCTTCACCATCGTTGCCCCCGCCGCTTTGCTTGGATTCTCTGTCCCCGGTGTCTTTGACCTCGGTGCCAACATTGCTGTCGCTGGTGCCGTCTCGTTGAACATTCTCGTCCAGGCCACCGAGGACCTCTTGCTCAACACTGGCAGTTCCTCCTCTTGCCCTTGGACCATCGACTGGAACGGTGGCCTCACCAGCAAGCCCGAGATCCAGTTCGGTACCTGCACTCTCCCCGGCACCCCCAAGTTCATCACCAACCCCGGCCAGGCTTTCAAGATCAAGAGCCATGACAACGCTCTCTACCTCGGACCTGACCCCAAGGCTCTCGTTGCCAGACGCACTAATGCTAGAAACGCCATCTTTGCTGCCGTCCCCGCTGCCCCCGCCAAGGGTTCCCGCCAGTCAGCCTTTGTCAGACTAGGAATGAACGTTATTCCCTCGTTGAACTTGGGTCTCAAGGTCTTTGGTCTTAACGCTGTCAACGCCGGTGTTGTCGCTCCTCTGAACTTGGGCATCAACACCAACTGGGACACCCAAAAGACCGAACAGTGCCCCGCCAACAACGTGGCCATCTACGCTGATGGAAGGGCAGCCTTGATGCTCGAGGGTACTTTCTTTGGATTCAGCAAGACCATTGCTCCCGTTTACAGCCCTACTCTCAACTCGCCACCCGTTTGCATCAAGGTCTAGAAGGGAGAGGCCGTCAACATTCCTTATCCCCATCCATACCCATAGAATAGAGTCCGCAGATCTCTTTCTTTGCTCTCAATTCCCACTCCCGGGTAATCATTTATGGCTTTGCCGTGGATAGAGCCGAAATGGCACCTGCCTCAAATAGAAACCAGGAAATCTAATAATAAAATAGAAAACATAATAATACAGTAAACTGTACGTCTTTCGTCTTTGTTCTTTATAATGGTCTGGCACCTACCCATCGCCTGCAGTGTCTCATTATTTACGAAGGCAAAACTACAACCACTAAACCTCTCATGTTTTGTGCAGAACCCCCGTTTTTATTCTCAAACCGGTGCCTTCTGTGAGCTGGCAGCCCCAGTTTATTTTTGCAACGCTTCAGAGATACCAGTCAAGACAGAAACCAGTCCAACAGCACCAGCATCTGCCAGCCCATCATTCTGTCCGACGTAGACGGCACGACCACGTTTGGGCTTCATGGTCTCTGTAGCCTTGGCTCCCTTCTCTGCTGCCTCCAGCGCTGCCTTGACGTCCCCTGTCTCTGCAAGCGTCTTGGAAAACGGCTGCAGTGCGTCAATCAACGTCCTGTGTCCAGGTCGTGCCGTTGTGTAGTGATAAAGAGTGTCCAGGGCGCCGAGCATGGCCTTGCCCCAGACCTTGGCCGTGAGTGACTTTTCCTGACCGTCCTTGAGGATCTGGTGCAGTTGCTGGGACAGGCCATCAAGGAAAAGGCAGTAAATGATTCCTGAGGTGCCGCCCATTGCGTCCTCGACGATCGAAGAGATCCGTGCAAGAGCCGCTGAGGGGTCGTTGAGAGGCAGGGTCTTGTCCTTGGAGGCCTCAAAGATGGCCGTTGCGCCGGAAAGCAAGACTTGACCACAATCACCGTCGCCCATAAGCTGATCCAATCGGGTAATCTCGGGTTCCTGCTCGACTACGTTGTTGTATGCCGTTTCGATGACGCGTTCCCAAGTTGAGTCGGATGCCGGTGTGTATGACTGCGCTGGTCCTTTGGCTGACTCGTCTGTGTTGCCTGCGTCGACAACCTGGTGAGCCTGATTGATCCACCCAGGACAGTATGCCGGCTGGTCAAGAAGGGCGACCAATTCCTGTTGCTCATTCTGATTGTCAGGAAGGACCAAAACTGAGATACTGATGCCGGGCATGGCCAGTCCTGTCATGTATGTTCCCGAAAGCACGCGGACAGCCTTGAGTCCATGGGAGGCAGCAGCCTCAACCGCAAGCTTGGTGACCAGACCCATCTCCAGATTCGAGATGGCGCCCAAGTTGTTGACAAGAATCACAACGTTGGCCTTGCCAGATGGAGAGGCCTTGGCAAAGGGGTGGCTCTGGACGATATGGTCGACCAAGCTGTCGATAACCTTATCCGCGGACTCCAGTGTCTTCTTCTCGAACCCTGGCTCGTTGTGAATGCCCATTCCGACTTCGATCTCATTCTCCTTGAGCGAGCGTGGCATCCCTTGCCCCGGCACCGAGGCAGCGTTCAAAGCACATCCAATCGTAAAAGTGTGGGAGGCGGCATACTCGATCGTCTTTTTAACCTGCTCCAGGCTGTCGCCGTTGGCGGCCGCCGCTCCTGCCAGTTTGTAGGCCAAGACTGTCCCAGCAAGTCCACGCCGACCGACCCCTCCCTCCTCATCATCATTCGGGTTAACAACGCCTACATCATCGCCAACAACGACCATCGCAACCTTGGGCATAGGCTTTCCTTGATGAACCCTCTCAGACTTGAAGCGCTCGACAGCGCGTCCAAAGTTGAGGACGTCTCCCGTGTAGTTCTTGATGACGACCAAGGAGCCCTTGTCTTCGGAATAGATCCTGCGGAGACAGGAGAGGACCTGCGAGGATGTGGGCGAGGCAAAGACGTGGCCGCAGACGGCGGCAGTGAGCATGCCCTGGCCAACAAATCCAGCGTGGGAAGGTTCGTGTCCGCTGCCTCCTCCACAGAGTAAAGTGACGTGGCTGGTGCGCCGGGTGGCAAGGTCCTTGATGAAGACGACCTTTTGCTGAGAGTCAAGGGCGAGGTGAGGGTTGGCGTGGATGAGGCCCTGGAGACTGTCCCTGACGAGGGTTGTGGAGTCCGTGATAAGGTGCTTGTTGTTGGTTGACATTTTTGTTATCTTTGTCTGGACGTGTGCTTATCGCGTGTTGTGTTGAAATGGGCGTGACTATGTTTGGGTGGGAAGAAATCGAGAGAGAGAAAAAGGAAAAGAAGGAAAAGAGGGAAGAGAAGAAATCCAAGAGCAGTGGTATACCCGTTTCCCGCGGGAGAAAGACAACACGACGTAAGCACAAAACCATTCATTATTCTTAGCATCGAAACCTTATCTTGTCTATTCTGCTCATTCCTGTTTGGACACTTGCTTATGTTCAGCATAACAAGACCTCATCTCCTTTTTCAACGACAAAGCTGCTCCACTCTTCTCTTTACTAACCAGGCCTGTCTCTGTCCGCAAGCAGAGCTCAGTAAATCGATGCCAGGGACGAGACGGATAAATATCAACTATATATCCGCGCAACGGACATTCACGCTCACAGGAGCATAACGGGTGGAAGAGCTGCTACCGCCACTTGCTTTGAGGCTTTATGCACACTCCTCTTGTTGAAATAGCAAGTTCATTGGAACACTAGGAGCAAAATGGCATCAAGGAAATCACACAGGATCAGCGGGATCATCTACCTGAAAAGACGACAAGGACAGGCAAGCGAGCAACCTGAGAGGCCAACGACACTTCTGTGTATAGGGCAATACAGATACGACCTTCGCCTCCATAGCTCCATACCAGCAAAGTAGCAGCAGTGACATTAAAGCATCTTGGATCAGGCTTACACGCACGTTGTTCGCATTTGGTGTATTCATGGATAATCACTTTTTCTTAGGTGTGATACCTTCTTTTTTTTTGGTTTTCGGACCTCCCGGCAGCCGCACGCACCGTTATTGGCATTCTTCCTCTTCCCAAAGCACACACAACCTTCCCCTCGTCCTCGTGACAACGACCATGGTCTCCCACACTAACGAACGCCTACCCAGGGATCGCAAAGACATCAACGACCGCTCTGATCACATTGACAGCGAGAGCGACAATAGCAACAGCAACAGCTGACACGACCACAGCAGCAACAGAAAACACGAAAGAGACTACCACAACGACGACAGACACTACAGGAGCCGTCGATACCACTACTACGAAAACGAGTACCATTACACTCACCACTCATCATTCGATCACAGAGAGTATTGGCATGGGTACTCCCGTCGCTATAGCAGAAGTCCCTCCAGTGACTGATACAGAGACCAAGACCGGAAGTGGGAATGGGAATGGGATTAAGAGGGGACAGGGGACCGAGAGGTCGAATGGATCAGGTACCGCGACGGAGAACGGTACTGGCGCAACCCGGACAGAGCATATCACGATCGAGAGCGCTAGCGCGCCGTTTGAGAGAGGAACTCCGGTTGAGGAAGAGAACGATACAGGCGCAGCCCGGACAGAGACTATTACTACGATCAAGGACGATACAGAAGCAGCACGGACGGAGACTACAATGGTCAAGAGCGGGAGCGTGCATGGGAAAGGTGCCGCTACGATCAAGACGGAGAGCGAACCTGGGACAGGGCCATGATCCATATCAAGGGCCAGTCAGCGACAAGGCGAACTGCAACTACCGCAACCTCAAGAACCACTCTCTCCAGCAGCACCGACTCTGGCGCCACACCATTTACAATGAACACCACCACGCTCAAACAAGGTGGATGAGCCTAGGTGTCAGCAAAGGGTACAGCGACGCGTCTATCTTGCTTGACAATCACTCTTGCTTTTTTCCCATGATCATGTGATGATATTCACATTAGTGTACATGGATGACAAACCCAAGCAAATAAACAAACATGCAATTGAGGTCCCAATGACTCCAATGCCTGGCTATCCTATTATCCAAGAGACAAGGGATAGAGACAAGAAGTTGGTGCCCGTTGCGCAGCAGAGTGAAAGGAATGACATCCATGGTGACTCAATTGAGCCTTCTTGGCGAAGATAGAGCTATACTTTTGATTTTAAAAAAATAACGAGTGGCATAAAAGGTTCTATGGACATCTCTTCTACTTCCTCGTCCCCTTCTTCATTCATTCACCACCAACAGCAATGACATCCTCTTCAACCTACCCCTTCTACCAGCTCGACATCTTCACCGACAAGGGCTACCTCGGCAACCCTCTCGCCGTCATCGTCGCACTCGACCCTGCCCTGCCCATTCCCAACGACGAACAGATGCAAAAGATCGCCAACTGGACAAACCTCTCCGAGACTACCTTCCTCCTCCCGCCCACCGACCCCTCTATGGCCAACTACAAAGTCCGTATCTACACCCCTACCGAGGAGCTCCCCTTTGCCGGTCACCCCACCATTGGAACCTGCCGCACCTTCCTCGAACATACCCAGGGTGGCGTCCAGCAGGCAAAAGGACGAAAGATTATCCAGGAGTGTGGTGTCGGCCTTGTCAACTTGCTGGTCGCCGAAGATGGGTCGATTGCCTTCACGGCTCCACCACTCTCCAAGACCGGACCTGTCGAAGAGGAAAAAGTCCTCGTTGCCTGCAAGACCATGGGCATTGCTCGTGAGGATGTGATTGACACACAGTGGGTCATCAACGGACCCCATTGGTTTGCTCTCCAGCTGAAGGATGTCACTACGGTGTTGAGTGCCAGTCGCATCCCCAACCAAGAGTCCAAGAAGCTCAAGTGGGGTGTAGTTGGTCTCTATTCCCCTCAAGAGAGACAGTCTGCTGATGCTCCGTTCTGTGAGATCCGCGCCTTCCCCCACGCCGTGGAGGTCGACGAAGACCCTGTTACTGGGTCCTTCAAGTAGGACCCTTGGTCTTTTTGGTATTTGTCATTGTTCTTGGCAACGTGTTGAATTGAAAAGCTAACTGGTGTGTATCCTTGTCAACGACTTCTGCCTTGACTAGTGCCGGTGTGGCTCAGTGGTTGATTGGAAAGGGTTTGGCTCCTACCAACTATGTCGCATCGCAGGGACTGGCGATGGGCCGACGCGGTCGCGTTGTCGTGCACCGTGATGACTCTGACCTCACCCTCGAAGAGTTCAAGCGCCCTATCTGGATTGGCGGAGAGTCAGTCATCTGCGTCCGCGGAACCATCCAAATCTGAGTACCCCGTCTTTTGGCGATGAAACATGCTCCACAACACTACGGACGCGTCTCTCTCCAGAGTGTGAGTCCAACTGATCCATTTGTATTCAGCTATGGAATCAAAGACCGCGCGCGTTTTTTTTCTTCCGAGTTCTTTCTATCTCTTTTGGATTGGCATTGTTGCTACTGCTTTGGCCCCCTTCCCCCGAATATATTTCATTCTTTTTCTTATTTTGCCGGTGCGTCGCGAAACAAATGGGATCCACGGCTGAATTGATGGCTGGCCCGTGTCCATGACATGGTTATTACACAGTGCATGACGCAAACCTGTTCACCGTGCATTATTCCTATAGCCACTCAAGTGAAAACGTTTCCCTTTTCTATCTATTATGCCTCCAAGGCCCCCTATAAACGATGCTTGCCAGTATTGCGCTTTGACGTCATTGGGTCGTAACCAACACAATAAATACCAATTGCACTTTCACTTTCTTTCTTTCTTTCTTTCCTTCTTCACACACTCCTCGAAAACAACACTCACACACCAACGCACCTATACTATCATGCTGCACAAACACATCGACACAGAAGACGTGATCCGACAAGCAAAGCTGTCGCCGATCCGCAACCATCACGCAAAGCCTCACAACATCCATACCCTCGCCTATGGGTCCCGCTATGCCACCGAAGACATCCCCAAGTACAAACTCCCCGAAAAGTCAACAGAGGCCCAGGCTGCATACCAGCTCATCCACGACGAACTCGAGCTCGATGGTAGACCCAACACGAACCTCGCTTCCTTTGGTAAGCCCTGCACTTTATATGTCGAGTGAACCCTTCATTGCCTTTTACGTGGTTGTATCGAGTAAGTTGGTTGACACGTTTTTATCGCTTGTATTTTGATCCTATAGTCCACACTTGGATGGAGCCAGAGGCAGACAAGCTGATCGTCGAGAACATGAGCAAGAACCTCGCTGACCAGGTATGCCATAGTATTGTCTATTTTATTTAACAAACTTTGTCCAACGATGTAGACTAACCATGATATAAAACAAAAATGATTTACTTTTAGGATGAGTACCCTGCAACTATGCGAATTCATGCACGGTGCATTTCCATCATTGGTGACATGTGGAAGGCCAAGGGAGCGGTTGGGACCTCGACCATCGGATCTTCCGAGGCGGTCATTCTCGGTGGACTTGCCATGAAGAAGCGCTGGCAGGCCAAGATGAAGGCCCTCGGCAAGGATGCCTCTCGACCCAATATTGTGATGGGTAACAATGCCCAGGTCGCCCTCGAAAAGTTTGCCCGCTACTTTGATGTCGAGTGCCGTTTAGTTCCCGTCACGACTGAGAGTCACTACTGTCTCGACATCCAGAAGGCCGCCGAGGCCTGCGACGAGAACACCATCGGTGTCTATGTCATCCTTGGAAGCACCTACACTGGCCACTTTGAGGATGTTGAAGGCATGTCCAAAAAACTGGACCAGATCCAGGAGGAGAAGGGCTGGGATATCCCCATCCATGTTGATGCTGCGAGTGGTGGATTCGTTGCGCCGTTTGCATTCCCTAAGCTCAAGTGGAGCTTTGATGTCGACCGCGTCAAGTCGATCAACACGTCAGGGCACAAGTATGGGCTGGCGTATGCAGGCATTGGGTGGGTCCTGTGGAAGAGCGAGGAGTATCTCCCTAAGGAGCTAGTGTTCACGCTGTCCTACCTCGGTGCTGAGGAGCAGACGTTTACTCTGAACTTTTCCCGTCCTGCTTGCTTCATGGTTCGTCATGCATAGGCTTCTCCCACCTTGTTTTCATGCAAACGCACGAAGTACTGATATCTTGAGTTTTTTGAGTCTAATCGTTTTTATTTTGTGGTTCGCTCCGTCATGGTGACTATCGTTGAAAAAATCTTAGATCGCGCAATACTACAACTTTGTCCGTCTCGGCAAGCAAGGGTACACGTCCATCATCGAGAACGATCTTGACAATGCCCGTATTCTCTCCATGGCGCTCGAGGACTCCACTTACTTTGACGTCCTCTCGGACATGCACCGCGCCAAGGGCAACTTTGGATACGACAAAAAGTCCAGCCCGGAAACAAAACATGGTGCCACCGTCTACAACCCTGCTTTGCCCGTGGTTGCCTTCAAGTTGTCGGATAACTTCATAGCCGAGAACCCGCATGTGAAACAGGCAGCAATATCGACCTTGCTACGGACCCGCGGGTGGATTGTGCCCAACTATGCGCTCCCGCCTGCGCTTGACAAGGTAGAGATCCTCCGGATCGTTGTCCGTGAGTCGTTCAGCCAGGAGCTGGTTGACACGGTGGTTAACGACTTGATCTGGGCGGCGGAGACGCTGGCGTCGAGCGAGAGTTCGTTTGATGTTGATATCCTTATGCGCAAGAACAACCCTGTTGAGGATGCGCACAAGATGGATATCCACGAAGGCACCAGCCATGGCCCCTCTGGTCGCCAGTGCTAAGCTTTCACCACTATACATAGCATCTACCCTTGCAGACAATACAAAAAAAAGTTTAACTTTCATGATGGCGAGTCACGTGTACAGGTTCACATTTCCATGTCATGCACGCACTCCCACGACGCAATAAACTTCTTACAAAACAAAAAAAAATTGTTGTTGTCTGTCACACATCGACAGGGACTCTCCTTCCTCTTCATTCTTTCCTTGTCGTTGCACAAATTCACTCCTCCTCTTACTCCTCCTTCACATTCTCACCACACATCCCACACATACGCCTCATCACCACCTTCACCACTACACAATGGTCTACAAGGGCAGCCACTTTGACCCGAACTACCACCTCAAAAAGAATTTTAACAGGAGTTTCCAGGAATCTAGCTACGACAGCGGCAACTTCTACCCCAATAACAATAACAATAACAGCTTCAACCGCAACAACTACAACCACAACCACAGTTACACCGCACCAACACCACTATCGCTACCACCGCCACCGCCACCACCCACAGGATGGACCAACAACGCCTTTCCCTCCCACCACTACGGCAACAACAAGCAGAACTCAGAACGCTACACTCCGTCCTCGTCCTCCAAGAAAAAAACCCGTAGGAATGGTCGTCCAGGGAAAGAAGCCGCAGGTAGTAACAACAACACCTCATACACAACTACCGACAACAAAAACAATAACAAAAACAACAATAACAGCAACAGCAGCAGCAGCGTCAACAGCAGCATCAGCATAAGCAACAGTAACAGCAACAGCAACAGCAACAACATTAACAGCAACAGCAACAGCAACAACAAAAATAACAACAACAACAACATCGGCGGCGGCAGCAGTAGCAGCAGTACCAGTGGTAACGCGAAGAAGCTCAAGACGCCTTTGGAAAAGCTGAGTAAAATGGAGGACCATCTTGAAAGGAACCCGAACGACAAGCTGGCACATGTTAACGCATACAGGATCTATGGTGGCAACATCAGCAAGGCTCCTACGGGTCGTGAATGGTCAAGAACTCCTACATTGGCCCCACAGGACAACGACATGGACAATACCGACAAGGATGAGGCAGAACTCCAGCAGCAAGAGCAACATCAACAGCAGCAGTGGTCATCACTGTCGGCACAGGCAGCAATACCATACCAGAACTTGCATCAAAATTGGAATGCCACGGAGAACAATCATCACGACCAAAACAAGACCCGGCAGAGCTCTGTGGCCACGACATCCTCAATAACAACAACACCAACACCAACACCAACCGACAACCGGAACCCTTGGACCCGATCACCCTCCGCACTATCGTCCCCAAGCCAAATGGAGTCTCCAGCATCAAGTACGACGGAGATCTACCCTGAACTGTCTCGTAATTCAACTCTCATCCAATCTTACAATTGGACGGATCAGGACGAACCGGGAACTGGAGCATCAATGGAACGTTTACCCTCTGAGACAATACAGCCTTGTCAACAATCGGAAAAGGAACAACCATCACAGTCGCAACCCCATCCTCAACTCGACACGATTGTCCCCTCCCTAGCACTCCAGGTTGTCGACGAGAAAATCAATGATCTGGACCACCTGTGGAAGTCTGGCAACGACAAACTCAGTCAGACGGTCAAGGTGGCAGAGCAGAGTGTGCTCACCTGCGTGCTCCGGCAAGTTGTGGAGGAGATCAAGATATATGCGGTCCTCCGGGAGATGTTACAGAGTCAAGGCTTTAAAGGACAGATCGACTCCATTGGAACACTGACCGAGATGATGCAACAGTTGGAGGCTACGAGAAAGTTCGACATCACCTGTCTTCAGCCTGGAGTACCTATCCCAGACATTCCCCTCGACCAAAGCGTTCAGGCCATGGATGCTATGAAACCTCTTCTGACAACGAGCAACGGAGAAGAGTCAATGGCAATGCATGTGCCAGATATAGCAGCGCCGCCACCACCACCACCACCACCATACAATGTCGAGGAACCAGCAACGGTATCATCCGACCAACCGCACTTGGCAAACGCAAGTAATCCCAGGAAACGAGCATTAGAGCAGACGGATTCTGACCAGACGCAAGGCAGCAAGGCAACAATATACCACGACATGGATAGTAGCGTGACTGAGGATAGAGAAGGTACTGTGTTCAATTGTTCACTTTGTAACAGCTTTCTTGGTCCTGAAACAATGCGTTACTAAGACTCTGTTCCGCCGTCTCTATCCTCCTAGGATCTGACCTCCAATCTTCAAATAACTTAACAGTGCATCAGTCTAGTTTGGATGCGACTACAACGACACCAACGACACTAACGACAATCACAACCTTACCAGCTCTTGATCGACCCTATACGTCTAGCAGAGTGGAACTCCAGGTGGCATCAATGACGTCGTCGTCTTTGTCGCTCAACTCGCGGTCATCTAGCATATCCTCAACCTCAACTACCAGGACCTCGAAGAGGGACAGGCTAATGCCAAACAAGCCAGCCGGGAACGCGCCGCCAGGCAGCAGTCGCACGGATTCTCCAGCGCTACAACAAAGCAACTCTGTTCCTCCAGCGTTGACCAACTCAATCCCAGCAAGTGGAAACACGGAACAAGCTATCGGCACAACCAGCGGTCGTATCAGTAATGGAGGTCGTGCGATGATGGATATTGAAAAGGAACTGCGACTGATTCGAGAGGAAGGGCAGGAACAGCGACTCCGGACGGAACAATTACTGGCCCAACTCGAGTCTGAGGCCCGACTGCGGCGGGAAGCAGACCATCGGGTCTCGCAGCTGGCACAAGAGCTCCAGAACGAACGCTACTTGACTCTAGAAAAGGACTTGGAATCGAAGCGGTCCGAAGCCCTACTGATGATGGCTAAAGCCCGCGAGGATATTCAACAGAGCAAAGTGTTGATTGCTCAAGCCAAGGAGGAACTTGCATTGGAACGGGCTGCCAGGGCAGAGGCGATGATTGAGACTGCCAGGATTGAGATTGAACGGAATAGGCTGTTGGCGTATGTGCAGAGCCTTGGTGGACCTACTGCAGTCATGCCTGGAGGTCTTTTCGTGGGCGGCATGATGGCTTTGCCTCCCACTAGTGCTGCCACCCTTTCGGCACGATTTCCTTCGCCGGCTGGATCGGATGGAGGAGTGTTGGCGACTACACCAGGTTCAGGAGGATCACCATCAGTCGTCGATGATGAAACTCCTTCTGGTGAAGTTAATCGGAACTGTCTTATCGAAACTGCAATTCCGGTGAAGGTGGAGGGCTCCTTGTAACAGTCCTCCGCCGTGATGCATCTACGTCTTTTTCTGCTCTCTTCTCTTTTTGTACAATAAAATGGGTTTAATTAACATAATGCAGAACGAAATAAAGATTGGACGATGGGATGCAGGGAAAAAAAGTACAAACAACTTCTACAACTACATTATTAGCGTAATAATAGGAAGAAAGCACCTAGTAGGTGTTGTCGCGAGACTTCTCGGTATGGTCCTCGATATCAAGGGCATCCCAGGGGTAGACAAGCCACTGGTCAGGCATCTGCTTGCAAGCGAAATACCGCCCGTTCATGATCTCGTCGGGCAACTGCTCACGCTTCTCCTTGAGCTTGTTGTGGAGGACAAAGATACCGATCTTGGTCTCGGGGACCTCCTTACCCTGGGCACGGAGCTTCTCGGACTCGATCTCAAGATCCTTGGTCAGCTCCCTCACGGCGTAGGCCAATGTGCGGCGGGTATCATCGACCTCGTCGACAATCAGGATGTTGCGGCCGATGAGGGAGGTCTCGGAGGAGTCAAAGTTGAGCCACTGGGTCTTGATCACCTCGGGTTCCAAGGAGATGGGCTCATCGTCTTTATGGGCGGCCTTCCAGATCTCAAGATCCTCGTAGAGCGACAGGCCGATGGCCTGGATGGAGATGTTCTTGTTGTTCTTCTTTTTCAAGAAAGTTCTCTGTTTCCGCCAAAATAATTGTTCCCGTTGTTTAACATTTTTTTGTTGGAGCGAGGCAAAGTTTGGTTGGTTGGTTGGTTGGTTGGTTGGTTGGTTGGTTGTTGTTGTATGTTGGTGAGGCGGAGGATGGGTTCATAGAAAGAATGATGAAGAGCAAATGGTTAACAAGCTGCTACCAAAGGAGCCACATACCAAAAGAAAAAGACCCGATCAAAATCAGCAGAATGACTTACCAAGATGCGAGCTGAGAATCAAATATCACATCCCAAAAGAAGGTTTTCCCGGGTGAGCCGACGAAACGCACGCGAGTGGTGGAGGCAATAAGGAAGAGAGACGGAGAAGCGGAGGTGGGGAGGTTTTTTTTTCTTCAGGTCAGTCAAACATGTAGGGTAACACAACAGCAATGCAGCAACCAGCGAAAACAGCAAGGCCTTTTTTTGGGTCCCTCTTTTGCTTGCACCCTGTCGTCGTTCAAGCAACCCACCCCAACAATTGAAAACACAAATGATCCTGCTCTGTGTGCCCTCCCTTTCCAGACCAGTCCATAGTGCCACCAAGAATGACGACAAGGGTTGACCAGTTTCACGACCCAAACGGACAAGCAAATCTGGCCCCCTTTTTGTGTACGTTGTATGTTGTGGCGTGTTGTTTCTTACCAGGGATGAATCCACCTCCACCAATGGCGACTAAAATCAGGACGATAGATAGCAAGTAGAAGAGGTGTTAACAACGTGTGCTTTTTGTGTGTGTGCAATGTACAGTGCACTCAATTGATAGACAGTGAATTGTCGCATGTCAAACTGTCAAAAGGAGTGCCTTACCCATGATGTCAGGCTGGAAGTCCTCGTTGAGGTGCATCGAGTCGACGGTCTCCTTGACCATGGTGTGGATCTGGTTGTAGCTGACGTGAATTTTGCTCATTGTGGAGTGTGTTGAAATGGGAGTGTGTATTGTACAAGGGGATGGGTGACAGATGTCCAGAAGAAAAAAGAAAAAGAAGAATAAAAAGATGTTACCCAGCCCGACTCCTGGCTTTTCTATTTTTTTTGTTTATTTTTGTGCACAGTGACTGCCAAGAGTGAACAATGCGGGCAAGCCTTTCGGTTGTATCCTGGTTTGCTTTTTGTTCTTTGCTCACTGAAAGCTTTACAAGGTATCTACCTCCTCTCCTTCAATGATAAATAAAAATAAGACACCTCTCTCTCTCTCTCTCTCTCTCTCTTATTTACAAAGTGCCAGCCGTCTTCATCGCCTCAACCTTATCCAGCTCAGACTGGGGCGTGTGTGTCGCCTCATCAATCGCCCGCATGATCTTGTCCTTCTCCTCCTTCGTTTTCTCCTCCTTAGTCGGCGGCAGCCTCTCGTTCTCAATATCAGACCGCTTGGCATCCTCAAACGAGTGGATCGCCTGCTTCAACCCCTCAGCTCCCAACACCAACGATCCATACGGCAACTTGGTCGTTCCCATCAAATTCTTGAGCTCAGAAATCGACTCGGACTCGTTACGAAGAACTGCAAACACACGCGAAATACGCCCAATCGCCAGAATCTTTTGACGGATCCTGTTCCTGCTCGCCTCGCGATCTGCAGGCGACACCTCCGTCATCACCGTGTCCTGTGCACCCTCAGGTCCAACTCCTGACGATACAACCGACGTCTGGCTGCTTCCAGGAGACACGGGCGTCGAATCAACTTCCATCGCACCCGTCAGGGTCAGGTTCAAGTTCATATCATCCTCCGCCAACTCCTCCTTGCTGCAAGTGTTCAAAATCGCCAACAGCATGTCCGTGACTGATGTAAAGGATAAAGAAAAAAATGGTCCAGTTAGCCTATGACTGCACGACCTGCGGATGCATTGCTGAAGTATGACCAAACGACAAATGGCGCGAGAACGTACTCTTTTCACCGACAAAAGGGAGGGACCATGTAAAGACATCCATGAAGTTAGGCAGCCAGTAAGGGTGGGGTGTAGCATTGAACTGACTATAAATACGGAAGGGAGAAAAGGTAACAAGATGGTTAATGGGCAAACTCCACATCTATAATAAGTGCGCTCTTGTAAGTACGACTTTGGAATGATGACACCTACCGAATGTTCATAACGTTGTTCTCGTACTTTAGCACAGCAGCTACATTAAGAACAAGTGTCAAGATAAGAGCCAGGTTAATGAACACATTCCTTTGTCGACGTGCTCTGTATCGTGCTCGTGCCCGTCTGCCCCCAATCGCCATGTCCTGCCAAAGTTGTTCAGTACCTTTGTTGTTGTAAACGTCCAGGTAGTTGGGTGCAGAGAAAATGGTCATGACTGATGGGAAGCCGGTGGCCTTGGTCTTGCGGTACATGCGGTATCCAGCATCCTGAGCCTCGTGCGCACGAATAATGGAAAGCAAGTTGTTCTTTTCCAAAAAGGCACAGGCAGCATGGTAACTGTTTGCGACGACGCCAACCAAAACAATGCAAGTGGTTAATATACCAGAGTTGAAAACTGTATATCCAGTCAAGAGCACTGGCAAAGGCCACACGCATCACACGTAACAACTGTAGTGAGAGGAGGTTACCTGAAGAAGTACGAGCAGCCACGGACGTGATTATGCACAAAGAACTCGGACGTCTTCTCCTGTCCAAACTCTTCCAGGGGATCAGCCCACAAAAGATCGCACATCAGGCCATGTGTTGGTGGCTCCCTGAAGCGGTTAATCTGGCGAAGGTCGTCAAGAGTATTGAGCTCGGGCGAAAGACCTCCGTGAATGCACAAGAACTGCTTGTTCATGACGGCAGCCAAGGGCAACGTGCAGAATGACTCCATGCAGGCATCATACACCCTCTCAGAGTACTTGTGCTTGCCTAAGCGATAAAATCAAAGAGAGGACGATGAGTTAGCTAGTCCTTTCCGAGCCTTTTACTACACACTGCCAACTGCAGGCCGACAACGTGACTTACACTCGGTCTTGAAGGTGAAGTAATCTGTCAAGTGTCTGCACTCGTGGTTTCCACGCAACAAGAACAGGGTATCAGGGTACCAGATCTTAAGCGACCACAAGTAAAGAACACACTATATTTGGCAAGTACAGATGAAAGTTATATGAGTGTTAAAACAATGACATGAAAACAATACTCCTTGGCTAAAAATATCGGCCACAAAAACAACGGCCTTTTTCTGGAAAAGGATCACTGCTTACCTCAATGGAGAAGTATCCTCTGTCGACATAGTCCCCCAAGAACAGGTATCTGGTGTCTGCAGGGTTACCTCCGACCTCGAACAATTTCATCAGATCGTAGTACTGTCCGTGAATGTCGCCACACACTATTCACCAGCCAAGAGAGTAATAAACAGCGTCATGTTAGCCATTTTGGCCAACCAATTTCCGGACCGCGCTGGTTGCATTGTGGCGTGGGAAACAGTTCATGTCGATGTTTCACGCCACACCGTAAACAAACAAAGAAGTGGCGGTGGGAGTGAGGCGGAAAGCCTGTTTCGCACAAATGGCCAACCCGCTGCTACCTTGTCATTGATTTGATCCTGTCATGTGCTACGTGCTGCTTCTGTTCGTTCGTACCTGTGATCGGGGCATCGACCTCCAACAAGTTGGGTTCCTTCTTCAACAGCTCAGTTCCCTTCTGCAGAATGAAGACGGCCTGCTCTTCTGAGATCCTGCCCTCACGATAAAAGTGGTTCTTCAAAAACGCAATATCGGGGCGGTCAGGGAACTCCTTCGAGTAGAACAAGTCGTCAGTTGGGATTGCGACCGCAGGTGCCTGGACATCTAGTTGTAAATAAAAGTCGGCGTGGCCGTCGTTGTTAGTTGGTATACTTTTATGCAGAAACCAAACTGGTTGACAACATTGACACGCAAAAACCCCTTCATAATACCCAATCCTGCCCACACTTCACACTGCCCATGTGGTATTTTGTTATTCCTCGGCTTTTCTTCTTCCTGCAGCCCCTGCTCAGCGTTCTCTGCAAGTGTGAACAAACAGTTACTCGCCCAAAACTGAGCAATAACGTAACAACGAAATAAAATTGACCCACACGACCACACAGTGTGATGTCGATGAGTGCCGAGGCTGCTTGTTCATCCGAGAAGCAATGTCTTGCCCCACGCCCACTCCTGTGGGCTCAGAGTCCTTTTTGTTTTAAAAAACGGGGTCCATAAATACGGACAATATTTGTTGCTGTTGTAGTTGTTGCTGTTGTAGTTGTTGCTGTTGTCATCGTCGGACTCTCAGTGATGGCAGGTGTCCTTTCTTCGTTGAACTGGCCCTTAGTTTGCCTCATTTTGTCGCGCAATTCTCACTGTGTCCAGTATGTTGGGTGCGATGTGACCACGGTGGTCATCGCGCGGTCATGGCAGTTACTGCAAGTGGAGAGAACTACCAGCTATCCCCAGCCTGGACTAGTGTCGAATAAAGAGTGAGAGGCGGTGCCCAGTCCACCCTGCCTCTTTTCTTCTGTTTCTTCCTTTGCCGACAACGACCCCTCTTGAGAGGTACTGGTACCTCCAGTCCTCATAGACGAACGTTCGCCTTTCTTATTTCTGCTATGAAGAATCCAGAAGGCACCGTAAAAATAACCCATGTTTTGAGAGCCGACCCTTCTTTTTTTCCTGTTTGTGCTGTAGCTGTTTGCATCACCACCTTGTCCATACCTTGCCTCACCTCGCCTTTTTTTTTTCCTTTCTTCCATTTTTCAGCTTTTTGAAGCCAGTGCTCGCTTCCCGGAAATAGAAGGTGCGCTTTTCCAATCGTCCCTGTCTCCTCTCCCTTTCGCACCTACTTTGTCTTTTCTTTTTCTTTACTTATTTACTCCGCCCGTCAAAGTCTCGTCTACCCAGTTCTCCAGCTTTTTTCTTTTATCCCAAGGAAGAAAATAAACGCGTACGCAAAGTAATTGGCTTGTGGAGAAAATTGACCAGCCATTATTATATTTTGAAGAATACCTTTGCTGTAGCGTTCAAGGGTGGAGGCGGTTGTGCCGTCGTCCATGGTATGGATGGTAAAGTCGATCTCTGGGACGGGCTTCTTGTTCTGCAGGTTACGCAGAGTGGCATGAGCCTGGGCCTCTCGTGTTGCGGCAGAGGACATGCTGTTTGTCAGGTGGTGGTTGTCGGAGCAGTGGGAGTTAAAGTGGTTGCTGTTGTTGTTGATCCCGAGAGGTCGTAGCAGTGAAAAGAAGAACTATGATTGTGCAAAGGAAAGGAAAGTCGGGAAACGAGAGTGGAAAGATTGAAAAAGGGATGAGAACGAAGAGAAAAGGAAACGAAAAAAAAAAAAAAGGCAAAAAAAAGAAAGGGGTTGGTTGCAGAAAAATCGCAGTGACGAGTGGGGTTGGGTGGGTGCGTCCTTGACTCTTTGCTTTTGTCTCGTCTCTCTTTCTCTCCCCCTCACTCAATATTAACACAACAGCTTGTCTTCGAAAGAACACCTCATAAGTACATTCCTCTCCTCTCTCTCTCTCTCTCTCTCTCTGCCCTGTACTGTAATATTGGCGCGTTACTCACATGCCCATCGGCAAGTCCCCATGGTTAACTTTATTTCCTCGCATGTCTGGATTTAGTGACCCCATCCGTGGCTGTGCCTGTCGCCAGCGCAGCCCCAAGTGCTGCTCCAACGCTGCTCCCATCAAGCGATCGTCCGAATCTAATCTTTTCCATAAAGCCCCCACTCTCGCCGTCCTTCGCAAACAAAAAGGACATCTCGGGCTCCAATATAAACAGCTCCTGAAGACCACGAACAAGGTCGCTGTCGTATCCAGGATACAATCCGTAGAGACTACCATCCACCCCAATATCAACCCCTCCTTGCCTCTCAGCCTCATTTCTTGCCCAGGTGTACCCCATCGTATGCTCCAGAATACCACCCAATACAGCAGCTGCCAGTCGAGCTGACCGCTCACCAATCAGCTCAACGACTAACTTGACGATCTGCCGATCCGACAGCGTTGTTGCTGACTCCTTCAGTAATTCTCCTCCGCTGGTTGGACCCGCTGTCCGTGCCTCAGCCACGAGTTGAGACTCCAATGGCTCGACTTGGCCCAGTCCCAGGTTGTCTTCAAGCATGCGACGAACGTCTTCTAGATCAGTTGTTGAGTCCTCTTCTATCACAGACATGTATTCTGTCAAGAACTCCCAGGGTGTGTCCAGCTTGTGGCTGCTCCGACCTCGAAAAAGCAGTCGATTGTCGATCAAATCCAGAAGCACGTTTCTTGTAATCTCACCCAAGTACATGCCAGCAATCATCTTCTCAAACAATTGCTTGGAGGGATTCTAGACAAGAGTTGGGCATATGAAAGCTGAGGTTAGAATTGTTTGCCACAGTGATATAGTACAAGAAAGGAGACCATGAATGGAAATGAGGACCACCTACTAGCGACTTCCGATCCACCTTGTTGTCAAACATGGTCATGGGGGGGACTGTTCGCTCATTGTCAAACGCACCAAACTCGATGTTAATAGCCATTTCTTGCGCGGATGCCTCAGCATTGTCTCCAAGCACAGTGGTATCCCTCTTCCCGATTCGATCAACTCTCTCAATGTAAGCAGCGTTGCTTCCTGTTCCGAGCCCTCTATCAAACAAAAGACAAAAGGTTATCATCACGTACTATACAGTATAGGTGACACATCAATACACAATTAACACTTACAGGCCAACGACAGTGCGGGGATGCTGATATGCATGCGAGAGCAATGTTCCAACGGTATCATTCATTAAAGCAGCTAAACAAAAAGAGACAAAAGAGCAGTGTCAGCCTTTCACTTGACACACAGCAGCCTCGAGAAACAAGCGTATTCAAAGACTGACATCACTACCTACAGACGTTGACATTAAGGTTTCTGCTCAAAAGCGCTTGCTGTAGGAACTTTGCAGGGTCCTTTCCGACCATACCGTGACAGTTGTATCCTTTGGTCCACTCGATCAATGTGCCGCTGTTGATGCTAGTCTGAAGGACCGGAAAGGAGAACGTAAACCCGAGCTCCAATTGGCTCCTCTTCGGAATTACGGCGTCATTGGCGAGCACTACGGTGAAGTACGTAAAAACATCGAGGGGTTAGAACACGTTCAATGCACGGTATTGTGTCACTAAAAGTAAAGAATCGGAGACGTACAGAACGAGTCGATGCAGGTGGCCATGAAATCTATCGCATGCGTGAAATAAAGAAATGATATGATAAATACGCAGACACTAACCAAGTCGCGTAATTCACACGCCCAGGCAAGAAAAAGGGAACAAGGTAACAAAAGTGAAGACGTACCAAAGAGCACCTTGGGTTCTCCAACTTTGAGCAGTGGATCGATGGCATACTTTTTCTGTCTTGTACTGACAGCACTTCCTTGTGAGAGCTCGACGAGTACCACTCTTAGGTAGGTTCCTCCGATATCCAACGTCAGGTATGTCCCCGTCTCTACACATAAGGCGCACATAAACAGAAAGTGAAGGTTTTCTTAGCACATTCAAGACCAGTGCGATGACACACAGCACATCATACATAAAACAGGTTTGTACCTGAGCCGTTGAGTCGTCCGAGGATATGTGTTTGAACCATGGCGAGTGTCTCCCCTTGTTTCGCAAGGCCCTTGGCCATCTCGGACTTGAAGCGGTCTTTGATTGCCTTGAGCGTGATGGGAAGGATAGTAAACTCTTGGACAAGGCTGGTAATGGCGACTTGCTGCTTTTGTGTCTCGTAAACTATATCTGACTGGGTAATGGAAGTGCGACATGGTCGAGGGCGATTCTTGGCGACAAGGACTCGCGCGGGCTCAAGGTCTCCGTCCACGAGTTGAACGGGAGGAGTGGCTGTTGCCATTGCCGATAGCATGTGTGTAAGCAAGGCTGGAATGACAGGTGTGGGTGGATGAAGACCAATGTGAGTTTGAGTGTGGGTGTGAGTGTGAGTGTGGGTGTGAGAGTGGGTGTGGGAGTGTGAGTGGGAGGAAAAGAGAAGTGAAGAGAAGTGAAGATGACCTTGTTGTCACTTCTCTGTGCCCTCTCTCTCCCCCTCCCCCTGACTTTTCTCCGACGCTTTGACCAGCAGCAAGGCAGCCTGTGGTCACAATGATCCTTGCGCGCTTATCCATATTTTAGGCGCGCGCGCGCTCTGCTCCTTTTCTCTCATTTTCCCTTCCACCCAACAACAAGAACACAAACAACACTCACCGCCACTCCTCTTCTCGACTATGGTCAAGAACGCAGTCAAGAACACGAACAAGCGCGCGGCCATCAACATGGCCACCAACATCGATATCCTTTTCGGTAACAACCCCGGCAAAATCATCCTCGTCCCCTTCGCCATCGACGAAACCATCATCTTCCTGATCCAACGCATCGCCACCAACCTCAATGAACATGACTCGGACTTCCACTACCAGGACCTCTACCTCAATGGCGTCCTTCTCGAGTACCCCCAATAGTCTCTCAGTGCCTACAGCATCCTCGGTGGATGCCTCACCTACCACAAAGAAAGGCAACATGTCAATCTTTGTCAAGGCCTTCTGCGGCAAGACTTCCAGCTTGTCCTGTGACCCCTCATACACGATCAGCATCCTGAAAACATATCATTATCACCAAGCGAGAAGGTCTCCCCCAGGACAGACAGCGACTATTCTTTGCTGGGCTTAGCCTGGACAATGACAAGACCATGCAAGACTACAGCATAGTCAGCGCGTCCGCTATCCACCTCGCCTCGTCGTAAAAGGGTGGCAAGTCCACGGTGCCAATGAGGTTGAATAAAACCACGTTTTATTTTGCCTCTTTTGCAAGCACCGGCCATACTTGAAAACAAGTTTATCTTCAAGGGAAGGGCAAACGCTGTTACATTATTGTTTATGTGCATGCAGCACTATATTTGGCGTTTTGGGCTCGGTGCAGAATACGCACAATGCACTTAAGGTTCTTGTTTGTTCTGCCGGACAGTCGAGACAGAGCTGGAGTCCACCTCTGTAAGTTGCAAGGCAGGCCAACCAGTGATTCAAAAAATCAAAACAAACAACCTTAGTATGTAAAGAGAAAGAGTGTCAAGGTCGATTTGGCGTGTGTGTATCCCTGTACTTTTCTCTTCCTCGTCTTCACAACAAACAGCCCCTTTGGTCTGGTCATTTGAGATGCAACCATTATGCTCCGTGCACGCATGCGCACAAAAGCGAACAAATGCTTTCAAATTTCGCTCCCACAAGGTCAAGAGGATTTGTTCCCTTTTCCTACTCATGGACAGCTGCAGAAGGGAATAGTCTAAGCACCATGACACCGAAAGACAAGCGTTTTCAAAGGGCATGTGCTTTTGCCTGTTTCTGCAGCAGTGTGTATTGAATATCTAATGTTCGGTGACCCAATCTTACGTCTAACATCAAAGGCAGAATTGAGACGACATGACTGCTTACCTGAAGTGCTACAAGAGTGTGCTTGGGTACGGAATGATGGCGATTCCAACATGCGTGCAATGGAAAAAAATGGGCCGAGGACAGGGAGAGAGGATAACCTGCTGCTTCCTACGACAACCCCAGCCGCTTTATTGTCCTTTGCATGTCATCCTCCAACTTGGCTGTCACCACGAGTGTCCCGTCCTCCGTGAACCGATAACTGTTGCCGTTTTGAGTCCTTGTTGCTCCTTGATTTTCTGTAGTGGCGACCCAACGCTACATTAAACATGCCCAAGGAGGTGATTGTTCTTGTCAATTATCTGACGATTACTTTTGTTATGCGCAACGAACGAGCAACGAATTCCAGAAAAGTTACCTTCAACTCCAGCTCCACCATGTGAAGGTATATCCTAGGATCTTTCTTGTTTTCAGTTCTTGTTCCGTTGTCAGAATACTTGATGTCTCCAAGAATCGGTGCTGTATCGGCAACAAAAGCGCGTGTTAGATCATGGCTAAATGATCACATACCTTCTTGTAAACGAGTAGATTCCATGAATCCTCTTACCACGCAGTAGCTGAGCACAGTGGACTCGAAGTTGGTGTTTCCTACCTGTCCTTGGATAAAGACCTAAAAGGGCCCAGTAAGTCTAAGCAAAGAGGTTAGAAACCGGTGGATGTACAAGGACATTAGCATACATTGAATGCTGACGGTGGGAGAACTAACCCCTGCATGAAAGTTTTGAGCTGCAATTATAACATCGGTTGTAGATGACCAGACCGACTTGGTTGCCAAAGCCGAGTTTGAGGCGTTACTGGGAGCCATCTGTATGGACTGTGCCTTCCCGTTCGTAATCATCAACATATCGCCCTGCACCCGAAATGATCCACCAGAAGAGGCTGCCTTGCTCCTCTGTCGAGGTTCCTTGATCGGCTCTGCTGAACCGACAATTGCAAAATACTATTGTAGATAGCGGCAAGGTTAGAGCAGTGACCAAACTTCTGCAAATTAAATCTGACTCCATATGACCTTCCAGTTCTTTCTCCAGGTGTACCTTTTTTTGTATCCTGGAGGGCGCACTAGGGTCATCCTTGCTGTTGGGATCTGCCGCCTCACGAAAGCGTGAGGCAAGGTCCTGAGCCGCCTTGCGAGTCCTGGCGAGGACCAATATCCCCGATGTAGTTCTGTCGAGTCGATGAACCAATCTCGGCCTATCTGGATAGCTGCCTTGAAGCACTGTGTGACACAGGTAGTAATAAGGTATTGTTAGTAAAATTATTAATTGTTACATATCGGTGGACACAAGAAAACTACATCATTGTGCTTACATGAGAGAGAACTGTCAATCGATATCGTAACGCCCGTCCCGCCTTGCACTGGTATTCCTGAAGGCTTGTTGAGGACAATGATTCGCTCATCCTCATAGACAACCCAGTCTTTGAGCGGCAAGTAGTCCGTTGAAGAGACTGTTGTCGTTGGATGAGATACTTGACCCGTCCCTGAAGATGCTGCGATTTGCTCCGCACCGACAGCAGCCTCTTTATCGACTAGGTCGGACTCGACAATTGTTCGGATGCGCCACATTTGCCCGACTACCGTCCTTGTTGTCGCCGTTGTAACTGTAATGGTCTTTGTGCCGTCGAATAACTCTTTGGTTTCCAACGAGTGTCCAGATGTCAACAACTGTGAGTCATGCTTGGTGGTATCGGAGGAGGTGTGAGAGTCAGTAATGGTGGAGAGGGGCAGGACGAGTTTGACTTGGCGTTTCCTTAGCCATTTCGAAATAGTGTTGTTGTTGAGGGTTGTCCATTGTGGCTCCTGTACAAGCCTGTGCCTGATGAATCTGTCGAGTCGCATGCCATCTTCGTCGGGAGAGACAGACAGGTCTTTGATGATCAGTCGCTTGCGATGGTTGAGTGGCGGTTGTGGTTGAGGATGTAGATCAGGCTTGTCAGCAGCAGGGAAGGATATCGGGGATGAGTGAAGAAGAGAAAGGCCAGTTGTGGTTTTGATGTTCTTGCAGTGGCTGTTGATGTTGTTGCTGTAGGTTGTCTTGAGTAAAGCGCGAAGCATTTGGTTTTTGGTTGTCGTGTTTGTTGACAGAGGGAAAAGGAGGGAAGGGGCTAACACACAAATAAATCTAATCTGAATCATCTTCCCTTGGTGTCCATTCGAGCAACGACCGTTTTTTATCTTTGGTGGACTGGTGAAGAATCGGCACTTCTAGCCTGTAGAGCATGTTTTGGTAATCGTACTAACTTACGGATTTCGACAATTCTCTGCCTCTTGTTCTACCGCAACGGAGTCTCAGAGGGCCAGCTTTTGCGCAAGTCCACCGAGATCAAGTGGCAGCAATTCGGTCGGCTTGCAAGAACCTACATGCTATCTATCTATGCTCCCAAAACCACGTTTGTCGTGGCCCAGAAGCGCCATCACGTTCTCTTTTTCTCAATACAGAAGAACCAGGCTGATCAACTGCCAACCCGGAACTGTGGCCGACGCTGGCATTGTTCATCCATTTTGAATTTGACTTTTACTTGCAGTCGAATACGGAGTCTGATTGGAACTTCGGGACCTGCCCACTTCAACGTCCTCTGCGATGAGAACCGATTCACGTCGGAACAGTCGGAAGGAACTGACCTACAGATTGTGCTACCTGTATGCTCCATCCACTTGAACTGTCTCTATGGTCCCTGCAGCGTACTATGCCCACCTGGTCGCGCGGTGAGCATGCTGCCACACCAGCGGCGTTAATTGGAGCGAGACCGCGCCATCGGAAGGACTGAGTAGGCCGATTACCTACGCGTCCGTCAAGCAGCAGCCTCAGGAGGATATGCCATCTACGAAACTTGCTATGTTTTGTTTGCTTGTCTGTAACTCCACTCGTGCGACCTCCTGTCCACATCACCCACAACACCGATTGACTTGTTTCGAACTACTTTAACTTCAGCATAAGTTGGCGACGGGTGCCCGCGAACGTTAGCTGACTGTGACCATCACACCCTTGTATTGAGAATGACTGAGGAACGTTGGTTTTAATTTTTGCATTGTGAGGGAGCGATAGAAAGAAATGATGCTTGTGGGGACAGAAAGACTGAAAGAATGACCCTCCACCGGGCTTTTCACCGTTGGTGAGTTCAAGAAAAAAAAAAAAAAAAAAAAAAAAGACGTTCTTCATGTCGTAAACGGGGTCCGGTCTCATTGACTAGTGCGATAGTCCCTCGTGTTTGTTCAACTCTATTAGGCGGCGACTCGTCGACCGCCCTCATCAGCTCTCTGCTTGGCCTCCCGGACCTGTCGCTGAAGCTCGCGCGTGTCACCCTGTCCCTAGATCATGCCTAGGACGGCACAGGCCATGAGGTACCCGACATAGGCAACCATGCTGACCAACCCAACGCCACAGGCAACCAGCAGCGAGACTCCCAAGGCTGGAAGCAGGAAAACTGAGCCGAGCATTGCGAATCCACTCTAAGAGAGATAAGGTGATGATTGGCATATGTGAATGGTGATGGGTTAGGGTAAAGAGTTTTCGGATCAGCTTCGTCTATCAGGCCTTGGCATTCGAGTGCGTATCGTCGTTATCATTGTGCCAAAGAAAACATATCTCACCTCAACAGCGATAAGCCCAATCCCTCCAACGATGAAGCACCCAAGGGTGACAACCCCCATGAACCCCATGAAGCACCCCAGAGGAATAGCCGACATGGCTCCAAACCCAATGACCCCAATCTTGACACCGGTGGGGGCGTGGACATATCGATTCTTGAGGTACCCCGCGGGAGGTAAAACATAGCGCTGGACTATGCCCATCTGCTTGACAGACTCCAGAGCCGATTGAGCTTTGCTGGCGACGATCTGGGGGGCTTCTTGGGCAGCGTCCCGGGCTTGGTCGGCTTTTCGTTCGATATTCGTTGTGGCCATGGTGATGGTGTTGGTGGTAACTGAGGGTGGTTTTACTGTGGCAGTAGAGACTAGAGAGGAAGGACGTGTGGGGCGAGGCTGGAGCAACGGGATTGCGTTGATGAGACAGACTCGTGTGGTGGTACTAGAGCGAGAAATGGTGTGGATAGGAATAGTCAAAGTGGAGACGATCGTTGACCTTGTTGCGGTTGAAGAATAGACGAAGGACAGTGGAAAGAGCAGGAAGTGGGAAGGGGAGAAGAGAAGATATGAGAGCTCAGTTGTGGCTGACAAGAATTACGAGCAATACAGTAGTGTCGCAATGATGGTAATCGGGTGGTAGGAAATGGCAACCATCAATATCCAAGCATCACCTGCATTGAGGGAGAGTGATGAGAGATCGGAGCATTTTCAAAAAGCAAACATAACAGAGGCAAATGGACGCGTCGTGTTGTGAGACATAACGCGTTGATTTGTTAGGCACACACTTTTTAGAGCACGATAAAAACATGAGGATGAAAAGATGGGTGTTCTTATTGTGAAGGGGGTGTCTGTTTATTTTTTGGTATTCAAGGTTGTCTTGCAAAATGTCGGCTCACAAAGCCAGGCCATCCATCTACAGGGACCCTGGAGTGAATGGCGCAGTCCTCATAAAGTCTTTGGACGCTTGTTGAGGTGTATTCTGATGTCCCCTTGCCCATCATTTCTCTGTTCATCTTGACAGAGAGTGCCATTGAGAAGAAGTAGAGCTATTGCAAAAGGTGGTAGTGACAAGTGTTCAAAGGAAACAGCAAAATGAAAGAAGAACGAGTCAGATACTACTTTCACTTTCAATGACCGCCTGCCTGCCCCTTGGTTCACAAACAATAATGTCTCTCCTTACCTGCTTCAGTTTTTCTATATCAGAAAGATGCTTCAACAGCACTTCGTCTGCTTCCGGTTTGGACTAAGAATATGAATAGAATCAATCGTTAATACCTTTACCTTTCCATTGATTGACTTGTTCGCGTTTTGGAAGGACGAGAGTTATTATTACACAACAACCACGACAGACACATACCTCTAAATGAGACTCATCATCAACCTTTTTCCCGTCAGTATCTCCTTCCTGCAATGGATAGTCTTCTTCAGCGTCGACGTAGATCGAGACGACGGTGTTGCGCCAAGCTGGGTTACTATGATGACTCGGATGGATGGTCGTCCTGGGTTTCTCAAACAGTGTAGCCTTCTTGATCCCGCTCACCAGTCGATCCACCTGCCCTTGAGTGTCCTGAAGAATACTATACAACTCCCGCATTTTTTTCTTGTAATCCTCTGTTTGATCGCGGATTATCTGGGATTTGGAGGATACCACATAAAAATACGAGTGATTAGCAAAACGCAGCCGCATTTTTCTACTGCTGGCCAACATGGTGCTCGGAAATGACAGTAAGTGAGGTATAGATTGCTTCTATGACACGACAGGCATGCTGCCACTCACCTGCTCAAGATCCTTGATCGTCGTCTTTGCATTATCCATCTGAACTTGAAGCTCGCGCGTCGAGAGTTGCATCTGACCCATATCTCCACTCATCATACGATGTCTCGTTGGTCGCCCTAGTTGCGACTGTTGATACTGCTGCTGTTGGTGAGACTGGCCGAGTCCGCCGCTTGCTTGGTGCCAATCCTGCCTAAATCCACCATATGACCGCCTAGACTCTGTTGGAGACAAACACCCACTTCCTCGCTCCATCATCATCGACGAATCGTCATCTGTACCGTACTCGCTTAAAAGATTTCTCATTCGGATGTCTAGAATGGTTGGATTGGTACACCAGAACATATCATTAGTCAATGTTTAGAGGAAAGCCAATCAACAAAAGATTCTACGCAAAAGACTTTGAGAACCTCCTTACCTCCATGATCATAAAATAAATTCGAAGATTTCACGACACGTTTGGGTCCAGCTTTGAGTCCGAATGACCAAACAGGTCCAGGAGCTCGATAGCTGACGACCAAGGAGGGGCCGGTCGATCGAAACCCCTCCAGCATCTTTCCATTCCTGTGAAAGAATTCGACCGTCATCAGATGTCTACCCGTCTGCAGTAGAATCCTGCCTTCTGCCTCGGTCGAATAATGCATCCCATCGTTCTCGACAACGAGAGTGTTCGAAATGTAGAGCACAGACCCATCATTCGACGATAGCCAGAAAGAATAAACACCGTCTTGTGTAATGTCCATATGGGTTGTAAACCGGACCGCAAAGTTGCCAGACTCCTTGTAGGGCCGCCGGGGTTGATATTCCGTAGGCCATTGGCCACCCGTCCCAAACTCATTACTCTTCTTTCCTGCAGGGCCGGTGTAGACCTGTGGTCGGAAGAGATCCCGTTCGGTGGTGTCATCAATCATAAAGTTGCCAACGATTCCTACATGGTCCGGGCGCATCTCGTCAAAGTTGGGGAGCCAGTCCCACTCGCCTTCGTAATACTCAAACACAACACCCGGTCGATAGTCCCGTTGGAGCTGAGGCTGGTTGGGCGAGATCAAGTTTGCCAGGGTTGATGAAGGGCTGATTGAAGGACCCGCAATGCCTACCTCTGTCCCAATGGAGCTGCGACTGTTGGAGGAGGAGTACGGCTCCATTGTTGAATGGTGCTGTAAAGACTGAACGGTATATTTTGCTCGATGATCTGCTTCCCGAAAGTGTTGATACTGTAAGTCACCCTCTTCGCTGCTACTGTTGATGTCTTGCTGCGACGACAGAGTGTTTGTTTGTTGTAAGCCCTCTGCCTGAGAAGCCCTCGCGCCGGATGCACTTGAGAACGACAAAAATTCCTGGCCTGACGTTGCTGAAGGTGGTGGTAGCTCATAGGTGGAAGAGGATAGAGCCAATGGCCTGGAGACTGAAGAAATCGATCCATGCCCCGAGTATTGGCTACCAGGTGCAGAGAATCGCCTTGACCGAGATATTGTCATATTTCCTCTGTTACTTGAGCTGCAAGTGGGTGCGTTCGTCACTCCTGTCATTGAAAGCGAAGGAGAGTTGATGGTGGACCGTGTTCCAGCTCTAGAGGATTCTATTGAGGACAGGGAGGAGACGTGGTCACCAGATCCTTTGTTGATAATGTGGGATGCGTTCTGACTGCCTTCAGAAGAATGACTGGCACGGTTATGTGATGATGTGGCGTTGCCGTCCTGCAGGTGCTGTTGTTCAATCATCCACGTCGCATCTCGGAGTAGATTGGAATATTGCGGAGCATCGGAAGGAACGACAGAGGATCCTCGAGCCGAATGACCACCAGAGATATCTATTGCGGCATCACTCTGAACACTCATGGACAAACTCTTTCGGTAGTCGGGCGACGCAAACATCATCTCCTCAGCTCCTTGTTGCTGCTGACGCGATGCTGAAGATGCAGACGAGTATCTCCTGGACGATATCGACAGCGCTGAGGGTGATGACGGGGAAGAAGCAGACGAGTCGATGGAATGGTGTTGGGCATTTATCGAAGCACCCATCCCTTTGACGGTGGCAACCCCGCTGCTGAGTTGACTTGCTTTCTTGACATGTCGTTTGTAGCTGGCCATTGAAGACTGAGAGGAATGACTGTGGTGATATCCTTGCGAACTATGTCGAGCCGTATCCTCTGCTGCCGCTGTATTACTCGACAGGTTGGAAGATAAGGAAGGCAATGTCGGGTTTTTGTCGAAGGGATCTATCAAATGGTCGTACTGCCGGGGGGTCAGGATGTTTAAATCCAAGGAGTCGAGGTCCTCGTCGTCAAAGACGGCATGATCGTCGTCGTTGTGGTCTGCCTCGATAATGGGTGATTCATCCAGGTGCACGAGTTCCTCCTGTGTTGCTGTTCTTGAATGTCGCCCTGTAACGGTACTGAAGGAGTGTGTGGACATGAATGTTTGATTTGTTGTGTTCGAGCTGGTCGAGCACAAGGAGCTTATGGAAGCTGCAGAAGGTTTATGGTATAGACTGCGTCGGTGCAGTTGTTGCTGTTGCTGTTGCTGTTGCGACGGTGGTGGCGATATACTGTCGTTTGTCGCAAGACTTGGCCGAAAGGAGTCTGGTCGCTGAAGGTCTATCCATTTCATTGTTGAAAGTGTCTGTAAAGCATTAGCATAGCCATTGCTACAAAATTAAGCGGTCGGAAGACAATGGGCGTGCGCAAGAGAGAGAGAGAGAGAGAGAGAGAGAGAGCACGCGCACTCTTTGGTAGGAGGAAATGAGGATATGCGAATTGTGCTACTCCTTGCCTGTTGCCATGTTTGCTTGCTGTGGGGACTGACAAAAAAAACGGAAATAAAAAAAGGAGCAGGGAACGGTCGTAAAGGGAGGGATTGTGGGGATTAGGGTAAAGATGCAACCATGAAACGAAATGCGAGGAAGGAAAGAAGGACGGAATGCAAGGTGCGAAAGAAAGGAAGTAAACGGTGAGAAAGGACTGGGAAGGGAGTTGAGGAGAAAAAAAAAAAAAAGGACAGAAAGGACAGACAAAGAAAAAGGGGTAGGCGGATGGTCAGTGTCAGTCATGCAGTCAGTCAGACAGACAACTTAGGGGCACACGAGCCACGTGCCGCGTGTGCGTGCATGCAGCCACCTGTTATCTTTCCTTTCCGTTTGTACTTCCAGGATGCCCCGAAAAGGTCGTGGCCCACACCGACATGACATTCATCTGATCTTTATCTTTGATTTCGAGTTCATTTATTTCATTTCTAGTCGTGGCGGTCATAATCGTAGTTCATACGGGGCAGGGTGAGTGAATGGATGGTGTTATGTACAAAAAGGGAGAGGTTAAATGGGGCGTAGGTTGCGGTGGGGTGGCTGCAATTAAAAAAGGGCTGTTCGTTTAGGTTGGAAATATCCAGGATCGTAGATTTGCTGTCATAGCGTGTAGTCGTAAGAGTCGTAGGCGGCAAAGACGGGTGGCGTTGCGTTCGCATCATGGCGGTCCTCACAGTATGACAAAAGGTGTCCATTAGCCGAGTTGGTGAAGCTGAAGACCGCGAGCATGGTCGGCCCCCAGGATGTGCTTCTCCATTTCAATCAACTCGGCAACAAATCCAAGGTTTGGGCACATGCATGGGCGGTTTGTAAGGACATGTTGATAAGCCTTGTTCAGGGGCCACTGGAGATGCGAGATCAGGTAAGCGATCGTTGCAGTGACCGATCGAGACTTGCCAGCCTTGCAGTGAACATAAATGGCAGAGTCCTTGGAGGCAGCTATGTAAGGGAGGAAAAAGGACAGAAAGACGGTCGTATACGTTAGAAAGATGTCAACATTGTGTAAGTGTTTATTGAATTTGGAGGAACCTGACAATATAACTTACCAATAATGTCAACGGCCTGCAATAACCCGGCCGAGACGTCAGCCTCGATACTGTCGTAAACGCCAATTTTGTGGTACTCCATGTCAGGACGGTGAGCAACCAGTACGTCCTCACATTCGGTAGCCATGTTCAAAATGCGTTTGACACCCAGTCGGTCCAGTTCCTCCACCTGACCGTTGGTGACTATTTCGGGGCCCAAGTACAGAAAACCTGGAAGAATGCATGAGATCTCCTGTTCGTTGTCCTGGTTCTCCTCGACGCAATCACTGGGTTCCTGCTGGGACTGATAGGAGTAGTCTGAGGCGTATTGAAAAGAGTCACCGTCATGATGCTGGTACTTTTGGCGCTGGTGTTGATGGTAATAGATGTCTTCTCTGTCGTGAAACATTTGGTTGGCCATGGATCGAGATCCGCACTGGCCATACTCCTCGTTCTCCTCCTCTAAGATGCTTGCCGATGCGCAAGATACGGACGCGTGCAGTGAACTGATGGTCATCAAGGACGAGACGGAGCGTTTACTGTTGAGACTCAAGCCAAGACTGTTGTTGACGGCCGATGGAAGGAAATGGCTTGAACCATTCATAGAGCTCGAATCGGCAGACCAGCTCGATGTATGATCCGTTGAGGCAGAGTGAGCAATCTCCATCGAGCAGTTACTGACCATTGACATTGCTGGGGAAAGCGCTGGTGCTGGGATGTTAGACGGGACGGTCAACCATGCGGCTGCCTTGGATGGATGTTGTTGGTGAGGATGGGCAGACGAGGGTGCATGCGGGATTTGGATGGACAATGAGGCGGCTGGCTGGCTGGGAATCGCTAGTGGTTTCAAGTTGATGGTCTGGGAGCGAGAAAGTCCGGCGGGTCGCTGAAGTGCCTTGGTATTGAGCGAAAACAGGCTCTCCCTCCTGACAGGTGTTTTCTGTTTGGGTACGAACGCCACCGTTGTATCGATAGCCAGGGAGGGCCTCCTTGAAACCGGTGCAGAGACTGAACCGACTGGGACTGCCAGGGTCATTTCGATATCTTGGTCGGCCTGAGTGCTGGTGCAAGGCTTCAGATAAGGTGATAATTCCTGTTGGGATCCACCTGCGCGGACCAAAAACTTTTCACTGGCATCCCAGGCCTGAAAAGCGTCGAAACCACCCTCGAGAAACCACATGCGTGTGTTGACGCCGTCAAACTCACTTTGACTCCCACCGCGCTCCAGGACGTTAAGAAGCGTCCAGGCCGCGGTTGCTGAGCGGCCATGCTCCTCGTCGCCAGCCTTCATATCCTGGTCGAGAACAATCACATCATAGGGCTCTTCCGACTCGGCCTCCGATGTTCTCCAGCCTTCCAAGATCTGATGGTACGCGTCCTTGTCCGAAGGGATCGTGATAAAAGACTCCAGTGCAAACGATGTAACAGCGACGCCACGTCGGTACCGTCTCATCAAGAGAGTGGGTAGATTGATGTTGATGGAGTGGGCGATGGAGATGGGGTAAAAGTCGGGGTGGGGTCTCAGGTCCAAAATGAGGGGTCGCCGTGAGCCAGCACGGAGAGATCCTTGTTGGGATTGGTCCAGGAGATGGGCTAGCTTGGCTGGCGTGAGCCTCGAAGCTGGAAAAGGGATAGAGTCGGATGGCTCGGGGGAGGATATCCTGCTGGCATTGGGCGTGCACAAGGATGAAGCAAATGATGGTGAGGAAGGAGACGGGTATGATGTTGTCTGGAGAGTCAAGGTGGGCTTAGAGTGTGGTAGGAATGTGTCTGGATCGGACGGAGAAGTCGAGAGCGGGAAGGAAGGGTTTGATGGAGAGGTGGGGGTGGCCATTATTGTATGTAAAATAGGTGGTGAGAGATGTCGTGAGGAGGCCATGTCCTGATTGGATGGTAGGTGTGTAGTTGCGATGTGAAGGGTGTTGGTGGTTTTGAAGTTGACAGGTGTGGCGGATGTGGTGGTGGAGGCGGAGGTGGAGACAAGAGTCGATAATGAACCTGCATTCGATCCTTGCTGCTGCATGCGAGAAGACGCCTCCTCTGTGGCTGGTGATAATGGTGGTGTTCCTTGATATCCTGACGTTGATGCGGTTGTCTCTGGGATCGTGGCCTGGGTAGAAACAGCGGAGGATGAGGGCCAGAGGGAGAGTGAGGGCGAAGCTGGTGTGAGCTGGGATAGTGATGTGGAGAGAAAAAATGCTGTTGTTGGTGGTGAGGTTGCCTTTGGCATTGTCGTCAGAAAGGGAGGGGGTGAGGGTGTCCTGGAGGGCGATCGTGAAGGCGATATCCTTGTTGTCGACATGGACATTGTGTTCCGGCCGTAGTAATACTTTTGGAGCGAGAATCGTTTGGAGGGTGATTTGCCTCGGCTGTTGTTGATAGTGGAAGCATTGGTGGTACTGTTTGTAGAAGAAGGGCCATAATGGTGATGGTATTGTGAGCTGTTGTGGAGATATGCAGAGGGAGGGGTGAGCATGAAGGTGGTGGAGTTGTAGGGTGAAATGACATCGAGGGCGGAGGGGGCGGTAGTCTTTTTGGCGAGAACGTCCTTGACGTGGCTTGAACGGGGCCAAGTTCGTGTTGGTGAGGATGAGCCCAGGCGGATGTGCTTTGGTTGTCTGATCTTTTCGTCGACTAAGGAGAGAGGGAAAGAGCGCATTGTGAATATAAAATATGAGGTGGTTGAGGTGGTTGAGGTGGTTGAAGCGGAGGAAGGGGAGGAAGGGGAGAAGGGGGATGCAAAGGTGGAGATAAAAAAGGAATAAGAATGGCGAAGAAGGAGGAGCAAAGAGCAAGACGGAGGAGGAGCAAAGAGCAAGACGAAGAACGACGGAGAAGAATAAAAAGAAAAGTAAGGAAGGAAGGGAAGAAAGAAAGAAAGAACGAAAGGAAGAAAGGATGGGATCGGCAAGGAGGAGGGGGTTCCTGTTATTACTGTCTTTGTGCTTTGCTTCGTGTCAGTCCAACCAAACTAAGCGCAATCTGAATGAGAAATGCCAGAAATAGACATTGCTTGGCTGGTTGGCGGGTGGTGGGCGGGGAGAGAAAAAAAAACAAATATGTATACATAACAAAAAGCAAAAATGTCAACTGGCTATTGTTAGCCACCAAGCCAACAAAACACCCTTGTTCTTCTTTGCTACAAATACTAGACGACTCTGTGTCATCCCTCATCAAAATAATAAATGAATGTGGCTGGCTTGGCCAGTGGTCTGATGAATTTAAATTTAGATGCAAGCGCCTATCACACGCCCGTAAATAAACCTGAAAGGAGTGGAAGGAAACTGGGAAAACGAGGGAAGGGAAGGCAAGGACACAGGCCACATATGGATGCATCCACACATAATTCTCTTCAAGAACCTGTTTATTCCATAGAGTGACGGCACTTACTTGGTAGGTGACGCCGGTCATGATATCGACAGGATGAAGGCTGTGCAATGTTGTTGGTAATAGTCTTTTCAACTGGAACGCGGCCGTTGCCGTTGCTGTTGCTGTTGCTAAAATGGTAACAGGTGCAGTCGGCTGCAGAGGCACTGCAAGGCGACTCTGGTGAAGATGGGGACGAAGGTCGGTCGTCGACGGGACTATGCTGTGAAAAGGACCAGCAGCAGAAGGCGCTTTGAAGAGACGGAGTCATGTCGGATGTTGATATGTCAGATTATAGAAAACAAAACGTCCCCCCTGTGCAAAGAAGTAGTTGGTTGAGAGGGAGGAGGAGGAGGAGGTTGATCGACAAGTGAAGAGAGAAAGAGAGAGTAGGCGGATGGATGAGGTGGATGAATGAGAGAGTGGGTGAATGAGTGAGTGGATGAGTGAGTGATTTGTGCCGCGTGAGGAAGGAGAAGGTGAAGGAGAGTGAGGGTGCGAAGAGGGTGCAGGTGTGAGAGTGTGGAAAGAAAGAAAAGGAGAAGAGGAGAGAGAATGCCCTTTCAGACAAGAAAATCAAGCCCATGTCACCTCGTCTGCCTTCAAATAAAATTGCACTGGGCGTTGCTCATCTCCATTTTGTCAAATGAGCCCCATCCTTCCCTGGTGCTCTCATCCCCTTCATGCTCTTAATGCAGGACAGCGCCGCATAAAAATAGCATCGCCACCAACCGTCATTTTTCCTGTTCTTTTTGCCGAACAACGATTTACTATACAGTTGTACAGCCGCAACATTAACATCAGTTAGTCGACATTGAACGACAACAACAGCAACAACCTTACTACGAGGGTGGGAATATTGCCAATGGCACTGTTCAACAAGATCCGTCGAACAGTCGCTTGTTCTTTTGTGCCGTCGTTTCTCCGAAGCTATGAGGTGTCGTAACCCGGTCTGTTGCATTGTGGTCACAAAAAACCGTTTTTTTCTTTAGTTTATTTTTGCTAGTCCACCTTCTAAAGTGCGCCATCCACCAGTAAGTCCGGTCCGGAACCTAGCTATGCACAACAATTGCCGCTGCTCTTCACAGCTGACAAAATAAATCTAGATACAATTAAAGAGGATTCTTCCTATCCTTTCCATCATTGACGACCTCCTCCCTCCCAACAAACTCTCCATCAGCCGCTCGTCGGCAGCGCGTAGATCCTTAGTCGCGCCACACGTGCAGAAACCAAGATGGGTGATGTAATCCTATCCTTGACCCCAATCACCTCAGGGGCTGTGTATTTGGATGTCTTGTCTTTGACAGAGATGCCCTGGGTCTGCTCCAATGCGATCTTGCGGAGCGCCGAGATTTCTAGATCAGCTCCAAGGCTTGTGTCTCCGGGTGACCAGCCAACAAACTTGTCCAAGACCTTCGTACACAATTATATATCAGCATGGAGAAGTTATTTGGAAGTAAAAGGGACTCTTTGGTGCACCATCCACCAGTCGCAGTCCGGTCCGGAACCTGGCTCTGCACAACAATTGTCGCTGCTCTTCACAGCTTAAACGGAAGAAAATAAAACTAGATACGAATGAAGGGGATTCTTCCCATCATCTCCATCATTGACAACCTCCTCCTTCCTAACAAACTCTCCAACAACCGCTCGTCAGCAGCGCGTGGGTCCTTGGTCGCTCCAGGGCACCTTCCTTCATCATGTGTGGCTAGCGAAGCGCCACACGGACAGAAACCATCATGCGTGATGTAACCGTATCCTTGACTCCAGTCACCTCGGGGGCCTGTGTACTTGGATGTCTTGTCCTTATTTTTTTTTTTTTCGTACACAATTTTATTTCTCTAACAAACAGCATAGAGAAGTTATTTGGAAGTAAAAGGGGACTACAGACCAAACTCTTCAGTGCACCATCCGCCAGTCGCAGTCCGGTCCAGAACCTGGCTCTGCGCAACAATTGTCGCTGCTCTTCACAGCTTAAACGGAAGAAAATAAAACTAGATACGAATGAAGGGGATTCTTCCCATCCTCTCCATCATTGACAACCTCCTCCTTCCTAACAAACTCTCCGACAACCGCTCGTCAGCAGCGCGTGGGTCCTTGGTCGCCCCAGGGCACCTTCCTTCACAATGTGTGGCTAGCGAAGCGCCACACGGACAGAAACCATCGTGCGTGATGTAACCGTATCCTTGACTCCAATCACCTCGGGGGCCTGTATATTTGGATGTCTTATCCTTGGCAGAGATGCCCTGGCTTTGTTCCCATGCGATTGTCGCGGAGCACCGAGGTTTCCAGATCAGCTCCGAGGCCTGCGCCTCCAGGTAGCCAACAAACTTGTGAAGGATGTCTTGTCCTTAGAGAAGGACAGCGACCGTTTTGGCGTGGGAAGCGATCATATGGTTAAACATCGACTCACGTGATACTCTATTTACGATAATTGATGAGCATCTAGATGATATTTTCATATTTTTTTAGTGAATTTGAGCTTCTGTGGCGCAATTGGCTAGCGCGTCTGACTGTTAATCAGGAGGTTGGTGGTTCAAGCCCACCCAGGAGCGATCTTTTTTTTAATGATTTTTTTTGTCAAACCACGACAAGGTCGAACTCTCAGCCCGCCCCACATATACGCATCCTCTGACAGATACGCGCAAATAATGGATTAATCTATTTGACAACCCGGGCTGTTCGTTTTATTCAACAACCCAACGTGTTTTGCATGCTAAGTCCATGGACAACCTATTTTTCTTTAAAGTCAATACATCGATGTTTTTTGTTGCAGCGTCTTCGTTTTTTATCATCCACATCATTAATAAAGCCCTTTCAACCATCGAATGCCATCACCAGCCCAAATTATGTCTTCATCACCACCACACACGTAAAAAAACGGTATTTCCGTATAAAAAGCATCTTAACAACCGCTTTGAACAACGTGGGAGTCGTGCTCCATAAAGAAGTGGCGACAACAAGCGCTACTGCAAGTGTTTGGTGTCATCTTCCATGGTATCATCAAAAAAAGATGAAAAAGTGCTTATATGGACTTAGCACGCAAACGTGTTCGGTTGTTGAATAAAACGAACAACCCGGGTTGTCAAATAGATTAATCCGCAAATAATAACAAAGGCTTTCAAACCAACAACAGACATGTCAGGAACGCATTACAACGAAGGAAGGAATCCACCCAAGTCGCCACCATGCCTACCACAGAGCCAGAGACCTATGCGCCGAAGCCTCTCTCGTCTTTTTCTGGTTCTGCATCAGCACTCGCTTCCATAGTGACCCTACTACTCTTACAGGGAACGATCAGTGTCGCTGGGCCATTGACAGCTGCCAACACCACAACAACCAACACTGCGAACGGGATCACATCAACACAACAAAAGCGCCCTCATTTACTGAAAAATACCTAGAAAGGAGCGATGAGAAAGAAGCAGGATCGTTATTCATTCTTGATTCTTGATCTCTATATATAGCTATATGCTATGATTAGGGTCTAATTACTGTAAGTTACTCCTCAGTACATATGGCTAAGCAACACTTACGACGACGCCTTGTGCAACTTGTATGCTAACCAGCTTAATTGACATTGTTCTGGGAGCCCTGGCCGGTATCTATCGGTCCGGCATTAACAACAATGGTGGCAGAGTCAGCGCATCTGCAGGGTCGATCACCATAACCCCATCACCCCTGTGGGACCTACAATGCCCTCGGCGGTGCTTGGAACAGGGGCAAGTTTGGTAACACCGAGACAGAGGAGCCTTCTTCAAATGAGGAGGGACAGGGGCAGGGCTCAGAAACAGAGGAACAAACTTAAAATTGACTATTTACGTGTCAAACCAGATAGGCTTAGCCAGGGATAAGAGCCAACATTGTCAAATGAACAAATAGACTGCACTGCCTCCGTGTGTACAGTCGACTGTCAATTGACAATATGCTTGCAGTTACCATATACGGTCAGTAGATTCTGAAGTCAATTGACACCTGAGCTGGTATAAGTATCGACCATAGTTTGAAAAAATTAAATCAACAAAATCAACAAAATCATCAAACCCAATCCACACAGTCCACACTCATACTAAAATGTTCCCCGCAGACGACGCCAGCAAGATGTACACTACCTTGTACGATAACGAGGACCCTCAGCAACAAGAGGACTTTCTCCTTCAACAGCAGCGCCAATACCAGGAGTCACACCAATTCATCCAGGCACTCCTCGGACAGCCTGCCTCCCCCTGGGATGAAGTCTCTCCTCCCTCTCCTGCCTCATCCTGCTTTTCCTCCTCCTCCTCAAACTCCTCACATTCCAGTCCAGTTACCGGATTCAAGACAATGGACTCTGAGGAAGCCGACGAACTCGCCGATCTCTTCAACATCACTATCGACGATTTGCTTCTCGGAACACCCCTTTCCTTCTCCGCCGACATGTCTCTTTTTGCTTCTCAACAACAATTCAATCAGCAACAGAGCATGCTGACCGAGGCCGCACATATCGCCTACATGCAAACTACCGAAGCACAACAGCGGTACTTTCAAGCACAACAACATCAACAGCAGCAGCAACAGCACTATCACGACCACAACCCAAGCACGCCATGCTCGCCCTGCACTTCGCATCATCCCATGTCGCCATCAATGTCGCCTACTCCATCCACATCCTTCAGCGCGTCAAACCCACCTTTCGCCAACGCTGTCCATATCATGCCTCACTCCTCAGCAACACCAGCATACGCCCCTGTCGATGGAATTACAATGGTCAAGAACGAGGATGGTTCGATTATGGTCTTAAACCCTTCAGCAGACACGGTCACCTTCCGCTGCGAGCTCTGCCCCACCGAGTCCTTTGGTCGCATTCATGATCTCAAAAGACACAATATCTCCAAGCACCAGCAAACGACCTGGCCTTGCGAATTCTGCCAACGCCCCTTTGTTCGTCGCGACGCCCTCCTCCGCCATTACACCGTCAAGGCCACTCGCAGCGATGGCATCCACCCCCCTACCTCCGATACTGAGACTCTCTTGGCCGTCCGCGCTAGAGCCAAGTTGATCGGCTAAAAAGATATAGCAAAAGTTTTAAAGTAGAAATAGTCAGTCTCTTCGCGTCTCTTTTTTTCTTCTTCGCCTGTACATAGTCTCAACCCATACCCCTTCCTCTTCCCCACCATTATTGCATTCTTGCCATTAGATTCATTCAAAAAATATATATTCGTTCATTTCTTGTATCATTACCAACAGCGGGAAGTCAGTGAATGTGTTTGAACAGAAGTAAGGTACAAGGTGCAAAACGATAAAGGTGTAGGATCAAACGCGAACACGCGTATTTTGGTTGTTGTTTTCATCCAGCGCGAAAACGGCTCGTCATGATTGGTCAAGGTGCTAAGAGGAGAGGGGTGCATGAAACGCGAATTCAGGGGTTAAGTGGACAGGGGGTGAAGAAGGGAGGAGGTGAGCGCTAAAGAAATGGCAACGAACCCCAAAGCACTATCCAGCGAAGAAGTAGACCTGGGGAGAAGGGGAGCAATGGAACAACTGTAAGGCGCGGGCAGTTGAAAAGAGGCACAAGCAGGTAGAGGTGCTCAGTGCAGATAATGTATTGTTCTCGTTTAGTGCTGTCTTCCTTGAATGGGCATGCCCCATTTTCTTCAACACACAGGGCTCAATTTTCCCTTCAGCAATTATTGTTACAGGAAGGATCATAGATGAACCACATTTAGACCCATAAATATGTGTGTGTGTGTGTGTGTGTGTGTGAGAGAGAGAGAGAGAGAGAAGGTGTATGGATGAGATGGATGAATGAGGGAGTATTTGACTGTTTGTATGAGTAGTACGTTGGGGCAGATCTCCTTGCTTTCATCTTCCTACAGCATCTAATTGCTCCCGGTGCAACACACGGACGGAGCTTTTTTGTCGACTTTCTCGCTCCAAAAAAGGTGAGGACAATTGGGCAAAGAAGTGATAAAGAAAAGACAAGAAACATGATAGTATGCACCTCGATGAATAACTCAAGCAATAGCGACAAGAGCCATGATCGATGCGTAATACATCCAGGAAAGTAGGAAGAAATTAGACAGCCAACCCAAAATACAATAATCACGGAGGTGCTCCGAGTGTGTCAGCACTTTCACTAAAAAGGAGAGTGGGGAGGCAGAGAAAATAACAGAAGAGGATGGAACCTGAAAAGGGATAGACACGGCGCCTGCCTGGTCGCTTGATCTTGCTGCGATCGGTTTTTCGTCCAGTTCTATTTTGTCCTGTTTCTTCCCATTTTATTTGCGGTATCATAAAAATAGCTCCGGTAGAAGGAGACTGCAATGGCTGTTGGAGACTCGGGAACCAGTTATTCGATCATCTCTCTCTCACGCTCTCTCTCTCACGCTCTCTCTCTCACGCTCTCTCTCTTTCTCTTTCTCTCTCTCTCTCCCTCTCTCTCTCTCTCTCTCTCTCTCTCTCTCTCTCTCTCTTCTTCTGTCATCTTATCCTTGAGCATAATGAATAAAAGGAATTGATAGGAGAAAGAAGAGAGAAGGATTTGGAAAAAGCAGTATCCAACGGCTCTCTGGTATTCACTCGTCGTTTTCGTCTTTTCTTTGCAACCACATCGGTTCTCCCACTTTTTTTTTTTTTTTTTTATATGGGTTTGAAGAGGTAGGGAGGAAAAACAAATATTAGGAGATGGTCTCTAAAGGATGTTATAGGAAATGCCATCTTCCAGCTTCTCTATGTCTTTCTTGATTTGATATGGTTAAAAGGAGATAATGTATAGTTGTTCATGCGGCACGACTTTAATGGAAACGAGGGATGGGTTTAGGCATGGTTAGACACGACCCACATTTTGCGTGTACATGTCGCACACGCAACATGCGGCACTGACACATGTGTCGCTGTGTACAACGACAATGACAACGAGAACGAAGTAGAATTTGAGATCACGGTGCAAGAGATGCCAGGTGCGTGTGGGAGTGTGTGTGTGTGTGTATATATTTGTACGCGAGTGGATGCGAGGGAAATAGAGGAGAGAGACGTTGGAACAAGGGTGAAAGCAGCCAGACCCCTGTTGGGTCCCCGTCGGGGATTGAAAAGGCTGATTACATCAACGGCGATGATGATGACAGTAATATCAATGATGATCCCATGTAGGCAGGCAGGACCCTTTCCTTTGGACTGCAACCAGGCCTTCCCTCCTTGGCCTTCCCCTTTCCCCTTTCTTCATTGTGTGGCCCTCATATCTTGCGGTTAATCAACTCGACACTGACCATGGCCCACCCGCCCTTTTCGTTTTATTAACCCATGCACTCTCTATCTCTCCCTCTCTTTTCTCTTCTCTTCTCTTCTCTTCTCTTCTCTTCTCTCTTTTCTCTCTCCTTCGCTTCTTCTTGTACCTTTTTCTTCCTTTCTTCCCTCCTTTACTTATTCTATTTCTTCTTTCTTTTCTTGTACCTTTTCCTTCCTTTCTTCCGTTCTTCCTTCCTTTTTCTTGTTCTATTCTTCTCTTCTTTTCTGTTCTTCCATCCTCTCCTTTGCCTCGCTGCTTCTCTTCTCGCCTGTCCCTCTATTCCTCGCCCCTTATCGTTTCTGTATTTTCCCTCTCTCACGTACTCACTCACACATAAAAAAACATCCGCGTTTTGAAAGATCCAGCGCCAGCTTTAGTTGTCCGTCTTGCTTGTTTCCCTTCCTCTCGCTCCACTTCTCTTTCTCCTTTTATTCACCCGCCTCCCTACCACCAACACCTCCACACTAATACTCGTCTTTCTTCCTCACTCGCCGCCAGCTGTCATTGATACCCTCCCTCATAAATTCTCTTTCTCTCTCTTGCCCCATCGACGAACGAATGCCCCTTCAAAATTCCAACTAATTGCGCTGCACCCTATCATGCCCTCATCCCACTCTCTCATCGACCCTCATGCACTCGACTCACTCCTTCACCACACTCTGCAGCTTCACCGCTCGTGCGTCCACAAATCCGCCAATACGCCGATGGCTGCACTACCTTCAAGTAGCCTGGATCGACAACAACAACAACAACAACAACAACAACAAAAAGATGATGCTCGTCACTCCTTAGCAACTCCAGGACCCTCACCACAGTTGCGCCGGAGGCGAGCACGCTCTGCAACAAGGAATCTCAGTCTTAGCGGTTTTTTCTCGTCGTCATCGTCTTCTTTGTCCTCCGATCAAGCAGAAGAAGGAATGAGATATCCTCTCTCATCATTACCCATGGCGACTTCACTCACCCAGTCGTCGGCTTCACGTCAGCCTTCGTTTGAGTCAGGATGTCTTCGATCCGTACCTCCAACACAACTCCTTCTGGCGCCACCGTCTTTTCTCAGTCCACCTACTTCTCCTGCATGTTCAATCAGCCCCACAAGTCCACTCAAGATTGCGTTCTCTTCTCCTCGCAACCATTACAATGACCCCACCAACATCAGCACGACCTTTGCCTCTTTTCACAACCAGCTCAGTCCTGGCTCAAAACAATCATATATCACACAACGACAAGGGCAGCAGCAGGATGGACAGATCGAGAGCAGCGAGCAGCCTCTCTACCAGGAAGAAACCTGTGAGCGAGCGGCACTCTTCAGGAGTCGCTCTCATTCGCAGCCTACGGCGCCTACCTTTCCTTCAGACAACTCTCGGTTTTCAATCAGCAACCGACCTCGACTCGACAAGCCCTCACAACACACTCATCAATCGCATTGTTTTTCGCCTTCACCTCCACCTCCACGACCACGAAGAATGAGAGCGTCGACAGAGTCTTCGAACCGTGTCAATAACACATACCCACATACCCATACAGCATTGCATGTTCCAGTTCGTCAGCCTCGCTCTCATCTCACCCACGACTCTAAAAAGGAGACCCCTTTGATCATCCCGATCCATGTTCGATACGTGCTCAAGGATCTATGGGTCCAGGTGGACCTGCCTCGAGATATGCCCATCCACAAGGCGCGGGACCTAATTCTTGCCAAATGCAGGCTATCATCCGTTCCTTCACAGACCTCCGACACATCCTCCGTTTCAGCCACTTCCGAGGTCACCTTGGCCTCTGTCAATCCTGATACGACCCTTTCGCCAAGCCTACGGACACGTGATTCGAGTCACTTTAGTTCAAGTTCGCTCATGCTTCCTTGTGAAGTCGCATTGTCCCCTTCACCTACCCATCGCTTAAGCCGCAGTGGACAGGACGACGACAGCTTCAATGACCAGGAGAGCATCGACGACGACGAGGCCGAGTTGAGGGCCGAGGAGCTCATTGTCAGCGACCTGTTTGGTCAGTCATCCCCAACTCGAATGGGCGCCACAAAAGATAGGGATCAAGCATACTCAATCAGGCAGGAACTTCCAAGAGTCCCTTACGGGTCTTCACGCATCAGAAACGACGGCCACTGGAGCCATAGCGGTGACCATTGTCATGCTCAGCCTGCACTGTTTGCAATGCCTGTCGTTAAGCAATATGGTCAACAGAAGCACCAACATCAGGGTCAGCTGCAGCATTGTCTGAGTCAGCAACAGCTAAATCGACTGGTATCCTACTCGACCCTCCACAAGAACGACGGGCATGGGTCAGCGATCGGCGGTGACAAGCACGGCAAGGATGGACACTCCACAAAGCGATTTAGCAACATCCCCGGCTGGGCCCACTACAGGAGTCGACAGAACAGCAACAACAGTAAACACATCGATCGCGAAGTCCTCAATCATGGCGGGATACTGGCAAACCACTGTCTGGACGAGGAAAACCCAGCCATTACTGAAGCTCGCAGTTCAGAGTGCACAGCATGGAAGGCCTGCTTTGGGCTCTTCTGGTTAACTGCAGTAGGTGTCGCTACATTTCTTGGTCGTATGCCTTGATGGTCTATACAATCGAAGCCGGTATATCTAACCGTAATTGCGATTCACTTGCCATCACAATAGGGTCACTGGCTGGACGACTCAAGACTTGTGAGCTCCTACAACTTGCAACCGCATTGTCTACTCGAACTCCAGCTCAGGAACAGCTACATTCAACTCCCACCTCCTGGCACACCACTAAGCTATTACGATCACTATGCGGAGGGGCTGTTGTATAAAAAGTCCAAAAAGAGCAAGCTTGGTCAAGGAAACAAAGAGCACGCCTGGAAGGAGCGCTGGGTTGTGCTGCAAGGCAACAAATTGTTCATCTATCACAAACGGAAGGTATGATGCCATTGGCAGTATGCTGTCGTCATTGACATAATGGAAAAGTACAGCCGTTTCTCACCATTACCTTCATATTTTCGCTTTGACAATAGGACACGACAACGAAATCTCAAGAGCTGACACCACCGTTAACTGTCCTTGCCTCTGCTATCCCACAGAATCCTCGCCACAGCTTCAAGTTAAATTCCTCAACAATAGCCATGTCTCCCAGCATGATCAGCATCTTCACCTCACAGGATCCGACAGTCCCAGTAGTGTGCTTCAGGGCCTCAAGCGAAAGTGTACGAACGAATATGACGAAAATGTATTTGCTCCGCATCATCATTTTCGTTATGTGCATTAAAAGCAGCTTTGCCTAACTCCTCTAATGTTTTTTTGCCACTTTTCCATCGTATAGGAGCTCCATCATTGGATCAGGATATTCAACTCATTGAACAATACACCGTTGCAAGAACTGTCTCCACCGTTCGACCTCAGTGTGCCAGCATCGTCAATCGTAATGCCGCCACCTCTCCCGCCACTGCCGTCTTTGCCACCACCAGCCTCTATGGGCCAAACGATTATGTCGGCTACCAAACGTCACAGACATCACTCTCACACAGATGCTTATCATCGGACCGTCATCGAGGGAGCTTACCACTCAGAACGCAAAAGGAGTCATACATCCCAGTCAGCATCGGCCACGCCGTCAATCAATCCCGTTCTCATTTCAAATGCAGCTGCAGCACTGTCGAACCTACACCACGGCACTGGCGGTAGTAACAGCAAAAGCAACTATGGTAGCGAGAGTGAAGGCAGTGAAAAGCGACAAGCCAACTACACCATCGCTGAGCTCAAGTATCGCCTCAGCAGGTCCAGCTATTCCTCAAGTGGCTCCGGTTACAAGAATCTTCACCAATTGGAGCGCCAGACACTATCTAGGAACAGTTCGCTATCGAGCTATCAGACTTCAGTTCAGAGCACGCCTGGAGGACTTGAACGTCAAAGAACCTTGACAGAGCCAGTGTACTTGTCTCGTATGCGGAGTATGATTTCGCAACATAGGTCTCAGCAGACGCTTCGAGACCAACTCCGGCGATCCAATGGTATGTAGCAAGCACAACCCAAGTACATATTAGGTACGATATGTATGCAACGGGACGAAAATCTTGCACAATCTGACCAACCGTCATGCCATTATTATTCAACTGTAGGTTCGGCGCCTGAACCATTAACTGCTGCCATTCGTGTCGCCGAGCAGACTGTTAATAGCATCGGGGACATTTCGCTGCTGGAGCCATCCGTTCAAGCCCTTCTGAAGTCTTCTGGCGCAGCGTTGTATTCAGGATACATCTGGCTCTATATCCCTCATGATGGCGGTGCCTTGAAAAAAGACGACCAGGATTCTTTTGATACTCCTCCAGAGTCTAAACGAGCATTATTGGCAACATCGATGAGCAGGACCAGCTCTACATCGTCAGCGCCGACAGCATCTCAAGGAAGCCGAGCAGCCAACATCAGCATTACAAAGGCGTCCGGACGATATGTCAAATGCTTTGCGGTGATCAACGACCAAGGGCAGTTCCAGTGGACAGAGGTCAGGAAGCAGGATGATAACGACAGAGCCAGCGTGGATGAGCGTCAGAGCGACTCACCAGTGTCCCGTCCCAGATTCGGATTTCCTTTGACATCAACACGAAACCGATGTGAGAGAGCTCTCACCACTGAGTGCGGCTCAGATGTGGATAACAACATTGGTTTATCAAGCCATAATGCAGGATTCGAAGCAGAAAGGACGGTGGAGGCCTCGATGGCGCACAAGTTACGACTCTACTTCTTCTGCATCAAGATCTCAACGTCGTCGGCTGGAGACATCGTTGTGGAGTGTATGGAGTCAGCATCAGTCTCATCCCCAAGGTCCTCTTCGCCTGGTAGCCCTCCGGCGCGTTCCAAGAAGTCACCGCTTCGTGAGAAGAACCGTCTTTCGGCTCCGCCTAGGACGAGAACAGCTTCGTCGCCTTTCCAACCACTTCCGGATGATTCGTTGCAGACCAAGTCCCATGCGAGGTCTGACAGTGTGGTTCCTTCGTTTGGCCGGTTTACTTACCTGAACCCGCCAGTTTGGCCTTCTATGTCTCCTCTTCACGAACGGCCATTTCCCCCTACGCCTATGCCCACGCCTCCGGTTCCTGAATTGCTGGTGATTCCCAAGTTTGCCTCGACACCTTCGCCAGCCCAGGGGCAACTCGACAAAAGTCTTCTTACTCGTACGCCCAGCCTCTTTGTGGAGAATAGGGCTCGTTCGGCTCCACCAGGGTCCATGTTTCCTACGGCAGCGTCACTCTCTAAACACAGCCCATACTCGATGCTGTTGAGAAACGTCATCTTGGCTTCCAGTGCTGACATCACACCTAACCGGGCGCGCCCCAAGCATCATTCCCATTCACAAACGGGAACCCCAGACGGAATGACGTTGACCCCGGAGTCTGTGCCACCAACGGTTGCTATGTCACCTTCCTCTACATCCAATGTCCTGTCACTGGCTGAGGACTTGCAAAAGGCCTTGCAGATACGTCAAGAACCCCTGGGTAGCATCGACAGCAGGTTCTCACAGGACCTTCTCGGATCCCCACTACTTGCGTCACCCATGCGACAGACCAAGCCGACACTGTCTGAAATCACGTCCAAAAAGCGTGCATCGATCCAGCAGCAACAAGAGTCCCTCAATACCGCACTCAATGTGGAGCGGTCCCGACTGAAGCTGATTGGGGTTCTCAAAACCTTAGACGAGGGATGCGAGGTTGAGGAGGCATCCTGTGCCTCACAGACCAAGGCGGCTCATGAGGAACAGATGAAGCAAGAAGCATCTCGATCTGCCACTGCTGCTATGCTTCGAGTTCTGCTTCAATGCCCTTTTTTGGAGCAGAGTGAAGCGAAAGATTCCGAGGGGAGGACATTTGTGAGTCTCAAGGGGTACACAGAGACAGAGGGGGGGTGGAAAGCCCTCCAGAACGTTCTTGGGGAATTCTTAGGTATGTTTTCAAGGAGTGTTTCATGTACTGTACCCATGAAAAAGCGTCCCGAATTCGGAAACGGCTGTGTACTTCTGACACGACATTGACTCCTTGGTGCTCAACCCCGTTATGATTTTCTTTTTCTAGATGGTCCGATCAAAGATCAGCGGTCTGCCCTTCCGCCAGAAGATACACTCATTCCGTCGTACCATGCCCCGCGCGCGCCTGAGATCCGTTTATCGGAGAAGGCACAGAACTTTCTGAGGGCCAAGGATCGAGCCAATGCAGCAGCAGCAGCAGCAGCAGAGGCGGCGACAGTGGCGACTTTGGCGGGAGTTGGAGATGAGTCTTCCTTCTTTGTATCTCCCACGCACAATAGCCTGCAGCAACCACCCATCACAGCTCCATCCATTGCCCTTGGTAGACCGGCTGCAGCGATGATCATTGTCGATCCCTCCACAGTGAAGCCAATATCGAAAACCAAGACCCAGCCCTCTTTAACACATTTGACTCGGAGTGGTAGATTCAGCCAAGGCGCTTCTTTCGATGGCTTCCAGTGACGTTCTATCCTTCCGGCTAGTCGGACAAGATTCGGACCTGGCAAGTCGTTTAGAATCCTCCCTAGCTACAAACCCAACGGTTGTTCACCAGTGGCGCCGGAAGCAACGCCCATCTAGACAGACCAAGATGGGACATGCGGACAAGGGCCGTATCATTCTGGATCAGGTGGATGTTCATTAAAAAAAAGGGAGGGCGTTGGTGAAGGGGATGGATATACAAGGGGGAGGGGGGAATCGAGGAGGGAGGAAGGTTGTATTGCTTCCGGATAAAGATGGACCATCCAGGGACTCGTCCGTAGGATGTTGATGGAGCAGAAGGGGAGGAGAAGGCACATGTTGTAGCCGTTATGATCAGGACAACAGGCGATACCAAAGAAGTTTCACGAGGGGCATTTCGTTTTGCACCGTTGTGAATGTCGAAGGACATGATGAATGGTAAAGTTAGAGAACGATTACTGATCAATCATAAAAGCGAAGGTGCGTTCTGATTTGGTAGTTGGCGTTTCGTGGAGGATTTCTTTGAAAAACGCAACAGGCAAACTTACTACGAGGCAAATGCGTTGTGAGAGTACGGGCGCAGAAAGACAAAGATTGAAGATAGAAGGAAAAGCCCAACAGGAGAGACACGAACGTTCCGACTGATCTCACTAAAGCACTTGCTGCCTTTTCCCCGAGTACAAAAGTGGATATCATCGCATCTGTCTCCTCTCTCTCCCTCCCCCTCCCGACAACATGGGTCATCCTGCCATAAGAATTGTGATTGGTCCAGGAGTTTGGGCGAGATAATAGGAGAAATGGCGCTCCACTTTTTCATCGCCGTCTACCAAGAAAGGGAGAAATGAGGCGCTTTCCTGGAAAGACGGCTATTTCTGGCTGTGAAGAGGTCAAGAGAAAGAAAAAGGGTGAGTGCGTAGGTTCCAAGAAAAGAGGGAGTAAAGAGAGTAAAAAGTTGTGGACGATACGAGAAAGCAGAGTGGGGACAGGAGTCAATGAGATTCCATATTATACTTTCGAGCATGTTCTCTAGGTTTCTCTCTCTCTCTCTCTCTCTCTCTCTCTCTCTCTCTCTCGCCCACACATTTACAAACATACTCTAGGTTGGTAGGTTGATCTTTCTTTCTTCCTGCCGAAATCCATCATCTTCATTTTGTTCTCTCCAGTTATATGTGGAAGCTGTCTTCGGGGTTTCCTGGAGTCATGCCATGCTTTTCTGTTGTTCGCCTTTCTTTGTGCACTGCTTTGCTAAAGCAATCCAGTTGATGGGACTTGGAAGAAGGCATGCAAGTCGTTCATCTACCTCCCTTTCTACAGCGGTACGGTACCAGGCACCACAGCACCATATCCAAGTTAAAATGTACCACTTTTTGTCCTGAGGACGTGGCAGAAAGTAAAGGCACAAAGTAAAATTATAGTACTCTAGAGCAACCTCGTCTTATTGCAGGAGGATGCCAAACTGGAACAGAAGTCGAAATAAATTCTTCGGGACTGATGTCACTGATGCAAGGGGTCCAGAGGCGGTGCGTGCCTTTCCGTCTTCTCATTCCATTTTTTTTTTTTGGTTCGCCTTTTCTGAGAGCAAGAAGGGGACCGTAACAGAAAGGAATGGAAGGGCCGAAGGGAAAAAATGAGGGGAAACGCACAATGCATGCGGTGCATGAAGGACGGAAAGCTGGGATGGGGAGAGGGTGAAGGAGGCGAAACACCTATTACAGATCCTTCATTTGCTGTCGGCTAGAGTTAACTGTGTGTTGGCCAGTAAGGTATCCAAAGGAGGATGGTTACGGAGAAGAGGAGGAGAGATGTGCAGCCAGAGTTAGCTGCGATATGCATGGATAGACAACACCGAAGGATGATCTCAGGATAGACGTTGACCGGAGAAACCGTGCTAAGAAAAAAACATCCAAGTAAGGCCAAGACAATGAATTAAAAGCAGCGGAAAATGGATTGTCGTTAGGATCTTCTCAATGGATACCAAAAGCGAAATTTCCTCACGATAGAAAGAATGGGCAGAAATAACTAAAGGAGACTGGGTGGTTATTTCTTGGAGGCAGGTTGGGTAAGGAAGGAAGTCAAAGAGCAGGATGATCACGACGATGACAATGACCCAGAAAAAAAAAGATAAGGGATTGTCAGACTTTGAATTCATCTATCCAGCTGTATTTGCTTTTAGTAGTCGGCAGGAAGAAAGAGGGGGGGCAGATTTTCAAGGGGACGGACGCGAGAGCCAACAATTAAGATAAGCAAACAATCACGGTAATCGTTTTTGTAAACTCTATCCCGCTTCGACAATCGCGATTTTCCTTTGATTGTCGCGTTTTCCTATTTGTCCTTAGTTTTCTGGTCCGTGTTATTCAATTACTTGTTATCCGCTTGTCTCGACACCTCTCTGCCTACAGGAAAAATGCTCAGCACTGCAGTTGTCTGTGTGGCCTGTGTGTCCTTTTTTATCCATGCCTTTTGCTTACTCGTCCACACCCGTTATATGTTATTCTATGTCTCATTCTTACTGTTCGCCTCTGTACTTTTGCGCTCACCCACCCTTGCCCATTCAAACGTGCATCGTTTTCTCTTCACCCTTCTCCAAGTCCAAGGATCTATTGGAGTCTCTCGTTTCTGTTTGCCATCCTTTCCCCCCTGTTTGCTTTCTGGTTTCCACTTCCACCCTCCTTCCTAACGACCAACCTCCTGTTTGGACTGATCACACAAGTTGTTCATCTGGCGACTCGGTGTTGTCTGAATTGCTTCTCCGTATCACTTTATGGCCAACAAGTTACCTTCGATTTACTTGTAAATTGTATCTCAAAACTGCTTTCTGGGAGACTGAGTAGCAATATAAACGACAAGGACGTTTTCGCATTCTATTTAACTATCGCCTCTCCTCGTTATTTTCGTCTCATTTTCTTCTCATCTCTGCCATCCCTCTCTTCCTCTCTCTTCCTCTCTCTGTCTCTCTCTCTCTCTCTCTCTCTCTTCTCTCCCTTCCTTGTTTTCAGAGCATATTTCACGCAGGAAACTAAATTGGCTTCACTTGTCGTCTTACGTCCACAAGTCCTCCAGCAGCCACCCATCATCGACACCACCAACGACAATAACATCATCATCATTACCATCGTCGTCATCGTCATCTCCTTCGCAATGCTCAAGTCCTCGTCCGTTCAAGTTCTCTTCGCATCGGTTGTCCCTGTATCCATCGGAGCCAATGCCATGGTCGGCACCCAAAATTCTAGTATTTCTGACATTAGATGTTCTTATCCCAGTTGCGTTCGAGCAGCTCGTTACCGCACCTCTAAGCCTCACTCCAGATCTCGACCCCACAAATCGTCTCCAAATATCACAGTCTCCTCCCACGTCTGCTCGGCTAGGACGACGACAACAAACAGGCCCAGGACGACTCTCTCTGGATCTACCAAGTGGCTCCTCATCGCAACACTGGTCATGGTTGCCTTTCTAGGCTTGTTTCCTTTCAGCACAGCAGTATCAACGGTCGAAGCCGCACCAATGCCATCAGGCCCAACGCATTCCAGTTATTGCCCAGCAGAAAAAGCACTTTGCAGCTCGGCATGCGTGGGTGGGGGGTACCGAGAGGGTAATTGCATAGGACCCGATGCCAATGTCTGTTCCTGCAGCAAGTGACCGGTATATGGAAAGGTCTAAGTCGTCGTCTCTTTGCGCGTCGTTGCAAGTTCTGGACCATCACCATTGGTTGCCCACCCCACATCTCGAACGTTAAAACTTTATATTCATTTTTTTTTCCCTCTCTCTCCTAATTTCTATTTCCTAATTCATCATAATAAACGGAAGCAAGCTAGTTCTTCTCGCCACTTTTATGATAATGATGATGACGATGACGCTGCTGCTGCTGCTACTGCTGCTGATGGCAATCGCCGCGCAAGAGAATACCACCCTGTCCCAAAGTTGAGTCGCTTAAGCTTGTCCAAAGTCACCAAGAATGCTGTAAATTGCCGCCGAAAAACTTGTTGTTCTGGTGAAAGCGCTAGAATGGCATCCTGGAGTTGCTGTTCCTTCTGTCGCTCATACTCCTCCAGGGTCACATCTCCACGGGCCGCTAGTAGTCTTGATGCCCGTTGTTGTCTCGAGTCTGTAGCCCTTTCCGCATTCAACTCCTGCATGATGGCCTCGATCAGAACCGGCGTGAGCTTGAAGATGCTGAGTCGGAGCTCTTCGAGTGTTAATTGACATGCCCAGCCTCGTTTTAGCGAATGTTGAACCTCATCCATGGTCGTCAATGAATGGCCTGTCCAGAATGTCCTGAGCCGGGGACATGATTCCAGAAACTGTAATGGTAAAAATGTCCTTTCCGTATAGTCCGAGAGATTGGCCTCCTCCAGGGTTAGAGCATGGTCCAACATCGAAAGTACAGTCGGCAAGTCACTTGAACCACGAAAGTTGACTAGTCGAGGAAGACTGTCCAGGATGGCCGGAAGCATCGAGCATTCGAAGCCATATGCCCATATGTCCTGTATATCCGGGCAGTGAGTCCGCAACGAAGCACAGAACCGCTCTAGCTCTTCATCCTTGATCTGCCGATCAAATCTGTAGAACTCGAGTAGCTTGATCTTGGGAAGGTACTCCAGAATCGGACAGAGTCTTGAACACATTCGAAACGTCTCGATTGATTGGTGCTGAAAATCTTCGTCAGTATCGCCAAGGATGTCCTTGTTGCTTGGATGAGCCCCACCACAATTGTCATTGTCGCCTACAGCCTGTTCGTCTGCCTCGTCCTCCCTATCCAAGATGGTGATGTTACCAAAAGATAGCAGCTTGAGATTGAGGCATCCTTTGAGGATTAAGACCAGCTCCCGTTTACTCATACACCAGTACTCCAGAAAAAGCGACTGTAGACATGGTGCCACCGTTGGGAACTCAAACATCCGCTCGCCAAGCCATCCAGGCGGTCGTTGTCGCTTGTCCATTTGAAAGACCAGTTTTAACAGACGGAGGGTATCTTGATTGCGCCTGACAACGCCCCCAACAGTATCGCTCGCACCTCTCTCCAGATTGACGGTCAGTTGAACGAGAGAGTTAACAGCGGGACATTCGAATATCAAGTCCAGGTCTGAGACCGCGGTATTTTCTGGTTCAGGAATGATGGCCAATGTTCTGATGAATGCGCCGTACTTGGATAGCGATAGGCGATGGTGAGTAGAGCTGCGGTGAGTGTCGTCGCGGTCGTTGTGGTCATGGTGGCGACTGGAGATCGGGCGGCCTGCTTCAATGGATTTCCAGACGAGCGGTGTGAAGACTTGGAACCAGATGTGCGCGACGAGTGCACAGGAGGCTAAGTCTATCTTGCTAAGGTGTTGTCCGACAAGGGAGGCGATCTCGGGGATGTCCAATGCCTTCACGGATACCGGCAGAGGCGGTGTGGTGATAGATGATACGGCGGACATAGCAAGTTCAGCGGCTTTGAGTTTGTCGGCGTGGAGAGTGGGCGAGCCTGGTGAGCTTGGGGGTGTAGGGGAAGGGCCTGCACTTTATACATCGTGTGGCTTGTCTCAGTGCATGGAATTAGTGACTGGAAATAACACATCTTACATAGAGATCATCGGCGCCAACAGCATCATCTTGTCTTCACACCTTCCTTACCCATCATCCTGCCGTCTACTGTCATCACGATGGCCAACATCCAGCAGCTCTTTGGCGAGCTCGAACGCCATATCAAGCGCGAGGAACATGACAAAGTTCTCGTCATTAGCGACAAGAGTAAATACCTTCCCTCATCTCTTGCAGAAGATCCGTGTCATCGTCGTGTTGTAGCTCACCTAACGCTCCTGTGACCTTATCACGACCTCATTTTGCTTTCTAGTTCTCGCAGTGGACCCCAAAGACAAGGACGCGCTTCACTGCAAAGCCATTACTTTGATCCGCCTGGAACGTTACCCCGATGCTCTCTCCATCCTCAACCGTGGTCTCGAGGGCAAGTTTGTCTTTGAAAAGGCTTACTGTCTTTACCGCACCAACCAACTCTCCGACGGTGCTACTCTGATCGAGGCGACGCGCAAGCATGTTCAGTTGACTGGCGGTCAGCTCCCCTGGGATTTGCGCCACTTGGAGGCTCAGATGCTCTACCGTATGGAACGTTATCAAGATTGCATTGAGCTCTACGCCGGAATGCTCAAGGACACCTCAAAGTCGGATGACAGCTACAACGACATCATGACCAACTTTAATGCCTGCAAGGCGGCTGTGCTCTACTCGGGAGAGACTCTAGATGAACGCTGGAAGGCCGAGGATGTAATCAAGACCACCTATGAGCTCAGCTTCAACTCGGCCTGTGCACGTATTGCGCAGGGTGACTACACCCAGGCTCTTACTCTGCTGGAGGAAGCCAAGACCCTTTGCCGCGAGTCATTGAGTGAATATGATGAGGAGGAGATCGAACAAGAGATGGCTATTATTATTGTTCAGACGGCCTACGTCTACCAATTGCTCGGACGCACCGAGCAGGCCCGCGAGCTCTACCAATCGGTTCTCAAAATCAAGTAAGCATCCCTTCCTTCCCCTTCTCCTCCTCCTCCTCAAGATTGCGCGCGGACATATTGCAGAAAGGCCAGCTTTTATTTTATTTTTTTTTGCTGCAGAAAGTCAAGTTGCCCACGATCACTCATTTCTACAACGACTTTCCATAATAGGGCTTTGGAGGTCACGGTTCCAGCAGTTGCCGCCAACAACTTGGTTGCTATTCAAAAGGAGGATGACTTGTTCGATTCGACGAAGAAGATCAAGTCCGCCAACACCAAAGCCCTTGGAGTCAAGTTTCTTTCATCTCAGAAGAGAACCATAGCCATGAACGAGCTCTTGCTTCAGCTCTACCAGAACAAGTTTGCCGCCTGCCGTGATACCGCTCAGCAGTTGCTCAAATCTCAACCCGACAACGACGCCCTCTACCTCATCCTGGCTGCCACCTTGCACCGCCAAAAGAAGACCGCCAAAGCGTTGGAGGAGCTGAAGGAGTTTGCTGCTGCCAAGCCGGATTCAGTTGCCGTTCAATTTGCAATTGTTCAGTTGGAGCTGATCAACGGACAGGATTATACGACCGCTATCGAGTCTTTGACCCGCTTCTTGAGGTCATTGCCCGAGAAGGAGCAGCATCGTCCAGGGTATGTCGCATTGTTGGTCTGGTTGTACGACCAGGCTGGTCAGGGCGAGAAAGGAGTTGATCTGTTGAGCGAGGCCAGTGCTATCTGGACCAAGAATAACAAGGGATCGGGATCAAACACAGCATTGCCCTTGACATTGTTGAGGCAGACTGCTGCCTTCAAGCTGAGATCGCACCGCTACAAAGACGCCGCCAAGGATTACGAGGAGCTTGTTCGTGCCGATCCCTCCGACCCCGCCAGCATCGCGGGCTTGATTATGGCCTACTCCGAGTTCGAACCGACCCTGGCCGAGAAGTACGGAGCCTCTTTGCCTGAGATGAAGAATGTGATGGCCTTGGATGTTGAGTCTCTCGAAAGAGTTGTTCCAGGATTGAAGCGCGAATACGTGTCAACTGAGAACGCAGGAGCCGCTATTGGCGGCGGCCGCCGCCCATTGGGTCCTGGATCAAGATCTCGTCGTACTGGAGCCCGTCGTCTCAGGAAGCGCAAGCCCTTGTTGCCCAAGAACTATGATGCTGCTGCTCCTGGAACACCTGATCCTGAGAGATGGTTGCCAAAGCGCGATCGTGCAGCAGCGCGCCTAGCCAGGACCCGCAAGACTGGCGGTGGCTCAAGAAAGGACATGGGCAAGGGACCTCAAGGACTGAACTTGGAGGGCGGTGGCATCGGTGGCACAGGTAGTGCTAGAATTGCCGGGCGCGAGCCTATTGCACCTGCAGCTCCTGCAAGGGAGATTCCAGTTGTCGAGGAGGTTGTTGATATTGCAGCTATTGCCAAGGCAAAGAGTTCTTCAAACTCGAGCAAAAAGAAGAAGGGCAAGAGCAAGGGCAAGTGGTGAAGGGCATCCCCTACCTTGCACGCTTTGTGAATGCGTGCTAGAATAAACGGTAAATAATCCTCGCTCATTGTTACACCCGGATCCTCCGTGAGGACTTTTAGGCCATTTCAGATGGATAAAACAACCATGATTCATCTTTTTAATAATATACAAGTTGTGGGGTCAACATTACTCCTCTCCCTCGAGCGACAAAATCCGCAGCAGTCGGCCCGACCCACTCGCGCTCATAGCACGTTGAACGCCCACGTTTTTCAGGTTTGCAATCTTAGCTGTCCTTGTCACTGAAGCTGCGGTTGTTGTCGTTGACGTTGTGGAGGAAGAAGTAACAGTCACAGCTGCCGCAGAAGATGTCGAGAGTGAGCCTGTCGAAGTCGACTTCTTGGACGTTGCAAAGGCCATCTTGCGTCGATTGACCTCTTTAACAACACGCGTGGATGCGTTTCCGCCTCGGCTGTCCTCGCCTACGGTGCTCAGAAACTGATTGCGTCGATCCTCGGACAAGAAGGAGGAATTTTGGCGAGTCAGCAAACGTGGTCGCACAATGGCGCTGACGTCAACGTCGTTGTGCGAGGAGCCTTGCACAAATCCAGACGGGGCATCCACAGAAGGGCGGGCCACAGACGAGTCTGACAACGACGTGCGGTCAACGATCCTATCCTGCAAACCGAATAAGGATGACCTTGCGCGCGAAGGCGACGTCATGCCTCCATCCTCAACAACCTCGTCCACCCCATCGAGAATATCACGGATGACCTTTGTGCGCCGCATGACGTCCTTGTACTCGTCGATGGCGTCACCTTGGGAGGCAGATGTCCCGCGAGTTGACGAGTCCGTTGACTTTGATGTACCTCGAACAGGTGTTGGAGTCGAAGGGGTCATAAGGGTCTTGGAATCGCCCGCGATCCTATCACCCTCTGATGCAACAACGAACGGTAAAACTTGTCCCTTGGTCATAGATGTAATAGCATCGGGATCCATCGAGCCATAGAAACTCTGATCGCTCTCGTCGCGAACCAAACGCGCCTTCCGCAACCTCTCCTGCCTTTTGTCCGTGTTTAACAATTCGCCTTCTTCGTCCTCCTCACTCGACTCTGCGTCATCCGACATCCGATGTTGTTGGTCCTTTACGACGCTAGGAGGGCCACCTTGATCGTCCTTTGATGACCCGTCCTCCTCGGCACTTTCATCCGCATCGCTCAAAAAGATTAGCTGGTCATCATCCATGTTCTTCTTGAAAGCTCTCGCAAATGCCGCGGTGTTTGGGTTGTCGGCTATTGTATAATTGGGCAAACAAACGAAAGGCAGGGTTAGGAATATAAGGGCGAAGTTTGTTAACTTGGAAGAGATATTAGAATATAAGGACGGCCAAATTTCTAATTACCGAGCATCTCAAACTTCTCCGACACCTTGAGCTTCTTCTTTCGACGGAAACGACCATCCATGTCTTCCTCGTCGAAGAGGTCAAGGTCATCGATCTGCCCGTTGCGCCGCTTCCACAAATTGCCAGCTGCAATACCATGAACGAGGTCCGAGATCTCCTTGTCATGCTGATCCTGCTCGTGTTTCCTGGGTTAAAATAATAATAAAAAAAAGTTAGATGAAGCACAAGACATGGATGAGAGCGTGTAATTACCAACACAATGATTCCTTGCTTACATATGCAGCTGCTTGACATTTTCCACATCTTGGCTGTCAAGGACAACACTGGTGTCGACCATACCGTCCCCTAGGTCATAATCGTCGTGGTCGACGTCAGATTCATAGTCGATTCCTCCCATTCCCATGTATTCATCCTCCTCTTCCTCAGCCTCGTATTCAATAAACGCCGACTTCTCAGCTTTGGAAATTGGGGCACGCTTGGGCTTCGCCTCTCGCTTGTGAAGTCGCCGCAGTCCGGACTCCTGGTTCATTGCCATCGACATGACTTCAAACGCATTCCTGGATCTGGAAAGGACGGGGTCGGATGTTGTTTCATTGAGGTCGTCATCGTCAAAAAATCGAGGCTCCATGTTCCTGGGTATTTGAGATTCGAACTCTATCGAGCCTTGAGATCCCAGTGTCGGAGGAACTTGAGACTCTGAGGAAGCAGACGCGGCAAATGGGCTGCGGCCGTACTGAGTCTGCGTAGGGAACTTTCCGGAAAGAAAGTCCAAGGCGCCATCAATGGATCCTTGGGAATTTCCGTAGCTGGCCTGGATTTGACTTGGGTCGCTGCTCACGATAGGCGACAGGGACGAGTCTGTCACGGAAGCGGGCGCTCTGCCAAACGCAGACAGGGCTCCAGCCTTCTTGGACTTGCTGGGATCGTAGCTTGATTCGAAGAACGCACCAAACCCTTGAGTGCCACCGATTCCTTTCATGTCTTGATCGATATCGCTAACATCATCATCCTCGCCAACGCCACTACCCGAACCAAATTCGTCCGCTCCGCTGACTCCATCCTGGTCGTCGCTATCTGAATCTACAATGGCCTGGCTACGATCGACAATAACGACCTTGAGATCTTCATCGTCTCCGATAACATTCTTCCTCCGAGTTTTCTTGACCGGGGCAACCATCTCCTCTTCATCCTCATCGGTGTCCTTGTCCTCATCATCCTCGCCATCGTCGTCATCGTCGTCATCGTCGCCATCTTTGCCATCTTCGCCATCTTCGCCACCGCGAACCTCGTCCCCGTCGCCAACAGCGGGTGCCTCCAGCCTTTCAACATCCCCCCCTTCGATCTCGTTGTCCGACTCTTCTGATCCAAGTTGATTGTCGCTGCCGCGGTCCATTTCGCTATCACCTTCTTCGGCAATTTTCCCCTCAGGATAGTAGTCTCCGTCTTCCTCATCATCGGCGTCCTCGTCTGGATCAAGGCCTTGACTCCGTTTCTCTTCAATCCTCAACTGCTCTGCTGCATGATCCTCTGGTGATCTCCACGTTCCAGATCTCTTGGCCTCGTCCTCCAGTTTCTTGCGCCGCATAAGGTGGGCTTTGGCGAGTTGTCGCTCCATCTGGAGGTTGAACTGTTGAATGTTGGCGACGGTGTTAGTTCTCTGGCTCCTCTGCGGAGAGGTCAGCCTCATACCCAGACTTTGGGAAAAGTCAGGCTTTGGTGGAGGTGAGACTCTTGTTGACAATGTCTGGGAGGACGAGGACGAGGATGTCGCTGGTGTTTTGTTCAGATTCATGTCTTGGATTTTGTTGGAGAGTGGAGACATTTGGAGCGCCCTCTCCAATTCGATTCGACGGTCAATTGGGACAGGTCCTGTGCCTGCCTTGAGTTCTTGAGAAATCAAGCTGCGCTCCCTTTTGGGGATGGAAGAAAGGAGGAGTGCCTTTGTTGCCGAGTGTTTCCACTGAGCCTCTTCCTCCCGACGTTCTGCATCCTGCTCAGTCTCATCTTCGGAGCTATCGTCCAAAGCGATGGTCCTTGGTAAAGATTTCTTCAAGGGAGCACGATGTACATTTGGACCTGGCAGGTCAGTCTGAGAAACAATGGGCTGCCCTTTGCTAATTATCCATAGTCAACAGAATAGAAATCGCAATAAGCCCAACGTTAGTACACTGTATTGTATGGAACGATGACTCATACTCCATACCTTGTGTGCTTACAGTTTCGATTGGGCGGATTCCAATAGCGTTGACAGTGTCTGCTTCTTGAACCGTTGGTCGACTTTGAACGTGGAGCTCCGCATCAATCGCTCTTTCTCCATCTGAATTTGTATTTGCTCCGCCTGGATCGCCGCCTTGGATTTTTTCGTTGCCTTGGAGGCTCCGGCATGAGACGACATGATGTCTTCAAGATCACGCTCATCCTTCGCGTTTCGGTGGGCCTCGATGTTCTTGCCACCATCCTGGCTCAAAAAACGGTTCGCCGCAGGGGCTTCCTTGGTCGCTTCATCCACCGTAGGGAGCTCGTCGTCGGTAGCGCTGTCCAAATCCATGCTCATATTCGCGTCCAAAGTGAAAGATGCCCGCAAGGAAACCTTTTGAGACACTGAGAGGGAAGCCGAGTTGTTGTAGGTATCCTCCAGAGAGCTGATATCCGAATCGTTGTCAGAGAGGGCTAGTGTCTGCTTTTGAAGCTCGTAGGACGACAATGGAGATACTGGGCCTCGCTTGCGTCCTGGGGTCGGGGTAAGGTCAGGCGAGAGCGAAGTTGTCCGAACATCTTTGTCGCGAGAAGGAGCAGTGATTGCCGGAGACCGTATCGACGGCGACTTTGGCGCGTATGAGGGGGAGGGTAAGGGTGGTGACGATGTCACTCGTCTTGGTTTGCGCGGGCTGAGTGTTGGGCTGAACATGGAGAGGTCGTTCCCGGCGCCTCTCTTCTTTTTTGGTGACTTTGCGACCCTAACTTTGGATGGATTTAGACCAGGTGAGAAGAGGGATAATGACACTGCCTTTGGCCTCTGTGGAGATGGAGGACGAGGCAAGCGAGACGGAGCAAAGAGGACAGAGGTGTTTGCCCTTGGTGCGAGTGGAGGTGGAGAAGGAGGACTGGGGCGACACTCCGAGGGTGGTTGTAGTTGCGATTGCCTGCTGAGAAGATATGTTGTCTTTGGGAGATCTGACGGCAGGTCAGTGTCCGAGTCGGACATGGGTTCGAAGAAAATTGATGGTTCCTGGGATTGGGACCGGTTGAGGAGCTGGGTGGCGAGGCCGTCGTCGAGGGGCCTGTCGTCTTCGAGGCCCATCAGGGCCATGAGGTCCTTGTCCATTCCGCTTGACATCAGAGATAATCTCGATTGATGATGTATTTTTTTTGTGGCTAGATGTCTGTCTGTTTGTGTCGCTGTTCACTTGGGTGACTGTGTGTGTGTGTCTGTGTGTTGAGCGAGGAGAAGCCAGCGATCGACCTTTGGTGTGTGTGGGTGGAGTATGGCAGCAGAGTGATAAAGGAGGACGAGAGAAAACAAAACAAAACAAAAACAAACGCGTCTTTTCATTTGCACAAAACAGGGAACGGGAGGACTGCCTTTTTTTATCACAATTAATGATCGCCACTGTGTTATTGTCACAAACCCCACTACTGTCGCTTGCCTCCAAAGATCGATTCGCGCTCGACATTCTCCATGTACAGCCTAATATCCTTATCCAACTGCATCTTCAGTCCTTTTAGCTCCTTCAAGCGACTCTCCTCTATCCCGTCCTGAACTTGCTCCTCGCCCTCGCGAATCTGCTCAGTTAGCAGCGCAAAGATCTCGTCCAGAAGCGTGTATGGCAGCCAACGAGCATTTGAATGGCGAGAGACCACCTCCTCCTTGTTCAATGCCTAAAACATATATATACAAACTCAACATTAGGGATCTAAAGGGTCTCTTATCAAACTAGCTACCTTTTTATCAAACTTCATCAACAACACTTACAGTTTGAATCACCGTCGACGAAAACTTGGCAGCTGCATCCAGGACATTGAACTTCAAATACAGGCGAATCAAGTCCTCCGGATTATGGGTCTACAAGTCAATCAGCAAACGTAAGTGATATGGATATAATGGAACCGTTGCAGCGTGAAAAGGCAACTCGGGTCAAAGTTAGAAAGGATACGTACCAAGTAGTGCTGAGTCAACCAAGGCTGCAGGTCAAAGTCTGGGTTTCTTTGTAGGATTCTTGCAACCACCTCGAGGCGATGCTTATAGTTGCTTTCAGGGTCGTCATGTTTCTCCAAATACTTTTGCAGGATGACCAGGGCTGCAGCGGATTGTGTTCTATCGACAACTGCACTGTTTACTCCTTGCAAGCCATCCTTTCCTAGCAGCTCGCTGAAGATATCAACGAAAAATGAATAAATATCAGTTTTCTAGTCACCGCATCAGGCCATGCAAATCAACAATAGGTCGAGACGACAATAAACAACTGACTGAGTTCAGGCGACTTACGTTTGCTCTGAAGACAACGCTGCAAGGTAACAGTCGACAAGGCTGATGAACACAATATCCAGATCGAGTTGATACAGCAGTCCCAATGAAGCGGCCATGTCCTGGTAACCACGACGCAGCAGCATGGCCTGTGTCTCTCGAGGGGTAAGTGCAAACGCAACTAGTGCCGATATTTGTGAAAACAATGCGTTTTTTTTGTTATAGTAAATATCAGGTGCAATCTCAAACTCCTCGTGGCCCTTCAACTGATAACTGTGCTTACCTGCCGCTACGTGCGTAGGGATCTCTCGAACGAGTTGGAGTTTGGCCGAAACTAAAGCGTACTCTCTCTTCATATCGGACAATGTCACAACCTCCACCTTATTGGGTTTCTCGGCCTGCTCTTGGTTAGACAAACCAACAGGGCGACTGGCAGACGCAGTCGAGAGAGTGGTAAGGCGTCTCCTCTTGGAAACCTATATTATGGATTGCAAGGAAAATTCAATGGACCTATTAACACCAGTTCTTCAGTCCTGCACTCCTTTCTTGGAAGTCGATGGCCACAGTTGCTTCGCGTCGCTGAATTTTAAGCTTACTTCGTCTGGACCATATCCGGTACTTGGAATAGTCACCCATGCAGAGTCAGGGCCTGACAGGTGGAGGGTGTTAATGGCTGCCAAGTACGTCTCCGATGCCTCAGCAAGGAGCAACTTTGCCGAATCGGCGTGATGAGAAGAGCTCATCAGTCTTCTTGCGTACTCATACATATGTGTAGAAGCTAGTAATCGGAGAAACAGAATAATTAAATTAATTGGATTCAGACTATTATACAAAATGGACACCATTTTATGAAACACATCAATTCGTGAAAGACGCGAGTACCTTTCTTGTAATCTCCACGGTAGGTATGGTACGCAAAGAGGACTCGGTAGTAGTTGGGCAAGGAGAGAACCGGCGTTTGTTGTGCCTTTGAAACCAACATACGCTCGACATCCTCTTGCAAACCAGGAAAGGGGAATAAACTCAGCTGTGCTCCATCCCCCTTCTGGCACATAGCCGAAACCAACTCCTTTAATTGTTGCTTCCGCCTATGTAGATTAAAATGAATATATTAGAATCGATATAGTCAAATACATGCACCGTCCTTCAAAATGACATACAATGAGGTTAAAAAACTTACACTGCCTCGTTTGTTATTTGCATCATGGTTTGGTATGCTCGGTCATACAACCCAAGCGCCAATGCTGATGCAAACAGGCGCTTTAAAGGAACGCGAAGCTGGGTCTCGGATACTTGGACATTAGGGTTCTAGAGCGATCAACACACGAGATCTCATCTCGGATTAGTTCTTTGATATTCCTTCATTGTGCAGAAAATGGTCGTGCGCAATGGACAAAACCTTTTACCTTCAAAAGATCAAGCACAGACAGTCTCGCCACGGTCATAACTTGCTCGTGAGCACTGTGCTCTGCTAAAAGGTCAATGACGTGGGCGTAGTAGTCCTCAAGTCTGGCCTGTCCTTGATGAACTCGAGTGTTATAGTCAAGCTGCATAATATCGAGCTCCTGCTCGACGTTATTGATGTCGTTGCCTGTCATGAAAAAGCAGTTACAAAAAGTTAGCAAAACAGATAGAAGGATGAACATCATGTGGGTAGAAAAAAAACGTCCACGTAAGAGCATATTGTTCTTACCAAAGCTGGCTGTTACGGCTAAAAAATGCCTCAATGCGCCTGCTGCATTGCCTTGGTGTAGAAGAACCTTGCCGCGGTAGTAAGATAACGAGGAGGTTGTCGGCACAATCTCCAGAAATCTTGTCAACAACTCCATCTCCTTCAGTCCTGAAAGCCTCTGTGCCAATCCTGCAAAGTGTCGGCTTCCGTCGTCACCGCCGCCGTCTCTGTTCAACAGTTCGAGGTGATATATAAGCTTGGATACGGCCCGAGGGATGGCCAGGTGAAGTGGCAATTCAACCTGTCCGTAATTGCCCTGTCTATAAGAGATTGTCCTCATCAAGGTTCCTGTTAGACTTTGGCGTGCCGTTGTTGGGCTGGAGACACGTGATGACTCCCTCACATTCATCTGGGAGAGCCGACTCTCCAATCCCGAAAATGCCGAAGGCGCCGTTGCAAGAGCCTGACCAGAGACCCACTTGAGCACCAGCAAGGATTGCGTGGCTCTCAGAGAGTCGGAGATGAGCTGAGTTTCGTCCTGAATCCAGCTGCGAGAGGACGGTGAAGCGCTCATGAGAACGGTAATCAAAATCAAAAATTGCTGGGCGATTCCATATCGATGGGCAGCAAGTTGTTGAAGACTGGCAGAGACTAGGGCCTCAAAGGGAAGGATGCACCGGCGTGACACCATTCCTGAAGGAATCACGTCCACGTTGTCCAGAAGCTGCTGGACCAAAAACTGGAAAACTGCCTGATGAGAGTTGCACGAGCTGACGAAGTTCCGTGCCCGGTTCATCTCTGTCTTGGAAATATAGTGAGGCAAGTACTCCTGGCCAAAGATGTCGATAAAGTTCCGAGGTCCATTGGTGGCCGACAGTTGGGCGATGGTCTTCTCGACGTTCTTGGACGACTTGGCATTGAAGTTCCGTGTCAATACCTCCATCGCCATGAAGACTTTGGCAATATCCTGACGGAGGCTGAGATCCTGCAGCTTGGTGTAAGTACTCCTGAGCTGCGAAGGCGGTGTTGAAATAAACTGGGAGACCTCGAATTGCTTGTCCTGGAAAGTGTGATACAGCACTTCCGAGTCATCGCACGCGCTCAAAAAGCTCATGGTGTCCTGCTTAACCACAACCATGTACCCTGTGCTCGGTGAGATGGAGAGTCCTAAGGGTGCTGATGCCTCATGGTCGATCTTAGCACACGTCGAGATGAATTTTGTCCATGCCATGATCTCGTCTTCTCGGTCCTTGTCCTGCACGGCCTGTGATCTCTCGCCGGGTGTTTTGACTGTGAGTGCGGCCTTGATCTGTTGCTGGATATCAGAGTCGAGGGTGAAGGTGCGGTCCTTGAATATGGAGTGCAGAGCAAGTAAGATCGTCCTGTCCGAGAACCGTCCAGAGGCAAAGGTGTAATCAGCAAAGAATGCCGAATAATCCTCGTCAGAGTCCACAAAAGAGCTCATTGACTTAATAAAGCCGCTTAGAGGCGCCTGCATCGCCACCGACCACCATCGACCGTCCAAGAGCTCCCTCTGAGCAATCGCCTCGAACTGCCCCCGCTCAATCACTGGATCATAGATGTCCATGTACCTGACCGATATCCTCATGTCGCCTTGCCATAGACCCCAAACAGTGTAACCGGTTCGGCTCTCATTCAAGAGAACCTCCAAAGAGATCAAGTTCAAGTTGTTGCCTCCTGGTCCTGCTGCTGATTCCGAGTGAAGGGTGCTGAGAGAACCCGGTACGAACTCCATACTTCCGACTGGATCAATTTGAGCTGTATAGATCGAGAGCTGAGAATCGGTGTCAGATGGGATATAAGCCAGGAGTCGAATGATCCCAGGCGTAGCCGGGTTGAACAAGACTCTGAGGTGAGATTTGAGGGAAGAGTCGATGGTCTCTTGAACATAGCCGGCATCGTTGATCGAAGTTGGTGTTCTTATAACTTGCAGGCATTGACGACGGCCCACCGACCAAACACGGATGATTCTATCCAGATACAACACAAAGAGGAAAGTGTCGTCCTTGGCCGCGTGCGCCTCCATTGCCACGATATCCATTTGTGTCTTGGCCTCTGGGAACCCAGCAGGAACTGAGATGTTACGTTCAAGGGTTGATTGAAATTTGTTGTAGAGTGTGTGGAGTGTCGAGGCATGTTGGATCCTGCGGTGCGAGTCGTCGTGGAGATCGTAGACGTTGATATCAGCATGTTCTATAGTCGCGTGTTGAGGGGCATGTTATTAAATGTGTTGGAATTTTCTTGCAGTGATGAAAAGTCAAAAAACGCGAAATAGGTCGAGAGTAGTTTTACCGTGGCGATGCATGTCATCCGATAACAATGCCGTCTTGATAAGGTAGAGTGTCCCGTTTGAGGATGCAATGGCAGCGTGTCTGCTTCCCAGATAGCGGAATAGCAAAGGCTCGCCAGCGTTGGTCCATTTGATTTGGGCGCATGTTGAATATCCAGGGGGAGTGTTGAGGTCGAGGAAATGACTCAGGGCGGTAAGATGGAGGCGGTAAAGGATACTGTCGGTGGTCAATAGCGCGATCGATATCCCGCCTTGCTGCGTCAATGGTGCAAAGTGGATCCCTGCCACGATGGGTGCATGGAACTGGAAGGAAATCTGGCGCGTCGGGGTGTTTTCATTTCCAGAGAGAGAGACCAGCTCGAGAATAGTCGCGTTCTCGCGTGTTCTCCAAACGACCGACTTTTCGGGCTGGTGGGAAGGGGTAAAGACACCGCCTTGGTTCTGAAAGTGGCGTGGGTCGTCCTTGGGCGTGTGGGGGTATGTGGGGATGGTCTGGCGACGAGGGACGGTATGGATAATGGACCGTGAGGCGTCGACAAAGGCCTGTGGCTGGACAGGGACCTCCTTGTACCACCACATGGGGGTGATGGGGGTCATTGTGTATGCGTGTTGGTTGTTGCTTAGCGTTTGGTGATGGTTGTGCTGGTGGGAGGACGGAAGGTAGACAGACTGGCTGGCAGGTTGGCAGGCAGGCTGGCAGGTTGAGACACGCAAAAAGGAGAGGCAGTCAGTGATCGGCGAAAGGAGAGATTGTTGATTGTTGTTTTTTTAAGAGAAGGGATGGAGGAGGCTGCGTGGCTTTCTCTTTATCTTTCTTTAGAAGGTGCAGCAGGTGCGATCAAATGTCCTTCTTAACAGCCTTCTCCACTTTCATTCCTCTCTCCCTCTCTCTTTCTCTCTTTCTCTCTCTCTCCCTCCTCCTGTCACCACTCCACACTCAACTCGCTCTGTTGCTGCTCGAATCCATTCCGCACCCATCCACCTACCCACTGATCCTTGTCTCCTCTCATCTTTTCCACAGTCAACCCTGTCTGGAATCTCCCTTCACCACCTTCCCATGCAACAACACAGGCCGTTCTCTAGAGCCACATGGAACATCTACCTCGTCTTCTTGGCCTTCCGTCTCTTCATTGCGCTCTCTCCCGGATATATCCACCCTGACGAGTTCTTCCAGTCTGCCGAGATCACTGCTGGTGAGTACTCGACACCCCTTTTCCTACCCACACCAACCCGCGAACCCGCTCTTTCGCGCCACAGAAGCGATTAATTAGCGCGTCATTTGCGGGGAGTGGAGCATGGCAATCGTGGGCGCGTTTACAGGCAACAGTAAAAGTGACAGCTACTGACGCTAACAATTAACATGCTTCCATCTTATTGAATAGGCAATGTCTTTGGCCTCAAAGTTGATATTCCATGGGAGTACCAGCCAGAGCTCCCCTGCAGATCAATCATTATTCCGTAAGTATTTATACTTTTTGCCGTTCTATGCCTTCCAAATGCAGACATGCTTACATGCCTTACTTACATCTCTCATCTTTGTTCCTTTACTCCGTTACTCAGGGCTATCACCACAGGCATTCCGTACCTCTTGTTGAAAAGATGGGTCGGCACTAATCCGGGTAAAAAATCACAGCACAACAGACCGCCATATCTCTGAAGCATGTAACATGAGTCCTGCGCTCAGGAATACATGGCTAACGGCCATTTGTTGGTTCTTGAATTATGTTACACATACATAGATCAATTTGTCACCTCGCGCGCCCTCTTTCTCACCCAGCGCCTGGCATTTTTCCTTGTCTCTCTTATCATCGGTATTTTTTGCTCGCATAATATGTTTCTGTTATTTTTGTTGATGCAGACTGATTTTCATAAACAGGAGTGAGAGTAGAAATAACATATATCCCATAATATGCACACAACGCTAGATTGGTCAATTGTAAACATGGCTCGCCAAATCCGACGGTCGCCCTCGATCGCGCTACTTCTCGTCGCGTCATCCTACGTCACTCTCGCCTACCATACCCATCCCTTCTCCAACGCTGTTGAAACTCTTGTCTTGGCTCTCAGTGCTGTAGTCCTTGGCAAAATCATCCAGCAACACGAAGCCTCAACTGTTCTTCCTTCAACACCCTTGTCCAAGACTGCTACCTCCGTTCATCCTTCCTCAACTAGCGGCTCGACGGTATCATCATCAACAGGACCTTACCAACCAAGACCCTCCTCCATACATCTGACGTTTTTGTTGGGCGTTCTGTTTGCTATCGGGACATTCACCAGGATCACATTTGCAGTCTTTGGATTCCCTTTCGGCGTCTTGCTGCTCTACCTCAACGCAAGAGCCTCGTTTTGGAAAAGACGATCGACGTATGTTGGCATTTATGCTGGCACAAACGAGTGTCATTCATCTACTGTCTGTTCGCCTCACTTAACGAGACATCATCCTTTCTGTGATATAGACTGCGAGGGCTAGTTGCTTTTGTGCAGGCTTGCATGCCTCTCGCAATTGGATTCGGGTCAATGTCTGCTGCAGCCATTTTTGTCGATTCGATTTACTTTGGGAAACTTGTCATTTCGCGGCAGTCTCATGGATCGCCTATGACTCTCATGGAGATATTTACCACTAGCCCCCTTTGCTGGTCCTCTCTTTCAGTGAAAGGATCATTGACGTTGACCATGTGGAACAACTTGCAGTATAATCTGGACAAGGACAACTTGGCACTCCACGGATTGCACCCTCGATTTTTTCACCTGCTCTTGAACTTCCCAGTTCTCTTTGGCAATCTTGCCTGGATAGGATTGACCACCATCATTCGCAAAGTCCTGGCACGCGAATGGTCAAGTCGTTCCAAACTTGTTACAGGTACTTTTATTTCGCCAGTCCAGACCCTCTACCATGACGTGCTCTTCGCAATACGGATTACAGCTGCTGTGTGACATTCACATGTTTTTGCTTCCTTCTCTTTTGGTGCCCATCACTTTTAGCGCTCAGCTATTCAGGAATATGTGGCATGGTGGTGCTGTCTTCGATGCCCCACCAGGAGGCACGCTTCTTGACGCCAATGATCCTGCCACTTGTTATTTCGCTCTCTGGAAGGATTTCAAGACTTGGTCGCAAATTTTGGGTAAGATACCTAAGCGACTGGTGGATGCAAGGCTTGGAGGATATAAGAAAAATTAACCAGGAATGATGACTACTTTTTGCGTTGTTGTTAGCCGTTCTGGTTAGCACTAAACGGTGTGCTAGCCATCGTTTTTGGCATCATTCATCAGGCGGGGTTGGTTCCTGCCATGGACTTGATTCAGAGACAGTCGCTTGGATTTCAAGACTGTCGAGGCGTGGGATCTGGCGATCATATTCTATGTACAACCGATCCGCTCAAACCAGGTAGGCTCCTATGTTCTTCTCTTTATGCTCTCCTTGTTAGTTGGAAGGGTAATATCACTGCGTGAGGACGTGATATTTAATAATTTGACCTGCTATGTAATTAGGACTATTTCATCTGCAGGACAGCAATACATATATCACAAAAGTTATCTTTTACAAGACGTACATGCCTCCACACCACCTCTTTGGATACAACGAATCTCAGGCTCGTTCCCATGGAGTTCATCTTGAGATATTGGACTGGAGAAACAAATCAAAGGATCAGCTCATCGAGAGCCTTTTTTCAGAGGAGGAACGGGCAATGAGAGTTGAGAGGACGTTGCTTTCTGCAGCAAGGAAAGAACATCAGCAACGACAACAGTCTGTTCTATTCCGACAGATTGGCCCTAGACAGTATGAAAGGTAATTTCAATGCTTCAATGCTTTCAGCGCGTGGCCTTTTCTTTCCAGACAGAATTACTTCGACACTCACACGCGTCTTTGTTTTTATTTCGCTTTTACTAGAACTGTGTTGGTTGCACCAGGAACTGTCGACTTTTCAGAGCAAGCCTTTGATAACGACGGTACCAAAGACCGGATATCGCGCCATGCTAACTTTGACCATCTACCTGAACTAATGCAGCGACCTCTCACAGGCCTGAGTATGAACATGTATTACCTGTGACATGTCATCATTAAACATTATAAAAATTTAGAATAATTAGACTTTTTTTTTAATAATCTTATCGGTCCCATTGCACATCAGCAAGGGCCTCCTCCTCATGGGTTCCTAAAAACTCGTTGCCGTGACCAATCGGATGCAGATAGTCCTCTGCTCTAGTCCGACGCAAAGACCGGATGGACGGGTTACGGACGAGAGTCACATAGAGGAACCAGCGATTCCGAACCCGGATTGACCGCAACTTGGCTTCTGACATCTTTTGGCGAATCTGCTCAGCCGAAACCGCCGACTCTGGATTCCGATGCGCCTCCTGGATCTTGACGGCGTGGCTCATATTCAGCTCAGGTGTGGGCGTAGCCAAAAGTGGGGTGTAAACCTTGGAGACCCGGTTGTTCTTTTTGGCAACTGCCGCAGCGGTGGCATTGTTGTAGGCGGGTGGTGGCGAAGATGACGAGGACGATGAAGACGCTATATTCGCTGGACCATGGCCATGGCGGTCAACACGAGGATCTTGTCGAAAGTAGTGGTGGATCCGAGACACCTCTGGTACAATGGCTGCTCCTCCTTTGACAGCGATTCCGGCGCCTTGGCCGTCAAAGCCAGATGATTTGGACATCAAGAGCTCGTCCATGCGTGCCTCTTCGCCTTCCTCGATATCTGCCAATTCTCGGTCACTGAATCCCCCTCCAACACCAACAAATCCTCCCCCTCGTCGTGGCGATTGTGGACTGAGCATCATCATCATATTCAGTCTCTGGTCGCGGTCGTTGCCTTTCCCAGCTCGGCCACCACCAACCAGGTTCGACATCTGGTCTCCTCGTCCGCCAGCCCTCAAGTAATAATGGGCCAGGTTTGGATGGCGACGTATTAGAAGCAGGTCTCTCAAAATCTGGACAAACTCGAGCACGATCGGGTTGTTGAGAGTATGATCCGCCAGAACCAACCCAACAAATGCCGAGTACCCGCCATCCCAGGGTCGAAACCGTCCACCCATAATGCAAAGGTCAATCCTGGTTGAATAGATTCCCATGCTAAGTATACTCAGCACGACTCGCTTGCAGAAGGAAAAGGCGCCAAAGACGATATTGAAGAACGCCCAAAAAAACTCCCAATGGTGGAACCCCGCGCGGGCTGATTGTTGATGCGAGAGGAGGAAACGAGATCCAGGCATCCGGAACCGATACCGAATGACCAACATCTGTACAATCCATAGAACAAGAACAAGAAGGCATGAAATTCCAAAAGCTGCGAGCGCTCGCGAGCCGAGCGTTCGGAAGAGGGAGGATCGGAATGTAGCCGCGACAAGGAGCATGGCCACCACGGTGCAAAGTGTGAATAAAAGGAAAATTGTGAAACAAAGTCCGACCACGCCGAAACCGACTGTGTAGCCAATGAACCTGACTGGGTGCTTCAAATGCTGAGTGTATTCTATCGATTTGAAGACAGTAAAAGAGTGTTATTGCCAATGCGGTTAGTTAAATGGTCTCTGGTGGGGGTAGTAAACTCGCCAATGCTAAACCCCTCTCAGTGCTCTCAGTCGTACCTCGACCACCAGGAACAAACCCATAGTTGCCGATACGCAAGAGCCTTAGGCACCAGTTGTACTTTTGAACCATGCGCACTTGATGCAAAACTGTGATAATAACAACAGCAGGCAGCAGGACGACCACAAGCACCAAATTGACTGTATGCATAGCTCGGGCGACGTTCATGGTGTTGTCAAATTGGCTACGACCCGGATAGGCCAAGGAGCCCAGGATACACGAAACAGGAACAGCCAGCACCGTCTCTGCTGCGCCTATGCTGAGCAAGACATCGTAGCAGAGCACCATCGTAGTCAAAACAGCCACTAGAATTCGGAGTGGGAGTCGTGCAATTAGCAGATAGGTGCCTTGGACTGTCGGCCAGATATGTCGTTTTGGATAGACGATATACTCCCAAGTCGAAGGTGTTGGAGCAGCGCCTGTCATGGGTTGTGCAGCCGAGGTTGCTGTGTATGACGTTGTCACAGAGTTCCATGTCAGCTTGTGAGAACTGACGCCACCCCGCTGACTGCTGGCCTTGTTCCTGCTCATAGGCGGGCGCTTTGATGCGGCAGAGGATGACGATGATGATGAGGACGGTACAGTTGTCGACTTTTCAGATGAGGTTCCATTCCGGCCGGGTATCGCCTGCATCTGCTTTCGAAACGGAAAATGAAGCCTGCCTGGCTCTTGCCCTCCTGGGGGCGACATTGGCGAGAGTCGCTTTGGGTCTTGATGGATATTGAAATCGTACTCTGTCGGGTGGTGGGTGTACTGAGTTCCAGAAGAGCTGGCAAGTGAGATAGTGGTGTTGAGCGTGGAACCCGTGTATCGGCTGCCAGGCTCAGTCCCTTGAGTGGCTATCGGGTTGAGGTACTGGTACATATTCTTGTCGGATCCAATGGTCGACTGGCCATACATGCTTCCAGCGGCCTCCCTGAAGTCGCGCTCTGCAGTCAACAATGACTTGACATACGCCCGGTGATAAAAGCTTGAGATGTTGAAGAAGTCGTCCCGAGGGTTCTCCGGTATCATAGCTGGCATCGTGGACGATCCAGCATTGGAGTCCCAAAGCTGCGCGGTAGACGATGATCTGGAAAGATCGGCCCCTTTTTTACCTCCGCCATCGCTTTCCCCTCCGCTTTCAACAGCGGTCCCTCCCATGATTCCCTTTGCGCTGACGCTCTTGTTGACCCGATCCGTACGCCACTGTTGCCACATGGTTTTGAGAAAGAACATAATAACAGACATCATGGCCACCGTCTCTGGAACGGCTAACAAAATCCCGATGGGAATGGACCAGTACCCACCCTGAACAAGCACTAGTCCGACGATCCCGACGCGAGCCACGATCAGACACAGGGCCGCCCACAGTCCCAAGAGAGGTGCTCTCCATCGACGAGGTTTAGCGTGGTTTCTTTGCCGTGGTTGCTGCATCACCTGGTTGTAGCAGAGGAAGAGCGCCCAATGTGCAAACGCGGAAAAAAAGAATGTCCCGATAAGAAGCAGCGGAATCAGCCAAAGCGCTTGCGGCGAGTGAATCACTGAAGTCTTGGAAGACGATCCGCCGAGGTACTGGAGAAGGATGTTGTAGATCCATTGACAAGTCGAAATAAACAACGCCAAAGGAACATAGTGGTCCACGACAGGGCTCTTTTGGAAAAAGTTGACGGGGCTATTGCGCATCGTGAAAGAAAGAGGTTCGGTTTAGTATTTTGCGTGTTCTTTGGTCAACCTAACGTGTAATATGAATTGAAAGCAAGCATGAGGGCCCTGCAACCTACGCTGAACGCCAGAGCCATCCAGGAAGTCCATAAAACAGTACAACTGGAATCAGAATGGCATTGAGTACGACGACGGATCCGACTCCAATGAGCGCCTTCTGCAATAAACCTTCTGTAGACGGATGGAATGAACCTGGCACTTTACGATATGAAAAGAATAGACACAATGAATGAGCTGAGAGGTTAGAAAAGTAAAAGATGGACTGTACGTGGAAGCCAGATATGTGCTCCGAAACGAACTGGTCCACTTACAAACCCGCAGAGCAAAGTAGTCAAAGCAAAAAGATGCTTGCGTGATAGGGACGATGATTTGTAGAACAACACCGCGCGCTCCGACAGGAATCCTGATAGGCGCCAGCGTCACTGCATCAAACGCGTAGTACAGCAGAGACTCTGTCCCCACAGAATTAGCCTCTTCGAACGATCCCATGCTTCCTCCGTCTGTGCTCATAAAGGCGCCATGCTCATCCAGAAACTGAAGTACTACTCGAAAGATGACAGCTGGTGGAGCGACTGTTTGTGATGGAGGTGCTTCGGCCGTGTAATAGCTCACGGAGAGCTCCAGCTGTTGCTGCCCTTGGTCGATGAGCGGTCCTTGCTCCGTAAGATCTGCTGACGTTATCAACGTTGGGTCAGATGTCGATAGATTACCGTTGTTGTTGTTAGGCGTTGTAAAGGAGCAACATGAAAAAATAGGGTTGTATGTCCAACCAGGGGTAAATGACCACGGGTTTGACGCCGTCGGCTCTCCAGTCAGGGATCCTGTTGTTAAGGGAGGAGCTGTAGGGATCGTAGGAGGAGCAGGCGTTGGCGGCTGGGTGGCTGCAAGGGTCTGCAAGGTGCAAGAGGGGTCTCGGACCAAGTTGGTTATCCCAAGGAATGAATATTGGCATTGAATCCGAGCACTTGTCACTCCTACATGACCGAAGACAGAATGATTGTGTTAGGCTGTGAGGGGTCCGGTTAACAGGTTTCAAAACAGGGTAGAGTTTATGTTAATTACCTGCGCTCGTAAGCGTTGGGCAGAATATTACTCCATTCATGCAGATCCATAGTAAGAGCCATGATCGGCAGTGCTGTGATTGAAGCGACCTGGGGAGCATATTATGGTTGAGAGGATCTGTGGTATCTGTGAGTGCGTTTCGGAGGCGGGTAAATGCGAAAATGGATATGGAGCGCCTTTAGGCTTCTAGGATGCAAAAATGCCAGGGAAGTAGCTGGGCAGACAGACAGACAGACAGGTCGGGTATTTATGAAAGTCAAAAGGGGTGGCAGATCATTAAAATGGTAGAGGAAACGAGGTGCAAGTAGAGTAGAAGGAGGATTATGTGGAGGTGAGACGCAGTGGAGGAGGGACGCGAAAGACTGGAAGGAGAGAGCGAGAGAGGGGCCGAGAGGGATGGTGTGGCTGGACGGGGTGAAAGAGAGGGGGCGAGTGGGAGAGCCAGGGTGAAAAAGAAGAATCGGATAAAAGAGACAGATAGAGAAAGAGGAAGAGAAATGAGAAACAAAAGAATATGAGAGGAGTGAAAGAAAGAGTGGAAGTAGGTGAGGACAAAGACCAAGGGGAGGAAGAAGGTGTTAAATATGACCAAAAGGTGAAGGAAAGGGGCAGCATGCCCTGCAGCAGGGCCAAAAGCGCAGACCATGTTGCCGCCATGCTGACGAGCAAGTTTAGATGGGAAGGTGGCCATGCAAAGAAATAGGTCATCATTAGACGGATGACCTGTGTGTATCTTCATACCCCTTTTTAGAGGCATGCTGTCGACACCCCCTATTTTTCGCTGCTTTGTCAAACCCAAACCTGTATTACTTCTCCACCTCAGCCACACGGTTGTTGTTTGTTGATCGTTGACCCACACCATGAAAGTACTCGTTACAAAGTACGAACGTTTTTCTCGTTCTTGTCATTCACATACTAATACACTGCGTGAAGGACACCGAAACCAAGGAGCGCCTTGTTGCTGAGTGGAAGGCAACGTTCTGGAAGTTTGAGGCCCTGACTCGTAAGTGGATTAAGGTCGGCAGCAAGGTGGCGACGTCGACGAGGACGGTAGTGTGAACTGGGTGTAGAACAACTAAGTTGCGCTTTCAAGTTTTATTCAACCAATATACCACTCTGCTTTTCGAAATGAAGGCTGAGTTGGATGTGATACAGCCTGGTTGTATTAACATATCGTTGCCATGGTGTGAGACACGGGTGTCCATGCTTATCTTTCTTTTCATGTCTTCCGACGTGATGACTCTGGGCTGGGAGCGGCCCAAACAAAAGGCTGAGGTTCAGCAGCAGGAGGATTTCTATCCACTATCTTTGCCGCCACTCTTGTTCGAGGAGGATCTGTCCCCAATAGCGCTGTCCCATCGAGTGAATATCCATCAGATCATGTTTAGCGCCATTAATGAAGGTCGAAAGGATAGCGTACAGTAGTGTGGGTTGACAAGGCAGGGTTTGTGAGTGATGAGTGGGCGTGGGGCAACGAGTGTTGCCTACAAGGCGCGTTGACCGTTCTTTCTTGTTTGTTTCCCTTTTCTCCTTTCTTTTCCTTTCTTTATTTTCTCCGCCTCCGTTGAGTTGGGATTGGCTTTTTCCCACACTAGCATTAGCACTCCGACCACACGCTTCTCTCTGTTCTCTTTTTGATCTCTTCTCACTTTCTTACTTCTTCTTCGTTCGTTCGCTTTCTCCAACCACACCAACGCATTACCCAATCTCCAACACACCAGCAACACCAGCAACAACAGAAACACCACACACCCAAGCAGCTACAGCAACAGCAAAGTCGCCTCTTAAACGGATGAAGTGACATGACATTCCATCGTGGACGGAAAACAAAAAAAAAAAACGGACAAGGACTGTCACCACGGACTCACCGATGAGTTTATTGTCATCCGCAAGGACCATTAAGCTGGAGCTGATGCAGGAGGACGACGCGCCATACCACACCGAGTCAGGAAGGCGCAAGACGGCAATGGAAGCAGCAGAGAATGTACCAACTAATACCAGCCATCACAGCACAACTACAACAAAAAAGTAATAAGCGTACAATTCCAAACACGTCCTCATGGATTCAATCGCACAAGGCTTCATTAAGAGCGCTAGGAAAGAAGCCGGGTCAGGCGCACGCAACATATGTACTTTGATGGTTCAATGGTGAAGCGTGTCATGGCATTTGCAGTTGCGGAAGAGGAACAAGTGATGGTGCAATGGACCATCAAACAACTGTTATCGTCCGCCACGTAGGAATGGAAATGATTGCAGGGATCCAACTCTACAACCAAGTGGTGCTGAAGAAGCTCATGGATAGCTCGTCATCAACAGGAAGCAAGCGTCGATAAGGGCGAAGCCGCAGTGCGATTATATCATGGAAGGGGTGGTGGTTGTGCGAACATGCAGCGAGCGCTTGGATTCAACATCGATCGATTGGGTCAAGAGCCACAACGGAAAAGGGGCGGAACGAGAATGAAGATTTGGCAGCCAAAGAGACACATCGCCGGTGGAAATGAGAATGCAAACCACCAGACGCTGGTACCTGGAGTGGTGGGCGTTCAGGAGAATCAAGAGGTCGATTCAAGACGACGGCATGAATTAGCTGAACACCATTTTCATTATACATTGCTACAAATCAGCCAACACCTTGATCGGCGCGTCCACTACATGCTGACGAGTATGAATGACCTACACGCGGGCACCCAAACTTTTATAACACTCAAGAACCTGTCCGCCTTCAACAAAAGTTACATTCTCAAATGCTTTTGCGCTTGTCTTTTGAATTCCAACTACGCACGGGGAGCGACGGGCGTTTGATGGATTTGAGGAAGAAGACTTTTACAAGGGTCGGCTGTGAAAGCGAAGAATTAACTCGAGGGTCATGGTGAGGGTGTTGTCGAACGTGTGCAGATGGACAATGTTCAGTAGTTTGGCCTAGGGTTTGAAAATGGTATTGGAGGAGCATCGCGTGTGCCAGAATGATGACGGCAGGCTTGAGACCAATCCGGCGTGCCTGCACTCCAGAGATAACTATGTGAATCAGATGGGCCGCCAAGCCCCTGCACATTCCTGATAGATCTGGAACTCCGCCGCATCAAGATAGAAGTCGCGTCCCGATTAAATCTGTGTCCACTGTGCCCTCTGGTCCTTGGTTGTGCGTGTGGGCTTCATACTGTTGGTGATGTTGTTCTCCTCCTCCGACGTGATGGTCCTCTCACAGCGTGGTTTCCATAACTATTCTCTGGCCTCCTTCCCAGATATCGGCAAAAGAGACGGCTCATGCGCTGGGTAATGCACCTTGCCCCACTGCGTAGCTTGGGATATATACCTCAGTCGATGAGGCTGACTGACCACGCGCTCGGGCTGGTTCTTCCTCCTCTTCTTCCTCCTCTTCCTCCCCCTCTCCTCCTCCTCTTCCTCCTCCCCTTCCTCTTCCTCCTCCTCTTCTTCCTCGCTTAGTCGCTTGATCACCTGCAACAGCTTCTGGAGGTTGTTGGTTCTTGGTATCCTCCATACGATCTCGGAGGCTGATTTCCTGGCTTGAGCTGCTTCTGTCACTGTTTGTTGAACTTCCTTGCGGCTATCTCTCGGGCATCCTCCCACAGTTCCTCCTGAGTCTCCTTGCTTGGGGCACGTCCAAATATACTCATTATCCTCCGTCTCTTGACTACACTGTCGGCATAAGTCGTCCCTGTACAGGTCTGGACGCCTGGCGCGCAGGGCGTCCATGGTAGGCATTATTCCGTGGATCATTTTTATCCTATGGCGCGTAAGCGTGTATCCTGCTGTGTATGGCTGGAAGGATGCCAAGCCAGTATGTGCCCTCGTAGTCTTGAATCTATCTCTTGGTGCCAGCGTCTGGTGGTCTGGTGGTCTACATCTTGAGCACGTGTCTCGTGTCCTGAACACCAGTCATCGTCACCTGTTCCTTGATCACTAAACGTGACACAGACACCAATCCTCTCATCTTTCTGTCTTTTTGACTGTTGACCAATACTTTTCCTTTACAACATGTTCGACTGGCTCTTTCGTCGGCGCCCTTATGCAACAACAGCATACACGAGAATAGACATCGGCAACGAATCCGTCGACACTCCCATGCTTCATGGTAACAAAAGGACATGCTCACAGTTGACCGCTTCATTCCGCCGAGGCAAACGAGCTATGATGCTTAATGAAGAGTTGGAATGTGTACCAAACACAGACCACGCTCGTCATGCAAGAACCTAGATGGGAAAACTGATCTCACTGCTGGCTGCTTGCTATAGTAACCCGCCGAGGCAGGACTGGAGCACGCTTTCGACAACTATTCTCTGGAGTCGGACGCGACTGGATAGCCTTCTTTACCTTTGGTACGTTACTGCTCGCTTGCTCTCTCTGTTCTCGCGGGTTGACAATATTCGCCTCGTGTCCCATGTTGGCACCCCGACACTGCATTATGAAACATATCTAACACTCTACTCTCGTTTTGACAAACTGCTCTTTGCCTTTGCCTTTGCCTTCACCCACAGGATGGTGAGCTCTTTGGTCCGACTTGTATGGCGGAATCAGGTTGATAGGCACCACGGATTTATCGAAAGCTGACTCACTCACTCCATTATCGAACTCATGGGACACTCAATCCATTCATATGGCGTTATTAGCGTCAACAATCTCATCTACGTGGTTATCCTCTCGGCTGCCGTCGATCTCGTCGGCGCCAAAGTACCAAAGGTGCATATCCAGCCGTTGCTCGTTCGCAATGACAATTTTACAGGCTCTCTGTATTCACCTCGCCTCTACGCAGGAAACTAACAAGTCTGCTTGCCTTGGCTATAGGGCATCGTGTTACTAGCAGACATCGCTCCATCGTTACTTGTCAAGATGATCGCTCCGTACTTTGTCCATAGAATTCCTTACTCAGCCCGCATTGTTTTGTGTGCGTCATTATCATTCAGTGCAGTTGTGGTAAGCGGCAGACCTGTCATTCTGTCTGGTTGTGTTTGAGCAGTGTTCTCATCAATTATGCCAGGAGAAGACTGTATTTCTCATCGTCGTCTTGATCTCTCTACGTTTTATGGATCTTACTTTAGTTGATTGCCCAAGCTGAGACCATTTCTGTTCGTCTCTTGGGTGTAATGATGGCATCGTTGAGTTCAGGGCTGGGAGAGCTGACGTTCTTAATGCTAAGCTCATTCTATCGACTTGAGATGGTCTCCGCATGGTCGAGCGGCACAGGCGGAGCAGGACTTCTCGGCGCTCTGCTGTTTTTGACTCTCACCTCATGGTTAAGACTATCCGTTCCCCAAACATTGGCAGTCGTCTCCGTAAGTTTCATTCCTCTAGCAAATTTTTAGCCTGCACCATTATGAGAAAGAACTATCGCCTAACACACTTTTTTTAAGCACTCTGCCTTATAGTTATTTCCTGTCCTGTTGTTGATTGCATACTTTGTAATCCTGACCAACGCTACAAGTCCCGCTTCACGCCAACAAGCAGCAGGAGCAAGATATCGACCGCTTGCGACCTCCAATCCAATATTTACAATCAACAATAACGAAGAGCGTCTGCTCTCCACAACTGATCATCATCAGAGTCCCCGAGCCCCAAATTGGGACCCCTCATCTGCGTACCTCGCTCCACAGTTCGCAAAGCCAACGTCTCCACCCTCACTCCACTCTATGAACGGAGTTATGGACGACACCGGCGCATCTCGATTTGACCAACAACAGGATCAACATGGAAACGGAAGCAGTAATACCCAAACGGAAGGATCAACACTCCCAACTTCATCTGGACGAACCTCACCTCCATCCATTGTCCCAACAAATGACAATAGCTCAGCTTCTTCTGCATCGTTTTCAATGCCGCTTGCTGTTCCTCCTTGGGATCTTACTCCTCCATCGTGGGACGCCTTTCAGCACCGTGCAGAGCCTACGTCGATCAATACTCTTTTGGCAGCGACAGATCCAGACGATCCAAACTTTGTGTCACCCTTCCGGGAGAGCGAAGAAAGCGGATCCGGTCGTCGTATGGCAGTCTACAAGCCCCAACCGAACGAGGAAATGACGATGCAAGAGAAGCGTGTTATGGCCAGGTCATTGCTTGTACCTTTCATGCTCCCTCTCTTCTTGGTCTATTTTGCGTAAGCGCCTCGTTACAACGTACTGTAGTAGTTTTCATTGTTTCGCATTAAATGGCTGCTTTGACTAATTTATTCATTCGTCTCTTTCCATAGCGAGTACACAATGAACCAAGGAGTACTTCCAGTCGTGCTATTTCCTCTGGAGAAGACGCCGTTTACCCACATGCGAGACGTAAGGTCTTCATCCTTTGCCTATTTTTTTTTTTTTTTTTTTTTGACTGGCCTTTACACTAATTCCCTTGCCTTAAAAAATAGCACTATGTGACATATTCCGCCATTTATCAGGTAAAATGTTCATACATGCATACGTCGTTCAAACCGACCTACGTTGTGTTGGAAACGATATGCCATTCAGTCTCAACGGGTTGGATCTGTCTACTTACGTACTCATTTTTCTATGCCTGTACTAACCATGGTATTAATTGTCAACTAGCTCGGAGTGTTCATCAGTCGGTCCTCTGCCTCGCTCATCGAAATATCCTATCTTTGGATACCTTCTTTTCTGCAGTTTTTGACCCTCCTCCTCGCCACTGCCCAAGCAGTCCTGACAACCGTCGCCTCCTCCCCTCCACCAACCTACTCATTACCATGGTGGGGCGATGGACTCGCCTCTCTTCCAATGCCCCTTCCTAACATCTATATTGTGTTTCTTTTGATATTTTGGGAGGGACTTCTTGGTGGTGCAACCTATGTTCACACATACATAAGAATTTCGAAAGATCTTGAGCATGACCCCCGAGGAAAAGAGTTTGCTCTGGGAGTTGTCGGTGTTGCGGATGGGCTTGGAATATTACTGGCTGGGGTTGCCAGTTTGTGGCTTGAACCAGCTCTGTGTCGATGGCAAGTCGCGGAACGAGGCGTCAACCTCTGTCTCTCCATGGCTGACTAAATAAATGTTATATTTAAAGCATAAAAATAAAGGGGCTGAAAGGTTTCTTTGTTTCTCGTTCACGTGTGAGTGAGAATTGTTGAGCGGCGCGCTTGACAAAACACTTCGCACCGCTGCTCTCGACCTTTTCTTTTCTTTTCTTTTCCTCTAGTGTGTTTTCCTTCTCCTCTTTCTCTTCTTTTTTCTCATCATCCATTTCCTCGTTACAACAAGACCGTCCGGCTCCTGCACACGTACCGGCGACTCTCTTTCTTGTCCGAGCCAGCGCAACGGGCCTTCCTCCGTCACAGCCGTTATGTCAGGTCCCGTCAAACCCGCTTCTTTCGGCCGATCAAGGCCCTTCTCGAAGCGCCCGATCTGTGCCTCGAGACCATCGATATCCTCAACAACAACCTTCATTCGGATGTCATAGATCCTTGCATGAGCGCCGACTCTGAAGCCCTACTGATCGCCCTGTTGAAGAAGAGCCCCCACCTTCGGACTTTGCGCATCAAACGATCACCCAAGGTGTCTCTCCCGCTGCTCAATATTATTGCCACAGTGCTACCACGGTTCCGGCTCTTGTCCTTGTTTTGCCCACAGGGAATGCCCTGGGTCAGTCCTGCAACCATGAAGGCGTTTCTTGAAGCATGTTCGCCAGAGACGGAGCAATTGAGCGCCTGGGTGATAGTCGAGGAAGACAACGAGGAGCAGGTCGAGTCACCCTTGTGGGAACTGAAGGACAAGGACAAGCACGCGTGCGAAATCGAACGCAAGCACCACCAGTGTTTCATCAGCGATGGGCACGACAGCGTCTCTGACCACAGCAGCCAGAAGTCTCCACCATCACATCCAGCCCTACACATGCTCTGTCTATCAGGGTACTTCTACGACCATGAGGAGGACGTTGTGATGCCGTTTCTGAGAGGCTGCAAGAATCTGCAAATGATCGAGTCACCCCGACGAGTACCGAAACGACAAGTGCTGGATCACCGACAATTATCGGATACGAGCTGCGATTGAGGAGGTGTCAGAGTTTTACTCTGATAACTGGCACATGATCAACGCCACCAACTTCCAGATCTTTCTAGCGCCACTAACTTCGGGATCAATTGATCATTGAATGGCTTTCGCTGACTAATTGCCCTCCTGACCAGTCAGCCGATACAGTTCTACAGAAAGACCTAGAAAGAACTATGGGCTCCGCCGAACACACATAAATAGGTAGTTCATACGTAGTCTAGCTCCTCAGTTAATAACTTCCTTTTATTAAACAAGACATTACAATGTAACATTTCCCTCGTCTTCCTTGTCCACTCGCCTCGTTCTTCCTTTCGTCCGCCCTCGTCTTCTTACACCTAGCGACCTGGACGATGATTTAGGCTTAAACCCAGAACGTTCATTGGACTCATTAATACCACGCCGTCTACGGTATTTATCAATGATATCAGTCTCAACGAAATCCGTAAAGGGGACCCAGCTAATAGCAGCTATCATATTCAGGCGAATAGCCTTTCCATCTGACTAGATACTCCATCTCATTCTCCTTCCCTTTGATGGGTCGGTGATTCAATATCTGCTGGATCTCAAAGATGTTGGTGTCATCTTCAACTGAGTTACGTTGAACCAATTTCATCCGAGATGGGGCACAGTCAGCTTCGATCAACTGTCCAGTAAGGTCTTCAAGGGTATAAGAGGCGCCCTTTGTACGACGTACAGCTTTGTAAGGACCATCCCAATGAGACAAAAAAGCACCTGAGAGTCTTGGATCTCTAAAATAAACATAGGATCCATCAGGAAATGGATTTTCCTTGACACCTTTAATATATCTTTCTTCCAATGCTTTTTAACGAGCCTGAACTCCATCAGAAATAACAGGAAAAACAATCTGGTTCAAGTAATCCACACGTTTCAACAAATCTTCCTCTGACATGAGTGCACTCTGAATATTTGGTTCTCCTGCATTACGCAGCTGACGGCCAAAAAATAAAGAGAAAGGTGTTGAATTGTGTAAAGCTGCCTCCTTTGTGTTCAATGCATACTGAACACCAGGCACATGTTCATCCCAGGTTGAAACATCACCACGTATATACTTGGCAATGGTTAACTTAGCTGAGGAGACCATTCAGATCCAAAATACAACGTGGCATCTTCCACATCTATGTCCTTCTTGATGAGATTCATGGTGACAATCAGACAAGAGTATTTGTATAACGGCAATCACGTATGCTAACCATTTTAATATTCCGGGCGTAATAATCCTACCAATCACCGCCAACTTTTCCAAACAGAAATGTACCATAGTTTTTAGCATAGATCTCTCCTGAATGTACATGTCCATCACCAGACCGCATCCTTCGCATCGAAATTAAGGGCATTAGTTCTTGTCGATGATACTCCAAAACTTGTTCTGACTATGTTGCATCTTTGCCATGAAATGCTGATAAGAGACTAGTTGTTAAAAAATCGCATCTTGCTTGGTGCCTATTTATATTGTATCTCTCTTGCAAATTCGGATTGTATACGTCAACTCAAATGGTACACAGGTCGTTGACAGAGAGTTGGATGTTTTAAAAAACCATTTCCGTGTGACGTGTACGTGAAAAATCGCCTGAAGTAACATACCGCTCAGCTACACCATTTGCACGAGGATGATACGGTGTAATAAAACGATGTTCAATCTTGGCCATGTCTGCAATGACTCTCAGTGTTTTATTCTTGAACTCAGCGCCATTATTGGTTAGCGTTGCCGAATGTAATGACGGCTAAAGCCTATTATTCGACAACGCCATGAACTCTAGATGTGTGTATCTTTCTTTTATTATTAACCGTGACTTCCGAAAAAAAAAATTGAAAATGAAAATGAAAACAAAATAAAGGGGACTCTAGGTGATCTGTTGATCTCTATCTACTCGCTAGAAAAGGGCGAGTCGGGTGGGACATCTAGAGTCCCTGGCGTTGTCGAATAATAGGCTTTAGCCGTCATTACATTCGGCAACGCTAACCATTATTCTTCCTTGCCAGGGACTCTATCTGTGAATCCAAAGTTAGGAAAGAATGGCTGTGGTGAAGTTGTTCGCCAGGGACCGTGAGATTCTGTAGAACGCTTCAACGATGGCTGGGGATGACCAGTTGCCGTGTGTGACGACGTCGTCCAGTGGGATCCCTTTCTCAAGTGCGGCGGTAGTGCCCACTGCTCGGGCCTTGTATGGTGGCTGGGTCTCGTCTCGTGGCATCAGTTGCATAATCTCTTGGATGTATTTCCGGATCCGATCTGAACTCAATCCCAGGTTGGCTCGACGCACATGTCGGATGAGAGGAGTGAATGGCTGTCTCGACCTTGGGGTGTGGGAAATGTCTTGGGTCGAAATAGTTAAATATGTTATGGAATACCAATGGAAGTTGCAAGAATTTGTACAGACGATTATGGAAGGAGTTTTTAAAAAGACAACAGATATATCTATAAAGAATACATATACAAAAGCAAAAGAATCCAAATGGACATAGTTATCTAGCAGTATTACAAGAGCAAAACGTAAGGAAAGAGTATCAACATAAACATATTTTACATATCGGTAATCGAGGAATAGAATTGGGGGAGATCGCTTTTTTTTGGGCGAGGGAGTACACCTGTTTTCTCGTCTTTTGTTAAGCTATGCCCACCATTTCTTAATATGACGTATCTGGGGAATTCTAGGGAATAATTGACATAATTACGTGTGTATACTCCCTATTTTTGCAGAAAACGACATTATGGAGACTAATACCGTCGTAAACCTTACGCCAAAGAAACTTGCACGGCTGCTTGATAATCTGTTGGAGAACGAATGGGGATTTCTTGATGAACCGTGGCCAATGTGCCCAAAGGTCAAGACATTTCATCGTTCAGAGTTGAAACCAATCGCAAGAATACAGGATATGAAAAAGGTGTTGATGAAGAGACTTGGAGCCATACCAGTGTTTTTCTTTCTATCTACCATCTGGAGTAAACACTATTTCCCTGGTCCATATAACGCACTTGAGAAAGGAATTGCATTTCTGTACTTTTTCGTCGCTGGAGAGACTATGGATTCCATGGCACAGTATATGCCAAAGTCCACATTCCATTTGATATACAGCACATTTGTCAAGGTGGAACGTGCATTGTTTGAGAAGGAGATTACACGCTGTTTTGCATCTATGTTCTCTTCGCTGGAAATTCGTATTCGAACAGCCAATTGGAAAAATCCCCCAATGTTCAAGCATGTAACTCTCTACTTGGATGGTCATGACTCTCGAGCAACATATGGGGAAGATAAAGCAGCAATGTATTCTTATAAGCTAAAGAAATCGGGTTTGAGAACGCAAGTGGCCATCGATGCCAATGGAATGGTTCTCTTTGTATCCAAATCGGCATCATGTCGTGATAACAACGACGGGAAAATGCTACAAGAGATGGGCATTGGTAAGAAGATCGATAGCATGGACTGTATTGCCCTTGATGGAGGATATACACAATACATTGGCGATATTGTGGAAAAAGAAAAGTTGGACGAGCGTAACTTCTGTTTTCCCATTCGTAAGAAACGACTACAGCAACTCCACGAAGAGGAATCCAACTTTAATGCTATGTTTGGTGGATTTCGATCTACGTCAGAGGCTGTCTTTGGTGATCTCATGAAAACATTCGTCAAGTTTAACAACAAGGAGATTGTAAGAGTTGGATCCAAAAAGGAGTTTAATCTTACATTCCGCCTTTGTCTTCTCTTGCTAAATATTCGCAACTTTGTTAAAGCAGTGGACATCGAAGAGCAGCCACATCATCGTGGATGGATGGAAGAAGGAGTAGATTATCCACGAGAAAGGCAACTTGTCCCAGAGTTAACACAAACCGTTACAGTACAAAACAAACTGGAAAATGGTCTTGAGTTACAAAGAATGCAAGAGAAATTTGTAGGAATAGATGTTGCTTCAGATGATGATGATGAACAAACGTCAAATAAGGATGATGACGAGGAAATGTCAAACCACGAAGACGATAATACCAGTCTATAATTAACAAAAGTCTTTCCAAAGTTTTTAAAAACCTCTCAAACGCGCTCGCACTTCATATCGTCCTCGCCATGAATACGAACCTTTTTTACTGCACGAAATGTCATCAACGGTACACCTTGCACACTACCAATTCTCTGTAGACCTTGAAGATGCTCCACACGCCATGGTCTCCAAATCTTTGCCAACGATTTACCTGCGCGCACCTTTATGCCACATGCTGTAATAAAATGCCAACGACGTTCAGAACGAAATTCTTTGAGACCGGCGGCCACAATGGTATACTCTTCATCGGGCGTTAGAATTCGGTCGGCTGCAGTATACATCGAAACATGAATAGTTTTCAGATGTAACACATTTGTGTCTACTGTATCTTCATCATATTCGAAGATATCTGCAAGTGGGGCACTATACCTGTTATGAACACGCTTTGGCCAGGCAATAGAGATGTTGTCAACTTCCACAATTCCAACTTTGCTAAATTTACGAATGACGTTAGAAGATGCATCCCTCGAAGGAAACATTCCTTTTTGCGAGCCAGCAACTAGTGTGATGGCAGTACATCCAGGCTCGCGCTTAAATGTCCTTATTTCGCCCAAAATAACTTTCTCTTTCCCATTTACCTCTTTTACATGTCCTTCCACAAAGTATATAGGTCTATCGTTAAAGGAATAGTTAGCCAGTAAAAGTGTAATAAGCTCGGGGTTCTTAAAGTTTTGCCACATATATCCATACTTCTTAGAGGTTACCGAATTCCACCAGTGACAATAAGCAAACAGTTTCTCATGTGGAAAATGTACAGCCACCATCGAGGTAATGCATTTTGCACGTTCCTCCCACTGCATCTCAAAGGAACATTTAAATGTTTTACATTTCTTCAAGAGATTCTTTGTCTTGTCCATTTCGTCTTGATATGACTGAAGAGATCTCAAAGATGAACCTTCAAACGTCAGCTCGATACGACTATAACCATGCTTTTTATATTTTTTAACTCGTCGTCCAAATGCTGTTTCTTTCTCCACCAAATCCTCCAAACGTGAACCAAGGCTCTTTCGCACCTCGGCACTTTCCAAAATCTGGACAAATTTGTTATACACCTTATATCGGATATTCTTTGTATCCCCTTTTCGACCTCTCCATGAAATACAATGATGTCCTACTCTTCCCACATCATCGACAATTTTTGTAGTTTTCGTTTGTTTTAGCAATCTCTCCACGTGCAGTCGTGTGGTAATACGCGTACAATCATAGGCAAAGTCTATGTCATGTAAAGCAATGCCGCTCTCGTTCAAGCTAGACAACATGTTCGCCAAAATTGGCACAACAATCTTTGCACGGGAAAAATCTAAAGAAACCTTGATGGCAATAAATCCCTGTTGGTATTCTTTTCCAACAAACAACTTTCTATGGCGTTTGACCATGCGCGGAGAAAAATAGTTATCATCCATTTTAACCTGCCTAGCATCGACCAACTTTACAGATTCCACATTTAAATCGGTGTGGTTAAATGCATCGCGCAGTTCAGCAATGTATTTTCCAATTGCTGTACCTTTAGTGGTATCGTCAGCAAAGTTATATATACCCCAAAAGATGATGGAATCGCAAAAGAGTTTCGAGAATTTGGTGAATCCTTTTCTCTCCACACTGCCAAATGGTGCTGACTGTAGATTACCCACATTTGACAGCAAGTGGGAAACTTCGTTGATGGCTTTGTTTATCAGAGATTCTTTTGTTGGCGACATAATAAAAGGTATACTTAGGTTTTAAAAAGTCTATAATTTAGGTCGTCATTTTTTTCTAAGCATATATTCACCAGCGTCTTTCTTGGTAAGTAATCCATCTGCACGTATTTTGTCACGTAGGAGTTGATAAGATGCCTCTAATAACTTTTTTATGCCGTTAGTGCCAAATATAGTGGCATCTTGTGGAAAGAGGTTACGATGATAATCTAAAAATTCATCCAAATAGACAAACATACACAATTCCAGATTCTTCTCATAAATAAAATCTGCAACAACTTCCTGCTGGCGTGCTTTGGTTAAACGTGTAGGCCTGGGCATGATATATTTGCGGCGATAAGACGTCCAGATGCTCATCCCGCTATATACTTATTTGTCAATTACTCCCTTGAATAGATACAACTTGACATCTATATTAGATATTGTTGTGTATACCCTCAAACACAAACATTGAGAGAAATATTCCCGGAAAAAAACGTGGTATATCAAGTATCAAGAGATCACCATTGGGAATCGTCTTGGGTCGAAATAGATGAATATGTTATGGAATACCAATGGAGGTTGCAAGAATTTGTACAGACAATTATGGAAGGAGTTTTTAAAAAGATAACAAATACATCTATAAAGAGTACATATACAAAAGCAAAAGAATCCAAATGGACATAGTTATCTAGCAGTATTACAAGAGCAAAACGTAAGGAGAGAGTATCAACATAAACATATTTTACATATCGGTAATCGGGCAGGACAAAAAGGTTGGAGCGCTTTTTTTTGGGCGAGGGAGTACACCTGTTTTCTCGTCTTTTGTTAAGCTATGCCCACCATGTCTTAATATGACATATCTGGGGAATTCTAGGGAATAATTGACATAATTACGTGTGTATAATCCCTATTTTTGCAGAAAACGACATTATGGAGACTGATACCATCGTAAACCCTACGCCAAAGAAACTTGCACGGCTGCTTGATAATCTGTTGGAGAACGAATGGGGATTTCTTGATGAACCGTGGCCAATGTGCCCAAAGGTCAAGACATTTCATCGTTCAGAGTTGAAACCAATTGCAAGAATACAGGATATGAAAAAGGTGTTGATGAAGAGACTTGGAGCCATACCAGTGTTTTTCTTTCTATCTACCATCTGGAGTAAACACTATTTCCCTGGTCCATATAACGCACTTGAGAAAGGAATTGCATTCTTGTACTTTTTCGTCGCTGGAGAGACTATGGATTCCATGGCACAGTATATGCCAAAGTCCACATTCCATTTGATATACAGCACATTCGTCAAGGTGGAACGTGCATTATTTGAGAAGGAGATTACACGCTGTTTTGCATCTATGTTCTCTTCGTTGGAAATTCGTATTCGAACAGCCAATTGGAAAAATCCCCCAATGTTCAAGCATGTAACTCTCTACTTGGATGGTCATGACTCTCGAGCAACATATGGGGAAGATAAAGCAGCAATGTATTCTTATAAGTTAAAGAAATCGGGTTTGAGAACGCAAGTGGCCATCGATGCCAATGGAATGGTTCTCTTTGTATCCAAATCAGCGTCATGTCGTGATAACAACGATGGGAAAATGTTACAAGAGATGGGCATTGGCAAGAAGATGGACAGCATGGACTGTATTGCTCTCGATGGAGGATATACACAATACATTGGCGATATTGTGGAAAAAGAAAAGTTGGACGAGCGTAACTTCTGTTTTCCCATCCGTAAGAAACGACTACAGCAACTCCACGAAGAGGAATCCAACTTTAATGCTATGTTTGGTGGATTTCGATCTACGTCAGAGGCTGTCTTTGGTGATCTCATGAAAACATTCGCCAAGTTTAATAACAAGGAGATTGTAAGAGTTGGATCCAAAAAGGAGTTTAATCTTACATTCCGCCTTTGTCTTCTGTTGCTAAATATTCGCAACTTTGTTAAAGCAGTGGACATCGAAGAGCAGCCACATCATCGTGGATGGATGGAAGAAGGAGTAGATTATCCACGAGAAAGGCAACTTGTCCCAGAGTTAACTCAAACCGTTACAGTACAAAACAAACTGGAAAATGGTCTTGAGTTACAAAGAATGCAAGAGAAATTTGTAGGAATAGATGTTGCTTCA